CTTCCGTCATCGAAGCCTTCCGGCTGTCGCATGTAGATCTCCTCCTGGAGGTCTCCATTCAGGTAAGCTCCCTTAACATCCATCTGGCCTATTTCCCAGTTATTAACTACTGCTAATGCTAGGATGGCCCTGATGGACTCAAGACGAACTACAGGGGCAAAGGTTTCAAGGAAATCCATCCCTGGGATCTGTGAGTACCCCTGTGCCACCAATCTGGCTTTGTACTTGACAACCTGACCCTCCTTGTTGGTTTTCCTCTGGAAGACCCACTTGCAGCCCACAGCATTTCGATCTTTTGGTAAGTCTTGTAGCTCCCAAGTCCCCATGCCCTGCAACTGATCATATTCCGCTTTTACAGCCTTTTCCCATTCTGGCCATTCCGGAGAGGCTTGGGCCTCCGCGAGGCTTCGTGGCTCATCTCCCGCACTCGCCGTTCTGTCGCCCGATGCCAGTGCTGTCGCATACAGCGCCTGCGCGATCTCTTCAAATTCTTCGGGCATCACGGCGACTTTCGCACTCTCACCAGGTGCGTTCTCTTTCGGCACTCCCGGCGGCTCGCGCGACTTCGTGGGCTGCGCGCGGGGGTTATTCATCCTTCGATAGTCGTGGTCCTGCGTAGCGCGGGTCGTACGACGAAGAGGGATCTTCGGGGGTGCAGGCAAGAATGTTGGTCGCTCTCGCATGCTCTCCTGTATCTCGGGAGGTAAGTCTTCCTCTGTAATGTAGTTTCCATCGTGTTTCTTGTTAGACTGATCAGCTTTGACAGGTACTGATGCTGGTTTTGATGCAGATGTGGGAGGCTGCTGCTTGACAGCTCCCCCTGACTCCCCCTCGAGCGGCAGCCTGTCACTGTCATCAAGCTGATGTACAGGAACATTGCTTGCTGGGTTCAGGGCATCCGCGAATACAAAATTTCGCGAGACTCGGATCGAGCGCGCACCCACATCGTAGTAGCGCACAGCCTTCGGGCCATCAGCAAAACCTACAAAGGTGTGTTTCTTCGACTTTGGCTCGAGTTTCGAGAGATTCTGGCCTTCCGTCAGAATCCAGACATCTGACCCAAATTCTCGTAGGTGCGCGACATTGGGCTTCTTGCCCGTCCACGCCTCTTCCGGAGTTTTCCCGCACAGTGCTTTCGTCGGCGCTCGATTTCGCAGGTATGCTGCATATGCAACAGCTTCCGCCCAGAGGAAGTTTGGAAGCTTCCTCGCAATCAACATTGCGCGAGCAAGCTCCAATAGCGTGCGATTAAATCGCTCAGCTACACCATTCTGCGAAGGTGAGTATGGTGCTGTTGTTTGCAGCTCAATTCCTTTCTCACGGCACCACCCTTTCAGGTTTTTATTGATGTACTCGGACCCATTGTCAACACGCACGATCTTCGGCAGGTGCCCGAAGCGTCGTTCAATAAAGGTGAGGTATTCTTTCAATTTTTCAAAAGCCTCACTTTTATGTTTCATGAACAGGACTTGGCACCTCTGCGTGCAGTCGTCCGTGAACGATATGTAGTAATGCGATCCGGCGATCGATACTACACGTGCGGGGCCCCAGACGTCACTATGCGTCAACTCGCCTGGCATCTGGGAGCGGTCCTCCACCTCCTTCGGGTATGCACGACGCGCCTGCTTAGCTTGTACGCAGGCTTCGCACTGTGTCAGTGGCATCGAGTTTTCATCAACGGTGAGTCCCTCCACCAAGTTTTCCTTGTAGAGCTTCTCTAACCCTGTGAATCCCAGGTGTCCATATCTCCGGTGCCACGACTCCCACGAGTCGCTATCGTCGCGCGCAATGTTCGCGCGCTCTTCACTCGGCATAGCAGCCTTGGCCCGCATGTTGAGCAAGTACAATCGGCCGACTTTTCGGCCTTGCGCGATGATGTGGCCGCTGCTTTCTCGCAGCATTATTCCTCCGGCACCGCCATCAAAGTGTCCACCCGCTTCATCCAGGCGGCTCAGTGACACCAAATTATTTGTCGCTTTCGGTGCGTACAGGACATCTTTCAAGCAAAAAGTACATGTGTTGCCTCTGATCCTGCTATTGACTTCCACAGTGCCACGCCCGAGAGCGCGCACACTCTGGTCTCCGATCCCGGCAATCGAAGAGGCCTCAAGCGGCACATAGTCTGTCATCGTGTCACGAAGATTCGTAACATGTGATGTCGTTCCAGAGTCAGCTAGCCAGTCATAACGCGAGAACTGACTACTAAATTGTTGCCCGGCACAGGTCGCCTCGTCTGTGCGGAACGCGACATCTCGCAGCACGTCATTTGTTGACTGTGCCTGGTTCGTGTGCGCCTGCGCACGGCCTTCTTTTTTACTTCGCGGTCCCTGACCCGCCTTGCCGCCGCCTTTCGACCAACACTCATGTTGAGTGTGTCCACGCTTGTGGCAATTCCAGCACTCCGCGTCGGACTTCCTGTCCGTTCCGCCCTGTGCGGTATTCTTCGGCTGGGTCCACCGCCCGCATGCTGCCAGCGCAGACTCGTCGGCACCGCCTTTCTCTCGCCGGCGCCGGTATTCTTCGAGCAAGATGGCTATCAATTCATGCGATGTCGGCAACTTGTCCTTCTGGCTTGTTGCACCCAGGTACGCAGATGTGAACTGGTCCCAAGACTCCGGTAACGATGTGATCAGGATCGTTCGAAATTCGTCATCCGACACCTTGCTACCCATCATGTGTAGCTGCTCCTGTGTCCGGCGGAGCTCCGTGATATGCGCTGCGATATCGCTGCCTTCCGTGGCAACTGTGCGATAGAATTTCCTTCGGTACGCCATTATCCCCAGTTGTCCACTCGCCTCCTTTACTAACTTCAATTGGTTCCACATCTCCGCAGCCGTTGTAGCGTCCGCAATGTGTATCATCTGCGAGTCGCTCAACAGCAGCTCGATAACGGTCTGGGCTTTTTGATCACCCTCAACCCATTTCGTGATCACCGCCGTTTCTCCTGCCGTTGGTGTTGTTGCATTTGCCGGCTTCGGCTTCTCCGATGTTCCATCGACATATTTCAAGACACCGCGCTCCCTCAAGATCGCCATAGTACGGCGCTTCCATGGGAGCCAGTTGTCATCGCGAAGTTGCTCGATTCGGAACAAGGACGACAGGCTGTCACGAGATTCGGTAGTACTCGACATTGTAACTACCGATAGTCAGAGTGTGTAACAAGTAAGTAGAAGCTGGTAAAGTATAAGCTATAAGCTAGCGGGGCTCATAACCTATTAGCGCAGCTCGTATGAATTCCTCCGAGTGAGTGATTTGGGGAAGAGATATTATTAGTGGGACCTGCAAGAGGTCCCTCCTTATATACTACACCAGTAGACTAGTCCAGAACATACTACATAGTTCTCGTAGCTACTGTATCCTTCGATGCTGAATAAGATATCGGGGAATATCGCCCGACTACCTGGATGCTCCGGATTGACTAATAAGGTCATCCCGAAGCCTCCAACACTTCTGACTGTGTAACCTGGTGAGCAACGTTTGACTCGGGTTACATTGCTCGACAACTCTTTGCCGACATGTATTTTTGTTATAACTTGTGTATCAATTTCTATTCTATGTAATCTTCTTTATAGACCTCTACTACCTTTACTTTGATTACAAATTGGTTTAAACATCACTAGTCCTGTGTAACTTACACAACGCTTGCTACCCCGATGTAACTGGTGTAACCTTACATAAAAATTTCCCGCTTTTGCTGATGTTCTATCATCAATTAGAGGTAAAGGTCAAACCAACCCAAGAGACATAAACTCAAGGAGATAATTGATGAAGAAACTGAGAAAAGGAGAAAGGTTTGTCAGGCTTAATTTGAAGACATCAAATTTGCAATTCTGAAAGAGCTCCAGATATGCATTCAGGAATGAACAAGAGGAACTTTTGAAAAAGGCTTGAAATTTTTGATTTTGGAGCAGGCAGGTGATAATGATTGTCATTCCACCCTTTGCTAGGACCACCCCAGATGTAATAGTATGATTTTACCGTATAAAACTTCCTTGTCGTACATGCAGTATTGACGAAGAGATGCTCGTAGAGGTAATGGTAAGCAAGTATCACCGATATTATAAATATCCAGGGGCGGAAAAAAATGAGTGCAATGGTGCGAGTGAGAGGCGGATACCGAGAGCAATGGCCACTAGCCTCTGCGAGCGCAGACAGGCCTATTCCGAGAAACACCTGCATGGATAGGTAACGGTCTACAAGTGTAGTAGGTGTACACGCTCCTCGAAGAAAGGACCGAATGGAAGAAAAACATCCATCATGGCATCCACACCCCAACCATGGAACTTCCGAGTCGAAGCTGTATCTCTGTCCGACTCCAGATAATGTGAGCCCGGATCCCTGGTGAAGATATTGAGGGTGTTTTTCCGATGTAATACTCGACGCTCAGCAGGGAAGAGCCTCGCCTGAGGGGCCTGCGCATTGCGCTAGACGTCCCCACCAGCGACCCCACCAGCGCTCGTGTCCTCTACCCCGCATAGTGGCGGGGCCTCGGGTGCCTTCGCCGCGGGGATCGACCTCCTCACCGCAACCGGAAGAGATACGTCCAAAACACACAGTAGCACTCACCAGTCGGGTCGATATTCATGGCCCGTGGACGGCGGAAGCGCGATCACGCCCGAGGAGCACCTCATCCTCGTATTCTGCTCCCCTAAGGCTCGCTCGCCGCCGGCGCGCAGGCGGCCGCGGCAAAACACCCTGACGAGACGTGATGCGGATCCGCCGGATACGCTCAGGCTCAAGGCACTCGCGCGCAAGAACGACGCCGAATGCATCCCGCACGGCCGTCTTGGGCGATATTCCCGCATCGTTCCCCGAAAGCATTCTCCTTCTCGCAGTACGAGCACGCCAAACCCACCCGGGATCCTACTCAAATCAGTCCAACCATCATCATCATCAACGCAGAGCGCACAACAATAAGATACACGACCCCCAAGCAGGGGGCAAAATCACCAAGCGTGAAGTGTGAATAAAACCAAGCACGCCCCGCCCCGCATCGCCATCTACGCAGAAACCTCATACCCCGCCGAATACAGCAGGGTCGCAAACTGCCGCAGGCACCAAGTCAGCACCCTGCCCCGGGGACAAACACAAAGGACGGAGGACGGGGACGCACCTGCACCTTCGCGATGCTCTTGATCTGGATAAAGTCGTAGCCCTGGCGTTCGCTCAGGTCGCCTGCGCGGGGTCTCTATCAGCATCCACCGCGCAACAGGTAAGTCGGCAGGTGGGCTTACCGCTGTTGTGGTACATCGGGTCCGCGATCGGGCCTGCGCGTTCGAAGACCTGTGTACCAGGGAAGCCCAGCTCATAGAAGCTCTGCGAAAGCATATTTCAGACGCATATAGGCACCACAATGGGATAGGCAACGCACCTGGTGATCGCTGCAGCACGCCTGCACACAGGAATATCGATCAGAAGACATAAAAAATACACGATGGGTAGGGGAGCTCACGGATGAGTAGCCAACGGTGATCTCGGGGGAGTACCACACCGCGAGGACCTTCAAGAGCTCAGCGAGCTCAGGCGTACCAATCTTTTCGGGCAAGCCCAGCTGCGCAGGCTCGCCCGAGACGTGATACCCCAGCATGTCCGCCTGCACGACCAGCGTAAGGTTCGCGCCCGCGTCATGCAGCTCGCGCGCATACGCCCGGGAGCCGTACAGCCCCTGCTCCTCGCCCGCAAACGCGACGAGCTGCACGTTCTTCCGGAACGACACGCGCTTCCGCCCGATCGTGCGCGCGATGCCTAGCAGTGACGTCGTGCCGGAGCCGTCGTCGTCCCCGCCCGGCGCGCGCGTGCTCCCGAACGAGCCGCGGCTGTCGTAGTGCGCACTCAGCAGGATCGTCTCCGTCGTGTCCTCCGTCGCGGAGAACGTGCTGCGGGCGCGTCAGCGCCAGTGATACCGCAGCAGGCAGGATGGGTGCAGTACGCACCAGACGACGTTCGGCGCAAAGCCGCGGAGGAACGGCTTCAGCTCGCAGGTCGCTCCGGTGCTCTCGAACTGCGTCTTCAACCACGCTGCTGCTTCCAGCGCGCCGCGCGAGAACGAGTGGCGGGAGACGATGTCGGATGTGGGGTCCTCGCCGGTGAGGTAGCGCACGTCTTTGACCATCTGCGGGATGGAGAGATCGTTCACGAGAGAGGCAACGACGGGGTCGAACCTGGCCGACGCGAGGATGTCCTTTATGCGCTTCACGGCATCCTGCCTGACGGAAGCGAAGGGGATGGGCGCAGCAGGGATGGGTATGGCTTTCCAGAAACGCGGAAGACGCGTGTCGAGCGTGAGTGCACGCTCGGGATCGAGGGAGAGGAGTGCGGAGGAGATTGTGCGAGCCAAAACCCGTGCTTGGCCAGTGTGGGCTGCTATCACTTGCTGCCCGCTGGTGTCTGCCTGCGGGCCAGTAAGTTCAACTAAGAATGCATCGAGCTCGTCTGCGGCTGAGGCAGGGCGAATGGCATTATCTACGGCCTTCTCCTCGAGCCAAATGAGACCCTGCGCGCTCGCACTCTCGAGGGGAACAATGGAGCCCGCCGTGAGAAGGTCGGCCGACTGCGCGAGACAGGCATCGTCAGTAATAAAGAGGCTCTGCTGGGAGTGGATTCCGTAGAAGTTGCGGGCGAGGCACGAGGAAGAGAGGGAAAGGTCGTACGGAGTGACGAGGAGTAGGGCGAGCGGGGCTGCAGCAGGCACGAACACCATCCTGATGTTCGTTGGGAGCAGGACGACGCTGCGGCTGCGTCGCCCGCGCGCTTACGGATTAGGCACCGATGGCACCATATCGGGCAAGTCTACACACCACCCGAATTGGCCTTGAACTCTAGCCTGGGCCATTTAGTTGAATGCTTACTCTAGTCTTACCGTACTATAGTCTAGTATGACTAGTCAAGTAAACTGCGACCATCGATACCAGGGCACTCGGCAGACATCAAGGTCATTTCTCAAGAAAACAACACAACAGTTCATATACAATTCATACAACAATTTTTTTGCCAGTCCGAGAGATCGGCGGCGCTGTGACCATAAACACCGCACTTCATCTCAGCGACGCACGCTAGATCTGACGCGAGATGAGTACGCAAACACACAGACGGGCGGAGTACTTGCAGAGAGGCACCGCCAGAGCCAGACCCTGGGCTGACCATTGTAACTTCGTCGTCTGATTGCGAGCCGTCAACTCGCTCGCCCTCCACCTAGTCGTCATCCATGTCAGTGGAATACAGAGTGACAAAAGAAGCCGTCACCTCCAGGAATATCTTCTTCGCCTCTCGCTGTAGGGCCAGTCATCGTGTGAGCATCCAGTCATCCACGAGGCTCTACTGACACTTACAAGTGCCTCGATCTTGCCCTCCTGCGGCAAGAGAGAGAGTCAGTAACCGCGAAGCAGATAGTCCAAATTTTCGATCTTCATACCGCCACCAGTTTGTTAGTCTCTTCACGCCAGATTCGGCGCTCCTACACTGGTACTCAGACATGTGGATTCGCGCTATGAACGGACGGTGGTTCTTACGAGATCATATGCCTTCCTCTTGCGAGGACTCAGAAGGTCGCTGTCTTCCTCTGCCTCTCGCTTCAAGGAAAGGCTCGAAGATCCTCCGCTGGCTGAGCCTGCAGAAAGGTTTTGGATATGGAAAAGAATCGAAGACACGGACAACGTACTCAAGTGGTTTGTCGCTTGGGTGGGACGTGGGTTATTGGAAGATATCGCACTCGGCCCTGAAATTAAAGCATCAGCATTCACGGCATCACCACTAATGAGATGGGACATCTTACTGGTATTGTTCGCGGCCATGCGACCGACAGAGGAGTGACGCTTATGCAAACCGCGATTCCTACGGGACATTCCCGCTCCTTGAACACCTGAACGCAACCATAAATCAGAGCCTGTTCACAGCGAGGACACAAAATGACAGAGATGCAACTCGACCCGTAATCAAAAAAGAACTGGGCGAACGGATCAGGGAGCTCGGCGGTTGTACACAGACGCTTGACGTCCGTCGGGGCATCAAGATCGGCAATCTCACAATAACTGCATCGAAGTTAGAAATTAAGCCACAACGGACCCAGGATGTGGTATACGCACTGAGCGTGGTGGCTCTGTCGTGGATGATTACGAGAACGCGCTTTGAAAGGCCTTCGGACATATATCTCGCGCTGTGGTGGTGGGAGCTTGCCGTGTAGCTTGTGCAGGAGGACAACAATCTTGCCCTGTAGGTCAGTCTGGACGGACCTGGGGATGTCCGAGCGGAACGCTGACAGGAGCCGAGTAATTTAGTTGTCAATCGCGCTCAGGTAGGATGTTATACGCACACAGGGAGGAGCGCGGCATCCACGCGTAAGGCAACACCTCCGCGGTAGACCCATCCTGCCAACCCCAGCTCTGGGCCTTAAGTGTACGCTTTGGGATGAGGAAGTGGTCGAACTAGCGTAGAACTAAAGCGATCCTGTTTGTGTGTTGACATGCATGGGAACCCACCTGAACTCCGTCCACTAGTACAATGGCATAGGCACCATTGTCGTTCGCAGTCGCCTCGAAATCGATATAGAACGACTAGCGGTGCATCAGTAAATTCTGCGGCCCTCGAGATGCTGCTACCTGGCCCTTGTCGTATACTCACCGCCTGGCGGTTGCAGGTAACGTTGCACTCCGCTGTGTCGTCGTCCCATAATTCCACGTCCTCCTCGGCAAGAGCTTCCTTCGATGAGACAATTCTCACCGTCCAGTCTCCAACGGTAGGCATCTTACCAGGGTTTCAGGTGGTGGATAGTGGGAGCCAGAGAGAAAGGGATCCGACTACTGGTGGGAAAAACCAGCTGTAGAATAACCTGTTGTCAATACACTATAGTAAGCTAGAAGTTGCCTCCCGCGATGCGGCAGGGAGACCGAGATCTTGGATGAGATCAGATCCTCCCGTGCAAACGTTCTGGGGGTGGACGATCCTGCGCAGCTGACATTCTCTCAGGTGGAACCCGTTGGCTGAGAGCACTAGGGTCATGAACCGTGCACATGGGAAGTCGCGTTCTGATAATCTTGACGCCGATCGCCACCAAGAAACCGTGACTGGAGTCGACGCGTAAATTTGTGACCAGTCACGTGCATTTGGTTCCTGCAATAATTACGAACGCGTGACAGGCGCGATAGACGCCAGTGGACTGTCAATTTGGCGCGGTCGTGAGCCTTTCTTTCTCCGAGTCAACCTTGCCTGCAGTAAAATGTCAGTTTGGTCTCCCGACATATAGCTCGTACCACCACAAATTCCTTGTTTTTCTCGCACCAATATACTGGCCTGTGGGTGCTTACAGAGTCTCAGTCAACCACCACAATGATTACGTAGGCGCCCTCTGTTACTGGTGCCACCTTGAGTGAAAATGGCTGAGCACCGACAAATTTCATGTCAGGAGAGGTGGAAGATGCTGACAGATGCTTGCCGATTCAGTCTTCAATGGTGGGCATACCTTTTCGAGCGGTGAAGACCAAATTCATAGGTCAACACTTTTAATTGCAAAGCCGTGCAACAACGCAGAACTTCGGTAACTGAGCCCAGGACACCCTGCATACAAGCCATGCTGTGCCCGACACACGTCAACTAAATCAAGATGGGTCTCCCTGTTCTGTCAGACATATGAATCGATAAGTGACAGTTCACCGTGCCTACGTTACTAATTTCGACATCCGAAAAGCTTCCTGAAAAATGTCGGGACGGCCCAGCCCGATTTCGAACCATTCACAGTGGACTCGTGGTCGGGCTGTGGGCCCTTCGAGCATTCCGAGTCAGCTAGGGAGAGAGGGGTAATCAATATTTACTGACTACCACGCACAGAATTGTTTTTTCCTCTCGCTGCGGGAGGCCCTGCATAAGTGACGATATGGTCCAGAACCTCCCTTATGGATGCCTCAATGCCGGCCTCCTGCATCCAAAGTGAAATGATCGGCGATGAGCAACATATTTCAGCACAGCTTCCTATCGCAACCATCTTCTTGGTTTCTTCGCGCCAAACGAGGCGATCCTGTGCTCATGGCGGCCGCTATGAGTTTCAGTACGAGTATCAAGTCAAGAGGCCCTCACGAGGTCGGACCGCTGCTTCTTCCTAAGACTCGCGGTGTCTTCATCTTCCTCTCGCTCTCGCTTCTTGCAGCTGGTGAAAAAGCTCCCGTGCGCATTTGAGCGGTTTACATTTATACCTGCACCGCTGCTCGCAGTGGTTGCGTGGGGGTTCCCACCGGAAGCTCCCTAAACGCCTGAATGCAAAGGCAGATTAGAGAGAGAAAAAATCTCAGCAAGCACACTCCAAAGAACGCACTCGAGCCATAATCGAATAAAACTGAGCGAAGGGGTCTCGGTGGTATGCAGACGTCTTATTTCTTTCGGAGCCTCGGGGTCCGCAATCTCGCAGTCGCTGTGTCAGGATTAACGGAGAATGCAGACGAGAAAACCCATGAAACATATACTGGGCGTGGTGACTCTGCCGCGGGTAGCTCCGAGAGCGTACCTTCGAAGGCGACCTGGCATAGATTCCGGGCCGCGGCCGCGGCTGCTTGCCGGGAAGGCCGTAGAGGAGGACAGATATGATACCCTGCAAGTCGGTCCGTATGGATTTTGGGACGGCCGTCCGGAACGCTGGCAAGGGTGGAAGTATCAGATAGGGTGCCAGTGAGCAGGTAAAAGTAGAATGAAGCGGTACCCACCCAAGGAAGAGCGAGCAATCCATGCGTAGGGCAGCACCTCCGTGGTCAGATCGTCCTGTTATCCCAGGGTTTCGCTCTCAGCATGTGCTTAGGGTTGAGGAAGTGGTCAAACTGACGATGTCGTGAGCGACGCGAGTCAGAACGTGTCATACGGCGTGCGCTCTCTGACCTGTATGCCGTCCAATACCACTGTGGCATAAACGTCTTCCTCGTTGCTCGTCGCTTCCCAACTCGATGCAAAAAGACTAGTTATTAAAGAAATTAAGTTCTCCGCTTCCAGAGGATGGACTGTGCTCACCGATTGCCGTTTACGAGTCCATCGAATTATCTTCCCATACCTCTACGTCCGCCTCGGGGAGGGCTGCTTGAACGAAATGATCCTCACGGTCCAACCGCCGATGGTGGGCATAATTCATCCGACCACCGCAGTGGTGGAAAAGCCAAGCTCAACTGCGCTGGTGAGAGTTGGTGTACAACCTTCCCCAATCATAAGGGAATGACTAAGTCCCGCCGCAATGGCGAGGAGGACTTCAGGCACATCTTATCCTGTGCCGTCCTGTAGAATACCATTATCACGTCGTCACAAAGTAACTGGGCGGGCCTGCAGCTGAAGGTCTCTCCTGGATAGTACTTCCCCAATTTGAAGCGTTGAACCGAAGAAAGAATGGCGACCCCAGACCTAAAATGCGCATCAAGGTGCCGCCTGAAATTACCACGACTGGGTTGTCGGTAATATGCATGCGATACGCTAGGTCCAGGCGATAAGTTATCCATGTATAGAGTTATCCATAGATATGAGTAATGTACAGAGCACAACGTAAAAAACGTACATACGGTAATACATCAGTGTTATTCCGACCTGAGTCCTTAGATATGTCAACAGTTTCGCCTGAACCACGACGTCGAAGCTATCTCACGCCGTTAGAATAGTGAGCATTGCTGAACAGCCACATCTTAAACTCCTTCACTAGCTTCCGCGCCGACGACTCGAGCGACTCTTCCCGCGTCCTCGGGGTCTCCACGATGGTCCGTTTGCGCTCCTTCGTCGTGAGCACCAGCCCTACGCGCCTCGGCGAGAACGACGCGGAAAGCAGGCTGAATTGCACAGGGCGCACGCCGGTGGGAAGCCTGATCCTGACCGTCGAATGGGACGCTAACGACTGCTGGTAGGACGGTGAGAGGGCAATGACGCCCTCACGCATGCCATATGAGCGGACGAGATCTTCGAGGCGCGCACGGGGCTGCATGAGGTCGAAGATGTCTTTCAGAAGCTCATCGCGCTCGAGATGGAGCGAGCTCTGGTCCGACCAGACATCTTCGCGCACCTTCGCCGCTAGGAAGAGATCGAGTACATGAAGCTCGCGGTACAGGGATTGGATGGGCGAGATGATGGAATCAGAGCTATCTGAGGCATCGGAAGGGAATGGGTCGGTAGTGTAGGGTGGACGAATAAGATCCGCATATGCTGGCAGGTACGTTGAGCGCAGCACATGCATACAGGCTGAGAACGCGGAGTCAGTTTAGAGGTTCATAGTGAGCAATAATTCGCGCTAGTAACAAGAGCTCTCACGAACGAAGTCGCAAACCATGACTGGCACAGGGTGAGTCATATTACATGTTTGCATACGTGCACTCCGCAGCTCATGCGCTCTAGCTGCTCTCGTTCTCCAGGCGACTGCGCGATGCGCGGAAACAACATTAGGAGTACTCACCGACATACACAGAACGGCTGACGAGCCGCAGGTACATAGTGAGCCAGTACAGAGTTTTTCGCTGCTTTTCTACCTGCTTGTAAGGAAACAGCTCATACACGATACGCAGCAGCATGGGCGCTGATAAAGTTGCGAATGTGACGGGGATGCGAGAGCCGGAGGGGAATGGGGGTGGATTGAGAGGGCCCACCGCAACATATGGAGGTGGAGGGGTCGGAAGCATCTCTTTCTCGTCTATGATGACCATGTCTGCGGTGGTCGCGGTATTTATGGTGTGTTGATGAGCGATCCGAACTGAGCAGCCTGAGAGTCGGAAGAGCTGACACGGGGTCTTTGACAACTGACACTGCTGCGCACGGTACCGCTGCAGCGCTGCTACGACCACTTTGGATACAGTCTGGAACATTTCGCCGCTTCACGGCACCCATCAGGAGATTACACCGAACCGTCTACGTACCTGCCATTTATACAAGCTCTCGTAAAGAGTCGGATGTGCGTCGCGAGCTATCGACCAGGCATTCAGTTGAAATGCGAATATATAAGTAAATCATGCGAATAATTCTAAGCAAAGGATGAGTATCTACAGATGATTAGTACATAGCTACAGGTATGAAAATGCAGACGCAATCGCTGGTACTGTTCGCTACGGAAGCTACAGATGAAGGCTGGCTGTAAGGTATCACGATGATGATAAGTAGGCGTGAAGGTCGTGAAGCGCGTGAAGTGGTTTGTCCGTATTCGATACAACATTCCGGCGATAGCAGCTTGAGGGTATGCGAGGTGCGAGAGTGCAAGAGTGTGAAGAATGCAGAGGGTGATGCTCAGTATGCGCTGCGCAGAGTGAGAAATGTACAGACGGGAGGAGATGCGGTCATGAAAAGCGCTGATGCTGCTGCCATGCGAAGGGGTGCCGTGCAACGTGACGGAACAAAGCCCGACGCGCGCCCGTTAGATCTTCAACTCTCTGAAGCCCCGCACATCCACCCGCCCCGTCCCGTTGTGCTTCCACTCGGCACCCGCCTCCCCTTCCTCATCCTCCGCTGCGGGCCTGCCCGCAGCCGACTTCTTGAACCGCCCGCCGGGGATCATGATCCTTCCGGCGCTGGTCCTCCGAACCGTCGTGGTCGCCACGAGCGCCGGACGTAACTTCGGCAGGCCCAACACCTTACGCTGCCGCCGCGTCAGCCGTCGTTCCACTTCTACAGGGGTAGGCGGTGCTGGTGGAGGGGGAGGCGTGCCTGAGCGGGAGGGGACAGAAGACAGCGAGCTCGTCGACGCTGGTGAAGATCCCGACACAGACAGGTCTGGGGTGTCCAGTTCAGGGTCACCCTGGTCCACCAGCATGTAGTCCAGGCGCGAGCGCGAAGAGCTCTTCGCGCGCTTTGCTGCGCCCTGTGAGCTCTCCGAATGCCCCTGTGACGACGCGGACGATTCGTCAAACGTCCGCTTTGGCGACCGGTACGTCCGGGGAAGTGTACCTGCACTTGCCGCGAGCTCGGGGATGGGCGGGAAGGAGAGCGTCTGGGAGGTCTGGGAGTTGGGTGCGGAGGACGAGACGGGCGAGGGAGAGCGCGAGCCTGGTAACGGGATCTGCGAGGGCGTGGGGGGTGCCGCCGGCTCAATCAATACCTTCGGCTTCAACGCCTGCTTGAGAGCAGCCCTTGATAGAGGCTTTGCCTTCAACGTTGGTTTCTTTGTCGGGGTGGGCGGGGTTGTGGGAGCAGGTGATTCCACCACGTTCGGAAGGCCGCTATGCGGGCCACGCAAGCTTCGTATCGACGAGAAGTGCTCCCAATCGTGGTACCTGGACCACCACGGCGTATCAGACGCGGTTCGAGCACGGTAGAACGTCACAAACGTACGCAACATAAATCGGCCCAACGGGAGCTTGGGAATCAGCTTGGGAAAGCTTCTCCATCTCGGAGCGCCTTCGTTCACGCATCAGACGGCGCTTCTCACGGTCATTCAACGCTGGATCGTCCGGTGTGCTCGTTGAAGACGACGGCGAGGGCGTCGACGGCCTATCAGCAACAAGATCTCCTCCTGATGTTGCCCATTCGATCACGTATACCAAACCTGGTTGGATAACTTTGACGTCGCGTCGCGTCATATGCGCAAATGCGGACAACTCGAGATGGCCGCCGTATGTTGCTGGGGAGAGAATGCGGGTTTGAGATTAAGCTGCGTCGTGTGAAAACGAACACTCACCTGGCTGTCGCATGCACTGGAGGTGAACGTCGAGTCCCCGTTCGTCGTCAACGAATGGCTCGTATCGTTGTTTGTGTGATTCTATCCAGTTACAAATATCCTGCCTCAACTTGAGATGGGATGAGGGTGAGCCATATAACTGATCGGAAAGGGCGCGGAACAGGCAGTTGCCGTCACCGAGCGTTGGTGCGGCATACAGTCCCATGGCACGGAGCTGCTGGTTGAGCAGCTGGCTATTCTCCTCCGGATCTGGCAATGGCTAACATACGAAAGTGAGCAATCGCGTGGCGAACAAATGGCGAACATGTTCACCTTTCCCCTGCTCCTCGTTGTGCGCGAGCGCACTGCGGCGGGCGTGATCAGCCACGACTTCATGCCCACACGATACACTCACTCTGAGGAGGTGGCTTCGCGCCCTTCCTCTTGGAAGGACCCATGATACGCTATCAATAGTATGAGATATAGTCTTCGTCGTCTTTGCCGTCGCCGTCGTCGTTGGTGTTGAAAAGGTGTTTGCAGCCGAGACTTCGCGGTGCCTCGGGTCTTCCCAAAACGGACGGTTGACACCGCGTACCGCGTACCGCAACTACTCTTTTGACTGAAATTCTATCCCTCTGTTCGTCTGCTGGACACGATATTTTCCGACTGTCCAATGAATTGTTGCACCCAATTCTGTTGAGTTTCTACGTTGTGGCAGTGAAGGAGTCTCGCGGATAGTTCGACTCGAAAGTGGGATCGGTTCAGTTCAGTTCGGTAGTAATTAGTGGTCCGAACTGACTCGGTTCCTGAGTCCCTCTCGACAATTTGCAGAAGAGTCGTTCTTGTCGTTCTTCCTCAACAACCACCATTGGTTTACGCAGACTTCTGCAAAATTTCTTGCAGCTTTGGAAAGGCAGCTGCTTGCTTTTACGTGGGCATCTGTAAGAGTACATCTATTCTTTTCAATCTGCAAATTTTTTGGATTTGCTGACCAGCCAGCCAGTCTAGCCCAGCACTTCTCTATCCCGTAGGGGTCCACCGGTCCAACCATGCTTGCAAACTCACTCCGTGCACAGGCCAGAGCAGTAGTTGCGTCATCGACAGCTCCAAGGATTGGTCTTCTGCACTGCGCGAAGCTTATACCGCGTCAAACCTTACGGTTACTGTCCACTCTTCGCACCCTTCCTTCGACCCGTTCCTATTCGACCGGGCTCGCTGATGTGTGGAAGGAGAACGCACCGTCTTCTGAGGCTGCGCAGGACGAGGAGCCTGCTCCAATCCCGACCCCACCCGGTCCCTACAGAGATAACAGGACACTTTACGTCGGTAATCTCCCAGCATGGACCTCGGAGGCGGACGTCCGGGACATATTCAAGGATTACCCAGACGTGGAGGTCTTACTGAGTATGTGTCATTTACATTCTATGTGTAAGGGCCTATGGCAGATGTTTGGGGGCGGAACATTACGGGGAATGGTTCCATGTTCCGAGACCCTCGGTCAATGCGGCGTCCCAGCGCAGCGCATCGTGCTGGGGACGCGTAGGTATTTTTGCAGCGTTTCCAAATTGGTTGTGGCTGGAGCTGATGTCACAACAGCCCCCACTGTCGTGTGCTAGGTTGTGGAATGGTGCTCACTCAATGTCTCCTCAGAATCTTCCACAGCTGGCAAAAGTTATGGCTTTGTGCATGTCATATTTCCCACAGAGGAGGTGGCTGAGGAAGTCCTAAAAATGCATGCGGAGACGCCTTTCAAATTCGATGGACGCCAGCTCCGGATAGAGTGGACCCTCCGCCTTGAACGAGCATCCGAACAAGCTGGCTCCCACACACTGTTCGTCAGGAACATCCCATACTCCGCGACCGAGGATGACCTCCGAGAGCTGTTCGGTCGTGAGGCCGTAGTCACCCGTGTTGCTCTGGGTGAGCATAACTTGAAAAAATGACGTAGACATCGTTCTCACACCTTTTCTTCCGTTTAAGGCCGCAACAGACCGGGAGAGACCGCAGGATACGCGCACGTACAGTTTGCGAGCGAGGGTGAAGCACAAAAGATTCTCGAAGAGCATGCGCAAACACCGATTGTGATGTCTGAGCGTCCTCTCGTGATAGAATATGCCGCAAACACTACGCGTCATCAAAGGCCCGAACGGGTCGATGCGGCTCTTCGGGAACAAACCCAAGAAACTTCCACGATGTGGATAGGCAATCTGGCTGAATCAGTGACGGAGCGGGAGCTGCGATTGATGTTTGAGCCGATGGGTTCGGTCATGGACGTGAGATTGGGTGAGTTATAATCTTGTGCTCTTGTCAGGTTGCATGATATTAATTAGGTTCTAGAGAAGTACAGGGATCCTCGATCACGCCGTTTTGCATTCATCGACTTTGCGTCACCAAAAATCGTCAACGATATTGTGAGCAAGCACAAAGAGATACCCTTTAGGTATGCTGGCGACATCGTGTACCTCGACTACGGCTACAGTCGTGTGAGACCGCAAACGGAGGCGCCTCCGCACCATACGCTCTACCTGTACGCCTTCCAGCGTGATGAGGAGCTCCTGAAGGAGTACTTCGGCCACCACGCAGCGCACATTCGGAAGATCAATTTTTGTACGTTTGCCTCGTGCTAATACTTGCGCATCCCGTCGCCTTATTTAATCTTTATCCAGGGGCACCGCGAGGGAAGGAAGACTCTGAGTACCCTTCCGCATTTATAGAATTCAAGACCGTCGAAGATGCTGAAGCAGCCGTAAACGAGTTGGATGGCCGTGAAGTCCGTCCCGGCTTCCAGTTTAGGCTCAAGTATGCTCAGAAGCGAGCAACAGAGCGCGCTGCCTGGCGTTCTGCTCAGGGAGATTATGGGATGAAGAGCCTCTCAAGGGACTCAGAGGAAGGGGATGAGCGAGAGGAAGTTGAAGCACAGAGCCGACGCAGGCGCGTCGGAACCACCAAGTCTGGGGGGCGTGCGTCCTATGGGGCCGACTGGGGAGGTGGCAAGCGTGGCGAGCGGTATCGAAAGGGGAAAACCGGATGACATGGCCTATGCTTAGGTCCATTGCTGTTACGGCTCTGGCTGTGGGTTTTCGGTGAGCGTCCTGCTCGGCGGCGCAGTGTGACTTTAGAACCATCATCCTTCCTCCTTCCATTAACACTACTCCCTTCGGTGCACCCTTTCCCGTGGCTCGCGTGCGCTTACTAGTCGCTGCGTGTGTCGTTGTAATCGACAGTGCTGTATCTTCGTCCCCATGATTGGGATGCAATTTGTGGAGAAGTGCCACTTACTTGTGACCTCCCTTTGCGGTCCTTATCGCGGTGAAGTGCGCTTCGGCTGAGTTCTACAGTACCCGTTGAACTTCTTTCAAGCAAACTTGGCAGATGCAACTCTCTCCCTTCTGAGTCTATCAGATCATGAGTCGTTAAATGCATCCTTCGCTAGAGCTCGAGGATCTCCCAAACTTCGCTCTAGAGGTGCGACCGTTGCGGTTGGTGTAATTCACTTCGGGAGATTATCGTGATCATCGTGTCCCTAAGCTGTCCTCTGCACTGATCATCTGAATGTACGCTCTCCACCAAAGTGTAATAGAACTCGACGGGTATCGTTCACGAGGTCGTGAGCATGCTACTATTACCCCAGTCCCTGTGAATGTTCTGTGAACTTTTGCCGCCCTGACCGTTGGCGATGTCTTCGGCGAGGAGAATGATGACCATTCGAAGGTTTGAGTTGCCTGACGGTGCAAGGTCCCGCGTCGGCGGTGCCGTTGCGGCTTGTACGGCGAAGGTGTTCTAGATGAGCAGTCGTATCGTGGCGTCACACTTCAAGCGTCGCCCAGGCCCACTGATAACCTGGAGCTGTCCTGAGCAGGGCCTCCTCGTCCTCCTCTGGGATATAAGCCTTTCGTTGTCTAGTCCCTCTCCTGAGATCCTACATATCGTCTGAAGCGCCCCATGACTTCGACAATCGATCCTAGCACTATCGGGAAACCGCCGCAGCGGGCACGCAGGCATGTCAGGACCTTGACCAGTGAGGAGGCTCTCAATTTCCATGGTCGTCTCGTTGTCTTATTGTTGCCCATCGTTTTACAGATTTTCTCCCAGAAACAGACGAAACTGGGAAGGAGAAATGGCCCAGAGGGGACGAGACAGTGTGGAAGGCGGCTATCCGCGGCGTGGACACCGGTGAGCCCAATTTCCATGATCTCGGGGATCTACGATGCGGTGGTGACTCTTCCCTCGGCTGTGCGTCGTGTAAACGCGTGTCATGAAGAATGTGATTTTAAGGACAGGCGACAAGTCGCTCGATGTTGTTGATCTCGACGCGATGTGCCCGAATATGCCATTAGCATGATAACTCATCATAACTACGATTTTCAGACGTTCCTTCAATCACAAAGTCAGTGGTCAACCATGTTCAGACCTCCCTGGCGCGCCAGGCGTACAATCTTGATGACCTTGGCGCGTACCAAGCCGCCGCCATGTCTGTGAGGGACGATCTCATCGTGAGTATTCGGGGACCTCCATATATGCGCGTTTTACTGACTGTGACGCGTTATTTAGGTGAACTGGAATGAGACCCAGCAGCACCACTCGCGCAAGTCACAGAAACGCGCATACTATTTGTCGCTGGAGTTCCTGATGGGTCGTACCCTCGACAACGCGCTCTTGAACCTCGGTCTCAAGGACAAATACGCGACCGGCATGAACCAGCTCGGTTTCAATCTGGAGGATATCCTTGAGCAGGAGCGCGACGCCGCTCTTGGAAACGGCGGTCTTGGTCGCTTGGCTGCCTGCTACCTCGATTCGTCTGCCTCGCAGGAGCTCCCTGTCTGGGGATACGGTCTCAGGTACAAATATGGTACGATTCTCGCATTTACCGTCTTATCGCATCTCATCGAAATATGCCTTCTGCGACAACAGGTATCTTCCAGCAGCTAATCTCTCCTGACGGTGGCCAACTGGAAGCCCCCGACCCGTGGCTCGAACACGACAACCCATGGGAGCTGCCCCGGCTGGACGTGATCTTCGATGTGCGTTTTTACGGGCACTCTGAGCGGCTCGGGAACGGCAGGGCTATCTGGAGCGGCGGCCAGGAAGTGTTGGCGATGGCCTATGACGTCATGATCCCGGGGTACGATACCAAGAGCACGAACAACCTTCGCCTCTGGGAGAGCAAGCCCAAGCGCGGATTCGACTTAAACAGCTTCAATGGTACGTTGAGTCGCGTTGTGCGCGTCGATCTCGCGTTTGACTCTGCTTACGCGCAGCTGGTGACTACGAGCGAGCTGTCGAGTCGTCGAACAGCGCGGCGGCGATCACGTCTGTGTTGTATCCCAATGACCACACTGGGTGTGAGTGCCATTTATCTGGCGGACATTACTCGTTCTTCCTGACTTTGTGTGGTGCAGTTGGTAAGGAGCTCCGTCTCAAGCAGCAGTACTTCTGGACGGCTGCGAGCTTGGCGGACATCATGCGCCGCTTCAAGAACCTGGACAAGCCTATCACCGAGTTCCCAGACTGTACGTCGTTTCACCTATTATGAATGCCCCTGTCGAGGCTGACCATCGTGTCTTGCGTAGATGTCGCTATCCAGCTGAACGACGTACGTATTTTTTCCCAATTTGGTCCAGCAGATTGCATGAGTGCTGTTTATAGACACACCCTACGCTCGCCATCCCGGAGCTGATGCGCATGCTCGTCGATGAAGAGGAAGTCCCTTGGGACACGGCCTGGCAGATCGTCACGAACACGTTCTTCTTCACGAATCACACAGTCCTTCCGGTAGGCATCATTCCCACTTTCTCCGCTTCGGGTTACTGAAGGGACATTCCAGGAAGCACTGGAGGTAGGAGATCCGCAACGTGGTTTGCAAACTACTCGGCCAACTGATTTTTAACAGAAATGGCCAGTTCCTCTTATGACAACACTGCTTCCGAGGTATGGTTTAAACTTGAAGTATCGGTTAGATGTACTGACGGAGATAAATAGACACATGCAGATCATTTTCGATATTGTGAGTGATTATTATGTCCGCATACACCTGTATACCCATTTTTCTTTTCACACAGAACTTGTAAGTTGTCGATTTATGTGCGACCTATCACTAAATTGAGAGACTTGTTCTCTGTGAAGGATCTTCCTGCAAGGTGAAACAAGTGTTATCTTTTCAGTAAGGGTGTAACTGACATTCTACCAGCGGTGGACAAGAAGTTCCCTGGGGACCGCGAGAAGCTCGCGAAGATGTCGCTCATCGAGGGTACGTCCAAGTTGACTTCTGTTTACTGCGCACATACTGACTCCGCTGTCAGAGGGATTCCCACAAAGCGTGCGCATGGCTAACCTGGCTTGCATCGGTAGCAGACGTGTCAACGGTGTAGCCGAGGTATGCGTTCATGTAGCGGGCAAGAGAAAATTTTGGCTGAGATGGGATTCCTCCAGTTGCATAGTGAACTCGTCAGGACGACGATTCTGAAAGACTTCGTAGACTTCTACGGCGTTAGCAAGTAAGCACCCCACCTTGTGATCGTTGGGGCTTAACTGACCTCCTTTGCGATGTGTGTTTAGGTTCTCCAACGTCACGAACGGCAGTGCGTATCACACGATCCTCGAACCACTTTAGTTGTCCTGACCACACTCTAGTCACGCCTCGCCGTTGGCTTGATCAGGTCAGTGAATCCTCCTTGTACTGCGTACTTAATTCATGCCGACCTCTGTGAACACCGTCCCAGTGCAACCCTTCCCTGAGCAACCTCATCAGCGAGACGCTCAAACTGCCCAAGGCCGTCTTCCTGAAGGACCTCTACAAACTAGATGTCAGCCTTCCTCTTCTACGCTCTTTTGCGTGAGTTCGACCAGTTCGCAGGGTTTGTTGGAGCATATCGACGACCCGACGTTCCAGAAGAAATGGGCGGCGATCAAGCAGAGCAACAAGGAGCGCCTGGCGCACCACATTGAAACGACTCTGGGCTTCCGGATTAACACCCATGCGATGTTCGACGTGCAAATCAAGGTAAGCATTGCATGAAATGTATGCGCGATTTAGTGCTGACTGGCTGTTGCAGCGGTTGCACGAGTACAAGGTCAGCTGGTAGTGGCTCCTGAGTCCGAGTATTCACTCTCATGTGGACATACACTTCTAGCGTCAAACCCTCAACATCATGGGTGTTATTCACGTTAGTGCCTCTTTGATGTGTCTTCGTGTAGAGTTGTAGTCCTGAACGGTGTGCAGAGATACCTTACCTTGAAGGACATGACGCCGCAGGAACGTACCAAGGTCAACCCCAAGGTCGTGTTCTTTGCGGGAAAAGCTGCTCCTGGATGTGAGTTGACGCTCACTTCTCAGCCGGGCTATGATTTACCCCTTCTTCTACAGACTATGTTGCCAAGCTCGTGAGACGCAGCGTTTCATTCCGATTTCTCTAACCTGATGCGATGCGTCGCTCTAGACCATTCGCCTCATTGTCAACGTCGCGCGCATCATCAACATCGATCCGGACACCAAGGATCTCCTGACGCTCTATTTCCTTCCGGACTACTCTGTCTCCCTCGCCGAGGTGCTGATTCCTGCGTCCGATATCAGCCAGCACATCTCGACAGCTGGTACCGAGGCATCAGGCACGTCGAACATGAAATTCTGTCTGAACGGTGGCCTGCTCTTGGGCACAGTCGGTGAGTTTGCACCTGTGATGTGTGTGGCTGTCATTCTGATTGTGGTACGCCAGATGGTGCGAACATCGAGATCGCGGAGGAAGTTGGAGAAAGCAACGTCTGTGCGCACATTCTTCCCTTATAATTCATTGAACATTGGTATATGACAATATTCTTCGCAGTCTTCTTCGGCCACCTTACGCCCGCCGTCGAGGACCTCCGCTACCAACACACGTACCACGCCGTGCCGATCGAAGAGAAGTGCCCGGCCCTGGCGAGAGTGCTGGATGAAGTCGCTGCAGGACGATTTGGTGACGGCAGTGTCTACGAACCGTATGTAATGCGCGGTTCTGTTCAGTGTCCCGGGCTGACACAGGATGGAAAAATAGACTGCTCAACACGATCCGCCAAATTGACTACTACCTGCTGACTGAGGACTTCGACTCCTGTTAGTATACGTCCTTCGAGCCCGCGTGTTGATGGTATTAGAGTTGCTGACTGTTACTCGCAGATATTCAGGCGCTTAGGATGGTCGATGACGCTTACAAGGACCGCGTCGAATGGATCAAGAAGAGCATCAGGACTACGGCCAAGGTACGTCGCGCTTCTCAAAATGCGCTGATGCTGTCTGACTTGCATTTGTATTCTTTCTTAGATGGGCAAGTTCAGCTCTGACCGTGCGATCCAAGACTACGCTCAGGAGTACTGGAACATCGAAAGTACCAAGATAGAGTAAGCGCCTCCGAGCCCCGGAGCCGCGGTCTTCGTAGATGTCTGTAGCACTAGCCATGTCTTGATGACCAGTTACAAATTACAAGAACGATATGTGACGTGTACTCCTGATCCGCCAGAAATAAGTGTGGAATGTCCATGAGACTACTTCGCGTCTCTCATACAGTAGCATTACTGCAGTATATAAGCAACTGAGGGGTAACTGGTAACAGCATAAAGCGAGGGGAAAACGAGAATGGTATGCCAATCCGACGGAATGGTAAATGTAGCGATGGCGGGTATCCTTTGCGAACATGATGGCCTCCAACGAAGGCCCCTCGAAAACGAATTGGAAGGTATTTCATCGATAGATCATGGCGCAACTGTGTTTGGGTACGGTATCAATACTGTGTTGATGTACTGCGAGAGAAAACTGACCTCCACTGAACTGAGAGACTGCAGCGTCCGCTTCAGACTCTGGGTGTGTTGATCCATTTTGATGGGGTTCTTCAATACGAGTCCCTAGAAGTGTGCTGGAACTTGGCTTGTCTTCCCCCTCTAGTGCAGCAGATGGTTCTGTTTTGGGGGGCTCCAAGGCATCTGGTGACGGCTCCTCGCGAGTCTCTTCGCCAGCATCTTCGTTACACACAATACTCAGTGAGAAAGCAGTGAATGCATATAAAGTACATTACCATTTATCAGACGTCCGTTTTCCGTGTCCTGCGCAATATTAGAAGTTACTCTGTCTGCTAGGGCCTCTTTGGCGGGGATAGCAGGCGACTCCTGTAACTCGACTGTCGGTTCGAGAACTAGTTCCTCATGTTGAGGAATCGGCTCCGCTGTGGATGGAGCTGATTGCTCGGCCGCAGTAGGAGCGACGTTGGACGGAATTTCATTAATCACAGCTTGAGCAGAAACTCCTGCTAAAACAACAGGTTCACCAGTGTTCAGTGCAATGTTCGGGCCAGGAGTATCTCTCGCAGGTACAACGGGTTCGGGAGCGGGAGGCAGGACCTTGTCTTCGGGGATGATCTTCGTCTTGAGCTGAGTTGCATGGCCGTCGCTCGGTGCATCGACTTCCTGCGGGACAGCTACTAACGGCTTTTCCGCCGCCTGGTCTTCGGTCCGTATTGGCAGGATTGCAGTCACGCCCTCTCGCGGAGCCACGGCTTGCTCCATTTCAACAACCGGAACTGGTGGCAGCTCATCCGTCTTCGTCGCTGCAACTCTAGCAGCTGCGGTAACAACAGCAACGCCCGTCAAACCAGGACCCTTTGATTGGCCAGACGATCCAATGGGGGAGACAGTATGTTTCTCTTCTTCCTCTGCAAGGATCTCGCCCAACTCGTTCACACGAGAAGGCATCTTCCGCCCGACAGCCGTCTTCACCTCTGGGACGCTTGAGATCGTGTTACTGGAGAAGAAGGTGAAACGCTTCCGCGCAGCAGAAAAGGTTGAGCTCCTCCGTGAAGAGGATATGTTCGAGCGCACGGAGGGCCTGGGCGACGATGTGCGCACAGGCGACGTTGGCTGCGGCTCTTGCGGCGGCGGCGGACGCGTGAACGCCTGCTCCAGGACGAGCCATTCGACTGGTCTCCCACCAGCCTCAAGACTTGGAAGTGGTTTCAGCTGGCACACGACGAAGCTAGGCCAGTTCGCCACAATGGGATCTAGCAGCGCGTCACTCCAAAAGTCGACAAAAGCCTCATCGAGCTTGACCATGTTCACAATAGTGGCCTTGGCTTTCACCGTCTTCGTGCTGAACACAGGATGGTGGTTGACGGTGGACGCCGCTGGGTTGTCCGCAGATGATCGCCTGCTCCTGTCGGGCGATGCCTTGCGCCTCTTGCTAGACTTGCGTGAGACCTCTGGGGGATTCGTGACCTCTACATCGTTATCAAGGAGTGTTTTTGCAAAGTCTCTGCCAAGCGCGCTTTCACCAAAGCCGGAGGTTGAAAAATCCATCCAGTCTTTGGGTGATTCGGGAACCTGAGGATGGGATGCTGCCTTCTCGTGGGTAACGTTGTCACTTGCCTTACCATTCGTTGAGTTACCATTAGGAGCAGACCCGAGGGAGGTACTGCGTCTGCGGACTGGTCTACCAACGCGGCTAATAGGAGTGCCAGACACCTGTATCGTGGGACTGGACGCGTCCGAGTTCCCAATAGGGATGAGGGACAACAGGCGGATCGTCTCGTCGGAGAATATGCGGGAGAGTGTGGGATAGCGGTCTTCCTCCAACAAGGGCGATGATCCCTCGGTCTCGTCGACGCTCGCGGCCTTCTTGATGATCTCCCACAAAGCATCGTATGTGCCGGCAGTAGTGTTTGCCTCCGCCTTGATAGCGTCAGCGATGAGACGTAGAGGATGCTGTTTCGGCTTGGCGGTCTTATGGTCAGGGAGCTGAGTCTCTACGCGGACGAACAGCGCATCGTACCGCCTGCTCGATAGCCGGGGGCGCGGCAGAAGGCCATCCTCCTCTGCCGTCGTGCCGCCCTTGTTGTAGGGATAGCTCTGCACGAGCTCAGATAGCCGCAACGGCATTTTCTTGTGCACCATTTCATCTCTGCGGTCATAGTGAGTGAGACTCGTTGCGTGCCAGTCACAAACGGGGCTCGCACCTGATTTGAGCCAAGAACAGATGCTCCAGTATGCGTCCCGCGCGCTCCCATCGGGCATAGAACGACGTCCAGTCGTCGTCGCTTCCCGTCCTGCGCGTGGACAACAACCACAGACCAAGGACCTTCGATAGCTTGCTGCCGGACACACCGCTGCGTTCGGAGTGGGCAGCGAGCGAAGACACGATCTCCAGCGTGGAGACCAGCAGCTGCAAGTGCGCTGGCGGAAGCTGTGGTACGAGCAACGCCGAAAATGCGCTCGGCGGGTATGCCGCGGCACGCTCGGCCGCCACGAACTGCGTATACCATTGCCACTGAGCCTCGCCGTGTCCGACGCTCGTTCCCTCTACCGAATGGCGACCGAAGGAGTCTCCTTCGAGGCGAAGATGCCGGAGCGCCCAACGCAGGACCGCCGCGATGTCGTGGGGCGAGCGGGTGTACTCGAGCTCCGTGTTAAAGATGAGAATGGGTGAAGTAGGTGTAGGAGTGAGCGTGGTTATTTGGCCTTTGGGAGCCAGCGAAAGAATGAAGAGAGAAATCAGTCTGCGCTGCACCTCGGGCGAGGCCGAGTACCAATGTGGGTGCATCACGCCGAGCGTCTCCAAGCCTGGACGTAATGGTTGTGAGCAACACGACAACGCACAGTGAGCACAGCGAAACACTCACCCCCGCGCTCGACGATGGCGGTCGAACATGCCTTGACGAGTAAGAGGGCTTCGAGCGGGCTCAATCGCCTCTCACCAACAACGCTGTCCGACAAAATCCTACGGTCCTCTGGGTCTGCCTCAAACACGACACCGAGCGCACGGCTTTTCTCCTCCTTCGGTACGGGGAGGTTCAGAGTCAGGTGGGGTGCATCCGACGTGGACTTGGAACTGTCGTTGGGAGAAACTGGAGACTTAGCTCTGAAGAGAGAGAATCCGGCATCTTTCTCCTTCTCCTTTTCCTTCGACTGCGTAGGCTCCGAGATTTGGGCAGCAGACCGTGAAATGGTTGGAGAAACGGCTTCGAATTTGCCTTCGAGCAGAGACGCCACCGAAGAGCGTTTGCGAGAGGTGTCTTTCTCGTCCCTTTTACGTGTAAAGACCTTGGAAAGAAACGAAGGCATTGCGTGGCGGTTGATAAGTTGAAGAATTAACCCAGAGACTAAGTACTGAAGGCCTGTCGTTGGCAGAGAAGACGAAAGGAGATTCCCGCGTGGCAGCTGCCACACCGCGACCGAACTTCCTGCCGAGACTCCTATATAGACCAGACTTTCATCACAAGCCTGGGACGTGGTCTAGGATCCCTCCAACGATTGGAAGTGGATGAGGCTGGTGATTGAACGCTAGCGGCCGTCGTGTTCCCGGAATGTTGATACGAAAAGTCTATAGTTCTGCAGGACTGACTGTGGCTTGAAAGCGATGAACAAGAAGTGGTAATCTGCTCATGCAACACGCGATACCCTGGGGAAACACTGTTTCACATGCAGACAACATGGGTAGATATCCTGATTGAGGAGAATTGACAAGTACTATTCAGACCTTATTGGTTCACCGGCCAAAGATCTGGGCTGTTGTTGCTCTCGTTTGATCCCTTGACTCAACAGGTTCAATATGGCACTTCCATGAACTTTGATGTCGTCGAAGTGGTGAGCCCAAGGTGTTTTCGGCCTTCAGAAATGACACTGCACTTATTCAGATTCACAGAATGAAATCCTCTACAAAGACCTATGTACACAGACAATCTTGATGCCGATGTCTTGTTCTTGACTAACCTAGTTTATGTGTTTTTATGTTCTCATGTTGCATGTGCGATGTCACTGACATTGACTAAGTTAGCATTCCAGAGGTGCACAACACATCAAGTGCAGAATTCTTCAATGGTGGGTTCAACACCACAGTAAATTCCCATCATCTGCTTAATATATACAAGCCTTCAGCTGGATGTAAATCCAAGGTACTGGTATCTAACCATGTCTTTTATCAGAGGAATATGCAACTGTAAGATCATTGTATATGATTCTTTTGAGTGGTGTGCATTGTGGTTCACTCTGAATTAGATGAATTCAAGTCAAATCAATTGATGCGGTCAGGTACAAGTCTGTTCCTGCTCACGTTGTAGTGCAGCATCTTTGCATGGGAATGTATACGTTCATGTCGAGTCTCCGGGAAGACCGGCCGGGCGACGGAACGTGGCGAGACCGTCGCCGGCGACGCGCCTAAATTCACCTTTCTTTCCTTCCAAACCCAGCGCGCACTTTCCAGCACGGGTTCTGACATGTTGCCTTTCGTCGATTGGTCAAAGGAGTCTCTGTGGATTTCCGTGTTTTCTATTGCGTTCAATCCGACGGCATGGAACATTGTGGCTCGCAGTGGTAATTCGTAGCGTGTGTGCGCGTCCTCGTACTCATGCTGTCACCCGCAGAGTACCGGAATAAGACAATTACGCGTCTTTTTGGGGGAAACACGCGACTCGGGTGTTATTTCTTGGCTATCTTGATTTTCACCTTCGGTATCGTTCGTGATTCACTGTAAGTCTGCGCGTTATAGAGCGTGCGGTAGTGACTGACCCGTCTCGTTTCGTAAGGTATCAGAAAGCGCTGGAGGACCAGCCGCGCCAGTCCCTGCTGCCTGAGCCATACAATGTTCTTGTCCCAGGTGCACTCTTCATTGTGGGACAGACGTTCGTCCTCACTTCGACGTGGGCTCTCGGCATCACCGGAACGTTTCTTGGTGACTACTTCGGCATCTTGATGGACAGCAGAGTAGATGGCTTCCCGTTCAATGTGTTGAGAGACCCGATGTATGTTGGCAGCACGATGTGCTTCGCGGCGGGCGCTCTGTGGTAAAATCGCGCCTTCTGTTTGCGCAGTGTTAGCGCTGACTATGGTGATTAGGTATGAGCGCCCCGCAGGACTTTTGATCACGCTCTATGTTTACGTCGTATATCTCATCGCACTACGTTTTGAAGGGTACGATGTCCCTTCGATGCTCCTCCGCCCAGCGGCTCATATTTTGATTGCAGGCCATTCACAGACATGATCTATGCTAACCATGCAGCTACTGCATCAGCATCTAAGAAAGAACTTTAGAGAGTATGCAGCACGAACCCGAGGGCCACCTGCATTGCGTCGGAGGAGTTCACGCGGATTGGACAATATACTCTACAAGTCATCCATAACCCGAAATTACAGTAGAGCACTAACATAGCAGCTGGCTGCGTTGCTGAAGTGGTTCCCCAGCTTTGCTCAACTAGTGTGTTCGAGGGGACTCTGTTGGAAGTGAGCCGTGGTTGCTTGAAGTGCAAAGTTCGAAGGACGAGATCATCTATTCGTTCGAGCCGAAGTGATATCCGTCGACCACCCGGTCCCACAAGACCTTGCAATTGACCGAGGCATTTAGCCGTGCTGCAAGTAAGAACGAGCCGCTCAATTTCCTGCAGATAGTTGGTCTCAATACTGAATTACTGGTGGGGGCATAAGAGGACTTGTACCTGTTGAGGCTATATGTCTCCCTGGGAGGCGGCGTGAGCCTATACCTCAGCATCACAGGGATTTGCTCCCTGATCTCAGCTGTGATACCTGCCCACTGCGAGCCCGGGCCAAACGCGAACGGCTGTGCTGCGTCTGGTTTGAACGGTGTCGCGAGGAGAGTCATCGACTTAACGTGCGCGTCCAGCATCACCTACAGAAACCGTTCAGTACGCTGAGATGCGACAGGAGCAATGGACAAATTGTACCTCGTTCTCCTCGCCTGTCAAGTAGCCCACTTTCAGGCTCCAAGCAATGCACGCGTCGCGGTCGTCTTCTGAGGCTGCCTGCAAAAGATGTAGCCAGTCGTCTATGAACTCTTTCGAGTATTCACGAGTGGCGCCGAAGTCTACCAGCTCGATCTATGAAGATGACTTGAGTGGAAGAACTGGAATAATCAGAGCGAGGCTGAATGTACCTGGCGTGTATAACCGTTCCACAGGAAGTTCGTCCAGTTGGGATCGGTCTGCATCAGCCGGAAATCGAACAGCTCTCGGAGACACAGCTCGATGATTCCTTCAGCGATCTAACAATGGATGTGGTCAAAGCACGTCAGAGAATTAGCTGTAACTCACATCATCTCGATCCTGCTGACTCAAGGAGTCGATCACAGAGCCACCAACGCTTGCACCATCGACATGTTCCATTACCAGGACACGGTCAGTGCTACCTTCCCAGACCCAGGGAACTTTGAAGCGGGGGTCGTTCCCTAGGTACGACGGGGAGGCAAATTTTTTCAAGAACGAAGCCTCTCTAGAATAATTGCATTCGTCGGCGAGCTCCTCTTTCATAACCTACAATTTACACACATCGATTTAGAGGTGCACAGCCAACACGGCAAAGCGTACCTGGATCGTTTTGTCAAGGAACAACCCCTTCGGCAGCAGGCTTCCCGCCGTCAGTAACATTTTGACATAGCCCAAGTCACTGTCGATCGAATTTACAATGTTGGGGAATTGGATCTTCACTGCGACCTTTTCAGGACGGCCCGTGGGCGAGGTGGATGCCGCTAGCACTGCAGAGTGCACCTGCCCAATGGAAGCAGCTGCGAAGGGGAGCCGGTTGAAAGACACGAAATGTTCCGACCACGAGGGACCGAGAGACGAGCGGAGTACTTCCTGCGGATTCCAGAATCCGAAAAGTCCGCGACTGATTATGGTAGAAGGGGGCGCACCTCCATCTGCCAGTCAGGCATATAATGCGCGCTGTCTTGCACTCTGCGGAAGACGTCTTCAATCTCAGGTGGGAGAACATGGGTGTCTTAGACAGCATGACCTGTTCGGTGGGTCAAGATGCCTTACGAGATGAGCACGGATTTACTGACCTTGGATGCTCATGAATTGCCCAAGCTTCAAAGCGGCACCGCGCAGCTGAGTTAGCTTCGATACGAGACGCTTAACGTTGCCTTCCGTCAACATGAGCGACGGAGAATGACTTGTTTCGGAGCTTGTCGTGCGTCGTAGGAGTTCTGAGGCAGCGCCATAACCGAGTGTCGCGGCCAGCCCTGAAGTAGGGAAGTAGAGCTGAATATAAGTAAAGTAAAGACTAGATGTCATACCTCCATAGTGGAAGAGCCGTCCTATTCGTGATGACGGAACCTTGGAAGACTGCAAGTGGCGAACTACTGGGTTCTCAAGCGTTGCAGGCTAACAGCAGATATATAAGGAGCGATGAATTTATTGTGTCACGACGAAACGGAGCAAGTGCCGGATGCAGCATTATAAACATAAGTGTACAGCAACTCACCGTGGGATCGTCACTAGGAATGGGCGAATAGATGATTGCATCCACACCAGTACTCTCCTGTGCTAGTAAAGGAGTAGCGTTGTTTTCCTCGTAACTCATTTGGACCATATCTTCGCCCAAAATTGTCGCTTGTGGGACTTCCCGGATAGTTTGCTGCGGTAATGGGATAGTCTGCTGCGATGACGGTGTGGGACCTGTGGTCAAGCTGGTCCCTACAGCTTGGGTCAAGGGTATCTCTGATAGCAAAACGGAAGGCTCGCTTTCTGAGCTGTCTCTCAGCTTCGAGGAAGTATGTTCCGCCTCAACTTTCACTTCGCTTGTGGCCAGAAAATGAGATGGCGGAGTCTCGACTTTTGATACTCGCCCGAGTTTTAAATCCTGTTTGCGTGTCTGGTGTTCCGCATTCACCACTACGACCCTCGTTCCCGTTCTGGAAGTGACTTGGGTAGCTCTGATGCGAGCAGCATTGGACAAGATGTCAACGACTGAGGATGCTACGCAGAACCAGTTAAATGCGGGCCCCGGAGGCATTCCAGTCTTCCGTAGCTCCAAGAAGCTGTATGTCTAAGCTATTCCGCTGTTAGCACGGCGACTGGAAGGTAGGGGAGACGCAAAAGTAGCTGCAGGCAGACGACCACAACTGGATGGGAATGACGGCTTGCAGTGTGAGAGTCGTGACTAGACGCGTGACGTACGCGTCGCGCCGCGATCGCGTGACAAGAATTTCTCGAGCTCTACCGACGGAGAGTAAGTTTCGCGACTAAATACATTGTCGACGTATATGTGGTGTACGCTCTCTGGTCAACGGAGAGGTCTAAATCATTGGATGGGGAATAAACAGAGTGATTACTAGATCATAAATACAAGCACATCGACGACGACGACGGAGAGGCTAGCGCGGACGACACAAAACTCTAGGACTCCGTTAATTTCCTGGGACTGAATCATTCAATCGCCCAAAGCAGCTAAGTAGCTCTGTGGATAAATTCTCAGCGCTCTATGCCGAGCAGACGAACTGGATGACTTACTTCTCTGTCTGCCAAGAACTCCAGGTATGTCAACGCAACTGCGATGTAGAAGCTGGTTGCCACCCCGAACGAACGTTCCAGTAATTTGTCAATCTCAATGACCCCGAAGTTAGACCGCACTGTATACACAGGGGTGCGATCGTGGAAGGTGAGTATCGGAACGGGCGTAGGAACTGGCGCTGCGACGAACGTCTGCCCGCCTGCGGACGACAACGACGATGGCGGTGTGGGTGAAGTCAGTGCTGGCATTGAAACGGGAGAGAGGGTGAACGAGTTCGAGTGTGACGGCGCGTTATTCTTAAAAGCGGTCATGACGCGCGAAAAAATAGAAGCGGATTCTGGGGGTTGAGGTATGTGAGCGGCCGAGTGAGGAGTGAGAAGGAAGTGTGTGATTGCAGGCTGAACCAACGGCGGTGGTCGCCGCCTCGGGATCGACTGGGTTGGTGCAATCTCCTCGAGCTTGGCCTGGACCAAGCGTGGTGAGGGTGGGTGCACCAAGACGGTGAGGCCTTGTGGCGGCGGTGTTGGCGGATATGAGTGCACTGCTGGTTCGCCTATCTGAGTCACGTCGGAATCCAAAGATCGCTTCAGTCCTGAAGAGGTCAGCGGAGAATTACTGAGAGAGTAGGAAGGTGGATTCGTCCGACAAGCGAATGTCAGGGCAGCATCAGCGTGATACGGGGACGACTGCGGCAGAGGGAGAAGGGAGATGAAGACTCCCGGCGGAAAGGCAGGTGTTCGAAGGCGGATATACCAGCCGCGCTTGGGGCGATGTATTGTCCACATTATTGTGGACGTGGCATTCTCCTTCATCAAACGTTAATACAATCGTAGCCTGAAACCTGCAGCGAATCATCCCCACCACAAGGTGCTCAACGATTTCCTCATCTGCAAGGAACCTTTCCTTCACAAAATGCAATGAGTTCGATTGACCAAGAAGAGGCGTGTAGCACACGTTCTTGCCTTGTACCAAATCACACCTTGCACACCTTCTTCTGAGACATTGACCCGCATGTCTGATAGAACGTCCGAGCTGTAGACTCCGTCTCGCCGTCAACGTTTCTCGAGCGCTGAGCATGCATGCTCACCTCTGAACTAGATACCTCGATAATGTATTTGTATCCGGTGCGCGTGCTGGCTGCATCTTCCTCTTCTTGAGGGTGCTGATGCACAGATGATGAGCAAGTGGTGAGAGCAAGTGAACGCGTTATGACAGTAGCAACCGGAGTATTTCGCGCCACGTGCTATCAGATCCACAGGTTTTGACTTTCCGATTCACTTCGAGACTACTTCGAGACTGCTTCGACTTATCCGACTCGGAGAGGCTTCACACCGATTTTTCTTGTTTATTCTCGTCTGGTGACGATAGTGTCGACTTAACTTGCACCTGACAAGTACAGGAAATCTCACTAATATCTGTAACTCGTCTTGGAATCACAGACAAGTATGGAGGCAATTGACGTCTATCAAACACCACTCTCAAGGTGTTATGAATTACTGTCTTGCGTTATATAAGACTTACACGATGTTCTAGTCGCTATGCTAGCAAGGAAATGGCCCACCTTTTCTCTCCGGCCGTTTGTGACTTTCATTCTGCGCCATTATCGGAGGAAGTTAAATGGCTATGATTAGAATCGCTTTCACACTTGGCGAAAGCTCTGGCTTAATCTTGCAGTTGCGGAGAAGGAGTTGGGGCTGTCCATATCCGCCCAAGCGATCGAGGAAATGAAGGAGAATCTCGTGCGTCAATAAACCCAGCGAAACGCCCCTTCACCCCGTCATAATTTTCCAGTACCTCGACGCGAAACAATTCGAGATCGCTGCGCAGGAAGAGAAGAAGAGGCGCCACGATGTCATGGCACATGTTCACACCTTCGGCCAGGTCGCGCCTGCAGCTGCCGGGATCATCCAGTCAGTTCTTAGCCTAGAGTAACCTGTCGTGCTGGTCCTCATATTTTCGCTAAGCTTGGGAGCGACTTCGTGCTTCGTTACCGAGTGAGCATATTCCTGTACCTACGTTCAGCCCAAGGCTTATCCCGTGCTCCAGCAACGCAGACCTCATATTCATGCGCGAAGCACTCACTATGCTTCTGAAGAAGCTCGCCGTTGTCATCGATCGTCTATCCAAATTCGCTGCCCAGTATCGCGACCTCCCCGCACTTGGGTTCACGCACTTCCAGCCTGCACAGCTAACTACGGTCGGCAAGAGGGCAACACTTTGGCTGCAAGTCAGTGTGGTGCAGCTTGCGCTGGCGCGAGTATTTTGGCGTTTGACTCAATTTTTTCTTGTAGGAGCTATTGTGGGACCTCCGAAACATCAAACGGGCTCGCGATGATCTCGGGTTCCGTGGCGTCAAGGGAACAACTGGCACGCAGGCCAGTTTCCTTGCTCTATTCGATGGAGATCACGAGAAGGTGGGTACTCTTCTCTGAATTGTGTACTGTCCGCATGACTTTCTCATTTGTAGGTCGAAGAGCTCGACCGTCTCGTCACGTCGCTCTCCGGATTTAGTTATGCTTATCCCGTGACGTCTCAGACCTATTCACGGAAGATCGACGTGGATGTCCTGGCTCCACTGTCAAGCTTCGGCGCGACGGCCCACAAACTTGCGACTGATCTACGGCTACTAGCGAATCTGAAGGTATTTGACATGATCTGTCAGGCAAAATGAAGAATGACGCCCTTCCCCACCTTTGTCTTCTAGGAAGTCGAAGAGCCGTTCGAGTCCACACAAATTGGGTCTTCTGCGATGGCCTACAAGCGCAACCCCATGCGCTCCGAGCGCATCTGCAGTCTGTCGCGCCACTTGATGGTCCTCCACCAGAACGCGCTCATGACCTCGAGCGTGCAGTGGTTCGAAAGGACGCTGGACGACAGGTCAGTGTCTCTGGTGTTTTCTTCTTTACACCCCGAACGCCATTGACCCCGTAGACAGCGCCAACCGCCGGATCACGCTGCCCGAAGCTTTCCTCACAGCTGATATCGTTCTTACAACATTGCAGAACGTCAGTGAGGGCCTCGTTGTGTATCCCAAGGTCATCGCTCGACGTATCGGGCAGGAGCTGCCGTTTATGGCGACGGAAAACATCATCATGGCCATAGTGAAGAGCGGTGGCGATCGTCAGGAAGCACACGAAAAGATCAGGGTGTGTTCCCTCGTAATGTCATCCATGCGAGTCTTACGTAGTGGGCATGGCGCTAGGTCCTCTCCCATGAAGCTGCGCACCAAGTGAAGAGCCTTGGGCTGGAGAACGACCTGATCGACCGCGTTCGTGCTGAGCCTTACTTCGACCCCATCAAGTCCCAGCTCGACGCGCTGCTCGATCCGAAGAGTTTCATCGGCCGTGCTCCCGAACAGGTCGATCAATTCTTGAAGGAGTGGGTGCAGCCTGCGTTAGCGGACGAAGAATTGAAGTCCGTTATCGAGAAGGGCGAAAAGGCTGAGCTGAACGTATGAAACTACTTACGTCTCACCAGTCCCATGGCCAGGTGAGGCGACGGTAAGCCGAGGTCAGAAGAAATCAAACACCTTTGTAATGCTGAAGAAAAAAATTGAATGCACGACAGCTAGACCACAATAAATACGTGCTCGTGCCGCTTGAATGTTGAACGTTGGGGGATGGAGTCTGATGAGCACTGGGCACGCAGACAATATGTGCCCGCGGCGAAGTTCCCTATGACTTGGTCTGCGAAATGCTTCCGTCCAGGCCCGATGCCGGACTGCTCGAGATCAACCAATATTTCTCAATACGCAACTGTGGCAGCACGATGAACTCACGGATGCATCTGGAGGATTAGACTCTGCTGCCTGGAGTACATATACGGTGGATCATAAAGTGGATGAGAGATTTCGCAGAGGCTTAGTCACAACACGTTGCTTGCCGTATATGGAGCGTTGTGCTATCTGAGTTACTTTGCTTCCTTGTCACTCGTTCTGTGTCACCGTCCCTGTTCGTTCGTCTCGTCGTCGCCGTGCTTGACGACGAGCACCTGTATACTTTTTTTTCTTTCTATTATACCTTCGCAGTGAGTATCTCTCGTCCTCTTTTGTCTTCGTTCGAGACCACGTCAAATGCCACGCCGTCGCTTCGCTTCTTGTTCCTCGACGCCCCATCAACTCAACTTCGTTTCCAACTTCCACAGCTCCCAGACTGCCAGCGCAAATTTTCACTCCGCGCATCCACCCACTGGACATGGACCCCTTCTCTTCCAGTCTCCAGGTTCCCGATTCGTCACTCCCCGGGCCATCGCGTCAGCAGGCCCGACCTGTTTCCGTGCAGCCCACCACTTCCACCGCCAGCCCACAATCATCCACCAGGAAGCGTGCGTCGCACACGGTTGTGACAAACCAACCCCAACAGGATGAACAACCGCTCTATCGGGACATATACTCTCATCCTGCCGCACTCGAGTATGCCGCGGCGCATCCCCGGCGAACCATTCCCAAGTTCGGGCCATACTTACTGCTGCAAACCCTAGGCGAGGGTGAGTTCGGAAAGGTCAAGCTCGGTCTGCACATGCAGTGGGGAGAAGAGGTCGCTGTCAAGCTCATCCGGAGGGGTAATATTGACACGTCTGTGCGAATGTCGAAGGTTGAGCGTGAGATTGAAGTGCTGCGGGTATGTACCACTCGCCTGATCTACTTTCGAATCCTGAGTTGGTCGTACTTTACAGACCCTAAAACACCCTAATATTGTGCGGCTATATGATGTGATCGAGACGGACAAGTACATCGGGATCATCCTCGAGTACGCCTCTGGTGGCGAGTTGTTTGATCACATTCTTGCCCACCGATATCTGCGGGAGAAGGACGCGTGTAAGCTCTTCTCGCAGCTCATCTCGGGAGTATGGTACATACACCAGAAGAAAATAGTCCACCGCGACTTGAAGCTGGAGAACTTACTCCTCGACCGTAACCGCAATGTCATCATCACCGACTTCGGGTTCGCCAATCGCTTTGAGCATCGTGCGGACGACCTCATGCAGACAAGCTGCGGCTCACCTTGCTACGCTGCGCCCGAGCTAGTAATCTCAGACGGCCTCTACGTTGGATCTGCCGTCGATATATGGTCATGTGGCGTCATATTGTATGCTATGCTGGCCGGATATCTTCCCTTTGACGATGATCCTGCCAATCCTGACGGCGACAACATCAATTTACTGTACAAATATATTGTCAACACACCTCTGTCCTTCCCAGACTACGTATCTACCGAGGCTAGGGACCTCCTCTCGATGATGCTGGTGCCGGATCCTTCCCGCCGTGCAGACCTCCTCGCTATCATGGCTCACCCCTGGCTCGTTCCGTACGCGCACACATTCTCGAAGAGTGTTGGTGACCTGGAGCGCATTGCTATCGAGCAGCATCACCAGAAGAGACTGGCGTACCAGAGGCAGATGAAGCAAACCACCGCCGACTCATCGGTGTCCAAGATGTCGCGCAGCCACAGCTCGCGGCCAGACGGGTATACCACCTCCACAGCAACACCATCATCCGCGACGAGGAGTCACAGTCACAGGGAACATAGACATATTCAGCCACAGCAGCCGGAGTATCTGTACGAGACATCTGTGGACCAGTCGATGTACTCCACCGCCTCGCAGAACAACTCGCGCCGCGCTTTCAACTCCGCGATTGTGCTCCCCACGACGTCTTCTGTTGCAGTCGATGAGGATCCATTCGCGCCGACGCCTTCACGCGAGACGCCCTCCTCTTCAATACCCATGGTTGCTTCCCCCGTTAGCGATACGAACTTGTTGAATGGAGTGGACGAGAAGATAGCAAGTGTGAACGATCGCAGGAACGGCTTAACCCCCACACCGACTCTCGCTCCCGTCAAGACCGGATCGCCAGAGACGAAGCGACCAAAGGGCGGGTTCAGACATACCATCCAGGTGGAGTATGGCGAGTCCGATGGGAAGCAGGAGCACAACAAGGGATCCGTCAGGTCGACGAATGGTGTAGTCTCCATTGGGTCGTCCAGCCCAGAGCAAGGTCGTGAGCGAACATCCAAAAGGCCATCCGTGGACGTTGTCAGAGGCGTCGAGAAGTTATTACCTCAGACACCTCCTTCTGCCGCGCATGAACGTGCTGGTGCCTTCGCCAAGGCTGCGACTACGCCACCCTCGGTTGCACCACCGGTTTCGATAGAAGTGACTGGTCCGCCAGTCACGCCCGTTACCTCCGCGGAAGAGAAGGCGCACCGCGGTCAAGGATCATCCGGCTCGACGTCGTCGAAGCAGAGTCGGCATCGGAAAGGTTTGTCGATCGATAAGATTGGGATATCCAAGCTGTTCGGTTCTGGATCCGAGCATATCAATGGTACCATGGCCCGCAGACCGTCTCAAAGCCAGAACTCATCCCCAGGTCGTGCACCGTCTACCGACGTGATTACAGGTGTCAGCAAGTCCGATATGGGCAAGCGACCATCGACTCTGCAGGTTCCATTGTCTCCTCCCACGGCTACTGCACACGAGTCGAATGCTGAATCCAGCATCCTGAGTCCAGATGCTTCAATGATCAGCAAGAAGAGCAGGAGGAATACCCTAACCGTCATGGTCGAGCCTTTCAGTCGGTCGATCAAGCAACGCACGAAGAGTCGTGCAACTCCCACCGAGACGGTTGCCAAGTACAGGCCTGTACCACCGGAGAAGGATAACGCTCCAGCACCGTTCGTCGCACCGCAGATGGTGCCGATGATAATACCTGCCGCAGAGATGATTTCGCCTGCGACACCTCGGTTCACCAACGCGTCCCGGACCGGTGTTGATTTGGGTGTGCCACCATCGACTGTCAAGGGACCGCGTCTGGCTGTACCTGCTTCGACGGTGAAAGCGAGCCGGGTCATGCAGTGGTTTAGGTCCAAGAGCAAGGGACGAGGAGCTGCAGACGAGGAAGTGAACGAAAAGATGCCTTATGAGGCTGAATCTGCGCGCAAAGCCCCGACGTCGCTCTCGTCAAGCACAAACGGTTCGACAGGCGGATTGCTCTTGTCGCCCTCGGATCAGCGCTCGCCACTGCCGACAAGCCAATCTCAGCGCTCAGCGTCCTCTAACACGGAGGCTTCGGTCGGTGGAACGACCACTTTCGCAGACCGCGTACGCCGGACGGTCGTCGGTGGCAGTGCTGCTAATGGCACGAAAGGTGCGATCCGCGTTCATCATGGCGCTGTCGATCAGGAGACGATTACAACGGGTCTACCGCCGGAGGTGATGAAGCATATGCGGAAGGTCCTGCAGGAGATGGGCATGGACGTAGAGATGGAGTCCGAGTACAAGTATCGCTGTGTCCGGCCGAAAAGAAAAAGACTCGCGAACGGCGTGGGCTTAGGTCTGCGGGATACGGGCAGTGGTCTCGCCGCGTTCGCTATGGTTGGAACTGCCGCCTCGAGTGGGGTAAGTGGATCACGTATCCCCGGAAGTGATGTCCTGATGGTGCAGCACCAGATCGACAAGCGTGGACTCCCTCTTCCTTCGCAATCACATTCATCCTTCGGCTCCACGGGAGGCATGCTCAGAGGATTGTTGATGCGCAGGCAATCTTCTCAAGTATCGACGACGTCATTGAATCATGCGCCTACATCACAATCCCTCGACGAAGTCTCTCCAGACGCCATAATAGCTGCGGTACCTGGTGGATCCGGTGCCGATGTGGCGTCACCCGTACCTTTCGAGACAGTATATGGGGACTCCCAGCAAGATCAGGGAGATGAAGTGCGATTCTCTGTTGAACTCACGCGGCTGGATCGTTTGGACGGCACATACAGTCTTGACATCAGGCGGTTGAAGGGCAACCTACGAAGTTATAAGTTCCTGTACGATACACTCAAGCAGTGCGTATTTCCGCCGTCTTCCAAGTCTGTCGAGCTGACCTGATGTTCTAGACGTGCCAATCTACAACGTTTAGCATGAAGTGCCAAGTCTACACATGTCTTCGTCCGTTTGTATACGCTTGTCGAGTCATTGCTACCTTGTCTGCATTCTGTTATGGCGTTTCGTCTCGTGCACGTACTCGTACTGTCCCGCTCTAATCGCTTTTGTTGTCGCGCCCATTTAATCTCTCTTTCTTGGCTCGGATTTTCCTGTGGAGTCTGCCTCAGCACCGCCGTCTTATCTTGCCGCCAGTGGCGATGACATGTGATCGTAGTTTTTCTCTCTTGTTGTGGACTGTCCATACATTCCGGTCGTTACTTGGACTCCCTATCACTGTGTTATTCACTGTCTTGTTCACTCAGTGACTTGGAGGAATCATCACCTTACATGCATACATCTCAGTCTCAGCATCCTTTCACTTACTCTTAAAATATATACCACAGGGCTTATCCTTATTCTTAGTTACACTGGAGACCGACGTTGTGATTCCGCACTCAGCTGCCAGTCTATACACTTCGACGATGAGTGGCCGCCGTTCGGACAATTAATAAGGCCATAATGTGACTTTTTGTGAGACAACCGTGGCAGTTTCTCGTAGGTACAGCTACTGTTGCATACGATACATGAGCTCCTGCTCCCTCATTATTGAATGAGTGACGCCATTCTTGAACGGTTGCCTAATTTGGATGTACACAGGTTGATATCGACGTGCTGTGGCCAGCCTCCCAACTGCATCTTGTCGTCACGATTGTCGAGCGCGGCTTTCATGCTGGAATTCTGATCAATTTTCGAATTATCAGGACTGACATCTAGGTATAATATTCTGTCTGCTAGTTTGGCTTTGGCTCACATTTGCTCAGCTTTATAATTATATGCACGACTAATACACACTCATTCTCAAGTTCGACTCTTAACGCGATGTCACCGCGACTGAAGCGCCAGGAGCTCCGTCGCGCAGCAGGATACATTCCTAGACCCAAGCCATACGCCGTTCGGCCAACTGCTAGGACTGCTGCCAAGGACAACAAGTCATCGACTTCTCCCTGTGTCTCCCCATCACCGGCTCCACGCTTCACTGTCCCCAACTATGCATCGCTCACGGCCACCTTAGATAATACTGTCGACCTTGGGATGCCCACTAGCGAGCAGTATGCACGCCTGGAAGAGGACTATATCACATTGCTCAATCCGCGCAAGCGGGAGAAAGCCCTCATCACGCAGGATATGTTCGACATGGTCTGGGCTGTGCTTCACGACCCCGGGGCAGCTAAAGTCGGATCTCCTCAGTTCCGTTGGTGGGTCAGGAAGATGTTCGTCCTGTCTTACCCGACCAGCACCTTGTCCCCTGCCGAGCTCGCGAGTATTGGCGCCGAGACGATTGTGCCGGTAGTGTTGCATCAGAATCGACCGGTGGCTCTCAAGGACCAGATCTACGAGATTCTCTGCTACTGTCACCAACTCTCGAACCACGCTGGGCGGGACAAGACGACTGCTGTCGTACGCGAGCACTACTCGTGGATTCCGAAGGAGCTGGTCTCGCGTTTCGTCAAGGTGTGCCCTACTTGCATAAACAAGAAATCCAAGAATGCTATCATGGCCATGTCGCTCGATGTCGATGAGGAAGGAGAACTCGTGAAACTGGAGACTATTGACGCCGACGAGGACGTAGTTTTGGACTTGGAGAACGTACCGCCGTCTCTGGCCGACTCGGGTGTACCAGTCTTCCGCCGCGTAGCGCTGCCTATTAGTGAGCTCGTGAACTACTACAACCACGTCCAGACTCCGGAACACCTCCAGTCAGCCTGGCCCCCTGGTCCTGGACCTGCACAGTCGTCCCTAGTGTCTCACCCTGTGCCATCGGTTCAATGGCCGGAATCTCCGTCGCGTGGATCTCGGTTTACCTATCGTTCTAGGAGTCCGCCGATGTTTGCCTCGGATATTGGTCACCAGCAGGCCTCTACTAGCAGTACGACGTACGGGCTTCCTCTGATGCAGAGATTTGGAAGCATGGACTACAGTCATGACCACCGACTTCTTCACCCGGCTGGACAGGATATCGTTCTTCCGCCCCTCACACAGATTCTCTCTCAAGAATCTCGTAGTCCAAACGTATCACCAGTCCAGTATAATCCTGGCGCATTCACCGTCGACTCTTCCGTCGGCCTTCGCGTTCCAGGTTGGCAGATAGAGTCTCAGAACAGCTACCTCCGCGAGGTCTTGCATCCAAATGAACTAGTCTATTCACAGCAGGAGTACCTGTCCCAAATCGACCCTATCTTGCTTCACGAAGACTATGAGATGTCGCAAGGTCGCGAACGTAGAGGCCACGTTCACCTGGAAGATGGCTATGCAGAGGATTGTGCCGACTATCGAATCGTACCATCCGGGTCGCGCTACGACCATTACGACCTGGAGCCTGTCTTATCGTTTCCTTCTCCTGCGGTTACGACGCCTAAGCTCATGCGTGATATGTACGGTTATGGCGATCATATTTTTCCTCCCTCTCCAACTCAGGGCGCTTCGGCTCTGGATGATCTGAGACCGCCCATACTGCCTTTCTTCGGCATACATTCCAGGGACGACACTGGCGAAGATGACATGCTCTATGAACACCCGTCGCGGTTCTCTATCCCCGTGTCCTTCGAGCGACGTCATGCTGCTGAGGCCGTTGGCCTGAGTCGTGATCTGGATCCTCTGTGAAGATACAACCGCTCCCTACCACCGTCAGGAGGGCTAGCCGTTAGGGTCGCCTGATACTTCAAAGGACATACAACTATATCGCACTCACACAATGTATCGCCACCTGTGTAACAATACCCCATTACTATTTCCTAAAGTCTGGATATCCAAATAATTTGCATTTGTCCCTTTGCACAACTTCAAGTATCAATTATAAAGATCCTCTATGCACAATGTCTTGCCCCAATTCCTTCGCGCGTTATAACAAACGCAATTGAAAAAATGTTGGTGAGAAATCGCAAGATCCCGATCACTAGATCGCAGATCCCATGCGCCAGTGTTGGCAAAAATTCTTTGACGTGTCAGTGAGGGTCAAATTTGACTGACTGACACCTTGACTTGACGTGTCAGTCAGACGGGTCAATCAAAGTCAGAGATCACGTGTGCTCTTCAAAAAAATACAATTTTGTGTCTTGTCGTACTGTACAGCTTGTAAAAAAAGACACTCCAACTCTATTTATTCTATCTATGACTATTAAAAGTCCATGGTGGAAACTGTTCCATTCCGACAAGTCTCATTATCTCAGTAATAATTCCTACCTGAATGCATGGTGTTGCAGCTGCATCGGAGAATGTCTCCGTGTTAACGAGTGTGCCGACCGTGTCGCGATCGCACGGGGCACTATTGTAGAGGCCCGAAGCACAGCAGAGCTACTGAAAATTGGTCAGTGTTGTCATCGGGATATTTCAAAACTTGACTGACTTTATACGGCTCCTAGCATTGTCTCCTGGGCCATTACCAGTCAATCCTGCCGTTCCCGGAACAGATGGACCTACCGCAATTCAGCTAGGTGTAGTTCCTATCAAAGGGACTTGGAAAGTTAGGAAGGATCATGCGCAAAAATGTGCATATGTAACAGGTTCCGACCTTCAAGGTGTGGAGGCCAGAGCAGCTGCGCATGACCAGAACAAGGAGAATCATCCTCCGGCTCCTTCAGCACTGCCCTTCATGTTCTTACCAGGCCTAGATAGTCCATCAATTCCTTCGACACCACATCCTGCAAAAAGAATGAAGTCAACACGCACGAGCTTCGAAACCTTACCTTCCGATTCATCAGCACAGCCATGGCCAGCTGAACGCCAGCAGAACTTTGCACAGGACCTGTGCAAACTGTTCATCTCATGCGGGATGGCTTGGAATATGGCCGATAATGCAGAGATGCAACTCTTCATGAGGAAATGGGTACCTGGAGCCAAGGTTCCCGATCGACGCTCATTGTCCGGAGTATATCTTGATCGAGCATTTGATGAGGTAGAGTCGAGGACAACGATGAAGGTCAAGGGGAAGGTTGCTACTGGGCAATGTGATGGTTGGAAAAACGTGGCTAAGACGTCGGTTGTTACATCAATGATGACGGTAGAACATGAGGTAAGGAAGACCTACTGTTAGCCATGACAAAGGATGTCAACTGATATGCACGTTACAGGCCTACCTTGTTCGGACGCATGACATGTCGGGTGAACCGAAAACAGGAGACAGGTTGTTGGAACTTGTCAGAGCAGACATAAAGTACATGTCAGAGAAATATGGAGTCAAGACCATTGGCTGGTGCACCGATGACGGTCCGGATGGGAAGAAAATGCGGCGGTTGTTAAGCGTGGTCATGGCGTGCATTATCTGTGTGGTTTGCTGGTCCCATCAGATTCAACTCATTGTGGGCGAGTACCTAACCATACCTGAGATCCTCGAGGCCATTGTTCAAGCTCAAGAGATAATCAAATGGTTCAATAGTCACGGAGCTGCGCTGGACCTCTTCGAAAAGGAGCAGGAGTTGACTAGGATTCCCCGAGCCAGGAGACTTTGCCTTGCGCTGAGATTGCGCTACCGTTATCACTGACTGATGACAGCCTGGGAGAAGGCACATTTCGCGAATTGGGCGAGCAATTACAGATGGATTCAATTGAAGCCAATGGCGACACGGAGGATGACCACGATATCGTAGCCAGCGGTCCCCTTATCCTCTCCCCTTCCAGCTCTTTCGAGGCCACACCACAGCCCAGGAAAACAAGTATTCCATTGAGGGCCCTCTTCCTCTATCCTACTGTCGGTGCATCCAATGGTAATGACTCGGAACCCGGGCTTGATTTTTATTGGCACGGAGAGATGAAAAATTATGCTCAAGAGCTTGCACAGTATGATCTCCTCCATACTATACAGGGATCAGAACCTATAGGCACCGGTTCTAGTACTTAATATACCTCCATATCCCTCCTGAAGCTGTCGCGAAGCCGTTGAACCTACCCACATCGTTTAAGTAGACCTGTCTGAAAGAAGTAATAATATTTGCTTACATATTTACTCACGTTTTTGATTGACCGGTCAAATTTGACTGACTTCTTTGACGGTCTGACTGACATTCCTTGACTGACGGGGGTCTGACGGGGTCAGTGACAACACTGCCATGCGCCACAGCAACATGCACAACGGCGGGCAATGGCCTCGCACAATATTAATCTATCCAAGTAAGTGGATTGTAGGGATGGAATTGTCTCAATCAACATCATCTGTCCATCACGCCGAATGGGTGGACAAAGGTCGAACTGCAATCATTAGCCACCCCCTCAGGTTTCCATCCCGTGAAGGAGGATTATTTGCCCGACGGAGAGACGAGGGCAGGGCCTCCCCCGCGGTCCCACCTCACCATCACATTTTAATATGTCACCCGGTGCTCATTCCCCCAATGCTCCAGAGCTACCCGCCCGATGTTCCATATGATCCATTCGAACTCGATGTTCTTCTAATTGGGACCTGTTCCACGTCTACTCCACCACGTGAGTCATGTCTCTGCATGTCACCATTCCCCTTGAATAATCATTAAGCAGGAATTTCCAAATGTGGATTTTGTGTCTTCCATATTCGAACTCATGGTAAGAGCTAATCCTGCATTGAGACCCGATGCTTGTGATACCTGGGAGTATTGTTACGCCGTTAGGAAGGGTTTGTCGCTCCTCCGATGCAGGTGGGAATTGCGATCTCGTGCGGAGACGCGGAACAGGTTCTTCCTCGACGTGCTGCAGATGAACAAGGGTAACTTGCGCCACCGTTCTCGTGTTCTTCTCGCAGTTAGCGGGCGCATGCTATGACGATGATATTCCCAGAAGCACCGATGCTTGATTTGCTACTCGACGAAATGGCATGTAAAATGATGATTGCAGTAAAAGACCGTCTTCTCACAGTCAGTTAGACATTGCATTTATTCGGGCCTCTCCTTTTTTCCCCTTCGTTCACTGATACCTTGCCAGTACTTGCTTCTCTGTGTCGACGGGTCGATGCAAATCCGTTCATTTCAGAGTGATGAAACATTCCTTGATTGATGAACGTAACGAGTTTTCTTCCACGACATCATTTCGCGTAAAGTAAAGGCTTGTACGGGGATCCGTTAGAAAACATGAGCTACTACTGGTGCGCTTCAAGCGCTGATGTCATACCACCCAGCAGTGCTACAAGGCCGCTGAAGTAGCACTGTCTGCCGCCACGATAGCGGCTACTAGAGCTTCTGGTGTGGGTTTGGAAGGGACGGCACGTACGTGAAGGCTGAGCTGCTCTCGCAGAAACGTAGACGTAGTTGGCCCTATTGCTGCAACGCTCGGGATTGTGCGTGACGTGTCGGGAGGAGAGTCAATCGAACGAAGATCGAAGTGTTTTCGCAGGGTAGGTGTCACGAACTCCGCCGCGGAAGGGGCAAAATATACAATCCACCACCTGCCTGGGTACAGCAATTATCAATAGAAAGACCACGCTCGGTATCGAGGTCTCTCTACCTGTGGGTACTGAGTTCAGTGCTTTTTGAAGATCTGCCGGGAAATTGGATGATCCCTGCGTCTCATAGACCTGCAGAGGTTCCAGATCAAAGCCACCCTCCTTCAAAATCTTCGGTGAGGTGTCGCGATTTTTGTCTCCAGTGAGATACAACAACTTCCCACTGTCAGTCCTGGAGGATAGGTCGTCCAAGATGAAATGCGCGAGTCGCTCGCTCGTTCCGGACTCAGCACGACCGCGTATGTCCTTCGGGGTAAACGGAGAACCACCCACTGCCTCACGGATCTCTTCCAGTGCCTTAGCAGTTGCTTCTCCGACGACATAGAACGGGACGGTAGCCCAGTCTACTATAACATAGATCGATAGAAGTTTAGCTCTATAAGCTGAGGGCATTGCAGGATGGAATCGCAGACCCGTGTTTGCGCTGTTCGACACCAATTCCTGTACAGCCGTCCTCCATGCTTCGCATGCCCTTCCACTCGTGATGATCACACCAGCATAGCCCTTCACCGAGTGACCTGCTTGGATGATTTCCTTCAACGCTGGAAGATTCTTGAGCACGGTCTCTAATACTGGGACGGATACGGGTGTGTATCCCTGAGTACGAATGTTGTCCTCATATTTGTCCCCACCATCTTGCGAAGGAGCCCGGAGTAGCAAGACATTTGCCATCAGAAATTACAGCGAGCTCAGTGTGGTGGTTGAATGACATGATGCAGGAACAGCGAAAGATTCTCCCGCTCTAAGGTTCCGGACTCCTCGGATCCACTACACGGCATACCGCCGTAGTGAAATACATATACGGCTCGATACGGCCCGCAATGCATATTAACGGCCGTACATACGGAAGTAGTCTCCGTTGCTGACTATATATGGCTATGGATGACAGTCGATCCATATCTAGTATATAATACGGAAGGAACACCGTAACTTATAGGGTACTGAACAGCTCGGAAGACGCGGAGCCATATTTCCGTACGCACGGTGCTCCTTAGAGCCCTACAGAGAGTCCCGTACGATCGTACATGCGGTGTAACCGTACCGTATAATACGGAAGGAACGCGTAAATCATACGGTATCGGGAGACCCGGAGTTGTATTTCCGTATGTACGGTACGGCTTAAAGAACTCTTAGAGCCCTGCGGAAGACCGTCAAAATGCATGTGCATGATACAACTTGAGAATCGAGAGAGACTTGAGCGAAGGAGCTCCTGAAGTGCCCTGCTCGTTCGCCGCGCACTCCGTACACTCTGCTCTTTAACGCATCCTTCGCGCGAGCAAAAATCTGACAGGCATCCAATATGTCAAAGAAAGAAAAACCGTTGCATTCCTTGGTGGCAGGAAGCACTGCCGGCGCGATAGAAGCGTGAGTGGTCACTTACATTGCCTACATTCACCCTTGACCATCCTCCGAGAACAGTTTGGTGACATACCCAACAGAATTTGTGAAGACTCGATCCCAGTTCAGTGGAAAGGTACCGGATTATCAGTTTGTTTCATTGCAGATATTACTAAATGACTGACGTGGGCAAGAGAGAAAGTCCGTTTGCTATCATCCGTACCACATTACAGACGAAGGGGGTCAAGGGTCTGTATTCAGGATGCATGGCTTTGGTTGTTGGTAGGCGATTGCTACGCCGCCTACATTCGTATGTTGTAGTTCATCACCGTTCCAGGCAACTCTGTCAAGGCGGGAGTACGTTTCGTCTCGTATGACCAGTTTAAGCACATGCTAGCGGACCAGGAGGTGAGTGATCCTCTCTTCACCTGCTGAATTGTAGCCTTCGTCTCATATGTCTTGGCTGATGAGGGCAAAGTCACTGCGCCTCGGAGCCTTGCAGGTACGTGCGGTGAGCATAAGCTTCATGTGGCGACTGACAGGTGGTTGCCGTGTAGCGGGCCTTGGTGCGGGAATGATGGAGGCCATTTTTGCAGTAACCCCGTCAGAAACAATTAAGTAAGTTTCTCGTATGCGTGCACAGGGATTTCACTGAGTTGCGAGTCCAGGACGAAGCTCATCGACGATGCGAAGAACCCAACTCCGAAATATCGTGGGCTTGTGCATGGCACTGCCGCCATCGTACGAGAAGAAGGACTACGAGGCATTTATCGTGGATTGTTCCCTGTTGTCAGTGAGACACCTCTTTACATTGACTTAGTTGTGGCTAATGCTTGCACATTTCAGATGATGCGCCAAGGTATCAACTACTCTCGTACCTGCCATGATTAATGAATCTTAATGAATCCTTCGCAGGGGCCAACTCGGCCGTGCGGTTTACGACTTACACCAGCCTGAAACAATTTATCTCCGTGCGACCAGGTCAACAATTGTCCAGTGGCGTCACATTCGGCATCGGGGCGATTGCCGGCCTCGTCACTGTATACACAACGATGCCCTTCGAGTACGTCCTACCGAATAACCGCCGTGTCATGCTAACGCAGCCTTCTTCTACAGTGTGATCAAAACTCGCATGCAGTCGTTGGAGGCGCGCCAAGCATACCGCAATTCATTCCACTGTGCCTATCGTATCTTCACCGAGGAAGGTATTTTGCGATTTTGGACAGGAACAACGCCGCGGCTGGCGCGGCTGGTGGTAAGAACGTCTCAGAATCATACGTCCTACAATTTACTGAAGGGAGTCACAGCTTTCCGGCGGTATAATATTCACGGTATACGAGAATGTCATACGGCTATTAAGAGGCAGGGAGATCTGAAGACTCTCAATCGACGTCGTGTCGGACTATGGTTGCGCTTCGCTGACGAAACAGCTGGGTACCCTCTTCCAGACCGGCATAATCGCGACTTCTAAATTATCCCTGTTCCAACGCAATTCTGGACAATTCGTAGATGTCGTTATTGTTCGAAAGCCAATGTATGACCAGTCTCATTCATCCAACTCCACACAGACTTATCGGTGGAAGATATTTCCCTTGTGTGAAGGTGAACACCGGTTACGCGCCCATGGTGGTCTTTAGGCTTCGTTCTCCATAGCGAACGAGTCGTTCTGCATCCATGTTAAGCGGAGTGTTCTGGATTCTCGCTATCTATCCCATTCGACGACTCAAGTTCACCTCTCCGACGAGTCTACGCCGCAGTCGGTTCTGCTACTAGGCAGAAGCGCATTTGCGGGGTTACTCACCTCATTCCACCGATCAGTCTGAAGTAATTGATAGATTGTGTTCTTTGTCGGGTAGAGAGGACCATACATGCAAAAGTTAATGGAAGTAATTAGTTGCGTAAGGCAACACAGAGAGCCATGCTTCATCCAGCACCGACAAGACCTCCTCCGCTGTAACCAATTAAAGCATTTCGATCAGACGACTGTGTCTAACGGCAGTGAAGACTTACGCAGAGGACCCTTCTCAAGATCTATCATATTCTGTGTTCCACATGAGGACTTTCAACACTTTCAAACCAGATGATTAACAACACGGACCTGCTTGATGTGCTTCAAGCTCGAAGCACCAATCAGAACCGCATCACCATACTCGCGCTTCATGAGGCTGTGGTGCGAGATCCAGCGCAACGCAATTTCTGCCGTTGTCAAGTCGTGCGCCTTGGCAACCTCTTCAATCGCAGCGAGTGCTTTGAAGTAGGGCTCATTCCAGTAGCTTGATTGGAACAGGCATGAAATGGTGCAGATGAAAAAAAATACAATCGGGCTCTACCCACCGAGAGCGGTAGTACTGATGCGGACGACGTAACGTTGAGAAAACGAAAGAGTTAACGACCAAGGAACTTACCTTGCCCATGTTATTCTCAGGATCAAATCTGGACCCGGCTTCTACCTTATCTGTAGAATGATACCGGCCAGTGAAGAACCCACCGCCCACTGCGCCAGATATGAGTATTCTTCAGCGTCATGACTGAGCTATCAGAACTACACACGTGGATTGAACTCATAGAAACTGATCCCGTATTTTCTGAGGCACGGGAAGAGTTCCGGCTCTACCTTCCTAACGACACATCCCGTTCGCGTTTAGCGCATATGATAATGAAAGTACCCGTACTCGCCTATGAATTGCATTATAGATGCCCTGGTACGCGGTGGGCTGTATGTAGCCGTTTGCCTTGCAAATCTGTACCATTTCAGCCACTTCCCATCTGATGCGACAGCTCCTCAGATAATCCTAGATTGAAAAAGGAAAATATCAGCTCACGACATGTAGTTGCTAATCCCGAATCTCCTGAATTTTCCTTCTCTGTAAAGTTCGTCGACGGCTTTCAACGTCACTTCGTACGGCGTGGCGCGGTCAGGTCCGTGAAGATACCACATCTCGAGCTGGCTGCACAAACGGATTACAGCAATCGCATGAACAAAACCAATTCACCCGTACTCTGTGTTGAGTGTTTTCATAGATATTTCGAGGTACTTGCGGAGGTCCTGAGATGATTGGAGTATCAGATTCATATCCGCACCTTCTGGAATACATTACAAACCTCTGGTGAATGCGAGATAAGCTCAACCCCTATAGCCTGGAGCCGTGCATTGGACTACACCGAATGAACAATTTACGAATCCACGAGAACCGGTGAATAACGTACAGCGAAAGGATACAGCTTCGTTTCGATCAGTAATCCTCGCTTCCTCCAATCGATCTTCCCGAGGTACTGCTCACTCGTACCGCCCGCGTAGGTACGGGCGGTGTCGATCTATGAAGAAGCAAAGTTGGTGGCAAAGCGCAAATTCAATGGCATGTGCGCCCAACCTCAAGATGGCCGTGCGCTTGGAAGACGTCCAAGATTGCTTCAACATCCTTCAGGTCATACACCCTTGCCCCTTGATGAAAGCTGGGGTCAGTGCACCGCCGCGAGACTGACTTCATTACTTTACACACCTTCTGTCCCTTCTTCACCAAACGTCATCGCCCCCTAATGAGATGCAGAAGCATCAGCGAGTAAGACAGTGAGACGCTGTGAGCAGGACGCAGCACCATCACTACATTGAGTGCACTTTTTTGGCCGGGATATGGGGTGGACATGGTGAACTGAGGCCAAGCACAAGGATTGCATGTTACTTCAGGCTGGTCTTGTATTCATAAGCAATATCTGACATAGCAGCTGCCGAATACTGGCCGCGGCAGTCTTGTCAGCTGCTACGCGTCCCAATTGACAATCTCGCGACGATAGGTGCGCGATCACGTGCCTCTCGTGCTTGGACTCGTTGATATCAATGATTCTGAACGTTGAACGTTGAACCCTGAAACCTCCAGGCCACTACACCTATACTCTGAGTGCCTCCCTGAAGGTCTCGGATTGTAGACTTCCCTGACTTGAATCCAAAAAATACAGTGACTAGCTAAGGCATCACGAAATCCGAAACCATTACATCCCGTCACGAGTCATATAACCTCACTTCTTCCACGCTCGTTTCAACAGCAGGCGAAACCATCCTTCCCTCGAAGACTTAGTTCTCGATGTCGTAGGCGTTTCTTTACTCGTCGGAGTATCCTTCGCGTCGCCCGAAGAGTACCGACGCTTGTACTCTGCAGGAGTCTCTCCGTCGGTACCGTGTTTCCACATACCGCGCCGTGCCGCTCTGAGTCGTCAGAGAAGCGATTCTACACCATGCAAACAAAGCAGAGGAAGGGAACTTACTGCGCCTCACTTTGTATGCGCATATATGCCTCCTTCCCACCATGGCCATACTCGGCGCCGGCTTGCTCGTACACTCCGACCCAGCCGGCGCGGAGCATCTCCAGTGGCACGCATTTTCCACGCGAGAGGAAGGCAGGGAGAAGCCATGGCTTGAGGTGTGGATGGGCAACCTGGAGATGCCGATCAGTAAACTTTCTGACATTAATATAGTCAGTGTTAGAACACACAATACGGCCGTACTGGTCCCGCCTGAGAAGTTGGCAGTAGACCATCTTTCCTTCAGTTTGGTTCTTGAGCCATGCCAGACTCTCTTGAGCATATGCCTGTGCCGGTCGGCCAAAATGCCCAGCCTACGAGTGTTCATGCCAAACATCATCCCAGAGTCGCTCGCGACGATTGCGGGATGCGCACCTCAGGCGCATCGACACCTGCCAAGCGTATGTGTATCGTCCGATCCTTTAATTCTGCACGACTAGTTAGCGATCGACGGATATGAAGCATAGACGATGGTAGCTATAGCAAATGCGACAAACCTCTGCTTGCGGTCGGAATGCGTCTGAACTTAAGCGGCCATCTCCAGCCAAACGCCGGCGTATGATAGACGCGAAAGTTGTCCGCATCTCCAACGCTATGCAAAGATATTGACGTACGACCTCAGTGCTTTGGGAGATGTGTACCTTGTCACGTAGCCTTTAATCCACCGCTTTTTGGCAAGCATGGTGGGAGTGACCCATTCAGCATTGGGAATGCGTCGCAAAAATCGTGTATAGGTATATCCAGTCGCAGCCGCAGATGCATAGCCAAGTAGAAAAGTGAGAACAAACAGCTCAGGATGGGATCGAAGAAGCTCTTCGGGTGGAGGATGCGAGTCCTTGTTTGACCGGCGACTTACGGGACCAGAGGAGCTGTTTGGTTTGGAAGTGCCCCATGGCCAAGGCATCAATGGCATTCTGAAGACGATTCGGACTTTGGTCGTCGTAACTGTAACGGCGTCAAGATGATAGACGCCAGATGTTGCATCATGGGCGTCTATGCTATCGCGATTGAAGCCAAGGTTCCGGTCATCATGCCATGATGCATCATGTGCACTGCCATGCCAGTGTTCATGAAGTTTAGGGAGTGACATGGGTAACGTCTGCCCGGGTGTACCTGCGACCCGACCCACGTCACACCCGTGCGGGTAACCCGCACGGGTTCCGGGTGACCCGCACATGCCACCCGGGTCGGGTACGGGTAGGCCGTCCATGGAGATGGGTAAACCCGGGTATACCCACTTATGGACACTCCTGGTACTTTTTGATCTGAGGGGCCGGGGAAAAGGCCGGCAGGTTCGTATATTCAGTTTTCGAGCAAGCGTAACCTGCTGTGACACGAGCGCTCCTGCAAGCACCCGGGCGCTAGTTGCTTGTGACGGTGAGTCACAGCGACCACCGCGAATGCAACAGTCACTAGGTGTCAGATCATTGTCTACTATCTCGAGAATATTCCCTGCTGTAGCGAGATCACATTCTTCAGTTTCTTGGAGACTTGCCAGCTGCACGCCTGACTCACGGGTTATCCGCGGGTACCCGCACCGTGACTATACCTGCAGTTAACCCGGGTTTAAATCAATGGGTACGGGTCGGGTACGGTCACAGACTCCGAGTCCACGTCCTGTTTACCTGCGGGTTTCACCCGGTCATAATCGGGTTAACCGACATGAACTCTCCATTCAATACAACCGCGACACCCATATACTTTTCAGTTTGAGTTTGATAGATCATCATGCACGGTTGATGTCAGTTCAAGTTGAACAACGCCTCTGCAAGCATCTGCCCATATTGCTTGCTTCTCAGGCTTTCCGAGTACCCCGTGGACGAGGCGTGGATCATTCTTAACCCTGCAATATTAATCTTGTCGTGCGCTCATTCTTCCCCTCCGCTTGTTCACGCTACTGTCATTCGGTGTAACCATACCATCTCTTGGATTTCCTTGGCGATGCATACGGTCGCGGTTTTGGCTCTGTTGAACTTGGTTACTCCGCCAGCGATTGCGGTAAGTTTGCTCAAGGTGCCATTCACGTCAACCCTCATGTAAGTACTTACTTCTCGCATGTGGTGCTGACTGATCTTAGGACGCATTCTAGTGCGAATTCTTCAGCCGTCTCTGGTAAGTCTCTTCCCGCAAAGTCCGTGAAACTTCTCTTACACCGGGCAGACCCCACCACATCTACGACTAACGCCGTGCTAAAGGTTGTTACCGCGGGTAAGTCATACTGATATGAATCCAGTGACAACTCTTATGTAACCATGACATATCTTAGTGCAAGCCGGAAACAACCAGACATGGCAAAATGTACTGGTCGACACCGGGAGCGCACTTCTCTGGGTTGGTGCCGGGACAGAACAATACGCACCAGGCCCATACACTGACCTGTGGGTCGTCCTGTTCTCATATCCCTCATCATGATGATTAAATACCTGTGTCTTCAGAATTGATCAGACTTTCAGTGTTGGGTACGAGACACAAATGTCGGAATACCTATGTGCACTTCACATCTTATTTTATGCAGATATGGTGGAAGCGATGTGAATGGCACTGCGTATGTTGACCGTGTCACGATCGGCGCCGCCACCGTGAACTCTCAGATCATAGGTTCTGCGGGTTTTGTCAATGACTTCACTCTGGTGAAGCCCTTTGACGGAATCTGTGAGTACTTGTCAACATTTTTGGTGGCTTACAAGACTGATATGTATCACCAGTGGGCCTTGGTCCATCGGGATCCAATACTGGTGAAGTATCAGGATACAATAGCACTGCAACGTTCGTGGAGAACCTGGTCTCTCAGGGAACTATCCAACACCCTGTCTTCGGTATGTATGTCAGTCCCCTCGCTGAGAGTGGTGTTCTTGTGAGCTCTGGGGAGATCTCATTTGGTGGAATTGATGAGACACGTATCAGTGGTATGTATCACATTGCACTTTTTGCTCTTGCAAGATTGTGCTGAAGCACTCTTGATCATAGGTGATGTTGCTTGGCTCCCGCAGAACCAACCTAGCAACTTTCACTGGGAATTCAATGTGTGTTCTGTGTTCAGAACAAAGCTATCATATACACTGACTTTTGGGTGTAGTCATCCAGTCTGACCTGGGGTGATGAATTGCTTACTAGCGGACAGATATACTCGCGTACAGATTCCGGAGAGTTGGGCATCGGAATTCCATTGTAAGGGTGTCCTCCACTTTTCTTGCTACTGATGTTAATATTGCATGCAGCGACACATTCTTCTCTGTTCTTCAATCTGTCCCTGGTGCAGTAATAGACTTATCCTCGAATCTGGATGGATTTTTGGTGTTCCCTGGAAACATGACCGTAGAGTCTCTCCCAGACATGACCATTGGTATTGCCAATCTGAATTTTACCATTCCTGCAAGCAAGTGAGCCTGAGTTGCTATTTGTCAACACCGTTACTCTCTGATCTGATACTTCTATCATTGCAGATATGTGGTTCCTTCAAGCCTCTATTCAGCATTGAACATCTCTGACAGTGATTTGCACACTTGGATTACTTCTGGTGGACCTGATTTCTTCCTATTGGGACAGAAGTTTCTCGAGAATGCATATTCTGCATATGATAGTAAGTGCTGTGACCTTTTCATTGCAGTCATCAACTCATGGTACACCCCCCAGTGGAAAACCATCGTGAGTATCAGCTAGTGTTGACATTGTGGTTATCTGTGATGATGACATTGCACCCACCACCTTCTAAATGAAGTCGCGGTGCAACGTTGTCCTCAGAGGTGACCATGAACCAAGTATCTACTAGCGAGCTAACTACCACATCTTGCAGTTGTTGGCTTTGCATATCTTGCAGCGTAGTGTTTCTAGATATGCTCTTTTGAACCTCCGCTGTTCTCGCAGAATATAATCTCACGTTTTCCTGAGAATTTCTGTGCGCGCGACAGTACATTGCAGTGCCGCTGAAAAAAAACTACCCCTCCCCCCGGAAATGATTCTACAGTTTGCCGTCGGAAGACTAAGAAAGTACTAATGCATGCTTTCGAGTAATAATGAGTCACTCTGTACAAGCTGGAGTGTTCAATATGGATGCAGATTGCAGTCTATCTATACGCAGCAGAATCACACTTTTGGACAGAAGACATGTTATAAGAGAAATCTGTGACTTATGCTTTCCCCTCCGAGCCGAAGACTTTGAAGAACCGCTCGCAGACGCCCGCAAACACCTCCGTTGCGTCCTCGACCGCGTCGGGAAACGACTTCGTCTGCAGCCCTTCAGCTAGGGCCTTAGCATACGGGTCGCGGCCCCAGCTGTTCACATTGATCTGGCAGATGGTGATCCTGTCAGTACAGACACAGGCCGAGGAGGGAGGGGTACGGCCGACCTTGCTCACGCCGTTCTTGATGCACTCGATGAACAATTCATCGGGAAGCTGGTCAGTGCCATGCAAGCACAGTGGAATTTCACCCTTGAACTTAGCGTGCAGGGCTTTCAAACTGTGAGGTGTATGCGTTTAGCGTCGCTGTGTAGCAGCAAGGACGTATATGTGAAGGTACCCACATGTCCTGCCGGAAATTCGGCGGCTTAAGGTATGCTCCGTGCAAATTTCCAATGCTCGGCGCGAGCACCAGGGCACCAGTCCTAGGGACCATTAAGGATGAGGGGGACAACGTGAGAAACAGTAGATATGGCCCACCCTTTCATGAACGTTTCCGCCTTGTCAGGGTTCGTGAGCTTCGCATCTGAAATCATGCGCAGGCCCGCCTCGCCGCCTTCAAGACGGCCCAGTTCGACCTCAACGACGACCCCGCACTTTGCCGCCCGCTCGACGTACGGGCGCGCCAGCGCAATGTTCTCTTCGTCTGTCTGTATAACGCACGCCATCACTTCACGAATTGCATTAGTATAAGAACAGGACACACATCAGCGTGACTTGCATCAACCATGATGCTGTCGAACGCAATCCCCTGCTCTGCAAGACCGAGGGCAAGCTCGAGGTGCTCGGGATCAGTCGCATGGTCGAGGTTGACTGCGATCGGGACGGAGGCTTGGTGGGCACTGCATACACACGTCAGGATACGGTCTGTGGCAAATCAATGTGATCGGTACAAGCTCACGCGTTCAGACAGAACTGGAGGAAGGGACCCTTGCCAAAGGCAAGCGTGACGGGGAAAAGGTTAACGATCGCGGGACTGCGGCGTCGCTCGGCGGCGCGAACGAGACCTAGGACACAGTTTGCGTCGTAGCTGAATCACCGCTTCAGAGCTTGAGGACAAAATTCAGAAGAAAGAGCGCACCAAGTCTGAGTGAGGATCCCATACCCTTCGCCTTCCGCCTTGCGGAGTATGTTTAGGGTGCGGTTCCCTGCAAATGCACCGGACATGTCGTGATCGTCGTGCAGAACTTCAGGCTTCAAAGTTGTTGACGGTTATGGGCTACGTCTGCAGTGCAACTGCATGGGAAAGCTTTATCGTGCAGTCCAGACAAGAACTCGGTTTGGAGCCCATGGCGTGGTGGTGCGGTCTCCCGTTGCCGGTGGTTCCTACAGCAATCTTGTACGTGGTCATATGGCTTTCGAATAAAGCCAATCTCACCTTCACCCGTGCACGGATCCACCGCCTCGTTGATTAATCTGCTGGATGTTAGAACATTCAGACCAAAAGCACGTTGCCGAGGGCATCGTGTCAAGGATCCGGCCCAATTGCCAGCTGAAGGCGCGCCCACAACGTGTAGGGCTCTGCCAAGGCTTTCTGTAATCATCCTCTGAGGCTCATCGACGAGGATTAAGGATAAATTGTCGTCGTTTTTGACGTTGACGACGAGACTTGTGCTGCAAACTTGGTATGGAGCGAGCGTTCCACCTTCCCGGCATCTTCGTCCTCTTCTGCTCGTTCGTGTTACTATTCCTCGTTTCTGTCTCCCTCCCGTTCATTGACCCGCTCGACTATGTGCGTGTGTACATCTACAATGGCATCGTCACGACCACAGCGAATGGGACTGCCATCTCCGAAATTCGTGTGCGTGCTTCATCGAGGTGTAGTCCGTTTACGTGCTCACGGTTTAGGTCGTTACAGTTCGGGTTGTGGTGCGTGGGGCAATATCACGGAAGGTCGGGGCACTGAGAACCTGCAGGGCTAACTGCCGGTACGAGATTGTGTCCGGACACCGTGTATGCTCGTCTGCAGGTATGTTGGAATATCGCCTCCCACTCCTGCGCGGAACCTTTTAACACTTCCCAGCGGACGGATACACTACGACGCTCTACACCAATGGCGGGGCTAGCGAGGTGACCGTTGGATCCTCCTGGACGCGTGGGCTCGTTGCGCACCCCATTGGTGAGCAGTCCGCTCACTGAGCCCTTGCACCCACGTACCGCTTACCTTAGCCCAGCGACGGGTGTGTCCCTTCTCGCGCTGCTCTTGTCGTTTTTCACACACCCCACCATCACCTTCCTGACGTACGTCCTCGCGTTCCTCGCGTTTCTCATTGCGCTCGTCGCGTTCTTCGCCGACGTTGCGCTCTACGCGTATGTGCAACGCCAGATCAGGCTCCTGCCAGATGTCAGCGCTGGCACGCGCGTCGAGGCCGGTGCGTGTTCTTACGCCCTCTTCGCTCTTGCGTACGTGCTTGACAGTTGCGCTTGCGATTTCTAGCGTTCATTATGACTATCGTCGCGGTCGTACTTCTCTTCCTCGCGGGCTTCTCGATATGGCTTGGCCGCCGCCGTGCACGCATGGCCGGTGCGACGAGCTACAAGATGCCTTCGAATCGCGTCAGGGCACCGCGCCGCGTGTGGAACTGGAGACGGCCTTGGCGTGGACGGACACGGGCACGAGCGTGACCGAACGTCCAGCCCAATTTTACTTAGGACGACCTAGGACGACGATTTATGACCAGGTCTCATGCTACTCGAGGTTGCATGAGACCTACGGAATGGCATGCTCTAATTTACGACTGCTAATTTGTTATAGTTGCTTAGATGTCTTCCGTTCCCAATTCTGTATATGAAGTGGACATACATGTTTGCCACCTATTTCCTGCTTGCACTTAGAGAGTAGGGAGGCGTAGCCTTGCCCGCGAGCAACCAACACGTTCACAGCAGCGGAAGCGTTCACCATCCATTCCTCAATTCCCGTGTAGGTTAAGTAGATTTGCGGTAATAATTGGGCTGTGCGACAATCTCCGCACGCAGTATCCGCCGAAGCGAAATAGAGTACAAGGTTTACAGACTTCTCCGTTCTCGCCTTCGTGACTCATCTCCCCGTATCAGTGGAAATAGTTGGTCGCACACGGCATCACAGAGAGCCACGCTTCGTCCAACACCTGGATAACATCCTCCGCTACGCCAACGCAATGAAGTCAGCCACTATGAGAGAGCACCAACGCTGCAACACTCACGCAACGGCCCTTTCTCGAGATCAATCATATTCTACACGACCCAGACATTCAGACATTCAGCATCAAGACGTTAATACTGCCACGCACCTGCTCGATATGGTTCAGACTCGACGCGCCGATGAGCACAGCGTCGCCATACTCGCGCTTCATGAGGCTGTGGTGAGAGATCCAGCGCAGCGCGATTTCGGCCATCGTCAGCCCGTGCGCCTGCGCGGTTGCCTCGATCGCGGCGACTGCTTTGAAGTACGGGTCGTTCCAGTAGCTGTTGGCAACTTAGTTGGGCACTTCTACCGGCGCTGGCGGACTCCTTACCGGGCACGGTAATTCTGAAGAGTGCATGAGGTTGGAGAGATCGAGAAGGAGAGATTGTGTATGGACGTACCTTGCCTTGGCCCTTCGCAGGGTCGAACCTCGAGCCAGGCTCTACGGTTTCATCTGCTGAATGATACCTTCCGGTGAAGAAACCGCCACCCACTAGACATATCACATTTAAACAGAATTGGGATGTGGGAAAGAGGGTACACACATGGATTGAACTCATAAAAACTGATCCCGTACTTCCTCAAGCACGGAAAGAGCTCCGGTTCCACTTTCCTTTGGAGACACTCAGCGACCGCCCTTCGAATGTCAACAAGAATAGAGCGTGACACCGACCGGTGGATAGCATTATAGATGCCCTGATATGCCGTGGGCTGGATGTACCCGTTTGCCCCGCAGATCTGTACGATCTCGGCAACTTCCCATCTACAGCACGATTAGTATTTGATACAACGGCACTGAAAGCGAAGGCTGACGCCATGTAGTTGCTAATGCCGAAGCGCCTGAACTTGCCCTCCTTGTAGAGCTCATTGACCGTCTTGAGCGTCACTTCATACGGAGTAGTGCGATCGGGGCCGTGCAAGTACCACATTTCAAGCTGACTGTATATATGTTATGAAGTGAGCGTATACTACGAGGCAATATGATATGGTACGTACTCGGTATTCAATGCCTTGAGGGAGACGTCAAGGTATTTACGCAAGTCCTGACGAGGGGAGCAGACGTAAGGATGCAGAGCAATATGATCGGTGGCCTGCACAAACCTCAGGAGAGTGAGAGATCAGTTCTCTCCCGGGAAGTTGCAGTCGCGTGTTCGACTATACAGCATCATTAATTCAGCGAGGCTGGCACACACTGGAATGGGCTGACGCACGACGTTAGGATAGAGCTTCGTCTCGAGCTTCAGCCCGCGCTTCTTCCAGTTTATCTTTCCGAGGTACTGCTCGCTGGTCCCACCAGCGTACCCTCGGGCGGTGTCGATCTATTCACGCGAGCGTCAGACGCTATCTAGCCGGAGGTTGAACCGACCATCATACCTCGACATGGCCATGAGCTTGGAAAACATCCAAGATCGCTTCCACCTCTTTCAGGTCGTACACTCTGGCACCTGGATAGGAGAACCGCCCTCCATGTCTGGATCAACAATGTAAAGGACAAGCTACCGACCTTCCTTGCCCTCCTCACCAAACGTCATCGCCCCCTACAGTACCGTGGACATATATCTTTAACTCAGACTTTCAAACGTGAGGCCACAATCTAAAGACATTACCATCACAACATTTAGTGCACTCTTCTGGTTCGGATACGGAGCAGTCATGTTCAAGTTGGCGTATGAAGCACAAAGAACGAGCCTGGAAGACTGTATTTATAAGCACTGTGCCACCCATTCTGAAGAGCGCGCGTTCTCCGCTGAAGAGGAGCAACGATAACATCATGAGCGTTACGATGGCATTACGGTCCGCCTACGGCCTTTCGGGACGCGTTGAGTCACGTGCTCCGGACAACGAGTAGCCGACAACGGGAGAATACGGGTAAGGCTGAGCAAACGGCACTGACTGCTATGTGGAGGTTAGCCCTGTCAGGGTCTTGGGAACAACTATGACTTCGCTTGTAGCAAAATCGTGACGATACTGAATTGAGTCCCTGCCGCTAGAGAATGATAGACGATTCGAATATCGTACAGGAAATGCACAGACGAACAATCAGCTTATGGATTGTCTGGATGAAAACTATGCGCTATAAGAGAGCAGTCCATGTGAGATATGCGACGAGTCTGGCAAGGTGTGAGTAGCTGCACCGTAGAGGGAAACGACAAATACATACAACACGCAGACCGCTTCACGATTACAACTGCTTTGCTTGCCCCGAGACCTCAGCATGCTGCTTCTCCAACTCGGCCTGTACGTCGTAGATGAGTACAGCTTCCTATAGCACATGTACAGCAGTCTCACCAGCTCAGCCTTCTTCTTCTCAATCTATTGCGTAGAGGGTAGAAACAACTAGTCAGGGACTAATTTTAACACTTTCAGAAAGCCAACACACCGCAGCCTTCAGCTTCTTCAGCTGCTCCGCTTCGTGAGTACGAGCATACTGGTCTACAGGAGCCAGAAATTAGTGAATGGGCGCACACAGATATATCATAGCATCCTCACCTTCCTGTGCCTTCTCTCTCTTGCTTTTTTTTCGCCAACGCGGAATTGAGCACGGTCATCGGCCGGAACATAACGAAGATACACTCACTCAAAAACACCGCCCTGCTCAGTGTAGAACCGCACTGTTGTCGGTGCAGTGCGCGGTAGGTAACGTACAGAGGTGGGCTTGATTCTTCTGGCAAGCATTATGGCGGTGGTGGGGAGAAGGCAGAAGACGCAGCTTGGCTCTTAATGCCAGAAGTTCGGCCGTACCGAGGCCAACCGAGGCGGGATGTGACGATCCCGTCACGTCACCCTAATTCCTTCACCATGTCCCTCACCGTCGTCAGGCAGGCATCCAGCGTCGTACGTTCTCTCGTTGGTTAATTGTAGAGTACTACCCAACAATGGTGCCTACAGGCTCGCGCGGCTTCCCGCTCCTGCGCTTTCTCCACCTCGGCCATCGCGCGGAAAGGTACGTGACGGATCTTAGCATGGAGACATTCTAGCTCACTGGATACGCAGATCTCGTGCAGGAGCTGTATCTGAAGGAACTTAAGGCTTACAAGCCCGCCCCTGCGGTATGTGTATCTCGACCCCGCGATAACGTGTAACGGCTCACGCGTCTTCACCGTCCAGGCAAAAGACGCTCACCTCGGTGCCGTGAAGGCGTACTCGCTGCCCCCCGTGCCCAAGCCGCCCACTCTTCCCGCAGACCTCGCAGCCGAGCTGTCGGCGTATGATGCGGTCGAGCCTGTGAGCGCTGCAGCCAAGGATCCCGTTACATCGACGGAGCATGTGAGCACCGGTGCCGACACGTTCCTCGCGTTCCTCGAGGCGGATGAGCCGCAGGAAGAAAAGCACCACTAGCAGTGATGACCATTTTGTTTTTGGTGTGAAATAGAATGTGTTCGACACCCGTGGTTGTGATATTCGTGGCCTTCTGAAAGCCTCCTTCAGTGCATTGAACACATCTTCCGTCCTAACCCGATTTATTGCTGTTTCCAAGAAATATGTTGCACGGCCAAATACACACAATTTTGGCCTCGATGACCTAAAATTATTTCCTCAGCGGTCAGGCCATTTCTCTTGATTCTTGCATATTTAGACTCTCCTCAACAGTGTGCAGGGCATGGTGTCAAGAAGTATGCCTTTTTCTCACTTTTGCTGTTCTTGGCAGACTCCTCCCAGTCAGAATTGGCTAGAGTGCCATTTGGCAGGCTGGAGGACATTGGAAAGTAGTGGAGGTATTTGAGGAGGATGATACACAGGGCAGAGACATGAATTTATGAGAGGGATCACGTACAGTGTCCAATCCATTCGATGCACAGCAAGTCAATTCTGAGCGAGTGTAACGAGTCGATGACCACCAGAGTACCAAGTGTGAGATGGATGGATCTCTTGGTACCTGCCCTGCACGCTGACTAGAAGAGTCCAAATATGCAAGAATCGAGAGAAACGGCCCAGCCGTTGAGGAGATATGTGTGTTCAAAATTTGAGGGCGGGGCGGAATTTTGTGTATGTCGCCGCACGACTTTTTTGGGAACCGCAATACCGAAGGTGCGCGAATCCAGTCCGTCTGAGATGAGATGAGATAACCGTATGTATACTCCATACGGGCGTGGTTCTATTGTAAGATTATGCATGAGATACAATGCAGATGCGGAATGTAAATAAATGTGGTCTGTGGTGACTCTGTGGTGAGAGATGACGGATGCACGAAAGCGGGGGAGAATCGCGGTAGATGGTAGCAAAGCATGACATTACCCGTCAGCCGTGTCGGAGTCAATCCTAAACCCGGCGGAAAAGCAAAGCGAAATGTCTACGAGAAGAAGTAGAGAGAATTCTTGATGGTGTTCACGTCGAACTCACCCTTCTGCGGCAGAGGCGGCAGGATGTCTACCAGTTCGACGAACTTGCCGGTGAAGCCAGCCGCCTTCGCAACTGCTACTGAATCTGTAGTACATGTCGACGCCTTCTTCTTTTTCTTCGGCGCTTCTTCATCGTTGGCCACAGCTTCGGCATCCACTTCAATCACCTCCTCGCCCGACGCCTCCGCCTCCGCTTTCGCGTCTCCTGGGAAGGTCAGCACGGCATCCTCGCCGGGCAAATTGGCGACGTTGTCAGAGGCTTCAGTACCGGCGAGGTTGTGTTTGCTGATCAGCCTCCCATATCTGAGATGGATCACCGGCACTTTGTAACCCTTGTACCGTTCCCGGAACTTGGCAAACGACACCTTGTTAACTTCTGATAATATGAGCACAGTAGAAAAAGTCGCGTACCTCTTCGAAGAGCTTGGTCAGCACGTCCGATGAGTGTAACGCAATGAAGGTTTCCCGAATGATGGCAGACATCTGATCTATACTGCCTGCGTGCGTCCAGTATGAATCATGTACTGAGGCAAAGGTGATGCCTTGAGACTAGATCCTCTGCAGTCAGCGCAAAATCACAGAATGCACAACTGTCAACGTACCCTGCACTCAAGAGCGGTCAGCATCATGTGTGTTGCATCAAGACTGTGAATGAAGTTTGGCGGGAACGCAGAAGCCTGCTTGGCGGCGTTGACTGCGGTTTCATTGATTAGATCGTGTGCGAGAGCGGTGCATTGCTGCTGTACTTACCTGCGGTAGGAACATTGGGATCGGAAATGTAAACCGTCTGCAAGGCAGTCATAATCTGTTTGCGCTTGATAGACCTGTACGGCTGAACGATGGGCAACCCCAACGGCGTGGTCCAGACGACACTTGTCATCTGCTCCTTCCTCAGACGGTCCGCGCTCACCATTCTCGGGCCTCTACGGATGACATCACCCGCGGTGGATATACCCTCAGCGGAACGTAGACGATCGGGTGGTATTGATTTCGCAATGAGACGTGCAGAGATGTTCAACCAGCTTTGAATCTCGTTCGCGCCCTTAAAGAGATTACCAATGGACGCAAGAACCTGCGAAAGGATGCTTCGTGAGGAGAGAAATGAGGAGTATGCGACGCCATATAGAACCTTTTTCGCGATGTATGACGCTGCCAACCAGCATTCCTCAGCCGGGATGTCTCCCCTGTCCTTCAGCTGCTTTTCTATTTGCTCGCGAGCGCCAACGAAGGTAACGCCATAGACGGTGGTCATCACCTAAACGTAAACAGGATGTCAAGGCATCTGCACTCAATCAAAAGTTGGTAAAATCTAACCGTTTGCTTGACAACTTTCCTGGAGATCTTTCCATCAAGCATCTTAGCATACTTATGGCCCTTCTTCAAATCCTTCTGCATGAGCTGGGCTACCATAGTAGCCACGTGGGTGTATACATCCGATGGCTTCTCCGTGACGTCCAGATTGACTTGTTTGGCGCCTGTTGCATCACCGCCCAAAGCAGCATAATGTTGCAGGCCGTTACAAGTTCCATCCTGATGGACGGGAAGGGCACATTCATACTCAAGGGGATTCGGAGAATCCAACGCTGCCTTGAATTCCATACAGGTTGCGAGACATTGCCAAGGATCATCCGCAAGCTTCCACCAACCGCGGCCCTGACAGCAACAAACGCAAGTCAGCAAGGGAGAAGAATGACGCGAACGACAGCAACTCACATCGAGCGGTTTCTCCGCGCTGTCGAAAATATCCTCCAGATGTGCGTCGACAAATTCAACGCGTTCGTCGAAATTAGCCTTGTCGAACCCGTACAGGTTAGCCAGATGAATTTTGAGCCATCGCAGACCACGCTCTCCTAGAGGCTTTGCCTCCTGGAACTTGAGAAGACCTCGGCTCAGATCATCGCCTATATGGCTCAGATGAGGTGGTAAAGGATATGCACGGCCACGGAAATCGAGATTGTGAGGGAAGTAGATGGTGTCGCCCAAAAACTAGTTAGTAACAGATCGATCAGTGACCCGCATGTAAATATTAAGGACAATACGCACAGCCCTTGCGATCTCAATCTTATAGTTCACACTACACCTATCGGAGTGGTTGTTCGCCTTACCATGGAGGTAAGCCTTCTGCCTTTGAATGTAAATCATCCGTGCCTTGGGATCGGATTCGAAGTTTTCCGGTTTCTTGGGCTCTGGTGCATCATAGACTGCGGGTGGAATCTTCGACAATCGTTCTCCGGAGTTCCATACCTGTAGGACGACGTCGAAAATCTGACGGTTGATTTGCCACGGTGTGCTGCCCAAAACGTCCAACCCGGCATAAACTAATTCCAGATTTCCTTGCGAAGATGCATGGCGGAGGTAGCTTTGCTGTTCCTGCGACTCTTTGAATCGCATGACCGACGCTGGAAGCCGAAACAATTGATAAGGAACGAAGTCAGGAATATGCGACAGAGACGTACGCACACTTATTGTACAGATAGCCACCTTGGTCATAATCCAACCAAGGTTTCGGCTTGACCAACATGGGAAGGTGCCGTGGATGCAAGGTCTCTGACACTGTGTCTTTCGCCATACGATCCATGAGCACGGGGTTAAGCTTTATGACACCGAGCTTGTGTCCACGCAGGTACTCGTATGAGTGGAAGAACGCGGGTTGCTCTTCGGTACTGGGATTACGATAAGATCGACTGAGAATTTGTGAGACGAATCTCTTCACTTACACCAACTCTCCGGTCCGACGATCCGTGGCAGAGCGCATGACAGTGGCAACATCCATGAGACAGTCAACGAGGAAGCTCCCAATCTTCACTCGAACGAGTTGCGACCACTCTGCTGCCCAGTCTTCCGAATTCAACGAGTGCTTGCTAGCGGCGAGGCGGCGCGTATACAAGTCCCGGTAGCCCAAACCAGTGAAAAAGCTGTCTGGTCGATGAAGGTTTACAGTCGGTACTGCAATGTTGTTCTTCTTGCACATTTCTGCCTTGTGCTCTAACTCAACTGCTCGTCCAACGGCCAAGAGTGCCCGAGCAGTTTTCATCCCGTCAGATACACCGCCGGAACCTTGCAGATGCATGAGCTCCAGTATGGTGATAAGTGACAACTTCTCCGGCTTAAGGAGTGAAAGGAAAGGGCTCAAGCCAACGACCCGCCTCACTTCGCCAGCCCCTATAAAGATGATCAATATATGGCATCATTGACGGCGGAGGAAAGAAAGATACATACCGACTTGCACCCCATCGTTTAGACCCCGTTCGCTTACTTCCAAGTTCGCGATCTCCGCCTTGAGACGCACTTGAAGTTTCTGATGCCAATTCCACATCCATGTCCGCAAGTCGACATCGTGCAGGTGTTTGTTGCCGAGACCGAGTTCATCGAGTACTTCAGCCTGATGCTTGAGCCGCTGCACCGCAACATCGTAGACAGACTCTTCCAATAGTTTCTGGCGGGCAGCAACGTCCTCCGGAAGAACTCGTCGGGCGAAGATGATTTGCGATAGGTGCCTTCGAAGGGTCTCCAGGTTGAAAGGCACCTCATACTCCGGCTCCTGGACGTTGCCGGGAGCAATGTCAACGACGCTGCCGTCTTCCGAATGGGTCACCTGAATGTCCTGTTTCTACTTCAAAGTCAGAGACAACTCCGCAAGTGACACCACAAGGAGACTCACTTTTAAGCGCATGACCGGTTTTGCCTGCGGCACGTCGTCCAAAGGGTCAGTAGTCTGCCTGCCAAGCGACTCCGCCATCCCAAGCTCATTGACGACCTTGGATAGATCCAACTCCACAGCAGCTTTTGAGAGCAGCGTAATGATACTTGACGCATCTTCCGAGCTGGTGATAGCACGATCCGAGACAACCAGCGTAGCAGGTATCTGTCGGTTGATCATGCTTCGCAACAGCGCCGCAGGATTATAGGTCTTGACCACGACGTTGATGGGATCCGCCGAATCGGGTCCGAACCGATGCCACGCTTGCAACATGATCGCGTATGTATTCGCAGTCGGCTGCACCTTTACCTTCTCGCACTCCATATCGTCGTACAGCGCCCACGCATCCTCCAGCCACAGAATGTGGCCGACCCCGTCCGTCTCTTTTGAAACCATTCGTATGTATGCATCCAAAAGCGCATTGTACACTCGAGCGTCGAGGACGGCTTCCCCCCTGCTCGTGGCCCGCAGGCGGTGGAAGATTTCCTTAGCGCGTGCAACGTCATACAAGTTGTGAAGACAGGCGTCCATGACCGAGACAAAATCCTGAGTTGGCGAGTCGGTAAAATATAAATCATTTAGAGGAGTAGTCTCGCCGCTTGGTAGGGGAGTCGGGAGGATGGTGTACGGCATGCGACGCCGCAGGAAGCCGTCCATTGCGTTGTGTGCATCCTCGGGCGTCGTTGATGAGGGTGCAGTCGAGGATGCAGAGGGTGCAGCCGAGGGTGCAGTGGGTGACAGCATGTATGCTGGGTACGCATCTGATGGAGCATACGAAGTACCTAGCGCAGGCGCATTTGCCCTTTTGGAGGGCGTAGAATAGAGACGTGCAGGCCTAGGGAGACTCTGCCGGGAGTACGACAGCAAAGTCGTCTCCATTTTGCGAGCACCATTGGCTCGTGCGCAAGTAATCATTTTGAGAATTTAGCCGGCCAGACGACAACGAGAATCAATCCAGGAGCCTGTAGCAAGGATGGGCGTGCGGAGGAGGAGACCGGCGTCTGCCTGAAATTCTGAGGAATTTTCTCAGCCACAATTTTATTTGCACAAACCAAATGCTGATGCATGCACCAGGCCCTTATCCAGTTCTCGACAGCAGCACTACCGCAAAAGTCAACTTTTGGTAGCTCCCTTATCTTCTTAATTGAAGAGGTCCTCTTTCTCATTTGGGCAATTAAAATCAATAAGGGTGAATAATGGAGGAATAGGAGAAGCTTGAACCTCCTTATTTTTCCTTAATGAAGGAAAATAACTCCGATAAGCAAAAGTTTTGACTTTTGCTGATGCAGTCTGTCACACCACAAAATGTGTGGGCACTCTGACTATAGGTGAGTGCGCATGGCAAATTAATTAAATTAATTCAAGAGGAAGAAGAGAATACACAACAAGCGAAGGCCTGTCTTCCTCCCTTCAAGGGACATCCTACACAAGATTTAACGAGGCTCTCTGCTTGTCCGAAAAGAGGACCTTAAATTAAGACTGGGCACTCAATCTAATCAAATCTTTCTGCTGGAGGTTCTTGTCTGATCATTGTTGTCATTTGTTATATTCCTAGTACCAGCATTCTGCAGACTCTCTGAAGTTGGGAGCTTCACTAAGTGCTAGTGTGCTACCTTTTGCCATGCTGAGATCTGTATGTTGAAGAATGCATGCCTATTGGATTCAGTGAATCAATAGTGCACTTGTGGGCAGTTTGAATGTTACTCAAAATTTTCAGTGCTGTGAGGCCACAAAAATATATGTGCCAGCCTGTGAGGTATATTGATAATACTAAAATATTTACATACCACTGCCTACATCAGGAAAACCCAGCTTTCTCTTATGGACTTATTTAGACTTTTGGGTCTGAGAACCCTTATTTAAGGCCATAAGGCCCTGTTCGGGATCCCGATAATCCGGCCGCTGTAGAATCCTCTGCCCGCCAAAAGTTAAATGGACTCCAGAATGCCCAATACGGCTACAGATAAGATGAGATCCCATGTTGCCGGGGATTTGCTGCTCACGTGTTAAAGTCGAGACTGGTCACGACAGACCGAGACTGATGTGGAATTAGCCAATCGGTTGCTCGGCAAATCACGCCCCTTCCCAATGAAGATGTCGGTCAGGGCTCGGTTGAGGCTCAGGCACCTAAGCTAGGGTTAGAGGCTCTGGGCCAACGGTCTTTTCATCACATGACAGGTGTGCGATAATCTCTGCGCTGTTTTGGGACATTGCTAGAGTGGCTCTATAATGATTATCGGGATCCCGAACAGGGCCTAAGTTAGTAAGTGTTCAAATAAGTCGAATTTCAGACACTCAGGGAATATGCCTTAGGCCCTTTTTGTCCTTATATCCTTAAATAAGGACCATAAGTCCATTTAAGTTATTTAAGTGTCCTTTTAAGGAAAAGTGGGGTTTTCCTGATGTATGCAATAGAGCATGCTGACACAATATACAAGCTGGTAAATATAGATACATAGAACTAAAACACCTTGTGTGCTGGGGAAAGTCAATCAATGTCTCAAATGCAGAGATCACAGTAAATATATTCAGGCAGCATGTACAGTGTTTCTACATAAACAGGAAACTGCCAACTACCAAGGGAGTGCAGCATTTTGAGTACCATGTTTGTACCCTGGCTGAAGATACTGTAGCGAAACGACCTTAGGTTCAGTCACGGGTCACAGCCCTTGTGAACTGAACCTATTTGGGCGCTTGTCACGGGTCACAGGTAATTATGAACCGGTCCAACAGAATGGTCACAAGCGCTAAATATTCGTTTGCGGGCACTTATCTGTAGCGTGAGTGACGGCTGACCCGAATGTGTGAGGCTTTACATGCAATATATTGCATGCTCAGAATCACTGTAGCTTGTACTACCATACAGTCTGGTTGTATAATGAGCCATCAAGCTTGAGGGAAATCCGACTTCCAACCTCCACGGGCGCCTGCAGCGCCAGTGAACTGAACTAGTGTCCCATGTCACACTGACTTGTGAACTGTGAACTAAGTCAAGCCAGCATGTCATGGGTCACACCCCGTGAACCTAAGGTCATTTCGCTACAGTATGGGCGGTACAAGAATTAGTCAGCAAGTTCTGCACCAAAACGAGTAAGTCTCCCGGCCCAAATGCAGTAAGTCAATTCAAACTCAGTTAGGACCTAGTAGCACTACTATGCCAGACCGCTCAGTCGGCGCACCTCCCTACTCGGCGCACCATATATAGGCAAGAAATATGCATTACGCGAGACCAGGCGCCCACATCCAAGCCCAACAGTGCTCTCTGATTGGTGGAAACCCTGAAAGTGCCGATTAGGGGGGTGCGCCGACTGAGCGGTCTGGCATAGTACACCTATAGTTAGAGTGCCAAATGTAATCAAAGTCGTGGGAATAACCCAATATTTCTCTTCGGCTCGCCTGCGGCATGTTACCGTTTGATAGTTAGCGCACCACTCGATCTCTCTCTAAGTGGTCATTTTTGTCCAAATACCTCACCTATATAAGATATGCCTCATTCATACGCGACCACTCCGCGTGGCAACTGATTTGCATTCTCTTCGACAACAACGTTAATTAAAGAAAATCGGCTCCGGCAGAAATTATGGTATTCGCCACAGCTAAAATTGTGCGGGAACTGATTCTTCAGAGCATCGAGGTGTGAGGAGAATCGACAACACCGGCCACGTGGTAGTAGTCGTGTATGAATGAGGCATATCTTAGTAGATACATGGGTTAATTTATTCTTTAATTAAAAATTTTACAGCTGAGTAGAGACCAGGAACATGACCAGAATTTTTCTTACATGCCTTTTCGAAAATTCCAAAAAGGCAAATTTCCGCCGGAGTGGTACAGTATCTTGGGTTTTAGCCTCACAATCGTCGGCGGAAGCTTTTGGCTGAAACCTCCGGTGGAGTTGCGGCCCGGGTCGTCTTCCCAATGACTTCCCTCCTGACTTTTATCGCCGCCACCACGTTTGCGAACTACAATACATTTTATACTGAGTGCGATCTAAATATTGGTGAGTTCCCATGCCCCATCTCTGCGGTCCGCTCTGGCACTAACTTCGGGAAATAACCTCGGACTCCTACCGGAAGGTGGAAACTTGAGTGCGAAGCATGGGAGACGCCGTGACATAACTGTTGACGCTGGACAGGTACGTGCAGTCGACCGTAGACCCTGATCCACTGGCCGATAACCTCGTAAGTCACAGATAAACAAGGGGGACGATTTTGAGGTGCCATTCCGTCTCTGTCATCTCGACATACACCATGGCGCAATCAGAGAACGTCGTCCTCGTAACTGGTGCGGCAGGCTGGTTGGGCAGCTTGGTATGCCAGCCTCGCCCCCCTGCGTACCGGCATCTAACGTGAACGTTGCATAGGTATCAAGGGCGCTGACGGAAGATCCAAAAACGCCCGACGTGCGTCTGATCCTCGCCGATGTTGTCGAGCCCAATGCGCCGTCCGCAAACGCGATCGTGCTCAAAACAGACTTGACGGATCCGAGCCAGGTCACCGCGTTGTTCCAAACAGCATACGGGGTGCCCGACACGGTGTATTGTCTCCACGGGATCATGTCCCGTGGGTCAGAGGACAACTTTGACCTCGGGCTACAGGTGCATTTCCTTCGGTACCTATTTACCGAACTGTTCACTTAGGGAAGGTTTAGGTCAACGTCGAGTCCATACGATCTGTGCTGGATGCAGCGCGCCATTGCGGCGCCGCCGTAGGCCGTCCGATCAAATTCATCTTCACGTCATCACTCGCGGTATACGGTGGTACTTTGGTGAGCGCAATGTAGGTGATCCAAGTGCATGCACCCATTTGACCTGACAGCCTGACGTGGTGACACCCACCACGATTGCGACGCCCGAGAGCGCGTACGGCACTGGCAAGCTGATATCAGAGCTGCTCATCAACGAGTACACACGGCGCGGGTATATCGATGGGCGCATCCTCCGCCTCCCAACGATCGTCGTCCGCCCCGGTGCGCCCTCCGCCGCCACATCATCCTTCCTCTCCGGTGCGTGTTTACTCTCTCGATCTCTCGATCTCATTCCCATCGCGTGCACAGGCATCATCCGCGAGCCGCTGCACGGCAAGCCGTCTGTCTGCCCCATCGGCGACAGCCTGGACTCACCCGCGCTCGAGCTCGCGGCGTGGCTCGCGAGCCCGACGACGACGATCCGCAATCTCGTGCGTGCGAAGCACGTCCCCGTCGCTGCGTTTCTCCCGCATACGCGCGTCGTGTGCGCGCCCGGGTTCACCGCGACCGTCCGCGAGATGCTCGCCGCGCTCGATGCAGTCGGTGGGAAGGAGGCTCTCGCACGCGTCAACTTCAAGGACGACCCTGTCAATCGCCGTGTCGTGAGCTCGTGGCCGGCGCGCTTCGACAATACGTATGCGCTTGGGCTGGGATTCACCGGGGATCAAGGGGGGATGCGGGCGGTGGTGGAGAGCTTTGCGGAGGAGGTAAAGGCGGGGCGGGCGTAGCATCTATGGTGAAGGTTGTCAAACTATATCCCGTGCTACGTGGATTTGGCAAATACGTCTTGTATACTTGATTCCCGTTCAAACTGAAGACACGTGAAAGGTACCATTTTCTGCAGACCAAGCGTAATCCGGGATCGATAGCGCCTTAATAAGTGAGAGAGACTGAACGTTTCGAAGGGGGAAGACGCTGGTGAAGAAAATGAAATTGGTGTGTTTGCAGGATCCCGGTGAGAACGCGTAATGCATGTTAAGGATATGGGCATTCACTTACTTGGAGAGGGTGCTTGGAGGTTGTCCCCGGCCGTCCAAAAATGTCCGCACTACCAGATCGGACATGGCTGGCGACGGTCCAACTATGTCCGCACAGTGGATCGGGTGGAGTGCCAGGATTTTGCCTGTTTTACCGCGAGAGGCGAGGCACAGCCCATGTAAAAGGCAAACTTAGCACATGCTAATGACGGTACGTGGAATTGCGACACCGACGGTGGCCAGATTTGGGGGTCACTTCTACCCGCATCCGCATCGGACATGTTGCAGCATATGCCGGAACAATATTGCGCCTGCGGGGTCAAATCTGGCTTCAAAATATCCATTGTTCCTTCCACTCGTCCCGACACAGATGTATCTGGTACTTCTCTTCCAGTAAATGGGACGTTCTCAGGTTTCGGCTTCAAGAACCACTGAACCCCCGATACAAGTAAGCCTTTTGGTTCTCAGTTCGGACAAATCTAAACGCGTTAAGGCTATTGAGGTCAGGCCTTCGGGGCGTGAACGTTTAAAGGCTGGACTGAACCTCCCTCTACAGTGCTGGAGTGGACTGGGCATTCAAACATTCAAAGTTCAAACCAAGGTTCAGGCCTTCAGGACTGAACTTTGTCAACGATAAAATATCCAATTCAACCAGTAGGATTCAATCCCAACAAGTTATAAGCCCCGTCCGCACAAGATAACGTATGTTCAAGAGTTGATCCAGAATGACCATTCACCCACCCACTCTTGTAGCTCGAGGACTTTCTTTTGTACGCAATGGTTCCCTTTGGAAATTTTTTGCGCAATATGGTGGGTACTCCGCGAACAACTCGAGCTTTGCCTCCATTGATATGCCACTGCAATTCTTAGCACGCTCGTATGTCATAGGCATTTTGGACGAAGGCCTTGTACACGGGCAGCTCCATATTGAAGACTCGAGAGGGAATTTTATTTTTGGTTCCCTTCTACCCAACCGTGACCCTGTGATCCTGGTCGTTAAAAACGACGACATGTGGGCTCGTATCGTCCTCTCGCTCGACATGGGTCGTGAGTGCTATTTGGCATATTGTTGAAAGTTCCCTCGTGACGTATTTGTTAGTGTCCGAAGCTTACATTAATGGTGACTTTGACATCTCCAGTCTCAAAGGACTCTTTGATGTACGCACAGCCAATGTCATCTCTCTTGTACAGCGGTTGACGATGCTCGTATTCAAGTTATGGTTAGACAACCGCCACACGCTCTCTGGATTGTCGACCGTATTCAGTAATATCATCGCCTTCATGTCTTCCATTGCGATCAGAGCTCTAGGACGGCAAAACCTAGTCATGGCCCTTCAGAATGTGGTCAGAGTCTACTTTATATATCTTGTGTCTCGTGCCCTTAACTTTCTATTAGGCTGTCGCTTATGATACCAGCAACGAATTTTTCCAGGTGAACTCCCCTATACTTGTTGTGATCACATAACATCTGCTGATTACTTAACAGTGCTTCTTGAGTGAGGAGATGATGTATTCCTGCGCACTCTTTGGTGACGAAGAGCACGGAGTCCGGGGGGACCTCACTTCCGAATGGAATGAAGATGACCTCCACAAAGCCCAAATTCGGAAGATACACCATGTCCTGCGCAAGGTTCGCGCTGCTCCTGGGACTCGGCTTCTAGAAATTGGTACTGGGTGGGGAGGGATGGCTATCGAGGTATGCTAACGTCAGTACAAGTGAAAGAGACTCGCTCATCTCTACGACGCAGGCAGCGCGTCTTGGATGCACTGTTGATACAGTCACGTTGTCAGTCCCACAGAAATCCATGGCCGAGGAACATGCCGCCGCCGCCGGTGTAAGCGAGCGCGTGCGCGTTCACCTACTTGACTACCGTAAGCTCCCTGCGGCATTCGAAGGAGCATTCGACTGTTTTGTCAGTTGCGAGATGGTCGAGGTGTGTGGACTTCTGAACTACCCCTATGCATTCGGCTTAGAGCATGGTACGGCAGGCCGTTGGACTGAAGGAGCATCCGACATTCTTCAAAGTCATCGACTGGGCGCTGAAGCCTGACAAGGGAGCTGCCGTCATCACTGCCACCGCTCAGCCGGAGTTCCGTTACTCAGAGTTTCAGTAAGTTGAGCTCCTGAATTTTGTCTAGTGCTTCTATTATCAGCATCTTACAGAGCCGATGATTTTGCGCGCCACTATCACTGGCCAAACTCGTTTCTCCCCAATGCTACCTACTTCGCTGTGGCGGCTCAAGAGTCCGTGGAAGGGCGGCTCGTGTTGGATAGTGTTGAAAATCATGCGCAGCGTAAGTGTAACATCTAGAGCCTGGATGATGCCCTGACATACTTTTTTCGAATTGAAGATTATCCTCGTACCCTGCGCGAATGGGAGAGGTGATTGCTCTCAACCAGTCCTAACCTATTGTATCGCTAACCCCTCCCCCCCTGAAGACGATTTGAGAGGAACTTCCGAGATAAAGTTATTAGTAGCCTCGTTGTGCAACATCCGGAGCTCGTTGATCCGCGAAACCTGGAAGCTTTTCGCCGCAAGTGGATCTATATGTTTGAATACGCCGCGGCGGGCTTTGCTAGAGGGTATACCGCGCTCAATTTCTGGGCCTTCGCTAGACCTGTTCGTCGCCCGTTCCTTTCGGCTCTTCGAAAGCTGACAGCTCTCACAAGGAATACGTTGCTGAACAGTGTGACTGAATTGTTGGACATTCGCTCCTGCAAAGTCCGCGGTTCCATGTCCTCCACATGCACCCCAGTGATATACAGATATAGATATTCTTTCTTGTTTCGGTTCTCTGCTCAAATTTGAGTCTTCAAATACATATAGAATAAATTTTGTCACAATACTTATCATAGACTTGCAAGCTCGAGGAAAGTTCGAATTCATTTTCTACCTAAGAATATAAGTGTTTGCCGCGGCGTGCGATGCTGCCCAGGACCGCAGCTGTAGAAGCTGATAGGATTCAACAACTGACATTCTGCTTGGGCCTTCGTTCCTTGAGATATCCGTGTCTGGCCGCTCAGTTAACGGTGAACATTTAAACTCCCAATATATCTGTCCTTCTGCCTCCGAGTCTGGCTTCTATGCGTCTGATACAGCAAATATTCATAGGTCACCGGTGGAGCACCGTTATAGCGTTATTGCAGTTGCGATCAAACTTAGACGCATGTATGTGTACGGAGGTAGATTAAGCTTCACGCCTTTTCCCCAACTATGCACGAAATGCGAATATGCGAGATGCTTACTCGATGGCAGCTGCAAATTCGAAGATCATCTTACAGTGACATCGATGAAAAAACTATGACGAACGGATAAGCTCAGTCATATTGATCGCGAGCTCAGAGTCTTACCCGGGTTGACCAGGAGGAACCACAAATTTGAGAGGCAAAGTACGTAGGAGGATGCGACTACTGTAAAAGGGCTGAACCAAGAGCCTTGCAAGTTCCAGAATCAAGCAAAAACGACAGCAATCTGACACTCGCGCTACGTGCACCCACAAATAACAGACTCGAAATGCTTCTCGCAATGTCGGACAGGAGATCGAGACCGGGACCATGTTTCCGGTGCGAAGCACAAACAGCACTGCAGGAGAGAAGTGCATGTGCCCACGATCTTCGAGGCCTCTCCCGTAAGCAAGGCACACGAAACGACCGCCGTGCCATTGAGTGGCCGACACCACATCCACGCACGCAGTTCACTCAACGACACATGACGTATAAACCCGCAGACAGCAGAGATCAGCATGGCATCCCACACGACGCTGCAAGGCGCCCAGGATACGGCTCCGGGCAGGGAACCGCGCAGCGGTGTTGACATGGTCAGAGAGCACAGCGTGCGTCTAGGCTGCACTGTGGAGGTCAGCTCGCGTCATATCGATCATGCCGCTTTCGGTATTTGGAGACCAAAGAAAACTGGAGGTAGGGAGCCCGATGAGCCACAAAGTCAGAGTCAGAATGCACCCTAGCATAGCAGGTGTGCAAAACTCACAGGACAAAGTGCAGCGGAGGTACATACGATGCGCAGCCCGCCGCACAGTGTAGCCTAAGACGCTCGTATCAAGCGCCGGAATGGTTCAGGACAACATTGTAGCAGTATGTGCTCGGCGGGATGCAGGCGATAACGGAGAGAGGAATGGATGCAGGCTGTCGCTCTCCCGGAAGCTGGTTGTAGTCCGCCAGATGAGATACTGCATTCGCCAGTTGTTCGCCATCCATGCCAGGAGGAATTACCGTCGTCGGCGTAGATGCGACACATACAAAAGCATGATCGTATTTGCGCATTGTCCGCGCCCTCCGGGCGTTCTCCTGCTGTAGGTATCGGTGCTCGAGCTGCTCCACTACACCCCGACACCACACGGTTTTGGACCAGAAGGCCGGATCGGCAAAAACTTTCATTTCCGGGGAGCCCAAAAGGCGTTGTGAGAAACACTCCTCCCGCGCTCGCGCTCGTTCTGCACAGGCCAAGGCCCATGAGACGCGGCGCTGGCTATCGGCATAAGCACGACAGCAACAGCGGAAACGCATTCCGGCCGATCGACGCGCACACCATGCCATCCCATAGACATGGCGCCAGCGCAGTCCTCTGGTGATGCCAGCATGGAGAGACCGCGATACCCTCCGGACTGGGGGAAAGGGCAGCTGGTGGGCGGAAAATGATGGGCACGTGTCAGTGAATGGCGCAGGGTGCCCAAGGACGCATTTGGATGGACGATGGCCCCACGGTATGAGGAGGCAATGGAGAGGAGCGTTCGTACTGGTATTGACTTGAAGTGTCGCTGCGATTGCCAACTAACTGGGGAGGAGATCGCGCAAGCCTGAGGGAAGCAGCTACCGGGGAACGATGTCGTACAGAGCACTCTGCGTGCTTCCCCGCCATCTTTTCATTCCAGGCAGATACGTCATAATGATACGGTTGCTGCGGCGAGACTGAAGATGTGTGTGGCCAATGCCCGTTGAATCTCTGCATTTAACAAACCAATGACGCTTAGGGGGCTTCGCCTAGAGAGAAGTTACGCAGAGTTCATCTGCTCACCTTCGCTTGCTCGTTGTCCCACCGCGTGCAGGCTGCCCGCGGCGTCGGCTTCCGGCACTGAACCATGCGCATCAAGTCAGTCGTCCACTGCTCGCACACGTGTGACTTGATTACTGGTGCGCTCAAAATCAATCGCAGTATCAGCAACTTCCGACGCAGAACCACTCAAGTGCACTCTTCCGACGCGCACTTGGACGTTAACGACCAGCATATTGTACACCTCACCTACACTGACTTGGACTTTTGCATCTTCATGACGGAACCAGTTGCCGCGGGAGCGCCAGGGCGATCGTTTGGTCAGTTTTCCCTGTGAGCATCACACGAACCACCTCAGACTCTGCTCATGGTACTGAGTTCGACGCCCGATATCCGATGTCTGCTTGGTTTATGATCCTGCACACGTAAGGTTCAACGCCCGCGACAAGCACAGAAAACAGTAATTGAACATCACACTAAACCCAGACTGCTCCACCTTGATATCATCACCTTCCTAACATTGCATCTCTCGAGAATGAAGGCAGTCAGAGTAATCAGGACTGATGGTAGGAGCACCCACAATGACGACTCACAAAAAGAAATCCTATTCTACGGGATCAGGCATCCACAATATGTCCTCGTATATCCCACCCCGATACCACAGAAGGTCCGACCTAGTGACTGCCACGCCACACTCGTTCAGCTCTTTGATGATAGCACGTATCTGTTCCTCCGTCGGATTCGACTTCTTCAGGTAACTGAGCTTCGGATCGGACGCGAGGGCAAGACAGTACGCTTCTCCATCGAATTCTGTCTCCTTGGTGTCATCTTCTCCCAAAATGACATTCTGAGGGAGGGTCAAACACCCTACAGCCTTCTTGAATGACTTCCAGCCCATCCAAAAAGGATCAAGTCTCACGCCGTCTTCCCTGGTAAGGGGAACCGACTTGATTTCACAGTAGTGGAAGAAAAAATTGTCTGCAGTTGGGAGAAGGAACCCATAGTATTGGCGTCTGTTATCGTTGGGTCTGCGCTCCGGGAGACCTAAATGTGGTGTCAGGTGTTGTAAGGCGGGATATGCACCTCTCACTGGGAAACGTACCAGGCATGGTGATTTGTGTTCAGTAAGGACTGTTAGATGCAGTGTATGTAGATGCAGACACCGCGCGTTGTATGCGGTGCCAGCGAATTGGGTGTGACCCGACATTTAAAGCGAGCACCTTCCTGCTGTTCGCTCCTGGCGCCGTCTGAAAGCTATACCCTCACGGCGATCCATCGAGAGCTGCGGTGTACAACGGGAAATGGAACGCGCAGGCATTTGTTAGGTGAGCGAAATCCGTCAGACGTGCAATCCAGCGATCGATGGGCAAATGCGCCTTGCAAGAGACCGGTCGCGGCGGTAAATAAGCATCAAGAAGGACGATATCTGCAGATTCGAAGCTTCCCTCTGGAAAAGACCTATGGCTACTGACGCCCGCGAACGTCGACGTCCGTCTTCCGACGAGGTACGAGCGTTATACATACAATAAACCTACATGGAGTGTACAAATCCTAGGGTACAAACGCATCTCGTGAAACACAGAAAAGCGGTAGAGAGAACAACTCGTGTGTCAAGAGACAATATGAGCAGCGTCCCTGTGCTCGCACCCTAGGTATCATACGTGTGTGTCAGACCCAGGAGCCGTGGATAATGGCGTCCCACGCTGATGACAGCACGGGAATCCGAGTCAGTGTGTTCGGAGGGAGGGACGATGCGGAGGGAACAATGAGGTACTATGATACGGCTACGAATCTCGTGCACACATTCGAACCGTGTGCGCAGACCCATTCAGCCAGGGCACCTTGTCGGCGCCACGCGTAGTGCACTGGTACTCCTTCGATATAAAGTATACAATAAACCTACATAGAACGTACAAATGCTAAGATACAACGCATCTAGAGAGACAAGGAAGAATCCGGTACAACATAAGCAAGTAGGAAGAACGGCGTCGCACGCAAGGTATGGAGTGTGTCAGACCCAGGAGCCGTGTATGAGTGCGTCCCAGGCGCTTTTGCTCTGGAGGGTGCCGATGAAGTCCGGGCGTGTGTGGGGCGCGTCGTGGGGGATGGGCACGGCGACGGTGCCGGGGGACACGGGCGGGGCGGGTGCGAGCGGGGAGTGCTGGAGCGGGGGCGTGTCGGTGTGGGCGTTCTACCGCACAAGTGTCAGACGCAAGGGTCACGGAGAGCGGGGATGCTCACGGGGACGGGGGAACCCGCGTTGGAGTGGTGGTACTGCTGGTGATGGTGCGTGGCGGGGTGGTCGGTGTGGGCGCCGGAGACGGGGGTGGGCGTGGGGGAGACGGTGCCGGAGGCGGAGGACGAGGAGCGGTGGTAGTACGGCCGTTTCTGTCACGGGATGTCAGACGCGGGAAGCGCGAGGGTTCTGGCTACGCACGGGGGCGATGATGGAGTAGAGCGCCTGGCGGAGGGTCCGGACGTGCTCGTCGCGTTCCGGGTTCGACGACGCAGACTGGGCGGACAGGTCAGCGCATGGGCCAGGCGGGCGCGGCGGGGACATGCACCATCGTGGGTGGGAGGCGCGTCATGGAGGAAGCACGGGCGCTCGATCGGGAGGTGGATGGAGGAGCAGATCGGAGGGAGAGAAGAGGACCAGAGATTTATTTGAGAGAAAGGCCACAGTTTCAGGAATAGAGAACCGTAGAGAATTTAGTTACTACTAGCATACAGCCTGTAATTACTACCGCCCGCCATCACCCCACGCACATTCCCCACGTGCACCCACCATCGTCAACCCCCGCCCTTCTTCAGATGTCCCCCGCAGTGTCCACCTCATGCTTCCATGGTGGTGGCGGATGTATGCATGCTGTTTCTCGAGAATTCAGAGCCCCGGCTGCATCCCCACTCGCCGGATGACCAGGCGATGATCTTGAAGCAAGTGCGCGCGACGCGACTGCACACAGTCGATCTGGCGATCAACATCCTGCCGAGCCCGCAGATCCAAGGGCACACGGGAGCACACCCCTCCCGCACTACACCATACCCACACTCATCGGACGGTAAAATACCCAGTCGAATGCGCGCGGCATAGCCCTTAATGACGACAGGAGGAAGGAAGTCGGCAGTGAGCAGAGGCTTCCAACGTCGAAACACGGAGGCTGCGCAGACGGGCAGAAAGTGCAGACCGCGACCGCGCACGACGGTGCACACTTGCCGGACGAACAACTACCACATCCACACCGTAGACAAGACATGCATGAGATAACACCTCGCGCGCAGTGATCAAGCGCGGCGACCTACCACCAAGGCAAAAAAACACGCCGAAGGAAACAGGCGGGCGCCTTGGATCACACAGAGCCCCCAGCTCCGCCGTCGCTCAGCGCACAGCAAAATCTTGTGTCGCAGACTCGGGACACCAAGGTATGCAGGACAGAATGCCCGCACACAGGAGAACTCGAGCGCGACCTCACCTCGCTCGCCGGACGTTGAAATATGGCGGTGACGAAGCTGACCGTCGACCTAAGAAGCTGGATGGCGGGGAAAGGTAGGTCGCGGCGGCGAGCTGACAAACCAAACGGCTTGCGCCGCCCCGTAACACACCTCACCGGACAACGAAAGCTGGACTCGCAAAAGGGACGGGCGCGGGGTAGAGACGGCGACGAGGAACATTCCATGAGGAGTTGCGAGAGCAACCACGCCGCACCACGTTCGACACCAGGCCTACGACCTACCCAAGCTCGCCGGACGGCGAAAAATGCAGTCGGACACACGGGCGAAGAGGTCCACGGTATCACTGCAAGGGAGGAGCGACAAAGGGCGTCCTTGTTCGTCGGCGACCTAACCGTGGGGGTGAGGAGAGAACATGGGTGCGCGGCTACGCCGCGCTGCCACCCATCTCGCCAGACGACGAAATCCGGACTCGGAAAAGCGACGGGCGCAAAGAGGAGATGGTGACCAGCGGCGTTCGATGGAGGGTGCCCGCAGCTGCGAGAACGCACACGCACAGCGCGGCTGCGCCGCGCTCGACGCCAGCCCCTACGACGTATCCAAGGTCGCCGGACGGCGAAATATGGAGTCGGAGGTGCGGGCCTAGCGAACCGGGCGAACGTCGACAGCAGAGCGTGCGAGGGCCTCCATGGGATCGGTCCGAGGGCAAAGAGATGGTGGTAGACGATGAACGAGGCTGGGAGAGAACTGGTTAAGCCTTGCAAGCATGAGCCACGCAGCGGAGGGTCACAAAATGACAAAAAGCAAGCGAGGCTGTAGTAACGCGGCTGCGCCGCGTCCTCAACCTCCACCCCCCGGACTGCAAAATATCGATACCCACGCCGCACCGGTCTTGACGCCTACCTGCAAAGATGGATGACCAGCAATCGCCACCGCGAGTATGGAATAAACAAATGAGGCCCCACACGCTGTGCCTCAGGCCGCCGGACGTCGAAATATCAAGTCGAAGAAATATACGGCCACGCAAAGGCAGCTGGCGGTGCGGAGGGTTCGACGTCGAGTAGCCACGACCGCGCCGCGTTCGCAGCCTGCCGCACGTCGTAGCCAAGGTCGCGGGACGGCGAAATATGCAATTGGCGAGGGGGACGCTCGGGGAAGGATGAACCGCACCGGGAGACGACACGATCCTCCCATGTCGACGAAAGCTCGGGGCACATATGGAGGACGCGCGAGAACGGGGCAGTCGTGCAGAGGTAACTATCGCTGATTTTCGCACGCAACGCTCGGCGAGGGAAGGAGTTCGAGAGCGTGAGCTGCATCGAACACGCGAGGGGAAGGAAATTTGATAGGCGCTGCCTGCGCGTGCTCACGGGGCGTCCGAAGCTCCAATTTTGCAAGGCAGGTGGGTAGAATAGAGACGTGCAGGCTGGGCACAGTGGTACAGGCATCTGTCAAAAGGACACTGCGGCTGACAGCGGCCCGTTCCCCTGGTAGGAGAACGTCCTGTTGTACTTGTATTAGCAAAGATAAAAGCATTCAATGAGGATCCACTCACCATCGGAACGCCGCGCACCAATTTCCGTTCGTCCGTGAGCAACGCCATCCCATCGGTCCGCGAAGCATCGTGTGCAACAGGAACGTCACCCTGCTTGCGGACACGGCGTGTGCGTGCTCACGGGGACTCCGAATCTCCAATTTTGCAGGGCAGGTGGATAGAATAGAGACGTACAGGCCGGGGACAGAGGTACATGCATCTGTCAAAAGGACACTGTTCTCTTTGGCGGAGAACGTCCTGTCGTACTTGCGTTAGCCCAAGACAGAAGCATGGATCCGAACGACGATCTACTCACCACCACGCGATCCTCCCACGCCGACGACGGCTCAATATCACTCATACAGGGGGACGCGCGAGAACGGGGCTGTCGTGTGGAGTCAACTCCCGCTAATTTTCGCATGCAACGCTTGGCGAGGGGAGGAGTTCGAGAGCGCGAGGGGAAGGAATTTTGACAGACGGGCCATAACTACAGCGGACGCGGCCAGCGCGCGCTCGCGAGGCATCCGAATCTCCAATCTTGCAAGGCCGATACACGGGATAGACAGGTGCACCGCGCAGAGAAGCAGGGGAAAAAATGCTGCGGCTAAGAGCCGCACGTTCTCCTTGGCGGAGAACGTCCTGTTGTACTCGCATTAGCCCAAGACAGAAGCGCAGAACGACGATCCACTCACCATCAGGACGCCGCACACGATCATGTCACGATTCCATGCGGCTGCATGGCATGACGGGCGATAGAAATATCCGACGCGCGAAGACTGCCGCATCTTGAGTTGCGAACGCGGCGGGTGAGGTCGAGGAACGTTCGAATCTTGCATCTTCCGAGTGAAACAATCAGGAGAGAGGTAAACCTAGGATGCCAACGTCAGACATACCCAAGAAATAGACTAGAAAAATTGTACTCACAGACATCGCGGCCCATCGCGCATGCGTCAAGCCCACGCAATGCTCCCAACGCGATTCCAAGGCCTTCTCTAACATCCTCTACTACTCCGATTGCGATCGGACGTTCGAGCGACTGCTGTCACGTCCAGCCGTCCAACGCATCGGGCTCTCCTCGCGTTCCCGCGCAGAGACTCGAAACTTGGCATTGCAGAAGGCCTCTTTCAGGATCAAAAGGCGATGGGCACAGAGTGTCGAAGCAGAAATGAACAGCACAGAAGAACGCGCGAGAGTCAGACGTGACAACGAAAAGGCGGGCGTTGAGTATACTGGACTTCGACACCGCCATCCGAATCGGGCAGGTCGACTGCCAAAATGAGCGCCCGCGATCTCTTCCTTACTCTTCTGCGCGATGCTGTGTTCGTTCGCGAGGTCTACTGGCAAGGAATCAGTACTCAATATTCGAAAGCATATGTGGTGAGCGGTGACTCTGGCATACCTGACGAGACAACACAGTGCCGAAAGGCTGCCCAGATTGCCCCATCGCTCCTTCCCTTCTGACGTCCGAGTTGGATGACGGTCACCATCTGTCGACTCCGATAGCTACTGTGGAAATTGGACAGACCACGAGGTTCTGAGGCGGATGGGCATGGAGTGTTGCTACCATCTGGTGGTAAGGTGGAGGGGGAGAGCGACGGCGATGCAGCTTGAAGTGGACCATCAGCAAGTATATCAGGCAGCGCTAGACTCCGATTCACATAAGGGGAATGTTCTGAAACACAAAAATTAACTGCGCTGATGCTTCCCCTTCCCAGGAAGATTCTTCGGCTATCCATCTCCGATTGTTGCACAGGCTCTTGTGCAAACCTTTGCAATTCCTCAGGCCTCAGGCCTCATTCGCCACTCGTTCTCTGTGCTCAGAACATGCAGAGTAATTATGGACTTACTGGTTAAGGCTTCTTGTTGTCGAGAATCCAGTCCTTCTGGGGAGCAAATGGTTGAGAATGCTCTCTCATCCCCTTGTTTCTCAGAAGGCTTGAATTTCGACAAAAATATATCTTACGTGTGCATTCAAGACTCACATCAGATGTCACAGCATTGCAACCCGCTACAGCCACCGCATCAAGAATTCTTCGTAAAGTTTGCCGCCTTGTGCCCGCACGATAATCTGACTGTGAGATCTGATTGAGATCCAAAGCACGTTGGTTCGGTGATGTGATGTCATGCAGTCGTATGATACTTCCACTGAACGGATGCAGACTAGGTTTGCAAACTTGGACAAAGAATGAAGTGAGACATAGAAGTGTTAGACAATGTTCAAGTCAAACCAACGGAGCCCTGGTGCGGCATAGTGTCTCACCCGTCCTGTCCACATTTGGCAACTTATGTTCAAGTCCGTGCTCGACTCTGTCAACAGTCTGTCAAAGTTATCTTCAAGTGACTACAGCTTCTATGCAACCTCAACACTCAGCAGGCACATCCTGCTCATCCTCCGAATCTACAAACTCCGCGCTCTTGATAGCATAGTGCCGCAGCCGTTTCGAGCGACTTTCTGGGTACGGCTGACGTCCTCTCAGCTTTCCCTTGTCCGAGCGCGACTTGCGCACACCACATGCTTTGCATGCAGCACGGAACCATTCCGACTCCTCCATCTCTGCAAATTCACCATCAGAAAGCTTCCGGAACTGTGTTGAGCCTCGGATCCAGCGGATAAGCAGAAGCTCAAGCTTTGACAGATTGCTGCTCGCCGTGCTAAGGTTTGCAAAGGGAATGATGTTCTCAGGCCAGCCATCGACAATGACATGGTGCTTCTGCACGATGTCCCGCCAGTATGTCGTCCATTTCATTTTGATATCGTGAATTCCGGTGATGTTCTCTGGGATGAGCAGGTGTGTGAATGAGCCAGATTGGTAGCAGCATGTGCAGTGCACTCACGAAGGGATTGGTTGATGATACATCGGAGATCACTTCGCACTGAGGCTACTAACTGCTTGTAGCGTGGATATTCCGAGTCTGCATTTGATTAGGTACGGATGGTAATTATAAATTCCATGCACTCACTCTGAGCACCCTCCTGGGTCTTGGAATGACTGTCCATGACAATGGATTTGCAGTGCGGATGCTCTCTGTGCTAAGTATGTATGTTCTCTAACATATTGGTGTTACAGTAATTTGACATCTGCGGTGCATGAGCATGGAGTTTACAACCGGCAGAAGTAATTCTCCATAGTGAACACCGGTTGACATCACTATCAATGAGTTTGCCAATGCGGTAAGTTTGTTTCAAGTCAAAGTGCACTCTCACGGAGGTACCAATCTTTTCTTCCATTGGAATTTGTCACAGGCTAAAATTTTGTGTAACAGTGTTGCGAGACAGCGGGCGAAGCGATGAGAAGAGTGGAACATCTGACGGGCATGCACGCCGACCCGAGTAATTGGTCCCTTGGCATATACTCATTTCTCTTCATGGTTGCCGAAGGTTCTCTCTCATTTCTGATATGCTTGGTGTTCACTCAAAGGCAGCCTGGTAATTAGGTCAACTCAGATATTGTCCACTATTGTGCTTGGAGACTCAGAGGTGAACGGGATGAGCTTGACCGGTGAGCGGCAAGGTACTGTCATAGTTCGGGAAAGAATATCAGGGGTAGATCTGAAACACCCGAGGTGCGTCACTGTGCAGGTACTCATGATCTAGGTCAGAATTCTATGTCGGACGGTTTGACACTAGACATGGTGATGCAGTCACCTTGGTGACAGATATCGGATGTGGCTGACAAATTCATCGTACGACTATGGAATTTTTACAGTATAAATACAGGGATGCAGTGTGACAACTCCCCAGTAACATTCTCACCTCTTTTCCTCCTTTGCTCATTTTTGGCCCTCTCAACTTAGATGTCTTAGCACTACATCACACGGAGGACTTGTTCTTAATGGTAAGTTCTGCACTTATGTTCTTTGCACCACAATGGAGATTACTCACAGTTCATTATCTGTTCTAGCTTTGCCTGTCAGTATGCTCAAGCGGAGGAATATTTTGACGGTGAGTATAAAGTCTGCTCTACGTTCATCGGAACAAAGCCTTACTGATATATTTTCTCCCCTCAGACCATGGCTGGTGCTTCGGTGGTGCAAGTTTTGCACACAGTGAGTTTCTCACTTCATGAAATTGTAGAGTTACTATGTACAGTATTATTCTACATGAACAAGCTCATATCGAGCACACAACAATAATAGTCTGACACTAACCCGAGTGCCATTCCAGAGTAGACTCGGCATACTTCTCGCAATGTCGGAGAGCAGATTGAGACCGGGACCATGTTTCCGGTGCGAAGCACAAACAGCACTGCGGGAGAAAAAAAGTGGACTGTGCCCGCGATCTTCGAGGCCTCTCTCATAAGCAGGGCACACAAAATGACCGCCATGCCATTGAGTGGCCGACACCACATCCATGCATGCAGTTCACTTGACGGTGCATGGTGTATGAACCCGCGGACAGCAGAGATCGGCATAGTGTCCCACACAATGCTGCAAGGTGCCCAGGATACGGCTCCGGGCAGGGAACCGCGCAGCAGTGGTGACGTGGTCAGAGAGCACAGCGTGCATCTGGGCTGCACTGTGGAGGGCAGCTCGCGTCGTATCGATCACACCGCTTTTGGTATTTGGAGACCAAAGAAAACTGGAGGTAGGGAGCCCGACGAGCCACGGAGGCGGAGGGGAGTTATGCAGAGTTCATCTGCTCACCTTCGCTTGCTCGTTGTCCCACCGCGTGCAGGCTGCCCATGACGTCGGCTTCCGGCACTGAACTGTGCGCATCAAGTCAGTCGTCCACTGCTCGCACACGTGTGACTTGATTACTGGTGCGCTCAAAATCAATCGCAGTATCAGCAACTTCAGACGCAGAAGCACTCAAGTGCACTCTTCCAACACGCGCTTGGACGTTAACGACCAGCATATTGTACACCTCACCTACGCTGGACTTGGGGTTTTGCATCTTCATGACGGAACCCCAGTTGCCGCAGAGTAGACGCAGAGCACCAGGGCGATCGTTTGCTCAGTTTTCCCTGTGAGTATCACGCAAACCACCTCAGACTCTGCTCATGGTACTGAGTTCGATGCCCGATATCCGACGTCTGCTTGGTTTATGATCCTGCACACGTAAGGTTCAATGCCGGCGACAAGCACAGAAAACAGTAATTGAACATCACACTAAACCCAGACTGCTCCACCTCGATATCATCACCTTACTAACATTACATCTCTCGAGAAGGAAGGCCATCAGAGCATTCAGGACTGATGGTAGGAGCACCCACAATGACGACTCACAAAAAGAAATCCTATTCTACGGGATCAGGCATCCACAATATGTCCTCGTATATCCCACCCCGATACCACAGAAGGTCTGACCTGGTGACTGCCACGCCACACTCGTTCAGCTCTTTGATAATCGTACATATCTGTTCCTCCATCGGATTCAACCCCTTCAGGTAACTGAGCTTCGGATCGGATGCGAGGGCAAGACAGTACGCTTCTCCGTCGAATTCTGTCTCCTTGCTGTCGTCTTCTCCCAAAATGACATTCTGAGGGAGGGTCAAGCAGCCTACAGCCTTCTCGAAGGACTTCCAGCCCATCCAAAAAGGATCGAGTCTCACGCCGTCTTCCCTGGTAAGCGGAACCGACTTGATTTCACAGTAGTGGAAGAAGAATTTGTCTGCCGTCGGGAGAAGGAACCCATAGTACTGGCGTCTGTTATTGTTGGGTCTGCGCTCTGGGAGACCTAAATGCGGTGTCAGGTGTTGTAAGGCGGGATATGCACCTCTCACTGGGAAACGTACCAGGCATGGTGATTTGTGTTCAGTAAGGACTGTTAGATGCAGTGTATGTAGATGCAGACACGGCGCGTTCTACGCGGTGGCGAATGATCAGCTGTGCAGCGAATCGGGTGTGAGGGGCCCGACATTTAAAGCGGGCGCCTTCCTGCTGTTCGCTCCTGGCGCCGTCTGAAAACTATACCCTCATGACGATCCATCGAGAGCTGCGGTGTTCAATGGGAAATGGAACGCGCAGGCGTTTGTTAGGTGAGCGAAATCCGTCAGACGTGCGAGCTACTAGCGATCGATGGGCAAATGCGCCACGCAAGAGACCGGTCGCGGCGGTAAGCATCAAGAAGGACGATGCAGATTCGAAGCAACAGCTTCCCTCTGGAAAAGACCAATGGCTACTGACACCCGCGAACGTCGACGTCCGTCTTCTGACGAGGTGCGAGCATTACACATACAATAAACCTACATAGAGTGTACAAATCCTAGGGTACAAACGCATCTAGTGAAACACAGAAAAGCGGTAGAGAGAAGAACTCATGTGTCAAGAGACAATATGAGCAGCGTCCCTGTGCTCGCACCCTAGGTATCATACGTGTGTCAGACCCAGGAGCCGTGGATAAGGGCGTCCCACGCTGATGACAGCACGGGAATCCGAGTCAGTGTGTTCGGAGGGAGGGACGATGCGGAGGGAACAATGAGGTACTATGATACGGCTACGAATCTCGTGCACACATTCGAACCGCGTGCACAGACCCATTCAGCCCGGGCACCTTGTAGGCGCCACGGGTAGTGCACTGATACTCCGGTATAAAGTATACAATAAACCTACATAGAACGTACAAATCCTAGGATACAACGCATCTAGAGAGACAAGGAAGAATCCGGTACAACATAAGCAAGTAGGAAGAACGGCGTCACAGGCGAGGTACGGAGTGTGTCAGACCCAGGAGCCGTGTATGAGTGCGTCCCAGGCGCTTTTGCTCTGGAGGGTGCCAATGAAGTCCGGGCGGGTGTGGGGCGCGTCGTGGGGGATGGGCACGGCGACGGTGCCGGGGGACACGGGCGGGGCGGGGGCGAGCGGGGAGTGCTGGAGCGGGGGCGTGTCGGCGTGGGCGTTCTACGCAGGTGTGTCAGACGCAGGGGTCACGGAGAGCGAGGATGCTCACGGGGACGGGGGAACCCGCGTTGGAGGGGTGGTACTGCTGGTGATGGGGCGTGGCGGGGTGGTCGGTGTGGGCGCCGGAGACGGGGGTGGGCGTAGGAGAGACGGTGCCGGAGGCAGAGGACGAGGAGCGGTGGTAGTACGGCCGTTTCTGACAAGCTGTCAGACACGGGAAGCGAGGGTAGATGGGCTATACGCACGGGGGCGATGATGGAGTAGAGCGCCTGGCGGAGGGTCCGGACGTGCTCGTCGCGTTCCGGGTTCGACGACGCAGACTGGGCGGACAGGTCAGCGCACGGGCGAGGCGGACGCGGCGGGGACACACACCATCGTGGGCGGGCCTAGATAGGCTGGCACTGTGAATATCGCACGGCTGCTGGGGCGGAGGCGCAGCGAGGGGAGAGAGCGAGCGAGGAGGAGGTGAGGGGTGCGTATAAAGGCAGCTGGGCAGAGGCTTGCGTGTGGGGCCCCAAGGTGCTGGGCGTCTGGCTGACTTTTTGCCCCACGGGGAGATCTCGGGACGCCGTCTGTCCGGGCGGACCCGGGCCCACGGCGCGCTCCACGACGATCTCCATTTCGATCTGCGCGCGTCCCTCTCGGTGCGTCATCGCGTTCCTCCACGGTGTCTTGTCGCTCTATTGCAGATCCTCCCCAGCTTCGCACTCCTGGCCGCGTTCGTCAGCTGCACACACGCTCCAGTACGTACACTGCCTGCCCTCCGTCAGCTTACCCACCCCGGTCTTGTTCTGCTCGCCGTGCCTTGTGTCAGATCATGCGTGGGATCGTCGATACCACTCCAAACCCGTCTCTTCGCCATTCCAGCTCTCAACGGCGCATTCTAACCCGTCAGTAACGCTCACTCTTGCCGCACGTCTCCCACTCATGTCCTAGAACTGCAACGCCCCTTCACACCTGCATCCCTGCGCCTCTCCCGGCGCGTGCACCCACACCGTTCCCCGTCGCCGGCCGCACACTTGCACCGTTCGCCACACCCACACCCTCCCCATCGATCGCACTCGTCGTACATGCGGGGACAACTCTCCGAGTTGCGCACCCGACGCTTCTTGTGCGCACAGGCCACCGCACACAATCCTTTCCAGCCGTGAGCGCGGCCTGTCTCGTCTCAATCTCTTTTCTTCCCGTCGAGTCCCACCCGCGTGCGGCGCTACCACACTCCCCGCCAGCGGGTCCGGAGCGTCCTCGAGTGCGCGTAGGACCGCGTTCCCCCGTTTCTCGACCCCACTTTCCGACGCTGGCCCGAGATCCCCTGCACTTCCGTAGCCCTCTACACACCCCCGACACACCGCCGTCGCGCTGGCCCTGGCGTGCAGTGCCGCCCTCCATGCTCGGGCCCGCTGCGACACCGCTCGACGCGTTCTGGCCGGACGGCGCATTCCACCTCCGCGCGCTGCGTGCGCGTGCGTTATTCCGGCGCGGTGCGCAGAGTGTCCAAACCCCAAATCCTGTTTCTGGCTGGGCTGGAGTGGAACCGGCGCGCTGGTTGCACGATGTGACTCCCGCGAAGTGCTTACGCTCGGAGCACGATGCGGAGGGACTCTGCATCCTGCGGGATCTCCCTCCTGGCCACGCAGACGAAGACAAAGACGAATAAACAGGTGTCGGCCCCGCCCAGCCCCGTTATACGCACACACATACATGTCATTCGTGCACGCCGCAGGATCTGCGCGTCGTTCCCCCTCCCTCCTCCCGGTGCCCGTGCTGCGCTCCGCCCCGCCTGGTAGCCTGTGAGCGCCGACGACGCGTACACGCGCTCCGCGGCGAGACGGTGTCGATTATACGTCGCGTGCGGTCGGGGGAGGCTTGGAGGACGACCTGTGCAGGATGTCCGAGAGTCCGAGAGTCCGAGTCCGAGTCGAAGATCGCCGCGCGCCCGCGATTTGTCTTCGTCTTCGTCTCGCGCTCCTGCGCGCTGATGTGGCCGGGTGCGTGTTGGCTTGGGCTCGATTGCGGGGCTTCGCGTCTGCCCGTGCGGTGTTTGTGGTTTACCGATTGTGGAGGACTGCTAGGCCCGTGAAACTCGGACGGGAAGATCGACGCAGCGCAACGGGGGTGGGGGTACGACGGAACGCGACGGCGTCGTAGACTCGATGGGAACGACCACGCGCTGCGATCTTCGTCTTGCGCGCGCGAGCTTGTAGGCCCACAGTTCTGGCGTGTAACGGAACGTCGGCGGCTCGGGTGCGGAGAGCAAGAAGCCCTCATATACTCAGGCGCGCCGGCTTCCGTCTCTGCCGCACGATGTGGCACGTCGCGGCGAGTCTAAAGCCCCCCTCTTTCGAGCTGAGCGGAAGACGTGGGTGCGTGAGGGTGCGCGACCCCGAGTGTCCGAGCGTCCCCGGAGCGTATATATCCTTCACGGGCTGCGCGCGCCGGTCCCCGCTCACATGCGCTGCGATCTCGCTCTCGCTCCCAGAGCGTCGTTCTACGCACTTCGCTCCGACTGCGGTGTCCTGGGGGTCGCGCCACGTACTACACACCCCCACCCGCCGTGCGACGCTCGGGGACGTCTCTCGTGCTTGGTCCCGACCAGCCTGAAGCGCGAACTTGAACGATCGCCCAGGATGCGCGCGACGGCGTTCGTTCCGTGTCCGAGTCGCTAACCTGCCCGGGAGTGAGTCTATTCCACTCACTCGTCGATACACCTCTCGATAATCGGTACGCTGAGACTAGGACGTACAGTTGAAAAGCGGGTGAGAAATGAAGAGATAGTCGAGCGATGCCGATACTCTATTTGCCGAGACGCGCTCAATGCCAAAGCTTGGCCTGACCACGTTGGACGGAAGCGGGGAGAAGCGTACGGCGAAACGCGAGGGGCTCGAGGGCGCCGCGGCGACGATCGCGGCAGACGAAAGCCTTGTGGGTTAGACTCAATGGAGGGCCGCCGCGAAATGCGGTGTGGCCACCGGTGTTTATGGCTTATGTTTACGGTTCATGGAAGACGTCTCGGTCTGACGGGCTAGGCCGGTGAGACGACTTTCCAGGACGCGGCGGATCTGCGGGGCGACGACGAGAAACTCAACGCGAGACGAGACGCGGACGGCACGATAATAGGCAGATCGTCTCGGGCTCGCGCGACAAGACGATCAAGCTCTGGAACACCCTCGGGGAGTGCAAGTACGACATCAAGGACGATGGTCACACTGGATGGTGGGTGTACGCGATTGATATTCATACTGGGGTGTAGAATCGTTGTTCCATCACTTGGGCATTAGGGTATCGTGCGTCCGCTTCAGCCCGAACGTCCTGAACCCTTGTTATCGTCTCTTGTGGGTGGGGACAAGGTCGTACACGCGAGTCCGATTGGTTTCGCGATCATCTCTCTCGCCTTTCTGCTTCGGCATGATGTTGCAATATATTTGCTACCTCAGAGAGATTGCCGCCTCAATGCGACCATATCAATCACCAAGATCTCTGGCCGTTTATTCAATTTCTCCCCTCGTGATGATTGAGTAGTATTGACCTTTTCACAGGTCTGGGAGCTGTCGAAATTCGAGCTCAAGACCAACCACTACGGCCACACTGGCTACGTCAACACCGTCTCTGTCTCTCCCGATGGTTCGCTCGCGGCGTCGGGCAGCAAGGACGGTATCACGATGCTGTGGGGCCTCAACGAGGGCAGGCACCCTTACTCCCTCGAGGCTGGCGACATCGTCAATGCAGTTGTCTTCTCCCCCGACCGCTACTGGCTGTGCGCAGCAACAGCAACTTGCATCAAGATCTTTGACTTGGAGAGCAAGTGCGTCCCTAGACGGCCGGACGCTCTTCGGTGGCTTCACAGCTGGCTTCGTCCGTGTGTGGTCCGTCGTGTCATAAGTCTCTACACTACCTATGTACAAAGTGTGATTTATGGCGTCGGATGGCGGTCTGGAGTGCAGGAGTAGGGCGACGGGAGCTGCGTCGCATGTGGACGTCATCGCCTGTACCTTCAAAAATCGATGCATCCCTTTGCTTTCTTCTGTTGTTATGTATTTGGTGCGTTGTTCTACCCTATTAGCTACTCCGGACGTCCAGGCATTTCATCCTTCGTTGTAAAGGCCAGTCATCTCGTCGTCTCCACTTTTCGAGTTACGATAACATGACGATTCTAACGCTACAGGATCCACTGTTATACCATTCTTCAGCGCACTAGATGTCCGTTACGCAAGCGTAAGGACGCGGTCGCCCGCAAGGGTCCAGGACACGTTCCACCAGCCCGTACTTGACGAAGAGAATGTTCGCAAGCTTACTGCGCGCATATAGTCCTGTCGGGTCGAGCTCCCCCGAGTCGACGTCCGAACCGCGCGTGGGTTCCTCGCGTGACGCAAGGCGGACCGAAGAGGGCGCGCGGCTGCATGTAAAGATGAGGAGACACAGATGATGCGCGGCATGGACGACTCGTCGCGGGTCGCGGTTCGCCGGATTGGCGGCAGCAGGCGATGGGTGAGGAGGAGGTGCCCGAGGTGGTTCACCACGAGGTGACTGTCGAGGGCCCTCGGCAGAGACGTCGGACTTGTTCACGCCGATTCCCGCAACACAGATGAGCTGGTGGGCGTTGACAGGGGGCACATTTGACCGAATTTGACGAAGAACGCACGAGGTCGAGTCGGGGTTCCTGCTCCCCGATCTGGTCTCCGACTTTCTTGACATGCTGCAAGTTGCCGAGGTCGCACTGGATGAAACTCACGTCGGCGAGCGGTCCTGTCTCTTTGAGCTGTGCATTTTTGATCTTGGATATGGCATCCTCGCCTTGCTCTCCTTCGCGGGAGAGGAGAAAGAAGATGCAGGTTAGTGGAGTGTCTACATCCTTGCCATATAATGCGCACTCTGCCTTGCAGGTTAGAGACATCCGATGCACTGAACTTCGACTTTCCGGAGTTGAGAGCTGCCTTCATTGTGAACGAAGTGGTATTTCGAGGAAAGGGGAGACGAAGGGTATTCCGTAGGAGCGTGCGTAGATTCAAAGTCAATACGCAGGCCGGCGAAATATGGTTGGAAAGAAAAGGAGAGTGATCTCAGCTATGTCTCCGAAGCACGATCACCAACGAACTTACCTTCCTTATTTGGAGGTACACTACCCGCTTTTGAAAGACTTTGATTTTGACTTCGAACATCAATTTCGACTTCAAAATGAATTTGCACGGCTGAGTCTGCGTTCCCCTTCTCGTTCCCCTTCCCCTTCTCCTTCTCCTTCTCCACTGCGTCAAACATGAATTCCACAAAAACAGAAACAATTCAAGAGGGGATGTCGACGCCTGGACACGATCAGGTAGCTTCTGATGCTGTGTTGCACACGCCCTCGCCCATGCAGGGTGAACCGCGAGGTCCGTTTCACCTCTTTCAAATCGTAGCACCCTCGGAATCCTGACAAAAATTCGTTCACGTTTCATTAAGCATTGGTAAAGCGCCTCAGTATCATAGATCGGCTCTTGACACCCGCCATCCTTCTGGCGATGATCACGGGAGTTCTCATCGGCGAGTTCGTCCCTGGTGTCCAAGCCGCATTCGACACCGTCCGCCTTCAAAGTGTCTCAGTCCGTAAGTGCAGTCGCTCCGAATTTGGCCGATAAACTCACTTATTTCACTCTGTTAGCTATTGCCATTGGCCTCATTGTCATGATGTACCCCATCCTTACTAAAGTGCAGTACGAATCCCTACTCCGCACGCTTCCCACCCGGGAAATGCTCGCACAGCTCCTGCTCTCGTTCATCCTGAACTGGATTGTTGCGCCTTTTATAATGTTAGCACTAGCATGGGCGACACTCCCGGACCTTCCTGCGTATCGAGCAGGCGTGCTCATGGTCGGCGTGGCCCGCTGCATCGCAATGGTGATGGTCTGGACGGATCTTGCACGAGGAAACATGGAGTACTGCGCTATCCTCGTTGTGGTCAACAGTACATTGCAAATAGTGCTATACGCACCATATGCTCTATTTTTCATTAATGTCGTCGGCGGCCAAGGTGCCGGCAACGCCATCCATGTCTCATACGGAGACGCCGCTATATCTGTGCTCATCGTAAGTTCCTTCAATCACTGGCCTTGCTCGCCTGCAACTCACCTACATCTTCCTAGTACCTCGGGATCCCGCTCGCTGCAGGACTCATTACCCGCATGTTATTTCTCTACCTCACTTCCCGCACCTTCCTGTATACATACGTGCTTCCTTACCTTGGCCCTATTGCACCCTTGGGGCTGCTCTACACCGTCATCGTGCTCTTCGCGTACCAAGGTCATCACATAGTGCATGACATCGGCCCCGTCTTCCGCGTCATGGTCCCGCTCATCCTATACTTCACGATCATGTGGGTAGGCACGTTCGCGCTCGTGCGGTGGCTGGGAAGGCGACGCGGTAAAGGGTGGGGTTACGATATCACGGTCGTGCAGAGCTTCACGGCTGCGAGCAATAATTTTGTGCGTGATCTCTGGCTATATCTTCGTAATAAAATTCAAACTCACCTTCTGGTTCCACGGCAGGAGCTTGCAATTGCGGTAGCAATCGCTGTGTATGGTGTCGGTTCCCAGCAGGCACTGGCTGCAACCATAGGTCCCCTCGTCGAAGTTCCGGTGCTCCTGTCACTGACTTGGGTCGCTCTGTATCTTGGACGAAAGCTCGACTGGGATTCCGAGGGTCGACAAGAACCATGCGAAGGCCCAAGTGTGGAAGGGAGGGTGGAAAAGAGCGATGAGATGAAAGAGGCTACAGTGCAAAAGTAAAGTCATGTGTATGTTTGCTCCGATCTGAGAAGCTATTCGAACATGTCAATAGCGCAGATAGGATTAGAAATACGGTATTCGTACGGTATGATAGTAGATGGTATACGGCTTTGGATCTATTGCCATTTAGCATGGACAACAGGATACTTAACTCTGACGACAGACAAAGTCCGAAAAGGCGGACTACCACGATGGCCAATACTTGTGCACCGTCTCCGTGCAGACCGCAGGCACCTCCATCGCAGGAGGCGGGCCCTCTATCGGCCGCACTTCAACGTGCTCTATGCATGATTGCAAACGCATACTATCAGCGTCGTCGTTCTTCACTGTATATCTCCTCTTCACAATTAGTCAGTGCTTTGAGGCACATCTTTGTCCCGTAAGCATACTCCCACAAACCCATCTTTGTGAGGATCCTGGTGAGACGTTTTCCATTCCGCCCAGTTCCCCTGTCCTGAGAAAGTCTTCCATACTGCACCTGTCCGTAGCAGATAAGAGACGATAAATGTGATCGGCAATAAATTGAGACAGGCGTCAGTACAGGCAGCAAAGATGAGCTGGTGAATGGTTGCAGGATGGGGTAGATGCGATAGCAATTTTCACCTAAACAAAAATCAACCAGACAGCTCTGAGCTCATATACAGCAAGCAAGCACGCGTGGCGGAGCGGTCGGAGAGCTTGAGCTTTAGTGACGCGTATACGCGCTACCGCAGACACGGATACAGGCAGCATCAGGCTCAGGAACGCGAGACAAATCATGTGCAAGGTTTGTTTGCGTCTGTGTGGCAAGAGCCTCTGAACTCAACAAAGACAAACACCTTCCAGGTGACAGTAACTGCGCTTACTGTATCATACTGGACCTCTCTTTTCGATGCGACCCGTCGTCCACCCTGCTTCATTGCCCCTCCTATCCGCCTTGCATTAGACTAACGGTACACCAGCGTTCATGAATATGTGTTGTTCCTCCCTTCGAAGATTCTCCTTTGTCAATAGATCAAGGACGAGAAAATTGGAATAAGAGCATTCATCATGTTGCGTAGATGTCTAATGCACAGTAGGGTATACGTACGGCTTGTCGCAATCGGGGACGCGGAGACGGTTGTTCCACTCCTTTCTTCACTCTATTGATGTTCTGCTACTGGTACTTGTGCGGTGCATGCAAGACGACACTCTGATAGAATTTATGCACGCTGCTGTAACTAGCGCGTGTGGCTCTGACCCCATTGCATTTTGAAAACACGGCTTTGGAGTCCGGTACGTACTACGTTGTGTGCGCGGACTCTCGCGCGGTGACGGTTCGATCATCCGGCTCGTCGTGAATACAAATATTTGTTAGTTGCCGCCGTAACGGAGCGGCTCGCATTTCGTGGAGTGCCATCTCTGCACGGCGGATGGAGCAAATCGGTAGACTCATAATTGCAACCACTATATATTTCAAATCACATTCCCCACGCTTTCCACTCCCACAACAGCATAGCAGAGCAGACGAATTACATACATGATACACGTTCCTTACAAGCATATGCGTTCGCCCTCAGCACGACATCCTTCCAATCGGAGCTCCACCCGATCCTCACATCCACTCACCAACGCGATATGAAACACGCCGACAAATATCGATCTGACACGGCACACGATGGACGACAGCAAGAAAGACGCGGACACACAAAGAGGCGAGACACGCAAAAATGAGGCACGAAACACGAGACACGAGACGCGGACTCAAAGCGCGAGAGGAACGCAGCACACAACACGGGCGTCTATTGCATGCCCTCGGGCCGCTTGGTCTGCTTCCCCGTCATGGTAAGACTCTTGTGAATGAAGGGCAGAACACCTGCGAGCATAGTCAAGTGTCAGTGGTCTATTCAAGTGGAGAAGGGAATAGCCGCGAAGGGTGAGGTATCGTTGAAGTAGGAAAGATGATGCTGCAAAGATACCCGTACTTCAGAGCGGCAGTGTTGTTGTGGCTACGACCTGACGAGTCACAGCTGCAACAACGCGGCCGCTCTGTAGAGAGCACTACACAGGAAATAGAGTTCCAAGGAATAGTCATGCAGACGGACAAGTGCAGAAGGCGAACAGGAATAAGTAGGAGCCGGGAAGGCCAAGGACGAAAAAGGCAAAGGAACGGAAAGGAGGGAAGAGCAAATAGACGACACGTACCTCCTCCAGCAATCGTAGCACGCACGAGCGTGTCGAGCTCCTCGTCACCACGGATCGCAAGCTGTAAATGTCTCGGCGTAATACGCTTCACGCGCAGATCCTTCGACGCGTTGCCTGCAAACTGATGTCAGCACTTCCACAAAAACAGGAAATTTCACCGCAAAGATATGGGTGAAAGAAGGAATGTGTCGTAGGAAGCTAAGGGGGTGGGCACGCACCAGCGAGCTCGAGCACCTCCGCGGTGAGGTACTCCAGGATGGCAGAGGTGTACACGGCAGCCTTGGCACCAATCCGGACGTTGTGCTGTGTGCGCTGCTTGAGATAACGGTGGATACGACCGACGGGGAACTGCAGACGGGGGGTCAGCACCTGGGTCAGAGACAATAGGAGAAGGGTGGGAATCGGTAAAGACAGAATACGCAGTTACTGATCGCGTCGGCGTAACGACGTCGTATAGAAACCATGGGCGCCACATTTGTACAAGACGACACGCCGCCACCATGCCGACTCCGTCACGTACAAGAACGCGGACCAAAAACTCATTACCCGCACGCCTGATAAAATTGAAGGCTCACCTGCAAACCAGCTTTCTGACTCCTTGTCTGCAGAGTGCGCTGCGGGGGTGCTGCAGCCTCCTGCGCGGCAGCCTCCTTAGCAGCAGCCGCAGCGGACTTGGACTTCCCCCCTGACTTTCCGCCGGACTTGGTTGGCGAGGGCATCTCCGGGCAACTTCAGAAAAAGATATCGGAAAGGGGGAATAAGAAAATATTGACGGGGGGCAGTAAATGTGGGGGGAGATGAAGGAGCAGACGCGTGCGCGACGCGACTTGACGCGAAAGTGGCGGGGAGGTGATGGTTCGGGACAAGAAGCACGTCGGGTTCAGGGCAGGGCTGCCCGTGTTTGTGTGCTCCTTGCGCGTGCATCACGTGCGCTGCCAGACGCGTCGCGCGATCGAACCGCTCCCGAGCCGCTTGCTTAGCGTCGATGGCTTCGCCAACGGATGATATTCCGCTAAAAGCACAGTATTCTACGTCCATTATTTCTCGTACATGGTATTCAGAAACTTCGTCCTGGCACGCTCAGTATGAGGTGACCTCCGCAGGCATATTCAGCAAACGTCCTTCCATACCTCCTTCGACCATGACCACCTGCCCAGACACATGCCCCGAGAGGACAGTCGACGCGAGGACGACTACCTGGTTCGCAACGTCTTCCGGGATCGCGACTTTCTTCAGCGGCATCCTGGGTGAAATGCGAAGTCAATCTCGGCGCGCATGATGCTGGAGGAACGTACGTCGCGAGCGCCCGGTAGATGACCGATGGGTTCGCCAGCGCTTGTGCTGCCATAGGCGTCTTCACCCATCCTGGAAGTGACGAAGGGGTTAGCTGTGTAAATTGAAGGTAGTTATGGAGACCAACCAGGTGCACAGACGTTGACCCGGCCCTTGGGCGCAACCTTGACGATCTCGTTCTTGAGGGTCATCGTGAGGCCATACATCATCCCTACACAAACACACATAGCCAGTAAATCCTCCACGCCCATCTCAGGGCTCCACTTACCGCTCTTCACCGCCGAGTAATCCGCGTGCCCAAACTCGCCATACTTGCCCGCCGTGCTCCCAATAATCACAACATTCGCTTTCTCCTTCTGCACTTCTGTCGCACGCTCGAGCCCGCGCATGTACGCGCGAACGACCAGGAACGCGGACGTCAGATTCGCTGCGATGGTGTTGTTCCACTGCGCCAGCGACATCTGCGCGACGGGCGCGTCGTCCGGCGGGTAGTAGCCGTGGTTCACGATCAGCACCTGTACGGGCCCGGACCACGCCTCTGCCGCAGCGAAGAGCGCTGCAACAGAACTCTCGTCCGAGAGCTCCGCTTGCAGCGCGCGGACACGCTTGTCACCGAACTGCGTTACCAGCGGAGGGAGGGTCGTCGCGTTGGTGTTGTAGTGCGCCGTTACGATCGCACCGAGCTCTGCGTAAGGTGAGTTTGTGTCCGTGGGTCCAGCGGGTCGGACCACCCACTGAGGAAGAGCTTCACGGTCTCAAGCCCGATCCCGCCGCTCGCGCCCGTCACAAGAACATGCACGCCTTCGAGCCCAAGATCCATCCTTCAGATATTTGCCAGTGTCCCTCGGAGCGCGCAGTTTCCGCGTTCGTCCCCAGAGTCGGACTCGTCGAGGATAGAGATACGGAGATCGTCGCCCCAGGGCTGTTAGCACTCAGCTATTTCAATCATTGGGCTGGACGATAGGTGCGATAAGATTATTTTCGTGCGCGACGACGTGACTCGGACGCGTCTTCGAGAACACATGATTGGACCGCGAGGCGCGCCACTCTCGCACTCTTCCAAGGTATTATTCTGCTACTCAGTAGTACTTCGAAGGGCGACGGTGTGCATGAGCTACTATTTCTCCCCTTCCTTCTACGTCCGCGACTCTCAAGTAGGTATGCTGGCCATCTCACCGGAGCTTGAGATGTTAGGCTTTGCGTGCTACTGATAATCATGATGTCTTCAACCTGGGACCTGAGGCCCGAGGTATAGGAGGACCCCCGCGAATCCACTGAGAGCTCCGATGCACCCATCCCCGAAAAATGGGCCGCCGGAGGCGAAATGTTCGATCTTCGACACCCGAAAATGGCCAAAAAGTCGTCGAAAGTTGGGTGCGAAACACCCCCGAAATGTGACCCTCCAACCTGAGGTAAGGTCCAGAACCCCCGAAAACTGAGGTTGGCTGGATCTCTCAGGTTTCGGAGGATCGGCCCCAAATTTAGACATATGTGGTGGTTTGGGAGGAAAGTTTTGGTAATTTGGTTGACAAAAGCTTGGGTTTCGCGCAGAAAGCGAAAAATTTGTTCCGCCGTCGAACGTAATTCTAGGCGGCCGAATGCTCGATCCCACATACCCCCGAAAATGACCGACCTGCCGCCAGGTTGTGTGCAAACCCCCCGAAAATGGGTAGTTGGCCACCCCCGAGAAATGTCTGTTGAAGGTGGGCAAGCTGGCGCCCATCTCGGAGGTTGCCGGCGGAGTTTTCCGTAGTAGATTTTGTACGCTCACGCTGGTCGTCGTACGTTGGGAGAGAATTTTATCGTCACCGCTGCGCCGTCTGTTGCTGCTTGTGCAATAGGTTATGAGCCCCAAGCTCTGACACCCTAGTGTTTGCTTCTTCCTACTGCTTACACACCCTGCTTATTCTCTTGCTGTGCATCCTCGAATCAACCGCTAGCAACGACTGGTAGTCACGCTTGCAACTGAATTTCGGCCTACACTCTCGATTTTCGGCAGTTACCTTTGGCTTGTGCACTCATCTACCAAGCCATCCAATCATTTTCCATTCATTCATATTCCTATTCTATTCTACATCGATTTCGTCAGTGGTCACCATGCCAGAACATGACTCGTGCATTCCCAAGCTCGTTGAGGGCAACTACATCGAGTGGAGTGCCCTGATGAAGGCACATCTGGTCGCTGCAGATTTGTAGGAGGTTGTTGGGCCTGAGGAGGAGGAGCTGGTAGTGAGAGGACTGAAGGGAGTGGCAGCGAAGAAGAAGAAGTGTGAGCAGGTGTACTGGAAGATTTTGATGAACCTCAGTCTCCCAGAGATGGCTTTCGTGTTGGGTTCGGAAAACCCCCGAGAGGCATGGGCTGCACTTGAGGAAACTCATAGGTCAGTGTCTGTCAACACTATTCCATCATTGCATTGCTGTTTCTTTGGAGGATGGGAAGGATGAGGCTGTGATGTTGGTGAGGGTTTGGGATGACTCAGGGGAGGTTTTGCATTTGTTTTGGTTTTTCCCTTTTCACTTCCTTACCCTCGATGGGTGCTCACCTTGTGGGAGAGTGTTGAAGGTGGGCAAGCTGGCGCCCATCTCGGAGGTTGCTGGCAGAGTTTTCCATAGTAGATTTTGTATGCTCATGCTGGTCGTTGTATGTTGGGAGAGAATTTTATCGTCACCGCTGCGCCGTCTGTTGCTGCTTGTGCAATAATGTCATCGTCAGGATCGGAGCTCTTAGTTGATTCGCGGGGGTCCTGGTATAGGAGATTGTTTAATGGTTAACATTGCAGTGTCCCATGGGCAAATCCTAGAAGGGCGATAGAATGAGGTTCGATTCCCTGCCCCCAAATAGACAAGCTGCATGTCTGTGTTTTGTGCATTTTCACTTCCCTCTATATGAAGTGATAACACGCGCTGGCTTGTGCATTTGCAGTGAGTTCTGGTTATTCTCCTGATGTGGGATTGCATAGCTGTTCACGGTCAGTTGGTTTTCAGGGCTGCATACGATGTGGGAATACCCCCAGGATGCTCCATTGCAAAGCCATGCTAGATGAAGGTTGTATGCTTGGGCATTTTCCTTTCTAGGCTCAGAAGTTGGGTGTTCTAATGTCGCATCCATCAGGAAAAAATGGCTTGAGTACATACAGATATGTAGCTTATGTAGCAGTGGTAGACCAGTAGACAAGTCCCCAGAAATATAGCACCTAGTCGCGCGCAAGGCTCTGTAATCTCACGTAGTGGTGGCGCCGCACCTCAGTAGTCATACGTAGGGCCCTGTAGTTACTGTCATTCATGTTGTCTATGTAGTGTTACGCCAGCTATTATAGTCAATGTATATGGTAATAGTGCTCTCATGCCGATGCGTGCACCTGACCGTTCAGCAGACAGGTTGATATTGAGACTACGGTACAGGAGGAGCACAAGTTATGACTACAATTACCAGCAGCCCTAGTTCTCATCCTGCTCCATTTCGCTGTCTGTGTCTCCCGTCCGCCCTGCCAATTCCTCCTGCGCACGTCATCGTGTTTCCGCGGAGAGGCCTTCAGGCTCATCAGTTGCAGATGCTCCAGTCTGGCATCTTTGACAGCATGTGAGCTTAAGGAATTACCACAGCAATCCATCAGACTTACTGCGCGTGGTTGTACATCTTCGTGCGTATCTTCTTTACAACCTCTGGGCTGAGATTGTTCCATTCTTGTACCTTAACAAGATGCTCGTCGTACTTCGGCTTCCAATTCTTCTCATCAAATACCCCTTTTGTAAAGCTGCCATCGCTCCATTCACTTATGCAGAATTCGAGCTGCAATACAAAGGTCAGATATCTGACTGGACTGCAAAAAGGGATGACACACCAAAGTGATGACCAATGCAAGCAACTCAAGCAAGAACAGCCGAAAATGAGACTCATAAAAAATACCGAGGTCAGTCTTGCCACGAAACCATTCTTCCTGAATTACTGACATAATGATCTGATGTTGAGCAAAACCTGTAATATTTTCGATGTCCTGGAAAAGAGCCACATGATGAGGCATAAACACAGCCACAGTGTAATTGTCAGAGCTAAATAAGAGTGACAGGCACATGGGTGCACACACCTTGTAATAAAACTGGTTGTCATCCATCAGATGAGTATAAAGGAGGTAATTATTCTTGACAGCCTGTTTGGTAGTATCTTTCGTGAATCTGTAAATGTTAATGACATGCAGGCGAAGCTTGTCTCGCACTGTTGCTCATGCATGCAATGTGCATCCTTTGATCTAGAATGGGGTCACAGGGTATGCAGTGCACGTTGAGTGATACACAATGCAGACGATGCACTCACAAACTTACCAAACTGAGGACACGATCTGTGAGTTCGTACTGCTCACCGATCTCCTCGCAAACCTTGCTCCAAGCCTCACGCACCCACCGCACTGCAATGTCAGCCTCGGGGAAAGCTCCAGATGTGCACACGTGGCACTGGTAATTGTTGATCACACGGAGAATGAGTTTCTTGATGTGAGGTTCATAGTCAGCAGCCTTAGCGTCGCCTTCAGGAATGCAGCCATCGCGGAACCCCGGCTTCTTGAGGGCCGTATCGCGCTCCTCCGAATGAGAGTGAGAGCGGTGTTGGCCTCTATGAGCATGTTGATCATGCGTATGATGGGTCCGATGGTGTTGATCATGGTTGTCAAGACAGCCTCAGCGCCCGTGCGGGGATCTTAAGTGCTGTGAAGGCTGTCGTTCCATCAAGGCCATCGTTCCATCTCACCATGTGCAGGAGATGATCGATGCAAGGGCCACTCAGTTGGGGAATGAGAATGGCACAATGGTGATAACTGCGAACAGTGCTGTGTGTGACGAGAAGGCGAGTGGTGTGAAAGACCAGGAGATGAGCACCGCGGAGGGGGTGAGTGCGAACATCACTGAGCAGCAGCATGCCCATAGCCCATAGACGATGGGTGACTGAGTGTCCGTGCTAGGGGGTTGGGTAAATAGCGGATCAAATGAGCATGACAGAAGAGAGAGCAGGGAAGACATACAAGGGGAGCTCATACGTGATGACAATCCTGAACTGCTGGCTGCTGGGTGATGACGTTCTGCAGTGTGACCTTGATGCTCATCAGCACCATGATCCAGGCTTGAGCCTCGAGTATTTGTGACAGGCTGCAGAGCATCTGGTGTATGTGGAGAGGCCGTTATCCCGGGTGGCTGCTTCGGGTCACCTGCGTGGCGAAGCCATGCCTTGGTGGCAGTCTGAAGAGTACCCCGGGATACAAACTGCATAAGACGGAGATCAGAGTGAGCATCTTGGTCATCACTCATGGTGAGACGTACCAAAGACTGGTAGTTGTTTGCTGGAGGGTCTCGCTTCTCGCTTTCGAAGCCATTTTCATCTTCATCCTCGTTGTTAGGCTTTGATTTTGGTACTAGACCTCAAGTTGTAGTGACAGTGGCACATAGCTAGGCAGGGGTATCATGTCACTTACCTTCTTTGCTTTTTTTTTCAATTTTGTGTTCTCTTTCCTCAGCCGTTCAAGCCGCTTGAGCAGAGCTTCTTCATTTTCCTTGTCTGTGCTCAACATAAGTTGTCAATACAGCTGGTTTGCAAATTGAGTGAATGGATAAAGAGTGCATACCCTTCTGCACTTGCTTCAAGGACCGCCTACATGTGTGCTTGTCTCGTGTGTTCTGCACCGAGTCTGATTCCATATCTGCTTCCTTCAAGTTATCGAAGTTGTCATCATCGTGATCCTTAGAGTTATGCCGTTGTGAACCCATTCTCACCCTGTCAGGGCAGGAGTGAGTTGTGAAGATGAAGGGTGATGAGTGAGGAGAAAAGAAGAAGTTTTCGCACTGAACAAGTTGATCACTGGCCGTCGGAGTTCATGGCCACTCAGATCTGAGCCCATAGTTTAGCTCAGTGACCCAGCCACCTTAAACCATCACAATGCCGCTCTTTATATGTCAGTACTGCCACCAGAGCAAACCAACCATTCAAGGTTTGCGTTCACACATCACGTAAAATCGGTTTTGCAAACGAGCATTCTGCAAAGCAATGTTCGGCACACCTGTTCCTCCTGCTGAAAATGGCAACACATTGATAGAAGAGAATCCTGTGGACCCACTCAGCCTAGATGCAGCCGAGGAGGTTGCCTCATCTATTAATGACCACTCTCCGAGCCCACCTCCAGTTTTCGACCCACCTTGTGAACCAGATACCTGTTTACCCGTCGATGCAGTCGAAGAACTGCGATCTCACCCTCTGCCCACTACAGATGATCCTCGGTCATCAAAGCGGGCTCGTGTGGATGACGTTGAAGATGAGAATGATGCCAGAGGTTTGCCGAGAAGGCCGTGGACCGAAGACTATCCTGGAGATGTGGGGACGGTGAGCAGTGTTGGAGAGACCATGTTTGAGAGCATTCAGAGATGCAAAGTGAGATCTGGGGAGCATGATTGGGCTCCATTTGATTGCGAGGAGGAGTGGGAATTGGCTCGCTGGCTGATGACCAGCGGCTTAAGTCAGATGGCAATTGACGACTACCTTGATCTGAACATTGTGCATCAAATCATGCCATACCTATCCCAGTTGGTTGCTTACCCATATTATAGACTCATGCATGCTCACGACTGTCATTCAAAAATAAATACGCATTTATCAAAAAGATTGATATGCTCCCGCATGGGACCAAATGGGAATGTGAACTATTTGAGGCTGTCGGAGATGAGCTGGATGATGACAACCAACCTCGCAAAGAGGTCCTCAAGCTGTGGAAGCGGGATCCAGTGGAGTGCATTCGCGAACTGATAGGGAACCCGGTGTTCAAGGATGTTCTCCATTATGCACCAGAACGACTCTATGCAGATGAGGCAGGTCAGAACTGGCTGTATGGGAACATGTGGACTGGCAATTGGTGGTGGGATCTGCAGGTATGTGATTGAGCACAGTCCCACTGATCCCGAAATTGAGCCTTACCACACATTCTGCAGAAACAATTGCCTGCAGGAGCTACAATTGCACCTGTGATTCTCGCATCTGACAAGACATCCCCATCTCGGTTCAGTAGAGACAAGTCAGCTTGGCCCATATATCTCAGCCTGGGGAACATTGAGAAATCTACTTGCCACAAGCCCTCTCAGCATGCTACCGTCCTCATAGGCTACATCCCTGTGTCCAAACTCAAGTGTTTCTTGAAAACTCGTCAGTCCATTGAGGGGATCCGACTCTTCCATGAGTGCATGAGGTCGCTGCTCCAGCCGCTCATTCACGCCAGCCAAGAGGGTGTCAAGATGGTGTGTGCTGATGGGTTTATACGTTAAGTGTATCCTGTCCTAGCGGCATACATCGCAGACCATCCAGAGCAGTGTCTTATATCTTGTTGCCAGGAGAACTTTTGCCCAAAGTGTCCAGTCCTTCCCCATAATCGAGGTGAACCAGTATATTCAGTTTTAAAGGATCATAATGGGGTGGTCAGCATTCTGCAGGAGGCATCAGACTCAGGCGAGAAACCTGCTCAGTTTGTGGACTTAGGCCTCAAACCTGTCCTTCCATTTTGGAAGGACCTACCCCACTGCAATATCTTTGGGTGCATCACCCCCGACATCCTACATCATGTAGTGCAGAGCAGGGGTATGGATAACCCTCAAGGGTAAGGGGTAAGGGTATTGGAGGGTAAGGGTAGGGGTATGAACTTTCAGACCCTTGTACCCCTGGAGGGTATCACTGTATATAGTATATATAATGTAAGCAGTAATTGTATGGTGACTAAAGCCCAAGTACAGCCTAGATACAGCCTTAAATTATGTCTACAGAAGCTTCAAAGAGAAAAGAAGGCTATTACAAGTCTTAAACTTAATGTCTATGATGTTATTTCCTCAAGTAAGGCAGATATTGAGGGGTATACCCTCAGGGTTTGGTACCCTTACCCATACCCTTACCCCTGGTGAAGAGTATGTACCCTTGGAGGGTAAGGGTAGGGGTACAGCTCAAAGTACCCAGGGGTATACCCCTGCTCTGCACTACCTACATCAGCTACACAAAGGTGTCTTCAAAGATCACCTGGTTGCATGGGCCATGAAAAGTGCACATGACAACGGTGATGCCAAAGAGTTGGACTGGAGGTTTCAAGCCATGATGAAGCACTCGGACTTATGCTACTTCAAAGATGGCATCTCGCTCATCACACAGTGGACTGGGACGGAGTACAAAAACATGGAGAAAGTATTCCTTGGTGTGCTTGCAGGTGCCACAGATCCTGAGGTCACATGTGCAGTCCGTTCTGTCCTGGATTTCATCTACTATGCACATTTCGAGATGCATTCAGAAGACTCACTGGCCAAGCTTGAAGCTGCATGGCGCAATTTCCACTGGTACAAGTGTGTCTTTGTCTGAGAGGGCATCCGAGAGAATTTTGACATCCCAAAAGTTCACTCTGCGGAACACTATCCTCTTTCAATTCGCTCGCTAGGCACTGCAGATGGATACAGCATGGAGGGCCCAGAGTGTCTTCATATTGACTTTGCGAAGGTTGCATATGGTGCCAGCAACCACAAGGCAAACTATCTCACACAGATGACTGTCTGGTTGGAGCACCAAGAAGCCATCCACCGATTTGATTCATATCTCAGTTGGGTTGTGAAGAAGCAGATGGTTGAGAGCCAGCATGAGGAAACAGAGGAGGAACAGGATGCTGAAGGTGAGAATTCAGTGGAATCGGAAACACGGAGTTGCCAGAACCAACCAGTCAAGGAGGATCGCTTTGCCAAAGGGTACACCATTGCGAAGGAACCTGCATATCCCAGAATGACAGTGGCTGCAGTGGTGCAGGATTTCCATGCAACTGATTTCATCAAGTGTCTGGAAGACTTTCTGCGACGGATTGACATTTCTGAGAGCAGAGGATTCAACCAGAGCCACATTGGTCGAAGGGCTGATGTACTTACAATCCACGACAAGACACGGGTTCCTGTGTACACTCAGATGAAGGTGCGGCTTCCTGCAGTGCAACAGGTCACAGCAGACGAAGTGATAGATACTATCTATGCATCACCGGCACGAGCAGCCAAGGGCGTGCAATCAGAACTCCCCACACACCAGTCCACTGTACTCGTGAAGGATCCTTCAGCACCACCTGTTGCAGAAGGTGATCATCTGCTGCATGGTACATGTTCACCATATTCAATCTGACAGAAATCTTTGCTCAATTTTCACTCATCTAGGACTTCGTGTGGGTCAAGTTTGCACTCTATTTAAGCTTCCAGATGTCCTGGTCTCTGAACACCCCACTCTTGCCTCAGTGCCGCTCGCGTATGTTGAGTGGTTTACACCATTCCATATGGTTGATCCACACACACACATGCACGTTGTTTCATGCTCAACACGACAGCATCGCCAGTTTGCATCAATTGTCCCAGTTACTGAGATCATACATAGCTGTCATCTCATACCAGTGTGGGGTAAACAAATAGATTGGACATTACAGTCTTATACTGCACTGGATGTCTGTACGAAGTTCTATGTAAATCCATACTTACGCCACCACGATTTTGTTCTATTCCGGTATATGGTAGATAAATCTTTGTAATTGCACAGATAGGTTGCAGTGGTTCCTTGTTCAGTGCGAAAGCATGCAACATCAGGAAAACCCACTTTTCCTTAAGAGGACACTTATATAACTTAAATGGACTTATGGTCCTTATTTAAGGACATAAGGACAAAAAGGGCCTAAGGCATATTCCCTGAGTGTCTGAAATTCGACTTATTGAGACTTATTTCAACACTTATGGACTTAAATAAGGGTTGCCAGACCCAAAAGTTTAAATAAGTCCCTCAGAAAAAGTTGGATTTTCCTGATGAACCTTCAGCACAGCAATGAGATGCAGCAGAATTGGAATTAATTCTGAATATATGGTCTTCTGTAGGGCTGGCATCTTTGATGTACACTACACAGCACTACAGAGATAGGACACCGAGCTACGTGACATTACAGACAGGTACCTGGACTTCGTGGAAGGCTACATGCGCTACACGCATCACGTAACCCAGGCTGAGGCTACCTCACCCAGGCCTTTTTCCTGATGTCTCCGTTCTCAGCTGGCACCACAACGACGATGCTTGTGCTTGCTTTTTTGTAACACATAGGTCTGATTTCAGGAGGATAGTTCGAAGATCATCGTGTATGGGTGGTACGGCACGGAGTGGATAGAGCTTCGGGATGGTAAGCGTATCACGCTGTTTTAAGTCTTGTCTTCTCTCTGTGCTGACTAACGCGGGTGTCCGTGTGAACACTGCAGTAACTGCTACCCGGATGGAGACACTGGGCACAGCACAGTGGGCGGTACAAACGCCTTAAATCCTTCGTAGGTGGAAACTATCACGGCTTCGGTTGCATGCCTGTAAAGGTCGAGTTGACTTGCTGAGCATGTTGGAGGCATTCATCGTCTGATTGCGAAGTAAGTGCGCAATACTATGCCCAAAATGATCTACTCCTTCTGCAGCTGAAGACAAGTTTATGTACGTACGTACAGTACTGGGTGTTCGAAGCCTGACTCTCATAGACCAAACTGGTACAAATATTCACAGCCGTCAAAGCAGACCATCGGATATGGTGTAATGGCTAACATTACCGCCTCTCATCCTCCATTTGTAAAGCTGTTGCGGTGGCTCGGGGTTCGATTCCCTGTGTCTGAATACCCAGATTCCCTGGTTGAATTTTGCTTCTCCCGCTCGCCGGCCGGTTGCATATGGTATGAGACCATCGTGAGTGGCTTCGACCTATCACAAGCCCCGCATGTTGCAGTACCTGTGTATGAATGGTGTTCTTGGATCCCATCCGACCCAGGCTCCGTCCCACCGTCGCGGAGAGTTAAGAGGGATGATATCCTATAACATATGAAATGCTTGGTCCCAGAACACGTGCAATGCTTAATCACATGGACCACGCGAATCTTATTACTACCAGAACCTTATTCCCACTTAACTCTCCACGATGGCTGGCACCAAACATGGAACAAACAAACGCCACCTCGGACGTGTCTGCCCAATTTGGTGGTACAGAAGGGAGGACTAAGATTAGATTTAATCGACTTGCGACAATTTATTTTTGTGTACCGCAAAGCAATTCCCAACATTTGTCATTCATGGGATCCAAACCATGGCTGCTATATCTGACTTCCCTTCTGTGAATGAGATCAGAGAGAAGACATTGCAGGCATTTGGATGCCGGGCATGTCATTGGCAGATAGAGACTATGTTAGGAGGTCCAGAATACTGGCTCTGTGTGAGACTAGGTACTCGATAGTATTTTCAATGACCTCCATCACCGTCAACCCTTCGTTAAGCGCTTCAGAACAATTCAACAACAACGCAACCCACTCAATTAGGAAATGCATAAATCCGATCTATTCAAGAAATTGTTGTAAATCAAGTTATTATACTTCTGATATCCAGAGCTTGGATCACCCTATGGAGCTGCCATCACCGGGTGGCATTTGTTTGTTCCATGTTTGGTGCCAGCCGTCGTGGAGAGTTAAGTGGGAATAAGGTTCCGGTAGTAATAAGATTCGCGTGGTCCACGTGATTAAGCATTACACGTGTTCTGGGACCAAGCATTTCATATGTTATAGGATATCGTCCCTCTTAACTCTCTGCGACGGTGGGACGGAGCCTGCATCCGACCTCGCGAAAGCTCCACGAATGTGTCCGACGTCATGCCTACTAGGTGGCTGGCACCGGTGCACCACAACAGCAACTGAGCGCTACATATTGACCAGCGAACACCGCAATGATTACCCAGTTACACGAATCCACCTCACATTGCTCACAACCATTTCCAGAATCCTACAGCATACAGTATCATCCAGGAGCCTCAAGAACGCCTCACCTCCCGCCCACCACGTCCACCGCGACTCTGAGTTCCTTCCCAGGGCCAACGGCGCGTTGCCCTCCGCCGGCTATAGCACTGACCGCACCAACGACTCGCGGACAAGGGCGGGCAGCAACGAGCGTCGGTACGGCGTGGACACCAATCACGGCGCCGTTGTTAGGGATGAGCAGCAACATGGCTCGGTTACATCCGGTGCACTGTCGACAGAATCGGGACACAATGCGTACACTGAGGGGAAACCGCTTGGCATGCAACCTACATCGCAAGGTCCGTGTTCGCGATCATTCGCCCGTCTGGGCGATGTCTGACGCGTCTTCACGGCTCGGTGGTATTGCTATAGGCGGACAGGACGACTTTCTCCAAGGCAAGGCTAGCTCCACTGACAAATTCATTGAAAAGACGCGGAAGGTAAGCGGATCTTCGTTGCAACGGAGTCGCGCGGTTGAGATCGATTCCCCATAGGTCGCTGGAAAAGCCACGCACAATGCCGAACTGCACGAGAAGGGAGAGCTCCGCCAGTCCGGCGGGAAGGCCGCGGTAACGGGGGAGGCGAGCGCCCCACACGAATAGAGAACAAGCGACGCGAACACCAGGGACATTGAACCACCGACGCAGAATGATAGTGATAATTGTATGATACCAGATGATATTAGCCCGCGGTTGGAAGCATTGTATGATTCCTGACAGATTGACAAACATCTCGGAGAAGACACTGACCTTTAGGAAGACGCAAGGTAGGTGGGATGCTATAGCACCATGCACTGGCCAGTGTCCAACACGAGATGACTTGTCGGCGATCGCTAGAAGCTTCGACTGACGTGAGACTACACCACAGCAGGGGAAGTATGATATCGGCGCTATGTGCAATAGGGATATGTCGATTTGGAGGCCTACCAACTTCCCCTTATGTCATTGTGTCGGTCTTATAATGTTCTAATTCATTCAAGAATGAGATGAGACGAGAACTGGAGTTGTAGCCGGAGCTCGCAAGGAACGGCTGATGCACGGATGAGACGGTCGGTGCTACAGGGAGCGTTCAGACCAGAGTCCGGCGCCGAGTACTGCTTCACTAGAAGAGGCAGGGTTGGGAGTAGTCAAGTGGAAATAGTAACACCAGAACTTGAATAACGTACTATTGGATTAGAACACGCACGCTGTCACTCCATCGAGTACGGCCGGGAAGTGCTTCAAGGCAGTCGATGAGGGCGGGCTCAAGTTGTCGGAGTCACGGACACCATCACCATTCAACACCACTCTCTGGAACTCGAATTGTGCGGAGGAGAAACGCGATGGCAGGACGACACGACTAAGAGTTGAGTATCAGAGAATCACGAGAGATAGCCCGGAGAGACGTCAATGATGCCAGGACAATAACACAACGGAATCGTGCTAGCACCTTTTCGCACAGCGTCGCCGGTAACGTCATGGCACAGCAGCAGATCCGTGATCTTAGTGGCCATAAATGCTGAGTTGCACTGAGCTGCAGAAGTCCACTTCAGACTCGATTCGAAGCACCGAGACAGAGTTAAAAAAAGCAGCACAGTCTATGGGCGAGAAAGAAATTTAAATGGCACCTGAACTCCGAGGGTAAGGTTGTTTACCTTCATTCAATTGGAAGAAGTTCGTTGACGGATCGGGCCTCCGCCGAGTCTGGCGTTGAGTATAGCGGCTTCCATAAAAGGCTCGGCCAACAACTTTTACTGATGCATGCAGTGTTTTTATAAAGTGATTCCTTCTTTGCGCTCAAAGAACTGACAGACCTCTCTATATCACAAGACACGAGATATACATGTCAGCAGCATGGGGTCCGAACATGGCGAATGCAGCCTCGAAGTATGCGACTTTCCCTCCAAGGATGACTTCAGAAGGGATTATACTGCATGAAGACTTCCAGCTTCCTTCCTTCGAGCTGGTACAAAAGGACCTCGCTAAACGTGCACCCTTATTTCTCCTCAATATTTAACTTTGCTTATTTTTTGTCCGCGTAGTCAGACAGATGAAGGCTACAGGTCCGTGCTACGTAGCCGTCAGGCTCGAAGGAAACCCGAACCCTTCCGTGCTTCCACTGTCGCTCTCGTGGACGGCAACAATACTTGACCTCTTCGCATGGGCTATCTTCGTTAGTCCAGAAGATGGTGAGGGATATTCCGTTCTCTTGACCATCTTTATTCCCGCGGCCTGAGTTCCTATAGTTGCCCCGGAGCTAGTTGAAGACGTGATCTTTGTCCTGAAGATATTTGTGCAGGGTCTGCAGGAGGGCACGGATGCGCAGCTGGAGTTCCTGGGATACGCCTGGGATCCCGACGACCCTGCGTTCACCAAGTCTAGACTGGTTCGTCGAACAACTTACCTACCACTCTGACAAGTGACCACTACTTTCACAGACCAACAACACAAGGTTCAAGCTGAGCAGCCATCTTCTGTGTGTTATTTTCGTCTTGCTGTGCTTCGCCGTCCGTTCTTAGATCTCCTCCAGTAACCCAACCATCAACCGTCCAGGGGAGGCTCTTCCCTACATCAAGGCAATCATAGAAGAAGAATCTATCTATTATGCCAAACATGGGAAAGTGCTTTTATCAGAAGACCCGTGCGTCTCGGCTTCATTCTCTTCCTATGGGAGTGGAGGGTGATAAATCAGATGAAACTGTTTTCTCCATTAGCTATGTATACGTGCTCTATGGGGAAGCACTCGTCTATTCCAACATATATACCGAGGAAACCCGATCTGTGCTCGAGAAGTTCCTGCAAGCAGCCCAAGGGCAACAATCGGCGCGGGCACGACACTTCGCTGGCGCTCTGCTTCAGACGCGTATGCATCTTTCGCTCGTCCTGCTTCAGCTCGGAGTCGATCCCGAGGAACAAAAAGAGTACGCACAATTTTATTATCTTCGTCCGGGTAGCGTTAACGTGACTCCGCGACCCAGGCACACGCAATGGTCTGCGAAGTTCTTGCGCAGGAACCCTACATTCCTGTTCGAATGCGACCTGAAATACATACTCGCGCGACCTGGTGCCCCTCCGCATCCGGTGCTCGCTGCGCTCGGTGGCCCAAAGTGGCTCGAGGAACTTGGCGAGTCTCCCAGAAGAATCACGAACCTCGGCAGGAGGTGTATGTGCGGCCTCGTGCAAGGGCCGCAGACGAAACTCTTCCGCTGCGTCGGCTGTCAGTCAGTCCTGTATTGGTGCGTCGTTTCCTTATAGTTCGTTTGCACGACGAGATCGTGTCCGAATGATCGTTCTCAGCTCCAGGGCATGCCAGAAGAAAGACTGGAGTGCGCACAAGTCAGTGCTATGTTTCTCTTTCTCTGATCACATCCTGATGGCGAGACTGCCGGTATGGCAGGGAATTTTGTCGGTGAGTAGACTGAAGGAGCAGTTCACTCTCCCCATCTGACGAATTGTTCCTCTCAATGTGTTCGCCATCCTCGAAGAGCGGAAGCTCGACGAGATGCTCTAATCAAGGAGCTACAACAGAAAGATCCCTTCGCCGCCCAACGGGCCATCGACGGCAAAAAGTGGACGAGCTTGAACGACGAGAGGAAGGTGAACGCCATCAAATCCGCCCTCGGGGTGCATCGCGACCCCTCGCGGGGACGCACACACATCGTCATGCAACTCGTGGAGTACACTCCGAAGCACAGGGACATGCAGCACAAGTTCCGTGTCGCGAAATGCGGAGTGTTCCACCTCGAGGACGTGATACCAGACATCGTGCGAATTGCCGGATGGGACACGGCGTGGATTCGCCGAAAAGTGCAGCAGATGTTCGACGACATCGCGGCCGAAGACGGATTCGAGGACAGCGTGCCTATGCTTGAGTTCAGATCTGGTCAGGGGATTGAAGCATCGTTGGGTTGCAGTGAGTCGTTCACGTCAGTACATATACGTCTGCGTCTGCTGACGGTTTGTAGTGCTCACGAGCCGTGGTTCGATGCGGAGGACAGAACATAACCCGAATTGGCGCCAGGACATGAATAAGGGCGACCCTCCAGCATTCTATCGTCTGCCGAGCGGCGTTATGGACGTCGAACATATTTTCTAATCTTCTTATACTGTAGTCTTACGCGCCTGTCAGCTGCACCGTCCACTCCCCAGCTCTCAGTATACTGTCATGCACTTGAAAATCCGTACGTATGGCCACCCCAAGATAGTAACTGGAGAGGTAATACTTGGAACTCCTCGACCAATGGGAAGTTTGTGAGTATTCTCCCCTCCGACATTCAATCGACGCTAGTGAGACGTAGCTATAACCGGGCGGATAGTGCAACGAAGCAACAAGGGTGCTGTTCGGCTTGTCGACGTTTGGCCCGAGACCGCTGAAGCTGCTGAACTGACAGAGGATGTCAGCAGTTGAGTCGAGAAATTAGACACGTCGCTGTCCAAGAAGTTGTGCGTTAAGGCTTATAGGGATCGGTTCTGTGGCATGTCATTCGGTACAATGTGGAAGGCACGAAGATCATACCTGCACGGCTGTCACTCTCTCTGGATGACCCTAGAACTGCATATACTTTATATTTATAGATACCAGCCATTCCGGATAAGGCTGGCTTTTCATGCGTCCTGTCAGCATGGAGGTCGGGTCGACGCACCGCACACAGCAGCTAGAAATAAGAAACCTCATAAATCGACTGAACGACCGGCGGGAGGCGGGGAGGATCAAGGAGCGTAGGAACTGAAGTACATAATTTTGCAGCCAAGCCAGCATGACAGATGAACGACAGATCGAAGTGATTCCCTGCTTGATCGACGTTCGAACGTTCATGGCGGATCGCAGAACGAGCTCCAGTCAGAGACAGGAAAGTTTGTGAGTGCGGACAGTGTCCTCCATCATGTCACTTCCAATTTTTGGAAGAGATACGCTACCGACTTCTACAGAAGTCTAATTCATGACCAAGATATCAGCATTCACTGTGCTGAAGGGCCCGTAGGATACAACTTACAGGCGAAGCCTACGGGACAACAACTTGTGGCGCGAAAGGATGCCCCTCTGGCGCCGGCATGGCCGCGGTTGCAGACTGCCCCAGATCCCAAAGTAGACCACGAATCTAGCTTGAATCTAGCACTGCGCCACCTAAGTATGCCATGCCGGACAATATTGTTGTTCCACTTGCGCTAATGCCGCGCCGCATGCGCATGCATATGGTGAGGTCTGGATTGTAAAGCTATTCCGGCTTTCCGGTACGCACTATCCAATCATCGAATACCATGGAGACTTGGAGAAAGCTGACTTCACCCAGGACCTGACCAGATCGGCATTGGTTTTGTCATGGGTTTAATTGCGCAACACCTGAATCGCATGCATTTTTGGAGCTAGGCTAGCGAAGCATTCCTTGGGATGCGAGAACGTGCTTGGGGCCAGGCAGCAGACTCGTCGTATTCCAGCTTCGGGACAGTGAACGCGTGAGTAGACATGCGGATCGTTACGCGTTGTCATCAATCTCCGTGTGCCCGGCTTCATGAGGACGTCCCAGACTCGGCCTACGCCCAATTCAAAGTACTACATTGAAGGAAGCACTCGCCGTCGGCACAGGACCGAGGATGGTGCAAAAAGCTCCACTATTTCGCTACGATGGTACTCGGGAGTCGGACCCGGCTCGGACTCTCAAGCTGGAGATTCACAGGGGTTACTGAGCGCCACTCATTAATACTCTGACCGTCCGCGGCCGGACGTCTGGCCAACGCTGGGAGAACACGTTCGAGCGTATCTACACACGGACGCCGATGCTGCGATACGGATGAATCAGCGCGGAACAAACAACAGGGGTAAGGGTCAGAAATTCATGAAAGACAGAAGACGGAACATACTTATCCACAACATGGAATTGGAAACCGTGAAGGGCTGGAACGAAATGGAAAGCCGGTTAGCCTGAGGGACGGTCGAGGGCAGCCCAGTCAACGAAGACCTCCCGTTTATGGATCGACGCGTCGTCCATGTCCGAATCCGGAAGACATTAGCCAATCACCGCCATCTTAGATAACGATAATCGCAGGCATATAAACTCGCCCTGCGCCCACTCCCCCACTCAACTCCTGTCCACCTTCTAACTCATACACAATGGTTGTAAGTTTACTTTTGAGCGTATACCGCTGAAACGTGGCGTTGATCGTTGTTTCGTTTAGGTCAAAGTTGGAATCAACGGGTATGTGTGTTTGAAGCTTCTTTTTTCTGTGCACTGATTCACTCCCCCGCGTCTGACAGTTTTGGTGAGTTAGAGGTATGAGAATGGTGTCGAATGTGGTCTGACGAATTAATCATGAATAGGTCGTATTGGCCGTATTGTGTTGCGCAATGCGCTCGCGTACAGCGATCTTGAGATTGTCGCGGTTAATGAGTGAGTCGGAATATTATGTACGCGACCCTCCCGACGTCTAACTAGACTCGAAACAGTCCCTTCATTAACTTGGACTACATGGTGCGTCTAAATTTTTTTTGTGTATGTATCACTGGCTGACGGTACCCCGGTCCAGGCCTACATGCTGAAGTACGACTCCGTGCACGGCCGCTTCAAGGGCACCGTTGAGGCTAAGGACGGCAAGCTCTATGTTCAGGGCAAACCCATCTCAGTGTACCAGGAGCGAGACCCGGCCAACATCCCCTGGTCCTCTGACGGTGCGACTTATATCGTGGAGTCCACTGGTGTGTTCACCACCATCGAAAAGTGAGCGCTTATGCTCGGCGGCATGATGTCATCGCTGATGTGTAACAAAGGGCGTCAGCCCATCTCAAGGGCGGCGCGAAGAAGGTCATCATTACCGCACCCTCTTCCGATGCCCCGATGTTTGTGTGCGGCGTCAACCTCGACGCATACGACCCCAAGTACACTGTCGTACGTAGCTGTGTACTCGTTTTACGCGACACCACTCTGATCGTCTTGTGCAGATTTCGAACGCGTCGTGCACGACGAACTGTCTCGCGCCCCTCGCCAAGGTCATCCACGACAGCTTCGGCATCGTCGAAGGCCTCATGACCACCGTCCACTCCACGACCGCGACCCAGAAGACGGTTGATGGCCCGTCGCATAAAGACTGGCGTGGTGGCCGTGCTGTTGGTAACAACATCATACCGTCATCCACCGGTGCTGCCAAGGCTGTCGGCAAGGTTATCCCCAGCCTCCAGGGCAAGCTTACGTGCGTTTTGGCTCCCGCGTATGTGCATCCTAGCCTGCTCTAACCTTGATTGCACAGTGGTCTCTCGTTCCGGGTGCCCACTATCGATGTCTCCGTCGTTGACCTCGTCGTCCGCCTGGAGAAGCCGGCGACGTACGACGAGATTAAGGCTGCAATGAAGGCTGCCGCTGCTGGGCCGATGAAGGGCGTTCTCGATTACACTGAGGAGTCGGTCGTCTCGACTGACTTCACCGGTGCGGAAGCGTCCTCCATCTTTGATGCCGCTGCGGGTATCCCGCTCAACAAGAACTTCGTCAAGCTCATCGCCTGGTACGACAACGAGTGGGGTTACTCGAAGCGTGTGTGCGATCTCGTTCGGTTCGTCGCCAAGAAGGATGGCGCGCTCTAAATGTCATGGACGGACGGAAATAACTGATAGCAGGATTACTGTATGTTTTTTGTACGTGTGTGCGTTGGCACAAGGTGTCTTGTACAAGCGTAGTGCTGAAGAAGTCTGTAACTAGTACTATAAATCAAATAGACGATCTCAATCTTCTCCAACTGGATTCTACATTGCATATATTCGTCTTTTTCATCGTCTCTGAGTCTGAGTCAGCATCATGATCGTGGCCATTATGATCCTCGCCAGTCCTCGGCAGTTTTTCCCGGAACTGCAGTGCGGTTACAAAGTACGGCAATGGTGCAAGGGTGGAACAGAATCACTCCGATGTCAACAGGCTCATGCTTGAGACAAATCAGTGATCGTGGACCTAGTCTCCCTAGGGCAGACAATGGTAGGCACTCTGCTTCAAGCTTCAACCTTCGTACCTCAGGCTCAGAATATCCATGTCTGCCTGGGCCCGCTCAGTCGTAATTACTTGCAATGGTGTTTGACAGCCTGAGGTGCACTCGAGTCCGCAGTTGTCTTTTGCCTGAGAACGTAAGCTGTCGTTACAGAGTCATTGTATCACAAACTGGGATCATCCAGGGATGAGGGAAGTGGTGCCATCAACCGGTGACAGACAGCTTGCTTGCATGCCCCACGGAAATTTGCCAACACACAGACACAAACTCGGGACTTCTCGTGCAGGACACACGGAAGGAACTGGGGAGTCGCAAACTGACAGTATTAAGAAGACAGAGAGACCTTGCCAGTTGCAAGGGAACACTGACTTGCGGGCTACGTATTTTGACTCACCTAATGAAGACGCTTGATGAATCTCGAAGATCTGCAGGTAGTTGGACTGATGATTGCGCTGTGACACTCACTCGACATGAAGTATGAATCGTCTTCGCATGCTCATACTTACTGTAAACCATATGAAAGCAGTGTCCCATTTACCGGCTATAGCTACAATGAAAGCTATAAGACGGGCGTGAGAAATAATCGTAGGTGTACAACTCACTCGCACTCACCGCGGAGTATGCAATCCGTAAGTCTGAGACGAAGTCTTGACTCTGGGCGATGACTGTGGCGGGCGTAACCCTGCCGGATCCTTTTTTGCCTGAGCATCGAGCAAAGCAGGTCTCTAGCACTGGAGAATCAAGGAGTCCAAGATAAAGGACCTCAGCCGTCTCTGACGATCGAATGATGCGGATATAGAAACGACCATAAGGCACGTCGGGATCAAGATCCCGAATACCGCGTTGTTCATTCCAGGGCCGACGTAGACACACTCCCACCGGTAAGTGATTCTGAGAGAGAATGAGATATAGTTGTTCTTCGTAACGGGAGCGGAATTCGAGAAGCCGATGGTATGTGTCTGCTGGGATGCCTTCCATCTCTGAGACGTAGGGGTCGTAGCGTTTATGTGCGAGTAACAAGGCTGCTTCACGTGCTGCATCGTCCCATCCACGCTCCATCGCGATGAAATATCCAAACAGAGGGCTCTCCTCTATTCGGTCCGCCCATTTCTGCTTCGCGAATAAAACTGCCCTAGCAGCCCCGTACTTGGTGGCTGCCGCTAGAAGGGCGAACGCCTCAGGGAAACTCTCGACCTTTGGGTCTTCGAGTGGATAGCAGAGCTGCAAGAGCTTCAGCAGTATTCCGCCATCTTCGGAGACCCTGTATACAGGGACATGGTCTTTGTAAAGTAGATCTGCCTCCGTCGGTTCGATAAAGAGATCTGCAAATATAGGAGACACCAGGGATAGTATGAATTTGTGCACATGAAAGTCGATACCATCTGAGGATCGCAAGATCGCATCTGCGGATGAATGAAGGAATGCCGGTGGGACATTCACTGGCGTATGAACGGCTGGAGAATGGGCCTCCGCCGAAACCTCAACTGGAGCGCGGTATGAGGTGAATGCGAGCGGAAGATCTCCTGTACGACGAAATTCCAGGAGACGGTGAAATGCGCCAGCACAAATGTGATCCATCTCTGGCACATAGCTAATCTTCTCGAGTTCAAGAGTTGCAGCAGCAGCTATACGCGCCTCATCTTCAAGATGATGACGGCAGGCTATCGCATACACTCTGACGGGGGCCTTGAGTACAAAAGACAGAAGGGGGTTCTTCATCCGGTCCGTCGCCGCTTCCATCTCGTATTTCACTGAAGCAGCCATCACGTCCCTGACATCTGCCAGGTCCCACGACACCGAGCCCACAACAGGATAGCACAGCCGTAGGAGACGATCCAACACTTTACTGTCCTCGGTGAGATCGACCAACGGGAGACCGTTTTCGGGATGGACGTCCCGCCCTGGGGTAGACGCGGCGAACATGCTCTCGAAAACGTCCGAAGCCACCATGAGGATGGCTTTGTGTACATAAAAATCAACTTGGTTGGAGGAGCGAAGGATGATATCGGCATTCGCTTTGGAATTGTCGAACGGCGTAGATGCGGTGAGTATTTGTGAGAGCTGGGTCATGGTGTTATTAAACACGCTATTCAGCGCTAAGCGCTGAGCCACCAATGTGACCGTGACCAGCACAATTGCAGCTGTCGCATGTCACACAGCCGCGGCGCGAAACCCTGCTGAGCCGGCGGCGCGACTCATCGGCAATGACTCCCCGCTACATGATTGCGAATATTTTCTCTATCACTGACACTGCAGATGACTACAAGTCTACTAACAAGCTTGTGCCTCTTTACACACTTTAACTTGAACTGGTCTATACAAAGCGCCTCACCAAAATTCGACCCCTCCGATTCTAGCTCACGAGCTCCCTAAGTTGTTACAGTTGCAGCCTCTGAAAACGAAGGTGATGTAGAACCGACTACAGTTCAACCTGTTCGATCATGAGTTCGGATAACTACAGCAGGTGCGCAGTACTTGTTCAGCGACTCTCACCTTGGAGAATTTTTCATGTAGTTCTGCCTCCAAATGTTGGCTGTCTTTGACGAGCTGGGTTAGACGCGCGTGGAAGGCATAGCCAACTGCTCGTTCGACCACAGGGGCCGCGATCACTGCTCTAGTTGTCGGTCCTGACGTGTTCGACAACGCAGAACAGTGGAATTCGAGCAGGAAACTCTCGTAGGCTCCGTAAGCCTCTCCATCGTAGGAGAGATCGCTCCAATGCCTGGGCGAACTGCGGATACCGAAGTATGCCGAATCCACGCAAGAAATGATTTCTCTGCAGCTGTGACGGTATTGGAGCAGTCGATGGTACACGCTTGCTGACACGTCCTCCATCTCGGGAACGTAGACATCACTGGGCTGGAAAATGAGGTGGTTCGCCGCCTCTCTTGCACCGTCAATCCACTGATGACGCATGGCAATGAAATAGGCTCGTAAGGGCTGTGTGTGGACATGACTCATCCACTTCCTCTGTGCGAACATCAGTGCTCCTGCTATCTCATATTTTTTCGCAGCTGCGAGGAGAGCATGCGCAGTGTCTAGGTCCTCCACGTCGGGTTCTTGCATCGGATAGCAGAGCTGCAAAAGCTTTGCCACTGTACGACTGTCCTCCGTCACGGCCAGCATGCGCATGCCTTGCGGAGAGATGTCATCCGCCTGCGGACGTTGCTTGAGCCGATGGGCGAAGACTGTGGATGCCAAGGTGAGGATAAGCCTGTGTACATGGAAGTGGACTCCGTCTGACGACCTCATGACGATGTCTGCGGAAGGCTTATTGAAAGGATGGGACCCAGTCAACCGTCCGCGCTCAGCCACCTGCTGCACAAATGCTCCCCGAGGGGTGGAGAACATAAAACCCCCAACGTCGCGAGGTTGCACGCGTCGGAAATGCAACAGACGATACAGCGCCCCGGAAGTGATGTCGTCCATCTCGGAAACGTAATCGATGTCGCCTCTTGCGCATACCATCGCTGCTGCTCCCGCCAATTCTTCCAAACCCAGGCGGCAGGCGATAGCGTACGCGCGACTCGGATCGTTTGCGACACCATCTCGGAGTGCTGCTTCCATTAATCTCGTGGCCTCTTCCATCTCGTACTTCATCGCAGCCGACAGCACGGCCGCGATCTGCGCCGCGTCCTTCAGTACCGGATCGGCCACGGGATAGATCAACCGCAGCAAGTTGTCCAATGTCTGGCTGTTCTCGGTGATGTGAACTAGCGGGATGTTAAGCACGGGATGCATGTCCTGCTGTGCGCCGATGGCTGGCTGTGGCACATCGAAAATATCCGCGAAGACCGGTGACGCAAGAGCGAGTATGTTTTTGTAGACATTGAAGTCGACGCTGTCGGAGGTACGGAGGACGACATCGACGTTTGTCCTGTCGAACGGCGCGGATGCGGTAAGTAGCTGAGGGTGGTTCATACTAGTAGGACGAATGGCTCTGCAATGGAGTAGGCTTTCCAGGCTAATAAGCGTCATTAATGCTGATCTACGCCGGCACCCATGAGGATGCCGTGACTCCCGGAGAACATCGAGGGATTGAGAAGCTTGTATTTCTTGTGTGAACCTCACGATGAAATCCCACATCCCTGCGAAAGGTATCCGAGCCACCGCCAGTATACTTCTTTGTTGGATTACCGCACTGCGACACTTCTCACGTCCATCGCTTGGCGATTGACAAATGGACCAAACTTTCACTCAGGGTGTTCAGGCAAACATCGATCGATGGGGGAAAAAACACATAGCGTACAAACGAACGTGCTCCTACGCTTGTATAACCATTCTAGAAAAGTCCCAATAGATCGTTTTGTGCCTCCTGCGGCTGTGGCTGGGGTGTCTGGACAACTGACGGTATCGCGGGTGGCATGGGCGAAGCAGGTGCCCCAAACGCGAATCCTCCCAGAGGATTCGCGCTTGGCAGCTGCGCTGCTGGACCGCCCGCAACGCTGCCGAATATCGACACGAGATCGTCGAGCGGGTTGCTCGATGTTCCCGCGAGTAGGTTCGCCGCAGCGGGCGTCTCGGTGAGAACTGTCGTTGCAGCGAGGCCGGATGGCTGCTGCCCATCCACCCCATCTACATCTGAGAAATCGAGCAGGTTCTCCGCCTGCTGGCCTGCCGCCACGGTCTGCAGCGCCTTCTGCGTTGCAGACCGGTCATCTGCCAATCTGATAACAGCCATGAGAGCGTGGTGAGCTACAGAAGCCTGATGCGAAGCTGATCGAACACGCACTCTGAGTCTGTACCCCTTCGTTGCACTGAATCAATGCCGATGCGGCCCCGGCCGACGAATGTTTCTGCAGGCTTGTGGTACACGCTGGCAAGGCTTGAGATTTCTCCCAGCAATTCTTCAAGTAGTTGTGGTGACACGGTTGTCCGTGGCAGCGAGATTGGTGGTCTGTGTGAGAGCACGACAGCCTTGCCGTAAATCATTATCAGTACTCCAAGGTGCTCAAAAGTCAAAACAGTAGATAATACCTTGGCTGCGCCTGGATCTGTTGATAGCAGGCGCCAATAGATATACGCGCGATCCCGAACGTCTGGCGAGTCGCAGTCCTTCGTTGCAGTGTTGAGGATCCGTTGTACCAAGCCTTGCGAACTGTCCGGTTTCTGAAGGAATAGCTTAACGACCGCTGTTAATGTTTGCAATTGCACCTAGCACGAACGGAATCAACATCACTTCCGTTAGAAGCAGGTATCGAACTAACGGGATACGACTCTTCTGTGAACGTGTCTACGAAGATTCCCAGGAGCTCATCCGCGTTGTCTATCTTGTTGGCGTACTCCCCAATGATCCAGATGAGAGAGGCTTTTGCTTCCGGCTCGTCCAGTTCTTCCAGATTCGCGCATAGTGTCGGGATGACACCTTCGTAGGTGGAGGGGTATTTTCGGAATATATCCTAAACATGAAAAGTCAGATGATCAGATGTAGAAGAAGTCTTCGGGATTCTCGCCTTCATAACCACAACTGCTTCTTGGACGACATAACTGACACGGGTATTGATGAGATCCAGTAAGACATTGACACAGCGCTCAGCAGCTTCATCAATCTTGATGGCCGTCTGACCAATCGCCTTGATGCTTCGTCGTACGAAGTCGACGTCTACTTCCGAAGCATACCTGGGCGACCAATGAACACAAAATGGGCCAGGGCGTTTGGGATATACTCACTCCTTCAACTCGCTTAGTAGAGCATCTACGTTGCTCTCCCCAGCTAATCGGACCATGATGTCCAGCTTTTCGACCTTCACGTACAACGGGTCGTTATACTTGCAAAAGAAAACGCGCATCTCGTTCGAGAGGATCTCAGGGCGCTTTTGCAGGAGGAGGTTGATGTTCCGGAGCGCAACCCACTGCACTTCTGGGGGGTTCGAGAGAAGTGTGACGAGAGGTGGAGCCATTTTCCGGACGAGCTGCTTGGTGAGACTCTCGGAGTGTACACCACGCATATGAATCATGATGACCTGCACAAAAATGAGTGAAGATCCGAGGTTACAAGCAGAGCACTGGCCTTCATGGCGGCAAGGACAACACTAGCATTGGCGTGCTGAAACTGAGGAACGACGCGCTCGCATATGTGCTCGCTCTCCCGATCATCCGACGTCTCAAATCGAGCCAAAGCATTCAATATTGCTACACGCCCCCACTCAGAACATTCGTTGAGCGCGACAAGCAGCTTGTTGAGGATGGTAGAGGTGATGACGAACGTTTCTTTCGTCGAGCCAGAAGCAACAGCAGCGATATGGATGTCAGTTAAGGCCGCCACGGTATTCGCTACAACCTGAAGGTGGTGAGGCAGCTGGAAGTAACTTACACCGAACAACCACGTACCATAGGATTACTATCTCCGATCATGTCCTGCAACGTCTCCAAGAACCCATTCTCGATCACTAACTCGGGCTTGAGATCGTACAGCTTCGCAACACACAAGGCAGCGGTCTTGCGCACGTATGGGTTGTCATCGTGCAGACATTTCCGCAGCGGGTCGCACAGGTAGTCAATAATCTTCTCTGCGCGCAGGCAACCCATGGTCCGAATCGCGAGAGCGCGCACGAGCGGGTTGGGGTCATCGGTATCTTTCACAAAGGTGTTCACGGCAAGAATAACAAGTTCTGGTTGCGTCTTGGCATAATTCATGAGGTAGAGGTAGACGAGCTTCTTCTGCTCGAGGTCGTCTGTCTGCATGTTCTTCAGGACGTCCGGAAAGAGACCGCTGACGTCTGCAACCAACATTATAGAAATGAGTGGATTCAGCACATAGATGAGGTTGATCGACATACCCTTCTGAACGGTCATGTTCGCAATAACCTTCTTGATTGCATCCTTGCGCTTTTCCCGGTGTTCGCTGTTTAGGTCGGCGCTGAGCTCGAAATTCTCTCCCTTCCTGGGGGGTCCACGAAAACCGGACATCGCAAACTATATGCACAGAGAAAGCAGATAGTCCGAAGCCCCAGAGAGTGCACGGATGTTAATTGTCCAGACAGAGATTCGTTACGAGATACAACGCATAGCATTTCCTAAAGGAGAAAAACACAAATAACAACACTCAAACTTCCTTGCCATATTTGGACTACTCACACCTGCATCTGTGCCACCAGGGCGCTTAACAGAATGTCCGAAACAAATCTTCCACCGCCACCGTTCTCTCCTATCATTACTCTAGGTGCTTCGTCTATTATTGACGCTCCGATTGAGAAGGTGTGGGACGTACTGGTAGACTTCCCTTCATATGGTGAATGGTGCGTTCCCTCTCAAGAAACCCTCTCGTTGTGTGTCTTGACTGACACCTCATTAGGAACGATATGGTGTATGCGGTAAAAATGCGCGTGGATATACCTGTACTGAACAACTACTCTAGCCACGCGCAAACAATCGTGGACGAACATAAGAAGCCTCTCGACAGTCAAATACTCCAAGAAGGACGTCACCTTTTGATGGAAGTTCACATACCCCCAACGTCGGACAGGAGCCATAAACCTACTTCCCATGCGTTTGAACTTATTACAAACGTCGACCATGCTGCCCATCGTGTCTGCTGGGTGAGTACGTACCCGCGGTGGTTCATTGAAGCCGTGCGATGGCAGACCCTCAGCCCCGTAGATGGGGAGGAAGGAAAGACGAAATATGAATCCAGGGAGGTGTTCAGAGGTATTGGCTCTTGGATTCTCCGGTGGTTCCTGGCCGGGGGATTGCAGCAGGGCTTTGATGCCTGTGCTCAGGGCCTGAAGAGGCGGGCGGAGCAGGTACATCAGACATGAGTGTGCTTCATAGCCCTGGCATCTTCAACTAAGTGTTTTCCAAGTTTGTTATACAATTCTTCAGTGTGTTTCCCCCACTACTACCGTCCTCATTACCGACCAATTCACCTACCGAATTATACATAGTCCGAAATGTCTGCCGGACTGGAATCACTAAGTCAAAGGTTACTTCAAATTGGAGCTTCTGGTGAAATTGGCACTCAACGTTCTAGCCGTGAATTACATACTCAGAAGCTTAAGTGAGAGACACTGGCATTTGGGCAGCCTCGTTTCTTTCACTATCGATGGTACTTAGCCCTTGAGTATTTTCAAAACGCCTCCTTGAGTTTGGATTCGGCTCCTGAAATTGATACTGAAAACGCGAATCATAATCAGAGAATAGCCATCGCTACGAATGAAGAATTCGCTCTTGAACCTTACCGTACGGTTGTAATCTTTCCATCCTATCTTGATGCTGACAATTTCTGCATATTCCTAGTACAAAATTTGCAGTCTCCGAGTCAGCGACAGCATAATTTTTGGACAAAGAACATATCTGAGAATGTACAACTTCTCAAAAACAAAGGAACTCTTTGATGTCTCAAGAGAAGTCACACAAGTAAGTATCTTCCATAAAATGATATTCGACATCCGCCGTGTTCTTAGCAGAGTTGAACGGTGAGCTCGCGGTTGCAACAACGAACTTACATGACCATTTCAGGGGATGCACCGCTAGGAGCGGGATCGGGTTGCAATATGATCCGGTATGTACTCGAACGTTCTGCGGCCCTTCCACTAATACGATGACGCAAGGTCGGCCTCAGGCTGGAAGCACTGTGCCGACGCGTCTCGACCTGCTTCCCCGGTACGTAGGATCCTCGAACTCACTCGAACGTTGCGCGCAGGTCCGTTATATACCATGTTTCCTGACCGGGTTTCCCACTAACCGTAGTACACCCTTTCACATCATATCTGGTTGTACAACCCTCTCACAACCATATGTACAGCTGTTTCCCCTACGCATCATTTAATCGCGCCCACCCTTACCAGTATCAATCGTCGGACCCCTCCCCAACCCCTGATTCGTCCGACTCCGCATATTTCCGTGCACTCGCCGACGAGCAGGCCGCTCGCCAGCAGTACCTTGCCGCCCGCCGCGCACAGGAGGAGGCCCGTCAGCGTGCCGCCCGCGCCCATCTCGCCCGCCAGGCCCACTCACCGTACAGTTCGTACCTTCCTCACGATGGCGAGGACGACTTTGACGACGGTATGTATGGGTTCGGACCCACCGTACCCTCTCGGCAGCAGCGCGCAATGATGGAGGAGCAGCGCAGGCGAGAGATGTTGGAGCGTGAGCGTACCCGCTTGGAGGAAGAGCGCCGCATGAGACACGAGGAGGAGTGCCGCGAGAGAATTATTGAGGAGGAGCGTCGCCGGAGGGCTGCAGAAGAGGAGCGTCGCCAGAGGTTGATGGAGGAGGAGCGGCTCCGGCATATATTGGAGGAAGAAGATAGCCATCGAGAGGAGCAAGACTGGCAGCGCCGCCGTCAGCCGAACGAAGATGAACTCGACCCTCTCCTTCGTGCACTGGGTCTTAGCCCTGCAGGTTTTGGTCGAGATGAAGACATGGTATGTTCTTTGCTGTGCTTAAATTATTGGTTTCATTGCTAATAAGCCCGCAGAGTCCACGGCCAGGTAGGGCACCCACCCGTATACACACAGCGTCGCCGCCGCAACGTCGGCGACCTATGCGCTCTCAAGAACCCCGTAAGCCAACGACCGCACACCCGCAGCCTCACCCAGCGTCAAGCGGCCGGTCATTTTCCCTACCTCCGCATGCGTCCACGACCAAGCCAACATCTCCATCACCGAAACCACAACACGAGCCATCCCTCAACCCCGAACAAACTGTTGCAGCGCGCAAGATCCTTGCCGCCTATCGCACACACGCGTCTCGCGCACACGCCCTGCGCGCGATCGCCTCGCTCCACACCCGCTTCGCCTCGCTCAAGGCCGGCTTCGCCGGTCCGCCCACCATCGACTTTCTGCTCCCGTCCGGCGCGCACGTCACCGTTCCAGTCGAGTCGGTCATTCCGTCGCCCTCGGTGGATGCTAGGGAGGTGTCGGAGGAGGACGGTCGGCCGCGACTCGCATACACGTCGACGAACGGGGCAATTCACTCCTATCAAGAGGAGTTGAACCGTATCCTCGCGTCACTCGACACGGTGGAGAGCGGCGGGGACATCGGCGTGCGTGAGAGTCGGAGAGATCTCGCACGGAGTGTTGAGCAAGAAGCAGAACGCGTGGAGCGCTGGATTGGAGAAGTTTGGGATGAGTGGGTCCGCACGGAGGGCAGGAGGGTTGTCAGTCACCTTCCGGAGGACGATAAGGCGCAGGTGCAGTTGCAGCCTCGAGAGGCCGATGCGATGCCTGAGATTCATACCCCTACCAACGCAGAATCGACGACGATTGAGAAGGAGGAACCGCAGACTCTGCAGACGCTCCAGGAGCCTCCGCGGATTACAATTTCGGTCGTTGGGCCCGCTCTCGGAGAAGTATCTCCGCCAGAAGCCCCGCAGCTGCACGATGACTTGGAGCGCCAAGTGCGGAACGACGCTGGTGAACCGACCGTCGATACCCACATGCAGGTTGATGACCCGGCGGAGACATTCTACACCCCAGTGGATGTTCAGGCCTCGGAGTCCATCATATCTCAACCGGAGGTCGAGGCGCGGGCAACCACACGGAAATCCGAAGCGAACGCAAGCGAAGGCGTTCTCGAGACGCCAATTCTCGCGTCAGTCGAGACGAAGGTACGAGCTATCGCGGATGCGGCGTCTCTGTCACCGCTGGACATCCACATCAGTGACATTCAGACACCAACGACCTCTACGACTCCAGCCGCAACGATTGCCTCTGACATAGCGGTGGAAACAAATACTGCGGAGGAGTCGAGTTCTGCGCACGCGGAGTTGCAATATTCTTCGTCGGACATCGACTCTCCCGACGTGCCTCATCTCGACTCTGGTGTCGAGACGGACAGTGCGTCCAGTCCTCGAACGCCATCCCTCACGGCACCAAGTTCTTTGGTGGAGTCGTCACCAACGATTGTGCCGGTGGAACTGCCAGCAGTGGATCCGGAGCAAGTGCCAATACCGGACGACACACTCTCTGGCATTGAGAAACCTGCTGCACCTAGGCAAAAGTGGGGCGAGGTGGAGATCTTCGACCTGTTCTAGTGGACTCTTCGGAGCATATTATTGTACGATATAATGCTGATCATGAGGCAATCATTCTGATGTAATACGGCGTTTGAAGGTGGTGAATGAACGATACTTGCATGTGTATGGCTCCTTAGGTTGCCAGTGCCTATGTTTCGTAAAGCCGCTGTCTTCTTCGTGATTTACAGATTGCGCAGAGGCGTATAGCTTTCGGTCTGCGGGTGATGACTCTTCATTATCGTTCCTACTCACTTGCCTTTTATGGCGACCGGGGGTTAAGACTTTCGGGACCATTAATATTGCTTCCGCTTATGTTGAAGGCCGTGGTGACTTTAAATTCGTATGTCCTCATCGTTATCCATTTGGGAACAACTATGGGACTTTGCGAGGATAAATACCTTGCGGGTGTGGATGAATTGCAGAACTCGGGCGCCGCGGAGAACAATAATGATTTGTTTGTCCGTATTTGTCATCGAAATGGCTTGTAAGTAGCAACCATTGTTTCACATCTTTTGTTTCTTGTTCCCGAATCAGAAACGGTCTACAATGCGATACCGACTGGGACACAGATCAACAAAATGCACTGTTCATAACGACATACAAATTTGGTCCATCACGTCGCCTCCTCCAAATTCTATCCCGTCAGCGAGTCTGCATTTCTTCTCCACGCAAGACTCAGGCTCTCTTGCTCTTTTGGTGCTGGCACCGACGTAGCTACTCGTATAACGCTCTCTAGTCATTGCAACTCGCTCCTTAATATTTGTGAACCATGGCAAATGCACGATGTGAGTTCGATTTTATATCGTTTCGCGGCAGTGAATCATGACGATCATGCGATAGACATTTTCATTGGCCTGAATGTTGTTCGCGCTCTCAGCATCGTGGCTCTTGTCTTGCTTTTCTCCAGTAGCATTGCTACCTTAGTGCAGGACATCAAAGCTGTGAATGCCTTTATTGCTGAGGGAAAACCTACAGGCAACAGCACACAGCCTGCATGCGAGGTCAATCCCGAATATGTCCCGTACGTCACCCTCATTCGCCCTCTCTTCCTTATCTTTACTAACACCTCAATCTCAGTGGGAGCACAGTGCCGAACCAGGCTGCGGGAGCGTTCTGGGCGGTGCTCAATCGCCTGCTTATCATCTTCCAGGTGATCGTCCTCATTCTCTCCGAGGTCCGCTGGCCCGCCGCTTTCTTCTCGCGCTTCTTCCCTATCCTCGGTGACGAGTTTGGGTTGGGGGCACTCGGGATCATACAGGGCCTGTGCGTGTTCCACCTTATGATGCAATCACCAATGTTCTGACTGATGTGCTCCATCCGCTCTCAATCACAGTCTTGGCGCATCGGTCCTGTCACATCACGTGGACGAGTTCTCGCTCGTCAGCGCATTTTTCCTGTTTGCGCTTGCCTGCGTCAACATGTTGCTCGGGCTCCTCTTCCGCGAGTCTGCCAAGGCTCGCCGTTCCATCCGTGCCTGGCGGGGGCGCAACAACGACAACGGTACGCAGGACCTCCAAGGAGCCCCGCCTTTCGTTCGCGACATGCCCGGCACCTCAAGCGACTGGGCCGACAAGGAGAAGGACGGAGCGGACGCAGTGCGCTCAACAAGCTCGTCGAGCGCACGAAACGGGATGGGGTTCGGACGTCAAGGTGAAAAAGCCGCACTAGCCAGAGGTGGATCTCTCCTTTTTTTATGTTACCGCGGTGTCTGATACGTCGTCGTTTAGGCGAGACCGTTACGCGTCCGGTAGAGGCTCTCCCAACATACGCACCTCGACCGACAGCGACGCCCACCACGGCCGGGCGCGGATTTCCCATCCGTTCGCCCAGGCCCATGACCGAATCAGATGTGACGGCCGTTTAATGTGGAGCCATGGTTTCTCATTCACCTTGCAATATCCGCGCATGGCGCAGAGGCGTGTACGCCATTAGCTAAGGGCCACTTAATGCCCGCTCAATTGAATTGAGGAACGTCGCTCTCTTAGATACTGGCGCCGGCAGGACCGTTGCGGCATCCTCACAAACTGTTTGTCGTTGTGATATCGACTTTGCCGACCTTGTTGTAGCCCATAGTCTTTCTGCAATGTACAGTAAGCAGCCCAGCATTTTTCATTGGAATTTCATCGTGGCAAGGAACAGCGTCGGTTTGGTGTCCATTCAGGACGTGACCATCCTGAAGTCGCCGTATCCGAACAACCACTCAAGTGGTAAAGGGTATTCGGCAGAGAACAAATTGACCTTGCTTCTAATATCATTGCCAAGGATCGCAGACGAGTCTGGTTTCACGCCATGAAGACTGCTCTTTGATTGTCGTTGAGTCACCAGAGAGTGCACCATAAACCACACCACAACTTGAAAGCCCACTGCTTTCGGTACCATCTGAGAAATGAAATTACTGACAGGTCGCCTGTACGCAGATTCTTTTCTCATTCTGTGGGTCATAAAAACCCTTGAGGTTGCTAGAAGTTGACCTGAAACACACGTTAGAAGCGTGTTTGGCTTGCTGATGAGCATCAGTCACCTTTTCGAGAGCCGTTATAATCTGTCGGCCTCTCCGTACAGCAGCCCTACACGGAGAACTTTCTCCGAGATGCTCCGATCCGCAAAAAGAAACAAGAAGTGGTGTTTTCTGGTTGTCCAAGGCAAGCATGTAATCCTCATAGGCATTATCATCCAGTCCTGTAGAGGTGTCGTACTGTGCATCGCTCCAGTGATAGTAATATCCCGCTCGGAGGGACTCCAGGGCGCGCTGCCGGAAGCAGAGCACGCGATGGTACACCCCCGCTGTTGCGGTCTCCATCTCCGGTATAAAATAATCCCTTCTCTGGAAAACGAGGTGAAGAGCTGCCTGTCTTCCTTCCACCTTCCAGCCATGCTCTATGGCTATAAAGTATGCCCGCAAGGGAGCTGCTACAGTGAGTTGGGTCCATTTCTGCGTTGCATACCTCACCGCATCATTAACCTCGTACTTCCTCGCTGCAATTAAGAGATCGCGAACTGTCATAAAATTGTTGATGCGCGATACGAAGCCAGTTTGATAGCACGAATGTAGGAGTTGGAGTAATGTGACAGACGTCTCAGGAAGGACGAGACGGCGACAAGCTCTCCCTTCCTCGGAAGGTTTCACGTCTTCGTTTTGGGAGAGCATGCAGCGAAAGGTCGGTGAGGCCAGCGTCAGGATATAGTCATGCACATAAAACTCCCTCCCATCTGAGGATTGCAGGATAGTGTTGGCCGTCGTAGAGTAGTCATGGGTAAACTGCTCGGGAAGGGGAGCTGGGAAATTATCACCGGCAGTCAGCTGCGAATTCACTGCATGTTTTTGCATTTGCTCTCGCACTAGCCGAACCCCAGAGACTGGACGTAAAGGTTCGACTTGGAATGGAGTTCGGCCCCGCCACGATGAAAGACTCGAAGAGACGGAAGGTGACCGCGTCTCCAGCGTGGGTCGCTCAGGCTGGCAGAAGGTGAACGAAATAATTTTCTGCTTGGTCGAGATCCGACGGTATTCAAGGAGACGATGGAATGCTCCCGCAGATATCTTGTCGAGCGCAGGATCATAATCGAATGTCCGCATGTTCAGACTCGCGTCCGCTGCCGCCCTAGCTTCAGATTCCAGGTGAAAAATGCATGCGATAGCATACACGCGAATTGGGGATTTGGAAACAAAGACCACCAGAGCCGTCTTGAGTTTGGTCCCAATGGCATCATCCATCTGGTACTTCCTCGCAGCTTCCAATACCTCCCATGCATCATCCACATTATCCAGGACCGGATCATCCATCGGGTAGCACAGACGCAACAAAGTGTCCAAAGTCTGGCTTGTCTCGGTGACGGATATTACAGGAAGTCCAGTTTCCGCATGTACGTCCTCAGGTGCTACGACACTTGGCTGTGGCACAGCGAACATGTCTTCGAAGACGGACGATGCAAGGGACAGTACCTCCTTGTGGGCATGGAAATCGACATTGTCGGAAGTACGAAGAATGATGCTGGCTGAGGGCTTGTCGAACGGCGCCGCCGCAGTGGTCGGCTGGGCCATAGTATGCTGGACAATATGTCGAGGAGGGAGTAGTAAGCAGCAGACCTTGAGCCGATGGCATTCGGCAGCGCGAAGTTGTTTACGTCTTCCGGGTACATAGGCGCGTCACCACGACAAAAGTTTTCGGGCGCTCCGTCGAGGAATCGGGGACGAATCTGCCAGGGCAGTATCCTAGATCGTGGCCGGTAACGCGGTAACAGTGTACACGGAGAGGAACTTTGGTCCTTGCCATGAAATCCGACTTCAAGTGATTTGCGTGACACGAGCGAGTTCAGAAGGATTTTGCCTCCGTGTAAGCAGACAAAATAATCCCTTTCTGAGTGGGGAGGACGGAATAATTAAGAAGGTACCTTGACATGCGTTCCCCTCTCCCAAAGGTGCAGAGGACTACCAGGAATTTTGGAAAGTTCCCCCCCCGCGCCGATGCGGACAGTCCGCGCCGGGAAGGGCCCGGCGCGGAGGAACCATCAGCGATACCTCCGAACCGGCGCTGTTGCATTCATTACACGTTTCCGCCACAGTCTCGCACAGAGTGGTCCAAAATGGATCAGTCTCAGCTGAAGAATATCAGAAGGTTAGGCCTTTCCAAGGTTGGTGAGGACGCTCAGGGCCAGTTATGGAAGATCCAAGCAGATGGGAAGTGCGTCCTGATGGACACAGCTGTTCTTTCTAGTAATGGTTAGCTGAAGTGTTCTTACCTGTGTAACTTTCTTGAAACTGTTATGTGTTTGTATTCTTCCACAGAACCCCCAGCGTACGACATTTGCATAGTTGTAAAAGAGCAGTTTACCGGAGCCCCTGACCATTGGTTGCTTTACGTCGGACCAGAAAATGAATCGGGCAGAATTATCCAGGTATCCCATTCCTGCTACGTAGTAGGTCACCTTACAACGTGCTGAACGCTGAGGTTGGTATGCAATCCGTTAGGTGAAAGGTGATACGTTCCCCGGCATGACACGCCTAGACGCGGAGACCAACATTTTCATTTCCGCATCATACCGATACTCCCGAGTCCTAGGGAGAATTGCTCCGGATAAGGTGGCTGAGGTTGTGAAGATGGCAGATGAGACGGACCCACCATCTGCGCCGAGATTTGCCCCGGACCTTCCGAATTGTCAGGATTGGACGCGCTGGGTAGTAGAAAAACTGGAAGCGAAGGGTCTTGTGCAGGAAGGGAGTGCCCAGTTGCTAAGCAATAAAAAGGGTGGATTTTGGAGGTAGATATATGCGGACTATTGTCGGCATCAGTTCTGTAATAGAAAGAACCAGTCCTCGTGATCATTGGAGCTAGTGTAGTACTAGTAGTAGTGAGCTGAACGACAGCGTCCGTTGGCTGTTGACATCCAGAGAATCACATCGCGTTATACCTCAACCATCCTACCAGCCAGACGCCGTACCGCTCCTGAGCCGATGTAGTAGCTAGCGTCACGTCGCAACTTGCGCGGCATTCCGTGCATGGTGGTACGCTTGGACGCTGACGTCTGGCCTCCTACCAGTACAGTGGAAGGTGCGATGGCAGTTGCGCGGGTTCAGCATCTGCGGCGCTACAGGCAACGAAGCACGTTGTCGTAGTGGTCGAGTTGATATGGTCGTCCCTAGTGTATCTCGTGGGCGGACAATTCAATGCGCGTACTGATGTGCACGACTCACCGAAACTTAAGGTAGGACCAATACCCCCACCAGATTTGAACTCAACCAAAAGCACGCTTGTCCTGAGACCTGAGCTTCCACTATTGGATGATAGCCATATTGAGGTAAGCAACTGTCCAGAGGGATTGGTAAATAACTCTTTTAGTGCATTTACCGGCAGTCATTGCTGTCATGCGGGCTTAGAACCTTCAGAATGCGAGCTCAAATAAGGAACATAGCACTGACTTATACGCACTCCAGTCTTTCTTTACGCTCTTCTTGTATTTAAGATAACGTCGATGGACAAGCCCTGTTCAAAAAAGTACATGACGAACACGGTTTAATGTTTCGTGCATCTCTATAAAAGAATTAGTGAACAAAGGGGGTACCCATGCTCCAAAATCGTTCAAATCCTCGATTTCACTACGGTTCATTGTCAACGAGAATTCCCAATAGTCAGGATACCATCCCGAAAACTCCCAATCAATGATACCCGTCACCTTCTCTCCGTCGACAAGAATGTTTCGTGGGACGAAGTCGCAGTGTGTCAAGACCGACTTGGAGGATGACGGCAGAAACGCGGTCACCTCAGCAGGGGTATAGCGGCGACCGGCTGTGGCAAAATACGCATCTCCTATTGCCTTACGGAAAGTAAGATCGTCCGCAAACGGACCAGTGAATTGGCGACCTGGTATGGGCACTTCGGTCGATACTGGTCCGCCCATAGCACCGCACACGAAGGCGCCGTTGCATTCTGCGGGTTTGGGTATTTGGCGGAGTTGTGTAAGGTGCCCTTTGAGCTGGGAGACGATGGAATGTCTGGATTGTGAAGGCATGGAATCCCAGGATTCGGAGAGTGGCTTTCCCGGGATGAAGGACATAACGAGAAAGCCCGTCTTGTTAAATTGCGCCCAGTCTGTGACTCGTGGAACGGGTATAGAAGTGTGCTCTGAGACGAGCTTCATCGCATGGAATTCGTTCTCCTTAACGCGATGTCCAAACTTGTAGATGAGCTGCCCATTATACAGTTGGACAGTGGCGCCCCCTTGATGAGATAGCGTCTCGACGGTAGGCTCCTCGACGTATTCTGAGCCATGATCTGCTGGTGCACTATTCATTAATGCAAGGGGAAATCAGTCACAGTCCAAGAGGTCAAACAATACACTGGTTACTACTAACGTCGTGCATGTAGTGGTTTCTGAACCCATAGAGTGATAAAGCGAGAAATACAGGTAGATTCGAAGATGAGCTCGGTGTCACGGCTACCGCGACATGTCACAACTGTCACGCAGAGTTTGGATCCGTCTCCCGCGAAATTTAATATTTTCATATCGTTGTGAGCCAGAAGCTGCCAGACACACCCTGCGCAATCGCAATCACCCATGTAATGCCTTACAAATTTTTGTCATAGGCGTTACAAAAGGGAAAAGTGTCGCTGGTCGTTACGCAATTCCAATGCTACCTACCTATTACGATCTCGTTTCCTGTCACAATGACATCTAGATCTAGGGATCCGTACTCATTTCCAGGAAACAACACCGATTGGATTGACAATCCTCAACCCTGTCCATCGTCGACAACTTGTGGTGCCAAGGAGTGTATGCGTCTCGTCTTGAATCGGTGAGCTTCTATTACTCCTTCACATTTTATCTACCATCATGATAAAACCCCTTCTCCATCTCGTTGGACCGACTACCTCAGGTCTTGCCGGACAGCTACGGACATAGATTTACTGAATTGCCATTCGCTTTCCAGCTCTCCAGATTCCTACCGTCAAGCTGACGAGCGGCTCTGACTTCATTAGAACTCAACCTGAACGGACTATCAGTTGGCGTTCCACAGGGCAAATACTATCAGAACTCACTTGCAAAAACGTTTCGATGATTTTTTGTCCCTTAGTCTTCCATTGAGGCTCCTCCGATTTATGGGTAAGCAGATCGTTTTGGTTGTCCAAGGCGAGTAGATAGTCATTGTATAAATTGTCGCGAGCACTTGAATTACTGCCGTAGTTCACGCCGCTCCAATGATCCCGGTCGTCAGGACCTCTGCTTTTACCCAGGCCCAGGATTCGGGCTTCCATGCAGCGTTTTCGGAAGACGAGTAGCCGGTGATACACCCCCGCGGAGACAGTCTCCATTTCCGAAACGTACTGGTCGTCCTGCTGGAAAAATAGATGGCATGCTGCTTCTCTTGCTTCCGTCTCCCAGCCATTCCCCATCGCCGTGAAGTATGCTCGTAAAGGTTCGTCTGTGCTGAGTCGTAACCATTTCTGTTTTGCAAATCTCTCTGCACGGCCCATCTTATACTTCCTCGCCGCATCGAGAACAGCGTGTACTGCTATCAGGTTATCGGCGAGGAAGTATTCGATGCCCGACGGATAGCAGAAATGTAAAAGTTGCAATAGTGTGGCCGAATCTTCAGGTACTGCGTATTGACGACAGTTCTCCTGCGAATCGGAAGAACGGTTTTCGTTAGCCTCGAGGTCTTGTAACATCTGCAGAAAAATTGGTGATGCCATTGCCAGGATACAATGGTGGACATAGAAATATTTATTGTCAGACGACTGCAGAATAATGTCCGCCGCGATGTGACAAGTGGAAGTGGATTCAGCGGCGAAGGATAGTGGGAAATACCCATCAATTGAACACTCTCGCCTTGTCTCGATGGTCTGACTTGGAGGCGAAGGAATACGAGGAGCGGTTCGCTTGGCCCAGCCTACGAAGACCGGAAACGAATGGGATTGAAGCGGAATTTGCGATGGGTCAGGAGAGGGCTGTTCTCTCGTCCTTGGGCAAAAGATGAAGGAAGTAATGCTTCGCGTTCTCGAGGAAGTCGAATTCCGGCGGTATTGCAGGAGACGATAGAATGCTCCCGCAGATATCTTGTCAAGTGCAGGCTCATAATCAAATGTCCGCATCTTCATGCTCGCGTCCGCTGCCGCCCAAGCTTCAGATTCGAGCTTAAAAGTGCATGCGATAGCATACACGCGAATTGGGGACTTTGAAACGAAGCCCGCGAAAGCCATCTTGAGCTTGGTCCCAATGGCATCCATCTGATACTTCCTCGCGGCTTCCAATGCCTCACATGCATCATCCACATTTTCCAGGACCGGATCGTCCATTGGGTAGCACAGACGCAACAAGGTGTCCAAAGTCTGGCTTGTCTCGGTGACGGATATTACAGGAAGTCCAGTTTCTGCATGTACATCCTCAGGCGCCATGACACTTGGCTGTGGAACAGCGAACATGTCCTCGAAGACGGGCGATGCAAGGGACAGCACCTCCTTATGGGCACGGAACTCGACGTTTTCGCAAGTACGAAGAATGATGCTCGCTGTGGATTTGTTGAACGGCGCGGGCGCAGTGGTTGATCTTGAATCCTGGGACATCATGTGCATGTCAGTGTCAGCGTCAAGGTGAAGGATGAGCATGCACAGAAGATCGATAAAGCTAGCCGTGGGAGGTCATTCACTAGTACCTATCCCAGGCTCCTAAAACCATCCCGTTCTCGCTCCTATATCCCAACATATGTTTTAGATGATCATGTGACATATGTTTTATGCAACTGACGGAGATTAGAAATCAGACAAGACAGGGAAGAAACCGAGTTAGACGAACGCAAATGCTGTGTTGAGTGTGTAGCTCGAAAAGCTAGCCCAAGCACCTTTGTATGTGCCACTATTTAGCTCAATCACAATTTGCAGACTCTCATAATGAGCATGAACACTCTGGACGAACGATTGGATATTGATCAGTTTAGTGAGTGGCTCTCAGACCGAGGAACACCTAAGGATGAAAGATACTTAGCGGACTGAGCTGAAAAGTCGAATTTGCTGCTCACCGGGGGGAAGCCTGTAGAAGCCAATAGAAACTACTGGGGCTGTAGTAGGACCCGGTCCCGTGCTTCTGGATCACATCGGGCTGGAAGACGCAACGGCGCAACGGCGCAAAGGAATCTGGACTACTTAGTGCACAGGGGGAAATTTCTGTGAACCGAACACGTGAGCGACCAGTAATACTTCGTGTGCATTTCGAACTGTCTTAGCAGCTGGGAGCACAATTGGCCGTGCAAGACCGGAGAGGTCTCCTCAGCCTTGGAAAATTAGATACATGGAGCCTACAGGCGTGAACTGGATTTCTGAGAATAGATGTGCGCGTGAGCAGACTCGGAGGGAGTTACCGACATGGCTTAAACCTCGGGTGCCAAGCGACTGGGCGACTACCGAAGTGTGGGCACAAATCTTCCCCTTTCGCCTCGAAGCAACAGCCGTAGCTGTATCTGCGTTACCTATTATATGATGAGTAAATGCAGTGTGCTGTACTGCTCAACCGTCCGCTCATGAAGCCTGCCCGACCCAACCACGATGTACAAGACTCGGGTGAACATATTCCGCGTCCTAGTTTTGGCACCACGTCGATAGAATCATGATTTATCCTGGGAACGGTAAACGAGGCCCGGTTCAGCCCATAGCCTGTCTTTAAGTAGAGCCGTCTGGGAGCCTGAGGTTGAAAGCGAGATAGCGAGATGTACGGTTGCCGAGGGAGGACAGGTCTATTCCCCAAGTTCTCGGCACAAATCCGTGGCTGCGGATCAATTGTTTGATGGGAAAAACAGATATTTAATTGACTGCCGAGGCTCGTGGCCGGTTAGGCGCCTGCCAACATCAGCAAAAGTCAACTTTTGCTTACCGGTGTTATTCCCTTGATTAAGGAAAAATAAGGAGATCTCTTCTCTTATTCGTCCATTATTCACCCTGATTGGCTTTAATTGCCCAAATAAGAACGGAGACCTCCTTAATTAAGGAGATAACGAAGCTAAATGGAGGTAACCAAAAGTTGACTTTTGCTGATGAAGCCGGCTATTTCCCACGTCTACCCACCGTTCCGCCGCGGCGCCGCCATGTCGCGCACTCCTGCTCATTGTCTTTCACGATGTTCTGGCGTCATTGCTGCTTCTTTGTCGGTAGTCTTGGCTTGCTGGTTCTTACTCCATGCATCTTTATTAAGTGTGAAGTTGAGTTATGCCAAAACTGTTGTTCAGGAGGGAGTACTGGTTGTACCTCACTTACACCCGACTTTTTAACATAGAAGAGGACCCAGTGAATGATGAGAACATACTAGTAGTGAAGACAGCTATGAAGTGATCTACTGCAAACCATGATGCCATAAGGGACTCAGTCAGTGTGTTGTACTTCTCTGCTGAGTCCAGGATTTTGTGTATCTGGTTTCTCTTTCTGTACAGTTAATGGTCGGGATGCCTATCTATGTTTACTATATGATCTCCGCCTTCCAGTGGGCTTAGGACTTGTACTAGACAAGCCTCATTCTTTATATTCAGTCTCAGTCCAACTCTGCAGCATTGTGATAAGCAAAAATTAATCACACATCAGTTGACTGTGTAAATGGCTTGAATCATTGACACATTCTCTATTGTGCAGAAAGCCAAAATTAGACAGAAATTTTTGATTCTACCTGCTCATCGTGCAAGACGATGAGCGCGCGCGTGCGCGACATTGTGGAGGACCCCTGAATATACCCTAGGACGTCGTTTCCGCATCCGGACAAAAATTTGGAGGTTTTCAGCTGGACGCCGTATCCCATCCGGACAAAAACAGGACAAAAACGGTCGACCGCCGTGCGGTTCATCCGGACATAAAATTCGAGGTCCCTCGGAGGCCATCTGACCGTCCGGACATTTTTCGGGCCTATAGTCGTATGTCGTAGCGGTTGGCTGGAGTGTGTACCGGAGATCTGCTGGTTTGTGCGAGCTGTGTTTGAGTCCCAAGAAATGCACATCGGGGATATGTTTAATCTTTCCACTACTGGCCTAGGTTCACCTTAAGTGGCAATGTTCAGTTTTGCATCAGCATCCAATCATTGAACTTCTCAGCTTCTCACTGTGATTGTTGGGCACAAGATTCCTTTTCTATATCAGAGGAAACAGAGTGAATAGAAGTAGAAGTACCCTAGTAGTAATCTACAGTACATGCATTCTACCACTACTGTGCCAACGGATGCTATCACCTGTTTCCTCTGTGCTATCCGGACAAAACAATCAGTTCTTATAGGCCATTTGTGCCATCCGGACAAAAATTTGAGGTTTTATAGGCCGTTTTCACCATCCGGACAAAAATTTGGGACTTGTAATGCCGTCTCCGTTGTCCGGACAATTTTTCGGAAAAGTCGCCATTGTCTCCGCATCCGGACAAAAAACTCCCAAAACCTGCTGAAAAAGGTCCGGACAAAAAATTGGAAAATCGATGATTTTGGATACGACGTCTTAGGGTATATTCAGGGGTCCTCATTGTGGCCCCGGCGGAACGGTGAGTAGACGTGGGAAATAGCCGGCTTGGCAGGCGCCTAACCGGCCACGAGCCTCGGTAGTCAATTAAATATCTGTTTTTCCCATCAAACAATTGATCCGCAGCCACGGATTTGTGCCGAGAACTTGGGGAATAGACCTGTCCTCCCTCGGCAACCGTAGATGGCAATTTGACCACGTGAAATCTGAGAGCCAAGAGACGAGTAGGTTCGAAGAAGGAATATTAATAAGGCATACATGGACAAAGCTGCCAAATATTACTGGCAGTATTTACTTTGGCGGCGCCCTGCAGGGACAAGACATTATGACATTACCCCTCGTGGCTAGTCAAGCAAGGCAGTTGTAGATACTATGCTTCAACCTTCGTGCCTCAGGATATCCGTATCTGACGCTCGAGACCGCGAAATCAACTGACCTTCACAGAGCGTCTAGTGACCTAGCTCTACGGCGGAGCCCATATAAAAGAGGTCAGGCTGCGACTCGAGCTCGGAAGCAGCTGATTGCATGAATCCAGGGCCCAGGAACGAGATGGACCACCGCCTGAACGGTTGTCGCGGTGTCCGACGAGCTCGCTGAGATGAACGACGACCTTGAAGAGTCGTCATCGCGATGACAATGCGATGACCTACCCGAAAATTTCTGTATCTTGCAGTACCCATCTACTTATCTTCATTCACTCATATCAGCATCACCGTGACCTTCGCTGTCAACTCACCGTGCACAAGCCTCCTTCGATTCTGGCGCATCGGACATTGACCGGGTAGCATAACGGGCGCATATATCCCAGACTGGATCAGTTCTAGCTCCAAGTTTGTCTCGACCATATCTTGTCACCTACCATCATGTCCCTTCCTGCCCTTCTGCAAGCGGATATGAAGACAGGGCACGCTCCACTGCCTGCAGACGTTGACACTCGGTCTGTGACGAGCACAGGTGCTACAGACGACGATGAAAGGCTCCTCGAGATCGGATACGTCCCCTCCTTCAGACGCGAGTTCTCCAATCTGGCGACGGTCTGTAAACCCTCATCTCAGCCGTTTCCTACAGTTATCGCGTTTACTGACAAGCTGTATCTTGAGCAGATTAGTTTCGCATTCAGTATCATGGGTCTTTGTTCGAGCGTTGCCACCACTTTCAACACACCCATGCTCCTCGGTGGACCTGCATCCGCCACCTGGTGCTGGATTTTGGGCGCATCAATGTGCTTCGCTCTTGGTGGGTTGGATTCTATCGTCTTTGATCATCTCCAAACCTTCTCCGCATCACGAATCGCACTGCGAACAATGGAGAATGCTTGACAGACGTGAGATCGTCCGAGTCTGAGCGGAGCGCCAGCCATAGTGATTACCGCGCTTGCCCTTTGACAAATGTGTCGCTGTCAAAACAGTCGGGCACGCAGAGATCCTTTCTACCTCGAATCCCATGACACTCATCCGAGATATGCCAGCCACCAGCATTCGTGTTCTGTCTCCACTCACTCCATCCTTCTGCTGATTCACTTATCGACCAATCTCCGCCCGTGCGACCGTCATCATTAATCCCGCGGGTGTCCTTCCGAGGCATAAATGCTTGATAACTCACATGACCCTCCTTCCAAATAGGATCTAGCATCGCAGAGATCGTCAGCGCGTTCCCAACATGTGGTGGTTTGTCAGTAGGGTGCCCTTTTCCTGCGGGGTCTCCCCTTGCTCACTTCATTCTGGTCGTATTAGATACACCGCATCGGCACAGCTATGTCCCCCACGCCAGCGTGCTGTTGTTGGATGGATCGTCGGATGGCTGAACTTGCTCGGTGAGTCGAACACTTAATTCTCGCTTTACTTTGTCATGCTCTACTCCACTCTTCTTATAATTACTATTTTTCTTTTTGCAAATACGTCATATAGCTGATGGCCTCTTGTCGCCGGACAAGTTTTATTTGCATTGCTATCTTTGCCGCGTCTATATGCAATCTTCGTCTGTTTCAGGTGTCGAATTATAGAAGAGCTAACGCGACCGTCCGCAGGCCAGATCGCTGGGTTAGCTTCGACCGAGTTTGGGTTGGCAGGGATGATCTGGGCTGCTGTTGTTATCGGCAAAGTGCGTGCGAAGTTAGATTTCCTGTTTACTTTTAGCACCGAATTCAGTTCCCATCGATCAGGACAGTAATTATGTCGTCACGCAAGGTATGACCGTCGGACTCTTCACAGGACTACTGGTCTTGAATGGTATTCTCGTACGTTCCATTGGCAGATTCTTTGTTCCTGTGAAATTGATTTCCCTGAATTTGCCGTATCGCACAGAACTGTCTCGCCACGCGCGCGCTCGCGCGTTTCACCACCGGCTTTGTGTTCGTGAACCTCGGTGCCACAATTTGTGCGTATTTTCCATCAGTGCGCTCTGTTCGCTTGGCTAGACTGATGCATCCTACTCACCGAATTTCTCGATTACTTCGTTAATGGACAATAAACACCAGTGATCATCATTGTGCTCCTCGCAAAGACACCTCGCTCGGAGATGCACGCTGCATCATACGTCTTCGGCAGCGCGGGTCTGATAAATCAGACTGGCGGTTGGGACACCGCGATCTCGTTCTTCTTAGGGCTGTTGAGTGTACAGTGGACTGTGAGTTCCGTTGTGGCCTTCTGTAGTGACTACTCAGATCCTACTCAATGAGCCTGGCGTGGCTAGATGACGGTGAGTCGCCAAGATGCTGTAGGCTGGTGTATCTGACGTGCTCAGCGAGACGGTTAGGACTACGATGCGACAGCGCATATTTCGTACGTGCCATCATATATTTAGAAATTAAGCTCTTCCTTGCTCAGCTGTATGTTCTCTTCGCCAACAGGGAAGAAGTGAAACGGGCCGCGTATGCAGGTTCGCACAGTTCACCCTGGTTCTGTCCTCCTACTTACCTTATCATCGCCTTGTCTGTCGTCACTAGCTCCAGCCGCCATTTTCATTGCAGGTACATGAGTGAATGGCACTGTCCAGATATATGCTCAATGATGTTGTTGCTAGTCATTGGTACTGGAATACTCGGATGGTTGCTCAACATTGTTCTTGTCCTATGTTCTGGGCCTATGTGAGTTCCCTCCGCTTCCGTGTAAGCAAGACGTTGTTTGACTGGATCTCACCCTTCAGAGAGAATCTACCGGGACCGTCTGGCTCTGCCATGCTAGCGGTAGGTATATCGTCAATGTAATGGTTTTGTGCTGTTCACGGTAGCCTCCTATGTAGATCATGGCTATGCGTATTGGCAAGCCGGGCGCGCTGCTCCTCTGGGTACATCTTCGCTAACTCTGCGTTATACATCAGACTCTAAGCTCAGCCACGCGTAATCTTTTGTTATCCCACAGACCTTTGTATGCCTCACAGCTTTCTTCGTCTGCCAGACCGCACTCCAGGCGTGCTCCAGGATGGTGTACGCGTTCAGCCGTGACCACGGTACGCCTTGAACGCATAATTTACCTCCACAAGTGACTCAGGCAAAGTATGACTAGGTTTCCCTGATCGCGGTTACTTTGGTCAGGTCACCTCGTGGACGAAGACGCCGCTCCGCGCAGTGTGGTTCACAACTTTCTGGAGCATCCTCCCGGGTCTGCTGGATCTCGCAAGCCCCATCGCGGCAAATGCCATCTTCGCACTCACAGCAATGGCGCTCGACCTATCGTACATTATCCCTATATTTTTGTATGTCTAACCTTTTATATCGTTTGCCTATGCATGTCTTGAACCTCTGATGATATGACAGGCGGCGGCTGTACCGCAACCATCCCGAGGTAATTTTCAAACCCGGGCCGTTTTACATGGGCGACGGGCTGCTCGGGTGGATGGCAAACATACTGTGCATCAGCTGGACGCTCTTCGTCTGTGTCATTTTCTCGCTGCCTACGGTGTTCCCGGTTACGCCGCAGAACATGAACTATGCTTCGGTGTGTCTCTCTCGTTTACTTGCACAGAATGGGTTGTCGACCTCTTTGTGCATGAAGGTGATCACGGTCGGCGTCATTGTGCTCTCAGGGTAAGAGCCTTTTTTGTGTCTTGCTCCGTTTTCATCTGATCCTGACGTCGGGTCATCACTGCTTACAGTGTTTGGTTCCTATGCGGGTAAGTGTCCTTACTGTTCCCTGACCATTTGTTGTGACGCTCGTAATCTAGCGGACGTCGCCACTACAAAGGCCCAAGTTCGAACGTTCCTAGCTACGATCATGACGCAGTCGACAGGCGCAACTCACGTGACGGCGACGAAAAGGCAGAAATCAAAGTTTGAATATTGAGCTTGAAGTCTTCTTGCATGAAGGTGAGTTCTCGCCTCGAACGTAAACTGTGTCATACTCAGTAGTCATGGGTCCCAAGTCGATACTTATAGCACGACGCCCCAACGCTAGATATACGGCTGGAACGAAGTATGATCTTCACGACGTTGACGATTATTGAGAGATCTTCCATGCAGACGAGCTGCATAACCTAGTAGAAACTGTACCGTATATCCCTAAAAACTTCTATACGAGCGTCGGTGATCCGTCCGATCGTTCTCTTCCACATCCTGCCTGACATCTGACTCTGCGCCCTCTGGCACGGCGCGCATCGTCGCGTCTCTCCGCCGTCTAAGTGCGCCCTCGTAGGCCTTACACAGCCACTTCAGGTAGCTAATGCCTGTGGCATCTCCCACCGCGACGAGACGGTGGTGCAGAATCTCTAGATCGGCGAAGGAGAGAAGTGGTGGGACAGTGTCGTCGGGGATTTCCATAGTACTAGTGAGCCGGACAAGAGGCCTTGCCCCTTGAAGTATCGTCCGTGTCGAAAACGAGGCTGGTTTGGTACCCGCCACTCCCACGGCATCTGGTGGGTAGTGCTCAGCGAAGGTTTTGACGAGATCAAGAGCACGGCCGGTGTCCCGCGAGCTAAGTGAATCAGCATGATCAGACGCCAATGGGACATGAGATACACATAAAAAGACTTACGTAGCACGCAGCCTGATCATGGCGATATTCGCCCTCTCAACGAGTCTTGCGTTGACAGTCTGCGAGGCGTCCCCTTCGCTCACCTTTCCCGATCTCCAGCGGTCCTCGACTTCCTGCCATTCCGACCATACGTCCTCCGCCCACTTGATCACCATGCGCCGCTCTTGCCCCCCTGAGCGCGTGCATCGCTCGAGCGCCTCGATGTACGTGTGAGCGCTCCAGGGCAAGTGAAGCTCCGTGAACAGTGTACGATACAGCTTGCTCCAGTCCTCGAACGGCGCATGCGTGTTTTCTACGGAGAGATATGCATTGAGCAACCGAGGTGTGAGCTGGACGTGCCGGAACTTCCTCGGGAGTGACGCAACATCTGGATCCGCAAATTCTTCCTCGCGCTTCTGGTGCGAGATATCGCTATCTTCTACGATCCGCGAGAAGAGAATCCGAGCCTCGCGGATGACTTCGGCCTTGCTCTGCGGCGGGATGTGCGCGAAACTGCTTTTGGACGACTCAACCGGAAGACTGGCCAATACGTCATCATACTCCGGCCCGAGGGTGCCAGCCGGTGAACCCGCTACTGCCTGTCCCGTATCGTTTTCCTCATATATGCTGGATGCCTTCTCAGACTTTTCGCCGGATGGGGTGAGCGCCTTCTTCTTGTCGAGGATCACTGTGGCAGCCCGCCTGAACGGCGGCTTGTACGCCGCATACGTGTGGAAGACATGCGTCATGATGACTTCGTTCAGGTCCCCTTCCGCGCTATCCCGAACCATCTCCGCAAGTATCCAGCGAACGCGCACGAGGTCTCCGACACGCTTCGCACCCTCCAGCAGCGCGCGGAATAGCTGACCATTCGGATGGAACGCGGCACGACCACGCGCATCGCGATCAGCGTCGAGCATCTCCTTGGCGAGACGGAACGCTTCGTGCACGAATTGCTTCTGGCCTGAGCGAGCGCACGCTTGGATCACGGCCGAGTACGCGCGCGCGGTGGGAGGGATGCCCTGGTCCACAGTCATCTCCGTCCAGAGGTCGAGTGCGCGCTCGGGCTGCGACGGCCCGTTCGGTGTGCCGCACGCGCTGATCATGAGCGTGTACAGGGCCGCGTCGGGCGTCGGATGCGCCGCATAGCGCATGTGCGCGAACAAGTCCCACGCGTACGCATAGGCATGCGAGGAAGCGCTGCGACTCTGGAGTAGGGCGACGATCACGCGTGTGTAGGATTTTTGCGGGGCGGAAGTCCCGCGCTCTTCATACGCGTGCAGGAGCGAGAGAGCCTCGGTAGGCATGACGTCCGGCGGCGAAGCCTTGAGCCGGGATTTGACATGCAGGTCGCGTTGCCGATCGCTCAATGAGCCAATGATGAAGGTGTGCAGGAATCGCTCCGTGTTCGGGACGTCGCCGGCGCTAGCATATAGCGCCAGGGCTTCGTTGACGTTGTCTTCCGGGACTGGTGAACCAGCACGCTGCGACGAAGTAGATGTGAGCAGGCGTCAACTGCACCGAAAAGTAGGTACCTTCATCAGCTGCAGCACTGTCTCAGCGGCCTGGCCGTCCTGGGCTCTGACCTATGCACACGAGGCAGAAAGTCAGACTCGCGGAACTAGTAAGGTAGATTTCCGGTCTCACATACACATGTACGAGTCAGAGCGGACCACTCATCGTTCGTCAGGATTCCGGTTGGTATGTCTTGCCGCGCAGGTGACGATTCACTGGGTATGATGCGAACGGTGCCCATATCATCTGCTATCTCCTGCAGGCGGGATATGACTGCGCTGTACTGGCCTTGAGAGTCTGATGTAGGCGATTCTTGTTCCGACGTTTCGAGCAGGCGTCCTACGACATCCCGCATCAGCGAGACGTCCTCTTGCTCTTGAGCACGTTCATCGACGAGCGCAGCCTGTTTCGTGCTATATGTATCTTCAGGTGGTAAGGCAAGCAGGTCTTCGTAGATTTCGAGCAATTGTGACTCGGTGTAGGTGGGTATCTCTACCAGAGCTTCCTAGACGAAACTCTGTGTGACTAAGGACAGTCATGAATGTACGACAAACGCACCTCAGATTCAAGCATCGTCTCCAATTTGAGCACCCTTTTTTCCAGCTCGGTCAAAGATCCCTTGGCTAAGGACGGCTTCTGCGGCACGATGGCCGATTCCTTGTGCGAGGTCTTTCTCCTGTCGTATTCTCAAGTCATGGGCAATAGCGGATCGATCATAATGTTACTACTCACCTGGCATAAAGAGATCGGTCCTCTATATTTTCACTTCGCGCGGGATAATACGAGTCGTCAGAGACTCTTGCTACTGCTGAATGTCCATGCCGTCTCCAAGGGTTAACAGCCACAGACTTGCCGTTCAGAGCGTGTAAACGTGCCGTCGCACGAGTAAGGGTGAAGTCTAGCAGAGCATGAGGTAGACGGAGATGACTGGACATTCAGATTTTCTGCAGCCTCCGACTCGGATGAGAAATAGCAGCGCACGAACGGAAGCAGAAAAACAAATAGTACCACGTGATCGTGGAAAGAGACTACTAAATGCGTCTACATGTTGCGCGAGATGTAGGCCTTCAGTACATATGTACTTGTTCCTTGCTGATAACTCGATAGCGTGACCATGCTCTTGATTCCTGTTCACTTTTAGCGAGTTATGTCAAAGACAGTGGAACATAAATGCATGAGTCTATAGAATAAATACTAGTAAGATGTCAGAAATGTCAAGATAGTTGGGTTAACTCCTCTTTCTGAGTATACTGGGGAATACCGCGCCGGTGGCAAGTGCGGATACCTGGGTTTTTACCCTGCGGGTGTCGCTGCAGCCTGTCTGATCTCTTCAAAAGGCGGAAAAAGTGGCATAAAGAATGCACCTAACCCTAGCATAAGGTCAGGGACGTCATGTGGCAGCCAAGTGCGTCATAGAGCCACGCCCCTCGCCCACTTCCACTTCTCAACCTTATACCACAACGACCACCACCCGCAAAGCGCACCGCAGCGACGAGACACGAAAAAGCGTCTACAGACCACTGAAACACAGTGACCAAGCACAATGAGACTGACTGCTATTGTCTTCCTTGCATTTCTTGGGGCCACACAAGCCTCCTGGTTCTCTTCGCCAGGTCTGTTTCCATCTACATTGATTGTGGCGCTGTTAGTTTGAGCTGTTGTGTGCCTTTCTCCTGTGGTCATTCGAAGTGGCAGAGGTTCCGCTTCTCTTATGAGCCTATTTTGTTTCCCACGCCATTACTCACTCACTCAGCAGAATATGCATCCTGGTCTTCTGCCCAACTTCAATCTTGGCTCGCAGAGCACAACGTGCCAGTACCCTCTGCGTCGACGACACCTTCTCTGGCGGACTTGCAGGCACTGGTCAAGCAGAACTGGGACGCTGCAGCATCCTGGACCGCCGACCAATCCACCCGCGCCCAAGTTGCGTTCGCTGAGCTCAAGGCCGACGCGTTCGACGCGTGGGATGAAAGTCGCCTGAAGGAGTTCCTTCTCGAGCAAGGTGTCGTTAACCCAAGTGGTCCCCGCGAGCAGCTCGTGTTGTTGGCCAAGCAGAAGTACGCGCAGGCGAGCAGCTTGGCTAGCACCGTCAGCGCTTCGGCAAGCACGGCTGTTTATGGTGACTGGAAACACCAGGCGAGCAAGAGTGCGAGCTCTGCGGTTGCACAAGCTACTGAAGACATAGCCCAGGTGATGGATGATACGAAGGACTACGTGTATTCGACGTAAACGGCTTGATCTAGCCTACCTACCAGATTGCTCACCACTATGTCTACAGATGGGATGACAATCGTCTCCGTGCGTATCTGGAAGAGCACGGCGTGATTGAGACGAAGACGCAGGCTACGCGCAACCAACTACTCGCCCACATGCGCGACTGTTATGCCAAGGTCGCCGACCCGATCTGGGAGGCTTGGTCCGACTCTTACATACACAACTGGCTTATCGACCATGGTATCATTCAATCGACTACGCAAAAGAAGCGAGATCAATACCTCGATCTCATGCGCAAGTATTACTATGATGCCTACGCACGTTCTGCCTCTGTTGTAGGTGATGATGAGGCTGAACTTCTCCTTTCTGAACAGGACACGGTGTACTCTTCTTGGACGAACAGCCAAGTGAAAGCGTGGCTCGTGGAGCGTGGCGTCATCAAGTCGGAAGCGCAGCTCCAACGTGAGAAGATGATGAAGTTGATCAGGTGCATAGCACCCCAAGACAATTCATGCCATAGCTGACGCGCCCTCCAGCGACAACTACGTGCACGCCCAAGATACGGTCTGGAGCGCGTGGAGTGACAGCCAGATGAAGGAATGGCTTGTCGAGCACGGATACATCAAGAGTGATGCGCAGAAGGCCCGGGATGAGCTCGTCGACCTCATGAACACCAAGTACGCGATCTCTCCAGCTTACAAGAATAATATGTATTGAGCGTATTTACGTCAGGTACCGTGAGGTCTCTGCACGTACGGCACCTTACCTTGTCTGGCCCGACGCCCGCCTCCGCGCGTTCCTGCGCGAGCGTGGTGTATCTGAGGAAGCACTCCCCACCTCACGCCCTGGGCTGCTGCGTAAGTAGTATCTCTACGCACGCAGTTGGCTCAAACTCACATTTGAACTGCAGAGGAGACACGCATCCGGTATGTCCAGGCAAGCACAGGCGCTGAAGCGCTCTTCGCGCGCGTGCGAGAAGTGATCAACGGCGGCGTCGAGGTCGCAGAAGAGCAGCTCGGCAAGGTGCTCGAGATCCTCACGGGGGGTGTGGAGCGCGCCGGTGAGAAAGCGAAGGAAGAGAAGGCGTATGTCGAGAAGGAGGTGGACGAGAAGGGGACGAAGAAGGTCGAGCTGTGAGATCGTGATGCGTGAGTGAACCTCAAGGCAAGCGGAGTGGGAACCAGTGTCACTTCGAAGATTGAATGACTTCTCATGTGTTCTTCTGTGTAACGTTACATTGTATCGCGGAGCTTTGTCCATAGTGAATGTAGCATATATGCAAGTTATGAGCCCAAGCTACCTCCACTTTGGTGCTGGCTACATACGCCGCCGTATTCTGGTGTATCAAGACCGATGGGGGCAACGATGGTGATCCACGAAGAAGTAGTACGTAACGAGGAGAATCTCAGAGGGGAGAGAAATGACATTCCGTCACTGACTCGCGGTGGGTCTGCGGACTTCGTTGCGCTCTCTTCGACAAGCCGGCTCAGGCTCGAGGACGAGAATCTTGAAAAGCTGCGAATATTATGAGCGGAGCAACAACCAACTGCCAGTGAAGTTATGTAAGCAGCACCACCATCTAAGCCACCATGAAAGTTGATGTTTTCGCCACATGCAGGTCGGTTTCCGTGCACCACGATGCCAATAAATTCGGAAAGAGGAAGGTGGAATCCCAATCAAGAACGTTTGTGAGTGACATGTTGACACAAGTGGGTCCACGGGTCATTGACGCCCCCCTTGATAGCGCGCACCGCGAGTGCACCGCGGCGTTCTTCCTATCGATACGACGTTCTCTGTCCTCTCGAATCCATGAATCCTCAGAAAAATTCCAATAACAACTCCAACCCAAGAGCTCATAAGCTCAATAGACTCTTCGACTCTATCTTGAACGGAAAGCAGTCTTTGACGCCTCAGAATGGTCCGCTTTTCTTGGAGAGCATCTGCGCCCAGGCAGACCCCGCGACCTGCGTCAACAGGTTGATCGCAGCGAGCAAGACTGGTCTCCCATCTCTCCAGGCGGCGATGCGATACGATCTCTCCGTGTCGTTTGCCAATGGGCTCGCGACGACGGTGATAACGTATATGCAGGCTCCTGGACTGGAGACCATCGCAGGGGGCCATTTCATTCAGCAAATCGTCGCAGCGATCGTTGAGCCACCCATTTTCTGGAATATGTTTAGCACGGCGTTCCAGGCTGGAGAGCTGCAGGAGAACGGCCGACATGCCTTCGGCTGGCTTCTGCTGCAGCTGATATCCCTTCCTGGAGACCGAGGCTCCTCTTATCGTGAGCTCACCCAGGACGAGGCGATATTGGATCGACTCTCCATTTCGTCTCGCCCTGATACCAAGGCACTTGTCCAGAAGATCAGGAACATCCTTGCGACGTTCAATAACCCCATTCCTGCTGACAGCGGAGAGTCTGTTCCCGGGGGTCGACACGATAATGATTTTGTCGACTTCCGAGATATCTGCATCCTCCCCACCGCGGACGAGATTACGTGCACGGCGCGTCCATTCCTCCGCCCAAGCTCGGCGCTGGATGACCCGGAGATGGCAGACAACCGGACTGCCGTCTACCTCGACAACTTGTTCCGGTTGTTGAGGGAGGACATGATCTTCGATATGCGAGAGGAGTTACAGCTTGCCCAGGGGAAGAAGAAGGGCAAGCGCAGAGGCTTCTTCATCGACGGCATGACGCCTTTGGGGGTGTACTGCGGGACGGACAAGAAGAGAGTGAAGTGGGGCATTTCTTTCGAATGCGAGAGCGACCTGCCCCAATTCAAGGGTAAGAAGAAGGAGAAGGACCGCAAAGCAGTTCTTACGGACGATAAAAAGGTTCTCAGACACCAAGCACTTTCGTGTCTCCTCGTCGATGACGAAGTTGTCGCCTTCCCTACGGTCAACCGAGACGAGGACCTTCTTGTGAAGGTTCCTCCAATAATCATTCTTCAGTTCGAAGGAGAGGCCACAACGACGAAGACGCTACTCAAGCTGAAGACGGGGACACGTATCAAACTCATTCAGATTGATACAGCCGTCTTCGCTTATGAGCCAATCCTGAAAGCTATCCAGGGAGCCAAAGAAGTGCCGCTGTCGGAGGAGATACTATTCTGGAACGAAGAGAGCAGCATGGAGTGCCCACCCGCAGCGCCTATGCACATCGTTGATGCGCTCAGAAGAGATCCACATCAGGATCTCAGAGCATTGTTGCAGATTCAGCAGTCCAATCCCATTAAGTTGGATAAGTCGCAAGCGGAGTCACTTCTTGCCAGTCTGACACAGAGAGTTTCTCTCATTCAGGGACCTCCAGGTATCGCCCTTTACGTTGGTTGCTAGCTGGCTATCGTGTCTAATCTCAACTCTCTTAGGTACCGGCAAATCCTTCATCGGCGCTCTTCTTGCGAAGGCCCTATACGATTCGACAGGAGATATCATTCTCGTAGTCTGTTACACTAACCATGCGCTAGACCAGTTTTTAGAGGACCTCATGAACATTGGAATCCCCGCAACCAGTATGGTTCGGCTAGGCAAAGCATCGAATTCTCAGACGGAAGCGCTATCTCTGTACAAGCAGAATCGTGACTTCCGGTTGGGCCGGACGGACTGGCAGGAAATAGACGGCTACAGAACAACGACAACATTTTTGGCCGCCCACTTAGATGCGTCGTTCGACAAGTATATCTCCTCGAACGTGCAGGATCATGAGCTTCTGGAGCACCTTGAGTTTGAAGCGCCCGAATTTTATCAGGCATTCTACGTCCCCAATTCAAACGATGGCATGACACAAGTCGGAAAGAAGGGTCGCGCAGTGGATTCTGTGTACTTGCTGAGGCAGTGGCAAAAGGGATGGGATGCTGGCATCTTCAAACAGGCTCCGCACGTTCGAGCGGCATCGCAAATATGGGAAATGACGCCCGCACAACGCAAATCGCAGGTTGACGCTTGGACAGAAGAGTTGATTAAGGAGCGGGTCGGCGAGATCTACTCTACGGCCGTGAACTACAACGAGGCTTCCAACAATCTGGACCGCAAATTCAACCAACATGTCAGTGTCACCCTACGAAGCAAACGCATTATAGGTTGCACAACTACGGCGGCGGCCAAGTACAGCGACGATATTCAAGCCGCTTCTCCGGGAGTACTTTTGGTGGAGGAGGCTGGCGAGATTCTTGAAAGCCATGTGCTCACTGCGCTTGGGGCAAAGACCAAACAGCTCATTTTGATCGGTGATCACAAGTAAGTTGATCAAGTTCAGCCTCCTTCGTTCAACGGTGACGTTTGAGCAACGTTTCTAGACAACTCCGCCCAAAAGTTAATCACTATCTCCTCACGGTAGAGAAGGGCGAAGGATATGACCTGAACAGATCCCTGTTCGAGCGCCTCATTCTCAAAGGCTATCCCCACGAAACGCTCAGTCAGCAGCATCGAATGCGCCCAGAGATCTCCTCGCTCATTCGTGCTCTGACGTATCCTGATCTGGTCGATGCAGACTCCACGAAGAATCGTCCCAACATCCGTGGCCTCCAGGACGACATTGTCTTCATCAACCATAGTTTCCCCGAAGATGACCTCCCTCAGGTTGCGGACCGGAAAGACGCGACGTCCACGTCGTCCAAGCAGAACACTTACGAAGCAGAGATGGTCCTTAAGATCGTGCGATACCTTGGACAACAGGGTTATGGCACCGATAAGCTCGTGATCCTCACGCCCTATCTTGGCCAGCTGCACAAGCTTCAGGCGATGCTACGGCAGGATAACGATCCTATTCTCAACGATTTGGACTCCCACGACTTGGTTCGTGCCGGCTTGGTACCTGCCGCAACAGCAAACATGTCGAAGAAGCGGATACGGCTTGCCACGATAGGTATGAGTCTTGTTCGATGACCACATCTTTAGAACTCATGGATACAACGCAGACAATTATCAGGGTGAGGAGAGTGATATCGTGATTGTGTCGCTTACAAGGAGCAACTCTAACCACGATATCGGGTTCATGTTCTCACCGGAACGCGTGAACGTCCTCCTGTCCCGAGCCCGCCTAGGAATGATCATGCTTGGGAATGCAGAAACATTTATGCAAGCACGCCGAGGTAAAGAGCTTTGGACCAAGCTTTTCGATCTACTCAAACGTAGCAATCGCGTGCATGACGGTCTTCCTGTCAAATGCGAGCGCCACCCGACGCGGATGGCTCTACTGAAGCGTCCACACGATTTCACTGACCTTGTGCCCGACGGTGGATGTCAAGAGCCCTGGTGGGTGGCGTAATACTATCATTCCCGAATACCCATGTTCACACTAGTTTGGTCCTACAGTGGTACATTGTTGAATTGCAACATTCACAACTGCCCTTCAAAGTGCCATCAGCTCTACGATCATTCAAAGATGCGTTGCGAGTCCATCATGAAGGATACATGCTCCAAAGGTCACCCGCTGTCTTGGACATGCCACGAGGGTCGTCCTCCTGCATGCAAGAAGTGCGAACGAGAAACAAAGCTTGCAGAAGAGAAGCAGCGCCAGGCTTTTGCATTGCAAAGGAAGCGCGAAGAAGACGATCGCGCCCATGCGGCTGAGCTCAAGAAGCTTGACGAAGAGATTGCACAGGAAAGACAGAAGCTGCGGGACGAGCAGCTTGCTCAAGAACGAGCCAACGTCATTCAGCAGAAGCAGAAAGATGTGGAGGAAGCAAGATCTATGTCGTCGCGAGTGGTATCTTCGATACAAACAGTCAGTGCCACGCTCAGCTTAGGTTCAGGCTCTTCCCCGCACGCAGTTGGTCCTATAGCAGCGACGACGGCTGCACCTGTGGCTGTCCCGAGGTCGCCCACTACACATTCGAAGGTCAAGGCCTCTGCTGAGTCCAAACCACCAGCTTCGAAAAGCCAGCCGACGCAGCAAACACCTTCGCCCTCAGAGTCCGAGCAAGAATGGGAGCGTCAGAAGACGATGGAGGGTGCATCTAATGAATCAATAGATGCTATCATGCACATGACAGGCCTTGAAGAAGTCAAGGCACAGGTCTTACGTATCAAGGACAAGATTGAGATAACTCAACGACAAAATACCTCTTTGAAAAGTGAACGTTTCAATATTGTATTGTTGGGCAATCCTGGAACAGGTAGGTACCCACAAGTGACTTGCAGGGTTGCCGGTACTGAAGAGATTTGAAATGGCTAATAGGAAAGACAACCGTTGCGCGCCATTACGCGAAGTTCTTGACATCGCTTCAAGTCCTTCCTGGAGCTGCATTTGTGGAAACTACTGGGTCTCGCCTCGCAAATGATGGAGTCGCTGGTATCAAGAAACATATCGAAGAAGTCATCAATGCTGGAGGAGGAGCGATCTTTGTCGACGAGGCCTACCAGTTGAAGTCTGAACACAGTTTCCAAGGAAGCCAGGTCCTGGATTTCCTCCTGGCGGAAATGGAAAATAATGTTGGCTCCATCGTCTTCATTCTGGCTGGATACAGCAAGCAGATGGAGAAGTTCTTCGAGCACAATCCAGGCTTGACCAGTCGTGTTCCATATATGCTTCAGTTCGCAGACTACAAGGACAGCGAATTGCGGTTGATGTTTGAGCGGATGATAACAAAGAAGTATAACCGCCAGATGGAGCTGGAGGATGGATTTGAAGGCCTTTACTCACGCATTGTAATCCGACGATTAGGGAGAGGTCGGGGTCGAGAGGGATTCGGGAATGCACGGGCTCTGGAGAACCTGCTGGCGAAGATTGGGGAACGTCAGGCAGCGCGTATCGCCAAAGAAAGGAAGAAGGGACCACATCCAAATGATTTTCTCTTCACGAAAGAAGACTTGATTGGCCCTGATCCCTCTCAAGTCTTGATCGACAGTGCAGCATGGAAGAAATTGCAGAAACTTATTGGATTGACGGAAGTGAAGGAGTCAATACGAAACTTGTTTGACCTCATTGACAGCAACTATCAACGCGAATTAAAGGAGAAGGATCCTATCCAGATGTCCCTCAATCGCGTGTTCCTCGGGTCTCCGGGAACGGGTAAGACCTCAGTAGCCAAACTCTATGGCCAGATTTTGGCGGATCTAGGTCTTCTTAGCAACGGCGAAGGTACGTGCATCTTTCCCTTCCTTCGTTTGACGTCGGCAAACTGATTATGTTCTTCAGTTGTGCTGAAGAACCCGGCCGACTTCATTGACTCGGTGCTGGGGGGATCAGAGAGCAAGACAAAAGCTATACTAGCGAGTACTGTTGGAAAGGTTCTCATTATCGACGAGGTCTGTGTAACCCATTTGAGTGGACGCTAGACAACTGATCGCGTGCCAGGCATACATGTTGTATGGGGGAGGCCCTAGTGGTACAGGAAGTCAGAACGATCCGTATAAAACTGCTGTAATCGACACAATCGTCGCAGAGGTGCAAAGTGTACCAGGAGAAGACCGTTGCGTCCTGTTGTTGGGTTACAAAGACCAGATAGTCGAGATGTTCCAGGTATGCCTTTGACTGCCTACAGTGAGCCTGTATGGGACTGATACTCTGATCATCAAGAACGTGAATCCTGGATTGGCACGACGCTTTGCAATAGAAAACGCGTTCCACTTTGAAGACTTCAACGATCAACAGTTGCTGGAGATTTTGCAATTGAAGTTGAAAGATCAAGATCTTGAGGCTACGGATGAAGCGAAAGCTGTTGCCATCGATCTGCTAAGTCGCGCCCGCAATCGCCCTAACTTCGGAAACGCAGGTGAAGTGGAGAATGTTCTTGGACAGGCCAAAGCTCGCTATCAAACAAGACACGCATCGCTCCCCGTGAAACAAAGAAGATTTGATGTTGTGTTCGAACCGCGAGACTTCGATCCCGACTTCGACCGTGGGGCTCGGGCATCGAGCAATTTGCAGAAAATATTTGAGGACGTGATAGGATGCGAGGATATCGTAGCGAAGTTAGGAGGATATCAGGATACCGCACGGAGGATGAAGGCGCGGAGAATGGACCCTCGTGATCAAATTCCTACCACCTTCGTCATGAAAGGACCCCCAGGTGTGTTCATTCTCTTCTGGGAGTAGTACTTACGCGAGCTGTGACTTCTTGCGAAGGAACTGGAAAGACCACCACAGCTCGGAAAATGGGACAGGTCTTTTATGACATGGGGTTCCTCTCCTCTCCGGATGTTATTGAATGTTCTGCATCAGATCTCGTCGGTCAATACGTTGGTCAGACGGGGCCGAAGACACAGAAGCTAATGGAGAAAGCATTGGGGAAGGTTTTGTTCATTGATGAAGCATACCGACTTGGTGAAGGACATTTTGCTAAGGAAGCCATCGATGAACTCGTCAGTGTCCTGACTCAGCCGAGATTCCTCCATAAGGTCGTGGTGATACTTGCCGGGTACGATCAAGATATGAACCGACTCATGTCTGTCAATGCCGGACTGTCGAGTCGGTTCTCCGAGGAGATCACTTTTGTGAACATGGCCCCTGCGCGCTGTCTGGAGGTTCTGAAGAAAGGATTAATGAAGAAGAATGTCTATCTCAACGATCTCGATAATCCCTCTTCTGACACATACCAAGAATTGGAAGCTTTGATTCAAGAGTTGTCGAACCTTCCCTCCTGGGGAAATGCTAGAGATGTTGGAACACTGGCAAAGCAAATGATTAGCCACGTCTTCACTCACTTACCGGATTCCGATCCTCCGAACGCAGACTCACGGCTACTTCTGTCAGGCACAGATGCAGTTGCATGCACAAAGTCTATGTTGACAGAACGGCGCGCCCGATACATCAACGTTGGTCCAGCGGAGCCTCGCTCTCCACTCTTTGAGACGAAGCAGCAGATGTTAAACCCTCCGCCTCCGCCTCCGCCTCTACCTCCATCCACACGCACAGCGAGTTCCGTCAAGACTGCTCCGGACGAGCGTCGGGAAAATAGGTCAGGACCTTCTCAGTCTGAAGCCCAGCAGCGAGATCCGGAAGTGTCAGACAAGGTCTGGCTCCACCTTCAAGAAGCTAAGAAAGCGGCAGAATTTGAAGCCAAACGTGCAGCAGAGGAACAACGCCGGCTGGAACAGCAGCTTCAAGAGGCTAAGGAGCACGAGGAAGCCGTACAGGTTTTTGTCAGGAAGCTCGCAGAAGCCAGAGCCAAGGATGACGCTGAGCAAGCTGAGCTGAAGCGAAAACTGGAGGAGGTGCGATTGAGGGAATATCGACTGAAAGTCGAGCGGGAGAGGAGAGAAGCCGCCCTGAAAGCGAAGATGGAGGAGGAAGCCCGGCGCAGAAAACAGGAGGCCATGGCACAGGCGAAACTTCGCAAGATGGGAGTTTGTGTTGCAGGTTATCAATGGATCAAGATCTCGGGAGGATATAGGTGTGCTGGTGGCAGTCATTATGTTTCCGATGCGGCGCTGGGACTTTGAACGACCAGTTCGCATATCCCAACAACTATTTAGAACGCAGGACGTCCTTACCTTTTCAGTGATGCACAATGATTTAGGAGTACTTTTACTTGCGTTGAAAATGGGAGTAGGTCGCATCGGTTGATAGGGAGGATAGTGTATACACCCTGCAGTGATACTTCCGGGATTCAAGGCTTGCGGCTCTTGGCGCTGTAGCATTAATTCTGTAGTACTGCCTGTACATACACGTCATCACCTACGGTAAGCTCGACACTGAGAGGTAAATGTATTCGAGCACATCATTCAAATGGACGAAGCGGCCGCGTTACAGAACGTTGATGTTCTGGCATTACCCTTGGACGCAGCAGTGTCAATGTTCGGGCCGGCATTAACATATTTGTTGCTTCCGAGCAACCTTCGAGTCGACGAATCGAACAGGAAGATCTAGGTTGGCTGCCAGTGTGAACAGGTTTGGGATACTGCGGGATAAATTCGGCATTGGTCACGCAAAATGCTCCATATACTCACCCACGGCCCGCGTCGGCGGTAGAAATACCCCGTCACCCACTGGTGTTTTCAGATTCCTGGGTGTGTGGGCAAGAGAATGTACGAAGCCAGTAAGGCAGTCTTGATTCCTCGGACGCCCGCTAGGTCCTCGTGACCGAGCACGCAGCAGATAATCCCTCCAGTGTCCGTATCTGAAAATAGCGTGAGGGTATAAAAGAGCAAGTAAAAGTAATTCTCGCTAACTCGACGGACTGAGCATGGCTATCCGGAACCTCGTCGCGGCCTTTGGTCTCCTTCTGAGTTCAGCACAGTCTGCCTGTGCTCTCGGATATGGTCCCCTCCCTGGTCAGATCAAGAACCTCGTGACATTTGGAGATTCCTACTCAGATGTCGTAAGTGACCATTAATGTTGCAGGAGTTCATGCTTCACACCATGTATCACCATGTCCGACGCGCAACGCAGGCCGTGCCAGGCGATCACGGTATCGCATGGCCCATCTTCGCAGCAGAGGACGGGAACCTCACGCTCTACCCGTTCGCGCGTTCCGGCGCGACGTGCTCCAACAATCTGACGGCGAGACCGTTCCCCTCCGTCTTCGAGAGCCAGCTCCCGACGTATTTCGAGGAAGTGACGAACGGCACGCTGGAATTGAATCCGTACGACACGATCTACACACTCTGGATCGGCACGAACGACGTCGGGGTGGCCGCGCTGTTGACAGGGGATCAGACACCGGGCGTGACGCTGGTGAACACGATCACCTGCGCCGTTAACTGGGTGAAGGTGTTGTATGAGAGTGGTGCGAGGAACTTCCTGTTCCAGAACGTCAGTGCAAAGTATTTGTAGGATGGACCACAAGTCTTGTTGACCGTGTTTCCACAATTGGCAGATGCTTCCGCTGCAGGACACGGTGCTTTATTCGGCGGACTCGTATCCCAATCGCTACTGGACGTACGAGCGCAACACTACGGAGTGGAACGTCTTCATGACAGAGTTGACCCAGACGGGCAACAACATCTCCGCGTTGATGCTCCAAGCTCTGGCACCGGCGCTTCCGGGCGCGCACATCGGTATGTTATGTAGCCCTCGGGATGAGGAGGGCATCGAGTAACCGCGCTATAGGTTACTTCAGCTCCTACGACATGATCTCGGATATTATTGCTCACCCGGCCAGCTATCTTAATGGGACCGCACCTCTGAATGTAACGGGGTGTATCGACTCGTGTGTGTACCAGTTGAACGAGAGCACATCCGGTCCTGCTGCGTGCACTGTCGCAAATGGAAGTGATGCCTACAGTTTCCTGTGGTGCGTGAATTGAGCACGCCCTAATTGACCGCTTCGTCATATTGATTGCGCCTCGTATCACAGGTATGACGAATTGCATCCTTCCCAACAGACCGACGGCGTCATTGGCGAAGCGATCGCGGCTGCGATTACGAGGACCTCGGAGCAGTGGACCACCTGGTTGAGTTGAATTGCTGAAGAGACATGGGATGACAAAGGGCCATTGGTAACGACGATGGCGTCGTATTTTGCCGCCATGGGACAAGTGTAACAGCGCTTCAGTGGAAGTTTTAAGTTCATTCAGTATTACTCCCCCAATCAAATACGGTGTATGCTCAGTCCTGCAACAATCCAAGCTCAAACGACGCTTGTTGAAGTTCTTTCGTCCTTGGACGATCTCCGAGAGCTGAAGTCATCGCATCGTTGTCAATCTGGTAAGACTTGACTACCAAGGTGACCAAGAGAATCTGTGAGGTTCTCGCTGTCATGACACTGCTGAGGCTCTCAATACCACCGATATCAGATTACTTACTTGGTTCCTTTGCTGCTGTTCTTATCCTTATCACTGAACCATGGTAATTGCTTGAGGCGGCTTGAAGAGGGAACGTGACAGACATCACGTTCTGTCACATGTCTCACGCACGACGCGTCCAAGGAAGTCACACCTGGATCACACGCATTGGCGCACAATTGGCGCACTCATGATGAAAACCCGTAACGCTCGACTACATAGTAGTTCTAATGTATACAAACAACCTGATATCAAGTTGGATTGGAAAGCAGGCCAGTGAAAAGCACACAACGCGACAGACAATAAGACTTATCGAAGACAGTATATAAGCGCAGGGCACTACTAAGTCTGAGTGCCATCGCGTTGGCCGCCTGCTGACCCTCAGACTTGTATGGTCATCAAACAGATTTGCGAACTGTGTGACATGAACAAAACAATACAGAAAAAATACTAGGACTCTACTCCACTGCATGCCGCAAGGCCTTCACTTCATCTACAGTGAATCCCCATCTCTGTGCTAGTCTTGAGTCACCGCCCGTCTTTGTAGTCTGCTCCTTCACATATGCAGCCAGTTCTGACCTCTGCCCATCGGTGAAGTGGCCGTGACATGACGTTACGTACGTGTGCAAAGATCTTGGTAACAAATGGACCATTAGCCTCAGCAGGCGTCGTCAAGGTGGGATGGGATCACTTGCCTGACAACCTTCTCCTCAAAGTCAGGGTCGCCTTCCGTCTCGCCATCGGCGCCGTGGGGCGTCGGAGACGTCAGCGATGAGATAAGCGCTTGCAGCATTCCGCGCTCCTGAAACGCGGCGAACGTTGCGGGGGACGTAGAGAAGGATGTGGGATCGGAGAGCATGGTTGCGTGGGAGTTGGGGTGGACAGGCGCGGCAGCTGGTGCAGAGTCTGGAGGGGGGCCTGTAGGGTGCGCAATAACGCTCGTACTAGGTGTGTGTGGTGCGGTGGAAGATGCGGAGGGTCGCCCTGGTTGTTGCGACGGACGGATGATGGGATCCATCGGAACGAGAAGCGAATTCACCAGGAACGCGGTCTTGCGGCGGACGGTGATGTCGGAATCTGCGCGAAATGTAAGAGCCAATCTACATAACATCGTGGCAGAACGCTTGCCTTCAAGCGCAGCTTTGAGGATCTCCCATCCGCCTGCTTCCTCCAATTGTCTCACAGCAGGAGCGTTAAGTTTCAATAGGCCAGAGAGTGCATAAACAGCCTTTGACCGAACCTGGGGTGACTTCACCTCCGGAGATAGGAAAGCAAGCAGCGTTGGCATTGGGGATAGCACAAGATACTATAAACCGCATATTAGCGGGAAGATACATTCCACGCGAGCGGCAAACTCACCGAGATTTGTGCAGATGGGTTATTTTGCACTGCTGTCCCTATCACCCATAATGTCTGCATCTTGACACTTTCTGGCGACGATGACGCAATCAGAAGTCCATGCAGCGGGTCCCACATCTTCATCTTTTCGATATCTATTCTTAAATATTAGCCATACGAGCGATGCGTGAACGTCCGTGGTCCTCACTATTTGCATTGTCTATCTGCTCAACGAGCTGTATAACATCAGGTCGTATTAGAGAAACGCCTCGACTATATAATTCTTAGTGGTAACTCACCATTTCAAAGTCATCTAAAGCTTGTACTCTCTCGTCTTCATCCCGCTTCTCGTCTACCGCGATCGTCAGCGCGTCTTTCATCAACTGTGCGTCTGATTTTCCTAAGATCGCGTCTATAATTCCAGGATCGAGGTCTTTGCGGGGCTGTGGGGCTGGCTGCGATGCATCGTGGCTACCAGAGTGCTCAATACCCCAACGTAGGAGAGATTCCATGTCGGTACAATGCGTGATGGCAGTAGGCTAGTTCGCAGGTAAGGTCTTGTTATACTTGCAGAAGCTATCGATACAATCAGAAGAGGTCGAGAACAAAATGCGAATAAGTGCGAGGACTAGCGATACAAACACGTATGGAGGAGCAGAAGAAACTGGAAATTTCGTATGCTTTCCGCGAGTTTCCTAGTTGAGATCAGCCACAGTCACGGTCGGCGATGGAAGCGGAGGTCAAAAAAATGATATCATGAAGATCTCGATTTTTCCCGCTCAAGTTTTCTCTCTCGATGTCGACGTTACACTCGAAGCTGCACCCAACGATGGCAGAGCCGTGATATCTTGCACTGGAGACATGGCGAGTATTTTCTCTTGCTATTACTAGCTTCTTGTGATGATTCTCTGTATACCATAACCATACCACCGAACTCAACATGTGGACAAAAATTCACATTAGTTTCAGCCTTGGCTGATGCTCCTGTCTTCCTGACTGTCATCGTTCCGTTGCTGACTTTCCGCGTTCTTAGCAGTGCCTCTAGTACCGTTTGATGGAGTTGATACCAAGAAGGTGAGCATAATCATTCCCTCTTCGCCATTCGGATGAGAGATTCTTTCGATGGGCGGACACGAATGCACTCTGCCTACACCAAAGTCTCCTAGTGTACAAAATGGAGATGGGCTAGAATGCTTGTTGATATGCATCGAGTTGCTGAACTTCCTCTCGTTATCACTTCATCCCTGTTTACTGACGATCCGTTTCTGCTCGGCAGGTCGTCTGTTTAGTTATTTCTTTAGCCTGTCCGTGTATTTCCTTACCCATCTAAATGAATACACGCTGTTTGTCTACTGTCTCCCTTCTCCGTCCTATTGATGTTCATTGTGAGCTCTATTGTATTGAGTTACGTTCGAGTCCTGTCAGTCGGCACCTTGCGCCTGTGTCAGCTGCCGTTGCCCATGACCATACACGCCAGTCACCACCCGCTTCGCAATGTTTGCATGAAGTCCGCCTGTTCAACCGCCTACCATCTCCATCACGCCAACACGACAAGATGCGACGGCGTTCCAAAAGAGGTTCCTTGCCCATGGAGCGGTATTTCTTTGTATAAGCCTGGATTCGGATAGACCGATCGACCTCTTTCTGTATTTACAATTGCATCCGCGTACATCCCTCGGGCCTCAGGCTCGTGCGAACCAACATCTGGCTGCCCTCGCCGACCACGCCACAACAATGGGCGTACATACACTCGTCAACGCCGCAGTCGCGTCGTGGGTGGGTTCTTCAAGATCCAGGAGGAGTGTGCCTCCCGATTCTGACCTGTTAGTGGGAATCCGAACGGAAGACGATGAATCCAGCCGCAGACCGCTCTTGACCATGACGCTACCGTCGCAGCAGTCGTTTGGTCCTGCATCGCCGGTGCAGGCGTATGGAGCGACGTCCGGAGGATCGTCGAGTGCTCGGAGCAGCCCCGAGATGAACAGGCGTAATGGATGGCTGGGTAGGGTGCCCGAGGAGGGCGGTCTGGTGGAAGAAGATGATGAAGAGGACTCGGAGGAAGTTGAGTGGGATCTGGAGGAGCGCGGATTCTACGGTGGTGCGTTGGTCTTTGCGGTATGCACAGTGTGAACGGCTGAACACTCACATTCTGTGCGCGGTTTTATAGGTTCCTACAAGAGGACGGTCGCGTTGTATTGCATCGTTCCTATCACTTCACTGTTGACTTTTATCTTGTTTGCAATATTACCCCTTCTCATATGGCCGACCGATTACCGGGCACCCTCCTCCTATCCAAGATATTTCCCGTCGCCTCTTCCAGAGCTGCTAGTGTCTGGTTCTCTCTGGTCGCTCTCCCATCTCATCCGTGTACCGTTGTACAGCCTTACCACTTCGCTACTTCCTTGGCCCATCACAGGAACAGTGCTATTCCATGTCATCTACGTCTTCCTCAATCAGCTCCTCCATTTGTCCGCTTTACCCATTCTGCGCATTCGCCACCAGATGATCTTTCCCTTACCCACATTTCAAGACCCAGCGTTCCACCGCGTGTGGTGGATTTCGCTGGGATGGGCGGCTGTCGAGGTCGCCGTGGGCATAGCGCAGGGTTACGAGCAGATCGCCATGTATAAGGAGGTGATGGTGCCCGAGGACGAGGTTCGGGCGTTGCTCACGGACTGGCGGAATGGCAACACCGGCGGGGAGAGTGTGACACAACACCAGGTCGAGTCGCCTGAGGAGATTTTACCGTTGAGCCCGTGTCCTGGGCAGGTGCAGGATAGTGCAGGGGCCGCCGTGGATAATGTGCGAGACGGGGTAAATGGTCGGAAGAAGAGAACCAATCAGCTCGAGGATGCTATCCGATCTGTGATTGACAACGACATGGAGCAGCTCGTGCACCTCAAAGAGCGCGAAGAGCTGGAGGAGCTCTATGGAATCCCAGTTGTTGTGAGTACGCGTATGCATGGTGCCTTTTTTAATCTCAACCCTCATTCTTCTCAGAGAATTCCTGTGTTCATCTCCTGCCTGCTACGGATCGACTCTTTCGTGCTCTCTCTCGGGCTTACTCTCATACTCGCTGCATCCTACCTTCGCTCGTCTCTATCCTTCCCAAAAGAGCCCTTACCACCTATCTACACCAATAACGCATTCTTCGTCACTTTCCCGGTTGTTGTGTTGATCTACCTCTTCCTCGCATTGATCCATACCCCTCCTGTCCTGCCCCGTATTGGTGTGCATAGTACTGCTTACATTGGCCTCCTGCTGGGTCTCGGTAGCGTGTTTGCCGGACTTGGTCTCTGGGGTGCACTTTCATAGTATGGAGCTTCTAAGTGTTTACGACCGCGCTATCTGCTGCTCTCCATGATTGTTTCTGTTGGGCTGTGTTCTCGCGATCAGGATAGGTGCGATTTGTATGTACGTTATATATTCAGATACATGATTTTGTACCACAGAAGCCGATGGCAGATGCTTCACACGAATTCATCCGGATTTCTGCTTGTCTTTTTATTATCTTCGTTAGTATCCGAGGTTAGTTGAGCGACAATCCTGCCGCGATGGCAGCATTAGAGATCCGAGAATCTCGGAAAGATGAATGCAGATCGTCTCCGATACACAGTCCAGAGCTATCCCGGCCAGTATTTCTCTCTTTGTCTTCCTCGTCGACAATGATGAGCTCCAAAGATTCTGCAAATCCAGGTGCTTCACCGCTCATCGAAGTATGATGGCCATATCCGACTAACTGCAGCTCGCTGCCAAGACCATAAGTAGTTTAGTGGGATGAGGAGGTATTTTTGATCAGCCGGGGTTCTCGCCAAATGGCGGCCTTGTTCAACATCGCGGCTGTGCTGCCGATTCTGCTCCTCAGCAAAGACGCTTCGTCTTCTACCGCCGCTGTCTATGCCGTAGACTGGCTATACACTCTCGTCGCTCTGTAGGGACCGCATTGCTCTTTAAGCTCCGAAATACCAGGTAGGTACGTCAAATATACACCACCTCGCCGCATTTCTACCTCATTTTGATGACGGACTTCCCGACACTTCTGTCCTGGAAAGGTTGCATCCCCACCTGGTCGTCCCTCTCTCCCTAGAATTTCCTGGTCTATGGCTGCGCTGTTCCTGCACCAGGCCCTGTTCACGACAGAACCGTCTGCGTCGTCTGAGCTGCCAGTGCTGCGTTCCCCGAACAGAGTGACACAGCACGAACGACAACTGTCCTCTGTCTCCTCTGTGACATTGCGCACGTCCAATTCTGACCATTCTCAGCCTACCGAGCCCTTGTTGCGTCCGGAGTCATCTATCTACCTTGACTTGCTGTCGCGCCAGCCGAACCACCCAGATGGACCGGAGAGTAGCTTTAATCTCGGCCTCAGTTTGGAGGGGGACCCAATCACCCCTAGAGAGCGAAAATCATGCTTGGAACGCGCTATTCGGAAGAGATTGCGTCGACTACGGTGGACCAGGAGGACTACGTTACTCATCATGAGTAAGATCTTCGTTCGCGTCCAATGCAGCTCTACTGAAATGCTTGCCAAGCCTCTTGGGCGGTGTACAACACCGTCCGCTACTACGTTGCGTTCACGATGTTCGAGTATCGCCCACGCCAGATCGTTCTACTCGTGCTTGGTACGTGTACCGCGCTCTCGATTGCGCTCGTCATCTCGTCCCTCCTTATATCCGCATTTGCTCCGCACATTGGATGGTATCACACGCCTCATGCACCACACGTCATAGTGCAGACAGTGCTGTACTATTGTGCGTCCGTGCTTCTTCTCGGGCCGGCGGTCGCGAATCTGGTCTTTGTGTTTCTTTGGCGGCATTCGGCAGAGACTATTGACACACTTCGCGGACGATGTCACTGGGATATCGACGTCCTGTGGTCTGGAGTTGGCACGCAATGTGATGGGACACACTCCCCGACTTGGGCATCTTGGGTCGCAGGTTCAGTTGTGCGTCTCGTCCTCACTGTTGCAGTCATCGTACGTTACAAGTTATCAGTTCACTACTGTATGGGTGGCTCTGAGTTTTCCTACTCGGCAGATAACCTACCACTGGTCAGCGTACCGGTATGACGTGACAAGGCAGCCCTCCCGGAAATACCGACTGTTTCATCCCCGTACCTCGGTCTCGTCAGTAACACCCTTGTCCAACTCCTCTCAAACCTTCCGACCAACGGCGACCATGTCCAGTACACCTGTCACCATCGGGCAGGCGCTCCGCCGCTCTTCGTTATCTGGCACCACCGAGGACACATATGAGAGCGCGCAGACATGTCCCCAGACAGAGCAACGTACGCTGCGCAAGTCCCAGTCACGCATCGCGTCTCGGACGAGTAATGCGTCCAAGGATACGTTCCAGCTCCCGTCTGCGACCGGAGTATCTACCGCCAGACGGCCGTCAGGTCAGATAACGCCGAGACGCGTCAGTGGGATGAGTGCTATAGACGATGAGTCTCCAAAGTCATCGGACGAAGAGGATGTGCCAGGCCCGTCAGAGACGAAAGAGTTTGGCTATTATGGACGTCAAGTGCGTCCGAGCCCAGGCATCTATGCATCAGTTGTATCCCAAGGCCCGCGCAGCAGCCAATTCAATAACGAAACAAGTGAGACTCTGCAGGTCGATCCCGCCACAGTCACGCCCTACTCTGAACGAGACCTCACCTACTTTGTCGACCGGTTTCGCACGCTGGTCGAACAAGTTGCCCGCGAGAACGAGGATGCATTTCCACTTGCAGCTGGAAATGGACCAGATGGCCAGCGCGAGCATTCCACCGCGAATGCAGACGAGCACGTCCCGATGGTGGGCCGCATTGTGCACCGCATGCCGACAATCGAGTCCCTGGGGTCGCACGAGGTGATGAGTCTCGCGTCATCGGGCAAAACTCACAGCTCAAACTCGCCACATAACGGATCACGCCCGTCAACGCGCACGAACACCCAAAGCCTCAGCGAGGGTTATAGCACGCCTTCCTCCCGCAGCCGTGCGAATAGCTGGGACGCAGCACTCGCTCTGGCGTCGCCTGTCGGGAATAGAACGGAAGAAGGTTCTGTTAGCGAGATGGGAGAGCTGACGCACGCTGAGACGGGTGCACCGGTAAACACGATCGCCATCACTGTGACGAATACCACGACGACGACGGCTTCTGGGGAAAGCCGCAGTTCAAATTCATATTATACTGCGAGGACGTCACCGCAGGAGAAGATAGATGATGAGGTCGGCGAGGAGTAGATTTGCTTGCGTCTCAGAACTCCATGTACGTTGTCTGGAGATACTTCACAGATTATCTGCTCTTTCATAACATACTGATGGACGCCGTACAGGGCGAATTTGTACCCTATGATCATTGTATGCTTCTATCCAGCCCACATGTACGTGCAGTACGCGTATGTATGCCTGGCCTTGCAGGCAACAGGATCTTACCACCCTGCTCATGATTCTAATGTATCCACCATACTCACATACCCACTCGCTCGTGTATAGCCTCCATGACTTCGCAATACCTTGTTTGTAGAACCTACTCCAAGTCATGTCCCGTTGAGAGCGATATACTGTGCATTCAATGGAAGAGTCGATTTCAGCTGATTGACGCGCTCTGTATCATGTACCGACTTTGCAAATCATGTTGCGACCCATTAGAGAAAATGCAGGGTAGAGTACACACATGCTCGACAACACGACAGCAGACAGAAAAAAATTCTTGCAACCATGACCGTACTTCCCCGAAATATCCAGCAAACAATATTTCCTCAGTGCGACAGAAGCTCTTTCGCAACCAAAATCCTATTGGTCAACGCACTCAGGTTTGCATCGGCGACGATGACTTCTGGAGTAAGTTCCACACCAAAGGCCTGTCTGATCGCACCCGATATGCGCTTGGCCTGCCTCTCCGACCAGAAGCGGAAGTCATCTGGATCGCGGCCTTCTTGCTCGACCTGCCGGGCCTCCTCGGGCTTGCACGATAGCGGGATCAGTGATTCATCAGAGTCGAGGCAGAGGGGTACGATATGCATGAGACACTTTCTGATGGTGGCGAAGCTGAGAGACTCGGGTTTCTCCACTGAAATAATTGATGAGTACGGTTCTCATGGATAAGCTGTGAACACGTACCATATACCTCGAATGGGCCATCCAAGCTCATAACATTGTACTTGCCGTCATGGTGGTATCGGATCTTGGATGATGAATGAGTAAATGAGCATGCCAATGGGACGGTTCAAGCGCGTACCTCGTATCGGCCGGTCTTCCAGGGCAGGGCGCCATGCTGAAACACGACCTCACCTCCTTCCGGCTCGCCTTCCGTAGAATTATGATTGTTCAGGCTCAGCGGGATGTCACCATCCCATTCCTCGTCATGTACCGGGACCCACATGCCAAGGGACGACGTCTTCGTCACCAGATTTGACTGATTAGCCCCGACCTGCAATTGACTTTGTTCAGCTCATTGAATAATACTCTACAGTGGAAAGGACATACTCTGTATATACCTATCCAGTCACGGCGAGAGTGATTCGACGGCGCCAGCCATTTAACCTGGATTGGCTCTCCAAGATGGAAGTGCAGCGAGCCGTCGGAACTGGGGACGATGGCCATCTTATACTTTCTAGTGTCGAATGAGGACAGATTGTTCGCGACACGACTGCAAGATTGGTCAGACACTGATGAGAACTTCGGCCAGACCCCGCGTACGTGATCACTAATTTCTCCCTGGATTGTTGCAGGAGAATCTTGGTGTCCTGAACTACCTCCGAAATCTTGGGACGAGCTGCAACGTCAGGTAAGACATAAGCAGAACTTCAGCAGGGATATTGACAAATCACCGACATTTAGCCAAGAATTCTTCCATGACCTCCGCGGTCTCTTCGTATACCTTGTCAAATGTGCCCTTAACTTCTCGCGCGACCCTCCGAATCTCCGGCGCATGGCGTCCGGCGCGGGACTCGAGTAGGTGTGCGTTCTTCCGAGCAACCTTCTTGATGACTTTAACAAATCCAGCATCGCTGCGCAGTGAATCGCCGTATAGTTTCCGCATGTGGGGGCTGTGCGATACATGAGTATACTGGCTCCGCACCAAGAAAAGGAATGACAGTGGCAGGGTTCGCAACGTACTTCTCGACCTTGCTCAAGAACCACCATTGTGACAGGTGTCGAATCACGGCCAAAGCGAACACGAGTTTGCTGCCGCTGATCAAGGCGAGACCGAAGAACGCCGCGCCGCTCACAACTTCAGGGTTGTTTAGGTACCTGTCAAGCAGCCATCAGTGCGGCGTCCCGGAAGGGGAAGAAGATGGCAGATGTGCACCGATATATTCCGGTGTACTCGAGGTGCGAAGGGAAGTCTTCCACAAAGAAGTCACCGAAGAACCATCCTGGAAGCGTGTCAAAAGGCTGCGCAGTTTAATATATCGATTATTACCAAAGAGCCCCAAAACCTCATAAGACTCCATCGTCGACCAAATATGGAGCCCGATGAGGATCTGGTCCATGTCAGCAACGAGCATTTTCAAGGGACGTAACACTGACAGTACCCATAGTGTGCCGGAGTAACTCGTTCCCAACTGTCCATTCATGCGGAAGACTGTAGGTCTTCCAAGCAAGACAGATTGCAGAGACTAGATACTAACTCGTCAACGCAAAACGGGTAGGACAAAGCTGATGCGTACTATAGGTCATGCACATGCTCAAGTTATAGATAGATTTCCAGCTGTTGAACGCCTCGTGGAGGGCACCCTTTCCACGGTCATTGTGCGGATAATGGTAATGTTTCAAAAAGTGCCTCACGAGAAACCTGTTCTCGGACTGGGCGCGAAGGAGGAGACCAAGACCGACAGAATGAAACAAACACCAGGCCAGCGCGTGTACAAAGTACAACGTGAGCAAACTGTTGTATGAGAGCGTCGGGATGACAGCCGACACGAGCGGGTAGAACATGATGAGAAGTAGCTTGAAATCTGCAGATCTGGAAGGCAATTCAGTAAGCAGAAGAGTTGTCTCCAACAAGCAAGCTGACCGCAACAGATCAATGTTCATGAGTAGAACCATATCCTTCCTGAAATATCTATTCATCAGGTCATGCTGAGATAGCGGTGGAGAGCTGGCACGGCTAGGAACATAAGAAAGCAGGTCTCCATTGAAAGGACTCGAGAACCCAGTTAGGCGCTTAATTCGGTTGCTTGTAAAGTTGGTCTCAAACTCCGTTTCGGTTTCCGTCTCCGTGAAAAGCTCCTCCGGCTCGGTAGCACTTTCTCCCTCGGTGGCAGATGGCGTGGAAAGCTCAGTTTGCTCAATGGATGACGAAGAATCTTTGCGCGAATGCGATTCAGATTGAACATCCGCCTGACTGAGGGCCGCAATGACGGGAGAACGATACGCGAGCGGCTTGCGTTGACCATATGTTCGTTCAATATCTATTTATCGCCTTGCATGATAGCACCAACTTGTGAAAAATGTAAGAAATCAACTTACGAGGATTCTCGAAAAAGACTAGGAACCCAAACTGAGCTGCGTGCGCCGCCAAGCTGACAAATAGAACAGCGTAGCTGCCCACGATTAGCGACAAGCCGTAATATCCAGCATATCCTGCATGATTAAGTTCACCTTAATTTATCTTGAAAGGACAATGCAAGTCAAGGTGCTCACCAACGGAATACATGGGATGAGGTGCCAATTCAAACACGCCGTCAAACACGAGCGCACCACGCTGGAAAAAGACGTCACCCCAGTACCAACCATAATCCTTAACGACATTGTGAGCCTCTGTCTTGACCCATAGATTGAAAGCGATGAGCGCAACCCCACCAATCCATCTAAGAATACGAGTGATGAGTGTAACCCGTCATCAGTGAAATCATTCTGATACCTCATTACATGCACCGTAGTCGACAGGTCGTCGGGAATACGAAAACACGAGAAGGCGAACATGCAATATGCGACAAAATCACTGATCAGGCAAAAATCAATATCAGCCACGCAGTGTCAACCGAATGTAAGAGAATGCGGACTTCAGCAGAATGATATCTACGACTTGGCGGAAAAGTAGCCACGTGTTGTATTCCAACGGCAGTTCCTACGATCAGTTGTAAGAACGGCCGTACGACCCCATAAAAGATTACTGACATCGAAGGAATAGTCTTTGCCCATTTTTCCAGCAAGCTGTTTCCTAATCCAATTTCTCACTGCGGGTTTGCGCTCCTCATCCAGCCATCCAAGCTTTTGTACCGTTCGCACGATCCACTTCCTTTTGCTTTGTTTGGTGAGGACCCAACCGAGCCCCACATCATAAGCAGCGCGCCAGAATGCGAAGTAAAAGAAAAAGAAAATTCTTGATACTGAACGGGGAGAGATGAAGAAGAGCACTAGTTGCATTCCGAGCAGAGCGAGATTCAGTAAATCCAGGTGCGACTTTGGGTATCCAGGATGGAACAACGTCAAAACATCATGAGTTGTGGGTACACGGAATACTGTCGATTCAAACCTCTTTGTAAATAGGCAGGTATATGACACGTCGATAAACAAAAACAGACCTTCTCCGCCTGGTGTCTTTCCCCATACGACCGTTTCCTGCTTGCGAGCATTAGATTCGTCAGACTTCGTGAGTGGCGTCACAGTCTCGTTCGAGTCAGACAGATCCCATCGTCTTTGACGCAGGCCCTGAGCCTCTTCTGGCAACATTGCAGTTGAAGACATCAGAGTTAAGCTGTAAGGTGAGCTGTGTGATCTGACACGACTCGGAGACTGGGCGGGTCCAGAGACGCGCAGGATTAGGCGCGCGTCGGGAAATTTCCAAGTTGAGATAAATCCCATAAATATATCCACGTGAGTCTTTCTTTCTCGCCAGTTGCATTCATGGAATTGCCTTCTCCTCGTCTGCTCTTCGTCCGGGACTCTGTGAAGTCATCTCGTTGTTGCATCTCGGTTGTATCCCTGGACGCCACGACAAGACCGCTTTACCGACCCTCGTACCGGCCAACGTTGGTCGCTCCAGGATCGTACCCTTGCTATTCACTCCCCACTCGACCACTATGCCATCGGGTTGGGAGTTGCTAATGAAGGGAATAGTAAGCATCTACTCAGGCATTAATTTCGGTTACTCTTTGCATAGCCAACAACTAGTTGACCTTACGAGGTGCCTAACACTCCTTCTACCGCTGTCTTCAGCTAGTCCACACGTGTATGTTGATTCCTACTGTCTGTGAAATGCGACAGCGGTCTCCTGTCTATTCTGGATAATGTCTTTGATTGACGCGCGGAATCCGCCACTTGGTGCGCGGCGGCGTTCGGAAGAAATGCAGCGAACTGGAGACTCTAGAAGTTTGAAAGTGTGGTTCCATGCCGTTCCCAACCTGCTACTCGAGTCGCGATCTTGCTGGTAGATTTGCAGTCATTTGATTGTCTAGCGTTGCAGAGACCAAGAGTGATGGTAAGAGTGTGCTTCACACGGAGCATCATAATCTGTCCGTTCCAGCTCGGCGGATCTCCTTCTGGGTGGTAGTGTTCTTCTGCCCCAGGCTGACACAGTGTGTACAGGCGGTTCATGGCCGAGCTCAAGGTTCAGATAACATGTGTACCCGGGGTAGCTTTTGATAATTAAATAAATTCTCCGAGTTCTGCATATAGCATTTGCTTATCGATACCGAAAAGTTGCCTTGCGTACCGTCTGGCCCATCGTCCTGAGAGTCCTGAAACTATTTTCCACTGAGTATCCGAGGCCACGAGCGTGAACTTCGAAGTCGGCCAGCGAGCATTCCCACCAAAACGTTCTCGGGCGCGTCGATCGCGACTGATCTCGATTGACATCATGGCGACGAACATCTCCCCTTCAGAAAATGACCTGAAGCAAGCTCTCATCGATCTGCGAGCGAGTAACCCAACCTTGGGTATCTCAAAAGTTCATGCCCTTCTACTATCCACCCATACGACGTGGACCGTCAGCGAGAAGAGAACGAAGAAGGTGTTGCAGAGCGAAGGACTTGTCCTATCCTCATCGGCGGCAAAGAATGCGGGTGCTGAAAGCTGTGGTGGTGTAATATACCCTTCCTCTCGGATTTTAAAAGGACTGGATATCTCCAAGTTTACTCGGAAGGTGGAGGTGAGATACTTCGGGAAAAGCAAGGGGAAAGGCTTGGTGGCGAAGGTAAAAATCGCAGAAGGGGAAACGATTTGGAAAGAAGATCCATTCATCTTAGCACCAGAATGGTGAGCCGCAGCTCCATCACATTGTTTTGACACTGTGAGGTCGACGTTCAACACTGTCATCCATCAGGGAACTATTCGATCTGCAAGTGTCCTCGGTCGCCTGCGCACACTGCAGCACACCTCTCCGAGACTCTCCACTTGTCATCCCCTGTCGTGCTACATCCTCGTCAGCCACATCGTGCACAGCAAAGTTTTGCGGCCGTCTATGCCTCTCGCGTTCCGCTCGGATACACCCGCTTCTCTGCTCTTCCCAAAATCCGGCGTCAGTAGTCCTGCTGGCTTTTGCAAGGAAAAGCCGGTGGATGAGCCTGCATGCCCTGGTACAATGCACCGCGCGACTCATGCTGACCTACCAGCAGGACGAGGCATCATTCTGGGTGGACTGGGAGGTGTTTCGCGGTCTTGCACGGCTGAGTATGGAGGAACGTGCGAAGGGCGAATGGTATGTGTATGTACACAAACGATGTTGTGCGAATGACAGTTGTTTGCAAAGGATGAAGGGTGTCGGGCCTGACAGAGATACTTGGAAGAAGGCGTACATGCTGTACGTGCACGCGTTCCGTGAACCACCAAGCGCCTATGACAAAAAGAAGTTTGCGAAGTTGGTGAAGAGACCTCTTCCAGAAGAGATAATGCACGAGTTGTTCGACTACGATGCCTTTTTGTGCGGTCTTGGTAGCATGAGTCTCAGTAAGTGATGTCTACTACGTTGCTTTAGGAACGCATGCCAATTGCTCATCTACTTTTGACGAAGACCTAGAATCACACGGCGGCTTATACGTGCTCCACTCTCACATGAACCATTCATGCTCTCCGAACATATCCGCCCGGCACAACGAGCAACGGACCGCGCTATCGCGAATAACTGCCATAGCTCGACGGGACATAGAGCCAGGCGAAGAGCTCACCCTCACGTACGTCGACCCGAGTCGGGGCGTGAAACAGCGTCGTAGCGAGCTATTAGAGTGGGGCTTTGGGACATGCCAGTGTGAGCGTTGTCGCGCCGAGATAGAAGTGGCTAGTCAGCAGGACGCTAGTGCTGTACATGAGGATGATTTAGAGAAGGAACTCAAAGCTGGGCTTGGTGTTGTGTAGATGTAGTTTCCAAACCAGTATGGATACTACTAGAATGTCCGTGCATGGCGGGGAGGCTCTGGAAACTGAACAAGGTTTGTAAAAAATGTGCTACCACTAGTGTCTCAAGTGATTAGTGACCGCATTTCAAATACAGTCATTCTTACAACCATCCAGACTCATTAACTCACTACAACAAGAGCAAGATTTCAACGCTTCAGGAAAGGTGATTTTGTTGCGACTTTCGCGACATCGCGACAGGTCAGGCTGTATCTTGTCTCTCTCTTCAACACTCCACCGCCCATGACTACGTCGCGCTCTGTGGTTCCTGTCAGAAGATCGGCGTTCGCGATGCGTAGCGATCGACCGAACGAATCTCCGCCAGGGAGTGAAAAGATGTCTTCCTCCACGTCTTCGATTCCGTGTAGATGCGACGTGTACAAGGACGATCGGGTGATGACCAGACTGCGGGGTTCGAGTAAGACAGACAAGATCGGAGCGGGATCGATCGCTCGACCCCTCCCCGAACTGCTGCTGTCTTCCTCTTCGCCTTCCGGGCAGTCCTCTCGGAATTTGTACCGGTAGTAGTGAAAAAGTGCGTGCGAGCCGAGTGAGAGTGTGGCGACGACAGGATGGTATGCAGGTCCATCTTCATGCGGCTTGACATAAATTCAATCCTCCGGCGAACACGTCAGTTCACCTCGTCACATACCATAATGCCCTGTCCGGGATGATACTGCAAGAAGTCAGTGCCGGAAATAGACTGACATCTCATCGACTTACTTCGTTCATGATAACATGATTCGGAGCACCGTGTGGTGAAGAACCAAATGCACCTGTGGATCTGATACGTCCAACGATATCAGGACTGGAAATACAAAATGTCTCATTTAACCACTCGTCGATTCCGGCTAGAAACAACTCACTACTGATTGACGAATGGAGGTATATGTTCCGGTATCAGTAACCCTTGAGCGGTCACGCTGCCTCCTGCGCAAGTGAGACTCCATACATTTGGACGACTCGGAGAATCCGTCCACTTACCCCATATCTGGAGGCTATCAAACGGAGCAGAGACAAATAAGAGGTTCTTTCTTGCATTGTTGTGCTCACCGTCGATTTGCAAGTTGCTTCCACTTCGGTAACGGAGACCCATTGATCTACGTGGGTATGCACACAGGCCGCTTGTCGTGTTCAAATCGAGGTGAGCGGAAGACTACCAGTAAGACCAACCTTCCGTATCAACAAAGCTTCTTCCTCTGGTGTGATAAAATTCGAGAAATAATACGCTTCATCAGTGTCGCGTATCTTATGCGAATGCAAGCTTGTCATGATTGTCCGAGTCTGCGTTGAATTAACTCTGATAATAGGGCCACAGCCTACGCAACAATACAATCTAAAAGTCAGGAGCGAGAAAAGCCGCAATGCTCTCGTCGTCTAATGGTTATGATATCAGATTCCTATGGGGAATAATCTGGGGGTTCCGGGTTCGAGTCCCGGCGGGAGTACTTTTGCTTCGGAGCTTCGATCCGCGCCGCATGTACTGTTGTTGAACTGCTCGCCACTTACAGCTTACAGTAACGACTTTTCGACAATCTTTCCATCCATGGCAAGCAAGACGGGCAAGACGTTGAGCAATGCCACTCTCAGTTTACGATTCATGCAGAATGCTCAGCGGGCGAAGATGCAGGCACAAGTAGAGGCAGAACAGGCCAAGATCAGGGACGAAGCAGAGTGGGAGGTTTCCAAGGAGGTCAAGGAGGCCTGGGGCATCAGCTCAATTTCAGGTTCAGAGTGAGTTGAGGCTTTCTCCACGCAGGCCTGTGATCCGATTGTCGTTCAGTAGAAGTGTGACTCACGAGACGTCCTATGTTCCATTCCTCTTTTCCTCGGAAGGGGTGGCGGCTGGACCGTCTCGGGTCAGAGGACGCAGGACGTTCAATCACGGAGAAGAAACTATACCCAAGGAGGTGCGTTTACCTTACATTATCTGCTGCTATCGTCTCGAGCGATTATGCAGAAGAACGATGCCACCGACGCAGAGAAGAAGGCGCCTGCAGACACCGCAGAACCGCCGCTATCCACCAAACGTCCCACTTCGATATCTGGATTTAAAGTGCCAGTTTCGACTACTCAAATGGGTTCCAAGAAGGCACGAAAGAAGACGGTGCAGATGCTCATACATGAGACTCCTGCTGTGCAGCTGCCCTTTTCATTACCTGCAACACCGGAGACAGCATCGGCCCCTGCACCTCTCACGACTGGCTTCATGAAGCCAGCAGGGATTGATGATCCCATTGCCGGGCCCGGGAGCGCTCCAGCCGCACTCAAGAGGCAAAGAGAGCAGGATCCAATCCGAGATCATTCGGGAATGGGTAGCGCGAAGCGGAAGAAGAGCACGAATGTCTCATAACTCTTCACGATACGTAGTTTCTTTCACTTCTATCATGATACCATACAACGGTTCACCTTGTACGCATTCTGCCGGACTTGCAGGCCTCGAGGGCGTCTCGCTGGGACGCCCCGATGTACGTCATAAGACTGCAGCAAGGTGTCATTCGTGTACAAGTGACCATTAGCTCATCCGCAAGCCATGTGCCGCATGTCGCTCAAGCTCCAGCATCTCACTCCGCTTCGGAATCCTATCATAGACTTTATTATATACATTCCAATCCTTCGCCAGCACGAATCTCCTTTCGTGCACGTCTTTGAGCGCTCCGTCTAGGTCATTCACTTCATTCAATGGACGGAAATCCGCGCCATGCTTTAAAACGTCTTGTGGCTGTCCATTTCTGTGCTCGATGGGCAGCATGAAGTTCAGTCCCTGTCAAGACTGCGCGTTCAAGTATTCACTTACGCTTCTTCGGCTTGCAAAGGTGAACATGCGCACAATGTCGGCGATGGACGGACCATAAGCATTCGAATTAGGACATGCAGATCTCCTCATCGCATGTGCTCTTTCGGTGCACTTAGCGCGGCTTCTTCACCTGGTTCCGACATAGGGGTCTCCGCGAGAGGAGCGAGCGCTTCGCAGCAAGGTGTAAACATTTGCGAGCGACCGGATAGGCGGACGGATGTCGTAATGGAGGGGCTTACGGGATACCTCCGAGGATGAAGCCCGAGCTAGTAGCAATGTGTCCCGGGCTTGTTGCGATGCGGGCCAAAAGTCTAACGGTAAGATGATAGGACATCCAAAATAAGTAGCTCTTTACGAGGGAGTCACAAACGATAATGAATAGACATTCGAGAGGTCTGTCTCCGCATGGCTAGGTGCCCTCTTGTGGGCTTCTGTCGATCGTGAAGAGTGGTCGAGGGCAGGCCACAAATAGCTTGGAAGAGTCAGAAAGACTCGGACGAAGAGGGCATGCATGCTGGGATCAGATAACGGAGACAATATAAAACCCACCTCGGTTTTAAGGTTTCTGACGAGGCAGTTAAGCTTGCACCAAGCTACCGATGTGGAGCTTCCTTTAAAAAGTCACTGTGGAGAGATATGTATGATAGACAACCCGTCGGAGACGAACGTATCGTGGAATTCACTGACTCCAGTGCAGAGCCCGTGACTGCGTCAGACGCCCTGCATGTTGCGAGTGCTGAATGCCGTCACTCTCCAAGCGTGTAGAGATTTTTTCGTTCATAGATCTGGTTTCCCCTACCAGCGTCAACTGCAGCGCGGTCCGATCTCGGAGTCTCACGAGGAACCCGAACGGCAGTGAGCGCGAGACTTTGAGGGCACGCTGCTGGAGAACGATGGAGAGGCCCTGTCCATCGACAACTTCGTGCCGGAAGCTGTAAAGAAAGGGACGAAGAGACGGAAGTCTGGGTTCACTCACACAGGCTTCTCTGTATGGCTCAATGTACCGTGAACCAGAGACGCGAAGCAAATAGTTCGCCAGAGGCGGATAGTATGATTCAGCGTTGCGAATACCGACAGAATGCATCTAGGGGATGTGGGATTCCCATCCGCAAGGCCAGAGGAGGGCAGCTGTCCGTCGCCATCTGTCGCCATCTGCGCACAGGTATGTCAACGCCGCCGGCGGAGACAGCTGTCTGAACTACGCCACGCGCAAGGGGAGACTCTGCCGTTGTCTGCAGAGACGACTGGACTTGTAGTAGGCACGCGTGATAGCCGCGTCCCTGAACCTGGGAACGAGTGTGCAGTGTCGGAATCAACGGTGTGAGAGAGAGAGAAGCGGGCGTTAACCCGGATAACGCGCGCCAACCTAAATCGAGGAAGACGATCATAGATTGCTCCTGTAGAACATCGACAAGGAATCGCTGCGCTCGAGCGGCGTGGTAGATTGAGGCAGGGGTTGTCAACTTGAGCAATCGGACAACAATGATCGCAGTGAACTTGCCCATTTCGATGCGTACATTAGCACCTGCCACCGTGATGGAAACCAGACTTGGGATCGAAACGAACTACACCCCCATTCCGCCCGTGACAATCGTGTCCATGTCTTGACAATTGTTCCGCAATGGCCCGTCACAGGAGGACGTGCACTGAGTCAGCGCAGTACTGCAAGCATCGAGGCAAAGACAGTTATGGGATTCCATATGTTACCAGCGTCCATCTCGCATGAGAAATCAAACCTTGGGGCCCAATCTCACAGGAAGTGAGGTATGAGTCTCTCAGGCGACGCAATGGTTCTAGCGGTACCGACACCAGAAGTCAGAAAGCCAGACAATAGACAGAATTATGTGTAGTAAGCCTCAGAGAGTTTGATACACCGCAGGGTGGCCGAACAGTGCCGGCGAAGAGTATCGAAATAAGCAATTCAGTGGATGTGGACTGGTATGTGGACGCGTTCCAGTTTCGCGGAAGCTTCAGCTTCTGGCTCTAGTTACTTCATGATCTTCCCAATTCAAGAGCCATTCTCTGAGCTTCAAGCTCGAAACCACCAATCGTGCCGCTCCACACTTGGGCCGGCACGACTTATGGCACGTCGGAGTTGCACCGGAGTACACATGTCGTGTCGCAGAACAACGCACGACAGCGGATATGTATTTCCATGCTCCAAGACATGTTTCAGAAACGGACAGCTACTCACATATCCCTGTCTTCATTGAGGGAAGACCGACCTCCAGCTTGTCGTGTAATATCGCACTGGCTCGCTTACCCACGGAGATGATGGACGGCAGGACCCGTGAATGGAACCCCATGAGTGAAGCTGCTAGAGCCAAGTTGGATGGGTCAATTTGCCAATTTACCGGTTGTGACTACCGGGCGGCCACGAAGCGACCATTGCGATCCGCAAGAAATGACAGCCATTTTGGTCAAGAGAAGCTCAAGTCGGAGTGGAATTCAGCACTGTTCACAGCGGTCGAACCAAGTCCCAGGATGGCGCTGAGTGCCAGTGGCCCGGTACTAATCATAGCAATGAAAAAGACCCGTATGAGAACGCACCTCGACGATCAATGTACACGATGCGTGTCTGGATTCCGAGGACCAGAACAATGATAAGTCCAGCAACTGGTTCGGAACTGCCAGTGGTGGTAAGGTTCTGATGAGATTGCAAAATTAAAATGGCGTTAGGTAATTAACCTGGCGAAATGGATAAGTCGGACGTCGTTCCGCCTGTCGATCAGCGTACTGTACTAAGTACTACTAACACACAATGAGCGCGATACTTACACCTTGCTCCATTCGGCTGCAAGTTGCCTAGATTTAATTCGTCAGATGTAAGCAGGGCGTTAAGGGGAAGTTCCGAAACGCCACTCGTTGTCGCCGCAAAGTCGCCGTCAGACCGCCCGGGCATCACTGCATCCCCTTCGAGCAGAAACTGTCGAAGGATGCGATGCTGACTGGGCCGGGGAACAGAAGACCATCACGGGGAAGCGTTCGGCTCTGAGAACCGGATTCCAATTTTACAGCTCGAGTCTTCGTTTGGAACTCAGTCACGTAACGCTATCTGGCAGCGGACCGGGTCTGAGGTGAACCTCATTTCAGATTCAGCATCGCCTTCCAGCCTTTCTTCCTCCTCGAATTCGTATAAAGCGCGCTCGGATTCCCTCGCATCTCCCTTCTCTCTCCAGCCCGTTCCAATGTCTAACTTTCATCTCCGCCCAGTCTCGGACAGATCAGCTTCTCCCAGCACCAGCACTTCCACCACCAGCGAGCGCAGCCCATCTATTCACGCCAAACGTCAGGCCGCACTCGCCCCGCTTCAACCCTCCGTCGTTCAACCACCTACTCGCTCTCGCCAGCCTTGGTCTCCATCTGCCCTACGTGGTCAGTTCCTTTCCGACCCCCTTTCTTACCTCACTCATTTCATTCTCACCCAGACGTTGACCTACCCGTGAAAAATGATCCAGGTCCGAGGAAATACCCTGCGCCACCAACCGGTCACGACTTGATGGCTTTGTTCCCCGCCGCTCCACCCGTCAACCTCCCACCGGGTCCCACCAGCGGATACTTCGAACGCGAAGAGCGCGCCTTCTTCGCCAGGGCTGGCAAGGAGATCGTCCGCGTGCGCATCGAGGTCGACATGCCCCAACCAGGCGAGAAAGACGACCCGAAGCACGTCAGGCGGGATTTACACCAGGGCCAATTCGCTCCTCCCCCGCCCCACCTTCATGCCTCGCCACACCAAGCACCACCCAACCCACACGTTCCACCCGCCCCCTTCCCCGCTCACGCGAACGCAACTCGTGCTCCACGAGCCGTGCCCGTTCCCATGACGACACCGACACCCTTTCCGCCAGGTCACCCCACACAACCACCCATGAGCGTCCACGCACCGCCCGACGTCCAGCACTTCTCTTACCCGCAGCACCCGCAGCACGAGCACGCCATCGTCAACGGTGGCAAGCCCCTCGAGCTGCACCCGGCCGAATTTCGGGAAGAATCCGACGAATCCTGGCGGCGTCCGATGCCTCACAACGAGCGTCGACGCGCCGGAAAGCACACGAAGCGGGTAATCGTCAAATAATGCTGTCTAGATTCACCGGTGAGAACGTCGCCCTCAGCCGATGCGCTCCTTGCAGCTGACATGTGCTCGCAGTTATCTTGATCGCCCGTTCCTGGCGCTCCTTGAGCTTCACATGCTCTGTCATCTCCTTCTTGGATTCTCCTCGCTCGGGACATACCTCGAATGAACGGTAATGTCCTCTGCGTGAGGTCGCCCACCTTGCCTGTTCTGCTTTAGTTCTCTAATACCGATATATGACACTAAGTACACCGCCGCTTTACGACCTGTGTACGACACCTGCCGTTACTTTAACCCGCTCCGATCCTATTGACCCGCTATTACTTTCGTGCTGACCACAAGCGCTCTGCGATAGGATGGTGTGTCCCGAGCTCAGCGAAGAAGTACTTCATGTGATAAGTCTGAGAACTGCCTGTCATCAATTACCTAAAAATCACTACAGGATCATGATCGACTCGGGTAGTTCCCCACTAGATCTCGTCCGATATGCTTCCGTCAGGAATGGCGGGCGTGCCTTTTCGCCAAGTTGGAGAAGCGCCGTCCAAATATACGGCGTAAGTAAGAACCGGGCGGTCCTGATTGGCACTGTGGCGTGGCAGAACGAAGTCACCATCTCGCCACGAAGTAGAGATTGTTTGCGACTGCGGCGTAGAATGAGACAAGTACATGTCATTCCACGCCAGCTTGCCTCGCCGTGGTGGATCCGTTCCGGCTGTAAAGGAGCGCAAGTCTCCCACACATCCATCGCGAAGGCGCATCCATTTCCACAGCCAGACATCTCCTGTCAGATGGTGAGCCTATCCGAGAGGCGACGCGCGCACATTTCACGAGGATATGTGCGGTCTCGGGGCGTTTGGCTGCGGGCACGCAGCGCGCAACATGTTCCGTCAGGGTGAACATAGCGCTTCGAAAGGTGGTTCCCACCGTCATCGCATGTGGGACCGTCGAGCGACGCCGTCTCTCTAGAACGGACAGGTGACGCACGGGCATTCTGTACGTCTGCCCAAATTTGAGCGAGGCAGACGCGATTGGACAGATGACACATCGATTGGCACTTCTCCGTCGAGACTCGTTCATATCATGGGAAACAGAGCTCAGGCCCGTGCTGCGTGCAGTCCGAGAGCGACATAACGCGTATAAAGGCACCGGGACGCGATAGCGGTGTTCTCGAGAAGATCCACCTATGTAGAAATGCTGGAGCCTGCAGATAGAGCACACACAAACTAGGCATGACGTAACGATGCGAGCGCGGCGCATGCGAGGGTCGTGACAAAAAGCTCTCGCGATCGATCTGAGCACAAGACCAGCGAGAGTACGTCAGAAGGCCAACCGAGGGAGAACAGAACGTGGGGCCGACACAGATGGCACTGTTAATGCCACCGTCATCTGGCATCGTCATGTCATTCTTCTCGCGCACAGCGCCACTGAGACTGCCAAGGCGATCCGTCGAGGGACCTCGCATGCTGAAGACCAGAAGCTGGAATGAGTGAAATTTCAGAAGGCAAAGCGGCTCTGAGACTCGTTGGGCACCGAGTCCGACAGTACGTGAGTCATACGGCTCCGGGGAATTCGAAGTTCGTTGAGCTCACCAGTTCCTCTTGCATGAAGTACGTGGACAGCCACCCGGCTTGCATCATAGGGAGTGCATATGAGAACACAGAGATCGGTGCCTTGACTGTTGCACCTGCATGTGCAGCGCTCCATAACGCAGGTAAGACGGTGTCCAATTGGAGAACAAGAGCCTGGTGGAGAATTGGAGGCCCTACCACCGGAAATGACAGTGGGTGCCATCATTTCGAGAAGGTGGTGGTGGATCAGACCATCTGACCCTGGTATGATGTGGACAGGAAAGCTTTCAACAAGATCGCGAGATTGTGTGTGCCACGGGGGATCCACGTTGACCACTGTCGTAAAGTCGCTTCGTCGAGGACTCAAACGAGGCTGAGAAAACACAAGACTTGATTCATGTGATGGTGTGTGCAAGCAGATCAGTGGTCAGTGATAGAAAAAGATGAGAAAAGGGAATCATGGTGAGAGTTGGGATTTGATGGTAGCGCACCAAGATCCGAGGGCAGTGATAGAAGAGAACAAGAAAAAGGTGTCGTGGTGAGAGTTGGGTCTCTTGCAAACCACGGTCGGGCTGAGAAGATGATGTCATTGGTCTTGCGCTCAGCAGACTGTCATTCCATATTCAGATGCGATCCGCTGTTCTGGAACATGCATGAAAGTGACATCATTAGCTTCGAGGGAAGTACAGATGACTTACCTTGTCTCTCACGAGTCAAAAGAAGCGATGATTCGCTTTCGTCAACGACGAAAGCATATACAGAACGCTCGATATCTCATATACAGCAATCTCATCTCATCGCAGAACAGGTCTCCCACGCGGGCGACAATGAGGTGTCATGAGGTCGACGAGGAAGTAATCGCAAATCATTTTCGGCAATTATGGTCAATATCGGGACACTGAGCTCGTACCTGTGACCCTGTTGTCCCGACCTTCAGAACCTGTTAAGGCTACTCGTATGTGCATCGCGCTAAAGAGAACCACGTAGCTGCCTTCGTTCTAGCGACACACGCTCGAAGAAGAAAAGCCATCCGATTCAGAGTCCTATGTTTTCAATACCGACGCGATTTTCGGCTGGAAGAACGATACTAGTAGTTGCCACGCTCTCACCTGTAGAGCTCGTGGAAAAGTGAAGAGCCGGCACCGGCCTCCACGATCGTGACCAACAATCGCAAGCTTCTAGTGGCTTGAATTAACAAGTCGTCTAAATCCTAACCAAACTTTGGAAGAAAATCTCTGGCGCACCTCATTACACGACAGGGCATTCGATGACGTGGTGGCAGTACGTAACGGCCACCTGGTGGCGAGCGCATTTCAAAATATTATTGACAGGTAGAAGTTCCCGAAGTATTCATGATTGAGCTCCAGTTACGAGTTCAAAGCGTTTGCGTCTGGCAGAAGAACGGGCGTGCGAGCGAGTGTACCTACCCAGAATCATTAGTGTCTCTATACGCCAGAGCTGGTAAAGATAGAATGTCAGCCACAGAGGCATCTTCGTACACGCAATCGCAATCGACGTCGACGTTTGAGTTGAAGCCGGCAAAGGGCGCGCCCATGTGGACACACAACTCCGGCAGTTTCCGGCCCGTGCTGTATCTCTCCCTCAGGCTGTTCAGTGTAACTTAAGGCCTGAAAACCATCCTGGCTTGTTCCAACACCTCCAGCACTGGGAAATACATATTAGGGGCCATTGTTCCAATTGTTCTTTCCGCGTGGTACATGGTATGTTGAACCGAGTCCGAAGTCGTTATCTCTAACCGCTCATCTGCGGTCTTCTTCGATGCAATCGCGTGCTGGTCGTCTCTACACTCCCATCCTGCAACCTGTACAGTCCAGATCATCCAAATCCAAGGCCGATAAGCAGATGGACGAGAAGATTGTGCAGTTCTGTGCTGTCACTGGTGCATCGTGAGTCTTCTCTCTCCGCTCAGATATTCCCCGATTGCAGTACCGCCGACCCTCATACGACCGTTCTTGTTGATGTTTTGTTCGGATTGGAACCTGGTGCAAGATATATCCTGCACAGGGCTAGTTGTAATGCTGAGCTGTAGCTTGTTCTCGATAGAATGACTACTACGGAGCAATCACTGTTCGTTTCGATGATGCTTGTCTGCCCTTGCCTAGCATTCACGCAGATGACTACGTCAGAACGGGACACAGTGTCTTATACGTGGAGTGAATTGACTGGAACATATCGATCCTAACTCCTACATACTACGTTTCAGCACGCGAGACGCGAAGCGATTCTTAGAGAAGCACAAGCGCCTGGACATCGCGATCGACTCGTACTACACCGACCCTTCGGGCGGATCGACCGCCCAGGCTGTTCCGCCCGCTTCCACGAGTAAGCTGAATCAGCTCTTTGACAAGTACAAGGGTGCGTGTTTGTTTTCTCACAACATATTCAGCTCAAATAACCGTCTCTCGCAGACCCGGATAGCGACAACATCGCAGTGAATGGCACGATCAACTTCTGCGAGGACCTCGGCGTCGACCCCGAGGACGTCGTCCTCCTCGCCGTCGCGCATGACCTCAAGTCCCCCGCGATGGGCGAGTGGTCGCGCAAGGGTTGGGTTGATGGGTGGAAGGCGCTTGGGTGCGTGCGCGATCTTTATTGTCTCTGCGCCGTCATGATTCGTCTGACTCTAGCTTAGATGCGATTCGATATCCGCGATGAAGGCCGCGCTTACGCGAATGCGGGATAGCTTAGGCTCCGACCCGGAATATTTCCAGCAGGTCTACAACTACACATTCGAGTTCTCCCGGCCGCCCGGTCAGCGCAGTCTTGGTGCGCTAAATCGCCGCTGCGTTATCAAGATAATACTGACCAGTTGATAGCGGGCGACATGGCTCAAGGCTTCTGGGAGCTGCTCATCCCGCATGGGCTAGCGGGCGGTGCGCTCGCGCACGTCGGCTCGCGAGATGGCGATGAGGATGATGACATGAACGGAGACGAGGGCTGGAACGACGAGCACACGCAGTGGTGGTTCGACTTCCTAACGGAGAGGGGTAGTAAGGGCGTGAGCAAGGACACATGGCAGATGGTACGCTATGATGTGCGTGCCCGTTGCTGTACTATACTTACTGTGTTTCATACAGTTCCTGGAGTTCGTACGTACAATTGATTCGAAGTTTGAGGTGTACGATGTGGAGGGTGCGTGGCACATTAGCACGAAGTGAGATCCTGGCTAATATTTTATGCTTCATAATTCAGCGGCATGGCCATCAACTCTCGATGACTTCGTGGAGTATGCTAGGGGGCGAATAGCCAAGGACGATGCATAATTTAACTCTTGCGGTAGAACTCGCATCCAGGACTGCTTGGTGGTGATTGAAGTTTTCATTGTATATACTGTTCATTGTACAGGATCGTGATAGCATGGTAAGTTGGTTTTCGAGGGCGAGTTTCGCAACTTAGATGTTTTCAGGCTTCAGGCTTCTGTGTGACTGCGCGGTGTTCTGCTCTCCAAAGTTATCGGTCTGCGTACGCAAACTATCGTGGAGTATAATGCCCAGGAATCATGCGAAACGAGTTCCGCCAGAGGCCATTCTTGGGCGCAGTGAATTCGCACCAGAGACAACGACGGTGGTGATCTCGATATTCCGACCGCGAACTCAGTTGTGTAAGCCTTCAGTGGCATAGATAATAAACATTTCCCATCTAAGCCACTGAATCCGATGGAGAACGCAGTTCCCAACGTTAAGGCTCGAAGTATGATTAGTTGTCAGCCCCAGCCTTTGTCCGCCGTCTGCAGCCATGATCCTTCATCCTACATGGTGAGGCGTACGTAGTATGGCAGATGGCTCACCTGCCACAATGACACAGCCAAGTCGGAATAGCGTCCGTTGCTGGTGTTAGATCGTTCTGAACTCCATGAGATGCATACGTCTATCTCATGATATCGCCCCAACAGACAGAAGTGACGGAAGAAATGACGACTCCTTCACGACCGCCAGCCTCGGAAGGCCGCTGTGCGCGGCCACGCTCGCCACCACCCGCGCTGCCTCACTGCCTCGTCCCGTCATCATTGATTGAAGCTACCAAGACAATTTTTTCAGCGCACCTCTGAGCAACCCGAATGACTAAGTCCGTGCCATTGTCTGATATCGACAAGACGTCAATGTATGTGTTCGATGACACAAGTCCGAATGACTGGCTGAGGGAGTCTTGTAGCGCTTTGCGTAAGATGACTGCGTCTGCGCAGGGGGGGGTGACAGTAAACCGAATATAGTGGTACGACGTTGACAGTGCTGACATTACGAAGCGTCTTTCGAATGCAGTTCAAGAGATACTGCCGTCACTGCCCGACGAGTCCCCGCCGCAGATGAACACACTAAGCGCTCAGGCGGTAGCACGTGCAGCGGCGTTCTGCGGGCGCTACCGGCACTCCGCTGTGATCTCATCAGCGCGTCCTCAGCTCTCTAGGCTCTTCAGACTATTCCACTTTTCGCACAGAGTGGAAACATATGGCCAAGCATGATACGTCGAACAAGGAGCAAAAATGCTGCGGCATCGTCGAGGAGGCCCGTGAGAAGCGCGCGGCGAAGCGCAACAAGCCTCAGCCATGGATCGTGCTCAAGCTCACCATCGGTCTCACGCTGGGCATCATAGCGTACGGGTGCTATGTGTATATTGGGCGCTTCTGCGTCCCGATGATTAAACACAATGACGGACCGCTGGGTGGACGGGGCATGGGCGGTGAGTAGCGGTGTTCGCGACGGTGATCGGCTGTTGAGGGTATTGCCCCGCAGTTGGATTTCTGGTGGTATTTTGTATCTTTACAGTTCTGATGGTGTGGAGCTATCTTAAGGTGTGTCTGACTTGGTCTGCGAATCTATTTGCATCTGATATACATTCAGGTAATCTTCACTTCGCCCGGTCATGCGAAACACGTTCGTAGTTGCGATCTCCTGTTATGCATCGTTGCGGCTGACACCTCTATGTTGCAGTATGTGCAAAAGTCACCGCGGCCCATGATTGAAAATCCTGTACCAGCATGGTGGGACTGGGACCCAGAGATCGGCATGGCGTACTGGGAAGCAACCGAAGCACCCGTCAGCGTCCCGCCTCTGTCTCAGAAACAGACGGAGGGCCACCACAATCATACAGTATCATCAGCACACTCGTCGGGAGAAAGCGACGGCAGACCAAGTGAGTATAATCTCGCTGTCATTTCTTGCGCTTCCTAACCTTAGTATACGCAAGGCGGAGCTAGACGCGAAGACGACGCGAGACACACTGGCGTACTGCCTCCGGTTACTGAAACGCATGCAGCCCGTCTGCCTAAGGCGAGAACTGAAGCTAACGGCAACGCTCATATGCAATATCAGCATCCCCCACGAGTGCACAACAAGGATAGCAAGGCAAAACGGATGCCCAGGTACACGAGGAAAGTGCCGAAGACGCCCGTGCTGCTCCCGGAGCACAGATACTGCTCTAGAGATGGATTCATCAAACCCTTACGGGCGCATCATTGTCGGGTGTGCGGTACTGTGAGAATCGCATTGCATATGCTTCAGTTCTCCGATCTTACTGGTTTCGCAGTGCGTGTTGCAGTATGACCATCATTGTCCATGCAAGTATTTCCATTTGTTTCAATGTAGTACTTTTGCGTGACTCTGTGAATTTCTGCCTGGATTGTTTTCTGAGTTGACAGGATCCCATCTAGTAATACAATACTTCTGCTCACTGTCTGTATTTATTTCATCTCCTTCAATACTGATAGACACTTGCAGGGATTGGACAGTGTGTCGGAGCACGCAATCACAAGGTGAGTTGATAGCGGACTCAATGAGTGTCAGGTCTGATCTATTGTTTGGACTTGCCAGTTCTTCATCAACTTCCTGCAGTGGGCTTTTTTCTTCTGTGTATGGACCTTTTCGACACTCTTGGCAGGAGTGATCAAGGCTGGCGCCCACGGCTCCCCCGATCCACAAGAAATTGTAATTGTCGCTCTGTGGGTAGAATCTCGCCCAGTCTCGCTCTGATCGCGCCTGATCTCGATTTCAGGTCGGGTCTTTTCACGATTTTCACCATTGCACTGTTGGTCTCGCAAGTTTACCTGACGTGCCGAAACCAGACGACGGTCGAATCGCTCGGTGTTCGGAGAATGAAGGAACGCGAGAAGTGGGTGATGGGCAAGCTGTTTGCCTGGTACGAGTTCGGGTGAGCGATTTTGAAGCCTTGGTGTATCTGAACACTTGGTTGAGCTGGCGCCCAACAGCGCGAAACGACGTACCAGGCGAGAGTGGGACGAGGAATGGGGGGATCTAGATACAGAGGGACACATCTGGTGGCTCGGCAGCAGCCGCAAGAATTGGGAGTCGGTCATGGGCCATCATGTCTGGGAGTGGTTCCGTGAGTGCCCACCCTCTTGTTGAATCTAGTCGTTTCTGACTGATTCCCCCAGTCCCAATAGGGAGAAGCTCCTCTGACGGCCTCTCATATCCGCACAACCCACGATTTGACTCAGAAGGCCGTTGGAGACCACGGAATGAGTGGCCTGCAGAGCTGCGGTAGCGGAGATGAGTCGTAAGAGTTCGTTTTTTTGTTCAGAAAACTGTATGGTGCGTCTGCTATAACCGCAAGTGGCACTTTTCTGCATTTCGGACTACTACAATATGACGAATGGATACCTTGTCGATATTCTTGGATAATGATTACGACGGTTGTGGTGTACTGTACTATACTTAATGCACATTCACAACAAAAAACTCGTGGTCCTCTAGCAATATCTTGCCATCGTCGTCGTCGTCGTCAGACTTATGTAGGCGGCGGTATGCGTAGCGCCCATAAATCATCCGCCCGACCTTTTCCTTTTCGGAGGGAGAGCGCATTATACCCACGCTGTCTTGACCTGCGATACCATCCACATCACACAGACTTGATAGCAATATTTCGCATTTATTACATCATAACCATGGCACCAGCAGCTACAACCGTCGGAGAGCACACCGACAATGGTTTGGGCAAGCATACCATTGTGAAGAACGGCCAGAATGCGCGCACACCCGCCCATCTCATGACCGGAGATGTGATTCGGCTAGAGCACGAGTTCGGAGCGCACAAGTGAGTCTGTCCCATCTACGCATGCCTGTAGTTCTTCGTCACCAAGGTCTTCGCTTGACGCCTGACAGTCCCGACAAGCGCGGAGACCCGTGCTGCAACCGGTGGTGAAGCAGCGGGACAGAGAGTTCGCCCGTTTCGCATTCTGCCTTCTCTCTGGCTTATATACTGACTGCGCTAATTTAGCTATCATCCCCTGCCTGTCGTGTTTGAGTCCGCGAAGGGTGCAAAGTGAGCGAGATCTGCTATCTGATCGTCGCTGTCGGCCTGACCTCGGACCACAGGGTATGGGATCCGGAAGGGAACGAGTATATCGACATGCTTTCTGCGTACTCGTGAGCTCTCCAATGTTGTGTTTCGTGTAACATCTCTGATCAACGCCTCCTTAGGGCGGTCAATCAGGTTAGTTTATTTTACTGATAGAAGTGGCCGCGTGTTCTGACCGCACTGTACTAGGGTCACTGCCACCCAAAGATTGTGGCCGCACTCGTGCAGCAGGCGTCGAAATGTACACTATCCTCGCGCGCCTTTTATAACTCGATGTTTGGCAGCTTCGCGGAGAAAATCACCAAGATGTTCGGATACGATATGGTGCTCCCAATGAACACTGGCGCTGAGGCGGTCGAAACTGCCTTGAAGCTTGCTCGCCGGTGGGCCTACGAGAAAAAAGGTGTGGCGGACGGTGATGCGCTAATTTTCAGTGCAGAGGGTAACTTCCATGGGAGAACCATCGGCGTAATCAGGTGTGTTTTTTCCTCTTGCTTCCGTGCTTCGCGTGCCCATCAGGACGGAACAATTGTGACTGACTCTACTATTGGTCAGTATGAGCACCGATCCGGAGAGCCGCCACGGCTTCGGTCCTTATCTCCAGGGCGTTGGCCCGACGTTCGAAGACGGAGACGAGATCAGGACGATCCGCTACGGCAAAATCGCTGACGTTGCACGTGCCTTGCAACTGCACGGAAAGAACACGGCTGCCTTCTTGATTGAGCCCATCCAGGGTGAAGCGGGGTGCGTCCACAACAGCTGTTCGCAACTGTCGATATCCCATTGACTCATGTCACACAGGATTGTGGTGCCTCCTGATGGGTACCTTGCGCAGGTCCGCGAGTTGTGCACGAAGCACAATGTCCTCCTGATTTGTGACGAGATTCAGACAGTGAGTATTCGCCTCATCGCGGCTTGCATCCCGCAGGAACGATGTTCTTCTAGGGTCTCTGTCGGACAGGAAAGATGCTGTGCTGCGAGTACGATAATGTTAGGCCAGATTTGGTTCTTCTGGGGAAGGCACTATCTGGTGGTGGTGAGTCATTGGTGGACACCATCATATCTGATAAAGCTAATCGCCACGATCAGTATATCCTGTCTCTGCGGTACTTGCTGACCGCGATGTCATGCTCTGCATCCAGCCTGGGGAACATGGAAGTACCTACGGAGGGTGGGTGTGCACACCGTATCAAATTGCGGAGATACTAATTGCACCTCATATTTAGCAATCCCTTAGGGTGTGCTGTGGCCATGACTGCATTGGACGTGCTTGTCGAAGAGAATTTGGCACGGCGTGCGGAAGTATTGGGGGAGAAGTTTCGTAATGCCGTTCGCGCTATCAAATCTCCCTTAGTCAAGACCGTTCGAGGTCGGGGCTTGCTTAATGCTGTCGTCATCGATGAGCAATGCAGCAGCAAGGGCCGTACCGCCTGGCAGTTCTGCCTCCTCCTTAAAAGCAGGGGTGTGCTTGCGAAGCCTACGCATGTCAATATGTGTGTGATCATTCGTCGACCCCGTGATAATATATTTCACTAAATTCCCGTCATAGTATCCGCTTCGCACCCCCTTTGGTAATATCCGAGGAAGATCTCATGAAGGCTGTGGGTGTAATCGCGTCGTGCCTCTCCGACCTCGACAAGGTGAGGAACCGTTGTGGCACGGTATCGAATACTTGGACTCATTACTATATATTCTCACCAGCTCGAGGACATTCCGGGCGAAGTGGAGAGCGAGAAGGGCCACAAGGATACGCTCACTCTCTGAGCGATGCGTTCTTTTCACGAGATCGATTGACTGAGGGTGAACTACTTTCGCACTCTATGCAAAAGACCCTACGTCCCTGTATTTCTAGTGAACTTCATCCGCAGGCCTGTGCCGTTCTACGCTTGTATCACTGGCATCGTTTAGTACATCGACAACTATTTTTTGCTGTATCTGTCTATCCATCCCACCCACTCCGCGGAGCTTGCACCGCGTATTTCTAACGCAAGGCCTTGCAGTAAGAGATGGAACGTTGAAGCTAAAAGCTTCAAAGCTTCAAATTTCAAGGAACTTATTCGTAATGGAACGTCCTCCCGGTTAGCAACCGAGCTGTCAAATAGGCGTAGCATGCTGCTTATAGCAGAGACGGACATGACGGGCTTCTCATGTGGTAGCTGACCATGGGTAACGATGCAGAATGATTGCCTCACGCGGAAAGTGTGACGCCACTTGTTATGCTTTACTGAAAGCTAACATGTCCGCGTTAGCGTTCAGGCCCGTCGTGATACATTGAGGCCGCGTTCTCGTGCGTATGACGGTCTGCATGGTGACCCCGTTGATATGATGCGCAATTCAGGCTCAAGCATCAGTGGCAGACGGTAATAGACATGGCACGTACCTGCATTCACTGACCCACTGTGTGACTCATTTCAGACAGGTTTTCTCCGGTATCAACGCTGAAAATCTGCGTTGCGTCCTACAAATGCGATTGACTGAGCAGGTGCCAGTGGGACCACTCAGTGACCTTGTTCATTGGTATACTGTACAGTTATGTCCAACCCGGCCACCTTTTTCGGACCGTCCAAAAAACCTCAGAAAGTCGAGAGGGCAGTCTCTGACGGGCGGCCAGTTGCGAGAACGCAGCCTAAACAGGAAAGTCCGAGATCTGATCAATCCGATCTCATAGACTTCGGCCACGCAGAAACAATGCGTTAAAAGCGTCAAATGTTCAGACTCGAACTTAGCAGCCTCGCTCAGAAGCACAACAGGATATCTTGGAACTGGTTTGTCTCACTCGACACAGGATGACTGGTTATCATTTTCAGACTCAGTCTCTCAGCAGCGGCGTCTCGCCGAAAAGCCTTTCATGACCAGCCATTTGCTGCGTATGGATGCATGCATTTGGAGCCGGTCGCATCGGCAGGGAAGGACCCCACCTCTGAATTTCTGATACGATCATATCTTCTTCGCTCAGCAGCTCGTGCATTCAAGCATGGTAGTGCTTTATACCTGGGATGGGCGTCATCCTCATTCCATTAGCTCGGTGGTGAAATTCCCCGGCTCATTTCTTATTGTCTTTCGCTTTATTAGATTCCATGCAAGCCTAGTACGATTGAAACACCTCTCCGCCACAGGTCATGCGGTCATTTCGTGCGATAATGGCGCCTGCTAGAAGCAGGTTGTTGGATCCAGCCATTTTATAGACATCAAGAAATGCCGTTGATTCAAACTCCATCGCGCCTGGCATTGGTCGCTCAAGATCCTGCACAGGTATCATACAAAGCCCTGGCCATTGTGCTTTGTTGACAGATGGATTTGACAGCTATACTCGATAGTTAAAGCAAACGTGGTGATCACAGCGCTATATAAGTGCTGGTTTGATGCTGGCTCTTTCCAGTTTATCCAGCCGCCTTTTCCCGTGTGCCTTGTTCCACATATACTCTAGCCTAGCTACCTTTCCACAATGAGCTCTCAACAGGTACGTTGGACCCCTTCTCCCACCGTCCGTCCTGATCACGATTGTGGCGATCAGTCCACCTCCACTCAGTGCTATTACCCGTCGAAGTCTGGAAACTACGGCTCTGATGGCGAAGACAATGCGGTTAGAATCCCGCGGCGCACTCCCATTGCATGCCAATTCTGCAGAGGTAAAGCACCGACTATTCGTCTATCTTTGTGATCTGACCGCTCCACGTGTTTTTTAATGGTCGATAGGGCGCAAGCTCAAGTGCGATGGTCGGCAGACTTGCGCCAATTGTCAACGACGTGGTATTCCGTGCGTCTATGTTCCCGTGTATGTCCTGTCATAGTCTCAGGATTTTCTTCGCTCACCCGTTCGTCCTTCAGGTCGGCGCAGAAGTAACGAATCTTGACTCAACTGTTTGCTGCGGAACGCTGTTATATACACTATACATCACCCAAGTCTAATCTATTAATTCGATGCGTCTCCCATTATGGCATCCCACTGCAATCTTATTTTCTTGCCGTCCATCGTACATGACGATTGCCCCTTCCTCATATCCAGTCTCAGTGCATGGGGAGGTTCTGGCCTTCGGCTGCCCCCACTATCGCTTCCTGTCAGTGGACGCACTTGTCCAGAGTGATAACCGCGATGCCTCATGTATTAGTGTTGCGGAGTTGGGCCGAGATAAACGAGCGTAACAAACCGAGAGATATCTACGTCCATGTCCTCGCATGCAAGAAGCGAAGAAAATTCTTCTGCGTACTACGGCAATCGGCTGATTGTCAAGCTTCGCCGCTTCTGGCACAAACAGGAGAAGCAGGCGCTCCAGAAGATGTATAGAGCCCCCAATTTAAGCCGATGATATCGGGAAATGGAAGCGTTCACTATCGTGCGTCGCACTCAGTGCGATTACCTGCAGAGTTTACGCATTACAAAGTTCTGCACGAGGATGAGTAAATACGACGTAAATCCGCACAGAAGCTACAGCGCCCAATCATAGATGCGATCAGCATGTCTTGATACATACCTACTTGTGACCTTTGCAGCTCAGGATATACCGCGCCTCACCTAGTTACTGAGCTCAAGTACTGGTCACGCTCGGCTGAATGTAGGGCCAAGACGGAAGCGGTCAAGTCTCTCGTCGCGTTTGGAGATGGCCGGATAGTTAATGCCAGACGCAGCTCACCTCATGAACAGCATGAGTCTTGATGCACGGACTGTGCTTGATGTTTCCACACTCGCGCCTTGATGGAACTCCGTCCGCCGTGCCGCCCGCGGTATATCGATCGCTTCGTGGGGCCTGGAGCAGTATTTTGCTGTTCGGCATTCCCGATATCAACGCGAGAAGAGTAGCATGCCCCTGTGGTTATCCAGTTGGAGCTGGTGAGCAACAAAATTGTGCCATAAATTTGTACAGCTTACATTAAGACTCAGAACATCGCTCGATCACCGGATCATACATATGAGCTTATACCACGCAGCCGTATCAGATGACTCGGAATCAATCAGCACCGTATGCAGGCTTGCAGACGCACCATATGGTGTAGGAGACCAGACGCGGGGGAGGACAGGGAACATGCATAGAACCACATCACCATCGAGCCAGTGCTGGGCAGAGCCCGCCCTGCGCTGAACCCTGCTTTGAAATCTTCTCTTCAATCCGGCCAATCAGGAACCAATCTGCAGAGGCTGGATGCAAATCGCAGGGCATGTGCGGAGCTACGATAGAGGAGCTGACAACGGGAGACGTTCGCAGATCTACAAATCGGTTCATCCTGAGTTCCAGCCGCCAATTTTTGACTCGGGCATCAACTCACCTCACGCAGCTTGTTTGCGGATCCGACTGAGACACAATGAAGGAGGTTTTGAGGCGCCGTGGCGCACGCCTCATGTGTCTGGTCTGCTCGGAGTAAGGACGGAAGAGCATTGTACGGCGCCGGTCCAACCCGCAAGTTGCACATTTGCGCATGTTCGATCAGGGATATATCATCCATAAGATACTAGTGAATATCTTCTCGCAGCAAATGTCAACAGCAATTCTGAAGATCTGATAACGTTGAAATAAGGAGCTCACTGAATATGTGGGCGTTAAAGTGTAACTGACATAAGCTGGATTACGCCGGGAGAAGCAAACAACTCAATATCGATCAAAACTCAAATAACCTTCACAACTTGCGCCAGTCCGGTTCCGTGTGGTATGTATGCCTCAATGCCTTAAAACGTGCATGCGGATGCAGCAAGTGGCTCGTGCGCATTATAGCCGTTCTCTGGCTTCTTCATAAAGTCAACCACTACAATTCCTGATCTTGTACGGCATCCGAAGATACCACCGAGAGTCTAAAACATCCAGTCACTGCTCACATGAAGTAGGAGCCGTCCGTCAGTGGGGTGGCCCATTCTGGTTCCGGGTTGAGACCCCAATCCTCCAGCCAGCTCTCGAACAGAGCTGCAATCTTCTGGTGTCCTTCCACGTTGGGATGCTGATTCCTGTATCGTGCATGTTTCCTCAGCATGTTATGGGGTTATTAGAGACGGATGACGCACGTGGGATAGACATCTTCCCAAGTGACCCAACCCGTTGTGTTGACCAAGAACACGTTCTCGTCGCCTATGGCATAGCTGGGTAGCATGGGTGAGACCTCTTTCGTTCAGAACTGCGGCCAAAGAAGACGTACCGTGTCTGGACGACTTCCTCATACGCTCCCGGGTAGTAATAACTAACGGATCCGTCGGCAGACGGCCATCCCCACTGACCATCGCATAGTATCAGTTGCAATCGTCCCGATCAATATGGGGTGCGGCACAAACGGGTGTGAAGACAAATACTGGTTGTTCGCGGTAGACAGTGCGCAAGCGGGCCACGAAGTTGAGATATGTCTGAGTGTGTATCAGTATCTAAGTCATGCACCGCCGGAATCACGACGAATGGCATACCTGAACAAAAGCAGTCTGGCTGATGTTGTACGATGCGTCGTTTGCACTATCATGTGTATGTATTGTTCAGCTTGAGAAGCAAATAAAACGTTATCACGGAGAACTCAATTCACCCAATATGAATGACAACATGTGTAGGTGCAGGATAGTCACGGACGAAGTCCCAGGGCGTGGTGTAATTGTGGTCAATCGTGTAGTAATAGCCCATATCCTCGGTCTGACAGAACTATGAGTGATCAAGAACACTGATAACAGACTGCGTGAAAAGACATACCTTGAAGTATTGGTACGAGACACCGTGCTATATCCAAGAGGTTTAGGAGCACGCCAAAATGAGCGAGAATTCTTACCCGGTTTCCGTATGCTACAATGTCCTACAATTCCGCTAAGCATATCATGGGCCTATGCAGACACACAGAAATACTTACAGAGAGGGCTGCACCTGGTGCGGCATTGATATTGTATTCTGCCTTGAAGTGCTCCGCAGTGAGGAAGTTCCAAGCATCGTCGACACCTTGAGGAGTGTATTGTCCCTGTGCAACGGGTGACATTTCAACCACTGCGTTTCTTGATAATTTGATGGTCTCATACCGCAGACAGAGAATCGCCGATAAACTGGAATACAAGATTCGACGATTGATACGGCAGCAGCTTTGCACCCTACGAAGATTCAGTACCAAAGGGAGCGCGTCATCAGGCAAACCATCTCACTTCGTTCAGTACGGTGCTTTGTAAGTTAATCCGATTATCCTGCCACCCCTCCGCATTGATTCGCACAACACTTGTGGTGGGACCCGTCAAGTTAAGAGGTATCTGGTTTGAACCCTCAGAGACGTTGACCGTTGCAAACGGACCGTAATTAACTGACACGCCTGCCGACACGAGCGGAGACGTCGTCAGAGCACCGAGGTTGAGCGTCAGCGACGTGAGGCCAGCGGCGTGCAGCTTGAAGCCAGACCCAGTCCTTACGAGTTCCACACACGAAGTTGGCATCATACGCTAGCTGACAGACTAAATGCTTACCACCAAGTGCCCGGAGACAAGTCCCATCTCCCGTTGTAGTGGATGAACGGGTTGTCAGTGGCAATGGTGACATTCTGTGCGACCGCGCCTCCGTAAAGTAGGGACCCCAATGTCGCGAGGACGAAGCGCGAGGGCATTCCAAGCATGGTGAAGCTCGTAAGCAAGTCGGCGCGCAGCTCACCATTCTCTTCTTATAGCAGGATCTTGAGCGAAGCCGTACGGACAATTCGCCAGTCACGAGTGGTGGTAAGAAGCAAGCAGATGGCATGGCGAGGCCGAATATTATCCGCGCTGAAAAACTCGTGAGCGTAGAGGAGGATGAAGTGTTGAGGAAGCTGCTAAGTTATGACGAGGTCAGAAAACTACAACCTGGCACATCAGGGAAATCACACGAGTCTTAGGCGAGACTCTAGCACAACCGCAAAGGCGGCCTTAGCGATATGAGCCGACGAAAATGCGTGCAAAATGCTGATACCTGATCAGGAGAATCATCTTCATTTGGGAATCAAAGCAGCCATGAGATACACAAATGTCGCGTTCAATTCGGACGACATTCAGAGACAAGCCTCCAGGCGGACCTCTCTAGGCTTGAACATTGAACAATCATTGTTCTGCGTCAAAGTTCCAGGCTGGTGCTCTAGACACGCAAAGGTAGCGTTGAATACTTTCCTGATGAACAGCAACACAAAAGTACTTAACAACGGACAGACAAAAGGTCTCATTGTCCAGTCAGACCAGGTCAGACCGCACAACACGCACCCTCCCGAACCGAGTGCGGGCGGCCGTACCGAGACACATCCTGACCGACGACTAACTCACAGAAGCCGGTCCGTTCATATTCTCGTAAGTTCGAGGAGGGCCTTGTCGAGGGATTTCGTATCGCGCCTCTGCTAGCTCCGTACGACGCACGTAAACATGTGTAAATAGGTGACAGACTCTTTTTTACGCAAGGAGTTTTGATGACTAAGACTAACTCATTCCGGTGGTGTTTTTGGTGCTACTACATACACCGGAGACAGCGGGCAATATCGCACCTGCGGACATTGTGGGAAAATTCTGCCCTACATTGTACATGTATGACCGGCTCTTGTTGCCTGCGGAAATTTTGCCTTACATCCTTTCTCAGCCAATCAGGTCGCGAGAATAAGCCTGTCTACAAAAATGTACAACTGTCTGACATTCTACCACATATGTACAATGTTAGATGGGATATTTGCACAATATTAGATGTCCAGATATAGCTCGCTGTCTCCGGTGATAGTCATAAGTTGACACTCTTGGTACTCTCTTGAAGTGTTGCTCTAGTGTACAGTACTGTACAAGTACTGTATGTCCTTTTCTTGTTCTACATACTGCTTGTTTATACATACTGCTTGGACAATGTTGACATTTTCTGTGTGTTTAATGTTGCAGTACAAAAGGAACAACTGTCTTTCCTGCAGGTAACTACATCTGCAAAAGGTATTTTCTTACTGTAGGACAGCCTCTTCTACATAGCTCTCAGTAGAACGGTCCTTCTACGGAGTCCAATGTAGGACTGCGTAGGATCATGATCACTATGTAGGACCACGTAGTAAAGTGATCGCTGTATAGGACTCTGTAGAAATTCCGGATCTAATGGATCTGTCGGCAGCGCACCGAAGACTTACTCCACCAGCAAAAAAAATTTTTGTTCACGCGTTTCTACTCGAATGCTCTGGATACCGAGCACTCTCGATGGTCGTGCTCGATAGCCCGAAGTCATTATCTTCCGGCCCTAAACGAGCTCGGAGGGTTCATATCACCTGTAACCGCCGCCGTTCGTTGTCTCTTGAGCATCTCTCCCCTCTTCAAAGCTTCATCCCTCTGAACACTCACTGTCCCACTTGTCTTGAAAGTCTTGGCCAGTGTTTGTCCTTGTTGCTCCAGTTACACATCCACCAATGTGGACCTGGAGGGAGGAGGGTGATAGTATGTTTTTCACACCCATGTTCTTCTAAACAAAGTCTGACTTGCGATGCTGGACGGTTGCGATGTACAGCCTTCAAGTTTACTGATTGGTGAGCTGTGATCAACTTATGTGGCCCACTGGCTGTTTGTCCTCGTTGTACGCACACTAATGCAGTAGTCTGATGTAGCATAGATACATGTATAGACTGTAGTCAAACTTTTAATAAAGTGCATTTTCCGAATTTCTGGTCTTGCCCTGAATGCACAAGAAACATATGGGAGCTCAAATTTCAAACACGACGCATAATTTGCTACCGGGTGACGGTGCTGGCCTGGTGCTGGTAAAAATAAGTTTCTACCGCGTCCTACAGGTGCTACAGTGTCCTACAGGGCCTCGGAGACTACACGACTACAGTACTAGCCGATGCTAGCCGGTTCTCCTGTAGAAACGGCCTTTCTACAGAGGGCTATGTAATTAGGGACATTGCTACAGGCCTCTTGGGCCTACGCGAGCTACATAGGACTATATAGGTATTGTCTTTTTTCCAGATGTAGAAGCTGTATCTATGAGCCTAGGACAATGAAGGCTTGCTTATGTAGTTTTTGATTACTGTAACTACCACACCACCTGTACTTGTACTATATGTATTGATCATACACCCTTGCTCATACAAAAACTGTGAGCACCCAGTCAGAGTTAGTGCGCGGAGAAATAGGTCTGACAGTCTATTTGACCGGTAAATTACCCAGGCTCAGTGCAACACCTCTATTTTACCTACGTAAATTACTGTAAATTACACCTGGGCTACTTGACGCTAATTAGCCGGTAAAGCAGTGTAAATTATGGTGTAAAATAGCAAAAGGATGTTCACTGAGGCCACCTAAACATTGCTTTGCACTTTCTAGTGGGGGTTGATGTATCCTTGATGTATCCATGGCTTCTTCTATCTATTGCTGTAAACTATGATGTCTTTGAGGCATGCCTTCGTGCACTTCCCCAATTTGGACAGGTGAGATTTGTCGCCTTATTTATCGTCATCAATTCTCTCTTGTACACCTCAGTAGTGTTGTTGGTGGCTTGGCTTCTGAGCCCAAGCCAGGCCAAGCCGAGCTGTAGAAAGTCCGGCCAAGCCCGGCCAAAGCCATCTGGAAGCCTTGCCGCTAGGTCTGGCTTGAGAATGCTGAAGCCCGAGCCGAGCCCGTGAGCCTGGGGCTTTCAGCGCTATGTGCAGCAAAAAATACAGGACTGCCTAACCCAACATCCGGCCTCATTCACACCTCACTGCTACCTTTGCTGGCACTCCTGGGCATACCAGAAAATTCCTCACTTTTACTATGACAACCCCTTCTGTGATATGCTCTTTTTTCCCCCAAAGGTGAGTATCTCCATGACGGTATGATGATATTGAAACCCTTAAGAACATAATTCATAAACTGGCACAACTCACCTATAATGCTATCCTATAGGCTGCCAGTCAAGTTGAGTTGTCAATTTCTTATTGATCAACTATCTGAGTAGGTTACCTAGTAGCTACATACAAAATATTTTTTTTCTTCAGCAGGCCCGGGCTTGAGCCCAAGCCAAGCTTGAGCCAAGCCCAAGCCCTACCATCAGGCCTAGTTTGGAGTTTGATGAAGCCCAAGCCTGCTAAAGCCAAGCCAGGCCCTCAACAACACTACACCTCAGTTCTGTCTGCTTTCTGACTGTATGTATAGCCCGTTCATACACTCATGGCAGCCCATACAGTGTCAGTCTATTTTACCCTATTTTACCCTGTGTCACAGGCCTGTTTGAAATTTACAGTAAATTAACCGTAATTTACACCCGCTAATTAGCCTATGTAATTTACACCTACCTATTTCCCCGTGCACTAGTCAGAGTCGGGGACTGGCGTGAGCGCCGCTACGATATTTTACAGTCATTTGCATATGAAACCGGAAACACAGCGATGAAATCTTTTATTTGTTCAGGCCAAATATTACCTTATTTAGTATGACCGAGTCGGTGACACCAGTCACACTAGCTCTTGCTCCCCGGTGCAGTGGCATCGCACACTGCAACATTCACTCCTCAGCCAAATACATTGCTGAATTTGTTTCAAGGAGAGTGAATACAACCTGCATCAAGTGCTTGGGGTGGTCTTGCAGTTGAGCAAGTGGATCGGAGACCTGGCAATAAGTACCCCTCGGGCCCCGGTAGAGTGGCAGAATTTTGTAGATGGTAGATTTGTGATATCCAGACACCTGCACCATGTCGGACACAGGGAACTCTCAGTAAAAACCGGAAGTCAATTTAAGTCAGGTATTGTTAGGCTGAAGTCAATCAGATTCAAAATTTTGGCACCATGGTCAGGTAAAGTCCAGAGAAGTCTGTTTACAGTCACCAAACTCATCATGCCAAGAAATTATGTGATCAACTGCCATCAAATTATAGTCTGTAAAAGTCAGACACCACAGTTGATCATCTCAGAATACATGGCATTCTGAAGTTCATATGTTGCTTTTTTCTGCACTGAGGGGTTGGAAAATAACTGTGCAGACATGGTCTAAACAATATGAGGTCATGCACTACAGAAAACCGTAAGAATAGTCACAAGTAGTCATGTAATAGTCAAATTTGCCAAAATTTTGAAATTGGCCGACTACACTTTGACTTCCCGTTTTTACTGAGGGGAACTTGTCATGATGGTACCAGTGAGCAATAAGCTCGTGCAATTGCTGGCTCATAATCAGGGACTCATAGTAAACAGCGTACGTGACAGTCAGTCACGGAGAGGACTCAATGATACTCGTTAAGGCAATATTTGTCCCGAACAAATAAAAGATTTCATCGCCGTGTTTCCGGTTTCATATGCAAACGACTGTATGTAGCTCATGATCACGCCTCTCATAAGGCACTTCGGGCAAGGCCATTTTTCCCGTCAAGTTGCCCCAATTCCCGAGTTTGGTGGCGTCACTGTCAAAAATTTGTCGAAAAGTGCCCAAACGCATTGTGACATCGTGACAACTTCAATGCTAATAGCTGGTCACAGCGTGACCTACTCTGAATTTGCAGAAGTTCGTTTGCAACTCCCGACGTCTATAAAACCGTATCTTCGGCTCGTCATACCATTTTCACTATCATAGCTACTGTAGCTGGTAAGTCCGTAAGGTTTTCTAATTGGAAGGGCCTCGATGTTAACTTTGCGACAGATCCTCATCTCGTAAATCGCAATGAACAAGACGCAGTTTTATCTGTCGCAGTGTGCCGATGCGGCGTCGAAGAGTCCGATGTGTTTTACACTTGGGGCTGTCATGGTCAAGGGTGGAAAAGTGATTTCGTCCGGGTATAACCATCACCGGCCGCACTACGATGGTTCGGAGGTGCACAGGCACGGCCATCGCAAGGCGAGTCCCTGAGTCACGCTAGTTATGTATTGCTCACATTCTTGTGATACAATGTAGCCGGTGTCGATGCATGCGGAGATGCACGCGATTTTTAGCGTCACTGGCATGTCCCCGTCGTTCAAGAAGCAAGTTCAAGGGACTGAGCGGCGAGTTCCACGGGGGACACTCGGCACACCGCCAGAACATCGAACAAAAGGGACAAAAGGGAGCGCAGGTGCCGAATGGTGCCTTTCAGGGTGCAGACGGCTTGCAGGTTCAGACTCATTACACGCCCACTGTGCGCTGGCCCAAAGGGAAGAGTAAGCGCTCGCTGCGAGGCAGCGGTGCGGGGGGCAGCGGCTCCAGCAGCGGAAGTGAGAGTAGTGCGAGTGAGAATCCACACTTTATCACGTCAGAGTCCTGCGGCAGTTGCTCAGGGAAGGAGGTGGAGAGGAGATGGGACGCCCGGCGGCGCGATTCTCGGGTGAACGGCGCGGATATTTATGTGGCTCGATTCACGAAGAACGGGATGGGCAGCGCCAGGCCCTGCTGGCGTTGTTTGGAGTGGTGCAAGTGGGCCGGGGTCAAACGGATATTCCACTGGAACAACGAGGAGGGCAGGTTCGATGTCGTGAAGGTGAACAGCGCGCAAAGGGATATATACGAGACGCACGCCGATTTTCGCCTTTTCGCCGGACTGGTGCGTCAATTCTATCATATTGTCTGTCTCTGCTGATTATGTTGTCTGTTCACAGGGATGGTGATTGCTGGCTCAAACGCTCTGTACACTAACGTGTTCTACCATCACTATTTATTTTCATCTCTTAGTTGAATTGTTGGTGCGTGAATATGTCTTCCTCTCCCCGACAACTGCTCGTCATCCGATTTCCATGGATGCTTTGAGTATCAAAGCGGGGAAGATCAACTAGGGGAAGACATCAATTCAGCCATGAGATGCCTTTCGTTGTCTCTTGGTTTTACTAGGTGTCTCACACTTTTCTCACCCTTGTTCCCTTGTATTGAATTTGTTTCTATCGCGAACGGCGGTGACTTTCCGAATATGGCATATGTCGGAGTTTGTCACGTGGATGTTCTCCATGTTTCTCGGATCTTCGTGTTCTTTCTAGCAGCCTCCCGCTCGCCGACGTTGCTTCGCCAATAACCTGGAACATACTCTGCCACGCAGGGACGCGCGTTCCTACCGAGGGCTACGCGTCGCTGCTTGGCTGACGAATCATTCAGCGTACCGCAGTATATAAGCTACGGCTGCTGTCCCGAACATGGTGCTCACTACTTTCATCTACCCCTCCAACACACCGAGATATAATGCTCGTTTTAACTCCTGTGTCTGTGCCTCGGTCTGGCTTGTACAATCAACCATTTGTCCCGAGCATCGCTCCGCGCTATAATGTCGATGCGGTGCTCCGGCAAGCCGCATATGACTATGCCGTTGCGCATGCTAGAGCTGAAGCTGCACGGAGTGAAGCAGCGCGTCGACGGCAAGCCCAAGAGAGGATGCGTCGTCAGGCCCTGTTCGATCTCTACCTCGAGGAGGCTATGTTTGTTACACGTCGCGCTTGGCCGGAAAGTACTGAACGTCCCTACACTAACTGCACCTCAAGTCACCGAGATGAGGCCTATGCGCGAGTCGTTTCCAGTGCCCGTGCGCAGCATTACCTCACCCATCGTCGCCACGAGACGGGAAATTGTCCTTTTCACACCTACATCGGCCACGGTGTATCGCAGAGGGTATGTCTTTGTTATCCGACCTGCTGTTGCCACTGTCTAAGCGTCGAGTTCTCGCAGGCCGAACAGCCCTCTTATCGTCCCTATTACATTTCACGACATGGACGTCATGCAACTGTGCCGCAGCCCATGTCTTCGCGAGTCGCTGTGCATCCCACTGCCTTACCCGAGCGTCGGTATCCAGTCTCCGATGGACTACAGGAGCGCCTTCAGGATCGACTCCGATCTGAATCTGACCAGGAAATGGGCGAAGCTCTGCAGAGCCTCCTCTCACACTTTACCCCGGCTGCACCGTCTGCATCTCCTGCATCTCCTGCATTTGCTGAATTGAAGGGCAAGGGCAAGGCCAGAGAAACTATCCAGAGCACTCCGTCCTCTGCGTCGGCAGCGCAGGAGGTTCCCACGGAGACTCCTACCAACTTGCAGGAGTTGATAGCTCAATTCTATACTGCACTGCATGAAGCCACAGATACATCTGCGCACGAGACATCCACTCGTATACCCGTCAAGGACTTCACCGATATTAAGGGCAAAGGGGAACAGAAGGACGTTATCCCTGAAGTCGAAGCTACTTCGACGTCGGCACCTCAGGTAAACTTGCACCATACTACTCCTATACACTTTCGGTAAACTAACATATTGTTTAACTCAGAACGAGAACGTCGAAACGCCAGACACTGAAGCTCCTTCTCCCTCTCCTGGACCATTTCTCAGCACCGGCGATGTCAATCTACACCGCACACCAGCGCTCCCTCCCTCCATTGCTGCGAAGCTGCTGGACCTTTACAAAGCCAAGCGCTCGCGTAAGCTTTCCCTTGCAGAAATCGGGGCTGTCCAGGCGACTCTCCGCGCTCTCGAGACGTCCTTCGTCTTTCCAGAAAAGCTCGATTTCACGCAGTTATCACCTGCCGACTCAAACAGCGAGTCCACGAAGGATTTTGGCAGCACCAACGGCCTCGCGTACACAGCAAACAACTCACCGATCCACACTTACGAACACTCGCTGAATGTCCTCTTGACTAGACTTGATGCTGTGGAGAGCCGTGGCGATTTGCACGTGCGCGGGCGGCGCAAGGAGATCGTGAAGGAAGTCGAGCGCGCGTTGCGCGAGATGGAGAGGAAGGTGGAGGAAAGTCACGAGAGGGACGCTGCCAAGGACACAGTTTTAGAGACGAAGCCCGAGGTTGGGACGGCAACGACGGATACAAAGGAAGTTAATGAGGAGGTCGAGGAGATTACACGGCCAGAGGGGACAGCGGAGACAGAAGTGTTCCCGACCTCCCACGTCAAGATCGAAGCCCCACTGCTGGAAGCCGCCTCCTCATCCTCCTGTGCTCCTGTCTCCCTCTCTGAGAACATCTCGAACGAAGACCGTCTTGACCTCAAGTCCACCTTATCTTCTCCCGCCGCTGTCGTGTCTGGGAACATCAACAACGAGGACCACGGCACTGCCGTAACCGCTGGCGCCGCCATGGAACTCCGAGAACCCGAGTCTGCCACATCTCATGACGAGATTCCGTCCAAGTCTTCTTCGTCTCAGGAGGCTGTGGAAGCAAGCCTTCCAGAAGCGCAGATGTACGCACAGCCGGCAACACCTGACATCCTCGAGGTAGTCGCCGCTACATCGCCGCAGTCGTTGGATGACATTGTTGTCGATGCTTCTGCGACTGTTTCGCCCTCGGCCATCGCAGCTAAGTCGCAGCTGTCCGAGGATGCCGCGGAGGACAAACTTATCTCCCAACCTTCGTCCGAGTCTGAAGCTCCAGTTACTGAAGCACACCCCCCTGAAGATGATGTTTCCATCTCAGCAGCCCCCACCTCCGACACGGTTTCTTGGCTCGACTCGGACAGCAAACCCACGATGGTCAATGAACTTGCGCAGCCTACACTTGAATCACCAAGCTCACAACCCGATATACAGCTCCTCACGAACGAGATCGCGGATGCCGACGTTGGCGCTGAAGCGTTGCCCAGTGAGGGATACTCGTCTGAGGGCGACGCGTTCCTCCTTCAGTCGTCCTCTCCCCCTTCGCCGCCACACGTGCCGCGGAATTCGGAGTCTGACGAGGAACTTGAAGTCATACAACACCACGATGCGAAGGGTGCCGATGATGAGAGTGCGGACGAGTGGTCCGAGGTCGAAGGAGACGGACCTTAGGCGTACGTTACGGCAGTCTTTCTGCTGCGAGTTGCTTTCTGGATCAGTTCTGCTTGTCTTTATCTTACACTACGAAATGATACATCGATTCTATGGATCTATAATTGCTAGAATGAGATACTTCTGTCTAATAAGACAAGTGCCCGTGAGAGTGTTGTTGTTCAGCGAGTGTCATCGATTTCGGGTCTCATTCCCATCTGATTATGATTATTTTCCCCCGGTCCTCTGCATTGCTTCGATTCGCGGTCACAAGGGACCGCAGACTTTGCTGGTTGCGCCAAGAAGACACCGCCAGAAAGGAGGTGCGCCATTGCAGGGACATCGCAGGGGCATAGCGTGAAGACAGCTAGTACTCCGAAGACCCCCCTGGAGCAGTGAGCGAAGTCCGCAAACCCCGACCATACTTTTTTCTCAATAACTGTGTCAAGTTGCTCTTCTGAGGGAAAGTACTTAGCCATTGTGATAATTCTGTTTCAAAGTTACCTATGCATTGTGCAGTCGTATCAGGGATAACGAAACGTGCACATTGCAGCAAAAAGGGTGTCGGTTAGTATTATGAATAGCAGACTTGGCTAGATGCTCCTGATCATCAAAGGTATCAGACGGTGACTGCAGGAGGTGAAAAGCGCAAGAGGTTAATGCAGCCAAGGTTATGGATACATGTCACTCTATGACAGAACACCAGATTCACTGCCCACTCCTGCTTGTATACTGTCAGGCCCTGACGTTCAAGTTGATACGCTCACAGTTTTAGTCTTCATCGTCCGTTGACCAGCTTATGAAGCGTAGGGACACATTAACTGCGATGCATACGCGTCCCGGTGGAGCGAAGATTCGTCATGGTTGCACCTCGACGATAGTTGCTCTGCTCACATCCAACGGAACTGATTGTGAGACGTGCACTCGCCACATCGGTTCTAACTTGGGAGTGTACTGGCGCCGTCATTGACGTCAACAACGAGAGTGGATTTATGAAACGCGAACCGCAGAAGAACCTCCGTATTGCACGTGATCGCGACACGACAAAATGTACCAAGAAAGCATGCTTAGTGAATTATGTACCGAGAGGAAACAATAGCCAACTGCACCATCGCGCCAACAAACTAGTCCTTGCGCTTGTCAGACACGGCTCCTGTCTTCAAGTTGAACTCGGATGCAAGCCTGTCGTACTCCTTGGCATTCTGCTCCGCCTGCTTCTTTACGACCTCTGCGTAGCCATTCCCATCAAAACCCAGCAGTTCGTGAAATTCCTGGAGAGATACACACCGTAGTCCTTAGCTTTCTCCTCGCTGGCGGTAAGTTTCTTCTTCAGCTCCTCGATTTGCTTGGTCTGGTCTTGTGCTGCAAGTTGGCTGCGAGAGCTCTTGGCGGTCTAGTAAGGCGCAGTGAATACAGACAAATATTGCAAAAGAAAACTAGACACACCTCCTGCTTCAGCTTGGCGTACTCCTCCTGAGTATGAATGAGGTCAAGGATGATGTAAAAGGTGCGAGTGAGGACGAGGGAAAGAAACAAGCAGAACCCGGTCAGATACGTGTTGCGTTGAGAACTGCATGCGTAATCAGCCACATGGAAGTGGACACGAGAGGAGCCAGACGCTTACTAAAACTTGCGAGCAGCCAAGTTAGTTTCTGACCTCATGTCGGCCGTTCCCTGCCCGCTGCTTCTTGCAAGGTCGCTCTCCGCGGTCACCCGCCACATCCTCTGCACCGCATCCACGAACAATATCGCTACGAATCTGGTCGGGGGTAGATGGTGCTGAGAAGGTGCTAAACTCGGATGAAAGACGAACACGTACATGAATGCGATCTTGACGCCATATGCCAGCTTCGCCACGAGAGGGCTTTCTGAAAGGAACCTGAAAAGACGCTTCCTGACCGCGTACGGTAGCGGTGCGACAAGGAAGCAGAAGGTCACCATCTCTGCCGCGAGGAGCATAAATGTGAGAGTGTAGCTGGGCATAGCAATAAATTCCCGTGAGAAACCAGTTGCACGAAAGACAACGCCCAGGAAAAACCTACTAGACTGTCATGGCAGAGAAAATTCAGGTAAATGTTGATAAAATGGCAGTGTTTGAGGTGTTCGACAACACGATGGCTGTGGTCTGTGGATTTATTCAAACTGCGCCAGCCGGCACCAGACACGTCCGCGCGACGTCATCACCTAGTCACGAGACCTACATCAGCAAAAGTCAACTTTTGCTTACCGGTGTTATTCCCTTGATTAAGGAAAAATAAGGAGATCTCTTCTCTTATTCGTCCATTATTCACCCTGATTGGCTTTAATTGCCCAAATAAGAACGGAGACCTCCTTAATTAAGGAGATAACGAAGCTAAATGGAGGTAACCAAAAGTTGACTTTTGCTGATGTAGTTGTGTTGATTTACTTACATAAGCACCCGACGCGTCATCCAAACTCGGGAATTACAAAAGTCTACCCGCGCGCCTTCCGCACACACTCTCTGTCTCTCTCTGTTCACGAATCGAAAAGATGGCACCTCTGGCTGTCAAGATCAAGCACGCAGGGAAGGTGCACGACGTGCAGCTCGACCCCGATCAAGCTCCCACCGTCTTCAAAGATGCCATTTACCGGGTTACGGGTGTGCCACCCGATCGCATGAAAGTCATGATCAAGGGCGGGGTATTGAGAGTACATGACACCCTTCGAATGCCGCAGGAATTTCCTGACGAAATTTTGTGTTATCGACTTTGACAGGACGATACGGACTGGAGAAAAGTCGCACCCAAAGAGGTGAGTGGGCAGCTTATACCGTGGTTCAATCTTTGCGCCAACAGTAACTTCGAAAACTCATTTACTGTCTGAATTTAGGGACAAACATTCATGGTGATCGGTGCCGCAGGAGAGTTGCCAAAACCGCCGTCGACACCAATCGTTTTCCTCGAAGGTTAGTTTGTCTTATTAGTCTACCTTGTTTTTGCATTATGAGCCCTTGTGGGTTGGCGGACGGCTTATTCGCCGTGTTCAGAAGCATGGGAATAGTGGTTCGCTTTTTCTCCTAATCTGTACACACAGTGGTTTATTGATGCGCGTACCGACGAAATTCCGCGGAGAAAACGTTCCTCTGCCTCTACCATTTTCTCCGTAATATTCATTGAGTGGAAATAACTGACCTTGTTTCTATAGATATGGATGAGTCCGAGCTGGCAGAAGCGGTAAGTTTGGTCACACTTTCTCATACATGTGTCCCGGGATGGAAGGTTGTGTTACGAGTACGGTACACAGGCCCATATTCTGCCTATCATCTATGTCTCGCCTTCACCAGGCGTCCTACCCAAGTCCAATCCCTGCTATAACTGTCTCACCAAACCATCGACCGACTAACTTGGACTTCTCACAGCTAGCACTTCCGATTGGTCTGAAGAACTTGGGTAACACTTGCTACATGAATGCCACCCTCCAAGCAATGCGTGCCATCCCTGAGCTACAAACGGCGCTCCAAATGTATGTTCTTCACCGTCGCCCAACTGCCAGGTCTGACTTGACGTCTTTCTTACCATATAGCTCCGCTCCCCCAGGCGTCCCTTCTTCCTTACGCGCACTATACGCCGAGATGTCCCGCACGACCGAGAGCGTCATACCTGAGGCTTTCCTGCTGACACTCCGGGATGCCTTCCCGCAATTCGCTGAACGGATGAGCGGCGGCCCGAAGTTTGTTGGTCGGACGATTGTGGACTACGCTCAGCAAGGTGCGTTCCATGCGTCCCGCCGCATTTCCCGGATGGCTGACGTGTTCCCAGATGCGGAGGAGTGCTGGACTCAACTGACCCAGTCGCTGAGGGACGTGCCTGGTATAACTGGACCCTCGAGCTCGGCGGCCGCGAAGTTCGTAGATCAATTTATGACCGTCGAGATGGTTCGCGAGTATGTGGTTCCTTCTACTGTAGGACCTGATATTGACTGAGTGGGTGGCCAGATTGAAGTGTGACGAAGCGCCGGAAGAGCCTGCCTCGGTCACGACGGAGAAAGTACTCAAGCTCTCATGTAACATCACCGCTGCGACGAACTTCATGTACCAGGGCATCAAGGATGTACGTTCTGCCTCCCGACATGCTCTGCTTCCGCATGTCTACAGGACATTGACCATCTACTCACATAGGCATTGGACGGGAAGATCGAGAAAACCTCGCCGTCGCTTGGCCGCGAAGCGGTGTACTCCTCAAAATCGCGCCTCTCGCGCTTGCCTGCATACCTCACCGTGCACATGGTGCGCTTCGCCTGGCGGCGGGACATCAGCAAGAAGACCAAAATCATGGTAAGCACTCCTCTGTCGCTGGGCTCCTTCCTGTCCCACGCTGACCGGCTCCCAGCGTCGAGTCAAGTTCCCGACGGAGTTTGATGTGCTCGACCTCGTGACGGACGACCTGAAGGCGAAGCTCCTCCCGGTGAGCACGAAGCTCAAGGAGATCGAGAAGGAGCGTGCAGAGCGTGGCAAGGTGCGCAAGCGTTCCAAGGTTCCGAAGCCTGCCGCCGCGGTAAAGGACGCGGACGTCGAGATGGCGGACGCAGGCGCGTCGTCGAGCGCCCCGAGCGCGCCCGCTACTGAAGCGCCCGTGCAGGCTGAGGCTGGCGATAGTGAGGACAAGGGCAAGGGCATGGCGGTCGAGCTGGAGGAGGAGTCTGTGTATCGGGAGCGCGAGGTGAAGGTGCTTGATGAGCTTGTGCACCCGGACTTCAAGGCCGACATGGGCTGCAGCGCGTGCGGGCTGTATGAGCTTGTTGGTGCGTTCTTGATTATGCTGTCCCGACGTCTCTGACTTCAACTGACACCACACCGATCGTTCTCAGCTATCGTCACACACAAAGGTGCCGCTGCCGACGCCGGCCATTACATGGGCTTCGTGAAGAAGAGCGCCCTGCAGACAGGCGTGTCCGACGACGACGAAGACTGGTACAAGTTCGACGACGACAAGGTGTCGATCTTCCCGAGGGAGAAGCTCAGTACGATCGACGGAGGCGGAGAGGACTCGTCGGCGTACGTGCTGCTATATAAGACCAGGTCTTTGGCATGAAAGTGAATCGGAAGTTGGGATTCGTTGTATTCGTCCTGCATCTTGTGGAGTTGTGCATGTGTCAACCCTAGAGCTGTTGCACCATATACTGTACTTTCATGATATCGCCTGGCGTGAAGGTTTTTCTGATATTGTTTTCGGCGCTTCAACTGGGCGTAAAGAATGGATCCATGGGCGCTTACTATCTTCAGTCAAATCCGTCTGTTTGATCGCTCTTGTATGTCTTTCAGCTTTCCTCGATAAAATGACTATCTACGTCGCCCCGCTCGTCTAGAGTCGATTACCCGTTGGTGTAATTGCGAACTTTTTATGGCGGACGACGTTGCGCCGAACGGATCGGCAAACGACGCACCACTCCAGCTTCCAAACGAGCACCAGCTCCTCGCGACGATAGAGCAGCTGCAGAGCAAGAAGCTGGAAGCGGAGAACGACTGCGAGCTCTTCCGCGACCTGTATGGCAAGGCGTCCGCGCATGCTGTCGAGGTCACAAGGGAGAACAACGAGCTGCACGAGCGGATCGCGCTCGCCGAGAGCCAACTGCGTGATGGGCTCGCGATGCTGCGGGGCACGTATGAGCAACGCGTACAGAAGTTGCAAGCGGAGGCGGACCGGTGGCGCGTCCTGTGTATGGTGCTCATGGAGAAGGATCGGCGGACGGACGAGGAGGTGCGCAGGAGGGCGGCCCTCGAACCAGAGCTCAGCGAGCAAAATCGAGTGCTCAGGGAGGAACTGGAAAAACTTGGCCGGGACTATGGCGATGCGCAACGGCTGCTGGGGCATTTGACCGAGCAGGACCAGAAGGATTTGGAGATGGTCGGACGTGAAGACCTCCCGGTGGCTGTTTCTACTCCGATATCTGCGTAAGACACGGGTTCTGGTCAAATTTGTTACTTTAGGACGTGCTGACACATACTAACATATTGCATATATCGTGCTGTAAATTCCACATGTTTACTGGCGCAGACTCGAGGTTTCATGACGTATTTCCCTCACACAATTCTCTGGCCTACTGTCGTATTTCCGGCTCTGCGCAGTCGAACGTAGGACTGTGGGATGAGTGCTGAGACAAGTAAGCCGACAAGGCTAGAAGGTTATGATACAGAAGGCCGCACGATTGACTTATATCTGCCACCATACCCGAGGTAAGCAACTCATTAACTTCCTATCACCCCAATGCGCATTCTGGCAACCGAGACGCATAATATAGATCCAAGTCCGTAGCTGTCCATGCAATCAACACACCCAGTTGCCTAACGCCGTTGTCTCCACTTCGGTTCCCAGAACATGTCGTACGGAATATGGCTCACACGTACAATATGTTTCGCTGTTGATTTCCCATTCGAACGTGCATTGGACATGTGGTGACGGTCGCCCCGATGCATTGGTATAGGCGCGGACAGCACCTTTCGTTCGAATGCGATCGCCTCTCGATATCCTAGCCTGGGGTCGTCGTGCAAGAAGCAAATCTTGTCGAAGGACGGAAGGGGCAATCGATTGAGCATGAAGTGCCGGGCATACAGTGCCAATCCGCCCCAGATGCGTTGAAGCGATGGCGACATGTTCTGGTGTGGCATCCCCAAGACTGCATCCTGCGATCGGTGCTCCGGCGGTGCCCTCGGAATTGCAACGAAGGCGGTGGGGAGGACGAGAGTGCGTATTTCTCTTAGTCCCCTGAGACCGTCGGCCCATTCGTTCTAACAGATTTCAAAGCGAGAGTCAGCGAAAATTCGGCGAGGCCATACCTGCGGAAGCACGTACCAAGTCGCCAGGCAGGGGAGCGTAGCGACTCACTCCAGAGTGATCCAATATGAGTTCGACCAGACGTGACAAATTTTTACCCATCTCTCTCACGAAGCTGGGGCCAAATCCTGGGAGGTACCTGCCATCGACGTTGACGGTGAACCGGAAGCATCGGATAGGCGCGCGAGATACGTTGGCCAGGAGAATATCTAACGCCGGCATCCAAGTGAATGGCACCGAGAGCGACAGAGATGTGAGGCGGGGCCAAGAGGATTTTGCCTGGACCAAATCAGCAGTCAGACGTCGAAACAGGTGGAAACCGGCCGCGTACTTACTAGTCCTCGTTCAATCAGATTGGCGTAGTCGAGAAGGTTGTTGTCGGTGCAGGATATGCACAGGCACGAAAGACCTGCCCATGACGCTGCTGGAGCCCGAAATGCCTCTTGCCAGCGCCCATCGTGGCTCGTTGTATCGGATATGTCCAACCTCGACAAACGCTGCTTGTCGAGGAAAGAACTATACCATGTCGCGTCGGGTCCTGCATTCCGAATGATCGCATGCTGTACCTGTCCTCCCATGTGTGGGAGTTGTCCTCTCCCGCAACAAACGGACAGGAGGGCGACCTCGCGGAGATTAAATACCATATTCAGTATCGAGAGCGCATTCGGAAGATGCAATATTTGTCCCGTCGTGCTGGCGTCCATGACGAAAGTCGTCAAATGGGTGGTGTAGTGAAGTATAGAGCGCAAACTGAGGTCCATGTGTGCGATATACTGGTCGTAATCGGGCGGAGGCGTCGACGGAGCAACTCGAGCGTCGCACGAATCATAGATTGTGATGGAGGTCGTTGCTCGCCGGTAACGCCATGCATAATGGAACAACTCGCAGAGTTTTTCCAGGGAGATGGCGACTCTTGCCGTCTTTTCTGCGTCACCATGACCGATTTCGAAATGTAGATTCTCGTACACCATGTGCGACTGTAAGCGCAAGCGATGACAGGTCCAGGCCAAAGACATTCGGTCTTTGGAATTGGCATATGAGAAGATCTTCTCATGTAGCCCTTCAGGTAGCTGGAGGATAGGTGCTGGGGGCGGCGGTTTCCTCCATGTGTGATTCCAAGACATCAGTGACTTACATTAAAAAAGAGTCAACTGGCAGTAAGGCAGGGTGGAATAGAATATCTCACAGATTTCGGCCCCTCGGAGCGACAATTATTCAATGTCAGAGAAAGTGCCTCACGACTGACAGAAGACAGCATATATATACAGCTGCACCACAAGGACGAACGATCCTTGTCCGGCGAATGTTATGAACGTGCATTACCATGGTTGCCGCGCCAACTTGAAGGTACTTCATTGGAAAGGGACATAGGCCGCTTCACTGTTTGGAACGAGTAAAGCACCAGAGTTGTCACCCTTGCGACTTCCCCTTGCCATCGCCATGGCCTCCGCTGTCTACAGCGGCAACAAGTGAAATATAACGAAAGAGCCAAGAGGAAACAATTGCTGCAGTTCTGCCAGCAACGGTCAAGAAGAATTGCCTTTTACGGAGATGTTCGCTGTCCCGATCCGTTCTGCGTTGCCATTTCGAGTCTCCAGAGACCCTTGGTCTTGCGCCCAGAGTGCCAGACAGTTATTTCACACCCTACTCTCACCATATGACTCCCGACGACACAGTATAAGGGTAAATAACGCCGTCTAGGAACGAGACCAATGCGGCCGGCTCCCTTGCGCTGTCAACCCCAGGCTGTGGTTGCGCAGAACGCACCATTCGTCTGGATACAACGGAGGCCGCGCGTCGTTTTTTGAAGAAACATCGTTCGACTGTAACCGGGCGCTGAACGTTGAACGCTCACCCCGCACGAGGCAGCAGTTGAAGAATGGAAGCCACTCTGCGCGAAAGCGCTGCCACTACGCCGTTCTGCATCTGGCAAAAAGTCACCAGTTTGATGCAATACCCACCACATTCTCATGCACGCCGCGCGAAGTGATGCACGAGTGAAGCGATGCACACGTATGCAAGCCTGTGTAGTGCCCCTAGCTGCGGCGCCCAAATATTCCAGGAATAATGTTCGCGAAGATCGTGCTGCATGACATTCTCAGTACGTGTACAATATGAAATCGAATTGACCTGTCCACAATACAAACAAAGCTCTGAGAGCAGACGGGCGTTGCGATAAGTTAATGGATACGACGACGGAGACTAGTGGGAGAGTAAGTTGCATATCGACATCACGAAATCAGAGTGGTTGGTGTCACGAAGACATCCCATCAGAATCTTCTCCCTCCTCGATATCGTTTGCCGAAGGCACCTCTGCCGACGTGGCCGCTCCGACAGACACTGCCTGCGGAGGCTGCTGTGGTGAGATGTCCCTGCACAACGCCGATGGTCAATCTCCATCACACATCACGGCGAAGAAAAACATGAGTCTGCAACGCGCACCATTTGATCTGGAACCTCGTTACTCGTGGTTTTGTGTTGATATCCCGCACCAGCCGATCGAACCTGATCGGCTCCGGGAGCGCCTCCTTCATCTCCTCGTTGTCGTACTCCGTGTTCTGGTAGTACCCCACGCGCACGAACTCCTGCTCCTTGTAGGATCCCGTGAGGATGAGCGCGGCAACGCCGAGGACGTCTTCTGGGGGGATTTTTGACGGCGATGGCGGAGAGCCTTCGAACTCGAAGGCGTTGACGCCTGCGGGGACCGGACCCACGAGGCAGTCGTCGAGCTCCTGGTCGAGCTCTTCGTTTCCGGGTGAGGATACGTAGATGAGTCGCCATTCCAGATCTGCACATCGTTTGCGGACACACGAGAGGTTAGAGACGGCCACGGTGGGTCGCATAGAACACATACCATCTGGCAATGGTGCTATGCATTCAAAGGTCACTCTAAAATGATATGGGTCGAGGAACCGTGCGGGATTGTTGAGGAATTCGACGTTCTAAGTCGATAATTGGTGGCCGATACAGGACAGTAAAAGTTGACTCACCCGGATGGTCACGATGGACATGTTGGAGGACTCTTTTCAGAAAACAAGGCTATGCTTTGTGGAGATGCGCGGATATAAATGCGAAAGCGATTGCAGAAAAAAGACTTCGCTGCAAGGCAGGTTGAAACTTTCGAGATCCATCGCAACGTGACTTGCTAAACGCGTTGTGTCACAGACGCGTTATGCCGCGTTACTCCACGTGACTAGTACATGCGCATTGTGACACACTAAGACATAGCTTGAGAACTTGCGGTGCCGGAATCTAGCTGGGAGGACGGCACCCAAAATGGTTGCTCTCACAGAAAACTGCGGAACCAAGCGCATAGAATGCAAGCATAGAGAGAAGGAGGGCTTCAATAGAGTAGTATCGTAGTCCGAAATAGCCGTCCCCGAAGTAAGAAATTACTTTCTCGAGTCATAAGATATTTCTTTGTATGTCAGAAGAAGGGGCGAAAGGTAGGCGGCAGCTTTTCCAATTGCTTATTGCAACTGGGACGAAACCTAGATGTAAGAGACCCTCACGACACGGAACTCCTCACCACGCCTTAGATTCATAGATACCCCTCGTCACCCGCCTTTCCGCGGGGAGCTACTCACCAGCACTGTTTTTCTCCTTGGAGTATGAACTTGCGCTTCTTATGGATGGCGGGAACAAGGTAATTGAAGAAGGATATCGCCTTGAACGCACGAGTCAGCATTGACCGCTGCGTCTTGGAATACAAATATAGTACCATCCGTCTATGCGCGCTACAAGACCTTCAATACCTTCAAGCTCAAGACGATACAAGCTCAAGATTCAAGACTCTCAGGAGCAAGTTGCGTTCAAAGCATGTGCACCACGAATATTCGGTACGCTGAGTCGCACCTGTCAGAACAGCAGGACGGTACGTCAAAGCGGGGACCAGACAGAAAGGCTCAAAAACCCGGCCCCAAGCTAGACATCAAAGAAAGAAAGAAAGAAATCAAAACATATAAGACAAGACAAAAACGGTGACAGTGTGACCTCGAGGTAAGGTATGACATGCACCTTGCTCGTCTGTCCTAGAACAGGCCTTTACGTAGCCGCCTTCGTTGACAGTGCTAGTGACGGGCACAAGCGGGGAAACTAACGTGCGTCGACAGCCGCAGGTCTGCCCGTTCCCGTGCACCACATACTTCTACCTGTGATTGGTGAGTTGCTAGGTGACCGTCCACCAGGCGGATGCTGGCGGACTTTATGCATTCAGTAAACATATTTCTCGTGACTTTCACACACATAAATTGTAACACACCTTTCTGGTAGTACCCGTCATTTGTACCAAGGCTCGAGAGTGCTGAACGGCTCTTGGAAGTGACAGTTTGCCAGTTGGTTGTATGTAATGTAAGAGCCGAGTGAGCGAATAATATTGATCCTGAATTTATCAGAGGACGTGTCTTGCACCTCGACGTCAACTCGGTGACATTGTTCGAGTAAGTAAATCGAGAGGACTATGCCCACAAAGGATGTAGCATCGGGAAGGCGGGATATCCTCTCACTTCCAGTGCCCTGTTTGCATTGCATGCCAAACATCTTGAGCAAGAAAGAACTCCTGCAGTGGATAAATCGTGTGGGAGACGGATGAATCGCTCGGCAAAGCTCTCGGCATTCTGTTCGGAGAGTCGGCAACATCCGGTGGCGGTGAAAGTAATTCACCCATATCGGCACCCTCGGAATTCCGCGGACCACTTCCATGTTATTCAACGCCAACCTTGCTGATCGTCAACTTGGAGACTCAGTGTGTCGTATATCGTCGCTTTTCTCCACGGACAGCTGCTTATTTTTCTCTCTTTCAGATGTATATTGTACACGAACTGAAGCACGCGTCCGGCGAGTGGCGGGCTATGAAGTGTCGTCATCAAGGAAAGTCCCCAGATCCATCCATACATGGAAGTGCAGTTGTACCCTAAATCGTGGACACCGCCCAAGCGTCGCACCACCTGATGGTATCAAATTCTATTGTCTCTTGCCTCGTGGCGTTGCTTGTTGCTGTGCATGCATCTGGCGGATCTCAGCAATGGATCTACGCTTTGATTGAATTCAAGCGTTGGTCATGCTGCGGTTTGGCCTCCAGCGTATAAATACACCAGTTATTGCTCCCCTCTTTCCCCCATCGCCTCTGTCTTCTGCCTTCTCCTCTCTTCCACGTGGACGGTTGTGTTTCTGGATATATAATCTGGTGTTCACCGCTCTTTCTCCCATCGTCCTTTCCCTCTGTCTTCTATCATCTATCCTCAACCTCAACCTCGACCTCAACCTCAACATCTTCTACATCCTCAAGCCACCTTGCTTAAGCTCTTGTAAGGCCACGACTGAGGGTTGAACAACAAAGGCAAGTCGTCTCCAACGTCGTTGTTCATCGTACTCAACGGCCGCTGGCATCCACATAGCAGGTCACTCCGGCATTCTTTTCAACATGTCACTAGTAAGTTGGACTGTGCTCGCCCCTGATCGACGGCCGGTATCTCCAGAATAGGCGACACAGCGGCGCGACCTCTTCGTCGTTGACTGGGCTGAATATCAGTGTCGGCGACGGTGGCCACCAATGTGGCCACATCAACATTGCGCTTTTTTCTGGCGATGGGTGGGCGTGCCTTAGCTTCATCTTTTCCATCTGATGACTTCCTCCTTCCTCCTTCATCCGACAAACTCTGGCGACGGTTCTCTTCTGTGGGACTTGGTTCTTCTTTTTTCCACTTCCCATTCCATCTCTCCTCTTTTCATTCCTTTTGTATTCATGAATCTTGGCAATAATCGCGTGGACAGAACCCCCCGGGGGCTGGCGCGGACCTCTACGTGGTCCCCGGGACGAGTACCCCGTCGCCTTGTGCGACGGGCGAAACCAACACGCGCCAACCTCAAACCTCATCCGAAATTCAAGGTGCATCCTTTGATTTATTTCTACATCGTTTGTGGACTAATGTTTGACTGTTCCCTTCCAAGACGGCCGTCGATAGCCCCGACGTGCACACACACTAACAACTCTTCGTAGGTTCGCTCGGACTATCGCCCGTCTGCAAGGCTAGCACAAACTCTTCCTCGGCATCGGCGATTAGCGTATGGACCCTGTGAACCCTTCAGAAGGGCGAGATCATCACAGACCAGTGTGCAATGATTTGGGCGTTTTTCTGCCTTCTGCACCCTGTGGCTGGTCGGCAGGTCACCTTTCGTTCTATGTCGACTGCAGGCGAGCACAAGCTGTTGATCAGAATTGGCGATGAGTGTATCCTGCAAAGCCTCCCCGAGGGTGAGACCGACGATGTACTGGAGTGCAGTGATGACGCTGCACGACGGTTTCCGTGACTGGTCAACAGTGATCGCTCTCGTGGGTTTTGTTGACTGCAGTCTAGTGCAAGCTGTCGACGGGTCGGCATCGGCGAGGGGTTGGACGCTGTAAACTCTTCTGAAGGGCGAGATCGACGGAGAGCCGGTGTGCAATGCTGCGGGCATTTTTTTGCCCTCTGCGCACCACAATGGCTTTCTGTGACTGGTCGGCAGGTCGCTTTTCGTTCGGTGTTGGTTTCAGTTTGTGCTAGCCTTGCGGTGTGGTTGTTCCCAATGCAAGAGAAGGTGAGATTTGCAACAAGTTCATTTCATCTGCACTTTGACTAACAATGTTGTGCAGGGTCCCCATATAAGCGCGTTCAAATACCCTCAATCATATCAGGTGCACCTCGAGGGCGGGCAGCTGATGGAAAACTCTCTTCTGGCGACGGTTCTCTACTGTGAGACTTCAGTTCTTTTTCTTTCACTTCCCATTCCCTCTCTCTTTTTTTGTTCCTTTTGTATCCTTGAACCTTGGCAACAATCGCGTGGAAAGACCCCCCCGGGGGCTGGCGCGGACCTCTACGTGGTCCCCGGGACGAGTACCCCGTCGCCTTGTGCGACGGGCGAAACCAACACGCGCCAGCCTTAAACCTCACCCGATTTTGATCCCGGATGTCTGGCTCGCAATGAAGGTGCGCTCTTGATTTTGTTATCTCGTTCACTGACCAATGGTTGCCTGCCCAGACCGAGGATGGCCGTCGCCGTCCCTGCCGCATGGCGAGTGCAAACTGCCAGCCAACGTCGCGCAAGGAGCATACATACTGTGCCCTTCCTCGAAGGAGACCGACGGAACGACCCGGTGCGGTCTGATGACGGCACTCGTTGCCTCCGCGCACTGTAGAGCTCTCCGTGTCTGGTCGGCAGGCTGCTTGTTGCTCGACGTTAGCTGACGGTTTGCGCTCGCCTTGCGGTTGTCCTCAAGCGGAGACGGATTCGCCGGAGGATACCTTGTGGCCCTATCTAAGGTGTGCTATCTTAGTTCTGGCTAACGGTTGGTATAGCTGCGACGCTGTGAGCGTTATTGCTGGCGGTTCCTGGTGAGTACTTGTATCTCTTGTCTGGGCTACACTTGCTCTGGCGACTGCATCCACCTGTTCGGCGTTCTCTGGCGACACGATACTGCGGCCCCTTGTGCGTACTGGTTCTGGTTTATGGGCAGGTAAGTTGACGACGGCTCGTATCGACTTTGGCGACAACACTTCGTGTAAAGGTGAGTCAACGATGGCCGGCTCAAATCTACTCTGGCGACACGGCTCTTGAGCCCCGACGCTCGAGTCTTCGGGAACTGGTCTGTGGCGACTCTTAGGCGATCGTTCATTGCTATTCTGCTTTCCCGTTAATAATCTGTAAATCCTGGCTCGTTTGCTACTTGTGCTTGACTCTGCCGGCTGTCGTATGTCGGTGAGCGTCATGGCATGACATCATATTTGTTTAGTTTGATTTCTTTCAGAACGAGTTCACGAGTCGCACACTATGCCACCTCGTGGCGATTAAGTGACCTATTTCCAATGTGTGGTGAGCGCTCCCTTCATTTCAGTTCGGCGAGTGTGGGGCATTCGACCGCTTTCACATGTTAGCCGAGCGTAGACGCAACGATATGTAGCCTGAATGCTGCCACCATTCAACAAGCCTTTCTTTTTTTTTCTTTGGTGAGCTCTCCTTGTCTTAAGTTTCGGAACTCGGTATGGTGCTCGTCTCCTTTCACACTAGTTGAATGTGGAAGTATGATGGGTCCTCAACGCACGACATCAAGCCCTCAAGCACCTCTCAATGCTCAGTCCCTCCAGGTGCGTCCCTTTCACTTTTTCCCGAGGACGGGCGGCGCTTGCGATGCATGCACTGTCCGGGCGCGGGCCTCTACGTGGCCCTCGGGACGAGTACCTTGTCGCTTCGGCGCAAGGGAAACCAACTTGCGCCGAAATTGGGAGGCTTTTTCTTTCGTTTCGTTCACGTCGTTCGCTGATCGTTTGGAGGATCCATAGCGTGGCAAGGTGGCATTCGAAAGGTTATCAGAAGTGGCTTGGTGGCGGCTGTTTCTCTGCACAGCAGTCGATGCACTTAATGGAGGCAAGTGTCTTGATTATGTCGTCGTCTGATGTCCTTGTTTGGCCGCTTGGCGTCTTCAGGTCTTCAGATAACTGAAGCTCAAGCCTCGTCGACACTTTGAATGTCTACATCTGGCCTGACTGTTCATGGCTTACAAGGCGATGCTAGATGGCTGTTTTGGCTCCTCTGATTGCTACCTGGGCTAGGCTAGGGGACTCAGGCAGCTGTCGACTGACGGCCATGCGATCTCTGCTTCGGTCGCTTTTCTCACACTCTGGCTCGCTGGGTCTCTTCGTGTACTTCTGCTGGTAGTGGAGTATGACTCGTCTGTGGAAATGCCACCTCTGGCCTCTCCGGTGTCTTCATCTGTGTCCACTGGCAAAATTTCAGACTGTATGCGATATTGTTCCGGTGCTGGCGCTTCTCAGTTTGCTATGCCTGCTGAATGACAACCCCTCTGCTCTTTGTTTGCTTGGCAATGTTCCGTACGCGCTTTTCATCGGACTTGGGTCCACTGCCCCTCATTCTTACTTGATTAATCTGCACCACTCTGGGGTCCAACTACCTCCAGCTCTATTACTTCTTGCCGCGTACCGCTATGGCTTTGACGACGATTTTTTCTCCAATTGGCGCGGCTCTGTGACATTCGTCTGCTTTGATCTGTACGTGAACTTCCCGCTCGACCGAGAGGACGACTCCGCCCACCAACTGCAAGAAGAAAAGTGCAAGGCCACCCGTTCCAAATGTTTTCAAACATGTCTGCACTCTCATCTTATCTTTGTACCTATTTTCACTCAGCCACATCGTTATCTTGTTTTCCCTTCTCTTTCTTCGGATTCGGCCGACAATCATGTTGCATCGCCCACTCCCGTACCCGATGGCGGGTTGGAACCTGCAGCGCAGGCACCATCCCTGCACTGACATTTACGTTGTCCCAGAGATAAGTTCCCCGTCGCCTCCGGGTAGGCGGAAGCTAACGTCACGCATAGAATCCACCGAAATCCCGACGTAGCAGATCGCGCAAGATCTTTCAAGTCCGGACCGTCCGACACGTTCGTAGGATCGTCCTCGAGTCGAAAATGACAAACTCGGAAGACCTCCCGTAGGATATCGTCGTTCTGTAACGCTGGATGAGAGCCATTCAGTTTACCCAATTCCATCGCGAGCGACGCTGAATCAAATCGAGGCAGTCGAGACGCTGTTGGAATTTCGAGTTGAGGCCAAAGGCGCCGGCGTTCGTCACGCGTCACAACTAGTCGGCCATGTCACTCGCACCTTGGACAGAACGGTCCGAGTCGACCGTCCTTGTCATGGCCAGCGCGCTGTTTTTGCTCACCACCGCCAGAATAGCACGTTAACCCATATCCATTTCTACAGTGACTACATTGGCTTGAAGCGTGTGCATTGATTTCCAGAATCAGTACAATATTGGGAGATGCACCGCGACATCAGGTCCCAAACATCCTACCTTCTCAGTAACATGCCACAGAATTGTTGTCCATGTCCATCGGTCCCCGACGCACGCGTATCACAGTACTAGTCTCGGACGGTCGGAACCGGCTACGCCACTGACGGTCTGCACGCGTCGGTCACGATTCTAGTCCTTCCTGCTATCGTTCACAACTGTCCCGCGCATGCACTCGCAGCAACTTTGGAAAGTTTTGGCGAAGGAGCCGTTGCGCGCCCGCTGGGACCAATTGACGGTTACCCTTCAAGCCGACCGGACAGCGAGATTCAAAGTATACGACCGTGATTATCATTGGAAATAATCGTCTAAAGAAGTCATCTCTATCAGTATAAATAGACTGAGATGCGGTTTGAATCTATGGCATTACGGCCAATCCGTCTCTTCTGTTAGCCTTTTGGTGCAGTAGTGTATACTGCGACAAACGTTACTCTCAGTACACTGAAAAAAGCTTCGGTTGTCTTTTGAATCGCGCTGAGAGTACAACAATCAATCATCAGACCATACCAACGTGACTTCACGAGGATCTCACCGTAGCACAGGATAATGGCGCCTACAATTTGCATCGCCCCAGACCAGCAGGCCACCGCTCTCCAGCTCCCGCCAGTCGCATTCAAAATAGCACCGCCGGTTGGTGCACCGGCAGCATTTCCTGACCGAAATCGTATCGGGGAAAGAGGACGAGGAGAATGAGAATCAGTATTTACCTGGGAGGTTGAAGAAGATGAGAAGTCCGGACAGGCCCGCGAGACGGCCAGATCCGTACAGCTGCGCACCAACCGCGGGCGACAGCGAGATGAAAGAGCCGCAGAAGAAACCATAAAGAACAGCAAAACTCATCTGTGAGGAAAAATTAGATTACGGTATAGATAGTCTGGGTAGCGGCACCTACTATACCGGCGTAAGTGGTGACAAAATTCCAGATGAGGAGCTGTGTGAGCCCCGACAAGAGCACCGCAACAAACAGCGCGTTCACCGGGCCCACACGATCTGCGACGAAGCCGATGAGGGTGCGTCCACATGCCGCAGAGAGGTTGAGAACGGTGACGGGGAGAGAAGAGAGCTGACAAATATATAGCAAGATAAATATAAAATTTGGGAAGATGGATGCGAGGCCTACAAGGACGTCGGCACTTGGTATCATTTGGGTCGTGTACATGGGCAGGTAGAATATGGGTGTGAGATAGCCGCTAAATCGAATATAAACCTGACGTGGGAGTTCGCAATAGAAGGAGCACTCACAAAGTCGTGAAGAGGAAACAGAGTCCAAGACTCCAGAAGACAGGATCCGTGAAGAACGTGCGGTCGAACCAGACGATATGCTGACGCTGCGCCTGCGGACGTCGGCGCTCCTTGATCATGAAGAATGCCATAGTGAGGAACACAGCGTCAATAACACTGTAAATAGCGAAGGTCTTCCGCATGCCGAGCGGCTGCAGCATTGCATACAGGATCAAAGATGCTACAGCGCCTCCTACAATTCCCCATGAGTGTCGTTTGTTGGAATATGCGAGCACTTCGGTTACCGAATGAACAGCCAGCGACGACCACACCGGTCGCTAGCCCTCGGTACTTAGAGAACCACTGCGACGGCACAGCAACCTGTGGACCTTCATGCATGATAAATAACGCTGGAAAGAAAGGTGACAACATACGATCAAAGGGAACACCAGAGCGCACGCTATGCCTTGTAGCACACCCTGCACAAACAGGACGTTAAAAGTGTAATATTACGGTGAAGCCTACATTACCTGAACAAGGAATAATTGCCATATCTTCGTGCAAAAGGCGGAGCAGAGCATACTAACAGTCCATAGTAGCCCGCCGACAGCAAGGAAAGGCTGGACTGCACTCAGATATACTGTTCTCTCCAGATAATGATTTCGTGTACCTTGTACCCACTGTACAACGGTAGGCATCGTCAGATCAGGAAATGACGGGTAACATCAGTACATACTAGCGATCGCCTAGCTTCCCTGTGATTATACTCGTTAATGTCATGATCTATGAAGTCTTAAGTGCCATATCTAGCTTCAACGCGCAGAAGCTCGCTCACCATACCAGACGTGCTCCCTAATGTGCTCAGAAGCGTATTCGACGCGTGGGGGAAAACATTCTCCTTATAATAAGCCTGCACAATGCCCCACGCCTAGCGCAAGGTGAGTATGGACAGGCCACATTAGCAATGAAGACCAAAGTCCGCGTGCTCACGAGCCTTCATTCGCGCGGGATCCAGTGAATATTAGTGAGCGAACTCATGTCAATGATAGGACATATATTGCATGAATCAGACATACGCCCAACCCAAAGTCGCCGTGGCAAAAATTACACAACCTAGGACGACCACCCAGCCACGACCACCATCGGGATAGTCGTCGAAGGGGTCCACCACGGTAGTGTCGGCGTTTACGCTGACGGTGGAAGATTTGGAAAAGGGCTCGCCGAGCTCGAGCTTCTTTTTGGTCGACTCGGAACTCGAACTGGGCGGTGCCGCTGCCTGTTCTGCCTGCGAATACGCGTAACGAGTTTTCTCAGACGGTAGAGTCTCCATAGTCAGCAAAATGGGAGTGGGTAGTGAACGGCGAAGATGGGGAATTTCGAACGCTCTGAGGGGACTGCAGAGCGCGATCACAGCAAAATATAAGCACACCGCAAAAAGGTTTTATCAAGCGAACGCCGGAGAGTAAGACACGAGAACGGAATGTCAATTCATGGGGACCCGCAGGAGCGACCCATGCCCGACGCTTGCTATCACCCCAGAAATTCGACTGCGTGGATTGTAATGTTGACGTCAAGTCGCCCCTGCACGGTCGGGAGGGTTTTTCTCTCCGTCTAGCCAGGCGGCATGAGACACACCAAAGACCAAACCACCAGACGGTCATGAGAGCGTGTCGAGTCATGATAACGGTCCGGTCCAGTCAGAATTTGCGTTTGCGCCCAGATAATTTGTCCTTGTGATACTAAGAAATGTTTCACTAATGCGACCCCCAGGCACTAAGAAATAACTCACTAGAACGAACAACGTCTGGGTCTTCGCATGAGTGAAACGAAAGACATAACCGTACATTGTCGCGAGGGATGGCGTGGTGGCTGAAGTTCACCTATCCATTGACAATACAAAGCACTCAAACCCAATGGCGAACCCTGAATCACATATGAAAGTAGCTATAGAAGCCAGAAGCACGGACGCGTTCGTGCAGTAGCCTGATTCTCGGGCACACGGGTGCACCTTTCAAGCTCCTTGGCTCACTACGACACGTAAGTGAACTTGAACGCTGCATGGTTCGGTACAACTACTTGGTAAAACTTTACTGGTGATACTCACGACCTACTGTCGCGTCAGCATCCAGTTGGATATGCGTCAGGTACGTACGTGCGCATAACCTGGAGTCGGCGTGGTGAGTGTCAGTTCGGAAGGACAGCGCCTTCTCATGAGAGCAAGCGGCCTAGGCCAGACCTCCTGCGAACGCACGTCCCACACCCACCTCGTGCTTGCGGAATTCGCGTAGTCTAAGCGCACATTAGTCTCCCAAAGGCAGACTGACACTCTGCTTCAACCTTCGTTCCTCAGGATATCCGTGTCTGGCGCACATCAGCTATACAAAACCGTTACATGCAGATATCGATGTTTACTTCTGTCCTTTAGTAATCTCCAGATAGGTCAACAATAAAATATGCTAACATACTCCTCTAGAGAACAAAGCAATGGCATCATGACACACGGTCGCGGTTCTGTCCTTCACTATCCCGCCGCAACATTGGGCTCGCGAGCCCGCGTTCCGTGCGGCTTTCGTCCAACACGCGAGGGCTCGGAGGAAAGTCTCGCGATGCACCCGGATCCGTGGTCGACAGGTCCACTTCGACACCTTCATCGCCCTCGTCGTCAGAATGAGCCGGTGTACCCTGTCTGCTGCTGGCAGCCGCGCTCATACCTGACACCCGCCGCGCGCGTCGCGCGTGGAACGTCCGGCTGGCGGTGGCATTCGAGAATAGCGGTAACAGGTACCTTTCGTCTAGTACCTGGAACCATTTGCCGTCCTCGGAAACAACAGGAGGAGCAGCCTCGCCGCCATTCGCAGGTGGAGCGTCGAGGTTTCGGGACTTGCGGCGGCCGCCAGGAGAGAGCTCTCCCATTGAAGTATTCGCCAGTGGCAGGACTTCACCCCCATCGGAGTCGTACGACTCCGACGACGCAGCGGAGAAAATCGCGTTGTTACTGACGGACGCGACTGGAGTTTGCGCGTGGTGGTTGTAGCTGCTGGGCGCGCGTGGCTCGTAATGCACACCAATGCTCCCCGCTCGTCCTCCATACCCCGTGGATTGCTGCTGCGCTGCGAAATATCCTGCTTCATCTTCTTCCATATACCTCCCCCAGTGGTTGCTGTTCCTGGAGTACCAAGCCGCACTGCCCAGAGGTGCTTCATCCTCGTCGCTGCTGCTCGCTTCGTCATCTTCGACACCTGTGCGAATGCCCAGTACCTCGAGCATACGCGCCGTGGTACCGCCGAATACAACCACCGTGAGCACAACCACGACGAGCACAGTAGTGCGGAGCGTCTGCCCGTTGTCGCCCTTGAACCCAGCTGCGAGCGCGACACCGACCGCGCCGCGGAGACCAGCCCAGAATATCATCATCTGATAGGAATGAGGCAGCTCCTCCTGTCGCTGGCCGCGCGCATGCCGATGGAAAAAATTGATCAACTCCGACAGCGGAAACACTGCAGCGTAACGCGTGAACACGACGGCGACGGTCGTGATCGTAATGAAGAGCGGTTTCACGTAGTTTGTAACCTTCTCTGACGAAGGGGCGCTGGTAAACAGCGACAGGCCGAGGTATATGAAGATGAAGTTCTCCGACAGCTGTGCTAGCGTCGAGAAAATGTACTTGGTCGCCCGCTGTGTGCGACGTGACATCGTGTGGTATGCATAGTGTTTCAGGGTGATTCCGCAGAAGAGCAGTGACACGATCCCGGACATTGACAGCCCGTTCGAGAAGAAGTAGCACGTGTACGCTGACAGTGCGACGAGACAGGACTCGATAGACGGGTACAGGTTGAGCGAGGAGTGTTTTAGGAGAAGCGACATTCCAAGGCCGAAGACGACGCCGAGCGCCATCGATACGCTGAATGACAGTAAGAAAATGCCGATACCATGGAAGATGGATCCCAGGTAGATCTCCGTGCCGTGGAACTGTGTCAATGTTCTAACACAGTGTCAGGTTACTCTTGGCGAAGTGGCAATAGAACAAGTAACACACTTACTCGTACATAACGATACTGACCGCATCATTCAACAGGCTCTCACCGAAGATGACCGTATATAATTTTGGGTCTACCTTGTACTGATTGAAGATAGCCAAAATGGTCACCGGATCCGTCGCAGACAGTGTCGATCCGAACGTCAAGCATTCAATCAGTGTCAAGTCTAGTGACTCAAGCCCCAAGAACGAGTAGATGTACACGAGTACCCTGCTCTGTAAGTGATGAGCGCTGCAAAAGGAGCGGTACGCCGAGTAAACGAAGCACGTACCCGACTCCGACGGCCGAGATCAATGTACCCATGAAGGCAAATGTGAGTATGGAGCCAAAGTTGCGGAAGAAGTTTTCCTGCATCCAAATGTTAGCATCACGTTGGGCGAAGCAAGTAGCACATTTACCTGCTTAAGCTCATACCCAGAATTGAGAATGATTGGCGGCAGTAGCAGATTAAAGAAGAGCGTGCTTTTGAATGTCTGGAGGGCGAATCGATATGATCAGCTGCGTTGTTTTCAGGCGCACGTATAACTGCGTAGGCAAATAAGAATTGTCATTGTGTCGGGGAATTCCATAGAACAGATGCTCGGCACAGCACACAAATTTCCATCGTCAAGCGTTTAATGGCATAGAGAATGACCCGACGCGAGCACCAATAGTGCGTTATGAGACAACAGGGACGTCAGCCATGTCAGATTCATTCAAACAGGCCGCCAGCACACAGCTACGAGGCACGCATAGGTGAGCTATGTCACGCAGCCGTCGAAGACAATTCCTATTGCCTAGCGGCTCAGCCGAGATGCATGGCACGAAGCATTCAGAGACTGTACGGTGGGATGCATGACAGGGTCATTCCATCCTACACATCATCAACCTTCAACAGTATGCAGGCCAAAGCGCCCAGCACTGTATGACCACATAACTCGAGACCTCTACTCACCAACATCTCCCGAATCATTGTTCCCGGCGCCAGTCGCACAACCAACCCCACGATCATCCCAGCGACGATTGCGACGAGTGTCTCGTGAATAGCGCGTATGCGTTTGATTTGGAGGTAATACGAGGTCCATAGCGACAGAATTAACAAGGAGCAGACAAGAAACAGCGACCACGAAGAGTAGTATTCCTCCTCCTCCGGAATAGGTGTCGCTGTGGGCGCTGCGACCATCGCAGCAGATGAAGGAAGGAAACTCGAGGACATGGCAACAGAATTACGAGATAGGAGATTTCTCTAGTAGATTTAGATCCGCCCCTCCAGAGTTACGTCGGAAGAGAGTGCGGAAGGTGAGGTAGGTAGGTAACATGCGTGGGAGACTGGACAGCAGATATCATGGGCGCTCACGATCTAATCTCGGACTCGAACTTGCACAAACGCGGGCGAATCTCGAACCACAGTAACACAGCACGTACAACAGGGATACCAACATGCTGTATCAGAACAAGGAGGACATTACACGACCACAAATATCAGCACCATCAATCCAATCTCAACCACAGCAACGACAATGGTTACTGTCAAAACGCTCCATCCTGCGGTGACGAAAGGACGCCCGAATGACCGACCGCCTTTCTGTCCGATCGTGCTGATCGCGTTGTCGTACGAGACGTTTTTGTGCTTGTCAGCGAAATCATGGCGGGAATGGCGGTATCGGAAGAACGCGATCACAAAGAGCGCGCCGGCTAGGACGGTGTAAAGGATGCCGACTTGGACAATCATGAATGAGTACATCACCAACAGGAATTCGAAAGTTGATGCTCACTTCGGTAGAAACGCCTGTCGAAGAGACGCAAGATGGCCAAGGCATAACCAAGGGTGCCTAGGGCACTCCTCGCATAAGCTCCGTCAAAGGTCCTCTGCCGTGCCCGGATTTCCACTACCAATATAAACGCTGTTGAGCATGCCGCATCAGTAAAATGCGATGCACACTGACCCAATTCGTCAACATCGTGCGCAAAGAACGACCTTGAACGATGACCTCTTGCAAATTTGGACGTGAGGCGGATCTACAGTACGAAAGGGGTCAATTTACCTGTAATAACGGCCAGGATCATGACCATGGCTCATTGTGAGAGAATATTGTGCGAATCCAATCGCATAGACATGGTTTAAACGAGATGAAGCGCGAAAGCTTGGTCTCTCCTGGCGGTGGCCTGGACTGTAATCCTGGCGAAATAGCGGCTGTGAGGAGGAGTACACGTGACAGTCGCGATCTTGTGAACCTTTAGACAGCGAGGACTCGGAAAAGTAGCTCTGTGCCTCCGTCGTTTGACCCAACACTGCTCACTTTACCCGGAGAGCACCTGCGAAGATGATGGGTGCGGTGTCCTGTATGAGCAGGATTGTACCTAGGTATGGCAGACTTCAACGAAAGTGTTTTCGCATGTGCATAACTTGTGGCAGAGCTTCGCACCAAACAATATGCCATTCTCAGATCAGGCTGCTCTCGAGCGTTGGGCTACAGGTATGTTATGTTGTCCTCTTACAGTACAACTCTAAAGTTCTATGCAGCGTGCTCGACTGTCTGTGCGAACAGAGGCATGCCGGCTGCCACGGAGCAGTCGTAACTTTTGGTGGACGGCATCAAAAACGCCTACGGTGCAGGAGCAAGCGCCGACACAAGAGATACTATCTGTGCCAGAACAACCACCTGCAGACGCAGAGAGCTTTATTGAAGGCTCCCCCGCTTCGGAAACAATACCTTTGTCTCCCGCTGAGCCAGGTGTTGATTTTTCCGCTGGCACAGACATTCCAATAGCCCCACTAGACGGTGTCATTCCGGACGCTTCTGCCATTACTTCTATCGCTCCTCTTCAGTATGGTGACCTTGCTGCGCTGGGACTTGTTGGTTGGTCACCAGCGGGACTGTGCCGGTGGGGAATGGAGCTATTGCAAGTCTCCACAGGCTTGCCTTGGTTTTGGACGATCGTCGGCGTGACGATTGTTTCCCGTGCCGTCTTATTTCCCTTCACTGTCCTCTCCATTCAGAACACCGCTAAGCTCGCACCTTATCAAGGCGAAATGCTGAAGCTTCGCGAGAAGATGACAGAAGCACAGAATAGCAGGGACATGCTGCTGTTGCAAAACGTGGCGATGAAGCAGCAGATGATCTACAAGAAGTGCGGCGTGAGCATGGGGCAGATGGCGCTCCTCCCGTTCGTGCAGCTGCCGGTCACATTGGGCATGTTCTTTGGCGTTAAAAAGCTTTGTGACTTGCCGCTGGAGCAGCTGAAAATCAGTGGTTTGGACATCTTGCCTAATTTAACGGTTGCGGATCCTACATACATGTTGCCGGTAGCTGCTGCGGTGTTGATGAATCTGCAACTCAGGGTAGGTGAAAATCATGAACAAGTCGTGTCGGCTTTCTGACGGTTCCAAAATTGTAGGTTTCCATGGCTGACATGGCTGCTGCACCTCATACTGCTCATCTCATCAATCTCTTCCGCGTGCTGTCGATGGTAGGTGTCTTCTTCATGGTCAACCTCCCGTCTGTGAGTCTGTATTTTGTGCTCTCCATCGATATAATTTGATGTGTTTTAGGGTGTAATGGTATATCTGATTACGAGCCTCTCGTTCATCTTGGCGCAAACATTATTCATGCGCATACCCGTGGTGCGCAGAGCCCTTGGCATTCCTATCGTGCCAAGGCACATGCAGTCCCAATCCGCCACATTTAAGGAATCACTCGACTTCGTGAAGCAGTGGTGGAAGGACAAGAAGGCGGAGCAGGAGGCTGCCATTCGCGCCAATCGACGCAACGGCCGCAGATAAAAATACACGATTTTGGAGTCGTCTACATCTAGCTAATAGATTGTACATTTAGGTTAATAGAGCTGCTTCCCTGCTCGCATGAACTGTGCATAGGACTGATCAGCTGAGGGCATCCTTGCAATTGTGTTTCCACCTTGAAGGCGAGTCAGGCTTCAGCCACTGGACTCAACGCGACGAGTCCAGGCACGTGACATGCCTGCCCTGAACGTGCCTATGCGTACCCTATAAAAATTAAATTGCTCTGCTTTGTCGTGCTCTGCTACCATCGATCTTTTCTTTTCTTTTCCTCGCCAGTCTATTGAACGATGCCTGTCGATTTTGCTAAGCTCGAAGCCTACCTTGCCTCTAGATCCTACATCGAAGGGTGAGTTCTTCCTCCATTTGCACACCCGGCAATAGGGTTTTTCGAGATGAACTTTGCTATGGTCCGTGTTTCCAAGAGGCGATTAGACACCGCTGCTCAAGCATGCCGAAACCAATTTTACCTGGCTTTCTGAACTCTTTTGAAAGTTGCCTGCGAGAATTTTTGAACTAATTGTTTACTCTTTACTAGGTATACTCCGTCTCAGGCAGATGTGCACGTTTTCACCGCCATTTCCACGGCTCCTCAAGCTTCTGCATTTCCCCATGTAACCCGCTGGTACAACCACATCAAGTCCTACGCTACGGAGCATGCTTCGCTACCCGGCTCCAGCAAGGCTGGTGAGCAATTCATCGGCTCCGCGGCTGCCGTCACGGCAGAAGAGGAAGACGAGGACATCGACCTTTTCGGCGAAGACGACAACGAAGATGCGGAAGCCGAGCGCGTCAAGGCAGAGCGTGTCGCCGCGTACAACGCCAAGAAGGCGGCAAAACCCAAGACTGTGGCGAAGGTTCGTACGGACTCCCTCGCGTATCGCCTCTGTAGTAGTAGTCCATCTCCCATGTATATAGTCATCTGTCGCAATATGTTGTTGACATATTTTCGGTGTTATAGTCCGTTGTCACCTTCGAGGTCAAGCCGTGGGACGATGAGACGGACATGGCTGAGCTTGAGAAGGCTGTGCGATCCATTGAGATGCCCGGCCTCGTCTGGGGTGCCAGCAAGCTCGTTCCTATCGGCTACGGCATCAGGAAGCTGCAGATCACCATCGTCATCGGTTCGTCCATTCCACCAAAACCACTCTGTAGGGGAACTGATGATCCGGCATTTTCGCAGAGGACGAGCTCGTCTCTCTCGACGACCTGCAAGACAAGGTGGCCGAATTCGAAGACTACGTCCAGAGCTCGGATATCGCGGCTATGCAAAGTGTGTTATTTCACTCAATATGTGAACGCAACTAACGCTGTCTGCAGAGCTCTGATTGCTGCCGTGCTATGGGCGTGTTGTTTGAGTAGGGTTGCTGCCATCAAGTTTTGTACAATCTGCTAAGTGTACTTGCGATGCCACCTGTCGATGATTTTTAAGACGGTCAAATTCAACTATGAAGTTCGAGCCAAGTCGATATCTCGGACCACTCAGACAAATTCGCCGGTTTTAAAATTCGGTCGGTGACGTCAGCGAGGATATCACCAAAGTCGTGAGCTGCCCAGCAGCAAACAATTGCCTTGACGTCAAATGAAAATTCTAAGACATTGTCCACACATCACGGAAACATGTTACCACGGACATTACTGGCAAGTAACTGGTAACAATTTGGGTGTTTACTGCCTAAGCGACTACGATTCAAGTCCTGGGTATAAATGGGTCACAAGGTGAAAGAGCAACCGCGGACGGAAAGCAAGACAGGATATCACGACAACGCCCGCAGAACTCCTTTCACCATCTCCAACTCTCAGAGTGACGCCAGTAACGCGATGAGGGTCGCGCCCATCATCGCACCAAGGGCACCGGAGCTGCTGCTCGCCATCCTGGGCGCGGCGCCGCTGAGAATACCACCTGAAAGACCACCCGCAGCCGCGACCGCACCGTTCAGGAAGCTCGCGCCGCAGAGCGACTGCACCTCAGTGTACAGTGCGGATTGGCCGTGCAGGAGCGGGCTGTTGGTCAGACCCGGGCCGTATGGAGAGTTCGACTCGAAGTTGATGTACGACGTAAGGATATTGCGCGTGCATGCCGTGCAGATCTGGCTGGAGGTGAGCGAGGGCCCGAGGAGGAGGAAGAGTATGTTGTTGTTCGCGAATGTCGTTGCGTTGGGAACGATGGCGATGGTGCTCTGGGAATCGGAGCCTGTGATTGGGCTCCACAGCGTTTTGGCGATCGACGCAAGGCTCTCGGGGGCTCCCGAGGCGGATGCGGACGCAGCGCTGCTTGAGGCGGTGACAATCTCTGCAGCGCAGTAGTTGCCACTGTTATCCTTCGTGCAGAGGGCCTGCGTGTAAGGGTAGACGGAGTACAGGACATCATAAAGTCGTAGCACCTCCGCGTTCGCGCTTGTCGTGAGCTCGTCTGTGCACGCAGCATAGAAGCTGGCGAGCTTGGACTGGATAGTGGTAGCTGAGCACGCGGAGGCACCAGAGCAGACACTGCTGAGCGCAGTGGTCACGTCCGATGAGGTGGAGTCCGCGGTACCGTTAGGACCGAAAGCTGCGGTCGCTTTGATGAGAGGGGAAGTGCAGCTTGTAAGCGATGAGTCCTCATTGAACGATGTGAGGAAGTCTGTGCAATTTGTGCTGATTCCCGTAGGAATGAGGGGCGACTAATGACAATGAATGATTCGGTCAATAGATGATGAGAATGGGACGGAGACTACTCACCGACTGGGCGAAAGCCACAGTGGCAAACAGGGAAATCACTGCTAGAGTTCGCATTGTAGTTGTACAGTGAATCTCAAGGAATGGACGGGTTCTTTAACGTCGACGACGACAACGATGAGGTGAGGGAACGTGTGGGAGACGCGCCGCGCTCAAATTGCCCGTCGTCTAGAAAACAGCGCCAAACAACCTGGTGGCTGGACCGGCAGTCTATCACCGCTCGCAGTCACCCGTCAGCCAGCCGACAACACTTGCATCGTCGTTCTGCCAGCGGAAACCTGTGTATTGTTTCCAACAATAATTCCCTTGTTTTCCCTCCTCGCAGGCAGGATAGGATATCGCAAGGTGTGGATTTTGTCATAAGGAAGGAAGTATTTCTAAATATCTCATTCTAAATGTTTGTGAGCAACTGCCCAAAGACAGTCGCCTATTCATTGGAACCACTTGTGTGCGTGTCGTTGTTCATGTTTTCCGCATTAACCTTGACGACGGCATCGCTGAACGTCCCGCTGCTGGCAGTGTGGTGAGCTACAAGCCCCGACATGAACATAGTTATGTCATCCGCTCATTCATAGAAAATCAGGAATATCTATAATCATATCAACCCACGTCTTTCTTTTGTTCTGGCCTTTGAGGTGACCTCTGTGGTACTGTAACTCTGCGGCAAGGCTTCTGGGCGCTTGTGGACTACCAGACCTTCCGTATATAGTAAGGACAGATCGCCTTCTCGCCACCTGCTTGTCTCTTGACCATCACCGTATCTACCGCCAAGCGACTTGTACTGATCCTCCTGGATGAGTCTTGGTACTCTAACGTTGACTCCAGGAAGAAACTCTCTCATTATCTGTATGCGACATCGTTTTTAGCGTCTTACTTACCAGAACCAAGGGGCCACACTTTGTTCTTGGAGCATATACCATAGTCACCCGCATGGATCGCTTTCGAAACGCCTTCGGATATGGAAGTAGACCTCAGCAAGCGGAGAGCTCCCACCACCATACAACTACACGGAGGCTGCATCCTTCATCGTCATCATCGTCTTCCTCGTTGACTCATATACCACGGCCCCAGATATTCTCTGATCTGTCGTCGCCCGCAATCCCAGACAGTATGTGGCACTCCTCTGATTTTCTACTTGGTGTGGGGATGGTTATACTTCAGCCATCTACCGACAAGGTTGTGCTGGTGTACGAAACAGAGCGCAAGTACTGGTTCTTGCCCAAAGGCAGAAAGGACATTGGCGAAAGTCTCGAACAGGCGGCCTTACGGGAGGCATATGAGGAGGTGCGCCGCGTTCTTCAGCGTTATCAGCGGCGGTTCTGACCAATCTCACTTTTTTTGTCAGTCCGGATATCGCGTAGAGTTCCTGCCCCTGTTCACACCTACGAATGCTCCTCCCGCCCCTAACTCTGACCACGACTTCTTCGATTTTCCCAACACGGAGCCTTTCTATGTGTCCGCACTTGCCTGGAACAAACGTACGCGCAGACAAGGCCGCCCACCTCGCACAGGCGATAACGGGGGCGAATACCTCACGTTCTGGTATGTCGGGCAGATCCCGGACGGAGCTGTGAGCATTCCTGTCTCTTGTGCAACTGCAGCCTTACGTGAGTATATCCTCAGGTCCCTGAGCTCAACACTGGAATGCCTGACGAGAAAAACTACAAGAGCTACCTCCTGACCTTCGACGAGGCTTTGCACGTTACCCAGGGAAATGCTGCACCTATGACACGCAAGCTCGTTTGTGCCGCGTACACACTTTTGACCAGTACTCGAAGGACGATGGTTGCCATGGAACAAGCAACCCTTCTGGACCATCTCAATGTTGACAACGATCACTCCTCGGGCGAGGATCGGAGAGAGGATCGGCGGGCATAAGCGGAAGTAGGCTTCAACCTAACAAAATATCAGCTGTTGCAAACCATGACTGATTGTCGACACGCAGACTTCACCTTGCTCCGGGCTGTGCCACAAAGACCATGCACCGAGTACTCATGTGGTGATATATTGTTCGTGCGTATTCCTGTTAGGATTATTTAAGTGTATACAATGTTGTATTATGACACCCTGTATCTATCAAGGATTGTGTCGGAACTTTCTCCTCAAGGCCGTCTGTTCTGTTGTCTGGCATGGTCATGTGTCCAATATATGTGTACATCCTATATTTACATTGTCTACGTAGCTACGTCGGAACAAGTACAGCCTAAATCGATGTGTATAAGTTCATGATGTGCGCGGGATTGTATCTATCACAGGTCCGACGTGACAGTACTTGTGAGCGTCAAGTACAGCAATGTGAGCATAGACACTCTGAGACAGAGAACGCGATGGCAACCAGAACAATTTACGAACGCCCACGATGGCTGTCAATGAGCGTTTGACAGAGGAAGATTGCGAACAAAATCAGACGTCGCTCCTTATAGCCCCTGCTCGTCCCGCACACGATGGGCCATGGATGGCAGAGGCGTATATGGGGCGCGGATCGGCATACTCCTAAACGGGTCTATGCTGTCCCCTCTCGACCGTCTGCGCGGAGATGCGGCATCGGTGGGCGTCGACGCCGAGACGGTGCTCGATGACGCCTTGGAGGACCGCTTTCCCACCGAGGCCATCTCGCTCTCACACAGCAGGAAACGAGAGAAAAGGCTGGAGGCGCGGAACGTGTGCGGCGTGGTGGGAGTCAGGCCATCCGCGGGCGTCATGAGCGGGATGATGAGTGAGGTGGGGGAGGTTCCGCTGTGCGCCGCGGGCTCTGCGAGAGTGCCTGCGGTTTCCGTGACGATGCGGATGGCAGGTGATAGATGGATTGCGGGAAGGACACTCAGATGGCTGAGAGATGGAGGGCGTGGAAACTGAGAGGGCGTATACGAGCTCTGGCTGTAGACTGAGACGCTGCGAGTCGAGTTAAGCGTCTTCGTCCTCAGAATGGGTGACTCGAGGAAGCTTGTCTTTCCCTGGTTGCTGACGCGGTTTTCTGCGGTATCCGCAGCGAAATAATTGTCAAGTGTTGGGCCTGAGGTGTGCGCTGCCTCTGGTGCACCGTGCACTGCATCCACCACGCTCATCGGTACGGCGTTTTCTTGGTCAAGAACCAGCTCTATGGCTGGTGGAGGATCTGGGGGGTCGACTTTGTTGCCGATCCATGTATCCGTGCTCATCCGCGCCTGTTTTTGCCTCCGCCGTCGTTGAAGGAGGATAGAGGTAGCCACGAGCAAGATGAGCGCAATCACACCGCCGACGACCGAACCAGCGATGACACCGCCGCGGTGCATCAATCTGCAAAACAGACGTATTGTCAGCCTTGACCCAAGATGACTTTGGGTCAGAATCGACGACTGTGACGGCGACTTCGTACCTTGCTTCTCGGGCACTAAAGGTGATGTCTCCGCTTCGCGAGCTCGCGCTGGAGGATGAATGAAGGGAGCTGACTGTCACTGTCAAGGCGATCGCAGGCACGAAATTGTCAAGTATCCGTAATCTGCGGATGCTGGGCTAGATGACAAACTTGGCTGCACGACACCGGTGCTTCCACTGCTAGCCGTACGTTAGAAATTATGAGTCATATTATCCGATAGAACACAACACACACGTACCTCGCCTCTGGCAGCGGATAGGTCTGTGTTACGAAAGGAGTGCCCACCGAGGTAGGAACTCGAACGGTAGGTAAAGTCAGCAGTCGACCGGAGTTTAAGTCTCTGACGAAGAGATGGGAGAATGAGAGAAAAAGCTTTTCCATGGTTTAGGCCAAGGTTCATAGGAAGTAGGAAAGAGATTGACTGATAATTGAGTCGTACTTGGAATCTGAGAAATAGTAGACGAAAGAATGGAAATGGGTGTGGTGTAACCGAAGATGATATGTTCGCATCAGCGCTTAAAATATAGATCAGAATTATTACTGCGGCGACAGTGCCAGCTCACGACGCAGTCCGAAAGAAGTGAGGATGGCACGGTTACTGGGATATTGGACAAGAGTGTATATGTCAAGATGCCTGCATAGGATGAATCAAGGCGGTTTCTCGACGTAGAGACACACCATCGAGAAGTGGCGTGTAACCGTTGACACAAGATTCAGGTTGACGACATGGATGGAGTGCTCGAGGAGTCAGTGCCACTGTTAGATACCACCAGGTAGCGTGACACTAGCGCTTTCTGCCGAAGAGACACTTCGTGACTCCGCCGGAGTTGGGAAGGCCAGAGTACAGCACAGGTCCGGATGAGCATACTGTTATAGATATCATCATCGACACTTAGATGTGGAGTAGCTGGAGCCTGCAGCAATATCAAGAACTTGACACTGTCGGTCGGATAAGCAACAAACCAAGAGGGTTCGCAGGATGCCATCTGCAATTTATAGGGAGGCCGTAGGCAAATTAATCTTCTTCAGCTACGCAAGCGCGACACAACGTACCTTATTATTTCTTGCAGCACACATTCCAGAAATGACAGCATCTTGCGATCGCTGAAGTCAGGAAGTCGCTCATCACCAATATTACTGTCAATTCCTTCGTAGGTCTCACGCTGCGCGTTGGGTAACAGCCGCGTGCAGAAACTAAAGCATGTCTATGAGTGATGAGGTCTAGACTAAGATCACTTTGCCACAACGACCACTTGAAGTGCAGTAGAGTGCAGTATGCTGACCGTCTCGGCACCAGCTGTCCCACCCGTTAGACCGTATCTACAACAGGGGGTAAAGGTCACTCGCCTCCGAGTCTCAGAGAGGTAGTCTAGGTAGTAATTGCTCTGACACCTCCATTAGTCTATTCAGAAACTCGGTTTACGCAGAACCCCCCCCTTGCTTTTGGTAATTTCGTGATGGATCTGAAAAAAATCGAAGACGCTCACCTGTCAATGTTTAACAGCGGTCTCCTGGGTCCGCTGTCGAGCACTGTGAGGGCGCACGCATTGGTCGGGCGCTAGCGCTGGTCGGTGTGTCCGATGTCGTTTATCGGGTGCATGCTCATCGCCTACCACGTCGAGTAGTGGTGTCCCATCGTTGTTAAGGTGACGCGAGAAAGCTTTGCATCAAGTGGGCATCTTGACACACAGACCAAAGAGGTGGCACACACCAAAATTCGGCAGCCGGCCATTGCTTATCGTCTCCAATGATTAATGATGACGCGGACGCGGACCCCCCTGTGTGACACGGCGAGCAATATGTCAGGGAGTCGCGGTACTCGGTGGTTGACGCCGTCATTGGCGCTCATTGACATTCCTTTGATGTTCGCATTTTTCTCTTCAGTTCCGGGGGAAGGGGGGTTTACGGGAGGGTTTCTTATGTATGCAAAGCACTGTAATAGACTCAATCCATTAGTCCTCGACATTGTTGCTTTCGTAAGAGCGCTCGTCCATCAGAGACAGACGGTGACACGATCATCCACTGCATGATGTTCCGAAACAGATGGTCGGGCTTACCACTATCAAAAATTCACAGGGTTGTAGCATGCTGGAACCGTTCAGTGTATGATATCCACAATGTGAGACTGAGGGGAAGAACACGCGACGCACGCTATGAGAAGTAGTAATCGAGCAGTGATATCCCGACGGTGACATGTTGCACGCCAGTAAGGGCACTTCTGCATGCTGAGCGTGTCGTGAGTTGGACTTGATGTGGGTCATATGCAATTCCTCTCATGCACGACAGAGTAAACCTGGCAGAGACTCAGTTGAGATCACTGGGGCAACATTAATATTGGCATCGCTAAGATACGAGCCGCACCTGTCTATGGTGTTGAAGGTGGGCAAGCTGGCGCCCATCTCGGAGGTTGCCGGCAGAGTTTTCCGTAGTAGATTTTGTATGCTCGCGCTGGTTGTCGTACGTTGGGAGAGAATTTTATCGTCGCCGCTGCGCCGTCTGTTGCTGCTTGTGCAATAGGTTATGAGCCCCGAGCTCTGACACCCTAGTGTTTGCTTCTTCCTACTGCTTACACACCCTGCTTATTCTCTTGCTGTGCATCCTTGAATCAACCGCTAGCAACGACCGGTAGTCACGCTTGCAACTGAATTTTGGCCTACACTCTCGATTTTCGGCAGTTACCTTTGGCTTGTGTGCTCATCTACCAAGCCATCCAATCATTTTCCATTCATTCATATTCCTATTCTATTCTACATCGATTTCGTCAGTGGTCACCATGCCAGAACATGACTCGCACCTTCCCAAGCTCGTTGAGGGCAACTACATTGAGTGGAGTGCCCTGATGAAGGCACATCTGGTCACTGCAGATTTGTAGGAGGTTGGCGGGCCCAAGGAGGAGGAGCTGGTAGTGAGAGGACCAAAGGGAGTGGCAGCGAAGAAGAAGAAGTGTGAGCAGGTGTACTGGAAGATCTTGATGAACCTCAGTCGCCCGTAGATGGCTTTCGTGTTGGGTTCGGAAAACCCCCGAGAGGCATGGGCTGCACTTGAGGAAACTCATAGGTCAGCATCTGTCAACACTATTCCGTCATTGCATTGCTGTTTCTTTGGAGGATGGGAAGGATGAGGCTGTGATGTTGGTGAGGGTTTGGGATGACTCAGGGGAGGTTTTGCATTTGTTTTGGTTTTTCCCTTTTCACTTCCTTACCCTCGATGGGTGTTCACCTTGTGGGAGAGTGTTGAAGGTGGGCAAGCTGGTGCCCATCTCGGAGGTTGCCGGCAGAGTTTTCTGTAGTAGATTTTGTATGCTCGCGCTGGTTGTCGTACATTGGGAGAGAATTTTATCATCGCCACTGCGCCATCTGTTGCTGCTTGTGCAATATATGGCTGCACTATAGTCTTCGGATGTGCTCAGCAGATCCAGTAGGAAAGCACACACCCCTCGAGTTTGACTTGCGCAATAGGTAAGGCACTTGTTGTAGTTGAGGCACTGCTGGAACATCCTCTGATACTTCTTCCCCTCAATATCTGTTACAGGCAAATTTCACCCTAGAGCGCTGACACTTTTGAAGTTCCGGCACGGGAGTGTTAGATTAGATAATTCATCAGTCTCTTAAGTGTCTAGACTCAAAGCAATGCAAGATGCTGTACACCTAGATACCTATTGATCAGGCTGCGCTATGCACTGCTATGTAGAAGCTATGCATAGCTATGCCTGCCTATGTTCATAGCCACAATCCTGTGTTACTCACAGGTTTGTATAGCCACACTCTAGGTAGATATAAACCCCCTAGAGTCCACTCTGAGTCCTCAGTGACTCACTTCTGGACTCTAGGTGAGTAGAGTACTTTGTCCTCAATATTATTCAGTGACTCACTTCTGGACTCTAGCTGTGTTGCCCAGCTCTTCTGTCCTGTTATTTGAGTTCCCTACAAGGTCTGCATATTGCGACTTTATTAGGTTATGAGCCCCGCACTCTAGCCCCTTTGCTGTTGCTTTGTCTTGGTCACTTTTCTGTGCCTTTCTTGTCCTTATAGTGTGCTGCATATTCTTTATTTACAAAGACACCAACTGTTGGGTCTGTGCACTTCAGTGGGCCAGCCTTTGACCTTCTTGGGAACATCCTGGTAATCATCCCAGTGACCTGAGCGGTTGTACAACTGGGTGTTTAGTAAATACTTACTGGTTACAATTACTATACCTCCTTTCCTGCACACACTCCTGAGGACTATCCTGCACTTTTTCAAACATCAGACATAATCACACACAACCCTTTACCCCTTTCCACATCATGTCTTCCACCTCTACCCACACTCCCAACTTTGCCAAGCTCAATGACTCCAATTACCCTACTTGGAGCGGTGAAATGGCTGCCTGGTTGCGCTCTGCAAACCTTTGAAGACTTGTCAATGGCAAGCTTCCACAGCCAAAGCTCTCTGGATCACCTACAGCAGCTGAGCAAACCAAGCTAGACACTTAGGAGGCCAATGCAGAGAAAGCAGCTGGTCAAATCTATTTGATGGTGGAACCAGATCAGCGCACTCACTTTGCTGGTGTGGTGGATGACCCTATCAAAATGTGGGAACAGCTTGCAGCTGTTCATCTGCAGAAGAAACCTGGAGCGTGTTTCAATGCTTATGATGATGTCTTCTCCATCAGAAAGCAACCAGAGGAATGACTTCAAGGGCTTGTCAATAAGGTCAATGCTGCCATGCAGCGTGTTAAAGACCTTCGCCCTAATGACTTTAATCTGACAAAGCTGGATGAAGAGTTAACCTCCATGGCTATGATTTGTGCTCTTCCTGTGGAGGAATATGGCGCTTTTACCTCTGCGCTACTTCAGCGTGATATCCTGAGCAAAGATGTTGTCACCCAGGCTTTTGTCACAGAGGAAATCAATCGTCATCATCGCACCACTTCCTTTCCCAAAGCAGATCAAGCACTCATCACTGCTTCCTCCTCACAGCTCACCTGCGATTTTTGTGAGGGCAAAGGACACATACAGTCTAATTGCTATGCTTTCCAGAATGCTTCAAAGAAAGTCAAGGAAAATCGCAAAGAGCGCCGCTCTAAGCGTGGAAACAAGGCAAATGCTACTGCTGCTGCTGCTGCCACCCAGAATACCACTTAGGTTGACCCTATCACTGTCACAGAGTCTGCTGGCAAAGCAAGTCTCTCTGACCCACTTCAGCTTGATGCTGACTTTGACTGGAATGCAGACACAGGCACCACTTCTCATATGACACCTCATCACCACTGGCTTAGAAATTACAAACCTTTGGTCATTCCAATCAAACTCGCTGATAACACCATTGTCATGTCTGCTGGGGTGGGAACAGTTGTATTTAATCCAGTGATTGCAGGGAAAGCAGTCAGGCCTGTGGAATTCACTAGGGTGCTGCATGTCCCAAGGCTCAGGAACAATCTCCACTCTTGTCTGTATTTAGTTCATCAGAAAGGCTTTAGAATTCACATAGAGTTCAAGTTCATGACCTTCCTTCACTCTCGTCAGACTCTATTTGTTGCCTCTATCACAGAGAACTACACTGCCTTTCTTGATGGAACTGTACAATCAGCTCCAGAGTCTGCACAGGCTATAACCACAGTCCCTCTTGATTTAAATCTCTGGCATCATCGCTTTGCTCATCACAACTATGCCGATGTCCAAAAGAGGATTAGAGAGGAGCTAGTGACTGGTCTTATGCTGGATTCAAAGCAGCAGCCTGACCCCATTTGCGAACCATGTCTGGCCGGTAAAATGCATGCCAATCCCTTCCCTACATCGGACAGTCATGCCTCCAAACCCCTAGAATTAATTCACACAGATGTCCATGGACCTCTGCCTGTGTGTACACACTCAGGATATCGGTACTGGATCACCTTCATAGATGATTACAGCCGATTCAGGGTTGTGCTATTGCTAAAGGCTAAGAGTGAAGCCTTTGATGCTTTCAAGCAGTATAAAGCTTATGCTGAAAATCTGCTTGAAGCAAAAATCAAGGCTGTCCAGGATGACAAGAGTGGGGAGTACATGTCCAATGCCTTTATACAGTTTACTCAGGAGGCAGGGATTGAGCGCAGACATACCACGTGCAATAGACCACAGCAGAATGGAGTTGCAGAGCGAGCTAATCGCACAATGGACAATGACATCACTGCTATGCTAGCAGAGTCTAAACTGCCTCCTTCCTTCTGGGGAGAATGCATTGCATCTATGGTGCATGTCTGGAACCATCTGCCTACAGCAGTGGTGAAGGGTGCAACTCCCTATGAGCTGTGGTACAAGCGGAAGCCAGATGTCAGCCATCTTCGTGTTTGGGGCTGTACTGCCTATGTGCATGTGCAGAAGGATCAGCGTACAGGTCTGGGACCACACATGCAGAAATGCGTGTTTATTGGTTATCCTGCAGGATACAAGGGGTGGAAGTTCTACAATCCTGACACCAAAAAGACTATAATCTCAGAACATGCTGATTTTGATGAGCGCTACTTCCCTGGCCTCAAATGCACTCCTGATATTCCTCCTCCACCCCCTATGTCATTTTCACCTGCAGACATTATTCCTCTACCTGTAGCACCTGTACCTGGACAGGATTTAGGGGGAGATGGTGCACATGTGCCAAATCCTATACCTGGTCCAGTTGCTTCAGAAGCTGATCCACCTGCACCACCTGCACCACCTGCACCTGAGCATCCAGTAACTCCACCACCTCCAGATCCTTCAGAGCATCATAGAGTTCCAACTCCTCCTCCATTTGAACCTATAGATCATCATCCAATTGCTCAGTGCCGGGTACCTCGCAACATTAGGCCCACCTGGAAAATGCAAACTTCACCACCACCTGTGCAGGATGCAGAGTCTGAGGACGAGTTGGATGTGATAGATGCAGATGCTGACTTTGTTGAAGTCCAGTTTGCTGGTCTATCTGCTGGAGCAGGCCCTCGGACCTATAAACAGGCTATGGGCAGTTCTGATGCTGATAAGTGGCAGCAAGCAGCCAATGAAGAGATTGTGTCTCTAATGGCCAATAACACATGGGACATTGTTCCACTGCCACCAGGCAAAAGGGCAATAGGCTCAGGCTGGGTGTTCAAGGTGAAGCACAATGCAGATGGTTCTGTAGAGCACTATAAAGGCAGATTAGTCGCCAAGGGTTACAGTCAACGCCCTGGCTTTGACTACACAGAAGTCTTTGCTCCCACGTTCCGTCAACCTGCATTGCACCTTATTCTAGCTCTCGCTGCAGCAGAGGATCTAGAACTTCGCTCTGTGGATATCTCATCTGCCTTCCTAAATGGAGACTTGGAGGAAGAGATCTACATGCAACAACCTGAGGGGTTTCACCAGGGTGGTCCAGAAATGGTCTGCAGGCTAAATAAGTCACTCTATGGCTTGAAGCAAGGTGCACGCCAGTGGAACAAGAAGCTTCATGAGGTGCTCACCAAAATGGGCTTCACTCATCTTCAGTCTGACAGAAGCATCTATGTGTACATTAGGGGAGATGTGCGCATTATTGTCCCAGTCTTTATAGACGATATGACACTTGCTTCAAAGTCCAAGAAGGCACTTGATGACACTGTCAAGGAGTCAAAGTCATATTTTAAACTCCGAGACCTTGGATCTACCCAGTTTCTGCTAGGCATAGACATCAAAAGAGACCGTGCAAAGCATACCATTTCACTCTCACAGCGCCAGTATATAGTGGATATGCTGGAGCATTATGGTCTCTCTGACTGCAAGTCTGTCAGCACTCCTATGGATCCTGGAGCAGAGCTTTCAAAGGCTCTTGCACCTCAGACACAGGAAGAGGCAGAATATATGCACAAAGTGCCTTATCTCAGTGCTGTAGGGGCACTGATGTATTTGGCCATCACCACTTGTCCAGACATCATGTTTGCCATTGGATGTCTTGCGCGTTTTAATGCCAATCCTGGTCCTGCACATTGGATTGCTGTGAAGCATGTCTTCCGCTATCTGAAGGGCACAATGGACTTAAGGCTGCACTATGGTCCCAGTGATGTAAAGGAGTTCTTCCTAACCTACACGGACTCAGACTTTGGTGGTGAGAGGGATAATCGTCGCTCCACTGGTGGTTACCTTGTAAAAGTGGGCACAGGTGCTATTAGCTGGAGTAGCAAGCTTCAGTCCCTTATTGCCCAATCCACCACAAAAGCCGAGTACATTGCTGCAGTTGAAGCAGGAAAGGAAATCCTCTGGATGCATAATCTTCTCACAGAACTGGGGTATACAGTGTCCAAAGTCTCTACACTTTACATGGACAATCAGTCTGCAATCAGTGTCTCTAAAAATCCAGAACATCATGGCAGAATGAAGCACTTGGATCTGCGCTTCTTCTGGCTTCGAGACACCGTGGAGGCAGGTCAAATTGCACCAGTATATATTCCTACTGCAGAGATGATAGCGGACATTTTGACAAAGCCCTTGCCGGCGGCAAAGATTATCTACTGCCGCGAGATGATGGGCTTGAGTGTTACAAAGCTCCTCTCTGAGGAACGCGCGGACGACTTCCGCCTCTACCTTTACCGATCACGTGACAATGATGTCACAGAGCCTAGACTGACCATGTGACAATGATGTCACTGACCACATGACCATGATGTCATCATGGTCATCGCCCTTGTCTATCCGGCACGGATCTACCAGATCATCTGATAATATGCGCCTTGTGCTCAAGGCATGTTTATCTCATGTGTGAGATCCAGACCTAGGACGCACTTTCTATCACACACACGACAAAGGCATGTACGCCTCACCTCTGCCTTACCCTTACGATACAGATACCGAACCTCATGGGCATGGCCCTAGACCCTGATACATGCGCTAGACGCACGACGACCTCGCTGCTGCCTTGTCTTTGCAGCACGACCTTATCTCCATATGGACAGATTGTCTCTCACGCAGAGTCATAACTGACTCAGTGTTCTCACGACTGTGGGACAGGTGTACGAACCCTGTGCCCTTGTATTGATACCGATGGACCAATCATAGTTCTAGTATTACAGGTAGACAGACGCCTGTACTTGTATATAAGACTGACAGGACAAGCTGGAGTCCCCATCTTGTCCTGGTTACACATCAACCAGTTTTACCATCTACATCTGTGCGACAGATCGACCTTGATCCGCAGACAGCAGCCAAGCGTTCATAAGACTACTCCACTGGGCCGACCTCTGGTCATCGTTATGACTGGAGGTCGGACCCCTCACGATTGACTTGAGCCCTTGCGAAGGCCTAGTCACTGATGACGACGAACCGGATGTACGGTGGCATGACTGGCTCCCGTAACATTAGGACAAGATAATTTTTCCTTGCTCAAGCTTCTATGCTTTAGAGCCGACACACTCTTTGATGACGACCTTTGACCTCGATCTTGTCCTGTAACATTAGGACAAGATGGTTATTCACTGCTCAACCTCCTATGGTTTAGAGCTGATCTGACGACCCCGACCTCGACCGGTTCACAGACAGTGACCGTGTCATGATATATTCCTTGACTATGATGACTTCGACCGGTTCACAGACAGTGACCGTGTCACGACTTTAACCACTTCGCAGACAGCAACTGTGTCCCGAGCAGATAGCTCTCTTGACCGAACAAGGCGACAGATACCTTGCACTTGATGACTTTGACTGTTTCCATTGACATTAGGACACCTGTGATGACAGAGATGGAGATACCGCGATTGACACTCCATTCTCTGGATATCCAACATTGGAACAACGAAGAAGACCCTTGTCTGGTCATTCCTAGGTGAGACCAGATTTTTGAAAGACAATTTATTGGCACCTTGTCCGAGACGAACTCTCAAGAGTTTACCCTTCATTGGGCGACTCTCAGGGGTCGAATCCCCTCATGCGAGGAAAGCTACGACATGTGTAATAATCAAAGACATGTACGAGCCACATGTGACTGCGAATCGGAAAGGTTTGGCCACTGTAGAATTAGTACCGATTCTATGGACTGTGATGAACTGAGGACGGTGTGCAGCCTTTGACGAAGGACTTAAGTCGCACACTTAATGATCATGGCTGATAACACCAAGTGCGGCGAGATACCCACGGTGCAGATTGATTCCGGGAACAGCAACCCGTATAAACTGTAGACTCTTATCGAGTCCGATCTGATGACCATTTGATGATTGTGATCCCTGAATGGGAGCTCGGACTGAGCAAGTGGACACTCGCTCTCCACTATAAATAAACAATAAATCTTGGCTGAGAACACCCTGCATGGCGAGTTACCTGGGGTGCAGAAAGATTGACAACTCGATGCCATTACGAGTTGATGACCATGGAATTGATTGAAGATAACGCGATTTGACACTTCAATCATTCCCCGTCGATCACAGCTCTCGACGATAAAGAAACTGAACCTGGATGAACCTTGAATGACATAGTAAAAGGTTCTGACAGAAGACGGATCCTGGCTCTTCATATAAACCAATGATCTATACTGAACCTAGGCCGAAGGTTCGACGAGGCGACGATTAGCCTGATGATTGAACTTAACAAGAGATTATATCACCGAAGAACGACTTGGAGTCAACAGTACATGACACTCCAATCCCCGATAATGACACCTGAAATTAGGAAACCCCTAATGGTCCTTTGTTGACCACCACGATGACGACTCGAGCATGATCAGACAGACATGACTTATTCAATGATGTCTGGAAGTCTCAGACGGTCCTTTGTTGACCACCACGATGATGACACCCGATGCTAGATGCCTAAATAGGTCTAGCAACCCTCGACGATCAGACAGATCTCGATGGGAGAAACTACTATGAACGACAGCCTTCGATATGGCACTTTTGATGACATGCGCAAGGTAGTTCCCCATGGATAAAAAGGATACTGGGTCACGGCCGATCCTTGGATTTGATGTAGACTGTTGTCTCATCATCTGGAAGAATAAACTTGACAAACAGACAAAATTCGATATACGACACAGCGATGAATAGGGCATCCATGGAATATGGATGGAGGTAGTCGATTCTATTCGATACCAACACACGACAAAACCCGACATGAAATATTTGATGAAGTATCACGCTAGGCCGGGGTAGTTCAAACCTAGGCCGGGGTACTTTAATGATGAAGACATGAAACTGGACATGAAACGTGAATGGGAGCTATCGCTTACCATTGGATATTTGATCTGAACCTTTGCTAAGAACATCTAGTAGGGCGAGATACCTGGGGTGCAGAAAGGTTATCAGAAGGACGAAAAACCTTGATGAAAGCCGAAAGGCAGGATTATGGCATTCACGGAATGTGAAGGGAGATAACCGATGAAGTGCGGTATCAACCCAAGATAAGGCCACAATTATCCCGATGATTAGAAACATTGAAGACATGAAACCTGAATAGGAGCTATCGCTCACCAGAAGACGATTAACCATGCTGACATTGACGATGACCAGCCAATCACAATACATGTCCGTAATGACTTAAAACTAGAAGATGACATTTGTCCGTAATGACTTAAAACTAGAAGACGATACTTGTCCGCAAAGACTCGAAACTAGAAGACCCTTGCTGCCCACCTCCTTCACCTTTTTTTATGATTTGTTACCTGTTTTGATCGGTTTCAAATTCAGGGTATTTGGTTTTTTTGAATGGGAGCTGATAGGGGATAGTAGGTGAGGATGCATATCCGAGCCAAAGGAATGAGCCCGAGTGCCCGGGTGATGAGGAACGAGTGGAATCGAGGAGTGACGAGTGGAATTGAGGAACGACAAGAGTAATCGAGGACGAGGAACTCTGCCACAAGGGCAAATTTTTTCCCCCCCTCCTCCCTTCCACCACACTCTCTTTCCATCTTGCGAATTTTTGAAGACATCGCTACACCATGAGCCCTCCTGATTTTTAGGCCGGGGTAGTAGTAGGGAAGAATGGGCAACGCGAGTTGACCAGTCACTGTGTGAAAGCACAAAGAAACAAGACTAATGGAAGACGATGAACATCGCTGAATAGCTTATGAGAAGAAGACGAACAGAAGACTTGCATTTGGAGCGAGCAATCCTAAAGGGATGCGAGTGACAAGCAAAACGAAGTTTGTGAAGCTGGATTAACACCCAGGTCAATTTTTTCATTTTCCGCCTCTGATTTACCCAGAATTATGCGATGACATAACACAATGAACGATGACACATGGAATTTCTCCATCCCATTTCCCTACCGACTTTCTTGACGACTTCAATCCAGGGAATTGAAGACCTGAATGGGAGCTGATGTTACAAAGCTCCTCTCTGAGGAATGCGCGGACGACTTCCGCCTCTACCTTTACCGATCACGTGACAATAATGTCACAGAGCCTAGACTGACCATGTGACAATGATGTCACTGACCACATGACCATGATGTCATCATGGTCATCGCCCTTGTCTATCCGGCACGGATTTACCAGATCATCTGATAATATGCGCCTTGTGCTCAAGGCATGTTTACCTCATGTGTGAGATCCAGACCTAGGACGCACTTCCTATCACACACACGACAAAGGCATGTATGCCTCACCTCTGCCTTACCCTTACGATACAGATACCGAACCTCATGGGCATGGCCCTAGACCCTGATACATGCGCTAGACGCACGACGACCTCGCTGCTGCCTTGTCTTTGCAGCATGACCTTATCTCCATATGGACAGATTGTCTCTCACGCAGAGTCATAACTGACTCAGTGTTCTCACGACTGTGGGACAGGTGTACGAACCCTGTGCCCTTGTATTGATACTGATGGACCAATCATAGTTCTAGTATTACAGGTAGACAGACGCCTGTACTTGTATATAAGACTGACAGGACAAGCTGGAGGCTGCGCTATGCACCGCTATGTAGAAGCTATGCATAGCTATGCCTGCCTATGTTCATAGCCACAATCCTGTGTTACTCACAGGTTTGTATAGCCACACTCTAGGTAGATATAAACCCCCTAGAGTCCACTCTGAGTCCTCAGTGACTCACTTCTGGACTCTAGGTGAGTAGAGTACTTTGTCCTCAATATTATTCAGTGACTCACTTCTGGACTCTAGCTGTGTTGCCCAGCTCTTCTGTCCTGTTATTTGAGTTCTCTACAAGGTCTGCATATTGCGACTTTATTAGGGAGTCCAATTATTTGTAGTTCTCTTCTGTTGCTTTTTGCTTTGCACACTTTATGACATTAACAGATCGCTTTGTACACTGGTATTAGGTAACTGCTACATGCAGCGTCTCTGGTGAATGATGTCATTTGGCGCGATGCATCACATCACATGGTATGCGTCACAACTGATTACATTGCCCGCGGCCCGGGGGTACGCCGACGTCAGGCATAGTACGGCCAAATTCAAGGCCAGCGCAGAACTCAATCAGGCATGCGGAAACATAGTCCAGGACAAATCCTTGCCATAAGTACTAAATTTCTGAATAGTACACTGACGGACAAAAGTATTTGGACATATATATCCAGAAACATTTGTTCATTCTTTCATGATGGCTGGGAGATTTATTCTAAGTTTGTAAATATATATAGTATATCTCTCAAATATTGTACCATGGGTTTACAATTTATTGGTGCAAAGCAACTGAGAAGATATGGTCAAGTGAAGCAGCTTACTATTGATATGCTGACCTTGACTTAAACTGCAAAAATTCTTGCATGGATGCAAATAAGACAATTACTTTTTATAAAATATTATACTCTCCTCTTGCCTATCATATGACATTTAGGGATGAAATGATAATGCTTCATATAAAGAAAATCCAAATAAAACAGTGTGCCAAAAACTTTGCTCAGGAGAAACTTGCTTTTACAGCGCTTTGCAAGTATATGCGGAATCGTCGTCGATGGATTTTGCGCCGAGCTCAGGACCCGAAACCGCTCAGCCACTGCAGCCACCGGTAAATTGCCCAATTGATCAGGTCCAAGAGTCCGAGCCTAGCCACAACCAGAGAGACCATGCCCAGAGTGTCTCATCAACCAATCGCCCCACGTGGGTTTTCTACGGCATCCTAATGCAGGAGCTTAGACAAGCTTCGGGCATGCCTCGGACAACTGCTTTTGGGAAATTCGCGTCACTGATGGCCCTCCCGGTATCCTCCGCTAGACTTCCGGTAGTAACGTGCCACTACAACAGTTTGGGGTCCTGGGCTCGGGGCAAGCTCGGGGCGCCTGAGGCCAAAAATCCATCGACGACGATTCCGCATATACTTGCAAAGCGCTGTAAACCGAAACATTCTATATAATAATATCACCAATACATTCTCTAAGCCCTATTCATTCCTTACTCCAAGTTTCATGACTGTTGGCTATGAATTTCAAGCTGTATGTTATTAAATGTACTTGTGCCACAAAAAATTATGTGAATTGTTTGCAGTAATTGTGAAATAACTACAGCTGAAATGTCTGATCTTTTTAAAGATATGACAAGAGGGCCCTTCATAGTCCTTGTATTGCCTATCAATATAAAACCAGAAGATGTGGTGTGGATGCAAGAACAGTTGTTTTTATACCATCAAAAGGTCATAACTTATAGCCAGCCTAGTTCTTCTATATTGAAGTCATGTAGAAATCCAAGTGCAGAATATATTAAACAAGAGACACTTGACATGTATTCACCAAACTTAAACTGAATATGATAGTTATTGTGGAGACATAGATAATTTTCTACAAGTATGCATGTCCAGATACTTTTGTCCGTCAGTGTATCTCTCGGGCTTGTTTGAACGCATTATCAATTATCGTGATCTCCAGTTCCTAATAATACCTCCTTTGTAGTGAGCAATAGAGAACAGCGACGCGTACATTGAAAACACGATAGCGATGCAATCAAATGAACTTTCGACGGTAGCATTTGGGACTAGTATAGAGAGACACAAGTCCGAGGAGTGTACACCGCCTCAACGCTGAGATAAAAAACCAGTCACCTTAGCATTGGGTGAAAGATTGATGAACAACTGTACTCACACTGTCTGCCCGGCATCACCGAATGCTGGTGGTATGCATATCTGTGAGGCTCGCGGTGCGCCTCAACGGGATTTGTTTGCCCCATATATCCCATATCTCGATGAGATTTTTCTCTGGCACTGCAAGAGCGATCCTCTGGCCATTTGGGCTTAGAACGCTGCCTGCGATGCCCTTCGTGCCGGCCATCTTGGTAACCACGTCTCGAAGGGTGGGATAAGAGCGTACAACCACGGAATTCGAAATCTTCGACGTGCCAAGTTCAGTGGAGGTATTCAGGTCATTCCGCTGGTTTGGCTGGGCAGGTTGAGGCGATGGCGTCACCTTTCCTGGCCCGTGCGTGCTCACCAGCTCCTTGCACTGCGTCGAAAAGTGGAGCGACGTGACTTGCGCGTCAACTTCAAGCCGATCAGGATAACGCGACAGGCGGCTGGGTGACGAATCGTTCATGTTCTCGACGTTCCAGATACGCACAACATTGTTGCCGTCCGGTGCGGCGTCGCCGCTAGCAAGGATCTTCGTTTGCCAGGGGCACCATGCAAGGGCCTTTGGGGTGGAATTTGAGTTGCAGATGACTTTGAAATGTACGGCGTACATACCTGCACGGGCCCGGCATGTAGCATTCTTTTTCGTCGCTGGACAAGGTCGCCTACGTCCAGAGGAACGTTCTTCCTGACGTCCCAAATGTGGACCAATCCAGCTTCGTCACCACTGGCAAACAACTTCCCCCCTTCGCTCCAAGCTAAGCTGCAGATCTTCGCCTGATGGCGCGTAACTTTCTTCGCTTGCTCTTTCATCTTAGAGGACTCTTTGACTCGGGTATCGAAGTGGCGGATTGCTCCTCTGAGGCCGCCCACCGTGAGTACAGCAGTATTCCATCGCATTGCTGAAACGCCTTTCGTACTCCAGCTTCTGATCATTTTCTTCGTCGGCACGTCCCACAGCTGCAGATGGCCTTTCGACGTGCACACTGCCACCATGTTCACCTGGTCTTTTCCGCCACATTGAAGCAAATGCAGATACCCGTGCGCGTCCTTTATCTTGCAAAGTTGGCCAACGTCGTTGTTGGCATTGGACCCGACATTCTTGTAATGCACGCGCTTGCCGCGGCCAAACATTACCAGATCGTGAGCTGACCAGCTCAGAGGCCAAAGACCTGTGGCATCATCTGATGCAGAATAATCGATGGTCTGCCTGCAAGAGCGCAGATGGTTTTTTGCAGACGTCTCTGGATACGTAGGAGATGGTGGCCTCGATGCTGCAAGGGTACCGGATGAGTACCTCCTCATAATGGCCAATTCGCTGTGAGGCACTGGGCGGATGTCGAGGTGACCGCGAGAAGAACTCGAGGTACTGGAAAGTACTGAGAGAGGAGGGAGAAGGGAGCCATATCCGGATTCTTGCAACGGGTCCACGTCGTCCTCGTGCAAGACACCGAAGGGCCGATGCTGTTGAGATGACGTATGAGATGCGAATATGTTGAGATGTAGCGCCACCTACTTCTCTAGGCATACTTTGCTGTCTCGGGGGGGAGAACAGCGCAGAAAGGCGGGTCCTTTTTCGCGTGTTGTAATATTTCACGTCGGACAAGACCCGCTTTCTTCCCCCCGCTATGGTAGGTTCGTCGGGACGCGAGCTACTGAAAAGCGTCAGAGAGAGGTTCGTTATATCGAACTTGTGTGCATCATAAATGTTAAGAAGAAAGACAAGCCAATCGACTACTGTATCCCCTACTGTTGCGGACCGGTCGCGTGGCCACTGGTCCTGGGCTGCAGCTACTCAGGAAGAAAGAAGAAGGCAACAGTTCAGCCAATAACGCAGGGTAGTTACTTCAAGATGCAACTGCCAGGAAATGACGTTTGCGCCTGCCAGAACAAGGCAACGGCCGCAGCAAATGGGCTCGTACAATGCTATGACGACAGCGGATGTCCCGCTTGAAGCGCCGATGTAAAGTGAGAGCGAGCAATAAATGTAAAAGACAAGGCATAATAAGGTTATAGTCCATACAAGGAGGGTTGCGCAAGTACTGCGAGTTCGCCTGAAACTCTCGCCCGCGATCTCATCAACCGGCGCGTCGGTGGCTCTTGAACGATTCGACTACACCACTCATGAAAGAATAGCATACCTAGAAGCCACAGCGCTTGAGGTTGAGGTTGACATCTCTCTTGACGGATGGAGAACGGGGGTGGTGGAAGAAAGAGGTGAAAGCGAGACTTTCCAACTCGTCTGGAGAAAACCACGCAGGCCACGCGCTTATGTAATTCAACGCGCGACGCGACAATGTCACCTGACCGAGAAAAGGCGCGCTAGTTGAAGTTCGTGTATTGTATGCTTCAGCCTTCGTTCCCCAGCATCATCATCTCTACTCGTTAATGCCCAGGCCTACAATCTCCCTTGATAGTCTTGGATACGACACAACAGTGCGCTTTCGACTGAATAATCTTGGCGAATTCTTCACGCAACCTCGCGGAGCTGCTGTCATCTCCCGTGAGACAGAACCGTTCGGACACGGTGGATGGAAAATATTCTTTCAATCCAATACCCGGGCAGATGATGATTGCTTGCAAGTGCGGATCGTGCCTCCCAAGGAAGGCTCTCCTGCCGTTGACTATTCTGTTATCGGGGAGTCCTCTAGGGGGAAGCTCTACTTCATAGTAGCATCTGGCGTTTCCACAGCATTTCACCCTCGTTCGAAAGCTGCAGGGGGTGATGACGCGCTTTCTCGAGTTCACGATTGGTCCCGCGACGAGCATTTGCGAAACGAAAATAGCCTCATCGTTACCGTGAATATCAAAACAAGTGCTCCCTGCCCTATGCCAGCAGCTCAGCCAGGAGAGAGAGGCGAGATGTTTAGTTTCCTCCATCGAACGATGATAAATGAATCCCCCATTAACATGAGATACATCGCCTTTACTCGTCGCATATCCTCTGGACAGTTGACTTGTGCTCGTGCGATATTCGCCAACGAGCTTGTTCTGACAGAAGCGAGTGCATATATGGAGGACTGTGAGTATAAAGATTACTACCCTCTCCATCTGTTTATGCTGCTGAACTTCCCAGTGCATTATACCGAGCAATTTACGGCCATTGCGCATCGCCTTGACGAGGATCTTCTTGTCGATGATTTAAAGTCTACACAGACAACCTACATGGACGACGACAGCGACTTCGAAGACGACGGCGAGACTCAAGCAGTGACTCGACCCCGGGATCACGTTGAAGGAAGCTATGATGAGAGAAAGCCATCTATTACAGCGGAGCACAACCAGATAGATGCTGACGACACTAGTAAGTACCTTTCGAGTAAATTCCGAGAGGGAGCCAAGACTCGATTAACCTTTCAACAGTGCTGAATGATTTTGACGGAGGAACTGTAGTGGTCGACGGGGCTGCTGCCCGAACGTAAGTCTCAGTGGAGTCATCGCTCCTAGCCTCTGATCCCTGTTATAGGTGGGAAGCGTTCATTTTCTACTTATACAGCGGAAAACTTGAATTCGCCCCATTGAAGAGTGCCGGTGCATCAATTCGGAAGGAATTCTTCAAGAACCATCGGGAACGTAAGCCGCAACTTCCTACCCCCTGTTCCTGCAAGTCTATGTATCGTCTGGCAAAGGAAGTAAGTTGCTTGCGATTATATGTATCAAACTATGTCAATGCCAAACTTAGATCGAATGTGAGAGCTTGCGAGTTTACGCATTGGGTCACTTGAAGTGCCAGCTTTCCGCGCATACGATCCTGACTGAACTGTTCAGCGAATTCACCGCACGGTACGTTCATAGAGCATTTCCTTGTGGCGAAGCAGTCAAGATCGTTTATGGTTGCAGATACGAAGAAGTATACAAAATGGAGATGAAGACACTAAGAAAGCTCTGGAAGGAGCTCGAGGGCACACCGGCCTTGCAAGAGAAGCTCACCGAGGCCGTGAAGTATCCACATGCGGGACGCATCGTGGCAGATATTTTTCAAATGGCCATGAACGCTCCTGGTCTACGACACAAGTATTGAGGATTCCGCGCCTGCTCCCTCGGGTAGAATGTAACCGTTCTTATTGCTGGAAGTATTATCAGTTTCTACTGCTCGCAGTTGCGTTCGCTTGCAGTCCTGCACTTTGACAAAGCTAGATCGGATACCGTACTTGCACGGAAGCAATCCGATAGTCGACCACCTTGCAGTTCACCATGTAGCAGCCGCGATTACCAGGCAGAGACGCGACCCCTTCTTTGTGTAAAATCCAAAGGGTTCCGCCTCCACGGAACCGTCCTAACTCCACCCTCGTGGCTACGCACCATACCAGACTACAGGGTGAAATATCAACACCCTCAGCAGATCCCCCGATGTCTTGCAGTGTGCAGAAAGTCAATTTGCATATGTCCAATTTGAAGGATCACAGTAGGGAAACTTTCTTCTCGTAAGCTGTTATATTACGGCGTCAGGCTCATACGTCCAACATACAGATTCCTCTACGGACAACATCCACGCAATTACGTACCAAGACTCGAAATGAAAACTATAATTATTTCAAGATGGTTGGAATATCTCCAGCATCAAGAACTCATCAGCACATATGCAGACACAGCCAAGCAATAACTAGATCGTACTGCTGATTGCGGCGATAGTTCGCCTGTAGCACATTACCTTCGTCTGCTCATGATGAAGCACCCCTCATACCCAAGCACATCCGGCGGGCTCAGCGTGTCCCGCCATCGACCCGACAGGTTACCGTTGGCGTTTCCGACTATATATGCCCGATACACCCATTTGCCGCGTCCACTATCCACCTAAAGGAACATCAGCTCCGCGAGGCACAGACGTGCGAAGCACGTACATATTCTTTAGATAAGCTGATAAATCCATCGCAAGGCCTGACTCGCCCGATGAGTTTAAATTGGCCCCAGGACGAGTGCCCCTGCCATGTCACGAATCAGTGACCGCGGCGCAGCAGGTAAATCGACACGCACTTCACCGGTGATAAAAACATCCTTCACCTTCCGCTTTGGTCCGTCGGGTCTACAGCGCCAATAGGTTATCGGTTCGCTGCGCCCGGGCTCTGTGAACTCGAGGCCGTCAGGAACTTCTTGCATGTCCACCCGACTTGGGATGTATCCGCGCAGAGGATTTCCCGCAGACAGAGGCGCGACGTCCGCTTTGCGCTTTACATTAAAGTCTTCATCTTCGTCCTCTTCGTCGTACAGATGATACTCGCGCACTCGCCACAGATGTGGGTGCTGAGCAATGTGACTCCGCTGCAGAATACCAGGCGAGGCGCCAGAGAGCAGCGCCGCGTACGATGTGAATTCGGTGTACTGCGCAGTATGTCAACACCAAGATCGAGATGACCACGATCCGGCGTACCGTGAACACGCCCTCCCAAATCCCCTCTAGGCTACCGGGCAGGAACGCGCCGGAAAGCTCGTTCCCGAGAGGCTTGGCGGTGTGCGACCCGAGGTATAATCCTCGCGCCCACTCTGCGTCCCACTCCTTGCTATCCCGCGCCACAACTGCACTCGGCAGCGTGGGTTCTGCGGGCTTCGTGTAGTTCAAGGTGTCTAGCGAAACCGGTAGCCTGTTGGTTAGTGTGAGATACGCAAGGATCGCCGGCGCCGATATCCGCGGTGGGACAATTCGCAGGTTCAAGGAGAAGTGGGACACCACCGACACCTCCTTCGCATGACACGTCGGGGTAAAGTCACGCCACGAGGGGAAGCAAAGTGGGTACTGCAAAGTGCGGGCGATCAATGGACGATCTAGGAATGTGATGGCATACACATAACCATACCATGTGTGCACCTAATGCTATAATCTTCAGGACGCTCGCGGCCTCCTGGAAAGTAACGTCGTCCACCATGTAGTCCTCTGCCATCGTCAGATCACAGTGACCGGGCGATGCTGATGGCGCACTCACCAGGCTTGAGCAAAAACCAGAATAACCACATGGCGAGCGAGTTCCGCTCGTTACTTGTAGGCGGCCACATGTCCATTCTGACCGACCAGCGAATGAGCGAGGCCCCCAAAGCGTGGAAGAGGTATTCCCGCAGCCATAGATCGAGGCGGGCATACTCGCACAGCTGCGCCTCGTTCTTCCCTTCGTTCTCTAGCATCATTAGATATGCCATCCACAGAATCGCATTCAGCTCTTCCACGTGCGTTGTAGGCAATTCGTAAGTCCTGGTGAGCGTGTCCGGATGCGAGCGTATCCGCTTCAAGAGTATGCATCGTCGCTTGAGCTCGTCCGCTGTCGCAACGGCAGAAATTCGTCCAGCACCTAGACGTCGAATTGTCGACTGCAGATCAAATTTATAGGCAAACACTCTCGTCCAGAGGTGAGGATTCGAGGAGATCGATAGGGCCGAATGTATGCGGTGGTTGGCGGTGAGCAGACCGATGACTCCAACCGGTGGGCCAAGAAAATCTGCTGTAGCGGTGAAAAATGCGATGTTCTCGAGGATCTCCTGTGGAATTTCTCCCAGATAATGCATGGTGGTCGTGGTCGGACGATGGGGGGGATAGAAAGGCTTGCCCCGCAAGCAGCTCTGAGTCGTGCGGAGTAACAAAATCCAAATGTGGTTACCGTCTAAGTTCGCAATCCTGTGTCCGACTTGTACGTCCGAGGAGACATCGATGCAGTATCAGCTGCAGAGCATGTAGTAGGTTCCAAGAGGTAAAAGAATAATAAGAAATGTGAGTGGATTTGTCCTGAGGAAGTCGTACGTGACTGGGTCGCAGGCTCTGTGACAAAAATTTCACAAGGTCCTGTTTTAAACCTTGACGAGAGTCTGCAGACGATGTCATGCGGGAAACGCAGCAAAAATAAGGATCATGAGTTCGGCCAAGACTGGATCCGGAGTCGCTACACACTTCAGAACATCACACCACCGACATGCCGCGTTGTAGAATTCTCGCGAGTAGTACGTAGAGCTAGTACAACAATGGAAATAATTTCAACCAACGAGTCTAGGCAGCTTAGGTGAAAGAGGATGAAATCAATGCATACGGTACAAATTGTACTTCAGTACAGTAAAATGTCGTAGAAGTTCTTTGCCAACCCCCACGCCTCCGGGAAGTCGTGAGAGAAGGGAAACCCACCACGTTCGGATTATTGCAAACCCTGAAGTCAACGTGTCCAACAAGTCGAGACAACGAAGTACCGAGGCTGCGAAAGCGTCATGCACAACACAATGACTGCTTGCGCACGTCGATCATGAATTTATGTCCATCGCCAATGTCAAGGCACTGTCAGTATAAAAGCGAGCCTCTTCCGAATCACGTCACGAGGAAGTCGTACTCCACGAGCGAAATACGGTTTTGCGCCCGAGCATAGCGGTCGTACAATCAAGAACCCTCGTCAGAGCAATATCCTACAACGTATGAGTAAGTCCAGCATCGACAGAATGGCACAGGAACCAGCCTCTGTGGACCCAACTAGCGGATGCTGCACTTGTCAAACACGCTCTCGCGAGGTTGCACGTTCTCGGACACGCCCCACACTTTCCACATCTTCATTGCTTCCTCTGCCGGACATATCGTGAAGACGAGGGTACCGTCAGGGCCCAGACAGCTGTGTCCCACTGCGCCCGAATGCGCGGGCACGCTCACGACACGGCGCATCGACGGGTACGAGTGTACGGTAAGCGAGTTTGTGAGCGGCCCTTTGACTGGTACTGGGCGAAAGTGGGCAGAGATAGATGACAGCGTAGACATTGAGGACGCCCTCGGCTGCCACGATGTGCCGTGCGTGCTCAAAAGCTCCTTGCAGTGTGGCGACCAGATGAGCGACGTCACCGACGTGTTCAGACTCAGCGTGTGCAGAGGCTCCGCAGCGGGCGCTGTCGAGTGCACACTGTAGATACGGATTCTGCCGTCGGAATACGTAGAACCGGTCGCGAGCAAGTCCGGCTTCCAGGGACACCAAGCCAGCGCCTGTGCAGAGAACATCAGATACGCAGCAGGCCCGGTTAATTCTACGTACCTTCACAGGACCTTGATGCTTCATCTTGCTGCCCAGCTTGTTCTCATTCGTGAGCGCCTTGCCCGCGCGAGCATCCCAGAAGTGAACCACGCCACGATCGTCGCCCGACGCCATGTAATTCCCGTCGTGGCTCCATCGTACCCCGAGCACGCCACCCCTGTGCGTCGACACCCTAGAGACTTCATGCTCCTCCCGCACATCGTACAGCACGATGTCTCCATGGTGCGTGCCCACGGCGAGCACGTCCCCGTTCCAGCCCATCCCACCGACCTGGCCCCATCCTTCGTCTTCCCACTCTCGCAGCACCGTCTTGCTGTCTACATCCCAAAGCTGCACGCACCCTGTGGTGGTGCCCAGGCCAAGTAGGTGTGGTTTCGTGTTCGCCCACTCGATGCTTGCGAGCCGGCCACGGCGGCGCTGCGTGAGCGTACACAGATGCGAGATGGAGCGCGTGTCCAGGTTCTGGTAGTACACGTCGCGCCCACACGCCACCGCGATCGCGTTACGCGCCGACCACGACAGTGGAAAAGCAAATGGATCTGAGGGAATTCCTGGCCCATCAAGAGCAAGAATGAATTGCTTCCGCGAGCCGAGGTGCATAGCTGCTGAGGTTGGTGAAATCTTGGGCGGTGTGGTGAGTAGCTGGGAAAAATTGGCGCGTAGGCCAATGTCTTCCGTGCCCGACGACTTTGCTTCTGTGAACTTGAGCATGCGGTCCTCTGCCATACCAAACTGGCGACCAATGCGCTGGCTGCGGGGCGTTATGTTGAACGGCATGGCAAACTTCGGGCGCGCCGTAATGAAACGGTCAGCCTGGGGAATCTCAGTGAGGTATTCCCGGCTCAACAGCAGAAACCCTTGCTGTGCGCACCACTGTAGTGTGTCCCGGTGTGCGGCTTTCTACTTGAGAAGATATCTCCTTAGCCAGTTCCACCGTGGTCATGGAAATTCTTCGCCTCTTCGTAGAGTACGCATTTGTGATCGAGCCGGGTGTCCAAGTGCGCTTCCGACGAGGAGGTGTTACGCACGACTGCGCGGGTGCGCCATCCATAATTTGCAGCAGAGTCTTGCTGACGCACGCAAGGTACCGTCAGAATCAGTCACAATAGCCCTGCAACAGCGAAACTAGGATCCAACCAAATTGACAAGAGTAATAAGCTAGATGAGAACCCAGCTACTGTACTGAGACACGATGTGACTCACCTTTCGCACGAATATTTGGTCGAAGTGGTAACTTGACCGTCCTTGCTTGCTGTGTTTCGTGAACGGCTAAGATCAACACCCTCAGCGCTGCTGTCGAAGCCGCGATGTGTACTAGAAAGACGGTGGTGGGAACCGCGCAAGCCAAACACTGTGACCCGTGACCGTGTTAGATTCTGTGACGATCTAATCTTATCTCCAAGTTGGCGACCGACCACCCGACCAGAGAGACTGACGACCACCGTCACTTTACTGCAGAGAAGACAAAATGGCTCCTACTCTTGGAGGTATGTGACTTTTTTGTCAGGGCGGTGCAGCTCTGATACATGAGCCAACTGCAGAACCGCGCGAATCCCCCAAACCGCAGCCGTTGGGCAACTTTCCTCTGATATTCCTCTTCACAACTTGCACATGTTGTGTCCTATTCTTGCTATGGAGGAGAGCTTCGTCGTTGCGGACTGTAGTGGCTCATCGGTGCGTGTACAAGTTGTCGCATATCTTTCTGTGCTCACGCGGACGATGGTGTGCTCGAAGATTGAACACTTGGTCTCGTAGGGAAGGCAACATTCGTCTTTCAATAGACGACGGTCCTTCCTCTCGGGAGTTCCTGGACGATGATTATGATGAAGATCGCGAGAGTTTGAATGACGATGAACCATTGGCGTATACCGCAGAGCGGTTGGAGATGGGTCATGGTACCTCGGGAGGGGTAAGTGCAGCCGCGGACGACGTTCCTCCTCCTCTACCCCCAAAGACTTGAGATTCTTGGAAGAGAGCGGTAAGTACTGCTTGAGTGCACTCCGTACCATCTCATTCCGTCCTCGCTAGGTTCTTTGTTCTGGAGTCGTAAGGGACTGAACATCTTTGGAACATATATACACAGATCGTGCTACTTTTTCCTTACGTCATTGTACAGCAGCTAATACCAGATGTCTACCGATACCCTCAGTTATTTCGGCCTGTGACACTGTTCGTTTATCGTTGGCCACGAGTTTATCATCGCCATCTACCTGATGGAACCACTAGCAAAGGTCTCTCAGTCCATTTTCCTTCGGTGCCGAAAGTATTTCCGTTGGCCTGTCGGAATGGCGACCACGCTTCTTCTACTCCTGGAGCACTCTGCAGCCTCCTTGGGTCGCTAACTGTACCTCGTCTTTCTCTGCACATCGGCTAGGTATGTGAATTTTAAGTCCGTTGGATGTGTGTTCCGTGGTCAAATTCTATTCGCCCTTAGATCACCCTCTGTTTTGGCCACGAAGTTGATGCGAAGTTCAGAAGTACATGACATGACCAGGTGACTCCGTACCTCCGGCCCGTTCGCTGTCTGTGTCTTTGGCGATGATGTTTGAGAACATCCACCGTCGACCATGACTCGCCTCAGAAAGACTTCCTATGGGGTAGGTTCCATCGCGTGCAGCGATCACAACCTCTCCGAAAATCTTCCGCCAAAACATCGCGTATCTCATGCCCAGGTCACATGGGGCAGACACCCCTTCAAAGTACGAATCCTCACAGTCGAGCATATAAGAAGGAAGTCCATAGCTTCTGCTCATCGCCGTCTGCTGCCAGTCTGTTCGCGTGGTTATGTTCAAGCACTGGGCCCTTTCTGCGTTGCTGGGCATCTTGCTTGGCCTCGGCGGTGTGCATGCCATCGGCCAGGCTACTTGCGTCTCATTCACCTCATCTCTTTCTTCCTTTCCCGTCGTCAGCAACAACAGAGCGACTCCTATTCTCTTGTCCGAGGATGAGTGGCCGGGCGTCCAGCGCGCTGCTTCTGATTTCGCCTCGGATATCGAGAGGGTGACTGGCGTGAAGCCAAGTGCCTTGAATTATACTGCAGGTCAAACTCCGAATATTGGTACCACTGCGATCATTATCGGCACCCTGGGACAGTCATCACTCATCGACGGGATTGTGAACCGGACGAATTTGGATGTGTCGACCATTGAAGGACAATGGGAGGCATTCCTTACGCGGGAAGTCACTGACCCTCTCCCCGGCGTGAGTAATGCATACATTATGATTGGCGCGGACAAGAGAGGGACCATCTACGCATTGTACGACCATTCTGAACAATTTGGTAAGATATCGTTGGTGCGGCTCTAATTTCATGTCTGAAATGACTTTGAGACTAGGTGTTTCGCCGTGGTACTGGTATGGATCGTTTTGAATGACATCAATTGACTTTAACCATGCAATTTCAGGTGGGCAGACGTGCCGACAACCCACAATGCTGAAATTTACGTTGCCTCTTCTGGCTGCGCACATGGCACACCGACGGTGCAATACCGTGGTATCTTCCTCAATGATGAACAACCGGCGCTGCAGAACTGGGCCATGGTGATGTATACAAACGGTACTGGTGCGGCCTTGACAGGATCGCCGTTCAACCATTACTTCTACACCGCTCTGTGAGGAGTTTCTATTTTGACAATTTTTATTGACAATTTGCCTGTCTTAGATTCGAGTTGATTCTTCGCATGAAAGGGAACTATTTGTGGCCTGGTATGGTCTCTCTTTGTGTTTGCTTATTGACGCTTTTGACACGAGATTCCAACCCCGTCCAGCGATGTGGGCGAGGTATGTCATAGGAATTGTGTTTCTTGTCTACTTTCCATTCAATATCGCCCCAGTGCGTTCGGTGTCGACGACACGCAAAATCAGCCTCTGGCTGACTACTACGGAATCGTGATGGGAACGAGTCACGAGGAACCTATGATGCGCTCCATTCCAGTCGAATGGGATCTGTTCGGCGTTGGTCCTTGGGATTACAGTGTCAATGCACAGAACATCTATGACTTCTGGGTTGTCGGTGCCGAACGTGCAAAGCCGTACGAGAACATGTTCACTGTTGGGATGCGAGGCGACGGTATGGTTCGTGTCATTCACGACCCAATTTTCCACTCATGTTTTCGTGCTCAGGTGACGGTATGCTCCATTCCTCAACGTATCATACAAGGATGATGATGTAATTGGAACCCTCTCAAGAGCCGCTCGCCGGAGGAACAAACATCGCCCTTCTGGAGGAGATCGTTGCAGACCAACGGCAAATTCTCACCAACACATATCCTACCGTCAACGTGTCCACAATCCCACAGATGTGGTGCCTGTGTAAGTTTGTCATTTTCATTTAACTTCGATGATACCGACCTGGTATAAACAGACAAGGAGGTTTTGGGATATTACGAGGACGGCATGACGGTGCCGGAAGATGTGGCTTTGATGTGGACCGACGACAAGTATGTTCGCTTGCAATCTACCATTTTATGACGATCATCAATATTCCTGATCGCAGCTACGGTAATGTTGAGAGATACCCTACAGTCGAGGAACGTAACAGGACTGGTGGTGCTGGTGTCTATTACCATGTAAGTTGCTGTCTTCAGCGTCGGGCATAAAACGTCATTAATGTTCTCATGCTCCAGTATGACTACGTGAGCAACGTATCTTGCAGTCGTATCGGTTATACTGACCGTCAGCAAGGTGGGAAGTCCCCGGAACTACAAGTGGATCACAGTACGTGCATCTTGGCTAACAAGCAGTCATCATTGGACTAAATCCTTCGCCTTCAGAGCAGTCAAGTTGCCAAGGTATCTTTACCCTCATTCGAGTTGACATCAGCGTCCACTCATTTGCTTCCAGACATACGAGCAGATGTCTCTCGCAGTAGCTCGCAACGCTACCCGCATCTGGATCGTCAATGTGGGGGATCTCAAGCCGTATGAGATGCAGACAGAGTTTTTCCTCGCGTACGGCTGGGACTCGTCCATCTGGAACATGGATAACCTGGACTCTTACATCGTGAGCTGGGCAGTGCGCGAATTTGACCTGCCTGCATCCGATGCGCAAGAAGTCGCCAACATCATTGCCTACGTAACGCGTTTCAATGCGAGGTGCAAGCCAGAACTGCTGAACTCCACAACGTACAGCCTGTATAACTACAGAGAGTGAGTTTCCTCGAAGCAGTCCTTGGGAACGACTGCGAATAACATTTTCACCCAGGGCCGAAACCGTGCTTGCCCAGTGGGAAGCAGTGAACGCTTCCGCTACCCGTATTCGGGATCAACTGACTTCGGACATGCAAGCTGCGTACTTCGAGCTCGTCTATCACCCTGTTCAGGCTACCTACACCCTGGCGAATATGTGGATCTCTGCTGGATATAACAATTTGCGTGCCTCACAAGTAATAGTCAGCGCGAACGACTACGGAGTGGAAGTCGAGAGCCTCTTCGAGCAAGATTACGAGCTGGAGGTGGAGTACCATACTATATTAGATGGTGAGAGGCGATATTTCTGTGTCTTGCATGATCTTCCTGACCAATAATCTACCAGGCAAATGGTGAGGGCCTCTCGGCCAATTTTCTTCCATGGAGGCTGACGCATCATACTAAGGGACCACATGATGGATCAAACGCACGTCATGTACTACTACTGGCAGCAACCTCAGGGAAATACGTCAGTTTTCAGCTTGTCTCCGACGATTTCATCTTCACGCCATGTTCACTAGGATGCCCTTCATTTCATGGATACAATCGCAGAAACTGGCATTGACAGGTGCCATGCGCATTTTGTTGGAAAATAGCCAAGGTGCATGGTAAGTGCTTCAGGATGCACGAATGCACGTGATATTCATCAGTCGTTCGCACTCACAGGCCGGGCGATAATCAATACGACTGTGCGCAAGGATACAGCTGTCCCAATCCCACAGTCTACCTTGATTCCTACGTCCCGGCTGGCAATCGATACTTCGTCGTTGGCGCTGGCGGTCCGAACACGTTCAGCTACACAGCGACGAGCAACGCCACATGGCTGAACCTCAACAACACCGACAACTACGTCTCTTTGAGCGCTCCAGAGCAACGCGTCTATGCCTCCGTGGAGTGGAGTCAAGTCTCTGACGTGCAGTATGCTTTGATCAGTTTCAATGCGACTGTCGAAGATCAGTCGGAAATGTCGTTCACTGTGACGTTCATTGCAACGAATAACATTGTACCAAGCGGTTATGTCGGTGAGCAAAATTCGTTTTCGTGCGTTCTTACCACCGCTGATTCGTCAATAAACAGGATTCGTGGAAGGTGACGGTGTTGTCTCGATTGAGGCTGCAAAAGCGGCACGCAATACCTCAGTCGATGGCGTCACGTGGACCAACATTCCGAACTATGGTCGCACAGTCTCCGGTGTGACACCCTGGCCTCGCGGAGGCGCTGATCAAAATTACAGTATTGGGACCGGCCCCAGCATGTGAGTCATGTCTTCTGTTTCGCCTTGAAGTTTCAGCTTCCTGATTCGGCATCTAGCGAGTACGACTTCTATACGTTTGACGCTTATAATGACACCAATGTTACGGTAACCGCATATCTGTCTCCTTCGTTAAATGCTCTGGGGCCGGACCGGCCCCTGGCGATTGCGCTTCAGATGGATTCGGACGACCCACAAGTCAGCTACTTCATCCCGAACGCGGCGCCTGGTTCGCTCCCAGATGCATGGAACCAGTGGGTCTCAGAAAGTATCGTCACCGTCCCAATGACTTTCTATGCTCCCCCGGGTGCCCACACATTGACAGTGAGTATGATGGTCACATCGTACAGTATGGAAAATTTTTACGAACAACGTCTAGGTTTACATGATTGAGCCCGCTGTTGTTGTGCAAAAGTTGGTCGTCGGTGAGTTGTTCAGAGAAGTCTGCGCGTATTCATTAGCTCTATCGTGTTTCGTTCTTCAACAGACTGCGGGGGGCTACTGCCCAGCTATCTCGGTCCGCCGGAGAGTATCTTCATGAATGGAACAGCTTGAGAGAGATTGAGCCATCAATGCTGATTGACGGACGGCTGGATGCCGGCACACCATACGATAGCATATAGTACGCACTTTGAAGAAGAGATTGTGCGACACTATTGCTACAGTCGCTGTCGATATCTCAACGAACCATCTTCCAGCTGTCTCTTGAGGCTGTGCGTAGAAGCGCCCGCCCATAGCGTCATATCGTACCGGAGTTGCACGAGAGCCAAATGCGCAAGCCTGCTTTATCAGCAAGATCCAAGCTGCTTTCTCAGCAAATTTCGAAGTACATATAAGAGACTCAACATCAGCGAGAATCGAGTGTGCGACATTGTCCCCATTTTACTAGTAGCAGTAGTTCGACCATGCCGGAGATCATTACCCTCTACACCGCTAAGGTTTAACGAAGCTCTTCCACGACATTGCTGATAACTGACACAGTTCGCGATCTAGGTTTGCCCTTACGCCCAAAGGGTACGTCGTGGATTTAGCGATTACTCTGGGAGTCTTCCGCACTGACTCTGTAATGCAGGCTGAGCTTGCGCTGGAGGAAGCGAAAGCCGACTACACCAAGTTTGAGATAGATTTGTCAAACAAGCCTGAATGGTATGCGCCATTGGTTAACCCTGCGAGTAAGGTACACGACATGTGGCTTTTTCTTGCGTAGAACACTCACATATTACTTTGCCAGGTCCCCGCTATTGCCTACGGTGGTCCGAAGGTACCCCCCGAGCAGCCTTCCCCCAAGTCTGTCAAGATTGCCGAATCGCTCATCATCGTAGAATTCGTCGCAGATCTGTTCCCGGAGGCCAATCTCCTTCCCAAGGACCCGGTCCTCAGGGCGAAGGCACGCTTTTTCGTCGATGCCGTTTCAACCAAGTTCACTCCGACTTGGTTTCCGTTCGTAGCAGGCAAAGGTTCCGCGGAGGACTTTATCAAGGGTACAGAGCAGGTGCAAGCCCTACTTCCGGAGAGTGGCTTCGCGATTGGGCAGTACTCGATAGCTGACATCGCGATCACACCATTCCTTGCTCGAGCTGAGCTGTTGTTGAGGCACGCCATTGGCGCGTACTCTGCAGAGGAGGCGAAGAAGGTCTACGAAACAGTGTGGTTGTCGCCGAAGTTCTCAAGACTTCAGAAGTACTGGAATGATGTGAAGGCCCGTCCCAACTTCAAAGCTTCCTTCGACGAAGTGTGTCTTATTACCGAACGTTAGCGCTGATGTCGATGATATTGACGCGTTGTTCACAGGAATACGTTAAGGGGGTGTTCGAGACGCGATTCGCCAAGAAGTAGGTGTGCTAGGATTTGGTCCAACAGATATACGAGCAGTGTAATTGTATCGACGTGAGCGCAGCTGCTGGAGAATGAAGGGCGAAAGGTGTAATCATTCAACACCTGATAGAAAGCAAATGGTCACCAGAGGAGCCACAAGTCTACACGCTCACCTCCAGTTAGTGGAGAAATTGCTGGAGTGGAATTGAACGCTGGGATAATGTCAGGATGTCCAGGGCGCTGCCGATCATCACAATCTGGAAGACCTCCGTTACAATTCGATTGGCGTGGGGATATTTGCCTGAGGTGATCTCCGTAAATTTCGATTGCGGTGCGGGTGTACCCTTCAAATCTCCCTAGTATTCCTTAAGAATACTGCCTTCTGCACTTCCTCATGGCTGAATGCACAGAAAATCAATAGAATGCAGCGCAGATATAGACGCACTGCGAAGTAAATTCGCTGAAGAGTTCAGTCAGGATCGTCTCTTTCGACAGCTGCTCCTTCAGATGGTTCAAGGCGAGTGTTTGCAAGCTCTCGCAATCCAACTAGGTGTGGGAGAGGTCATCAGACGACGGTAAACACCACCGAATCGTAGCGTACTTCTTTCGCGAAATGAAACATTGACTTGCACGAGCGTGGAACGGGGAGATCTAAGGTTTGCTTGCGATAGATGTCCATAAACTTGCCGTACACCTCCTTACCCGCACAGCGCATGGGAGAGGAAATGACCGTCTCACTGTACAAATGAAACAGGAAAGCTTCCCAACTGATCAGCGGGTAAGTCAGATATGTTATACAGTAGCCGCAACTTCAAGGCTACAGTTGACGCCTGCCAGTCGTCGCCTGCGACTGTGGGGTCCGGATGTACCCAGCTTCGGTTCAGCTTTAGGAGAAAGAGATGTCAGAGGTGCACTCACCTTGTGTGGTATTAGTTTTCCCTTCGATTGCTGCTATATCTATACTCTCGTCAGTAATATGCATTGGGAGCCTACGTTAACGGTGAATGACGGGACTAGTTTACAGCCATGACTCACCATTCTGCAGCAATGTCTGCTGCTCGTCTTGCTGAATGCTCTGCGATTGCGACTTTTATCCACCTTCCTCTCCATCTTGTTCCTCTATCTCTTCATCGCCGCCGTCATCTTCGAAGTCACTATCCGCGTCAAGGTACTTTTTGCCTTACATCTTGGCGTTGACTGTGACGGAGATAGCATTCTCGAGCCGCAAACTCGCGTCCTTCTCCAAGTCACGAAGTCGAGAGAGAGCCGTAGAACACCCTCTAGGCTCGGCGCGTTTGAAGTAGAGCCTCGCAATCGAAGATTCCTCTTTACGGCGAGGGAAATCGGAGCTGGGAGCCCACTTCTACCGGAAAAAACCCAGATGACTACGCATTCGTTATGTTTTTCTCTGCTCTAGGTAAATTGGACAGTCCAGCCGTCCCCAAAGGTCTCAGAACTGCGTCGGGCAGGGCCTTCTCCATCGGCAGGCACGTTGAAATATTCATGCAAGTTCTAGAGGGAAAGCATGCCGTGACGTCGTAATCATAGACCGAGTGACATTTAATAATACTATTCAACAGAGAGATAGCAAACTTCAGGCTGGCAGAGAATGACCGTGACGAAGGTCGTTCAGTCGAGACCGTGACAGACGCGGAGTGGTGTTTCACATGATCTGTTGTCACACTGGCGGACGTGACTGACAGAACGCGCCTGAGTGGCGGGAAATTAGTTAGCTGCGAAATTCCCTAATGCGAAGGCAGCCACAAAGCAGAATCAGGAGTTTGCAGAAGAAAGGGAGCTTCAGTATGCGAGTGAATGTGAGATTAACGAAGGAAGATAGTACAATTATTGCGTTATGAAGGTCGAAGCCAATTTCCCTATCTCAATCTGAAGCCTGAGATATAACCCGTCGTTCCCCCACTACGTAAGGTTGTATTTTAGTCTGCCTGAGGGAGCCAAAGCACGAGGGAGGCTATGGAATATCCATGAGTACCGCCTATGGATAGTTCTCACTTGTGAATTCCAACTTAAAGAGCTTTTCGTCCAAGAGCCAGTGTCATTGAGACCCGTAATGCTTCATTAGAAAAAGCATCTCCAATTTGCGTCACTTCCGCATATATTTTTAATCACAACTCACAAACAAAGATAGCCATAATCACTGGACACATGCCTCGAGGTGGATCCAATAAAGCATTCAGTAAGGGCAGGGCGCAGAGAGGGGATATCTTCGCTTCCTGGTGACAATGTCATGCAGCACGGCACATTGACACCGTGTTGCTTATTCTGATTATGCAGCCACCAAGAAAATGCACTTATCAAGTCCTGTACATTCTGATAACCGAATTGGAGATGTTTGAATCTCGCCGACACGCCCGTCCTCGGTAATTTTTTTCTGTAGCTTCGCGCCGTCTGCGGAGTGTAGGTAGGGGCACGTATGTCGCGCCCTCCGACAGTCTGTAGGTGCCCCCGAATGACAAGAAGAGGCAGCCCGAGAGCGCTGGATGACACCGCAGTGAGACCTAGCCCACAGAAAGGATGTAGATGGCGAGAAGTCTGAAGCAGAATATGGGCGACATCAAATTCCGGGTGTTTTGACACTTTACTGCTCGGAGTAGAAGAGTAGATGCTTACCAGCCCCTCCAGCTGCGAATAGACGTCTTCCTGCAATATTCAATTCCTTCCGTAAGCTTTGCGAGCTGAACAAGAGACTATCGATGTCGCCGACGCGCGCAATGGGGAGAAAATCCTTGGTACTTTGTGGCGTTTCGTGCCAAGGCCTTTGGCAGCGATCGGCGTACCTCCGCGGAGCAAAACGTTAGCCCGCGAGACCTTATGATAAGATCAAGTGACCGCCCCGAGGCGCAACGAACTCCGCGTACCTGACATAATGCTGCATCCTCTGGAAAGCAGAATCTGGGGGGACTACGCGTGTCATGTATATCCGAGAAGACATCCATACCTTACGTTTACCACAGAACCCTCCGCCCACCGTCCGACTATATATCTACTTGATACTATTCACTTTGTGTTCGATATCCGCGACGTCGTACTTCCGAACCCACAGCGGTTGACGAGGAGCCTTACAAATCTGAGCTATGTAAAAGCGTAGTCAGCGAATTCCACTTTCATTTTCACTTACTGCGTTCCGCACTAGCTGACGAGGTGCATATTACATATGTACCGGTGTGATCGGCGCGGACAGCTAATTCCACTCGTTCCCTCGTTTTCTGCTAAAAGCGTTATTGGGTTCACAGATAAGATCGCGAGTGGACTCGAGAGCCATGAGGCAGGAAACATTGCTTTTACCACAAAAAGAAGGGTAGTTTCCATATTAGGAAGGTTTTCAAGATGGTCGAACTTCATCCTTTGAATGACTAATTTGCCATCACCTCGAGTGCCAACAACGTCGGGTGACCTTGGCCGAGGTAGAAACCTCCTATGAAGAAGTCAGGTTACCGCTCACCAGGACGAACTTGACTGAAAGCGGACAGACCTCCTATGCTCATGTCAGCACACTGCTCACCGGGACGAACTCTTGACCGATTCTAGTGGAATCGGAATCTGAAAATGGCGTGAGGATATAACAGAGCAAGCAAGAGCAATCCTCGCGAACTCGACGGACTGAGCATGGCTATCCTGAACCTCCTCGCGGCCTGTGGCCTCCTTCTGGGTTCAGCACAATCTGCTTGTGCTTTCGGATACGGGCCTCTCCCGGGTCAGATCAAGAATCTTGTAACATTCGGAGACTCCTATACAGATGTCGTAAGTAGCCAACTCATCGCAGCAATTTATACTTCCTACCCTGCAACGCAGGCCGTGCCAGGCGATCATGGTATCGCATGGCCCATCTTCGCAGCAGAGGACGGGAACCTCACGCTCTATCCGTTCGCGCGCTCTGGCGCGACGTGCTCCAACAATCTGACAGCGAGACCATTCCCGTCGGTCTTCGAAAGCCAGCTCCCGACGTACTTCGAGGAAGTCGCGAACGGCACGCTGGACTTGAACCCGCATGACACGATCTATACGCTCTGGATCGGCACGAACGACGTCGGGGTGGACGCGCTGCTGACAGGGGATCAGACGCCGGGCGTGACGGTGGTGGACACGGTCACTTGTGCCGTCAACTGGGTGAAGGTGTTGTATGAGAATGGTGCGAGGAACTTCCTGTTCCAGAACGTCAGTACAAATTATTCGTAGTATGAACCACAAGTTGTGTTGACCGCGCTTACATCGCTCGCAGATGCTTCCGCTGCAGAACACAGTTCTTTATGCGGCAGACTCGTATCCCAATCATTACTGGACGTACGAGCGCAACACTACGGAGTGGAACGTCTTCATGACGGAGCTGACACAGACGGCCAACAACCTCTCCGCATTGATGCTCCAAAGTCTGACACCGGCGCTTCCGGGAGCACACATCGGTATGTTACGCAGTCCCTGAGATGAGGAGGGCGTCAACTAATCGCGCGATAGGCTACTTCAGCTCCTACGACCTGGTCTCGGATATCATTAATCACCCAGCGAACTATCTTAACGGGACCGCACCTCTGAACGTGACCGGGTGTGTTAACGCGTGCGTGTACCAGTTGAACGGGAACTCATCTGGTCCGGCGGCGTGCACTGTCGCAAACGGAAGTGATGCCTACAGTTTCTTGTGGTACGTGAATTTAGCCCATTCTGACTGCCACGTGGTGATTGAGTGTGCCTCGTATCACAGGTATGACGAGTTGCACCCTTCCCAGCAGACCGACGGTGTCATTGGCAAAGCGATCGCGGCTGCGATTACAAGGACCTCGGATCAGTGGACCACCTGGTTGACTTCAGTTAATGAAGAGAGAGGACCCAAAAGGTCGTAGGTAACGATGACGGTGTCGTATTTTGCCGCCACGGGACAGCTTAGTGTAACATCGCTTTAGTGGAAAGCTGTAAGTTCATTCGGGATTATTCACGTGATGAAACGACGTACATATGTTCAGACCTGTAACAATCCAAGTTTGAACGACGCTTGTTGACCGTCCTTTCGTCCTTGGACCGATGATCACCCGGAGCTGAAGTTTTCATCGCAAACAGCGTGCCGACGTCTTTTACGACTCCATAGCCCTGTTCCCCTAAACGGCAGGTGCAGGACCCTTCAACAGAGGGTAGACCGTATCTGTCCCGAGAACCAAGTTCCGTCAGGCACGTCTCGAAATACGGATACTTTTAACACCCCAAAAATCGCAAGACTAAGCTTACCTTTGTTGTCGCGCATGCCACGCATATCGACACGTCGAAGTGCATGCGGTTGCGGAGGCGGGCGATATCGACCTCACTGCTAAGTCATAGCCCAGAACTGATCAAGGCCATCAGCACAGAAAAATTCCGACCCAATTTGTTGGCAGTTACCTGTTCAGCAGCCGTTATCCGCGCGATGAATGTTTATGTAGTGCAGAGCCTGGATATACGAATGTCAGAACAGACGATCGAGAAACGTATCTCAAGCCGAAGGTCTACTATGAAGCGACGCGCGCGTACCACTTCGTTGCATTGAATTCATGACAGTACTGCGTTCATCGTCAAGTCAGACGCGTTGAACTAAGAGTACTAGTCTTCCGAGTGTTTTCCCTATAAGGGTGCGTGAAGTTTGACTTAGCAGCGAGCTTGCGAGCATCTAAGTCAAACTAGTGCTTACTAAGCGAGAAGCTGAATGCGGGAGGACACCAGCGTCTACGTCGTCTTCCTCCTCCTCCGCATTCAGCTATCTCGCCTAGCCGTTTTTTCATCCCGCCCACCTCCCCTTGAATACAAGCGTCCATAGTGGTGGTTAGCCGTGTTCTCAACGACTCTCCGCCGCTTCACGCTCGAGTTGGATTCCAGCTTCCTCTCAGCTCAAGCTCACATCACGTACAACGCCTGCCTCGCCGGTTAGATCGCCTGCGTCGAACATCCGCGCACACTGCGGCATCATCAGGCGCTGTCCCTTTAGCGGTTTACCCGCACTCGTGAGCTCGAGCCTCTTCGCAAGACGCGGAATCCACCTCTCCCCAACCCAGGCTACTAGCACTAAGCAACGAACGCATTAAGTGAGTTGCACAGATAGATCTGTCCAAGAGCTCAGTACACGAGCACTTAGGAAGCCAGTGCGTGTGGCGGTGTTGTTTGTCCCAGATCTCGATCAGAGCATGCAAAGGAAATTCCAACGATGCTGTACGCTTTGCCACGTTGTCTGTGTCTGTGTTTCAGTGGCGTTCCTTGAGTGTCTGGCAGATGACTTGGCATCTAGTGTACGAGAATAAATGCCTCCACTAATGATGGAGTTTCAGGTTCCTATTTGCCTAGCCGCTATCGCGTCTCCCCTGCTTCTGGCAACAACACTACCGTCATCGCTTTTGATTGGATCATCCGATCTGGCCGCTGGGGGGCTGCCGTGCTTGCGCGGCCGTACCAACGGTGCCAAGAGAACATCTCAGAACCAACTAGCGGGCTCTGCAGTGCTTGCGCGGCTGAAGGGCCTGACTGCGAGAGCGGAAGAGAGCAACGCTCAACGTCGGCTGGGCGGCGGAAGAGCGTCACGCACAACGTCGGCATGGACAGCGTGGGTCAAAGCTTGGTCAAAGCTGAACGTGAACCGACATCAGCAGACACGGTGACGTCATGCCCAGCAACGCTTAAGTATCCGACCCTCCTGTGCCACCCTGTGCTCAAATCCCTTCACTGCACTTCCCCGACAAACGACACCCACACGAACAATGACTACCACCAAGACAAATCTCGACGCCCTCTTTCCCGCCCCTTATCCCCCGCCTTCCCCGTTGTCCCCCGGGCGTTGGCCAGGAATCACTCAGGACTCGACTCTCGCATTGGGAAGACTCCTGAAGGAAAACCATGAGAAATGGCACATTTTCTTCAACGATATGCATTTCCACAAGTGAGCAGCGGCTGCCTTTCTCAAGTCACCATTTGTCTGACGGCCATAATTTTACTCAAGCCATACATCCCACCACCTGCTCGCGATATACTACTTAGGGGCTAGTCCTGATCTCTTGGATGCCGCATATCAAACCCATGTTTCACGCATGCGTCCTGCCAGGAAGAGTCCAGACCCGATCACCTCGAAGAATTTCCATCAGCACCTCGGCGACGAGAAGTAGGTTATTTCTGCGAACCTTCTATTATAGCCCTGAACTACGCATCTACAGCTTCTACTCCGGCTATCTTGAATTCTTCTCCGCCGTTTTACTGGAAAAAGGGGCTGCAGCGACTATCGAAGAGTACATCTTCTCTCCGTATGCCAACATCCTCGCGCCTGAGTTAGGGAAGCCTCCCATGAAGATGTTGAACCGCTTTCTCTCCGGCATTTTTCATCCCCTCATCCACACTGGGTACGGTGTAGAGTTCGGCTTACCCGGCATGGTCGCAGAGGGTGAGTGTAGGATTTGTTTTTGCTGCTGTTGATATTTATTCTCCTGGTTGCAGGTCTTGCCCAGACGGCGGTCCATGGTCCGGGCGGACTCACTCTTGTTCGACCTTCGTTGTTCCAGTATGCATCTTCCATCTCTTCTGACGTCATCAATGCTGCCGTCAACCGTCTGACCAAACTCATGCCGTCGCTGGTACTGGAGTCGGCACAGCACGCGCTCAGATTCCAACACAAGCCAGCACAAGATGGCGTGCATGCGCTCACCATTCTTTCGCGCATCCTGCACGATCCTGCGTTCTCTCTGGCTGCGATTGGCCTGCCAGTGCCAGACGACTCGGAGGAGAATGCGTTTGAACATGTCGTCCGGGTGCGCGGAGAGGCGATTGTTGCTCATGCCGAGGCGTGGAGCGTCGACGGAACGAGCCCCGAGGAAGTCGCACGCAAGACCGAAGAGATCATCTGGATGAACGTTATGCTATACGGCGTGTGTGGCTGGAGCGCACGCGAGAAGTCTACCAACGGGAAGTTCAAGCCTGACTTTTTCTTGTACGTACACGCACTTTTTCCTCCGACGCATACTGACGCGACGTCCCAGCATGCACATGGTCACCTCCGTACTCTTCCTGCACTCACTCACCGCCTACCTCACCCCGACCTCGAGCACCATCCTGCTCCGCACTTATCTCATCAATGCACTCACCTGGTGGGTCGCGCGCGGGCGGCCCGCCCCGCCCCTGCGCGCCTTCTTCTCCTCCCCCGACGCGCCCACGGCCCACCCCACCGAGGCCGGCGCGCATCCGGCTCCCGCACGCGACGCGCTCGTGCGCACGGACCCGTCCCCGAACCCGTGGCTGCCCCTCCTGCAGACGACGCTCGTGCACCCGGACGAGCACCTCTGCAAGCTGCAGCGCGCGCTCGCGCACTTCGCCGCGCTCTATGGCGCGACGCCCAAGGGGCACTTTGCCGCGCTTGCCGAGGGCGACGCGCCGCTGGAGGGCGCGGGGGAGATGGACGGGACGCTGTTTGTGCGCGCTGCGGGCCTCACGGCGGACGCGCTTGGCTGGATGAGGGAGGGCGACGAGAGGAGGAGTTGGGATTTCGGTGGGTTCTATGCGTGAGTTGGTTGGATTGTGTGTATTATCGCTGCCTGTGTGTTTGCGACCTCAACTCGGAATCGTGTAATTGTTACCGTCACTGGTCGGGTTTGGAACTTGGCACTTACTAGTTCAGGATCGTGCTTGATTCGGATACAGGTGCGAGGCCTGGATATCGAATTGAATGTATATAATGAATGAGAGCGCCGTTCAAGTCCCGTCTACTAAAGTACAATCTCGACGGCGATCGACAGTGAAGAAACCCAAGATGAGACCAAGTAAGTCGGATGTTCATCGACGTGTCCCAGCTTTCCGACATTCCCGGAGGACCTAACCAAGCCTCGGCTACTATCCGCACCTAGTCCGCTCTCCCTCGCGCTCAGACCAGACTTTATCCCATGGAACCCCATACACACCATCTGATATTAAGTATGTGCACGCAACCACTCGAAATAACGCGTGAATGGACGGCAGGCCGGTGAGAGCATACAACGCGGCAGATAGCAAGACATCGTAGACGGTATCTAAATTAACCCAAGCTTCACGCGAGTTAGTTTCACCCCCGTTCGAGGTCAACGGGGAACTTATCGCTGGGAGCACGTTAATGTCAGCGCAGGGATGGGGCCTGCGCTGCAGGTTCCACCCGCCATCGGGTACAGGAGCGGGTGATGCAACATGATTGTGGGCCGACTCAACCGAAGAAAGAGAAGGGAAAACAAGACAACGACGTGACAGAGGTGAAAGCAGGTACAAAGATAAGACAAGAGTGCAGATGGGCTTGAAAACATTTGGAACGGGTGCGCCTTGCGCTTATTTTTCTTGCAGTTAGTGGGCGGGGTTCGGTCTTCTCGGTCTAGCGGGAAGCTTAAATACAGATCGAACCAGACAAATATCAGAGAGCCGCGCCAATGGGAGGGAATAAAGGCGTCGTCATAGCCAAAGCGGTACGCAGCAAGAAATAATGGACCTGGACATAGTTGGACCCGGAAGGGCGCAGATTGAGAATGCGCAACAGTGAACTTAAGCCTGATCAAAAGCGCGTATGTAACATCGCCAAGCAAAGGAAGAAGCAGAGGAGTTGTCAATCAGCAGGCATAGCAAACTGAGAAGAGCCAGCACCGGGACAATATCGCATACAGTCTGAAATTTTGCCAGTGGACACAGATGAAGACAGACGAGTCATAGTCCACTACCAGCGTGCGGACACGAAGAGACCCAGCGAGCCAGAGTATTAGAAAACCGACCGAAGCAGAGATCGCATCGCCGTCAGTCGACAGCTGCCTGAGTCCCCGAGCCTAGCCCAGGTAGCAATCAGAGGAGCCAAAACAGCCATCTAGCAACGCATTGTAAGCCATGAACAGTCAGGCCAGATGTAGACATTCAAAGTGTCGACGAGGCTTGAGCTTCAGTTACGTGCAGACCTGAAGGCGATAAGCAAGGACACCAGACGACGACATAATCAAGACACTTGCCTTCGTGAAGTGCATCGAACTGTGGAGAGGAGCAGCCGCCACCGAGCCACCTCTGATAACCTTTCGAATGCCACCTTGCCATCCTAGGGATCCACCCAACGATCAGCGAACAATGTGAACGAAACAAAAAAATATTCCCAATTTTGGCGCGAGTTGGTTTCCCTTGTGCAGAAGCGACAAGGTACTCGTCCCGAGGGCCACGTAGAGGCCCGCGCCCGGACAGCGCCTGCATCGCAAGCGCCGCCCGTCCTCGGGAAAAAGTGAAAGGGACGCACCTGGACTCGGAGGGACTTGGCATTGAGAGGGCTTGATGTCGTGCGTTGAGGACTCATCATACTTCTACATTCAACTACTGTGAAAGGGGACGAGCACCATACCGAGTTCCGAAACTTAAGACAAGGAGAGCTCACCAAAGAAAAAAAAAGAAAGGCTTGTTGAATGGTGGCAGCATTCAGGCTACATATCGTTGCGTCTACGCTCGGCTAACATGTGAAAGCGGTCGAATGCCCCACACTCGCCGAACTGAAATGAAGGGAGCGCTCACCACACATTGGAAATAGGTCACTTAATCGCCACGAGGTGGCATAGTGTCCGACTTGTGAACTCGTTCTGAAAGAAATCAAACGAAACAAATATGATATCATGCCATGACGCTCACCGACATACGACAGCCGGCAGAGTCAATCACAAGTAGCAAACGAGCCAGGACGGACAGATTATTAACCAGAAAGCAGAGTAGCAAAATGAACGGTCGTCTAAGAGTCGCCACAGACCAGTTGCCGAAGACTCGAGCGTCGGCACTCAAGAGCCGTGTCGCCAAAGTAGATTTGAGCCGGCCATCGGTGACCCACCTTTACACGAAGTGTTGTCGCCAAAGTCGATACGAGCCGTCGTCAACTTACCTGCCCATAAACCAGAACCAGTACGCACAAGGGGCCGCAGTATCGTGTCGCCAGAGAACGCCGAACAGGTGGATGCAGTCGCCAGAGCAAGTGTAGCCCAGACAAGAGATACAAGTACTCACCAGGAACCGCCAGCAATAACGCTCACAGCGTCGCAGCTATAGCAACTGTTAGCCAGAACTAAGATAGCACACCTTAGATAGGGCCACAAGGTATCCTCCGGCGAATCCGTCTCCGCTTGAGGACAACCGCAAGGCGAGCGCAAACCGTCAGCTAACGTCGAGCAACAAGCAGCCTGGCGACCAGACACGGAGAGCTCTACAGTGCGCGGAGGCAACGAGTGCCGTCATCAGACCGCACCGGGTCGTTCCGTCGGTCTCCTTCGAGGAAGGGCGCAGTATGTATGCTCCTTGCGCGACGTTGGCTGGCAGTTTGCACTCGCCATACGGCAGGGACGGCGACGGCCATCCTCGGTCTGGGCAGGCAACCATTGGTCAGTGAACGAGATAACAAAATCAAGAGCGCACCTTCATTGCGAGCCAGACATCCGGGATCAAAATCGGGTGAGGTTTAAGGCTGGCGCGTGTTGGTTTCGCCCGTCGCACAAGGCGACGGGGTACTCGTCCCGGGGACCACGTAGAGGTCCGCGCCAGCCCCCGGGGGGGTCTTTCCACGCGATTGTTGCCAAGGTTCAAGGATACAAAAGGAACAAAAAAAGAGAGAGGGAATGGGAAGTGAAAGAAAAAGAACTGAAGTCCCACAGTAGAGAACCGTCGCCAGAAGAGAGTTTTCCATCAGCTGCCCGCCCTCGAGGTGCACCTGATATGATTGAGGGTATTTGAACGCGCTTATATGGGGACCCTGCACAACATTGTTAGTCAAAGTGCAGATGAAATGAACTTGCTGCAAATCTCACCTTCTCTTGCATTGGGAACAACCACACCGCAAGGCTAGCACAAACTGAAACCAACACCGAACGAAAAGCGACCTGCCGACCAGTCACAGAAAGCCATTGTGGTGCGCAGAGGGCAAAAAAATGCCCGCAGCATTGCACACCGGCTCTCCGTCGATCTCGCCCTTCAGAAGAGTTTACAGCGTCCAACCCCTCGCCGATGCCGACCCGTCGACAGCTTGCACTAGACTGCAGTCAACAAAACCCACGAGAGCGATCACTGTTGACCAGTCACGGAAACCGTCGTGCAGCGTCATCACTGCACTCCAGTACATCGTCGGTCTCACCCTCGGGGAGGCTTTGCAGGATACACTCATCGCCAATTCTGATCAACAGCTTGTGCTCGCCTGCAGTCGACATAGAACGAAAGGTGACCTGCCGACCAGCCACAGGGTGCAGAAGGCAGAAAAACGCCCAAATCATTGCACACTGGTCTGTGATGATCTCGCCCTTCTGAAGGGTTCACAGGGTCCATACGCTAATCGCCGATGCCGAGGAAGAGTTTGTGCTAGCCTTGCAGACGGGCGATAGTCCGAGCGAACCTACGAAGAGTTGTTAGTGTGTGTGCACGTCGGGGCTATCGACGGCCGTCTTGGAAGGGAACAGTCAAACATTAGTCCACAAACGATGTAGAAATAAATCAAAGGATGCACCTTGAATTTCGGATGAGGTTTGAGGTTGGCGCGTGTTGGTTTCGCCCGTCGCACAAGGCGACGGGGTACTCGTCCCGGGGACCACGTAGAGGTCCGCGCCAGCCCCCGGGGGGTTCTGTCCACGCGATTATTGCCAAGATTCATGAATACAAAAGGAATGAAAAGAGGAGAGATGGAATGGGAAGTGGAAAAAAGAAGAACCAAGTCCCACAGAAGAGAACCGTCGCCAGAGTTTGTCGGATGAAGGAGGAAGGAGGAAGTCATCAGATGGAAAAGATGAAGCTAAGGCACGCCCACCCATCGCCAGAAAAAAGCGCAATGTTGATGTGGCCACATTGGTGGCCACCGTCGCCGACACTGATATTCAGCCCAGTCAACGACGAAGAGGTCGCGCCGCTGTGTCGCCCATTCTGGAGATACCGGCCGTCGATCAGGGGCGAGCACAGTCCAACTTACTAGTGACATGTTGAAAAGAATGCCGGAGTGACCTGCTATGCGGATGGGCGGCCGTTGAGTACGATGAACAACGACGTTGGAGAAGACTTGCCTTTGTCGTTCAACCCTCAGTCGTGGCCTTACAAGAACTTAAGCAAGGTGGCTTGAGAATGTGGAAGACGTTGAGGTCGAGGTTGAGGTTGAGGTTGAGGATAGATGATGGAAGACAGAGGGAAGGGCGATGGGAGAAAGAGCGGTGAACACCAGATTATATATCCAGAAACCCAACCGTCCACGTGGAAGAGAGGAGAAGGCAGAAGGCAGAGGCGATGGGGGAAAGAGGGGAGCAATAACTGGTGTATTTATACGCTGGAGGCCAAACCGCAGCATGACCAACGCTTGAATTCAATCAAAGCGTAGATCCATTGCTGAGATCCGCCAGATGCATGAGTCAGGGCACAGCAACAAGCAACGCCACGAGGCAAGAGACAATAGAATTTGATCCCATCTGATGGTGCGACGCTTGGGCGGTGTCCACGATTTAGGGTACAACTGCACTTCCATGTATGGATGGATCTGGGGACTTCTCTTGTTGACGACACTTCATAGCCCGCCACTCGCCGGACGCGTACTTCAGTTCGTGTACAAGATACTTCTGAAAGAGAGAAAAATAAGCAGCTGTCTGTAGAGAAAAGCGACGATATACGACATACTGAGTCTCCAAGTTGACGATCAGCAAGGTTGGCGTTGAATAACATGGGAGTGGTCCGCGGAATTCCGAGGGTGCCGATGTGGGTGAATTACATTACTTTCACCGCCACCGGATGTTGCCGACTCTCCGAACAGAATGCCGAGAGTTATGCCGAACGATGCATCTCCACTCTCCAGCCTTGGTACAAATGACGGGCACTCTGAAGGTGTGTCACATACAATTTATGTGTGCGAAAGTGGCGAGAAATATGTCTAACTGAATGCGTAAAGTTCGCCAGCATCCACCATGGTCAACTAGCAGCTCACCAATCACAGGTGGGAGTATGTGGTGCACGGAGACGGGCAGACCCACGGCTGTGGATGCACTTTAGTTTCCCCACTTGTGCCCGTTACTAGCATTTCAATGAAGGCGGCTACGTAGAGCCCTGTTCCAGGACCGACGAGCAAGGTGCATTTCATGCCTTACCTCGAGGTCATACTGTCACCGTTCTCTTCATTTTTTATCTTGTCTTATATATTTTGATGTTTTTCTTTCTTTGATGTCTAGCTTGGAGCCGAGTTTTTGCGCTCTGGCCCTCGTTTCGATGTTCCGTCTTGCTGTTCTGACAGGCGCGACTCAGTGATGTATTCTCAGCACGATTCAAAAGACAACCAATGTTACGCGGCAGCGAAACACGAGCGTCTAGTCGAGTCGTCACGAGACAAGGTCTTAGTCTAAGACACAAGTCCGTTCAAGTGACACTTCTGGCGATGTCCTCGCACTGAAGGTCGATCAGAGTTCGTTCTTATGACTTGTAGTAGCTGTCTGCTACTGACGGTCGATCTCAGTCAAAGGCAAGTGAAAAGCTGGTTTAATGGTAACCAGGTCGAGATGGGGATCCAGCTCGACAAGGTCATCTACTTATACAAAAGGTATCCGCAGTACTACGCAGTAATGCGAGATCGTTCATTGGCTAGATAAGGTGAAACGATATCTGGGCAAGGTAACAGCGAGGAAGTAATATGTATGAGAAAGCTGAGTAAGGTCGTGAGAGATAATCAGTACTAATGGGGATAATGAGTCGTGTATCAGAATGAGGTAAAGATGAGGCGTACATGCACGTCTTGCATGCGCGATAAGAAGAAGGTCCGGAGTTAGATCCAGTGTAACCCTAGACCAGGGGTTCTGGACATCTGGATAAAGAATCGGAGGTTGCGCTCCGATGAGTCACGTGTTGGATCACGTGGTCTGGTAACGTAAAGGGAACAAGGAAAAGAAAAAGAAAAGACGCGCCACAAGCGTGAGGAGCATTGTAACATCAGCTCCCGTCTAACGTTTCTTGTCCCACAAGAAATATTGTGATCTTCATCGTCGTCGGGGGCAGTCGCGGACATAATGATCTCCTCCACATCTGTAGCATGTCCGCCGGCTGGTTCGTGATCCTTGTTCGGGGATACGTCCATCCCTGTAGGGATGACTGCGATGCGAAGAAGTGGATGCGGTCGAGAAAGATGGTTGGGATAACGGAGATCGTCCACTGGGTACGTGCGAACGAGGAGGGCGAGGTCGAACGGGAATTGGTTCTGGCGACGAGCGAGGAGTGGATGCGGGTATTCCATTAGTGGTGTATCCGAGGATGTGTCCAATGTCTTCGTCCCCATGCTCCCTCCAAATCTCCTGTGCTGTACGAGTGACCGTACTGCGCATTAATGACCAGACTTGGTCGACTCTGGTTCGGGCTCTACTCGTCCTTTCCTCTGCTGCGATGAGCTCTTGTCTGGCCGTCTGCATCCACTCGACCATTTCTAATGCTCGTTGCATGGAAACCACTGCTTGTCGATCTTGCGGGCGATTTCGTAAGGCGACAAGGATATCTGTGAAGTCGACAGGAACACGAATAGCTGAGACCAGACGTGTGGCAAATTCTTGTTCGTCCGATGTGTGACTGAGTTCGATAGAAGGTGAGGGCGATGAGGCGCGGATAAAGGGTGTCTGTGCTCGAGAGGGTACTCCATTGACAAGCGTAGGCGATGCGGGTATGCTCATAATTGTGGAGGCGACTTCAGCGAGTATATTGTGAACAAGGTCGTCTATAGCGGAAGTGGGCATTGACGATATGTCATTTTCTCCTCCTTTTATACCTTTCGGTCGTTAAGGGGATCGCGGTTATCTGTGATGTGAAATAGAATGTCGTGGATCCGGGTAATAATCAAATAGATGAAAATCCATTGGACGATAAAGAGTATTCCCACAGAGATAAGAGCTGCCTGATCAGTTCCAGGCATCGTTCTGATCACCCCAGCCGTTAGCGTGCGGGCTGTCTCGCATGAAGAGTGTGTGTTCGACAAGTCGTCTGATAAGGATTCAGTGGATGATCCAAAGAAAAGTGAGGGTTGTGCAGTGGAGGACGATTAGGAAGATGATGAGGAAAACCGTCGTGGTAGTCATTCCGGGTTTCTTCTCCTCTACTGGATTCCCCTGGTCCTTTTATATGCATTGAGGATTCACTTGGCATTCTGTAAATTGTGGGTAGGTTCCCACGAGTTTTCTGCTGAAGAATATCCTTTCCACTTGACTAAGTACCTCAGATGACCTTGGTACGTCTTGTGATTCAGGATGGCTTCGACTTCGTACTCTTCTTCATTATCAACAACATCAGGTGGTGGGTTCACGTAATTCGGACCATGTATGTTGTTTTCGCGATAAGGAGATAGAAGGGCGGCGTGGAATACGGAATGAACTCGCCAGGTCTTTGGAAGTTTGAGACGATAGTTGGCTGGTCCGATGACTTTGACAATTTCAAATGGCCCCTCACGCTTTGGTGCTATCTTGCGCGAGGCGTAATTGACCTTCAGGTTCCTCGAGTCTAGCCAGACCTTCTGTCCTAGTGTAAACTTTGGCGATCCTTGTCTGACTCGGTCCGCCATCTGTTGTCGGGCTAACTCGTGCATGGCTAGTGCTTCTAGTCTTATCTTCTGCAACATGTCAAGCCTGGATTCAACCGATGGAATGTTCGTGGTCGGAAATACGGAAGGGAGTCCACGTGGTTCGTATCCCATCATGATGCGGAATGGGCTCATCTTCCGTGCCGAGTGTTCCCTTGTGTTATGACAAAACTCGAGGTCTGGCAGGCGGTCGGCCCATGTTTCAGGGTTGTTTCCGCAATAGAGTCGAAGATAGATTTCCAGCTCCTGGTTGACTCGCTCTGTTTCTCCATCCGTCTGAGGGTGATAAGCTGTGCTCATTGATGATCTGATCTGGAGTAGTCGATTTAACTCTTGGAAGATCTTGGATGTGTATTGAGGTCCTCTATCCGAGATGATTCGGTCGGGTAATCCAAATTGCGAGTATACTTTGTCATGAAAAATCTTGGCTGTTCCTTCGGCTGTGATTGTTTTGAGGCAGGGCGTAAGAATCACCCCCTTCGTAAGGTCATGGTCTACTATGACCATAATTGAATCAAAACCGTTGGAAACGGGGAGGTCGGTAATAAAATCGGTGGTGCAACAGGAAAATGGTAATGCGTGTGGGTCGGCGGGAATTGGTTCCAAAGGAATACGAGTTGGATGAGTATTCGGTTTCATTTGTTGACAGGCAGCACAGCCTTCAACATAATTGTAGACAAATGTATACATGCCGGGCCACCAGAATTCACGACGTAACAGTTCAAGAGTATTAAACTTTCCAGGGTGACCCATGGCAGGGGAGTCGTGATGTAGTCGAACGAGGTCATGACGAAGAGTTTCGGATGGTGGAACATAAATCTTTCCCTTGTAGAGGATGACACCATCGCGAACTTCCCAGTCAGAAAGCGATGATTTCATGGGGAATGGCCCTTTGTGCGCAATCGCTTCGAGGGCTTCGTGAACAATGAGGTCTTTTGCTGCGTGATTCCTGATTTCGTCGAATAGTGTCGGGGAAATGGATCGCACGAATAGTGCATTGGGTAAAAGAATGCGATCTTCGTTGTCACTTTCACTGTCATCGAGTCCATTACGATGAGATAGCGCATCAGATTGGATCATCTGAGTGCCAGGGACATGGATGAGGTGAAGATCAAATTGTGATAATTTGAGACTCCATCGTGCTTGTCAGCGGTTTAACTTCTGAGCTGTACGGAAGTACGTGAGGTTCTTGTGATCACTGCGAACTTCGACGGGATGGGGAGAGCCTTCAAGATAATGGCGCCATTCAGTGAGGGCTCGAATGATTCCGAGGAGTTCGCGGTCGTAGATTTCGTAGTTCCGTTCAGCTGGATTGAGCGTCTGTGAAATGTAGGCACAAGGATGGAGGTCTCCATTGATGTCGGCTTGGCGTAAAACTGCACCCGTAGCAAACTTGGAAGCGTCAGATTCAACAATAAAGGGTTTTGCCTTGTCAGGCAGTAACAGTACTGGGGCGGTACTGAATCGTTGCTTCAATGTGTCGAAAGCTGTCTGACATTCTGTTGTCCATTAAAAGGTGGAGATCCAGCGGCAGTGCGCGTAAGATTCGTCAATGGTTTGGCAATATCCGAGAAGTTGGCAATAAACTTCCGATAGAAGTTTCCAAATCCTAGGAAAGAGCAAACACCTTTTACCGTGCTTGGTTCAGGCCATTCTGCAATTCCTTTAAGTTTGATAGGGTCCATGCCAATGTAGTTTTCTCGAATGATCATGCCTAGGAATTCGACTTCTTTAACGTCAAAGAAACACTTTTCCGGTTTAAGGAATAAGTCGTTGTCTTTGAGTCGTTGGAGTACGTGTCGGGTTCGAACGTGATGTTCTTCCAAATTGTTTGAGAAGATGAGGATATCATCCATGTAAATGACTATCCATCCCTCATCGATCATGTCCTTGAAGAGTGCGTTCATCATCATTTGGAAAGTCGCCGGGGAGTTGCAGAGTCCAAAGAACATGACCATAGGTTCGAAAAGTCCGCGATTTGTCTTAAATGCGCCCTTCCATTGGTCACCATCTTTGATTCTGACATTGTTATATCCGGAGCGTAAATCCATTTTCGTAAAGATCGATGCGCCTTTGAATTGATCCATAAGGTCAGAGATGAGCGGAAGAGGATAGGCGTTCTTCACCGTCCCTTCATTCAGGTATCGGTAATCCTGACAGGGACGTAGTGCTCCGTCTTTCTTTCCTACGAAGAAAAATGGTGAAGCCATGGGAGATTTCGACGGTCGGATGTATCCTTTTCGTAGATTTTCTTCCAGGAAGTCATCCATCGCTCCTTGTTCTTTGAGCGATAACGGATAGACTTTACAGTCATGTGGAATAAAATCGGGTTTCAAATCAATGGCGTGGTCCCAAGGCCTGATTTCTGGAAAGCGTTCAGCTGCTTTCTTTTCAAAGACGGACTTCAAATCGTGGAGGTAGTTGGGGACCAACTCCTCGACGGTTTTAGGTTTGTCTACAGCTGATGCTTCCTTGTGTGCCTGTTGTGCCAATTCTTGTGATTTACTGGATGGTTTGTAAAAGACCGTATTCTGTGCGTTACAGAATAATGGGGATCAAGTACTGTGTGTCATTCTTCCAATGGCGGGGCCTCTTCGTATGGTGAAGACTGCAGTTTCAGTCTCTTCATTCATCAAAGGTGACTCCTTCCTGATGGGTTCAAATATCCCAATAACTGGCTCTCCTGCGATATAGGATATAACTAGATCGTCGTCATTGAGCTGATCCATAGGGGGTTCTGATGGTGGGTCATCTGGTTCGGTATTATTCCGCACTGCGGGTAACTCGCCACGCTCAGTGTTATCGGCCATGATTTCACTAATAGATTCCAAATGCCCAAACGAGGTAGGGGAAGTTTCGGTGGTGATTAACTCTGGGAGTCCATCTTCCTTGAAAATTGAAACTTCTTCATCTGGTGCATCTTCGACGGTGGGTTTCGGTGGCCATTTGGCGTCTTTACCAAACCAAAAGTTACCAGTTTCCCAGTTGATCATCGGATTGAGGCGTTTAAGCCACAGCATGCCGAGAAGTATGTTTTCTTTGCCAATGCCAGTCAAGAGGAAGCGAGTAAGTGTCTTCCTTCCTCCGATTTTCATCATCTTCCAGGTACAATGAGTAATGGTACCCATTTGATTTGGTGTGCCATCTGCATTCATGACTTTAATCGGTTTCGGTAATTCCCATCTAATGAAATCGTTTTCTTCCGCAAAATGAATGTTCATGAACGTTTCGGCTGCACCGGAATCGATCAAGGCTTCTGTTGTAACGTCTTCCTTCTCTCCCAATGAAATATTCGCAGTGATTGAATTTCCGCTAGTGTTACAAATAACGAGGGGAGATACGGTAAGGTGCGACGGTCCATGTATTACTAGTGGCCGTCGTCTCAAAAACCTAATTGGGTTCGTTCTTCATCAGTCATGTCATTGAAGACGTTTCGCACATAGGCGATCTGTTCCTCTCTGGTTTCTTCCTTCGATGTCTCCTTCTTCTGTGCGAGGTCTTCTCGCATCTTCTTGATCCATGTGATCGTGTCTGTGTCCAACCCGGGCTGTATCGTTCTAGCACGGGTGAAACTTCCAGACTGGGGGTGAAATTGTCTGTCGTTGGCTATATGGCCCCTCTTTCCGCATAGGAAACATAATCCTTCTTTCATTCTCTTCTGTCGCTCGTCCGGGGATAAGCGCGAGATATTGACACGATCAACATCCATCGCGTTTGGATCCTTTGCAGAAGCCGAGTAGTAGGGACGATGGATAGATCGGCCTTTTCCTCGCGTCGTCGTAGTGGCTCCTCGTTTGAAGATCTGAGCAGATCTCCATTGGTTATCAAACCGCGAGGCATATTCGTACCACTTGTCAAGTGTCTTGGGCATGCTTTCCATCCCATATATCCTTTGTCGGAGTGGGTCGTTAAGTCCCCACTTGAAATACTCGATATTTCCGGCATCTTCTAATTTCGCCTTGGATTCAAGTGATCAGAATTCGGCAATGTAGTCGTCCGCAGTACGAGTCCCTTGCTTGATGTTACGCAGCAATGTATGAGCGGTTTCTTCAATATTTTCATCGCCAAATGCTTTGTTCACACTCGCAATGAAGTCTCTCCAACTCCCATAAGAAAGGAAGTCATCATTGGTGAGTTCCGTTTCTATGAAGCTCTGTGCCCATGATCCTGCTGTTCCTCCTTGCATGTGCGATAGCACGAATGCGATTCTCTGATTGTCCTCCTGGTAGACATGGCTATTTCCGGCCATGTAATTCTTGCATTGGTTTATAAATTCCCTAAGCTTCGAACGGTCTGAACCGTTGAAGATCTCGGGTTTTCTAAAACCAAGTTCCTTCTGGCTGACATGGTGATGTCCTTCATCCATGGTAACTGTAGCCATCGGTGGTATGTAATCGGATATGATTGGTGCAAGAATCGGTTGGGGTACGGGATCCTGGACAGGGAGGTTCCAAGGGGCGTCTGGTCTTTCTCCTGGATAAGAGATAGGTATGCCGCTGTCTGCGATGTGTGATAGTACGAGCCCTCCAACGTTATGGGGTAGGCCTGCTTCGTAGTCACCACTTGGGTGATCAATGTGTTGATCTGGTCTGATGAGTAAAGGTCATCCGTTTAAAACGTGTACGTTCCTCTGTGCATCCCACTCTGCCTGAGATGGGAGGAGATCGATGTATTGCTTGGGAAGAGCAGTCGGGTTGATAAAGTTCAAATCCAGCGTGGATAAATTCTCCTGTGTGACCTACGTCTACACGTAGACTGCACACCGTCCTTAACTAAGTGGGTTCATTCATCGTCGGCTAACAAGCCCGTAGAGTGTCTTCTATCTTCAAACTGGTACACCTATTTGCTGATTGCTCGAGTGATTACCTCAGCCTCCTCGGCCTATTGGTCTCTCGGACAGACCCCTCTCCGAAGATGAGTGATCAGTCTATCCCTTCAGCTACCTCGATTACAGAGTAATCTCAAACGGTGCTTTAGCAATCGAATCGGGTGTATCGTTTAGTCTTCAAGGTTCGGTCCGGTCGGTAGTTCGTTGTTAGACTTTAGGAAGTCACAGAGAGTAATAAGATCTCGACCTAATGTTACGCGGCAGCGAAACACGAGCGTCTAGTCGAGTCGTCACGAGACAAGGTCTTAGTCTAAGGCACAAGTCCGTTCAAGTGACACTTCTGGCGATGTCCTCGCACTGAAGGTCGATCAGAGTTCGTTCTTATGACTCGTAGTAGCTGTCTGCTACTGACGGTCGATCTCAGTCAAAGGCAAGTGAAAAGCTGGTTTAATGGTAACCAGGTCGAGATGGGGATCCAGCTCGACAAGGTCATCTACTTATACAAAAGGTATCCGCAGTACTACGCAGTAATGCGAGATCGTTCATTGGCTAGATAAGGTGAAACGATATCTGGGCAAGGTAACAGCGAGGAAGTAATATGTATGAGAAAGCTGAGTAAGGTCGTGAGAGATAATCAGTACTAATGGGGATAACGAGTCGTGTATCAGAACGAGGTAAAGATGAGGCGTACATGCACGTCTTGCATGCGCGATAAGAAGAAGGTCCGGAGTTAGATCCAGTGTAACCCTAGACCAGGGGTTCTGGACATCTGGATAAAGAATCGGAGGTTGCGCTCCGATGAGTCACGTGTTGGATCACGTGGTCTGGTAACGTAAAGGGAACAAGGAAAAGAAAAAGAAAAGACGCGCCACAAGCGTGAGGAGCGTTGTAACAACCGAAGCTTTTTTCAGTGTACTGAGGATAAGGTCTGTCACAGTATACAAGCCCACTGCACCAAAAGGCTGAGAGAAGAGACTTATTGATCATGATGCCATAGATTTAAACCGCATCTCAGTCTATTTATACTGATAGATATAACTTCCTTAGATGATTATTTCCAATGATTATCACGGTCATATACTTTGAATCTCGCTGTCCAGTCGGCTTGAAGGGTAACCGTCAATTGGTCCCAGCAGGCGCGCAACGGCTCCTTCGCCAAAACTTTCCAAAGTTGCTGCGGGTGCAGGTGCGGGACAGGTGTGAACGATAGCAGGAAGGACTAGAACCGTGACCGATGCGTGCAGGTGGCATAGCCGGTTCCAACCGACCAAGACTAGTACTGTGTGATATGCGTGCATTGGGGACCGATGGACATGGACAACAATTCTGCGGTATGTTACTGAGAAGGTAGGATGTTTGGGCCCTGATGTCGCGGTGCATCTCCCAATATTGTACTGATTCTGGAAATCAATGCACATGCTTCAAGCCAATGCAGTCACTGTGGAAATGGAGATGGAGGTTATAATAAAGTCGCAATATGCAGACTTTGTAGGGGACTCAAATAACAGGACAGAAGAGCTGGGCAACACAGCTAGAGTCCAGAAGTGAGTCACTAAATAATATTGAGGACAAAGTACTCTACTCACCTAGAGTCCAGAAGTGAGTCACTGGGGACTCAGAGTGGACTCTAGGGGGTTTATATCTACCTAGAGTGTGGCTATACAAACCTGTGAGTAACACAGGATTGTGGCTATGAACATAGGCAGGCATCGCTATGCATAGCTTCTACATAGCAGTGCATAGCGCAGCCTGATCAATAGGTATCTAGGTGTACAGCATCTTGCATTGCTTTGAGTCTAGACACTTAAGAAACTGATGGATTATCTAATCTAACACTCCCCCTTAATCCAACAAGTCTTCCCTCTTCAACAGAATGCAAGAGCTCCACATACCTCCCCCTGAACCCACTCATTCCACTACATCCCAATGTTCCTCGTCGCACGATTTAGACTTGAATGGATGTTCGGCTTCCATCTCGCTCTCACGCAGCATCATAGATGCAAGGTCGTCCAGCTCATCAAACTGCTGAGTGGTGAAGTGCAGTGAGTGTCGCCGAATGTGAGCACAAGGTGGCATAGCTGGGTGAACAAGCATGTGATGAGTCGGTTGATTGGATGCCGGAATGGTAATGCGTTCCAATTCGATGTCGAGCAGGGGTGGTGCTGGCCAGATACGGGTGATGGCATAATAAAAAGAAAGAAGGAGAATGGCAGGGAAGAGCGCCCCTGCAGTAATAAGAAGGGCAATGGTGAAGGTTTTCATAGTGGTGGAAGGGGCAAAGAGATGATTTGAACTGCAGCAGTGAGAATGGTATATGTGGCAGACAGATGATCCGAGAAAACACCGATCTGACAATGTCCGAGTTATATGCTCTATCCGGCAAGATCCGGATTTTTGATGATTAGATCCTCAAGCCCATCATCTCGCGGCAGTAGATAATCTTTGCCGCCAGAAAGGGCTTTGTCAAAATGTCCGCTATCATCTCTGCAGTAGAAATATATACTGGTGCAATTTGACCTGCCTCTACGGTGTCTTGAAGCCAGAAGAAGCGCAGATCCAAGTGCTTCATTCTGCCATGATGTTCTGAATTTTTAGAGACACTGATTGCAGACTGATTGTCCATGTAAAGTGTAGAGGCTTTGGACATTGTATACCCCAGTTCTGTGAGAAGATTACGCATCCAGAGGATTTCCTTTCCTGCTTCAACTGCAGCAATGTACTCAGCTTCTGTGGTGGATTGGGCAATAAGGGACTGAAGCTTGCTACTCCAGCTAATAGCACCTGTGCCCACTTTTACAAGGTAACCACCAGTGGAGCGACAGTTATTCCTCTCACCACCAAAGTCTGAGTCCGTGTAGGTTAGGAAGAACTCCTTTACATCACTGGGACCATAGTGCAGCCTTAAGTCCATTGTGCCCTTCAGATAGCGGAAGACATGCTTCACAGCAATCCAATGTGCAGGACCAGGATTGGCATTAAAATGTGCAAGACATCCAATGGCAAACATAATGTCTGGACGAGTGGTGATGGCCAAATACATCAGTGCCCCTACAGCACTGAGATAAGGCACTTTGTGCATATATTCTGCCTCTTCCTGTGTCTGAGGTGCAAGGGCCTTTGAAAGCTCTGCTCCAGGATCCATAGGAGTGCTGACAGACTTGCAGTCAGAGAGACCATAACACTCCAGCATATCCACTATATACTGGCGCTGTGAGAGTGAAATGGTATGCTTTGCACAGTCTCTTTTGATGTCTATGCCCAGCAGAAACTGGGTAGATCCAAGGTCTCAGAGTTTAAAATATGACTTTGACTCCTTGACAGTGTCATCAAGTGCCTTCTTGGACTTTGAAGCAAGTGTCATATCGTCTATAAAGACTGGGACAATAATGCGCACATCTCCCCTAATGTACACATAGATGCTTCTGTCAGACTGAAGATGAGTGAAGCCCATTTTGGTGAGCACCTCATGAAGCTTCTTGTTCCACTGGCGTGCACCTTGCTTCAAGCCATAGAGTGACTTATTTAGCCTGCAGACCATTTCTGGACCACCCTGGTGAAACCCCTCAGGTTGTTGCATGTAGATCTCTTCCTCCAAGTCTCCATTTAGGAAGGCAGATGAGATATCCACAGAGCGAAGTTCTAGATCCTCTGCTGCAGCGAGAGCTAGAATAAGGTGCAATGCAGGTTGACGGAACGTGGGAGCAAAGACTTCTGTGTAGTCAAAGCCAGGGCGTTGACTGTAACCCTTGGCGACTAATCTGCCTTTATAGTGCTCTACAGAACCATCTGCATTGTGCTTCACCTTGAACACCCAGCCTGAGCCTATTGCCCTTTTGCCTGGTGGCAGTGGAACAATGTCCCATGTGTTATTGGCCATTAGAGACACAATCTCTTCATTGGCTGCTTGCTGCCACTTATCAGCATCAGAACTGCCCATAGCCTGTTTATAGGTCCGAGGGCCTGCTCCAGCAGATAGACCAGCAAACTGGACTTCAACAAAGTCAGCATCTGCATCTATCACATCCAACTCGTCCTCAGACTCTGCATCCTGCACAGGTGGTGGTGAAGTTTGCATTTTCCAGGTGGGCCTAATGTTGCGAGGTACCCGGCACTGAGCAATTGGACGATGATCTATAGGTTCAAATGGAGGAGGAGTTGGAACTCTATGATGCTCTGAAGGATCTGGAGGTGGTGGAGTTACTGGATGCTCAGGTGCAGGTGGTGCAGGTGGATCAGCTTCTGAAGCAACTAGACCAGGTATAAGATTTGGCACATGTGCACCATCTCCCCCTAAATCCTGTCCAGGTACAGGTGCTACAGGTAGAGGAATAATGTCTGCAGGTGGACAGCCTTGATTTTTGCTTCAAGCAGATTTTCAGCATAAGCTTTATACTGCTTGAAAGCATCAAAGGCTTCACTCTTAGCCTTTAGCAATAGCACAACCCTGAATCGGCTGTAATCATCTATGAAGGTGATCCAGTACTGATATCCTGAGTGTGTATGCACAGGCAGAGGTCCATGGACATCTGTGTGAATTAATTCTAGAGGTTTGGAGGCATGACTGTCCGATGTAGGGAAGGGATTGGCATGCATTTTACCGGCCAGACATGGTTCACAAATGGGGTCAGGCTGCTGCTTTGAATCCAGCATAAGACCAGTCACTAGCTCCTCTCTAATCATCTTTTGGACATCGGCATAGTTGTGATGAGCAAAGCGACGATGCCAGAGATTTAAATCAAGAGGGACTGTGGTTATAGCCTGTGCAGACTCTGGAGCTGGTTGTACAGTTCCATCAAGAAAGGCAGTGTAGTTCTCTGTGATAGAGGCAACAAATAGAGTCTGACGAGAGTGAAGGAAGGTTAAGCTTGTAATTTCTAAGCCAGTGGTGATGAGGTGTCATATGAGAAGTGGCACCTGTGTCTGCATTCCAGTCAAAGTCAGCATCAAGCTGAAGTGGGTCAGAGAGACTTGCTTTGCCAGCAGACTCTGTGACAGTGGTAGGGTCAACCTGAGTGGTATTCTGGGTGGCAGCAGCAGCAGCAGTAGCATTTGCCTTGTTTCCACGCTTAAAGCGGCGCTCTTTGTGATTTTCCTTGGCTTTCTTTGAAGCATTCTGGAAAGCATAGCAATTGGACTGTGTGTGTCCTTTGCTCTCACAAAAATTGCAGGTGAGCTGTGAGGAGGAAGCAGTGGTGAGTGCTTGATCTGCTTTGGGAGAGGAAGTGGTGCGATGACGATGATTGATTTCCTCTGTGACAAAAGCCTGGGTGACAACATCTTTGCTCAGGATATCATGCTGAAGCAGCGCAGAGGTGAAAGCGCCATATTCCTCCACAGGAAGAGCACGAATCATAGCCATGGAGGCACACCTTTCAGTCATGTTACCTGAACTGAACTCCCATTTACCCTGACATTGTCATGAACTGGACAGCCAGCGGACGTCGGCCCATTGTCACCATGTTGACCTCTACCAGCAGTGGGCCCATATCTTTCATGTGTGGGATACTAGCAGTGGGCCCACCGCTAGTGTTCTTCTCCCAGTGCTCGGCCCACTAGCAGGGCATATTACAGTGTTGTAACCGTTAAGCAATGGGCCCACCGCCACAGGTCAGAGGGTGGGCCGACGCCAGAGCATATTATCGCCATCGATGGGCCCACTGCCAAAGTATGATCAATGAGCAGTGGGCCCATCGCCACGAGTGTAAGATGACGGATGGGCCCACCACTAAAGGTCAGAGTGTTGGCCATGGCCAGAGCATGTTTGTCTGAGCAATCGGCCCACCGCCAGAGTATGACGAATGAGCAGTGGGCCGATCGCCCAGAGTGTAACCTGAAGGATGGGCCCACCGCCAAAGGTTAGAGGGTTGACGATTGCCAGAGCATGTTATCGCCAGCAGTCGGCCCATCGCCAAAGCACCCTCAGTGAGGGCCTTACTGCAAGCACCCATGGGATAGGTCATCACCAGGACATGTTTCCGCCAGCAATCGGCCCACCGCCAAAGGTCAGAGGGTTGGCCAATGCCAGAGCATGTTATCGCCAGCAATCGGCCCACCGCCAAAGGCCAGTGGGTTGACGATCACCAGGATATGTCATCGCCACCAATGGGCCCATTGTCACATACAGCCCTGCAGTTTCCGGGCGCATTGGTGGTGATGACGTGCTCTGGTGATCGCCAATCCTCTGACCTTTGCCGGTGGGCCCATCACTCACCAGCACTCATGGCGGAGGGCCAATTGGTGGCGAAAACATGGCTTGGCGATGGCCAACCCTCTGACCCTTGGCAGTGGGCCCTTTGCTGGCAGAGAGATATTCCCATGCAGTGAAGCTTTCACTCAGGTCCTTTGGCAATGGGCCAATTGCTGGCAACAACATGCCTTGGTGATGGCGAGCGCAGTCCGCCCATCTGAAGAGTACACTGGAGGAGCGATGGGCTTTGGAGCTTAGTGATGCAGAAGTGAATGTATCCATTTTGTACTGGTATACAAGCTGTTACATAGCGGTCATATATTGCTAACACCAGAATGCTCAAAGACACTAGTTCAGTTGCTGCGATACGCCTCGCCACAAATGTCCCTCAGAATGTACCCCATTTGGAACACGGTCGAGCTGGCATTGAGGTTCGCAACGTGCATATCCTCAGTGAGGTTGAGCTCATGCTGAAGATGTACAATGCGCTCCCGCAACATGGCGCGATGACGACTAACCGCAAAGCTATCACCTTCGTCATCGTCCACTATGAATAAGGTCAACATCAGACTGAAGGTTGCCAGGGATGTACTCACTGGAACTGTCTGCCTCTGCTGTGATCTGCGCAAACGATCTACTGAGGCAGGCCACTTGTGAGCCAGAAGCGGCATTCGTCTCTCCAGGGACTGCCATTGGCAGCAGCTGTGTGATATCTGGGAATAAGCCTGGAACCTGTTCCCAATGGGTGGGACGATGGATCGGCAGCTCATCTGGAAGTGCTGCCAGACTTGGCATCCTGGAAGTAACAGTGACTGGCTCGATGCTGCCTTTCATATAGTGAATGACAGGTGCATCGTGGTGGAAATTGCTGTGATCGAAAGTGCGAGCTGGCGAGTGAGAGGGCGCCGATGGCGGAGGCGGTGGACTTAAAACATCGTCCAACAAAGGCCGCCTCTTTGGAGGCGAAGTGCTGGGACTATTTAGCCACCGGACCTGGCTACGCACAGGCGTCGCGCCAGGGCTGTCTATCACCAGAGCTCGCCGTCGTCCTGGCGTGGCAGGAGGACTATTGTCAAAGTCCAGCAGTTTCGGCACTGGTTCCGCGTCAAGTGTCTCGTCCACCAGCATGCCCCTCGCCATCGGCATACTTGCTTGACTATCGAAGTGGATGGATGTACGTGGCGTAGCGTCAAGGGGCTCAGCGATGAGCGATCGTCGAGGGAGTTGGGAGGTGTCAGGAGTGCGAAAGTCGAAAGTGTGAGCTGGTGGAGGAAGGGGAGTAGCTTCCAACAGGGCGCGTTGAGGGATTGGCGAGATGCCAGGAGTGTCAAAGTCGAACATTCCACCGGGCGCAGTGGGGGTGGAATCTGAGATGAGTGCACGCCTATGGATTGACGAACTGCCACGACTTTCATCCCAAGCTGGCGCCAGAGGGTCAGGAATAAGTGCACGACTTCCCTCCACAGGCGCCACAGATCCAGATGACGCCTGTACCTTTGGCGAGGTGTGGCGGTGGAGATGCTCATGTGGCGAGTTGGATGGCGCAAATGGAGCCGCCAGGGACGGGGTAGTGTGGCGGGGCATGAGGGGTGTCTGAGAAGCAGAGTGGAGAGGCAAGGAGATCTGGGCAGATCCAGGAGAGTCAAGGAGATCCGAAATGAGTGGACGACGGGGCTCAGCGATACTATCCTCCTCATCCGACTCGCCCATCGTAATGTCCAGCGTGTCAGGAGGTTCCGCGTCACTGGCCATGGCAGGTAGATTGTGGCGAGCAGACAAGTCTTCGATCAGTCCTGGATCGCGGGAGATCAGTTGTAGAAAGGGGATTGATATGACATAGAAAGGTCAGATAACATCACAAAGGAGTCAGATTCCACAAGGAGAGCAATAGAACTTACTGTTGGGAGCCATGAGAACTTGCGGCAGGTCACACTGACCTTGAGAGACTTGAGAAATCGCGCAAGTCCAGCGATCACGTGCAAAGCACGTGGTCGCATGGCGTGTGAAGTTGAACTTGGTGCAGATCGCGTCTGCCAGCTCATAGCGTCGTCTGCTCCGCCTCTGCTGTACTGCAACCTCTGCTTTTGAAACACCCTCACGCTTTCTTCTGCCAAGCTCACCATGCGTCTGGATATCGACCCCAACTATGTTCTGCAGGCCGCGCGACTGACGGCCATTGTTGCAGCGGCGCCTCGCCAGGACGACCCTCGCTATCCGGACTGGGAGACGAGGATTTACCTCGAAGTGGTAAGTCATCGGTCAAAGGTCTGGCATGCACTTACCGAATATGCCACACAGAGTCGGCTTGAAAAGAGTTTCCTGCAGCCCTTGAAGTCGTTGAGGATGCCTGGGATCGTCATCAGCGCGTTGCTGGAATTCACCCGGGCATACCAGCAGAAGGCCCTGGCGCGGCTGGACCACATATCGAACGACGACGAGAGGATATACAAGAGGTACCCTCTGGCTGTGCACGAGTATGGGGAGTGTGAGGACCTGGGAAGGCAGTGGTGGACTGAAGGTGAGTCACAAGCGTTGTGAGGTGTCGAGCGACACACTGACTGCACCAGATCCATATTGCAAGCTGCCACCGGTGAAGAGTACGCCAGTGGAGGGCTGGGGCAATGTGCCAGCCGATGATGACACCCAGGGACGTGGCGAGGAGGACCTGGCTACCGGGGACCTCGTCACCAAGGGGAAAGGCAAGGAGAGAGCTGACAATGACGTCGGGACAGGCATGGTGAGTGAGCGTATCGTCCACGTGGAGGCGGGGGAGGACAAGGAAAAGGGCAAGAGCAAGGAGAAGGTGCAGGGGAAGGCGGCGCATGCGATGAGCGAGGAAGAGGATGGGGGAGAGGGAGAGGGAGAGGGAGAGGGAGAGGAGCAGGAGGGTGAGGACGACGACGATGCCGACAGTGATGAGGACGACGATGCCGACAAAGATGATGACGATGAGATGGCGGAAGACGTGCCGGGTGCAGGCCAGCCCGAATCCATCGAGGTCGATGCGGCGTCGCCCCCTCCGCCAACTGCCAGACCAATATCGATCTCGCCAGCTGCCCCATCACTCCGAAAGCGCAAGGCGGTCATCACAGAGTCGAGTGAGGAGAGTGAGAACGAGGAGGCGGCTCCGAAGGCGAAGCGGATGAAGCTGATCGAGGTCGCAAAGGAGAAAGGCGAGGCCCCAACCACCTCTGGCTGAGTGCAGCGTGCGCAGAAGAGGATGGCGCAGACCGAGGTGGAGGGCTCGAAGGTGAGCACGAAGAAGAGCGGGAAGAGGAAGGCGAAGGAGTCAAGTGATGAAGAGGAAGTACCGACCGTCAAGCCGCCAAAGAAGAAGCGTGCGACAAAGGAATACAAGAGCAAGGAGTTCATCGAAAGTGAAGATGAGACTCCGGCACCGCCTTCCAATCTACCCGCCAAGACCGCAGGGGATTCTAACGATGGTGTTGCGAAGACGAATGCCCCTGCCAAACCTGTCAAACAGACAACGAGGATGACGGCGACGCCTCATGTCGCACCGAAGGCAAAGGGGAAGGGGAAGGCAAAGGCAACGGCGAAGGGGAAGGCAACGGCGAAGGTGAAGGCGAAGGTGATGGTGTCGCAGAAGGACATGTGGAAAAGACGTCCACCCACGTGTCTGACTTCATGTGGGCACATGCAACAGATTCGGTGAGTAACGATCTTGTGAGACATTGACCTGTGCTAATGTTCCTGCAGCTCGTCCCTTGCGTTGGCTGCCAGGAGAAAGAGTGGCCATGCAAGCTCAACACCGCCAACTTCAGTTGCTGCCTCGAATGTGTAGCACGAGGCGTCAGTTGCAGCATCGCGCCGAGGAACACGGACGGCGTGCCCCTGCGAGGAAACTCACACACCGCACAGCGTGAGTTCCAAGAGATGTGCACAGTGCTGGTGGTAGAGGGCAAGCCACTGCCCACATCGCCACCTCCATACGATGTCAAGGTCGACTCCGATGAGCCCGACGGTGCAGAACCCATGGTCATGGGAGCGTCGAAGCGCAAGCCGCCGAAGAAGACCAAGATGCGCAATGCTGCAGCATCCAGCTCCAAGGTCAAGGGTGGTGAGGAGGTCGAGGCGATGAAGCAGAAGGCGACCGTCACGCCCTATGAAGCTAACGCTGAAGGCGAGGCCTCGGTGGAGAAATCGTCGAAGTCCAAGCGCGCCACCAAGTCCGCCACCGCCACTGGAGCTGTGGCTCTGTCCAACTCTGGTGAGGTCGCCAACTCTGGCGAGGTCTCCAAGTCTGGCGCACCTGCCAAGTCTGGTGCGGTCGCCAAACCTGGCGAAGGTAAGAAATCAGGACCCAAGGCAAAGCCGGTGAGGAGCCAAAACTCAGGTGCACAAGATGGTGGCGAGGTCACCAGGACCTCAGTACGTGAGCCGGATGAGGTCCCCCAGTGGCGGGGGGCAGACGACAAGGGTGGCGATGGGAGGTAGCTCGGGCCCAATGGTGCCCGTGATCACCAGGAAGGCGAAGGCGAGTGCTCCCAAGGCAGCAGCCAAGATGCCTCTGGCGGAAGGCGATGGCATGGAGGAAGCCGCCAGGCTGGCAATGGAGGCGGTGCAGGCTATGGCCTTCCAAACAGGGCCAGCTGCTCCGCTGCAAGCTAGCAGCAGCAAGCGCATGCTGACACCAGTCGCCGATGAACCAGAGGATGCGCCAGAGTATCAGGCAGAGGTGGCGGAGGATGAGGTAAGCAGGACATCTTGTCGCAGCTGGAGTCGATGTAACCATGAAACAGCGCGCGTCCTTGGAGCGGCCACATGACGATCGGCAGCGTTCGCTGCTGATGCCCCACGAGATGAGCGCAGGAGCTGCCGAGGTGGCACAGGAGGTGACGCCCTCCCTGGAGATATCCAAGGCTTCAAAGGGAGCGAAGTCCTCCACATTGGCGAAGGCAGGACATCTCGATGAAGGGCGAAGGCCAGCTAAGAGGGGCGCCCCACTGGACCGCAAGGCAGCGAAGAAGGAGGCGGAGGCGAAAAGGGATGCGAAGGCGAACCGCCTCAGAGCAGTGCCTCTGACCAGCAAGGGTAAGTGTGCCCGCCACAGCTTCGAATCCATGCAGCGCTGACCAGGGATACAGCACCCCACTTGCGCGACGTCCAGCGAGTGTCTACAGGAAGTCCCGCTCCGGTGAACGAAGGCGACACCCCCAGTGGTGAAGAAACCTCGCAGTCATCCAACGATGACTGCGCGAATTGTGCTGAGTTGCGACAGGAGTTCCTGGCGCACAAGGACGGGATGGAAGTCCAATTCCAGGAGAGGATGGCGGACCTCAACACCGTCAAGGCAGAGATCACAGCGGCACTCCAGCGAATCAACCCGCCATCCGCATTTCAAGAAAATGCCCGGAGCATTCGCGAAGAGGTCAAGTTGGCGATGGAGGAGTTTCGCAGGCCGGTCACCATCGAGCTTCAGGAGAGCATGAAGTTGGCAGTGGCGGACCTCGTCGCCAAGCGACATTGCCTGCCAGAGCTCAAGGAGAAGGTCAACAGGTTGGAGCAAGGCGCGAACCAGACGGTGAGCCAAGCGGACGTCGACAAGCTGCAGGGCGAATTGGCCGACCTCCGTCATTCGATGGAGCTCCAGGCAGCGCGGTCAGACAGCATGGAGAAGGAGCTCAGGTCTTTGGCGGCAGAGGCGATTGCTCAAGCAAGCAAGCTGGAGATGGAATTGGCGCTCGCCAAAGAGGATTCGATGACGGTGGCGACGTCCGCTTTGGATGAAGTGAAGAAGGTGGGGAAGGAGGTGGCGACGGCGAGAGAGGAAACCTCGCTGGTGGCGAAGTCTCTGGACGCATTCCGAGAGAAGGTCAACCCCGCCATGGTCTTCACCGCCTTTCGCCCAGATAGCCACAATGTGTAGTCATTAGAGTATTGATATACATGCTTTTTAACCTAGCATGGAATCTCCATGCACTCGATTCGCCACCGCCACTCCAAGTCAACTGAATGCCTGCTGAAGTTCTCGCCAACTCCCCTCGCCATTGCCACCATCTCCATGGCTTTACCTATGTAGATCTATGGGTCACATTAAACAATGTGGAAGCCTACGAGTCTACTTTGAACTGGAGTTATATTGTCAAGGTCTGGTGCCACCACTGCGGGTCTTGCGACCTGCACCAACTTGGCCACTCTCTTTCACTTTGGCAGCTGCTTTCCCCAGATGGACCGGCTTCAGCTTGGTTTCTCCCTTGTCCTTGACCTCCGGGGTCTGAGGCAGAGCTCGTCTTCACTTTGCGGGAGGCTTGTCACCATCATCCGAGTCCTCGGCCCTCGCATTCTTCTTCCTCGGCGAGGCCACTACCAACTCGTCCCGAGTACCACATCCACGCTTCCGAGGTGGCGGATTGTCTTCGCCAGAGCTGTCTTCGCCATCGGGCTCGGGACGTGCTGGTTGACGTTTCCGCTTTGGATCAGGAAGCTTCTTCAAATCTTTCACAGCTCCTAGTGGATGCTGACTGCGGGTATTCTTGGCGGGCGACTCATCCATCGCTTGACGCTGACTGCGAGTGATCCTGCCGGGGATATTACTCTGAAGGGCATCGGTGATCGACCTTCCCTGGAGCGCTTTGGCTTGACCTGACGGACGGTCTTCCGTGGCTGCGGCCTTCCTCATCTTAGGTATAAACGGAGGCGGTGGCGGTCGTTCAGCACCACTGCTAGGTACGGACAAGTGTGCATCGTCCTCTTCGCCATCGTCAGAGGCCCCACCACTGGTCTCCTGGCTTGGCCCTTCGTCTCCTCCACTTGGAATGATTGGTTTGTCAGCCATGGGGGCAGGCTGGTGAGCCTTGTGAACTTTGGCAGCAGTAGCAGCGCCATCGTGAGTTCTTGCAGAGGCATCACCTTCCTGCTCCTCCTGGCCCCCAAGGCCATCGCCACCTTGTGGGGCACCGCGTATGGCAGGCTTGCTCACTGGCTTCACCATGGCATGGGTGACGTTCCCTTCCACCATGTCTAAGGTAATGATCTCGCAACAGCGAAGCAGCTGCTCTACTGCGTCAAATGAGATTGCCGAGTTCACCACATAGTCGGGAAGGTTGGTCGGTTCACCCTCCTCAATGAACTGAGATTGTGTGAGGTCCCTCAGCGCCATACCAATCACGAGTGCAGATTGTTGTACGCCCTGTGGATGTAAGAACCGATATTTTGTCAGCCATGGTTTGTCGCCCAACCAGTTCTCGACGATGTCAAAGTTGTCCACCGCATGAAATGACGGCGGGAGGTAGCGCTGGCCATACGACCATTCGCTCCAGGGAATCGGATCATACCTGGCGAAATGATACACCTGGGGCTATATGACGGATGATCAATAGTGGCTATGAATCCCCACGAAAGGAGCTCACCACAGTCGCAATCTTGACTTCCTTCAGCATATCCTGGTATCGCGGTTCGACGGAAAGGGTGGCGAGAAACACGTCTCTCCTTTTCACGAGGTGGGGCACAGTACTCCCCACAGTACTCCCGCCAGTGAGATGCGGGGCTCGGCCTTGAAGCTCAAGCCTGAGCTCCTTTGTACTGGGCTCCAGTTCACTCGATGCTTCATCGGTCTCCTCTGTGTCAAATCTGTGCAGTTCGCCCAGAGGAAGGTCTTGGAGACCTCGCTTTGCCTTCGTCTTGGCACCGCCGCTACCACTCGCTTGAGGTGCACCACCATTGTTAGCCTTACGTCCATTGGTGGTGGCAACTGCCTTGCCCTTCACTTTATTCGCAATCACGCTCTCGCCATCCCCTGAATCTTCATCGCTGGCCGTATCTTCTTCGGAAGCCATGCTGGGTATATCTGGTGAACTCCGATCAGAGTCTTGGCTGCTTCTGGCATCATCTTCCGAGTCGTATGCATCTTTCATCTTGCGTTTACGCCCACCGCCTTTGGCTCTGCCAGGGGCCGCTTTGCCCTTTGTCGCCTTCGATGCCGCCTTTCCCGTGACCTTGCGCACAGGTTTACCCTTCTTCTTCGCCTTCCCCGCCTTCTTAGGTGTGAGTGCTTCTTGGACCTCATGTTCAGATCCTTCTTCTAATGCCTGTGCTGATCCGTCAAGTGGTGGAAGAGGATCATACTTGGCGGGAGCAGCTTCGCCATCCTTGTCGAAGTACTGGGTGAATCACATGGTCTGCTCAGGTCCATGTTCCTCTTGGCATGCCCGCCAGTGGTCGAGGAGGGCACGAACGGGAACACTTGTCATCTTTGAGGGATCGATCCACTGGAAGTTCTCAGGTAGCATCTCCGCTGGAATAACCTCATTGATGTCGTCTATGCTGTTCAGCTTCGTCCATGGCGACTTGCAGTTCCGAACACCCTTCGCCAATGCTGTAAACTGGTCAGCATCTCTCAACACCCAGTGGGAGAGTCATACCATAGTGATGATTCATGAAGTCTCGAACTTGTACCTTCATCACCTTGAGAGGCGCTTCCGCCATACCTTCGGGCACCGACGGGAGCAGAGGAAAACCGTTGGCCGTCAACTGAATCTTGTCCATGGCCCGCATGCAATCGGCAGGTGTCTTCTTCACCGTCACCGTAGTCTCAGTCACACCTAAGGAATCAGGTCAGTGTGCCAGCGACAATGCAACTGAGGTCTTCTTACCGTATTCGCCTTTGGCCCACTCAGAGAACACCTTTGCTAGAGGCTGGTAAGCACGCAGCCACCCAGGATAGGCCCCGAATGGAGTTCCATTGGTGATGGCGTGGTTGACCTCCACCCTTCACTCGGGGGTTAGCAGATGGCAACAATCGGACGGTCTACGCTCACATCTCTACCTTCAGACTCCCCGCTTCCTTCGGATATGCTAGCATGAATGCCATGCGAATGCCCATGGTGTCCCACATAGTCTTGGCAAACTTCTTCAGATATTGCATCATTCGCTGCTCCCTCAGCCTGTCTTAGGTCAGGATTTGCCTTATGCTACGTGACAGGAGGTACGCACTTCATTTTCGTCTTATCATCCAGAGTGCCATTGCACCAACTTTCCGCCTTTTCCTCATACACCTTCTGCTCCTCCTCGGACAGTTTTGCCCATTCGGCACTCCATGCGACTCTCCACACCTTGGAGACATTGCAATCCTTATCTGCCGTGAGTGCTCGCACGGCCTCAGTCACCTCCTTGTCCCTCTCCAGTGCATCCCACACCTTGAAGGCATTGGGCTTGCCAGAAACATGCATACGCTTTTTCATCGCTTTCTCCTGCACATGGCAGGCGTGGTTATTGAGCCACTCTCGGATTTTCTGCGGTGAGAGTTAGTGGGGACCTCACAGACATGAAACACTGCTCACAGTTTCCACAATGATGTCGTCATAATTTGACGTGTCGACAAACTGTGTCTTCAGCTTCTGGCGCAAGCTCTGAACCAGAGTCTTGCGTCCCTTGGCATCTGCCATGTCATAAGACCGCAGCTTCTCAGAGAGTATGAGCTGATGCTCCATCAAAATTACAAATCTCGCCGGCATGCTTTCTCGATGTCGAGGATGAGATTTTTGTGTTGGGACAGTGAAGGGGGTCGATAGTTCAACGGGCAGCGCTCTGTCCATTTCCTCGTCGGCTGCCCACAACTCAACATGCACGTGCTGATGGCCCATCTGGGCTTACACCAATTACCCTCCTCGCCATGGTGTGTGGTGACTGCTGAAGCATTGTATGTGTATTTTTGCAGTGGTGGGAGGTGGTAGTAGGTATGCACTAGCATTCATGCCTGGTGAAAGGCAATGTTGAATGCCGCTTCTATGGCAGAGCACACCACGCCAACTTCATCTTGCGAATGCTGGGCGGAGGCAATCTGGCGATCATCTGCATGCCAATCTGTGGGATAAAGGGCTTCCTCGGAGTTAGGCTCGGCCAATTAGATGGCGGTGACGAAGGGCCCAGACATGGCGGACCACCCGGCCCGTGATCCGGCATGGCGGCATCAAGTCCAGCTCGGCGGTATGATGAACATGTGAGATGTGCAAGGGACGTGCTTGCAAGCAATATGCAGGCAGATGAATGCATACTGTTCTTTGCCATTCTGGCCCCTCCTACATTCTCCCCTGCATCTGCAAGCCAACCGCCTGAGCCCGCCATACACCTGTGCATTCCTTCAACCGATGTATGCTGTAATCATCCCATTGATTGGCAGACAGTATCAAGATGAGCAATCTGTCACCCATGCCACTGACCGATCAGATAGCAGGAGTCTTGGAGCTCATGTTCCGCCGAAAGCTCCATCTGGCCACTCATGCAGCCCATTCTGCGCCATCTATAGAAGTGCCTCCGTCCATGCCATCCGCCCTCCTATTGGAGTGCAATGGCATTGCAGATGCTCTTGTGAAGGCCATCCGTAATCCTGGTAGTCATTAGTCTTGCCGCAGGTCTGATCACACTGATCACGCCATTGTAATAGTAAGGCTGCAGTGGGACATTGATAGATATTGCGACAGCCTTTCGATTCAGCCCACGGGGCAGAATGAAGTCCTCGAGGCAGAACTGGAACGGAAGTGGCCTCCTCCATTTGGTGAGAGCGAAATACGCATAGACCAGCCCGCCACCCTCGTGGACATGCACGGACACATCTTGGCTTGGATACTTCCAAGAGTGTTGATACCAGACCGCCAGGTGAGTGGCTTGCCCAGCCTTGCGCTGTGATCTGACAAATTTGTCAGACGAAGATGCTCAAAGCGACCAGGGCCCTACACCCAGCAATAGCAGCCAGTAAGCCTTCCAGCACCACCGCCAGTTGGCGACACAACCCGTTGTACTTCTTGCCTCCTAAGGAGTGTGCCCAATTCCCAGCGGGCTCCTTGTGTCTCTCGCCAGGTTGGTTCCAACAAGTAAGAGAGGTGGGTCTCCTCGCCACGCCATTTGCCTTGCGTCTGGACAGCCTTTGCAGCATATGGAGTCTGGGAGGCTGGAGACCTCCACCAGCCTGAAGCTTGAGGGCGGAAGAAGTTGGCTGCGTGATATTCATGACTCCTCTGCATTGCTGGGCGCCATCCTGGCCGTCGTTCACCCAACACTATATGCCGCAGGACGCCAGTGCTTGGGTTTGATCCAGCAAGACCCAGAATTGCGAGAGATGGCGCTGAACTGGTCGTCGCCATTCAATGCGCTCCAGGTGATCGCCAACCGGGAAACTCCTTTCCACCAAGATAGCAAGACAAGATACACGTTCTACGACCTGTTGGCGACGTTGGGCAACTACACTTGCGCGTGGTTGAAGTTCCCCGCCATGCGTGTCGCCATCGATTATAGTCCTGGAACTGTCATAGCCTTCTGTGGAAAGGCGATTCGTCATGGCGTCACTCGAGCAGATGGCGAAAGGCTCGTCTATGCATACTTCATGCGAGAGGGTGTCCAGAACAGGCTAGGCATTCCGGCGCCCCACTGGATGCAAGCTTCATATTACGCCTCACACATTGGCATGTGCACAGTTCATCACCGAGTCTGCATTCCTAACTCAGAACAGGTCCTAACTGGCTCGCTTATTAGAGGGACATCATGCCAGAGACTGATGGAGACGAGAACACTATGCAGGGGATGGAGACTGTCGATGGCAGCTTCATTGGCGGGACAAAGTTGGCGGAGGTGATGGCGAAATGTATGGAGTCACAAATTTCCGAATCCTAGCTGAAGGTTGGCGAGCGCGCAGTACAAGTGCGCATTTCACATCTCGACAGTGTTCAGCTCAAGGTGTAGTTATCACTGATGGCAGCGTATGGTTGGCGGACCTCGAAGTTGGCAGAGATGGTGGCGAAATGTATTCGGTCGAGAAGTTGTGAGTGCTAGTGGGGCAGATGGCGGCAGTGTTGGCGAGCGCGCGGTGCAAGTGCACGTTTCCCTTTTGAACATTATGCTACTCCGAGTCAAGGCAAAGTTAGCACTGAGGGCGACATACGATTGGCGGACCTCTCACCAACATGGCATCCTTATCTGCATAACGCTGATATGGTGCCTAAAGAGACCACGAGGTGATAAGGCCCAGGCATTGCAGCCATTCTTAACCACTTTGATGAGTAGTCTGATGGGCAGCAAGGCCGTGTGTGATTTGCACGTGTTGTGCGATAGGGACACAATGCTCATCGATTGGCTTGGAATACGACTCCCCACTGACCTGAACCATGAGCAGATGCAACAAAAGCAGGCTCGTTGTAGACCTGGATGATGAGGTTGAGTTTGTGACCAAGGTAGCTAAGCAGACCACTAGGGGAGTACGCTATGTGGACGTACCTTTGCCCATGCCCACGGGTTCAAACGTGCCATCACCTTCCAAAAGTCCATCGAAGGCTCCAGCTTCAGGCTCCTTGTTTAACTTGGATGATGGCGACGTCCTGGGCAACATAGGTGTGCCGATTCAGCTGGATCCGGCGGCTCGGAAGACAAAGGTGGGCACTCCCGCCATGACCATCTGACGGTCTGACCATGCGCGATAGACCCAGAATGACTTCATGAGGGACTGGATACCCCACCGTGATGACTATCTTCATGCCATTGTTGAGATAGAAGCCCCGCCTGAGCCCAGAAACTGTGCGGAATGCAAGGTTGGCGAGGGACAGTGGCGATGCCTGGACTGTATGGGCAGACCGCTCACCTGTACCGACTGCTGTCGTAACGGCCATCAGCGTGCTCCTTTCCATCGGATAGAGCATTGGCAGGGTCAGTATTTTGAGCCGGCATCACTGTATCGGGTTGGCGTCTGCATCCATTTGGGGCATGGTGGAGATCCCTGCCCTCTGGGCGCCTTCACAGCACATAACAACCCTGCACCGGTGGTGGCCCCGGGGTCCGATTTCTGGAATGCCTCCAATGAAGACCTAAATGCACATGATGGCGAGATCTCAGATGATGGCGAGGTCCCATTCAACTTTGCACCTCTGGCAGGCACCCTTGATGGTGAAGCAAGGCAAACTGATGATGCTCCCGATCCCACTTGGGAGGAAGATGTGCCACCGGTGCTCTCCCGGCCACCTCGCCGTGACAGTTACGGGAATCGGATCATAGTCATTGTCGACATCTCTGGCGTTCACCATATCGGCGTTGACTGGTGCCAGTGTGAGATGGCAGTGGAGCGTGACATGCAGCTTCTTCAAATGGGACTTTACCCTGGTACCGTCAAGGATCCCCATAACGCCTTCACATTCGCCGTCCTCGACGATTTCCTTCTGGAGAACAAAGAGTGCAAGATGGTGGCATTGAACTACTACAGCAAGCTCAAACGGGTCACGAGCAATGCCTTCCCTGGCACCGTTCCCGTAAGTGTTCACATGCATTCCCATGGCCCAACCGTTCATGCCAGTTCCTCGCCAGGACCGTTATCGTGAGCTGATGCGGGTGTCCCGCCAATGGCGCCAATTCAAATATCGCAAGTGGCACGGCTTCTCACACGATGCCCTCCATCCTGTGGAGAAGGGTGGCCTCGCCATATTTTGTCCCGCCTGTCCCCAGCCTGGGCTCAACCTGCCTTTCGATTGGCAAGCGGATCCAGTGCAGTGGAAGTTCAAACGCGGCTTTGTCATGGATGGCAATTTCAGTGCAGAGCACATGAAGATGAAGCACCCCGAGGAGGACGTCGCCCTCAGTGACGGCCAGGCATTCATGGTCGGCCAAGAGGATTACAAGGCTCATCTGGCGGTGGCCATGGAGTCGCATCAGGTGCGTGTCTGGCTGCACGTGCTTCTTCCGCCCTTGACTCCTAAGCCCACCAGCGCTCCACTTGTCATGAGCACCGCACTGTCAATCAGGCCAATGTGGATCGCGCCAACCTCGACGTCACAGGAATCGGGGCCACTGCTTGCGCCAGACATGGTTTCTTCGTCCCTCATACTGTCGTCAATTTCCAGAAGGGAGAAAGGTTCACATATGTCTCTTGTTATGATTCATTCTCACCGATGCACCCTCTGCAGACAAATGAATATGGATTACTCTCTCAGCAATGCGCTCCTGACCCTCACCGGTATCACCCTCATCCTCATCATGTACGACATCATGTGCCAGTATGGCGTCCATGTCCGCAAACATTTCCGCCACAGCGCCTATCTGAGGATGCCCTTCGAGCTCAAGGTAGACCAAGGCATTGGCTTGTTTCATGTGCACGGACACCAAGATTGCTGCTTCCAATGGTTCTCACCCAACTTTATAGTTGGCGCTGGTATGGTCGATGGCGAGGTCATCGAGACCCTGTGGGCACCGACAAATGAGGTCTCAGGCAGTACCAGGGGCATGACCCGAGCTCACCGCCAAGAAGTCCTTGACGATCACATGAATGACTCCAACTGGAAGAAGACGACTCGCATGGGTGAGCCTGGTTCCTCCTTCCCTATTTGCCACCTGGCTTATGCTGCCTATAGTGCCAACCTTGATGACAAAGTGGAAACGCGTGCTCCTGGGCTTCCCACGAAGCAAGGAGTCCTTTGAAGCTTTATCTGCATCCACAGATGAGGATGTCCTTGAGGCATGGCAGAAGGAGTACGATGACGCTATGGAGGCTCACCAAAATGATCCGAAGATCATGGACACCTTCGATGTCCAGCTCATGAAGGGTGAGTATCCTTCCATCGTCGTGTGGCATGTAGTTGACGTGAATGCAAGCCCCAGGTAAAGACCTCACCCAACTCAGACTGGCGGGCGAGGAGTCCGCCAAGGGCTTGGAGAAGGGCACCGCCGGATGGTTGTCGACTGGCCTCAAAATTCAAGAAGCACAGTGAGTTTGCCTCATCTTAACAAAAATACAGCTCTGACGGCCTTCAGGCTTAAGCTTGCGAATGATATCTGCAAGGCGAGTCAAAATCCGAGCGTGGCGGAGGACCTCAAGACTCTCGAGCGCCGTCAGCACCTCGAAGTCAGCATTCTCACATTCCAACGTCGCTCTGAGAAGTTCATGGGAAGGTTGGAGGACGTTCCCGCCATGGAAGATCGTGACGATGGTGCGCTCTGGGATTCCTTGGATGAGAATCCTTTTCAAATACACCCGGAGGACGCTGAGTATGGCGAGGATGCGATTCCTCCCGAGCGAGCTTCCTTGAATTTACCTTCGCAGATCGGATTCATGGCCGCCGTCGCCAACGGGCTCCAGACCCTGGCGGCCCAAGAGTTGGAGTTGCGCAAAGGCCTGATGAATGACATCCTCCACGAGCTTCGCATGGCGCTTGGACTGAAGTCTTACCTCTACCGCAAGAGGGTTCGTCCCGCCAACAGCGTCGGAACCATGACCCGTGCACAGGCGGAGGTTCATGCTGCTGATCAGACCGTCTTGGCCTGCGCCAGGCTCTATTCCGCCAACCGACGCGCCATTATGCGCTTGGATGCCACCGATGAAGACTTTGCCCTCTATCGCCCTTTGGATAAGAAGGACCTGCACGTGAAGACTGCCGTCATCGAGGCTAGCACCTCCGGGCTCAGGAACGTCAACCTGGCTTGGTTCTGGACCATGAATGTCGCTGGAGATCGAGGTTCATCAGAATGGATGGATGAGTGTTCGTAATTGTCCGATCGATCTCTAGGCCTCCTGCTAATTTACCCTCCAGTCTATAGAGTGAATTGGCTGCGTGCCAGAGCTCGATATGAGAGATGGAGGGAGAAGCGTGTCTTGGTCCACTCAGAAATGGCCTGGACCATAGCCACCTTCAAGCGGAATGCGGAATGATGGGCTCACTGGCTCGAGATGACGGATCCTTCCTGGCGGGGTCATGTTTGCTATGCCGCCAGGCAAGTGAGTATGTGGCGGACCTTCGCCAGCCACGCCACTGACGCCTTCAGCCACATCCTCGCCCTGGACATTGAGGACGAAAGGGCGGGCGATGAAAATGTGCTTTGAGTCAGGGTTCACTGGGGTGTACGCATATTCATGTTTGCTATATCGATGTAGTGATCGTCATGTATGTAATTCCTACTCACCAATATCACATTTGGCGAAGTGACCTCCATCCTCGCCTGAGGGCTTCATCTCGGCATGTGCTCTCCAATCGCATGACATCAGACATCAGATAAGGTCGATCAGATATCAACCTCAGCTCATCCACTCACCATCATGTCTGCCCAGTCTTCAACATCAGATGCGCGCCCCTGCCTGTTCTCCAGAGGGAGGTTGCAGTTGGAAGTCTACACTTGGAGGATCCAAGAAGCTGTTCTGGCACTGGAGCCTGACCCAGATCACTTCACCAAGGTCCGTTGGGAGGAAGGCTTGCGCCGGGAGATGGTACGCCTTTCTTGCTGATATCGCCTGACCCTGCTGAGTCCTGTGCAGTTCGCCGTCAGGGGTATCTGTGGCGACCTCGCATTGGCGGGTCATGCTGACCATATTGACCATGGTGGAGTTATCGCCAGTGTCCTCACCGTCTGCACTTTCAATCGCGAAGTTCTGCGCCCCATCAGCATTGACGTCAAGGCGATTCCATGCCCCACCACCCTCGTTCCTCGTCCTAAGAACCTACTCGAGGATTCACCCGACTACTGGTGGAAATGGGATCGTCAGGTTGGGCCGGCGGGGAGCCCTATGGAGGCCTGGTGGTACAAACTTGGTGATCCCTGGGTGAGTGGTACGTTCCAGCACCTTACAGTCTTGCTGAACCTCGAGAACGTAGGAGAAGGTGTACACCGTCTCCGAGTCTATACTGGTGCAGCTTGAACAGCTGCATGTTCGCGTCGTGAACCTCACTAGTTGGTTGCACGAGAGGACAGATCAGAACCTGGATGTGGTGCTGGAAGAGCTGCAGGAGGCGACGCGGCAGCTGCGTGAGTTAGGAATGTAATCGCCCAATGCCAGGTGTCCGTTCATGCTGTAGTGTGTCGAATATAAGGTTGTCATGTCTTTGAACCTGGGCAATGTACCTGGTGTGGTAAGGCGAAACATAGTAGCCACATACTCTCCTCAGGAGGGCACATCCCCAATGGTATCTGATGCATGGCTCGAAAGCCAATGCCACATGGGAGAGTTTGGCGAAGTCATTCTGGACTGCATGTTCAGATGGTGAGTGATATCCACCACAGTTCGCCAACCCTACTCATGGTGGAAAGGACCGCCATTCATCTCCACATACTCTACCCAGAAGGGCACATCCCAAATTATATCTGATGCATGTCTCGAAACGCCGATGCCAATTGGGAGAGTTTGGCGAAGTCATTCTGAACTCCATGTTCAGATGGCGAAGGATATTCGCCACAGTTCGCCAACCCTTCCCACAGTGGGAGAGAGTGTGATACTGCAAGGAGAGCTGATAGTGAGCTAACCAGAATTGGAGGGAATGATGGGTGGATTACGTGGAAATTATTGGCAGGCGGTAGCTCCATCATTGCCCTGTTAGGCGGTGGATCAATCACTGAAAAATATGCCCATGGCGGTTGACTGATCGCTGAGAACTACACCTATGGTGGTGGGCCGATAGGTCTGAGCAAGAGGTGCCGCATGAGCAATGACTCGGCGTCAGAGCCCCCTTCTTCTGTGGTGTCCTTCGGCTCGTACGCTGATTTGCACAGGTCCGCATCCTCGTCTACTTCGTGCTCTTCGGTTGACTTCGGGTACAATCCGTTCACTTCGTATGGTCTACTTCTTGGCTCGGGCAACCAGGTGTGGCATCCGCCCATGCTTCCCCCTGACCAATCTCCACGTTTCATACATCCGCCCATGCTTCCCCCCGACCAATCTCCATGTTTCATACATCCACCTATGCTACTCCCTGACGAATCATCCGGTATGTTCCTTCACCCACCCATGCTTCACCAAGATGACACGGACACGATACGAGCCCAGTTGACAACCTAGGGCAAGGCAAATAACTCAGCTATGCCCGGGCTAGTCAGATATTTCAGGCGACCCATGCTTATGGGCTCAGAAATATACCTATGGCGGTGGGCCGATGGCTGTATAATAGCCCCGTGGTGGTGGGCCGATCGCTCAGAACACTACTTATGGCGGTGGGCCCATCGCTCAGAACACTACCTATGGCGGTGGGCCCATCGCTCAGAACACTACCTATGGCGGTCGGCCCATCGCTCAGAACACTATCTATGGTGGTCGGCCCACCGCTCAGAACACTACCTATGGCAGTGGGCCGATGGCTGTATAATAGCGTCATGGCGGTGGGCCGATCACTCAGAAATATACCAATGGCGGGGGGCTGATCGCTCAGAAGTATACCTATGGCGGTCGGCCCATCGCTCAGTACTACCACGGTGGTGGTGGGCCGATGGCTGTATAATAGCCCCGTGGCGGTGGGCTGATCGCTCAGAAATATCCCTATGGCGGTGGGCCAATTGCTTAGAACACTACCTATGGCGGTGGGCCGATCGCTCAGAACACTACCTATGGCGGTGGGCCAATGGCTGTATAATAGCCCTAGTGGCGGTGGGCCGATCGCTCAGAACACTACCTATGGTGGTGGGCCAATGGCTGTGTAATAGCCCCGTGGCGGTGGGCTAATCGCTCAGAACACTACCTATGGCGGTGGGCCGATGGCTGTATAATAGCCCCGTGGCAGTGGGCCGATCGCTCAAAAATACACCTATGGCGGTGCGCCCATCGCTCAGAACTATCACCGCGGCGGTGGGCCCATGCCTGTATAATAGTAGCATCATGGTGGTGGGCTGATCGCTCAGAAATACTCCTATGGCGGTGGGCCCATCGCTCCAGCATTCCCTTCATCGCCATGAGCCGATCGCTGACAGCTCCTTACACAGACCGATGGGCCGACGTCCGCTGGCTGTCCAGTTCATGACAATGTCAGGGTAAATGGGAGTCCAGTTCACAAACATGACTGAATGGGCTGATGGAGGTTAACTCTTCATCCAGCTTTGTCAGATCAAAGTCATTAGGGCGAAGGTCTTTAACGCGCTGCATGGCAGCATTGACCTTATTGACAAGCCCTTGAAGTGATTCCTCTGGTTGCTTTCTGATGGAGAAGACATCATTATAAGCATTGAAATGCGCTCCAGGTTTCTTCTGCAGATGAACAGCTGCAAGCTGTTCCCACATTTTGATAGGGTCATCCACCACACCAGCAAAGTGAGTGCGCTGATCTGGTTCCACCATCAAATAGATTTGACCAGCTGCTTTCTCTGCATTGGCCTCCCAAGTGTCTAGCTTGGTTTGCTCAGCTGCTGTAGGTGATCCAGAGAGCTTTGGCTGTGGAAGCTTGCCATTGACAAGTCTCCAAAGGTTTGCAGAGCACAACCATGCAGCCATTTCACCGCTCCAAGTAGGGTGATTGGAGTCATTGAGCTTGGCAAAGTTGGGAGTGTGGGTAGAGGTGGAAGACATGATGTGGAAAGGGGTAAAGGGATGTGTGTGATTATGTCTGGTGCTTGAAAAAGTGCAGGATAGTCCTCAGGAGTGTGTGCAGGAAAGGAGGTATAGTAATTGTAACCAGTAAGTATTTACTAAACACCCAGTTGTACAACTGCTCAGGTCACTGGGATGATTACCAGGATGTTCCCAAGAAGGTCAAAGGCTGGCTCACTGAAGTGCACAGACCCAACAGTTGGTGTCTTTGTAAATAAAGGATATGCAGCACACTATAAGGACAAGAAAGGCACAGAAAAGTGACCAAGACAAAGCAACAGCAAAGGGGCTAGAGCGCGGGGCTCATAACCTAATAAAGTCGCAATATGCAGACTTTGTAGGGGACTCAAATAACAGGACAGAAGAGCTGGGCAACACAGCTAGAGTCCAGAAGTGAGTCACTAAATAATATTGAGGACAAAGTACTCTACTCACCTAGAGTCCAGAAGTGAGTCACTGGGGACTCAGAGTGGACTCTAGGGGGTTTATATCTACCTAGAGTGTGGCTATACAAACCTGTGAGTAACACAGGATTGTGGCTATGAACATAGGCAGGCATAGCTATGCATAGCTTCTACATAGCAGTGCATAGTGCAGCCTGATCAATAGGTATCTAGGTGTACAGCATCTTGCATTGCTTTGAGTCTAGACACTTAAGAGACTGATGGATTATCTAATCTAACAGGTTAATGTGCTATTCTGGCGGTGGTGAGCAAAAACAGCACGCTGGCCATGGCAAGGACGGTCGACTTGGACCAGTCTGTGACACTGTCCAAGGTGCGAGTGACATGGCCGACTAGTTGTGATGCGTGACGAATACAGCCTCAACTCGAAATTCCAACAGCGTCTCGACTGCCTTGATTTGATTCAACGTCGCTCGCGATGGAATTGGGTGAACTGAATGGCTCTCATCCAGTGTTACAGAACAATGATATCCTACGGGAGGTCTTCCAAGTTTGTCATTTTCGACTCGAGGACGATTCTATGAACATGTCACCGGACAGTCCGGACTTGAAAGATCTTACGCGCTCTGCTCGTGTGTGCAAGGCATTCTCTGAACATGCTCTGGATACTTTATGGAGCGATCTTGACAAAGTTCTGCCGCTTCTCAAGGTATTGACTACCTTATTTGCACTTGTGCAAGAGAATAACAGCAGGTCTACATGCATGCGTAGCTGCTCCAATATATCTGGGATGCACAGCCAAAATTTCTGGACATTTCGTGGTTTCCAGAATCTGCGGGGATCTATTCCAGAAGCCGAGCTTCTGCAGTTTTGCCACTATGCCAGACGCATGCACAAAATCACTGTTGATTATGAAAAGGAGCAGATATCCTCTTCCATTTTTGCCATAATCGTGCACTTCACATGAGGAACACCACTCTTTACATCTCTTTCGAGACTGATCTGGCGGCAATCCCATCCCTTAGGGTCGGAGCTGCTACTTTTCACATCACCATCGCTGTTGCATTTCAAAGTGCACGCCCATAGTGCATTGCCAATCAACCAGGATTCCACATTCAAACTCGTAATGTTGATATTAGCTTCCTCAATTCCTTCCTTGCAATCCCTAGATGTGCATGCTGTTACGCGGCAGCGAAACACGAGCGTCTAGTCGAGTCGTCACGAGACAAGGTCTTAGTCTAAGACACAAGTCCGTTCAAGTGACACTTCTGGCGATGTCCTCGCACTGAAGGTCGATCAGAGTTCGTTCTTATGACTCGTAGTAGCTGTCTGCTACTGACGGTCGATCTCAGTCAAAGGCAAGTGAAAAGCTGGTTTAATGGTAACCAGGTCGAGATGGGGATCCAGCTCGACAAGGTCATCTACTTATACAAAAGGTATCCGCAGTACTACGCAGTAATGCGAGATCGTTCATTGGCTAGATAAGGTGAAACGATATCTGGGCAAGGTAACAGCGAGGAAGTAATATGTATGAGAAAGCTGAGTAAGGTCGTGAGAGATAATCAGTACTAATGGGAATAACGAGTCGTGTATCAGAACGAGGTAAAGATGAGGCATACATGCACGTCTTGCATGTGCGATAAGAAGAAGGTCCGGAGTTGGATCCGGTGTAACCCTAGACTAGGGGTTCTGGACATCTGGATAAAGAATCGGAGGTTGCGCTCCGATGAGTCACGTGTTGGATCACGTGGTCTGGTAACGTAAAGGGAACAAGGAAAAGAAAAAGAAAAGACGCGCCACAAGTGAGGAGCGTTGTAACACATGCCGCTGTCCACAGGTTACCAGTGATGCAGGATATCGCTCAGCTCCGATGTCTCCGCAAACTATGCACCACATGTCCTGTATCTGCATGGTCTGTGGTGGCCAATCTGGCAGGGATGGAGAAGCTTGCTGAAATTATTCTTATTCTTGATATGTCAGAGATAAACGGCATGCCATCACGTTCAGGTTTCCTTCCTTTGGGTCACCTGCAACTTATCAGTGGCCGTCTTTCTGGTGTCAAACACATTTTACAAGCAATAGATCCTGCGACACCACTGCAGTCATTCGAGCTTCATTGTCTTGACCCTCTATGCGAAGCAGCCCGGGAACTCAACAGCATACTCGCTATGCTATCTCAGGCGGAAAGGATCAACTCAATGTGTCGGATTCGCATTTACTGTGATTTCGTCCATGAGCTTGTAGATTATTCCCGGTACATGGATGTACTGCAACCTCTACGGCATTTACAGTTTCTGGAAGAGGTGCAGGTAACCTTCGGTACTCGTGCGGTGTCCTTCACAGATGATGATATCCGTGATATGACGAAATCATGGCCCTGTCTCATCACACTGATAGCTAACTATTCTGAGGGTAGTATCATATCCATATCATCTCTCCTTGGATTTGTGCTACATTGTCCGGACCTCCGTGAACTCAGTCTCATGAATGGCAGGCTTGGAGGCTTGCCTTCGATAGACCTCGAGACAGTGCCGATTTTATCCCATGGCCTGCATATGTTGGAGATTTGCCATGATTGGCACGAGTGTACGCCAGACCACATCAGGCAGTGTGCACTATTTTTATATCACATATTTCCAAACATCGAGGACTGCCGGTGTGTGGGCCACCACGGAGCTCCACCTATAGTTTATGAACTCTTGGCCGACTTCCAGTCTGTTCGGAAAATGGAAGTTGCTCGTGTTGGCAACATGAAATGTTCATCCTTTTCTTCGCGTCTCGGCTCTGTGACTGACTACGTTGGCAGAATGGTTATGGCCAAGGTGCTCTGTTCCTCCTGCGATCAAGCCCCCTACACCGGAGTGTCGCAGACGCCCCATATCTTGTACATCTGCTGCGTGACTACTGTGATGCACTTATCTCGTCTCTTCATTATCTCCTGAAAGTCCACAGGCCTTTCTTGCTCTCGTTGCTACTGTCTGCAAGGTGTAGCATTTTTATACTTCCTGGTTTCACAGTTTGAAGTGTCCGTGCTTTCTACGTAATCTCTCAGTCCTGCATGCTCTTCTTGCTATCGATGTAGCTCTGTTCGTGCTTTCAAAATAAATGTGTGGTAGTTTTGTGCATAGTGGGTTAGTGCAATCCCCACCTTGTAGCTTTTCTGGTTGATAAATGCTTCGATGTCAGACATGATGCCCACTTTTTAATGGTATCAGCAGTGATTTAGACAAGCTTTACAATACGTTCCTGCACTCCTCAGCATCAGCAAAAACGGGAATTTTCTCCAAAGAGATTATAAAGGCATAATTCCATGTAACTTGCGGAATTTTTTCACCAAGGAATACATTGCATCATAAACCTGAGCCAAATTGCAGAGTTGCCAACTGGTATAATTAGTTATAAACTCTCCAAGAATTTTCCAGGTTATGAAGCTCATATAACTTCCTACAAAAGTTAGTGTACCACGTAGGCACAAACCATCCTAAACAGACCGAAACCAATTCATTCAGATCGGTCCCATAATTCTCAATAGTGGGAGTATTTTAAATTATGTCACAATATATTATTGTTACTGCTACAATACAAGGCATACAGAGTGCTCTACATTAGACCTAGTTAGGCCGACTCACCACACCAAAACCCGTGTGCCTATCAAAGCGCAATAATGAACAACACTAAAAATCACCATGCTTCAGCCGTGGACATATAATAATAGAGCTTGACATAGAATGCACCGCATGTCGCCGCTCCGCTCCGGCGGCGACGAGTGGCCAACCAAGCCCGACGAACCCGGTAGATCTGTACAATATAGATACCAAGTTAGCTGCATGTAAAGGCACTCACCTGAGAGGAGCATTGAACCGGGAGAGGCTGCAAATTTATATGTGAGTGAGGGTGGCGAGAATTGTCGGCAGACGGTAGTCGCGGTGTGTCGAGATTAGCCTCAGACTTGCCTCAGACATTAGGGTAGTTCAGAGTAGAGGTTTCGAGCAGTTTTCGAGCTGGTTTTCGACCAGTTTTCGATCTGGCTTTCGACTCCCCGAGAAGCCCGAAAACGGGTTTCGGCTAGGCGCAGGCGACACTGTTGGGAGGCGGACTTCAAATAAGCCGCTCTACGGGAGAACCTCGGGCATGCCTACCGAGCTGTCAGTGACGCCAAAGTAGCTGTGCTCATCGTGCGCGACAGCGCCGCTGTCTCGAAATGCATCCCCCGACCTAAGCACTTATTGTCTGCCATGTTTAAGAGGTCTTTCATAATTTCCATGAGTATCACCCTTCCAGAATAAGTGAGCGGAAAAATTAATTTCTCCACCGGAAGACCTCGTCACTGTCGTCGACGACAGCGACGACGTGCCCGTCATCGATGATCGGCAATTTGCACAGCTCACTTTCAGAGTCCGAAGTTGATGCCGAAGAAGCCGAAAACCGGCTTTGGGCCGTCGTCTCAAAACCAAAGTCGTTTTCGGATTTCTCCGGCCTCGAAAACCGCATCGAAAACCAGCTCGAAACCCGGTCGAAAACCCTACTCTGAACTACCCTATTGTCTCGAAACGGCTTCGGATCTTTTCGCTGTGAGGGCCTGGACGAAAGCTTTGCGTTGATGCATGCATTTGGTGCGGTATTCGGGGGCCTGAAACGACGGAAGGGCAAAGTTCGCAAAGCGCGAGTACTTACAACATCCTATGTAGGCTTATGTAAGTGTCTAGAAATTCTTCCGACTTCACAACTCGGTGAGCAACCATTTCCTTGGGTTACATTGCACGACAACTCTCCCACAATGTGTATTTTAATTGTAACTTGTGTATCAATTTCTGTACTATGTAATCCTCTTTATAGACCTCTACTACCTTTATTTTGACTACTAATCGGCGTAAACGTTACTAGTCCGTTGTAACTTACACAACACCTACTACCCCGATGTATTCGGTGTAACCTTATATAATATTTTCCCGTTTTTGCTGATGGCCATGCTTGCAGGAATTGCTCATATGGTCTGTCATGGAGTGGGAAGCTGCGCTCATCTCCTTCGCTCGAACGCACCCCAAATCCCAAATACTTGACGAGCTCTTCATTCGTGAACGATATCGGCCCAGTACTATCGATCAGTCCAAGCGGCAGGCGCACTTGGGCAATGTCCACCCAAGTATGCAAACTGTTCTTGCCAGTGTAATACCCCTGCGTCCGTGTCCGACCTTCTCGGGAATCGCGAGGATCGTGTCAAAGAGCAATACATAAAGGCTACCCAGTGTGCGTATGTTACCAGGTCATATGCATGTTTCTCACTCACTGGAATCGCAGGGAAGTGCTGGCGAATCGCGCTGCGGCGTCCGGCCAGATAGCGATTCCAAGCGCGACCACGCCGTGTCGGTGACGGTCGAGCGACGTACGGATTAATCGAGCTCGGGTTCGAAATACTCGCGTCGACACCGTGTGCGCTGTCCTACAGTGCCTACAGTGTCTGTCGCCAGGAAGGTCATGCGCATGGTGCGGTACCTTTGGAGGGATTCTCTGAACAATTTGTGGGGTGGAGCACCGAATAGATCGTGTCGTTCATGTATATCCTCCCGACGCGGGACCCGTCTGTCAGCTCCGGCGCGCAATTACTAGCCAATCTACATGCTGATTCTATCTGGCCGTAATACGCACCCGTCCCTCCTTCAAGTTGCAGCGTAACCAGAAGAGTGCGTTACTGACGAGTGTATGGGAGATTCACTGAGTGGATTATGATAGGCATTATGATGTGACAGGCAGTGGCGTCCAATGGTGTTTTCTCGTTCTTCTCGAGATAGCTTGCATTATAAGCAGGTGGTCTGAAAGCCCCTGGGTCTGGTGGCACTTAGAGTCTTTTCCGTACTAGACGCGCTAAGACTTGGTGAGTTACAAGTACTGGAGAATACGACATACAGCGCCTCCGCCTGCGCATCCTGATGATATTTATGGGCAGGTTTGGGGACCTGGACCGGAATATTCCTTCTCCTCCTCCTCCTCAACCTCCTCAACAACATAAGTACCGTTATCCTGACCACACTCTGGCTTTCGTGTTTCACTGACGCGTGTAGACGCGTCGGTGGCGTCGCGTGTACCATTGACACAATCAATATCTCACAGACAATTCTAACATTTACCAGACAGATTTTCACAGCATTCTACTCTAGCTCTCGTCTGTCCGAAAACATGTAATGGTAGATGTGTTTTCCAGTGAAATCCTAACATCACATTTCCTACGACCACCTCTCAGTCGGTGGCGACTGCCTTGTATGAGGGGTTCGCGATCAACGCCTCGATCTCAGGCTTAATGCCTGCAATCATGTCGGCAGGTGTATGGACGGGCTTCCATCCCAATGCACGCCCGCGATTGCCGCGGCAGCGCGAATTGGTTGCGCTGATGTTGGCCCAATACTGCGACAACGGGAGCATTGTCAGTCAGCTGCGGACGATTAGGACGCTAGAAAATCCACACTCACCTCAGATCCCCAGTACTTGATGAGCTCCTCAGTGGTGAAAGTTGTTGGCTCGGCGCTCGTACTGACACCCAGCTCCACCAGGGCGGAACCGATAGCGCGTGAGATGTCGGCCCACTTATGTTCGCCCGCCTCACCGAAGTAGTACCCCTCTCGCCCATGGCCAACCTTCTCAGGACTCGCGACGATCGCGTCGAACAGTACGATGAACAGGTCAGCCGCTGTAACCCCACTGTACCTCAGCAACGGGAAGTATATGAACGCAGCGGAGGCGTACGCACTGTCGTCGATGTGTACGTTCGACCAGACGGGGACGCCGCGGCCGACCATGCCAGCCTGCCGGCGGTCGAGCGAAGCGCGGATGAGGTAAGGGACCTGGATCGAAAGCGAGTTCGATATGCCCGCTGCGACAAGCGGGCCGCCCGCAATCCCGTAGATCATAGAGGGCATGACGATGTGTGTTCGCGCGTACCCTTCTGCATCTGCACGGACGACCGCTAGATCGACTGGGCGGTGCAGTGCTGTAGGAGGCAGTGTCTCAGTTTGTGCAGCATCAAGATCGTTGTAAATTGTGTCGGTCGTATAGAGCCCCTTTGCGTTGTCCATTAGCTCGCCCGTGCCTGACTGCCGGGAGTGCGGGTGTTCGGTTGAACTCGAGATGTGTATCACTCGGAAAGTGAGTATTGCTTACCGTGTGGATCAAGATGGGAAGATCTCCGGTCGTGGCATGCCTCTTACGCAGTCCTCTAAGGATGGCTTCGGTCGCAGGGATATCGTCCGAGTCCGTCTGCAGCGCGGATCATTATAACAACCCAGACATATCTGCGACCATCGGTGCATATTACTCACTATAGAGAAGACGACGTGTGCAGCTGCAGCCTGTGCCTCTAGTTTGTCGAGCTCCGCGATCGTGCCCACTACGGTCCTCACGCCAAAGCTGGACTCGAGGAGCTTCGCCTTCTCTGCAGAGCGTAAGAAGACAGTTATATCCAGCGTCTTCGCGGAAGGATGTGCGAGGAGACGAGTTAGAACAGCACCTCCTACATACCCTGTGGACCCGATCGCGTCAAACATGAATTAATACATGGCAGCAGTGAACACACCCGTGACACCGGTGATGAAGATGGGAGTGCGCGACGCGTTGGACATGGTGATCTCGCGAAGTTAGTTCCGGTAACTCATGAAAGTAGTGCGTTCTCCGCAATACTGTAGTGCTTTTTAACGTAGCACTGGCGAATGTATATTGGTAATCATGTATGGCTTCGTCAGCACCTCGAAGGAATTTTCCGGGCGTTGCCACTGCTGACGAAGATTCAGAGTGTGTATCGATACAACCGTATTTCGATTCGCGGCCTGGCGGTGAACACAGAGAAACGCCAAGTTAACAACACACCCTCCGGGATAGCTGAGCGTCTACCAACCCGCAACCTGCACCACGTGTAAAGCACGTGCTCTCACTCGAACGCGTTGGTGGCGCTGCTACTCTAGTGCCACTGCTACAGGACCGAATCGGTGCCCGAGTAACTTGGGCTGTGCAAGAGGTAGCTTATGGATCTGATGTTCGTGATCAAATGCGGTTCTCCGTGCCCGCGTTGACGACAGACGCGAGGCCGTAGACTATAGAGGGTGCTCACGCACGCCTCATGCTACTCGGACTCGAAGAACCAGGTCGACGGTATGGTGGGGGGTGGCTTGGTTTGTGCGGATCGGGATCGGAATAAATTGTATACATCCCCGTAGGACTCTCTCAGCAAGCCTGTCTGTGGGGGTGCGTAAATAGCCGATCTACTGGCGGAAACACGTACCGGTGCCTGCCTTCAAGTTGCAGTGCAATCAGAAAAGTTCGTCTGGAGGGTATATGGGGAGACCTACTGAATTGATTTTGATAAGGAGCACCAGTGGCCGAAGGTGGCGTGGCGCTTTTGCATTCCGTACCATAGGCAGTTCCATAAGCAGGAAGTCGGCATGTGTCTAGCCCACGTAGTGCGCTAGTGTCATTTCCACAACGTCAAAGGAGCTCCAGGACGGATGACCGCGAGGGTTATAATTCAGAGAGAGAAAAAAGCTGACCGCGGTTGGTGACGTATATGTAGCCACGGATTTTAAAGGTGAATACCACCTCATTAGCGACATTCACCGTCTGCAACAGAATTTGCTGTTCTCTGTCAAAATTGTCAAATGTTTTTATGGAGAATTTTTGCTATCGCAGAGTTCAGCAGAGCGAATCGGGCGATAATCAAATGCGACAGTTTAAATTTGCCAGCAGTGCTGCCGGATCAGACGCGTCTGTGGCCTGTCCTTTTTCCGCTGAACTGAATATATGATAGACAACAGCGTAAATTACAACCTATCGTCTGTGCAAACTATATGACAGCACATGCATTTTCCGGAGATGTTCAAAACTAACTTACGTCAAATCCCAGTATTCCGGTGGCATCCTATTTTGCTAGCAGTCACTCCTCAATTGGTGACGACTGCCTTGTATGAAGGGTTCGCGATCAACGCGTCCATTTCTGGCTGTATACTTGCAAGCATGTCGTCGGTCGTATGGATGGACTTCCACCCCAACGCACGCCCACGATAGCCGCGACACCGCGAATTGCTTCCACTGTAGTTGCCCACCGCCTGCGCAACGGGTAGATCGTCAGTCTCCTGCCAGAACTCGATCTGGCTCAATTGGAGGCAAAGCTCGGCAACTCGCCTCACATCCGAAGTACTTGATCAGCTCCTCAGTGGTGAAAGTTGTTGGTTCAGCGCTCGTGCTGATACCTAGCTCCACGAGCGCAACACCGATAGCGCGTGAGATGTCGGCCCACGTGTGTTCGCCCGCCTCACCGAAGTAGTACCCCTCGCGCCCATGGCCGACCTTCTCAGGGTTCGTGACGATCGCGTCGAACAGCACGATGTAAAGGTCAGCCACTATGCCCAAATATCTTCTCAGCTATCTTCTCGGCTAGGTGGGGTGTATGCACGAGCACAGCGGAGGCGCACATACCGTCGTCGATGTGTATGTCCGGCCAGAAGGAGATACCGCTGCCGACCATGCCAGCCTGGCGACGGTGGAGTGACGCGCGGATGAGGTTGGGGATCTGCACCGACTGTGGGTTCGATATGCCTGCGGCGACGAGCGGGCCGGACGCAATCCCGTAGATCATGGAGGGCATGACGATGTGTGTGCGCACATACCCTTCCACATCGGCATGGTCGATGATGACGTCTACTGGGCGGTGCAACGCCGTCAGAGGAAGCGTTTCAATCTGTGCAGCGTCAAGGTCGTTGTAAATTATGTCGGTTGTATGAAGTCCCTTCGCATTGTCCATTAGCTCTCCTGTGCCTGACTTCCGAGACGCGCGTGGTTATTTCAATCCGGATATCACTCGAAAAGTGAGTATTGCATACCGTGTGGATCAAGATAGGAAGATCTCCGGTTGTGGCGTGCCTCTTACGCTGTCCTCTGAGGATGGCTTCGATCGCAGGGACATCATCCGAGTCCGCCTGAAGTGCGATCCATCACAGCAGACGAAGCATGTCCGTATATCAGAGCCTGTGTACGATTATACATTCACGTTACTCACGCAGGAAAAGACGGCGTGTGCGGCCGCAGCATTCGCCTCGAGCTTATCGAGCTCCGCAAGCGTGCCCACTACGGCTTTCACGCCAAAGTCGGCTTCGAGGAGCCTCGCCTTCTCCGCAGAGCGTAAGAAGACAGTTATGTCAAGTGTCTTGGCAGAGGGATGCACGAGGAGACGCGTTAGAATAGCGCCTCCTACATAACCTGTCGATATGATCCAATGGGTCAACGTGAATTAAACCACTGGCAGGGCGGCGGTGAACACACCCGTAGCGCCAATCAGGAAGATGCGGGTGCGCGACGCGTTCGACATGATTATGATCTCGCGAAGCTGGCTATTAGGAACTCCTGACTCGGAAAGCGTCCAGGGAGTCACCGTTGCCAACTTCGCAATACCTGCAGGCGATTATATAGCACGGGCGAAGATATCTTGGTCATCGAGTTTGGCTTCGTCAGCACGTCGAAGGAAGAAAGTTTTCAAGCGTTGCTATCAGTGACGAAGACTCATAGAGCGCATCAATACAACTGTACTTCGATCCAGTCTGACGTTGAACCACCCAGAGAAACGCCAAGTCAATGCTGAGTGGCGGTGAGACTGAGTACAGCACACGCTCTCTCATTCGCATCAGCAAAACTCCATTTGACCCCATTACATGTCTTACCTGCCTTTTTTGGGCCTTTTTTGTCTTGTCTTGAATTAAGAGGTGGACCTCATTATTTTAAGACTGGCCTGTCTTGCACTTTTTCAAAACAAGACATGATAAAAATCTATGTAGTGTATGTTTTAGAATACCAATTTGCTTATGTGTATTCCAGACCTAACACCTCCAGAATTCCAGAAAATGTGTCCTCCAGAAATGTAAGAAAAGTTGCAAAAAAGACAAAAAAGACAGTAAGACAAAAAGTAGAGGGGAGTTTTGCTGATGCGGACGTGTTGGTGCTGTGAGATCTTCGACGTGGTACACACTGGGAGTCAATTGGACTGTGCAAGAAGTATGTATGTGCCGAATTGAGTGAAGTAAGATTGCTCTAATGTCCTGTGCAAGTCTACGCGACGCTCCTAGATAAACAGACGTTTACTGTATCTCTGCTATCGTGGTAGCGTTGAAGCGCGACCCTTGTCATAGCTTACTGGGATTGGTGGACAATTGTGGATACTATCGTTTAACACACTGTGCAATAAGCTTTCCTGGCATGTCACCGTCTGCTGGGCACTTGGCGCAGAAACACGCGGCAGCGATAAGAAGTTTGGCAACCTGAATTTGAAAAATATGCAAGTGTCCAGCGAATGAGCACGACCCCGAAAAAATGGTGATACGTCGATGAAGGTCTGAAATATGCCGGCACATGATCAGAAGTAATGAACAGAGATATCCAGAGAGCATGGGAGGGTGAACTCACAAGACAAATGGAGCTGCATGGAGGGTGAACAGACCGGTGAATCACATCCGATTATTTTGGCACCATTGGGTGAGGTTGTCAAATACTAATAGTATCCTGATGGTGTCTAAAAAATTGATGGAAGAGGATGACAAAAGTGTTGTCGTGTCCACCAACAATGATTCACAAGATCCACTGAAGATGCAGATATCTCGTTACGCACTAAAACTTCTACATTAGCACATGATCCAATGACCTTATGAGATGACGTACATCAAGCATCTGCCAGTGCGTTCCAATTGCTCTCTGCGAACAGCTTGAAAGTGCTCGAGGACGTCGGACAATCCACACTGTTCTCCATCATCCTCACATATACACTCCATCTCCGGAAAGACACGGTGTAAAAAACGTGCAGATTGTTGCACAGCTTCGGGGGAAGAATTCCACAAACTGCGTAATTCCAGACATTGCAGACGATGAGACATCACAGGCACGTCATCCAATCTGTCCGGACACGTAGGCAAGAAATTCGTGTTCGAGAACACGAGGGACTCGAGATCCGGGCATTGACTGGCAAATGCGAATAACGAAAATATGGACGCAATTGGAGGATCGCTGCCGCATTGAAATAGTGTCAACGAAACGAGTTTCGGCCAAGCTTCTGCCATTCCCTTGATGTCATTATCTGCCAAGCAGATCGTGGGATCGTCGAAGCTGAGTGAGACATCTCTCAGACCCCGACTTTTAAAAAGAGGATATACCATATCCCGATACTGAGTAAACTTCGGGAACCCACGAGTCGGCTCGCAGTTTACAAGAACTGTGCGCAGTGAGGACCTCGACAATACTCGGAGGGCCTTTTGAAATGTAGCGGATGATGTAGCCGGTAGAGGGAGCATCTCAATCTCGCACGTGTGAAGGGATCGCGACGTGCTTGTAGCCCGAAGAATGTGCAGGAGACCGGAAGCTGTTCCTCTATAAACAGATAGATTCTTCATGGAATTGAAGCAGGCAAGAGGCTTATCATCGGGGGGTACTTCTGAATCGTCAAGAGTGATGTCGAGACGCTCGAGGTCCTCCAGGCCGGCCAGACTAAGAGTCAACTCTTGCACCGCGATGGGACGTTTAATTGTCAACACCCGAAGATGTTTGAAGTGCGCTAGCGTTCTTATAAAGAGTGGGGAAATGTGGAGGTCGTCGATCATCAGGCTTTGAAGGGGTAAATCCGAGATCTGGCATGCGAAGTTACAAATGATGCCGCCAAGCGTACTCATGTCTTCAGGATTGCGAGGTTCGCCAATGGTCAGGCTCAAGGTACGGAGTGATGGCGACAAGAACGCCAGCACTTCCGTCCCACAGGGATGATACTGCTCCCAGCCCAAAGTACGAAGAGAGGGGAACAGAGGTTTTCCTCGTGCGAGATAACTGAGCAATTGGAATACGGAAGGGGAAATCTTTTCATTGTGGAGCTGGACTTCGCGCAAAGCTCGCACGCGTCGTGAGTAGCTGAGAAATCGCCGGAATTCAGCTGCGGAGACGGGTCCTTGGAGAATCTAAGGGACTGTGAGCAGTTCTCGATGTGCTTCCTGAAGTAGACTACATACGTATTCCCGCATATCATAGGATGTGTCAATTTGCAGCAAGGAGGTCTTCAAGATTTTGAGAATGGGAAGCACACTCGGAAGATCCCTCCATAGACCATCAAGTGCATGCTCGGAGAAGGAGCTGCAAACACGTGCAGCTGCAAGAAGGGCTTTCCTATCGCTCAAGCTCTGACGGACAGGAAATACTTGAAGTGGGGCAGAGAGGTACTCGAAGATCTCTCGTAAGATATCATCATTTTGTAATGCGCGATGTGAACGCGCACTATTGCCATTTCGTGGCATTTCTACGTGGCCACAACCATGAGTACGTTGGGTTCACTAAATTGAAGGCTTATTTACATGTTGGGCGCCTCTATGCGGCAAGGGCCACCGGGAAAGATGGGGACGAGCGTGATCACTATGAGGTGGTTCATATACGCAGCGTGGCGAATGCGTATTAGTATCAATGTAGTACGAACTGCATAAGAACGAATGCAATTACTTACGCACCTCAGGGTCACGACCGCGGGTGTAGCGAACGCGCAGTGGGCCTCGGAGACGAGGTGTTGGGCGTGGGAACAGTGCTTCTGTTGTTCCAATAAGGCAAGTGTGTATGTATGATGGGGCTTGGCCTCAACGTTACGTCGAACATCAATATTACAGTAATGACGGTGGTGAAGATAGCGCACAAATCTATATGATAGCTACACAACGTAATCAATGCGTAATTGATAGTCAGAACGAGGTCAACTAAACACTACTCAACACCATGACTGAGAAACGGGCATCAACTAGGTAGCATGCAGAATCGAACTTATGTGTGAGGTGACGTAGTGACACCCAGATATCGCGCCAGGGTCTGTCACCGAGCATAGTTAGAAGGTGTGATACTACCTCCGTGCGTCTCCAGTGTAATGCCGTCCTCAGACGGCGTTTCTGCTAGACCGAATTGGGGTACGTCCTGTCAAATTACTCTTCAGTCAACCTTGCAGCCTTTCCTCGGACACTGCATCATCACACCCCTTCGATGAGTTCAGTCACAGATATTATTTGTCTCCCTTACCTGCGAGATTCCAGCATTGGCCTCATGATTTGTCAACCGGGTAAAATATTTGAGGGAGCTGGGATCTTCTACGTTGTCTCCTATGAAAATTACGGATTCTAAACATAGTACTGGTCAGAATATCCCTGGTATCGATCTTAGATGGAAACATCTCAATGAGCTCGAGGTCTATCCTTTGCGTCTTCCTGTGGAGTTCCGTATTGCATCATCCGGAGCAACTGCGAGAAGATGAAAGAATCAATTGGGGCAGGTGGATGCGAAGCCAGAGCGCTGTCAGCTTTGAGGTCGCTGCGCTACTGTGTTTATTCCCTGTTCTTCCTGTGTACTGCAGTGGGATCTGCACCGTAGCACTCTACCCGGCCGCGGCGGTCATACCGGACATTGTCGCACAGCCGGTGCCAGGTTAGCCACAATATTAATGAGGTCGCCTGTCTCGATGCTCACTGGCACCGCTGGAAGAGAATCTGCTCTCGACGTTTTGCAGTGAATTTCTAGAAGATATTCTGAAGAATCGAAAATCTAAAAATATTAGTCAGCGTATAGTACTCGGGTCCGGTTCTCCGCGTTTGCCAAGCGGCTTCCCCATGCCAGGTTGCTCCATACCAGGCCTTCTCCTTCTCCTCATGATGCGTGATTGCGACAGACTCACATGTGTGTCATTGACTTTTGCCCGCGGTTCATCATGGCGGAATAACGACATTTCGTCCCCTTTTCTTTTGGCCTCCTAAGGTGTCTATTCCGTCATTTAAACGGAATCTTTACCGAAAGAACTGTCTCGGTGACATCTTTTTCACATATATATATGCGATTTGCGATTGGACCGGACCGGGATTATGACTCAATCAGACCTCCAGGCCTCCTGACCTGGAGACGAGTATATGTGGTGTGTCTTCTCCGTGGCTAGATGGTACGAATCCACTCATGCCGCCACGATGTCAGCCAGCAGTTCTACGCCGTCTACTAATTTCGTGGTTGAGTTGGCGATGACATTGCCGTTAATGGGCATTCCAGTTCCTGAGGCACATCCTCCGACGGTAGCCTCGAGAAAAGCATGAAGCTGTTTGCCGAACACCTCGTGCTCGGGGCTATATATCTTTAGTGATACAGTCATAAAGTTTCACAAGATTGTCCTGAAGGATTTATTCCCCCTTTCCCACTTTCCCTCTCTCCCCTTCGCGCCCACTTTCTGCGTCGTGTGCTTGCTGACGATGGACGCTTCTTCATCTGAGAAACCGCAGTCTGTGTACTCGCAGGCAGAGAGGGCCGTCGTGCCATCCAGTACAAGTTCAGCGAAAGAGAAGGCAGACCTCGATACGCCTGTCATCGATTCCTCTTCCCCAGTGGCCGACGACGATGTTCCTGCGGACCCCTTCGACAGCTATCCGGAAGGTGGACGGGGGTGGATCGTGGTGCTCGGATGCGTTATTTTCTCCGCATCAACTGTGGGCTGGGCGTATGTCTAACTCTACACCTCGTGCATTCTGTTGTTAATAGATTGTTTGCTGAACGTTGCCTGGACTCATGTGAATAAAGGCTCGTGAGCATGCGGATTCAGTCTTGGACGCTCATTGAGCCTGTCCATACTCATGTTGTCGTAGGCGTGGGGCATTGTACAGACTTACTACGTGGAGCACCTCTTTCCCCATACGTCCGAATCGGTGCTCAGTACCTTGGGGAGCATGTCTGGAATGGTGAGCACAATCTTGAATGCCAGAATACTATGCAAAGTACACGACTTTGCAGATCATGACTTTGACCAGCGTGATCACGGGAAAGTTGGGCGATCGCTAGTGAGTATTGCTCTTATCTCTTGTGCCACCGCTCTGATGACGTCGCCTATCCAGTGGATATAAGGTATAAAGTTTGTTCTGACAGATGGTGTCGATATTGACGACGGTATCGCAGCCATTTCTTGCTGCAGGCGCGTTATGCTGGACCGTCAGTATGCTGTGTTCTGCGTTTTGCACGAAAGTATGGCAGTTTTTCCTTACCCAGGTACGAGCTGAATTACTTTAGGTTATACTCCCATTCATTGACCCTATATAATGGCAGGGCGTATTACAAGGCATAGCGTGCTCTCTAGTCTTCCCTCTGATTGTATGTCCCACCGATTCCACTCTACCAGGTGTAGCAAACATATTTTTCCAGGTTGCTCTACCGGCGCAGTGGTTCTATAAGTACAGAGCCCTGACCACAGGCATCGTCGTTGCCGGTAGTTCATTAGGTATCATTCATGTATGTGTGCTATGACCTTTGAGTCTCACACAGATGAGTAGGTGGTGCCGTTGCCTCTATGCTGATGTACGGAATGCTGGAGTCACTCGGGCTGCGCAGGACGTTCGCGATTTACAGCGCTATCGACGCTGTAAGCATGACGGCGGCGTTTTTCATGATACAGGAGCGCCGACGTCCTCAATCCAAGCGTCCGGATATTATCTGGTTCGACCGCACGTTCTTCATGGACCCCGTTTTCTGGAGCCTTGGACTCTGTTTCCTGTTCACCACCTTGTAAGTTCTCCAAACACTCTCGTCACCGTTGTGCTCATCCAGCATTTAGCGGCTATCTATCGCCTATCTTTTACCTACCCACATATACCAGCGAGAAGATACCTAGTGCCAGCCTCCTGGTTCGTCTCGCGCGTGCTGTCGTAATATATTGATTAATCTGCGTTTATCAGCTTTCTTCCCTTCCAGTCACCGCGCTCAATCTTTCTGCAGCAGCGGGGCGCACGCTAATCGGCTTTGTCGCGGATCGCACGGGCCCGGTGAACGCCCTGTTTGTTGCGATATTCATGTCCGGGATTACGCAGATTCTTATCTGGAATTTTGTTACCACTTATGCTGGCATTGTGGGCCTTTCTGTCTATTGCTCAAGGCAAGATATCTCACGTCACTTATTCAACTGTTTGCAGATGATATTTGCTATTCTCTACGGATTTTTCTGTGGCTGTTTTATTTCGCTCACTCCCGCAGTAGGCGCGCAGCTGTACGGCTCTGGTCGTCTTGCAGGCTTGTCCGGCCTTCTGCTCTTTTTCAATCTACCTGGTAAATCACTAGTCGGTTGTACTGTCGCGTTAGATTCATGTGTTCGCTGTCAGGGAACTCTGCTGGTGCCCCGCTGGGTGGTGCAATTCTGAGCGCGACGAATGGAAGCTGGAGAGCAGTTGCAAGCTGGTCTGGCGCAATGCAGATCGCCGGCGCAATGATTCTATTATACGGTAGGATCCTCAAATCTAATCGAAGCGTATGCCTAATCTTTACCGTGCCTGCAGCGCGATTCAAACGCCAGCCGAAGCTATTCTCGGTGTATTAATTTCAAGATACTCGCTTCCCTCGCTCGGTACCAGAACAAAGAGGCCGATTAGACAAAATATAGACCGTGATGCGGTCATGATCTGCGCAGACGTCCACTTACTATACTCGCTGCTAGAATCCCTTCCTCCTTAGACGACGCTCTGCAACGATATAAACGACCATATATGTTTCAAGGATAGATTTACTGCCCGCGCCTAAAGTTCCCTTGTATGTCGTTAGTAACTGCGTCTATTACAATTGGGACTATTATTATTGTGATGCTGGCGCAGCAATTCTCTCAGACATCGTCTAGACCAACTAGTACTGTCGCACTCGCAATCGGCATAACAACGAACGTTGACAGCCCAGATGGAATGATTCTGAAGCCGGCACCGGAGGGACAATTATGAAGTAAGCAACTGTCAGACTACATGCGCGCCAAACATTCTTGCCATCTCCCCTCATCATGGGGCGTTCCCTCGACGCTGAGGACCCGTTGACCCTCGCAATCGCGCCGCCGCCGAATGAGACCGTCGAGGAGCGCGAGAGGAGATTGCGAGATGAGGAGGAGGCACGCAAGGTTAGTGACCGCATTGACGAGCAGATCAAGGCCGAAAGAGCGGCTTTGAAGAAGAAGAGGCCAGTCAAAGTGCTGCTTCTTGGTCAGAGCGAGAGCGGTGAGTGTGTTGGATGTCGAACTCGTCGTCTCACTCATGATGCACAGGCAAATCCACGACGCTGAAGAGTAAGTACGCCTGTGGTGGACCGGGGCTGTGTGACACTGACACGCATGGGCGGCAGATTTCCGCCTAACGTATTCCGCTGACGCGTGGGCGGAGGAACGCGCATCGTGGCGCGCGGTCGTCCAGCTGAATCTCGTCCGCAATGTCAACATGATCCTCGATATGGTCGCCGAGGAGATGTCGGCTCCATCCAGGTCTGCTCAACCCGACTCGGACGTCAGCGACGACGAGGACGCAGTGGCGTCTCCAGCTGCAGTCACGGAACCCCCTCTACGATTTACGAACAGGCATGCCCTTCTGAGGCTCCAGCTCGCTCCTCTTTCTCGCCTGCAGAAGGACCTCGAATATGTCATTGGCGCAGCTTCGGGTGAGCCCGCGTCGTTGAACAACTTGGAGGGCCCCGTCCTGCCCGTGGGAGCCCGCGGGCGCCATAAACAGGAATTCTTTATCCGTTCACACAAATCATGGAACAGTCAGGGTGAGGCCGACTCGACGATCCCTCGCAAGTATAAGGAGGCGCAGGCGCGCGAAACCAAGGAGATTATCGCGTCCTGTGCAGAGGACATGAGCGCCATCTGGGAGGATCCCATAGTCCAGGAAATGCTTGCGCGCCGGAGAATCAATATGGAAGCCACGCCAGGCTTGTGAGTCCGTCTGCACTACTCGCGAGCGTTTCATGACGGCGCCTGCAGCTTCCTGAACGACCTCGATCGGATAGCCGCGCGTGATTATCAGCCGTCGGACGATGACGTCGTACGCGCGCGACTGCGCACACTCGGCGTGCAAGAGTACAACATCAGATTTGAGACAGGTGCGCTCTCTTCGAAAGCCGCTGCGATCCAGTCTGCTGACCTGTTGTTCAGGCCCCGCGGCCGGTTCGGAGTGGTGTCTGTACGACGTCGGCGGCTCTCGTACGCAGCGGCATGCGTGGTTCCCGTACTTTGACGACTGCGACGCGATCATCTTCCTCGCCCCGATCAACTGCTTTGACGAGCGTCTTACTGAAGATCGGCACGTGAACCGACTCGAGGACAGCTTTATGCTCTGGAAGGCGATTTGCTCATCGAAGCTCCTCGCGAAGACGCAGATGGTGCTCTTTCTCAACAAATGCGACCTCCTCGAGCAGAAGCTGCGAGCCGGCGTCAAGGTTAGCGAGTACGTTCGCAGCTACGGCGACAGAGCGAATGACGTTCAGACCGTCAGCAAATGTATGTCTGCGTTCTGCATGGCCGCCGTATGCTGACCTTGCGGCAGACTTCGCGCAGCATTTCAAGGAGATATTCAGGCGCAATTCGCCCGAGCCGCGGCAGTTCAAGGTGCACATGACATCCGTCATCGACACTCGTGCGACGGCGGTCACACTCGGCATCGGTAAGTAGCTTTTCCACTCGTGTCGTTTGACCCTTGACGCACGTTGCTCGTCGTCGCCTCTCCAGTTGAAGAAGGCATCCTGCGCGCGTATCTGGAGCGCGTCGACCTCATATGATATTCCCCTCTACTTCTATTACTGATACCTCCATGCCTCCCATTATGAGACGCGCGTTAACTTGCTTTCCTAGTCGAAGAGCACATCTTCCGTAACCAACTGCAAGATGTGCACCTGATCTAACTAGTTCTGTCCAATGGCTTTGTAGATCTACCAGGACGGTGAATGCGTTTACTTGCCTGTCTCTATGCTAGCCCTGACCATGCCTCAGGACATTGTATATACCAGTTTGGAATCCTTGCACACTCTTCCTGACCATCTGCCACTGTACGTTTCAGTTTACTCTATGGTTATCTCAATCTACTTTCTGTATCTATTTCTTCATGGTATTAACTTATGTGTGCTGGATGTACTTCTCGAGTATGTATATCCATTTTGTGCATAGTATTGACGCTAATTTTATGGCTGTCCTGTGACACTTACTCCTGATAATAAGGATTCCCTACTCATATGTAACGTTTACTACCTGTGTGACAGTCTCAAATTTGCCAGCTCATTTACGATCCTAACTCAACGGGAGACTGCCAACATAGTGGGAAATGGGATTTGAGTCGTCACAGCGTCAAACAGGCGCCGGATGTTAAGTAAAGAGGCCGAATAAGGCAACTCCTCATATTGCATCCTGCCCCAATCTGTTCTGCACCGTTTGTTGCAAAACGTAACATTGCCGTGACCTTTGATCACCCAAAAATATAGGATGGCACCTCTCACACTGATCACCACATTGCCGACGTTTATCACACCCGAGGAGCACAAAAACATCGTCGCTGCAACGCCTACATCGTTCGCCGCCATCCCACCTGTGCTGCGCCATAGGGAAAAGCACGTCTCGATCACGCTCGACCCACCAGTGGAAGGATTTACGCAGGAAGATTGTGCAGTAGGAACGCTCTACGTGATTGAGAGGTATGCATTCCTCTTTTTTTCCAGCTGTGCAGTTCGGTCGATGCTGATGATTTTTCCATCTTTTGTGTGCAGCGTGCTGGTGTTCATGTCCGAAACGGGACGTGGATTCCAAGTGGAGTACCCGTCCATAACATTGCACGCAATATCTCGGGCAGAGAGCGGCCCCTCGATCTACTGTCAACTGGACGAGCAAACGGATGCCGAAGAGGAGTCAGAGGGGCCCGCTGAAGTAGATATTGCAGAAATGCAGGAACTCATTATTGTGCCTCAGAATGCCTCGGCACGTACGTTGTAGCCTCTGCTCACCTTTCACCGGTACTAACTATCATGGCCAGTCGAGGACATATTTGACGGCCTTTCGGTGTGCGCATCATTACACCCCGACCCGGCATCGCTCGACGAGATGGACGACGACGACGGCGTGTTTGTCGATGCCGACCTCGATACGTTCACGGGCAATGAGGAGCAGGAGCTCAGCGATGTCGGGAGGGTGCGCAGCGATTTCGTCACCAACGCCCGTTACGCGCCGTACTAGCCTGCTCCTTTTTTCCCCAGGCGGCACTCGCACACCTCGAGTCTATCATCTACGACCCGTTCGAGAAGCAGCAAAAGTCAGAGGACGGGCCCGACGCACAGGAGAATGCACGAGAGCAAACCAGCGCGGAAGAGCCCGAGAATGAGGAAAAGAGATATGAAGATGCTTCATGATGTGTGATACATTGCTGCAGAAAGCACAGAGACGAGATACGTATGTATGTACAAATAATACAAATGATTAACACCAAAAGAACTCTTAAGCGGGCTTGCCCTCTTTAAAACCCTCCGTGACCCAGGAACTCGACAGCGAGAGTGGCTGCGGCTGCGGTGCATCCGGTACTTTCGCAGACTCTGTTTTTGCAGAGTCTGGTGTCGCAGATCTAGAGTCAGATTCTGCGGAGTCCGGCTGCGAAGGAGGAACTGGCGATGAACTTGGTGCAGAGCTAGCTTTCACGATCGGAAGAGGCAGTGGTGATACCGCTGGTGTAATCGGTGCAGAGCTAGCCTTCGAGATCGGGAAGGGCAATGGCGGTACACTCAGTGCTTTCGCAGCGCTAATCGGGGAAGGTAGTGGCGGCGGTGCGCTCTGTGCGTTCGCGGGATTTGTAGCGTTTGGCTGTGAAGGAGGTACTAGGGGTGCAGAGCTGGCCTTCACGATGGGAAAAGGTAATGGGGAGACACTCAATGGTTTCGTAGCGTTGATCAGGAAAGGTAGTGGTGGTGGTCCGCCCTTCGCGTTCGCCGCGTTTGGCTGTGATATCGGAACGGGCAATGCTGGTACAGTCGGTGCGTTTGCAGAGATTAATGGAACAGGCAGCGCTGGTACGCTTCCCCCGGCGGAAGATGGGGATATACCTGGCAGGGGACCCCAACTAAAATTCGGAGGAGGCGCTGTCGTCGCAGACGTCTTCTTGAGAGGGATCGGTTTTGCGTGATGTTTGCCACTCGAATAGCGTTGTCGAGAACCTCCACCAGACGGAGGAGATGACGATAAGCTACCACCAGTATTGAAGGGGGGTAGAGGGCCCATTGATGCGAACACATCCTCCTTCACCGGCGTAGTTGGCAGTGCAACAGGTGCTGGCGACAGCTGAGCGACCTTTACCGGTGTAGTTGGTAGAGATGTACCAAACAAACTGACGGGCGATGACACTGGCTGATTTGGAGCTATAGGCTGTTTACCCCTTATGGGCATACTCGTTAAGGGTGTACCAAACAACCCGACCGGTACTGGCGCCGGTTTATTAAGCTGAGGGTCCTTCATATGCGTACCTGTCAGAGATGTACCTGGTGCTTGCGTCGGCCTAGTTGGAAGTGTAAGCGGCCGGCGTATGAGAACACGCTTCGCAGTAGCTGCTTGGGTGTTTAACAGCGGTTCCTTGCGCGCCGCCAAAAGCGCAATCTTCAGCTTATGCGCGGACATCTCGGCATTTAGCGCCGCCGCAGTGCTCATTGCAACGTTCGGCGTAACTTCAAACGGCCTGCCAGTCTTGTCAGGGAGCCGTCTGTCCCGCGACTCTGGCTCAGGTTTGAGAGTTAATTGCGCGGTGCGCGCGACGAGCTTTGCAACGTGATCTTCCTCCTGAGTAATCGCGGTGTCGATATTGCGGCAGATCCTGTTGATCGTATCTAGTGATGGTGCCCTGCACGACACAAGGCTCAGTCACAGCACGATGTAAGATTGCGCAGATGACCCACCTGATCCCAGGCTTGTTCGCTTTCATCAAACTTAGCTTTTTCTTGGACTCTTGAATGTGGTCCTCCAGTTGCTGAATTCTATCACGCAAGGCCTGCAGAGTTGTTAATAACGGCGAGATACGTATAATCGTGACCTACCTTGATATCCCTCCGTAGCTGACTCTGTGTTTCGAGATGCTCAGGCCCCAGAGATCTCGCTTTCAGCATCTTTGCAAATTCAGCATCCCTTGATGCTCTGCTGAATCGGACGACCTCCTCTTTCCGCGTGGTAGCTATGAAGAAAACGTAGGTTAGTAGAATTAAAGCACACTGGACTGCGCGGACGTGTACCTTTCAGCATGCTGCTTTCCACCTCTTGAAGCATGGCAATGCAGTCCACTTTCTCCTCCTCCAACTCTTTGAGGTCCTGTTCGATGCTCTTCATGATCTGTGCCAGTTGCTCCAGATCGCTGACCGCCCAACTTGTCTCTATACTCAGATCAGCTCGCGTGTACACGCGATTGGTAGGCTTATAGAGATTCTCGCGCTTTTTGCCTGCGTCCGTCGTCATTGAGCGGAGCTGTAGAAAACGGTGTCTGGTCAGTGTGCTCTCGTGCATGAGCTTCTGTGCTCACCGTTCTCAGCTCCTGCGCAACCATGACAAGCACAGCAAGAAACTCCCTCGCCATACCTTCTTCTGGAGAAGTTACCGCAACAGCCTTGTCTGCAGAAGGCTTATCTGCGGCAGGCACAGCTATTAGCTTGTTACCGAGTAACCCACCCGGAGCAACAGAAGGCGCAGCCGATGTTCCAGGTGTTCCCGCTGGCTTCCCGAATGCTGAGCTAGAAGCAGATGGTTTGCCGGTGGCTGGTGTACCGAATATTGAGCCCGCCGGGGGCTTCAGAATTAATGCCGGTGTGGCAAACAGCTTTCCTGATGAAGTCGGTGGAGTACTAGACGGTGCTAGCGCACCCATCAACGTCGTGCTAGGGGGCTTTGGAAGCTCCGGAAGTTTGGTTCCAAACAGTGGGCCTGCTAGTGTCTTGCCACTAGACAGTGATGCTACACGAGCGGTTGCGGTGCCAGGGGCTGCGGGCAACCCACCAATCTTTCCACCGGGAGGGAGCGCCAGACCCGCCAAGGCTGATTTCGGTGCTTCAGGTGTGTCTGCGGGACTGTTAGACTTCGATTCAGGAGGTGAAGTGGTGGAGGGCTGTGATGCACTAGCACCCTCCTTCGATTGCGCTACGGACGGATTCAATGTGAAAACCTTCGAACCGAAAATGTTGGTTGGCGGAGTCGTGCTTTTAACATCAGGAATACCGAACGGAGAAATGTTTGAAACTCCAAGCAGCGGTTTAGAACTAGAAGATGCATTTGAATCGGCCGACAGCGGAGGAGTCACAGAAGGAGTCAGTGAGAAGGGACTCATTGAAGGGGTTGGCGTTGCACCAAGTGTAGAGAGAAGGTGAGGTGATGTCGGTCTTGATGACCCTTCTGAGTTAGCTCCTGACCTCTCCCCGACCTGTTCACTTTCAGTTTTTCCTTCGGCGAGCGAGGCCGCGGGGGAAGGTGCTGCTTCAGTTTCCCCGTTGATCGGTGCACTGGCAAGAGGGGAACTACGAACGGGCCTACTCGAAGGCCGACCCAGGCCTATTCCTATTGAAGATCCTGTTGGAGACGGAGTCGCTGGCCCTGCAACCGAAGCAGCCGGAGGTTGGTTGACCACAGTAGATGTTACGACTTTAGCTGGGGTGCCGGGAGGAGTCGTGCTACCTTCTCTAGCTTTACCTTTGTCAACTGCAGCAGAGATGGTCATTAAGGGAAGAGGCGGATACAATCTCGTTCTTACCTGATTTCAGCTTCTCTGTTGAAGTTGACTCTTCAACAGAAGTAGGCGATGGAGAACGGGAGCTAGGGTGTTCCTCAGGGATACCCTCCAAGTGTCCATCGATTGATTCTTCGGAAGCGGATTCCGATAGAAACGACGCTGCATCGTCGTCAATGTTAGGATACCCTTCTTCGCCTTCTTCGAACTCCAATTCTACTCGTTCCAACTCTTCTTGTAGAGCTGTTGCAAGTCTCGTAGCTCCTATAGTAGCGTAGGCATAATTGTGTAAATTGTGGTATGACAATCACAAGAAAATATAAGGCACCTTGACTCGCCAGGATCGAAAAAACAGAAAGAGGTTTTTCCGGCTCTTCTTTTTTCTCCTCCTTCTGCCGTAGCAGTTCTCCAAAAGACTTACCCGAAGCAGCGGCCGCACCAAAAGCGCTGGTACTGCCGCTGAACGCAGCGAATCCACCTGATGCAGGAACGGTTACAGGCGGTACAGCGCCGCCAAACACGGAGCGTGCACCTAGCGCCGATGGTGCACCAAAAGCAGGCGTGTTTCCAAGCTCTTTCGGGGTCGGTGTAACCGGAGTTGAAGGCAAGCTACCAAACACAGACACGGGCTTGGGTGGCGTTTCTGGGGACTGAGCGACTTTGAAAAAAGGAGATGAAGGGTTAGTACCACCCCCGAAGGCACCGAAACCAGGTTGAAGTGGCCCAAAACCATAGGGTGTGGTCTTCAGCCCAGAAAATGCACCTCCACTAGGAGGAGGTGCAGCGGGTGTAGTGCTAGGCGTAGTGCTAGGCGGTGCAACAGGTGTTTCTGCCTCCTGCGGGCTGGTAGGTGAACTGGGGGAGGAAGGTGTCGAAGGGCGTGACGGACTAGACGAGTCCGAAGGAGAGGCGGCACGAACAGGAGTATGTGGAACAAGTGCAGATGGTGAGGCAGGCATTGGTCGAACTCCGGGGGACGGGCCACCAGAAATATTTCTCAATGTGGGAAGAACCCCTCCAATGAGCATTACTTCGGGCTCCTCCTTGCTAGCCTCTTCTTTGTTGCCTTCCTCTTCTGGCGCCTCCTCGTCGTTTGGTATCGCCCCCTCCTTCGGTGAGGCCACTTCCTTTCGTGCTGCCTCTTCGTTCGGTACCGCCTCCTTCAGCGCAGTCTCTTCCTTAGACGCTGCCTCTTCCTGAGGTGCTGCCTCTTCTTTCGCTGCCGCCGCCTCTTGCGACATGGTCTCCTTCGGCGTCGCTTCGGGTTTCGACGTGGTCTCCTCCTTCGGAGCGGCTTCCTCCTTCGGCACCCTTTCTGTCAGCGCGGGCGCTGCCGACTTATCATTTCTTGCAGGGAGAAGCGTGCCGTACGCTGAGGGTCCGGCCTTTGCAAACGCGCTGAAACCGCCAGATATGCCACTAGGGCTACCGAATGGTGTGGTTGTCGGTTGGGTGGCAGGTTGGGCAAGTGAGGACTGCCCAAATGAAGGTTGTGCGAACGCAGACTGACCGAACGCAAGCTTCCCGAATGCTGAGGGCTGTCCAAAAGCAGGCTGTCCAAAGACAGAACTCCCAAGGGGAGAGGGTTGACCAAAACTGGGCTGGCCAAACGCTGAACTCGGTTTTGACTCCGCTGGAGCGGCTACAGGAGTCCCGAATGAGCTGCTGGTCGACGGGGTGCCAAAAGCTGACGGGCCCTGGTTCGCGAACGCACCGAAACCAGTAGCTGGTTTAATCATGGAAGTTGGCGCAGCGGACGGCTGAGCAGGGGTAGCACTCGGCGACTGCGGTGCGCCAAACGGCGAAGGCCCCTGGTTCGCAAAGGCACCAAAACCAGTAGCTGGTTTTATCACTGGAGACGGTTCAGTTTGGGAGGTGCTCGGTGACTGCGGTGCACCAAATGGTAAAGGGCCTTGGTTGGCAAATGCACCAAAACCTATGGCTGGCTTTATGACTGACCCTTGGGCGGGAGCTCCGAATGTTGGGGTCCCCGACCCAAACGCTGACTGCTGAGTTCGCAGGTTGGAAAACGCGCCCAAACCAGGTGCTGGCTGGGGCGAACCGAACGGCGACGGCCCTTGGTTCATATTACCAAAAGCACCGAACCCTGAGGCTGGCCTGATTACCCCGCCGCCACCGAATGCCGAGACAGGCTTGTTGGCATCGGGTGGAGCAAGAGATGGTTGTCCAAACACGCCGAATCCTCCGCCGGTCCTCTCCTTGCCCTTGTCAGAGCCTCCTCCTCCGAGAGAAAGGCCGCCAAATCCAGTGTCGGTATCAGCCACCATCACGTCGTCAGATGCAGTCGAAACCTGCATTGCCATTGATTCTTGAGGAGTTTGAGATGGTGGCGGTGCCGAAGACATTGCGCCAAGACCGAAGGAGGATTGACCGAACTTCGAGGGCCCGGCCGCAAACGCAGCAAATCCGCCTGAAGTAGGAAATGTGGGAGCGAGTCCAGGCCCAAGGGACGACTGGCCGAACGCCGGTGCGGAAGGCTGGCCGAACGCGGGGGCGGAGGGTTGGCTGAAGGCGGGGGCGACGGGTTGGCTGAAGGCGGGGGCGACGGGTTGGCCGAAGGCGGGGACGGCAGGTTGCGTGAATGTAGGGGCGGTGGGTTGGTTGAAGGCGGAGGTCGGTGAGCGGAACGCGGAAGAAGTAGGCGGCTGCCCAAACGCACCCTGCGCGGGCGGTATGGGACTTGGCTGAGGTTGTTGTGGGACGGGAGTCGATGCCGAAGCTGTCGCCATTCCCGGATAGCCAATGCCCGAACTGTGGATGACGTGCCAGGCGGACAACGTACCGTCACTCGCATACAAGTACATGATCGGAGGCGGTGGGACGTCCATCCCCTCGCCCGAAACCGTGGTGAAACGGTACTGGTCGGTGTTCGTCAAGTCAATCTCGAGGCCCATCAAGACGGTGTCGTTCATCTCCTTATCGAGTGGGACCGTAGGCATCGACGTCTCCTCCAAAGATATGTTGCACCAGGCATCGTCTACGATGCCAATTACACCAAGGTCGCACGAACTGCTGTCCCCAGCGAAGAGCAGAAGCTTGGCTGATGCCCAACCGCGCAGAAGAGTATGGAATGATCCGGGGGAACAAATGCCAGGAAATGGGAGAAATGGTGGTTTGAGCTTCACTTCGGTCAACGAGTATGTCTTAGGGTCGAAATTGACAATGAGATGCGTTTGCTCCGCATTAGGCGGGAGTGGGGGAAAGGGGGTGTAAATGTTGTAAAATTCAGTGTTTGACAGCCACGTCGTAGACATGATGGTCTGGCCTTCAGCTGAAGGTGGTCTCGGAACGCGCCCTCTCGCGGTTGATGTGGTCATGGGGCTGAAAGCGATAATGTCACCATTCTGAAGCCCCAGGGCCAACTGTTTCCCCTTCGCAGACCACGACACTGATAAAATGTCAGCATTCTCCTCAACGACGTCAATTACGGAGACGTACATGCAGTTGGTCTGGTGTCAGGGGTGCCACCGCTCTGCCACCCTCCCACCATCTGGAGTTTCTGCGTGTCCAGGACCTCCACTGCGAGCTCTCCCGGATTATTCACTCCTGCTCTCAAGATCGCCACCAAGTCTGCCATATCTCCTGGATTTGGAGTAATATCGAGAAACGGTTTATCTCTGTCGTAAGTGAAGATTGGTTGAGGAACGTTTGTGCTTCCTGCGAAAATACTCTGAGTGTCGTAAACCAATAACCGGCCATTTGCCAGGCCAACCACTAGACGCGTGTCGTGGCTCGAGAACACCAGCGCACTCGGGAGGCTTGGCAGCGGTAGCCTATGTTGCGCTTGGAAGACAATTTCACCATTTTTGGCGGTACCAGTCATGAAAGCGGCGCGTAGCTCAGAGAGCGTCGATAAAATGAAACCTATTTGATCCATCAGTGAGAATTAACAGACTCCTGTAAGCCATGTCCTCCGTATTGAGTTCAACGCATGCGTTCAGTGTCCGACGATCCCGGACATGTAATACGTGGACGCTGCCCAGTAAATCGCTTGAAACGCACCGTTTGATAAGTCAGCGTTGCGCGACGCAGCCGCAAACCAACCCCTAGAATTCGCTACTGCGAAGACACGTCCCGGTGTCCGTAGAGACTCATACTCGAGGGATCCTGGAGACACTCGCACGCGTGCTCGCTTGTTGAGCATTCTCAGAGCCAAGAACTGTGTGGCACAAATGAGCGAGTCTTCTGCGGGAGGAACCAAACCGCTGCATATGCCCAAATCATCAATGGAAGTTAAATCACTTATTCGAAGCTGGAGTTGTTCCTGCCCGTATGACGATGGTAAGGGCCACTCTCGCCAGTCCATCGTGAACCACATGAACCACATGACCCACCCATTCGCACCGCGGTGCCCTAGACGTCTGACAGGCGTACAAGGAAAATATCCAGCGACAGATGCACTACCTGATGGGTGGGGATCCGCAAAGTAGCCAGGTATAGCGGCTCGGCGGAGCATTGAACAAGTGGACAAGAACCACCCAATTTCGGTCCAATGACTCCGCACATAGAAAGAATGCGATGCGTGACATTTGTTCGCGACACAGCGCAGCTATACAGCGGTCTGGAGGGCATAAACATGACAGTGTGCACATACCTCGCCATTCTTGTCCACCGGGTCCTCCGAAGTAGTCTGCGCTTTGAGTTGTGGCGGAGCTTGTAATTGTGTGACGTTCATGTTAGACATTGGGATGAAACGTTTCGCAACGACGCAGTGAACTTTTAGGACATGAACGTTGTGAGCCAAGAAACGAGCAAACGCGACTGAGTGAGAGTATTCGCGGAACCGCGCGGGTCACGTGCCAACAGAGGAATGAACTTCAAAGCAACGGTTGTCTTGGAAAGCAATTCGTCTAACGTTCCACCATTCTGCGGGTGGCAGGTGCTATCCTCGACTTTTACAAATTTTTTTATCAATGCTTCGGAGGTGCTTTAAAAGTGCTTCACGTTACGCACCTTACAGCCAGCTCAACAAGGCTCAACAGCCTGCTTGTTTACGTAATGATCTAATTTTAGAACTAGAACAATGTCAACGCCGCCTTGCCGACAACCTTCAACGAGTAAGTAAGTACTTCTTCTTTCTCCCATACCCCCCTTTATCGCTGCTGCAAGCCATGCGTTTCTTCGCTGCTGTTCTCGCCGCTCTTCCGGTCGTTCTGGGTATCACTATTCTGCAGCCTTCGCCGACCTCGTACTGGTACGTCCTGAGGTCGCACTAGATTGGAATTCTTGTCAACCATTTGCTGCATATTTCAGGGTGGAGATGACCACCAACGAGATCGTCTGGAGCTATAACGCAGGTGACCCGAGCCCCATCACGGTTGTGGTGACGGCCCAGAATGACACCACCTTAAATGGCGTGTTCACTATCGCCCAGAGTGTTGATCTTGCCCTGGAGGTAAGCGCGAGCGTTTATTATTATTACTTGCGGCTGATGTTCGCGTATTAGACTTATACCATGTGAGCTGCTACTGCATGTATCGATGCAGCTTACGCGTTTATTGACTTAATTTTTTTCTCTACCCAATAGCACGAACGTCACTCTGGTGGTCGGCTCTGGCTATGCCGTGTCGTTCGTTAACCCCACCAACGAGAGCGATGTCTACACCACGAGCCAGTCGTTCTCCGTCATGGCACCAGGCAGTAAGTTCTTCAATGACAGCAACGTTACGTAGAGCATGACCAACACATCATGTTCCCACAGCGTCCGCAGCGCCCTCTAGCGCCGTCCCGTCGTCCGCCTCGGGCTCTGCCAGCGGCTCCAGAGCGTCCAGCACGTCGCCGTCCACCAGCAGCAGCGGCAACCCGTCCTCGACTCACAGCAGTGCTGCCGCTCGCGCTTTCGGGATCTCCGCACAGGGCATGTACGGCACGCTCGCCGCGTGCGGTGTCGCCGCCGTGTCTGCGCTCCTCCTCTAGTCCAGATCCCACATACTCACGTGAATCCGCGTTTCCCCTTGTGCAGCCCCCCTTTTTTTGGTTCTGTCTCTCTCGGACTGTGCGACTGCGACCTTGTGAATGTGTTGGTCCCTCGTTGATCCCGCCGCTCCCTGTCTCGTCTTCTGTTGTTTTGTCTCTGTCGTGTCTTGTGTTGTTGTGTGCTCTCTGCTACGTACGTCTTGGCCCTTGTCGCTATACCGCGTGCGCTGGGTTTGTATACTCGGTTTGTATACCCCCGACCCGGTTTCGTGTTGTGCGATTAGTCCGTATACCATTCATCACCTACCCTCTTGTTATATTTATGGCGTCGCAGATACGGGTGAGTTCTGCGACCGTTTCGGACCTATCTGTTGATACCTCGTGGAGTGTTGTTGTGCATGATAGATAGAGCGTTCTCGAATACAGCCGTCGGTTGTTTCCGTCTTCGTGCGTGAACAAATTGTGTTGCTGGGTTCTATGGCCGCAATTGTCGACACTAGATCAGGGACATGTTGAACTGTCGATGTTCTACTTTATTCGAAGCGCGTTGCGCCGACTTTCACAAGGTGCGCTTACCGGAACGTGGAATGTACATGTTAACGGTCTCCAGTGGCTCAAGATTGCGACTCACTCTGAGACGCAGGCATTTATGCACTTGCTAAAGCTTTCAGGTCTCCAGGGATAGCCTGCACCCTCCTGTGATATACAAATCCGTTTGACAGCTAAATTCGTCTTGCCGACCCTTATATCTTGCGCAAGACTCTAGATAAAATCGCAGCCATTGTCGGACTCCGCGACCTCGCAGAGAGAAGGGTAGGGGCTTCTACCTTGTACTTGTTACCATTGCTCGTCGCTCTCTGTATCCTTCATCAAACCTACCTGCGTATGTCGGGTGAACTCAGGATGCCGTTACTCGACGACGACACGGCTGAGCTCCCCGCTTCCGGTGGGCACCCATATGGAATGCGAGCGAGTCACAAATAAGGACGACTCCCGCACAGTCCAGCTGAATAGGGTTAACCGTGCATCCCTTCTACAACTAGTAAATCTCTTTCCCCTTTTGATCCCCCACTTACAGATGTAATTTCCATTCTCGTCGACATATACTTGCGGCATGCATATAAGCTGCTCGGCCCACCTGGCATCCCAGTTTTTCCAGTAGGAGTCGGGCCCGTATCAAGTGCTAGTCATAGGAGTGGTCGCCGCGGGCATGCCGTGCGTGGCATGTATGCTGGCCTCGTCAGCGAGGGAGATGGGTCCAGCTCGCGCATACAGTCCGGTCCTCCTTTGAGATCTTTCTCTGCCTGCAGTCTGTCGCGTACGGCCTTCGTCTGCATCTTGGCGTCTTCTGCCCGCACGAGAGCCGCTTTCTACCTTCTGTGCTGCTGCTCTACGTTGCTCTGTATGCGTCGCGTTTCATGCGCAGGAATAGCGGGTGAGCATCGCGAGCGCGGCGATGACTCGCACTTTGATTAAATCGAGTTCGGCAAGACACTCCGCCAGTTTCGTCGCGGTAGCGCTCTTCGAACCCGGATTGGAACACTTCCTCCGAGTCCGACATCCTGTGGAAGTAGCGTATACGGGCTTGCGGAGGACGTACGGAGTTGTCTCCGTCGTAACCGTGCACTTGCGGGAGTTGCGTTTCGGTTTCTAGTCCGGCGTAGTGGACGAGAGGCATGTCGCGCGTCGCGCATCGCGGTCATATGTGGGCCCCTCCGCTGTGGCTAAACGCAGCTTTCTTCGTCACCATCGGACGAGAACATTGAGGATCAGCTGCCAACATCATGAAGGGGAAGGTATCCGACCTGACTGGAGAGCAGCGCCAGGCGAAGACATTCATCCTTGTAGGCTATATGCGCCTCGTAAGAATGAGTAATGCTCACTCACCTCGTCGGGCATCCGCGACGTAACTGCAGTTGGAGTCAATGGCAAGTGGTCTATTTCAGTTGGTACCATCCTTCCCGAGAAACAAAGTGAGCAAACTGGTGAAATATAATCAACCCTGCATTCCACATAGACGTGAAACATACAGATAACCGGCGATTGCTGGTACGAGCGCACGACATCATCTACGCCGAGCTCTCGGTAATAATTGATTCAAACTGACCAAGAAATACGCGCACTGTTGTATGCAGGACGAGAAGACAGCCCAGAGTTCATGAACAATGAGGCGATGCGAATTTCGGCCGACACCGTGTATAAGCTTGCGAACGTATCGGGGAACAATTTCAAGGAGTCCCTACCGTAGACAGGTTGAGGATGGGAAGTGTCTGTTACTGCGATACAAATCAGCTATGGAACTTCCTACTGCAAGGCGTGTGCTCTACTTGATCATATTGCGCTCCGAATGCTCTGCACCAAATTTTCTGATCTGTCCACAAGTATCAACATTCTGAGCAGTCAAGATACACGTGTTACTGTTGGGTCTTCGAATGCAATGCATTAGGTACCAACGAATTCAGATAGAACATTGTTTGAGCTCACACCAGCGAGAACGTGACCGTCAGGATCTTTGAAGAGGTCTCCACACGCTCCAAGCGGAAATCTGAGCTTGCGACTTATTTCGAGCCTGACAACCACGCAAGTATGCAGGTTCTCGACAGCGATTGGTCGTGTAGATGATGTCAACCGTGCGGGATGCACATGACGGTATGAGTAGAAGGTGAGGCAGTCGTCTAAGAGGCACCTGTGTTCGCCATACTGTCGAGGGAAGGATAGTATTCGTTCGCAGGGTACACAGTGCATGTGTCTTGATACCCGACCGCTATAGTATGCCTCTGAGTATTTGTCTCCCAGTCACAGCCGAATGAGACACACTCCTAGACCGCAGAACAGTGTAACTAACACAGAGATCCGGAGTCTACCACCCTCCGATATCGATCCTTGCCCACTATGTTCATGGTGAATTCCAGATATAAAGACATCCGACTACGGAGCGGATTCGGAGTCACCAACTGCCGACTGTGCCCGCTGGCGACAAATCCATCGGAACTGCGAGGCCTGTAGTCAGAAGTGCGGCTCCTGGTTTGCATCCGGATGTCTAACACTGTATCGGCGAAGGCAGTGAGGATAGAGCACCCTACCGTCACAATAACGATGCTGCAGTTGCCTGGGTTGTGAACTGAGTGGTAGGTAGTACGTCGCGCTGCGGGTCTGCGATGAACTGTGAGTGGTAACCGGTGTCATCGGATCACATGCCTCCCTCCCCTTTTTTGCAGGTTCAAGTTGACGCCCATCCTTCAGAAGACCACAACTGGATCACATACGCGAATTTATGCACACATGAAACGATATACGGACGTGGACTGCATATGTCGACTTCCGCCTTTGTGGATTGTTTGAAAATGGTACGGCCACACGGTGCACACTCGCTGACATCTTGTAGGATGTCTCTAGTATAAAGATCCTTGACCGGCCCAAGATGCACTCCAGCATAATCAGAGGGCGCACGGCCTATCCCACCAGAGGAATTGTGAATTAGAATCTAGACGTGTGGTGAGCGCGGTTACTCAGAGACATACGGTCCCGTAGCTGATGGCCTCCACTCGCAGATCGTTATGAACAATATTCCTAAACCTTGCCAGCTGAGCGGGAATTGTGGTGGAAAAATTATTCCTTCAGACCTTGGAGACATTGAGCAACATATTATCCAATTCCACCCGAACGACAATGCATGCCAGTGGCCCGACGGAGGACTTCCTTGTAGTAGGCTACAGGCAGAGCCACCGGTATCATCCCGGGTCCTCGCGCGGCATATCCAGAAGATGCACCTCCGTGTCAATTGAACAGCGGTGTTGATTTCGACCGACCGGATTCGCTGGTGGTGGCTACATTCTCCCGTGATCCTAGCGCAGGCCTTACTGACCTGTGACATTGTCCTTCTAGACTCCGCTTGATTTTTTCACATAATCTTGATTTACATTATCAGCGACGACCGTGTCACTGAGCCATGTCATAATTGTAGGACATTACCTTGGGTTTGATTTTAGTTACAGTGCGCTTTTTACCTCCGTTAATAATATCAGTACTTAGCATATCAGCGAAACAGCCCGAAGTACAAGATGACACCATGGTCAACTTCAGCGGTGAACGGAACAACATGCGTTGCAACTATTATATGCGATGTGGTCCACGGCACGTAGCCTGCCGCGTGATACGCCGTATGTCGTACGGCAGATTATCTCAAGCGGTCCCTCCTCGCTGGTAGATTTTCCTCTTAATAATGCAAGGAACGGAGGTAATAGATTAGTATTCCAGGTATATTTCCGTACAGATGTTGACGATGATCGAAATAGTCGAAGTAGATCAACTTGAAAGTTCCGAGAGAAGGTGATGTAGCCGTTCTGGGTCAAGATCGAAGACGTACTGAAACAAAAAAAATAAGGCAAGCTTGTTTATTAAAGACCACTGGCATGATGAGCGCAGCTCACGGCTCTTCCGAGCTGTATTAGAAGGCTATAAAAAAAAGTCTGAAATGTCAAGGTGGGTTAGAACGAGACAAACTCGTGAACTTCATCCACAATTAAAGGGCGTATCAGCTGTCAGAACACTATCAATGTGATGTATTGGGAGGAGCGCAACTGAACGTACTATCGCAGATCAGAAAACCCTAAACCACTGCCATATGCTCGTGCATGGAATATTGTTCCTCTGCACAGAAAAATGCCAACTTCATCTGTGGATCCCTGGACCCTCGAGCTTCTCCCCATGCTACTACACCACGACATCGAATATGCACACATTTCTTATGAGTCATGAGCACGGAGTTCTATGACGGAAGTACTACCACCTGTCAACAAGGCAGCCCACATGCACATTCGGCAGGAAAATGACGAGGGAAGTGCCTTAACTTAATAACACTGCCTTCGGTTTTCATATCCCTGCGGAGGCCATTAGTACGAGCAATATTGACCTCAATTGGCACCGTGACAGGCTCAGGGTCAGTACTTACTGACCTTCCAAATCAGGCAGCCGCCGAGTGGACGTTCCGATCATCGGGCGTATAGATCGATAATCGAGGGAAATTTTTAATATTTACGTCCCACGCCGCTGTTCGCAGTCGTTCACGCCCATACGTTGCTGCAATGGCACAATCCTAAGCCTGACGCCTGACGCCTGATCGTCTTGCTACAATGAATGCTTCCGAGCAGAAGCTTGGTCCCAAAATTTGATTGCGGACCCGCTGAACTGTTTACGCAGCATGCTCGACCCATACATTATTTCCTGCGCGTTTCACTGACTATACAAGTCGCACGTACCGATTGATCATCTTGCATCTTCGGTTGCTCTGCTATTGGAAAATATAACCGACGCGACGCACTCAGACAGTCCCTACAAGACAGCTTCATTGAACCGCGCGCACAACCTTTCAATCTCCTTCGAATTTTCTGTAATGATGCAATCCCATGTTCCTGCGCAGTACACTTTTGTGCAGCCCTACAAATACACGACATAACTGCCCTGCCCGCCGATCTACCTCTGTTCAATTCTTGGACACCCTGATGACGACCTTCCCGACATGCTGCTGCTTCTCGACGTAGGCGAACGCCTCCGCGGCCTGCTCGAACGCGAACACCCTGTCGACCACGGGCTTGATGTTCGTCGCGGTGATCAGGCGGTTCATATCTTCGAAGCTACGACCCGCGCGGTCAGTCAGCTCCGACACAGACAAAGTGCGAAAGGGGAAGAAGACGCACTGGGCGCGCGAGCCGGCGTCGATGCCGCGGAAGTTGAGGGACCTGAAGATGGCCTTGATAATGAGGTCGCTGTAGTCGCCCGCGCCAGAGACGAAGCCGATGATGTTCACGAACCCGGCCACGCGCGTGCAGTTCATCGAGCGGCTCAGCGTGCCCGCGCCGCCGACCTCGACGACGTGGTCCACACCGCGGCCCTTTGTCTACCGCCATCGTCAGCACCGCGCGCGTAAAGTGGGGAGTGGGGAAGGGAGGGGGACGCACAATGCGGAGTACTTCCTTGTCCCAGTCTGGCGTCGTCCGATAGTTGATGAGGTGCTTCGCGCCGAGCCTTCGCGCGACCTCAAGCTTCTCGTTCGACGAGGAGGTGACGATGACCGTCGCGCCGGACGCGACTGCGAACTGGAGCCCGAAGATGGACACACCGCCTGTGCCTTGGATGAGCACGGTGTCGCCGCCTTTGAGTGGGCTGAGGCCCATGAGCGCGTTGTACGCCGTGATTGCTGCGCACCTGGAGAGAAATGTCAGTAAGAAGGTAGGCGTGTGACTATCAAAGTGCTTACGGGAGGGTGGACGCTTCCTCGTAGGAGAGGTGCTCGGGGATATCAATGAGGGCCTGTCCAAGGGTGAGTATCTGCTAATCGACGACGAATAAGAAACGCTTACGTGTGCAGGGAGGATTTTGTACTCAGTGAGCACGCCGTCGATAGGTCCCCCAAGGCTACTGTCTACCAACTCCTCGATGAGCTCGCCGGAGAGCCAGTCAAGCATGAAGTTGCAGGACACGCGGTCACCCGCCTTCCAGCGCTTGACATCCTCACCAACCGCGACGACCTCCCCGGCGAGATCAGAGCACGGGACCACGTTCGGCTTCAGGCTGGACGACAGCTGAGCGACTATAAGCCAGTGAAGAACGAGTACTCACGGTAGGGAGTACTGGCCCTTGGCGACGAGCAGATCACGGAACTGGACAGACACGGCGTGAACCTTGACGAGGACCTCGTTCAGCTTGAGCGGGCGCAGCGAGGCCTGCTGGATGGTCAGGCTGTGGTAGCCTTCGCTCTGCTGGAGTGTTAGATGTGCCTAGGACTAGTAGTTGCGCTGCGACGCACCTTGGGGAGACGGTACTCGCGGAAACTGGTTGGGATGGCCATCTCTCTCTTGCGACGGTGGTGGTGAGTGACAGGAAACTTACGGTTCGTACTGCTCCTACGTTCGGGCTTTTATAATACGGTGATGCAGCTTTTCCTTCGAAAGGAATCCGGGTATAGCACATAGCAGTACTTCGACATTTACAAGTCTTTTCAAATGTTTCCCATGACTGGATGGAACTGGTGATACGCGCTGATTAAGATTGATAGGAAGGCGCCTGAGCAGAGCTTGAAGGCGCCCTGAGCAGAACCTCGAGGCGCATGTCGAACTTCGAACTTCGAGTGGGGTGGTTGCGAGACAGGAAGTGAAGATTACGAACGTGGTGGGAACAACAAGGCTAGCCCGTCGACCTCAAAGTAAGGATACGGCAACTATAGAAGGCATCGACTGATAACATGGTGTTGTAGTAGGCACTGACAGGTCGAGTCGGTGGCTGCAATATTCAAATCCGTAGCCGCAGAAGATAAAAGTTTGTATTTATAGCTTCAGAATCTTCGCACCTTCAAGTCCGCGATAGTACCAGCACAAGGGGGTCGGAGATAGCATACAAGTAGCGGACTGGGGCCGCCCGTATGCGGACCACAATATTTGCGGGGCCGGAGTGTGTCGCCGTAATAGGTAAGTGACTTGGATCAGCCATTCGAGTCTTCATCTGAAGTTCAACTTCGTTCGAAACAACAGCGGCCGAAGGAGGTTTAGACGATCCCGAAAGAATGCGAAGGGACAAATTTCGTCATTACCTAGGCCGGTATAAAGTAGCATTCAGTAAGTCATCGCTAGCGGAGGTTACAGATACCTATGCAACTCTGCACAAAGTTCGAGAAAAATGGTTTCTACTACAGAACTACAGAAACATTTCAGGAAAATACTCCTACATCCTCAGATCTTCTTCAGCGAATAATTATCACGTTCCTTATGCACTCGCACACTCTCAGATCTCCTTGTCATATCGGGGACTGCCCGACTTCATCCTCCTCACACCAATCAAAGTCGACAAGCATCGCATGCCAGACCTCACGTATGACGACGTTCTTACCTTGGAGGTCTCCGTGAACGAGGTCCGCGCGTTGCAGTACCTCCACAGCCGCCTCAACGTCCGCGCGCGGGCATCAGGCGTGAGTGCCAAGGGTTCTTACTGCGTGGAGGAGCCTGAGCGCCAGGCGGCCAGCGACAAGCAGGCGGTGCGCGGCAGGCGGTGCGCGAGGTGGTTGGTGTACATGTCAACATATCAGTGGCATGTCACGGTCACCGCAGAGACATGAGAGCACGCCAACACTCGAGCGGACAGCGAAACGGTAAGTTTCTGGTCCGCTGACGCAGCTGGCGCGACACGACTTGGTTCGTGTTCACTGAATATGACCAGCTCCTCAACATGACATGAGTCTTGAACTCATCAATGGCCTGCAGGAGTCGCTGCCAAGCACCTAGAGCCACACTGAGTTCGAAACAGGCACAAGTCCGTGCAGATGTAGCAGTCGAGGTGGCCCCCAAAAATTCTAGACAAGAGGAAGTATGCCGCTCAAACTTTGCTACTTCCAAGTAGACCATCAGCACCCAATTTCCCGTTCGCCACAGCAATGTGCCGGTCTGCTATACCTGTCAAATGTTTGTAGGACGTATTGAATTTGCCTTGATCCACTAGCCCCGGAAGGCAATGCGCACGCAAATATTCATGAGCGAGTAAAAATGCTGAAACATCTCGTTGGTATCATTCTCACACAAGCACCTTAAATCCTGCATACCTGCATAGTATATTACCTGTGCGCTTGTTTCCGTCCATGAAGGGGTGTCCTGCATGTAGTGTAATTCATTGACGTTCAATTTAGAGTAGGTGTGTACCGCCCGAGTTAAGGCGGACTCTAGTTCGTTTGGCTTTACAACTTGGGACTGTTCCGGGTTCGCCACCTTGGCATTTGTTCTCCGCGCGCATTCTGGGGTGTAGAACCGAGCCAAACGGAATGCGCGCGCAGACATCGAGAGGAGACAGGTAGGAATGTATCATACAGCTCAAGATTGGGCCAGCGAGTATCCCCCGGGCCGGGCCCGTGTGAAAGTACGCGCCAGTCGTTTCGATTAGTTTCAAATTTCTGCAACTCCTTTTAACTCCTTTTCATTTAGTCCATTGTCTTTGAATCAGACTATCACTGCATTACTCCAGCATCAACGAAGATACAACTGAGCCAATTTCACTAGGATAAAGTACGGAACCTTCCTGGCACACGACTCGTCATTTGAGAGCATATGGCGAATTCCTCTGCCGCTGAAGAAGCCGGGCCTGATTCCGAATTGATACCTTCTTGTGCCTCTGACCATATGATATAAAGCTTGCACCTGTTGCGACGATTGCCATCTCTGCGTTCCAGAGATTGCACAGTACCAAGATCTTCATGTCCAACGTGTCACGCACCCCCATCTTTCTCACCGGCGCTACAGGTACGTCTGGCACATCGCTGATTGCGGTGTCATTCGAGGCGATCCTACATGATCGACTGGCAGGTTACATCGGGGGCGCAGTCCTAACACGTCTCCTCGCACATCCCTCCGCGCAGACTTTCGGCATCACCGTCTTCCTCCGCTCGGCAGAGAAGGCGAAGCTCCTCGAGTCCGACTTTGGCGTGAAGGCCGTCGTAGGCACGCTTGCGGAGCTTGACAAGCTCGAAGCGCAGGCCGAAGCAGCGCACGTCGTCTTCTCATGCGTAAGTGGTCCTTTGGCAGCTATGGATGCACCCTGATGTACCGGGCGGAGAACTATGCAGGCGGACTCAGATGATTTGCCTGCGATTGAAGCCATCCTCCGAGGGTTGCGCAAGAGGCATGCCACGATCGGTGACCTTCCCATTCTGATCCATACAGTGAGTGAGAATATTCTGTTCGAGATGGGTGATAGAACGTAAATTTGCTCAACACTGGCAGTCCGGTACAGGTACGTGCGTTCCCTCCTGAGGAACCTATTGCCACTGAAGCGCGCAACCAACCCCGATAGGTGAACTAGCAGATAAAGCTAACGGACTTCACCCCACCGACACAATCTACGACGACCTCGACGCCGCGCAAATCGAGACGCTCCCGCCGACAGCCCCGCACCGTCCCGTCGATCTTGCGATCGTCGGCGCAGATGCAGACGGGTACGTGCGCACGTACATCGTGCTGCCCTCCACGATCTACGGGATTGCGACCGGCCCGCTCGTCGCCGCGGGCATATCGAACCCGCAGTCGATCCAGATCCCCAACCTCATCCGTGCGTCCCTGGATCGCCGGCATGCGGGCGTGGTCGGCCGCGGTATCTCCTTCTGGCCGGACGTACACATCGACGACGGTGCGCGCTCCTGCTTTGTTTGTATGCTTCCTACTAGCAAAAAGCGACTCACCGGGATGCAGTGGCTAACCTGTACATTATCCTTTTTGACGCGATCGTCGCGAACCCCGAGAAGGTAGGCCACGGGCGCGAGGGGTACTACTTCGGGGAGAACGGCGAGCACACATGGGGCGACATCGCGCGCGCGACAGGTGCAGCGTTCGTGGAGCTCAGCATCAGCGCGAGCGCGGAGCCAACGTCGTTCACCACCGAGGAGCTGATCAAATACTGGGGGTCAGAGGTGCGTGCAGACTCCTATACCTCTAACTGGTACATGCTGTCGAAAGCGGGCTAACGGTTCGCGCATTGCCGCAGGCAAAGGGCAATGTCAACGGCTCCAACTCGCGCTGCCGCGGGAATCGCTCGCGCTTACTAGGGTGGAGCCCAATATACACCACTGCCGACTTGATCGCGAGCATTAAGCCCGAGGTTGAGGCGTTGATTGCAAGGCGCAGCTATAAGATCGTCCGACTTTGAGTAGGAGAATGTTTTGAAGCACTTTTTGGATTAGAGCTACGTGTGATTTTGCAGATGTAACTTTCAAAAATTTGTCTGTTAGATAAGTCGGGATTGTTCACTGCTGTCTGTCGGATCAGTATTGTTTCGAGTTGGTTTTGAGTGTACCGGAAAACGCGACGCCACCGACGCGTCTGATCAGGTGACCGTCATCGTCGGACCAAAACTGGCGACTGGCTGCTCTGCGCTGAGCACGAATGGCATGCAGTATCGGATGGCAACCGGTGTGATGAGCACGCGATACAGGCGAGGCAGGGTGGTGAGCGAATAGGGAGGGGTAAGAAATGCTGGTGCACGGGAGACTGAAGGGCGGAAATCATGCAGGGCTACGCACGGTGCACAACGGTGCTAGTTTTAAGCCCGCTGCATGCATGCTGCAGTAGGGGCCTTTGCAGGCATGGTAGAGCGCTCGAGGAGGGGAACAAAGTGGGAAATGGGGGAGATGGTGCGCGGCCTTGCTGATAACCAGTCGAGGGATACGAAGGGCATGCCTGGGTATGCGTGGCACGCGCTCGATGAGATGGGAGCGCTTCGAGTGCCACTGCACGCGCGACGCAGCAAGAGGCCCGGCATGCGACGGGGTGAGTGTGTAGATTGGCGCATTGGCGCGCATGAAGGCGTGCAGGGTAGACCTGGCAAACGTTAGTATCATGAGAAAAGAAAAAAAGCATATTGGTTTTGCTCACCTGATGTCTGCTGATTTCAGAATGAGCTTACCATTAAGTCGTTGAGTTCGATGGCAGATAGGTGGTGTGGGGACAGTGCGCGGGTCGACGTCCGAGTCTTAATATTGCGGTTGAACATCAAGTAAGAAGGTAGAAATTTGCGAACGCAAGGGATAGAACACCTCGCACGGAGAACGTAGATTCTGGTGAGCCAGGAGGTGGAAACATTAATTTGAGACCTTCTCGCGCGTCAGCGAGAAAATCCTGGGAGCAATTTTGGCGCTTCGCGTACGTAGCGAGGATGTCAAGTGCTCTTCAATCTCCCACTGCATCGCAACGCCCAGGTTGATACTATACAAAGATACAGTTTCATCATGCACTTTCAATCGCTTGGTGCAATGCTCGGAAAATTCCTTCCTTCGATGTGCTGACGAAGCTGAACTTTGAGCTTGATTACCAAGATGCTCCGCCAGTGCTATATAACAGCCTGCAGGTCTTTCGGGATAATATTCACTTCCCAAGCTCTATAGACAGTTCCCAGTAGCTAACTAGCGAGAGCACGATGTCCAACGTGTCCCGCACCACCATCTTCCTCATCGGTGTCACAGGTGTGTCCGCCGCGGCCGTATATCGATTCACGTTTGACGTGATGGGTTCTATAGGCTATATAGGAGGTGCTCTTCTAACGCGTCTCCTCGCGCATCCCTCTGCAAAGACATTCGATATAACTGTCTTCTTACGGTCTGCGGAGAAGGCGAAGCTCCTGGAGTCCAACTTTGGTGTGAAGGCAGTGGTGGGCACGCTTGCGGAGCTCGACAAACTCGAGGAGCAGACCGCGGCCGCACACGTCGTCTTCTCTTGCGTGAGTGATATGCAAGTATAGTCGTGGAGAGGCTCTGATATACAAGCACGATTTTTCTGCTGTGATGGATCTCGCTGCAGGCGGACTGTGACGATGTCCCTGCGATCGAAGCCATCCTCAGAGGACATCGCAAGAGGCATGCCACGACTGGAGATCTTCCGATCCTGATCCACACGGTAGGCGAATTTTCACTTTCCTAGTGATGTACATCATGAATTCGACTGAGCAAGCGCGTCTCCTGCAGTCAGGCACAGGAGAGCTAACGGACAACGCAAAAGGGCTGCACACCACTGATACAATTTACAACGATCTCGATGCCGCTCAAATTGAGACGCTCCCACCCACAGCCTTCCATCGCCCCGTCGACCTCGCGATCGTCCGTGCAGACGCAGAAGGGTACGTGCGCACGTACATCATTCTGCCGTCCACGATATACGGGATCGAGAGCAACCCCCTCGTAGACGCGGGCATATCGAACCCGTATTCGATCCAAATCCCCTACCTCATCCGTGCGTCGCTTGACCGCCGCCAGGCGGGCATGGTCGGCCGAGGCGTCCCCTTTTGGCCAGATGTACACATCGATGATGGTACGCCCGCCTCCGATGCCCTCATCTACTTCGCGTTACTGAGGAGAGCATTTGGGCAATAGTGGCTGATCTTTACATTGTGCTGTACGATGCGATCGTCGTGAGCCCTGAGAAGGTCGGCCATGGGCGCGAAGGGTACTACTTCGCCGAGTCGGGTGAACACACGTGGGTCGACATCTCGCGCGCGATCGGTGCGGCACTCGTGAAGCTGGGTATCACCACCAGCGCCGAGCCAACGACTTTCACCACCGAGGAGTTGATCAAGTACTTTGGATCCGAGGTGAGTGTGGACTTTTGAGCCTCGCACTGAGCCCTGCCGATTCCCGGCAGAAGACTGACGGTGCACCTGTTGTCGCAGGCGGCGGGAAACTACAGTGGAAGCAATTCACGTTGTCGCGCCAATCGCGGGCGTGCCTTGGGGTGGAAGCCCGTTCATTCGACCGCCGACATGATTGCAAGCATCAAGCCCGAGATCGAGGCGTTGATCGCGAACCCCTCATACAAAGCCATCGTTACCAATTGAGGAGTGATTGTAGGAGCAGAATATTCTGGCACAGAACCAGGTTGTAGTGGTAGAATCTCACACATGTAGTCTTTCTAGAAAATATATGTATGCAGCACTGGCAGCCACGTGTTTCATCGCAGTCTTTCTACGGGGCGTCTCTCATAGGGCCGAGTTGAAGTCTTCTCCAAAAAGTGACCGGGACCTCCATACGGTGTCAACGTCGACTCCAATGAGCCCGACGGTGCGGAACCACTGGTCATGGGGGCGTCGAAGCGCAAGCCTCCGAAGAAGACCAACTGATGCGCAGCGCTGCAGCCTCCAGCTCCAAGGTCAAGGTCGGTGAGGAGGTCGAGGCGAAGAAGCAAAAGAAGGCGACCGCCACGCCTAACATATGCCCAGACTGTGGAGAAACCCCCGTTGCTTGCGGCAGCGCTCAGAAAAGCCACCCTTCGATGTGCTGACAAAACCAGACTTGATTATGAAGCTACCTCTCCTACTGGTGCTATATAACAGCCAGCAGTCACTGCGAAGAATATTCCCTCCCCGAGCTCTGTAGAGAGCTCCTACTGAGATAATTCTCTACAGTAGCTCACTTAGAGAACTCAGCATGTCCAACGTGTCCCACACCACCATCTTCCTCATCGGTGCCACAGGTGTGTCCACCGCGGCCGTATAATATCGATTCACGTTTGACGTGACGGGTTCTATAGGCTATATAGGAGGTGCTCTTCTAACGCGCCTCCTTGCACATCCCTCTGCAAAGACTTTCGATATAACCGTCTTCTTACGGTCTGCGGAGAAGGCGAAGCTCCTAGAGTCCAACTTTGGTGTGAAGGCAGTGGTGGGCACGCTTGCGGAGCTCGACAAACTCGAGGCGCAGACCGCGGCCGCACATGTCGTCTTCTCTTGCGTGAGTGACATGCAAGTATAGTCGCGGAGAGGCTCTGATATACAGGCGTGCTTTTTCTGCTGTGATGGATCCCGCTGCAGGCGGACTGTGACGATGTCCCTGCGATCGAAGCCATCCTCAGAGGACACCGCAAGAGGCATGCCACGACCGGAGATCTTCCGATCCTGATCCACACGGTAAGCGATACTCAGTTTCCGAGTGATGTACATGATGAATTCGACTGAGCACGCGCACTTCCTGCAGTCAGGCACAGGAGAGTTAACGGACAACGCAAAAGGGCTGCACACAACCGATACAATTTACAACGACCTTGACCCTGCGCAAATTGAGACGCTTCCGCCCACAGCTATTCATCGGCCCGTCGACCTCGCGATCGTCCGTGCGGATGCAGAAGGGTACGTGCGCACGCACATCATTCTGCCATCTGTGATCTACGGGATCGCGGGCGGCCCGCTCGTTGCTGCAGGCATATCGAACCCGCATTCGATCGCGATTCCCTACCTCATCCGTGCGTCGCTCGACCGCCGCCAGGCGGGCATGGTCGGCCACGGCGTCTCCTTCTGGCCAGTCGTACACATCGACGACGGTACGTACTCTATGTTTATACACTTCGCGTTACTGAGGAGCATTTGGGTATAGTGGCTGGCCTTTACATTGTGCTGTACGACGCGATCGTCGCGAGCCCTGAGAACGTCGGCCATGGACGTGAGGGATACTACTTCGGTGAGGCGGGCGAAACCGCGTGGGCCGACATCTCACGTGCAATCGGTGTCGCGCTCGTCGAGCTGGGCATCAGCACCACCGCCGAGCCAACAACTTTTACCACTGAGGAGCTGATCAAGTACTTTGGATCCGAGGTGAGAGCGGACTTTGAGGCTGAGCCTGGTCCATTTCTGGCAGGAGACTGACGGTGCTCCCGTTGTCGCAGATGGGAAACATCATGGGAAGCAATTCACGTTGTCGTGGCAATCGTGGGCGTGCGCTGGGGTGGAAGCCCGTCCATACGACCGCCGACATGATTGCAAGCATCAAGCCCGAGATCAAGGCGTTGATTGCGAACCCCTCCTACATGGCTATTGTCACCAATTGAGGAGTGGTTGTAGGAAATATTCTTGCGCAGAACCAGGTTCAATGTAATACTAGAAGTCACAGATGTGCTTTTGAAAGCTCTGGAAAATATATGGAGATTTGCAGGCTCATGGATGGAGAAAAGGATCGTAGGATGAAATCTTGGCCCCAATGATAGTCATTCTGTCCAAGATAGCACGTGAATGCCTAGCAGAATACCAAGGGACAAAAAACGAACTTGTGCATCAATACGTTCCATCTGCTCGTTCCGAACTGCCTGGAAATCAATCAGGAGATCTGACACTGTCGGCTGGTCTGCCTGGCTTCCGAGACACCGGCAGACCCCAATGTAAGGAAATATTGAATCTATGAAGCGTGCACACCGCCTGATGTCTGTTGATCTCCATGTGTCCCAGTGATTGCAGATCTCCAGCATATGCAGGCCATGAGACAAGATGGGGACACCTTCAAGTTCTGTTGAAGACAATCGCTGAATGGTGCCATTCACAAGTGTGAACGAACAAAGATCTGGGCAATGCAGAGCATATTCAAGAAGGGACAAGATAGATATTGAGTTGGAATTAGGGTAGAAGATTGACAGTGTGATGAGATGTGGCCAGGACCTCGCCGTGTCCCGAATGTCATCATTTGTAAAGGTCCCTGTATGGATACCAAGAGATATGGTGACATCTTCTAATAAATGAAGCTGGAGGAGAGGTTGCATTAATTCGATGCATCGAGAATCATTCGCAAGTCCGGGAGAAAGCCCACAACGGATGTCAATGCAGCGCATCGAGTTAATCATGCTGGGGCGGGATAACATGGCCAGCATCTGATTGACCCTCCAGACTGCTTCGTCAGGAATATCAAGCTGGATGGCAAAATATTGCAGTGGTGTTGCAGGATCCACAGCTTGTAGAATGCGTATGACACCAGGAATTGTCCCTGCAAACGTCCGGAGATGCCGCAATGCTGGGAATCCTATGGCTGATGATATGCGCCCCATATCCAATGTATCGAGAGTGACAGAGAGCTTGACTAGGTTTTCCATTCTTGCAGATAGTCCACCACTGATTGTGTAGAGACTTTGCTGTATATATGCAGTGCACGAAGACTCTGGAGCTGAGCCAGATCATGCACAGGCAGTGACTGTTCCGCACCAGCCCATATCGTCAGAGATTGCAGCGTAGGAGTCAAGATTGACAGGGGGGGATACCAAAAGATTGAATGCAGGATCTCGAACCGTATGCGAACTGTCTCTATGGCGGGCGATAATCTTTAATTTCATCAGGGATGGTGACATGAAGAGCGGCATCTCCATGCCTAAGGGATGGACTTGATTCCAAGTCAGCGTGGAAATTGATGAGAAGAGAAGTGTCCCTTGTGAGAGATATGCAAGCATATGGAATACTGATGGGGAGATGTGTTCGTTCTCGAAATTGAAACTAAGCACGCGTACACGTCGCGGCGCATAGTGGCGAAGCCGCAGGAATTCAACCTTTGGTATGGCTCTCAGCAAGTTCTGTGTTGCATGAAAGAAAGAATCAAATGTCAGAACTCTTGACTCTGCACATGAATAGCATTACAAATTGACTACGCACGTAGGGTAAGTTGCCATCATTTTCTTCCACCGGTGCGAATGAGGTCACCAAGACGTTGAGGAGCGGCAGGAGTTTGTCGAGTTTACTCCATGGAGCATCCAATGCATGCTCGGAGAATGCTTTGCATACACAAGCACATTGCGCAAGATATTTCGGGTCATCAGAGGGGATCGTGAAATCATCGTCGAGTCGAAAATGACAGAATATCTCCCGTAAAACATCGACATTGTGTAGTGCCCGATGAGGGCCATTCGATCGATCTGATTCCATCGCGGATGAGGTTGAAAGTAGGTCACGTAGCTGAACAAAATCGAAGGTGAAGATGGGGCGACGAGATATCGAGATGATTGTGTGGAAATTCACGGCGGTAGCGGCCCCTATTAAGGCTTTCCAGGCGACGTCACGGTTGACTTGGGGAGAACAGCCTGGCTGGATACGATCCAAGTCTTAGGCAGAGGGATCGTGACGTTGAACTGCCAAACCTTGATGGTCGATGCGAGTCCTGGGAGCTCTATTCTCCAATACCACACAGGTGGGCAGTTTCACTTCATTCACCGAATCGAAAGGCCTCACCTAGGTGTGCTTTGCAACACAGCTACGGAATTCAATATTCAATCGTGGCCATGCGCCTAGGGCGTTCAACGACGTAGAGCACGCTGCGAACTTGGCACACGTTACCATGACCGGGTGTTACCTTTCGCGCCTGTGACAAACTTTTTCTGACGTTCAGAAAGACCAGCCTATCGTTTTGTCTTTCAGCTTCATCGCCAATGTCGCTCGACGGATTAGTTGATGCAAATCGAGCATTCTGCAAAGATGACATACTGCGGGAGATATTCCTGGTGCAATTTCCTGTGTTGTCTAGAATTTTATCAATTGGGTAACTCGTGCCTCGCCCGCTCGGCTCACTTTTGCAGAGCAGTGTTCCAACATGCTCTCGATGCTCTCTGGCGGGAGCTGCGCGACTTGATATCACTTCTGAACCTGTTGAAGTCCGCGATCGTATGCCCTGATCCTCCGCACAGTGGAACATAATACGTATGTGTTTGTTGCACCCTGTAAACTCACAAAACATACTCACGATCATCCAGTCACTTCGGGGGTCGATTACAGATGATGAACTCCTCATATTTCTTTCTTATGCACAACGTGTACGTAAATTGCTAGGAAGCATGCGAGAAGCCTGGGTCAGATCTCTCTTCTCCACACTGAGCCATCTCACACGAGGTCCTCTGTTTCCTCGTCTCCTCGAGTTCAGGTGGCAACAGTCAGATCCCTGTGGAGAAGAGCTGATAGCGTTCTTGTCCCCGTCACTTGTCAAATTGGAATTAAAATTTCTCAGAATGTACCGAGGGCTCGCGGGACCCGCCCACAGAATCGGTCTTCATGTTCCCTTCCTTACAATCCCTGACAAATGTGAACATATCTATAACATTACCGATATTCCAGAGTCTGGAGAAATACAGGGCCCTGCGGAAGCTACAGATAGCTTCTCCCATCACTGTACATTCCGCCATGCACTACTTGGCTTCCTTGCGAAACCTCAGCGATCTCTGCATCTCACTGGCCGATGCAGATCTAGTCGACTTCAGTGGACCTCAGTTAGAATTCCAGACACTGCGCTGTTTGGAGATTCGTGGTGTGAGCAATCTGGGTGCTAGCCACTTCCTGGGTGTAGCGATCTTTCCTCCGCAATTCCGACAGTTCTGCGTAAAGGGCATTTCTCTCACCTCTAGATTGCCTCCATTCCAAAGATCACTTACGGCGCTGCAACGTCCCGAGACCAACTCCTTGCAGGAAGTTCACTTACACTCCGGCGGGCTGGCCGGGTTCGATGATCGTCGTGCGCGGTACATGGACTTTGTGCATCCGCTACTGCAGCTCCCTCAGCTATATCACGTCCGTCTGGACTACCTTGGCTCCGGGATTCCCCTAACAGATGCAGATAGTAAGGATATGACACGCGCATGGCCCCGTCTCACCCAACTGGCTATCGTCGGAAGTCTATATACTCGATCGACCGTGTCTATCACGGCAAGTACTCCGCGAATTCGCTCTCCACTGTTCCGAGCTCTGTGGGCTGTCTTTCTAGCATACATAGTTTGTGCTGCCTACTGTAGCCAAGTTTGCCTCTGTGCCCATCAATCGTTTCACACAACCTGTACATTCAAGTTCTCCGCCGATTGGACCTCGATCGCTTGTTTCCGAATATCAAGGAGTGCATCAAAGGCTATTCATGCTATGGGACCTTGCTGGGTGTTGGAAGCTTCCTTGCTGGACTGCAGTCTGCGCGGAGCAATGGGAGAGATGTGGTCGTGCCGTCGCTTAGTGTGCGCGTTCCCTTTCTGTGACGACGTACCTTGCACTCACCACTTGCCATTGTCTATTTCTCTGACGTGGGACAGCCCTTCGTCACCTTGCTCACGGCATAGCTGCGCATTTAATTAGAGTGCACCTCAGCATAGCCGTTAAGGTTACTTAATGCATATGACGCGCCTTACACTGAGTACATGGAGGGTACGACAATATCCCTGCGATGCGACCTTGGCAATATTGGGTCCAATCGTGCATTTCATATGACGCGTAAGATGAAGAATATCGCATATGTATATAGAGTACAGAAATACACAACAAATCAGAAAACTTAAGCTCTCCAGGCAACCAAGACCAGAAAATAAGCTATTCAAGGAACTCGACGACAATGGGAACTTATCCAGAGGAACAGCGAAACGACCCCGCACTTACTCAACCCGCTGCCTCTTCGCCCGCTCTGCCTCCTCGGCAGACTCGTTGGTCCCTGGGAGGCCGTTCTCGAGACCTTCCGCCTCCGGCCTATCTCGCTTTCCATTCTCCTTGGCTCCCTCGGGCGTCCGGGACTGGTCCCCAGGCTTCACATTTGCGACAGCAGCAGCGACGGCTGAAGCCACAGGAAGACCTTGTTGTAGGCCACGCAGGACTTCAAGCTCAGACTCGGCCCGCTGACGCGCAAGCCGCTCATCCTCCCACAGCCGGCGCATCTCCTCGAGCTGCGCCTGCAGATCGCCCATTGCCTGATCCATGAGCAGCTTCTCGAGCGTCCACTTCTCAATGTTGCGAGCTTCGTTCTCCTTGAGGTGGTGAATGTACTGCACTGCACGGGAGAGAATCGCGCCCTTGGCTTTCTCGCCGGATCCATTGGGAACGATCCGGCCCAGCTCATTGATACCCTCATTAATGTTGCCGCGCCGTCGGCGCTCGACTTCTTTCTACAGGACCGTCAGGGGACCGTCAACGAAGCACAGGAAGGCGACCTACATGATTATCCTTCCGCTGCCGTGTCCACTCGTCGTTGCTCATTGTCGCACTTCGTCCGCCCCGCCGACCACCCGAACCCTTGCCACCACCGGCCTTGTCGCCACCCTCTCCGCCGTCGCCCTCGCCACCGCTGCCATCCAACGCGCCCATTGCACCGGAGTCATCGCCCTCTGGAGGCATGTCCTCACCATCATGGCTGCGGGTGCGCATGCCCGAAGGTTGGCCGACGGAGGGTGCGCCAGGCGGGCCTTGCAGTGCGGTCGCGGCAGCGCTCAGCTGGCCAAGGTTCGGCGGACCACGCGGGTGCGAGGACGGGCCGGGGTCGCCCGCTAGCCCTGGGTGCTGGTGCGGGTGCACGACATGGTGGTGGTACGCGGGGTGTGGGATGTGCTGGGGGTGTGGTTGGCCTTGGAAAGTCGCTTGAGAGAGATTTGAGAGCGTCTCCGCAGCTACGGAGGCAGAGTCTTTGCCGAAGTCGGTTGCCTGTGTAAGTTGGTAAGAATGTGTACCAAGTAGGATTGTAATGACACGATGGACGTCTCATCGGACATGGCTCCCATCCAGATGCTGCGACACGAACGTGACCGCTGCCTACGATCACGTGGGGAAAGCACGACCGCGACAGAACGCACTCGCGCACAATCGTATGTAACAATGACGTGCAGCGAACACTCACCTTGAACCCAGGCAGCTGCTTCAATAGGTCCATCACTTGTTGGGAGCCGAGCCCCGCAATGAGGTTGGGTCCAAACTCACCCGGTACACCTGGCTGCGGTGGGCCCTGCGGGGGAGGGGGCTGAGGTGCTGCAGGTGCGACGTGCGCCATGGTGGGGTCGTGGTTGGGCTGTGTAGAAGTCATGATGTTATTAGGCCTGCTGGACGTTGTCGGGCCGCGCCGGTGATCGATAGCGGTCGGGGGTGCGACGACGATGTCGGTGTCGAAAAAATCAGAAAATGGTCTCCACGCTCGTTATGCTCTTCGATGAACGGGGTGATGTTGTCAACGTCGTCAACAGTTGTTCGACGGCGGGGAGAAAGGTGGGCGATGGATGGGGAGGCGAGTAGATCACGGGGGAGAGAAACGAGGTCACGACGTAGTCACGAGGGCCCGTCTATATACTCTGCACGTGAGAATCAAACAAGCACAACCAAATACCACTTCCTTTTTGGGACCTTCTGCGCACGGACCACCTCTCCTCGTGCTTGCCATGGAAAATCACCGGAATTTGTTCTCTGACTTCAGGCCTAAGGTTGTTCTGGGTGGCCAGTGATTTTTTGTATCGTTGGTGTGGACTCCGCTGTACTGGGCATGGTTTTCTGGACAGGCTGAAGCTTCGTCTATTCATTGGCGACCAATATTTACGAGAGTCCGACTGTAACTTAGACATCACATACTCACTCCCGTAGTCTTCTTGTGATGCGAGAGAGCCTAAGTGCCATGCTTCTGCTTGCTGTTCTGCAAGTTCACGTTCGTTGCGTGCTACAATAGTATCGTCGTTGTAAGTCTTCTGCAGCAGCTCTTCATATTTTGTGAACTTACCTTGGTATCGGTGAACGTGTAGTGCACAGATAGAGTGTATGACCAACACCAAATACTGGTGCACGCAGCACTTACCTTAGGTAAATGCACGGGACCTATACAGTAGCAACTGACTATATGGGGCGCCTTCTCCGGCTCTACAATCCCGACCTCACCGTTGAGATGATATTGATCCTTTGTCTTGAAAGGCAAAGGCATGCAGATCTAGTGCGTCGCTTTCTCCTTCCCTCGATATGACTTACGTATTTAGTGCGCTCGATGCAGTATCAGCGTGCGACACCCAGTGACTACTCCATCTCCTTCAGTTTCTCGTGTCTCAACGTCATAATTGTGTGACGAGCTCTCTGTTTGTCCTTCATATTCTGATAACATGGACCTTGCTATAGCGTGATTGTGTTCCGATTTACGGGTTTGCAGTGAAGGCCATGCATATGTGAGATGCTGAAGGTTTGTTTTTTCCCTGGCATGCACGTGGGATCTCCGAAGAATCGGCAGGCCATGCTAAGCCGACGTTAGTGAACTGTGTGATTCGCCGGGCCTTTTGCGAAGCCTTTGTCGTGAGGCCTATGCGCAGCCCGCAGTCGTCGTCGCCTCCACCGCGCTCCTCGCATAGTTCATCCAGCATGATGACGATTCGCACCGCATCACGCAGTTCCATAACTATTTCTCTAGACTCTACCTACCTCTTGTACTACATACATCCCACCCCCTTCTACGACTCACTTTGACTGGGAAATTTTCAGCGCCAAATTGTTGTTTTGACCAGTTCCGCGTGTTACGAGCCTCGAACCTGTCACTGCCAAGGGTGCAGCTTTGATCGCAGAACTTCGGTCAGCGACCACCGCAGTCAGCTTTCTCATCCTCTTCCACCATCTGCTGTTCTCTTAGCTCTAAGCTAAAAATGAAGTCCGCCATCCTCGCGGCTACGATCCTTTCTCTATCTAGAGTTGCTCTGGGCAATTATACCCTGGTGCAGTCCTTCTCGGGCTCGAACTTCTTCAACGGCTGGCAGTTCTATGGGAATTATGATAATACCACCGAAGGTGAGTAGCCCTTTGCATCACTGTGGAGTTCTAGGAAGCGTTTGGTGGACGACCATCCGGGAGGTATTGTTGCAGTTGCAGTAGCTTCTCAGGCGGAGATAATGTCATGCGTCGAAGTAGCCGCAGCTGCACGATGCAAGTCGGTCAATGTGCACGACTGTACTGCAGCACATAGTATATGCTGCAGTCGGAGTCTGAACGGAGCGTACTGAGCTCCGTTCTGTCCGGCGTACCTTGTCGGAGCTGGAGTATCGTGCTGACAGGACTTGCGCAGGCGATGTGACCTACGTGAACCAGACGAACGCCACCGCATTTAACCTTGCGTATGTCAACCCTGCCGGGAATGCCATTATCAAGGTGGACAACACCAGCTTCGTGCCATACAATGAGAAGCGGAACTCAGTGCGCATTTTCTATCTTGTTTCGAGACGATCTCTCACACCGGCGTTCAACAGGTGCGCATTAGCACAACCGACTACTTCTCCGTGGGGTCCGTCTTCCTTATGGACGCGGTCCACATGCCTTACGGCTGTTCCGTGAGTCCAAATTATGTCTCAACTGCATACGGTTTCGGTGACGCGGTCTGTAATGCGGCGCGCAGGTATGGCCCAGCTTCTGGACGAAGGGCCAAGCATGGCCGTCCGGTGGTGAAATCGATATAGTCGAAGCGGTGAACATGATGACGAACAACCAGATGGCTCTGCATACCAACGAGGGCTGCACCATCGCGTCCTCTTCTCTATCTGGTTCTCTCACCGAGAACAACTGCAACTCCACGGCCGGCTGCACTGTCGTAAGTTCTCCTTCAACACGATGTCGGCCAAACGAGCCTAATGGTCCGTGTAGACCGAGAACCAGGCAAACAGTTACGGCGCGAGCTTTGCCAGCTCGGGTGGAGGTGTCTTTGCCACGCTCTTCGAGACGTCCGGCGTTTCGTGCGTCTTCCCATTTTGGCTTTGAGACACGCGCTGATACTACTTCGCCCACAGCATCTGGTTCTGGAGCGTAAGTTGCGGCCAAATAACACTACTTGCCATATGCTGACATTATTGGTTTCACAGCGCGCTAACGTTCCCACATCGGTGTCGAGTGCGACAACATCGATTGACGTTTCCTCCTGGGGCACACCGTCCGCGAACTACACGTCCACCGACTGCAACATCAACGAGTTCTTCCAACCGCAGCAGATCGTGCTGGATATTACCCTCTGTGGCAATTGGTACGTCCCATGCATATCTAAGCGGAACGATGTATTGAAAACACTCAGGGGAGGTATCGCGTCCATCTATAGCGAAACTTGTCCCGTGCAGGGCACGGCCAACGCGTCCACCTGTGTATGTCCTGCCTGTCGCGTCTTGTCCCGTCTAGCGCGTATTGACTCCTCATCCGCCAGTACCTTGACAACGTGATCAACAACGGCACGTCGCAGTACGCTAACGCGTACTTCGAGATCCCGTACCTTAAGGTGTTCTCCGCGAACGGAACGGTTATCACTCCCTCCGGCTCCGCGTCTGGCACCGGCAGCAACGTCGGGCTGCCCACGTCTACATCCTCCGGCAGCAGTCCCTCTGGCTCCTCGGGTTCAAAGAGCAGCAGCGCGGTGCGCTGGGACCCCACCGTGCTGAGCATTGGCATGTCGTTTGCAGTGGCAGCGCTGGGCGCGTGGAGCGTGTTATAGAGCGTTAGAGCGCAGTGCAAGTGCAAGCGGTTGGGCGTGTGCGGTGAACAATTTCTCGAAGGACTTTTTTTTTGATTCACTCTAGCTTGCAAGTATATATGTGTATTGCCCCGTTCTAATACCTTCTCTATGCGTAGTTGCGCTATCTGGTTCGGACCCATCTTTCTATACCACAATACCAACGGCAATACTTCGAACTGGCGACTTGAAGGCCATGAGTGCTCTGTGTACAGTATGTCGGGGCATTGGCTATATTGTAATCGTTTCTCAGGCGGGGCGTGCTTGCGCGCGTGTGCGGTGACACAGACAGCGGTAAATAGGATGCAGATTATCAATCCGACGGACGATAAACTCCAGTGACGGCCAAAGCGGAATCTCCAATGACGGAGGACAAATCAATTCAAAGTATCTGAGGAAACAAATGAGAGTAGAGTGAAAGCGGTTCATATCAATGTCTCTAACTCCACGAAGATATAATGATAAAATAACTTCGTGTTCCAGTTACGTCTGAGAGCGGTTCTTACTCGAAAGACCGACGAAGACATTTTATAAAACAGAGTGGTGGAGACAAATTTCTGCACGCCACCTGAGAACCGAGCAGTAAATAGGACAACGAATTGGAATGAGTACTGAACCTAAAACTGACGAAGAAATGCAAGGGGTCTGATTGTAAGGGGAGTCGCGTCGTAGGCACCACAACCGAACGACGTTGCCCAGACATTTGTATAGCAGAGCTCCGCTTTATCCTAACTTGTGGCGGCGAGAGAAGTTATCCCATCAAATGTTCGTAAGTGCAGCAGTCCTGCCGTACCTGCCTTCGAGATGTGTATCCCAGCAAGGCGTCGAGTGAAGCTCTAGCTGCGTGCAGCATTTGTCAGTGTCTGGTTCAGTTACTTCTGCTGGAAGCGACGTGACGTACAGATATCAGGCTTTCAAGGGTTGACCGCCATTTGTGCTCGCCGGATGGATTGGAATTTCAAAATGAGTTCGCTTAATTTGGGCCCTTCCCAATCTGTATCGGAGAAAAGTTCGAAAAGGTTGGGGAAGATACGGTCAACAAAGTATGCACATCGCAGTCTATCCGCGAGAGTGCCGTCCCACAAATCCTCGATCTCCAGCCTTCGTAGTTGATGGGTCAGAGTAGGAACAGTCATCAATGTTTCCGTAGTTATTGGCGTGAATGGGTGCAGGATCGATATCCGCTCGAGTTCTGGACAGTGGTAGGCTAGCTCATAAAGAGAGGCGATAGAGATGGATGGAATGACATCGGTGATACCAGGGAAAATCTCAAAATCCACAAGGCGTGGCCATGCTCTGGCCATTTCTGTTAAGTCGTTGTCTGTAAATTTGAAAGCCGGGTCCGAGAGATAAAAAAAAGTCAAGGTGACACGTTTAAGAAAATGATTGTTGAGCAGAGGATGGAATATGTCGACAAAGCAGGTATCTGCTGGAAATCGTGTACTCGACGTGCCCTGAAAGCAAATGGTGTGCAACGAAGGAGTTGAAGAGATACACTGGAGCGCCTTGCGGAATACAGACGATGATTCCGTAGTCAGAGGAAAGCATTCGACCGACACTGTGTCCAGGCGTATCGAGGAGCCTGCAGCCTGCAGAATGTGCAGGATGCCAGAAGCGGTTCCTCGGTGAATATATAACTGCTGCAGGCAATGGAAGCTGGCATGAGGGGTGTCGCTGGGCTCCACCTCTGAACCCTCGAGAGTAATGGTGAGATCATTGAGGTTCTCCAATTGGGTCAATGCATCCGTGACCTGTGGTGCAGTGAGAGGGGCCGTGATGGTTAGGGAGCGAAGGCGCTTGAAATGCACTAGATTCTGTCGCAGCAATGCAGAGGTACGTATATTCTGAATCGTCAACAGTTCCAAGGACGGCGCCTGGATCACGAAGTTGCAAATAAGTATTTCAATAGCAGGACCCTCGACTCCGATTTGTTTAGTGTAAGATATAGCCACACTCAATGCCTGGAGCGACGGAGACAGAAATGCCGACAGTGCTGTTTCGAATGAATCCGGCTGTTCCCAATTTATCAAGCGCAGGGACGGAAAAAGTGGTGATCCTCCTGCCAGTTGGCTCAACAGCGGGAACACGGAAGGCGCAATGTTTTCGTGGTGGAGCGCGACGTAGTTCAGATATCGCACGCGCCGTGTATAGGTGCAGAATCTTGTTAATTCATCCTGGGGTACAAGTCCCTGGAGAAACTGTGAAACAATCAGAACCCATATGGTTTCTAACGGTTAATCGCCTTAATAATAGCACGACGCACATATTGTTGTTGACCATCAGGCATGTTGACTTGCACGAACGAAATTTTGAGGATGGGTAGTATACTAGGAGGCTCCCTCCACAGAGTGTCCGGCGCATGCTCAGAGAACGATCTGCAGGCACGCGCAGACAGCGCGAGGCTTCTTCGATTCGAAAGCTTATCGCCTTGCACGTAAAAGTGCGAGAAGATTTCTCGCAGGATGTCCTCATTGCGCAATGCAGGGTGCATTTGAATCCGTTGTAGCACTATATATCGGTGGAACCGTCAGTCAGGCTTTCGAAGCTATCCCTGAATCAAAAGGAACTCGACGTGTAGGGACAGGAAGCGAGTCTTTCGTAGTACTGCTGAATTGAGGGTCGCGGAGGATCGATATCGGAATGATCTGTGCATTCTGCCTCTATGAAGCTGATTCTTAATGCCGCCGCAATCGTGACGACAAAAATCCAAAAGCCTGAGCACAGGAGGAGGATTGAAAATGTAACCGTAAGCGTAAGCTCCTCCTCGGGTTCGCGACAGGTAACGCGTGACATGCGTGACATGTCGCAATGCAGCTCGCAATTGCGAGCTATTTGAACAAATTCTAGATAACACCGCATCCATGTTAAGTGCGTACACAATGTCAAGTTGCACTCATGCAGAGTTCGAAACTAACTGGGCTAGCGGGTGGAGGACACTGGAGGTTGAAACAGGACTGGTCGATTCGGATTGCGGTCACGTGTGCGTGACGGCTTTCCTAGAAATTTCCTAGAAATTATTTCTAGGCTGTTTCTACAGTCGTACAGTCGTACGCTACACCTCGCGTCTGGGTTTCAGTACGAATGGGCTCTGCGGATGAATCGGTCCAGGTGCATCAAGTTCTGCGCAACAACGATATCCTTCGGGAAATCTTCCAAACCTTTTCTAGTTCCAAAGGCGACGCCAGAGACCTTCTCCAATCTGCCTGTGTCTGCAAGGCATTTTCCGAACATGCCCTAGATGCGTTATGGAGGGAACCCCCCAATCTTTTACCTCTGCTCAAGCTTCTGAAGGAGACAATAGTGAGAGCGTCACTCGGGCAGTCACCTTTATATGTTCGCGTTGCATCATTCTTATCGCAGACATTCGTCCTGAACTTTTGCTTTTTTGCATAGGTTATACAAGGATTGATCGCAGTGAATGATTTTCGCCGAATGCAACTCTACGCACGGCGCATACGCTGTCTGGACATTGAACTGTCTCGTGAACGGATTGCGCCCTCGGTGTTCATCATGTTGAGTCATTTCGCCCGCGGCAAACCACTCTTCCCTTCGCTACTCAAATTGCGTTGGAGACAAGCGCAGTCTTTTGGTACGGAGTTGTTGTCCTTCATGTCGCCATCGTTGGCCACCATCGAGATCACGTCAACAGCAGCTCTATCAGAAGGTCGGGATTGCACATTGGAATCACTCATAGGATTCCTTGTTTCAGAAACCCCTCACCTAAAGCATCTGATGCTACGTTGTCATGTCATGCGCTCGTCAAGTATAGAATATTTGGCACATTTCAAAGACATTCGAACTCTGGAGATAGACTGTCCAGTCTCTGCACAGTCCGTGACAACCCACCTATCTCATCTAAGCAATCTCGAAGGCATGACCATCTGTCTTACTGCACTTGAAGTAGGTGATTATCAAGGGCCTAATGCAGTCTTCCAGTCACTGGATTCGTTGGAGTTACGCCAAGGTAGCGTATCGGGGGCGATACACGTCCTTCAAGCGGCTATGTTTTCTCCTGTACTCGATCATTTCGCCGTCGTGGAACTCCCTCTGATCGGATCGCTGCCGAAACTTCATACTCTTCTCACCATCCTATCTCTGCCTGGAGAAAACAGCTCCCTCCGATACGTCTTTATCGACTGCAGACCAATAAAAGGGAAATTTAGCGCCAATACTCGAATTGTGAATATCATTCAACCTCTCTTACGTTTACGGAAACTCGAAGAAATCTGTGTTTGCCTAGAGCATCAGAAGATTCAGTTGCAGGATGAGGATATTCGGGACATGGCGGCATCTTGGCCTCATCTCCAAAAGCTCACAGTATACCAAGGAACATTTACATCTCCCAGGGCATGCCTCTCTTCCCTACTCCATTTCGCCATCGGTTGTCCCCATCTCACTACTCTCGACTTGCCCGGTATGAAAATCGGAAACCTATCTTCCTTGGTATTCGAGGAAGTGCCAGTGCTATCGCACGGTCTGCAGACACTAGAATTTCGGATGGACAGCTCGGAGCGCTCGTCTTTGAAGATTAGACAATGCGCGCGCTTCCTGGATCGCCTCTTTCCTCGACTTCAGACATGTCGTTCTCACCAAGAAGAAGATCACAACCAGGATGAGGGGGGGAACAGGGATCACAGAGCACTGGAAATCTCTGACCTCTTGCTGGACCTCCAATCGAGCAGGGCTGAACAAGTTCGGCGTGATGCGAAACCTCAATTATAAGGTCTCGAGAGGTATATCGATCTGTCCCTGCTGTGTAATACCGTGAATCTCGCTGACACCGGTGACACGAAAACTTGACAGGTTTCGAAATGGAGCTGTCCAATGTATAGGACGCAGTTTTTTTCTGACAAAGTCTCGCGATCCATATTCTGTGTTCCTCGTCGTTTCGTCTCATTGTTAGCAAGTTCTAAGGCTCGCTGCTATATGTTCGCGCCCTCTCAAGAGGCTGCGGTTCCGTCGATAATTTTAGCAGTCTCGTACCAAAACCGTCCGCCCGTGCGTCACAGGATGCCTAGCGAAACACCCAAGTTTCTCTCTTTGCGAACACTGGGCGAAGGTCTGTGTCGGAGAGTAATTATAATGCAACTGCAACATCATCTCGACGAGTCACACTGCACGGAGCGCAGACATATTACAGCACCAGCACCACGAAAAGCCAACCGAAAATCAACGAACTGGAACCCCCGAGCATGGTATACAAAATAAAGGGAATCAACGCAGATGTGAGCGGGGGAAATCCGAACGAACATGCCCTAATTAGGCGGAGCCCACGACGACTATGCGACACTATGGATACATGTACAAAAAGCAGGTGTGGAGATGTGGGCAGAGATCGTCTTCCAAGATCATGCAGAGAAATGCGAAGCGGCGGAGACAGATTACTACACTGCCGAAAGATAGAGTGCGGGCGTAACCATCTGATCAGCAGGTCAGAGGGAGGAGCGGAGGAGGCAGGTAGCGCGCCACCCACAATAATACATTACATCCACGAATAACAGGGCACAGCTGCGCCCTAGCCGCGCAACCGCCACCCGTCGCCCTTCCTGCTGACACGGCCGACACCACCAAACGCCTCTCGCACGACGAGCCAAAGGCCGGTCGACGACACGACGTCCTTGATCTCCTCTGCGGTGAGCATCATGCCCTCGCGCTGCGACTGCTGGGCCCAGAAGCCCTTCCCGAGCCCGCTCCCGCTGCCGCCTGACTTCCCGTTCGCGACGGGCTCGGGCACCGGCGCGGGGCGAGCGACGCCCGCGGGTGTGACGATGCGCTTGCGAAGGCGTACATGCTCAACCTCGATGTCGGGAAGTGGGAATGGCACCTTGAGCAGCGCGATGACCTTTGGGTGGTGCGGTGTTGGAACGAGCGCTGCTACCTTGAGGCAAATGCTCGGCGGCTGTGCACTCGCCACGCCGAGCTCCACACCGCGCATTGGCGCGAGCCGCCGCACGACGAGCGTGCACGTCCACGGCGTCTCTGAGTCCTCAGGGTCGCTCTCGTCGGCGTTGTCCCCGTGCGTGTCGTCCTCCGTGGAGGTGTTGTTGGTTAAGAGACTCGCAGGCGGATGTGGCGAGACGGAGCGGTGGGAATCAAGAGAGCGGCGTCCACCTGCAGGCGAAAGCGCCGTGCGCTTCGTGCGCGGCGACTGCGTCCGCGAAGGGGATTGTGGAGCAGACTGTAGTGGGGAAGTACGTGACAATGGTGGGGACGGATGTGATGGTGGCTGGTGCTGCAGGGACGCGGTCGATGGTGTAGACGATCTCCCTATACTATTCCGCTTGCTAAGCGCGCCTATCCGCTCCCCTCGCTCACGCAGCTCTGGCGACACCTCGCTATCCTCGGTGCGCCGCCGTCCCCGACCTGACTTCCCGCTCTTCCCGCGGGACCACTCGAAACGCACCTCGACGAGGCCTTCGAGCCCGTTGCCGGGCCTCGTATTATCCTGCTGCAGCATGTCCTTCACGCCGTCAAGCAAGCTCTCCTGCGTGCCCTTCAACCACCTCCTGACAACCCACACATACCGCGTTGGTCGCCCGCGGGGTGGAATCGTTGCCGAGCTAAGCAGCGGCTGGATGCCTAACACTGGTGGTTGTAGAATCGCACCGCTAGGCTCGCCCGCTGCGAGGGACCCAGGTTGTACATGCATCGAGCTACGTTTCGATAGAGGTGCGGCTGGTATCGAGGATATGGAGGTTACGGGCGACGGGGGCGGCTTCGGGAGCATGGACGATCCATCCTTCTTCTTAAATAGCCGCCCGAAGAGGCGCTTCGGGGTGGCACGGTCCGGGGCGGAGGACGGGACGACGAGGGTCTGATACCCGTCTTCGGACGTCAACGAAAGCGCTGATGAAGTTGGTGTGTGCGCGAGGTCTGGGGAGAGTAAACCCGCACCACTAAAATCGATGCTATTGCGTTTAGCGCCATCATGTGGTGGACGGACGCTCCACGCCTCGGCGGCGGCGCTGCCCCACACCTCAACAGGCTCGAGGACGGCGAGGCCGATGACCTCGAGCCCGCGCTTGAGGAATTTGGCAACCTTGGCGTCTGTTCCGGCGTCAACGATGACGTTCTGCATCACATTGTGCGCTTGGAGGTTATAGAGCGGAATAATCATGCGGCGGCCAGTAGAAGATGATGATGAGGCGACCGTGGATATGGAGCCGGAGGAGGAGTAGGTGGAGTACATGGAGGTGTCAGATCGGTTTGAACTTGTTCGACTGAGCGAGCCGCCGAGGTCTTGGGTGGACCCGCTGTCGAGGGGGCGGGCGGGATCTTTCCCGCTCGGCGGTACGAGCTGCACCTGGAGGTTGAGAGGATGATTTGTCTTCGCGGGAGGCGGCCGTACGACAATAAATGACTGCAGAGATCTGTCAGTACACCTGATAAACATGGTTGAGGATCCGCCGAAAATGTATCGCACTATTGGTGAAGTTGGGGATGGCACAGCGCATGCTGAAGAGGATCACTTCGCAATGTGTATACCTTTGCAATGGACTGTTGACTGCCACCTCCGCACATTCCTCTGGATCATATGCAGAGCACGCTATCGAAGGAACTCTGTCACACACTGCGACATTGCCTGGGACAGGTAGCGTGACGACAGGCAACAATCCACGGCACAACTCCTGCATCACGCCTCGGTCGAGCTCAACAAGCCAAGACAGTGATTCTAGGGTGATGGCAGAAGCTGTTCCGCTCGCATAGCAGGCTCCAGCCGTCCTAACGCCAACCATCCGTCTCTGGTACCAATCTCGTTGGGTGGAATTCATCGGGAACGTGCAAAACCTGAGAACAGATTTGTGATGTGAAACCACCCACTTCATGTGTCCTCTCTTTCCGCTTCTTGACACCCAACTCGTCAACGACGGTGGTGCCTGGCATTTCTTTAGGATGGATATCTTGCTGTTCGTCTGGAGATTCTTGTGATGGGGGAGGAGATTTGTCTGCGGAGGTAAATGCGGATGGTAGAAACGGTAAAAGAGACGAAAGCATTTTGAAAGAGGGATATAGAAGTTAGCGGAAGAGTTAGCGGAAGAGTTGGTCATAGCCGCCAAGTTAGAATCAGCCATCCTCGCCGCGCCCGCTGCGTCATCTCCGCACTCGGCTACGGAAATAACCATTCATGGACCTCCGGAACCCCTGTCCTCTTCCCGCATTTCGGAGTATGAAACACCTTCATTTACCCCTGTGATTGGCTGGCAGCCCCTATCTCGCGATATCCGGAAACTCCGCTCACACCCCGGCTGTCGGCATTCCCCGGGAAACTCGAAAACATGCCCGAAAACTCACTTTGATCAGAATCTCGCATCTTATCTCAGCCATCTCTCACGTCCATGTCATCGCACAGCGCGCAGCAACAGGCTAGCATGTTCTCTCCTCGTTCCGTATCGCAACCCACGCGCGTGCGTAAGAGTTCGGGGGCAGTAAATCTTCCCGTTCGTCGAATCTGACCCCCCGGCCAGGTCATTTTTTGAATAACACGGCCCTTTCGCCAGCAGGACTAAGCACCCCGCCGTCAGCACGACCACATTGCTGACACTTGTCTGCTCACCCAACGTCAGGTCCCATGACACGGTCTCTCATCGAGGCATGCCATCCTACTTGTCAGTGTACACTCATCCTACCATCTGATGATCGTCGAGATCTTTCAGCTGTTGCACAGCTCTAACTGATCCGGTCTGCATCGCGTTCAGCGCTGTATGTGGGACTGCACTTACTACAACAGCGAGGTCCGCAGCCTAACTATAGTTGAGCAGCAGCCTGAGTGCTCTGTCGTTCGTGCGCTCATCACGCGTTCGGTGCCTGCACGAAGATGTACGTATCTCTTTTAGTTTGAGCCGTTGCGCCACATTGATGCCTGTCAATCATGCTGTGCTTCAAATCATACCAGGTATGTGATGCATGTGCTGGTAGGAACGATATAGTGTAGGGCAGGGAATGAGAGCCAGTGGAACCGCCACGCCATCTTGCTCATATTTTGGTCCATCGACTCCGACAATCCTTGCAGGCTGTGGCGGTGTTTCCCACATTCTGCCCACTGTGAGCCCACATCACTGACCATTATGAAAGCGTTATGTATGCAATGCTCTTTGACAGATGTTATCAGATAGCATGATATCTCCGCAGCCACAGTAGTCTCAGCCTCAATTACCGGATCATTGGCCACGTCATTCAATGTCGCAGCATAACCAGCAAACACTCTTTCACCGCCATGGAGAAAAATAACCCTGCTTGATGCATCATCGTCTTTATTAACGACGTATGTGCCAGCGTAACGCGTGCGCGCTCAGGGTCGCTCTCCAGGGAGAGGGAACAGCGGTTTCATGCTGATCTCACATGAAGCCCTACAGCGATGCAGCAACCCGATAATGGTGTACCCCTGGTGACCTCGACGTAACAACATCCCGCGTGCGGGCGCTGTGCACAGTCGCTGCGGTGGCTAACAAGCGTCTGCCGTCTATTATTACCTGGCGCACTGAGCTTACCGACAATATATCGGTGCTTGTATGTGCCGCGAGCGTTAATCGCCCTGTGTACGCGGACTGCTTGATTTCCAATTCCCGGTCTGCATGTCTTCGGAAATCTATGCGATGCAGCAGGTACTGGTAATTTTCCCTCGGTCCCGCCGCACCGTTTCGCAATGGTTTCGGCACGGACAAGCTGCCGACAAATTATTTCCTACCTATCCAGGCCGCCCGGATACTGGCTGCGGTGATATGCTACCTCTCGTCCTCAGAAACGCATATGGCGCAGCTCGTTACTGACGACCCCTCTCCTGAGCGTAGTCTCGCCGGCCCGAGGCTTGGTACAGCGGACCGCCTGAACACGGCCGCCCATATCTCTTTCGCCCCTCTCAGCTCTGAATTTCTAGCCGTTCGGCCTGGATAAACCGAGAACAGGCACGTACTGGGCATGTTTCTGTGCTCTTCTGACACTCAAAGTTACTCAAACTCGGTACAGTGGGGCACTCGACTACCTGTCTTCCTCGTCTCGTCCAGCTCTGCAATTTCCGAGCAGCTCGACCTGCCAGGATGATGCGAGAGCAGGAACCGCTGGCTTCTTGAGCGTCTTGCCGCTCGGAGCTTGGGCGTTGATGTACGAAACTTAATCTGCGGGCTAGGGTGCACCCGGCGCAAATATTGTTCGCGGTCTAAGTACGCACTAACCCCGTACTGTCGTGTCTGCGGGTGCATGTTTGAGTGGTACTTCCTCGGGAACCTTGTACTGGCGTGTTCTGTCTCCTTTGCGACTATCATATCATCATGTTGCTGTCTTGTCGGAGGACAAGCGCTATCGTTTCTCGGTCCGCGCCACCCTGGAGTGAGTTTCGAAGCCTCCGAGATATAATTCTGGAGGTCTGCAGCTGATTTTCACCGGCCAAGGTTCTCTGCCAGCTCCCGAACTTTGTCACGCCTAATATGCTGTTCTTCTCGCACTACGAGAATATCCGAGGGGGGACAGCCCATCATCCGAGTCCGACGGTAACGGTTGCATTGCGTGTCATTTCCCGTAGCGCAACACAACGAGGCTGCAGCAACGGCCGTGGTGCCACATCTATGGCATGCCCTCGGATACCCGACTCGGCACCCTCCGTCTATCCTATGATCCAAGTCTCACTTTCTCGCGGTACAAATCCAGAATCGGTGGTGTGCGTAGTGGTAGCCGTCGTGTTTCGACTCGGGGGAGACACGGCCCTGCCGACGCCGACGAATACAAGACTTGGAGGGCGCTCATCGCGAATGGTCCGGATCCGACGTTTGACTTGCAATTGGGTCTCGTACTTGCACTTGCTCCTATCTCGGTCGTTCACACCCGCCGAGACGTTTGAGATTTTGGATGTCTGGAGGACCAGACCTGAAAGCGTTTTGCGGACCGAAGTACGCGAGCTCATCAAATTGTATCGCGGGGCCTGTATGAAACTATCGTCGATGTGGACATTGCAGTCCTGGTGGCCTCGACGTTCAATGCAGAAGTGCGTCGTCGAGTAGCACGGGCCGAGTGTGAATGCCAAATGTTTACGTATCCGAGGCGAACGGGACCGTCGGCCGCGGACACGTTGACGCACCTGATTTCGTGCGCACGGCGATGCTCCACGTACGCTGTCCGGGATTCCCAGAGACTAGAGTCGCGTTCGACGAAGTGCGCAAGAAGTGTGCATGAGCTTTGGACATTGCAACTGCAGGGTGTCGACTTTGCATGATGTCAACTTAGGCACTAACTCTGTCTGCTGTATGACCCTGACCGAGAGTGAATCCGGGCGATAAGGCTTTCGGGCCAATAGAGGTCTCGACATATGTATATAAAGTTTCTGCTGGAGCAAAGCGTCCACGGAGCAACATGGCGCAGCTGGAAGCGCGCGGGGCTCATAACCCCGAGGTCACTCGATCGAAACGAGTTGTTGCTATCTGTTCTTCCCGAAACTTGTTTTTTTCTTCTGCCAGCACTGATTGTTGGATCTTGTCCCTGTGTCTAGGTATCCCCAGTCCTTTCACCTTTCTACGATACAAGAATGTCCTTTTGGCTCGGTCATCCCAATTAGGTCAGGGTCCGTACGTGCATCCTTACTCAATCCTTACTAGGACCACTCACAATTTGGATCCACCACGACCCGGCGCCTCATAGCATAAGTATTGCACAAAATTTCGTACGAAGATTTCCCTGGCCAGCACAATGCCAACACCGTTCAAGCTTTGTCGCCTCGTGCAGTCGACATCGCGGTCACGTTCCAGGTATGAGTTCTGCGACGCGTCCTCCGGCGACGTGTGCAGGTATGCTACGTTACGTCACGGAAAGATTCAGGTTCGGAAGGCGAGAAATCCATTGACACGCAGGACTCGGCGCGGATGCAACAGATAATGGTACGAACAGAAATCTATTGCGCGAAATGGGGTTGACCGCTTAGAAACCGCAGGGCAAGAAAGCCTGACGCAGACGCGGACATGCCTCTGCATCGTGTCTTCACGTTGCTTGTGGACCCAAGCGCGACAGACAACTAGCTTTGGTACTGGCCGAGGCGATGGAGACAACCCTGTTACCCAATAGCACATGGAGAAACGCAACACAGAGCGACAGTCTTTTTTCCAATCACGTTAACCACGTCCTTGATTTGCTCAGATTCCTCGAGTTCTTCGAATCTCCGCTCTAGGAGAGCACGCCGTACGACTGCCTCCGCATACCGAGTGCTTATAAGTGCCGGCACCCTTACTAGTAGAAAGAAACGGCATATTTATGGGGATTGACTCGACGTTTAGATAGGTACATATCTTGTTCATCATTAGCTTCGTGGGTCAGTGGCTGACCATATATGGCGGGACTCAGAGTACTGTTGTCATCCAACTTGCATCCAACCGTTCATGGACCCAGTATAGCTGGGTGTGATCACCCACAGTCCTCAAGCTCGCACGTGCGCAAGATGCACCTCACAACTCTCTCTCACCCACGTTCTCCCCCACGAGTACAAATTCCCATGCGTTTGTTCGTACCGACAGAGCCGCGACAGCCTTCCATTATACAGCCCAGATGCGGGGCAGCGGCAGCTGCTGCGGCCCCCTCTCTTCCCGGGCGCGCTGGAGGACCGACTGTTCACCGCGGTCAATTCCGTCCGGCATTACAACGCGAACGCACACCGCCTACTCGTGGCGCTCGAGCTCAGGCTCAACCCGGAGCTGTTCTACGCGGGGACGGAAGGCCCCGATGCGCCTACGTGGTCGTGATGGCCCTCATCCCCGACGCGTCTACTCCGCGTCCCTCCACGACGCCGCGCACGCGGTAGCCGCGGAGGCGCTCCATGGCGCGGTGCCGAACTCAACCACGAGAACGCTGTTATATACGCGAGGACGAGCAATCGCTCGTCATATGTGATTCGTGCGCGGAGGATGGGGTGGGGCGGACCCGCTACCGCACAGGAATGTGATGCGCAAGGAAAAATATAATTATTTGCTGGAGGGGATCTGGGCCCCCTGTGCTTTCGTGATATGTTTCTGCAGCGAGAGCCACTTTGCCATTAAGTAGACTTTGCGTATATCTCGGGAGTTGTATCCGTACGAGTTGCCCATGTCGTGATGAGAGATTCTACATCACTTCATACGTATACCGTTGTCTCAGCCTGAATGTGAAGGGCGTTCGCCAAATCAGAACGAAATTTGTCCATGAGAAGAGACGTTAAAGTTGTGGAAATCACCAGGAAAAGAAAGCTGGCATTCATACGATATCGACAACGGACTGGAATAAATACATGCAGAACCAAACGACAGCAGAGATAATGCACGAGCGACTGAGACTGTAATAGCATATATACATACGATGAAACCTCAAATTGCTGTATATCCCGGAAACCATACGGCCACCCAGAACACGAACTGGGTCAGATCATCACTCTCGCATCGTTCGATGACGCCATAGACATGGTCCGCATGCGCATCGCCGTTCCCTGCAGGCTCGGATACGAGCCCGTGCGGTACGCCATTCCCGTGCCTGTGCGCGGTCTCGGTCTAGGGCCCGCCACCAGCGGACGAGCCCGCGGAGAGGAAGGGGATGGCGGCGGCGGCGATACCGACGCAGATCGGTCGGTTATATCCGAAACGTGCAAGGGGGCGGGAGCCGGAGCGGGCGCACGCAGTGCGGTTTTGAGCGGACGCGGGACGGACGAGGCTGCCTGGGAAGTCGAGAGCGTCCGTGTGCGCTGGCGAACCAATGTACTCGACACTGACGTGGAGCGGTTAGACCGCGACTTGATATTGGACATGCTAGTCGACTGCGGCAGCCGTAGTGCTCGGGGCACACCACTGGCTATGGTCGAGCTCGACGGCGATCCTGCCGAAGCAGAAGAGGTGTGAGGCAGAGAGCTAGTTGACGCAGACGATTCTGTCCTCTTCCGAGCGACGTCGAATTGCAACTCGGTCGACTTTGGGAGCTTCATGGGGCGGCGGACGGACGGTGTCGACGAGGTGGACGCCGATGCGGTGGAGGACGTTTGTGAGTACTGCGACACAGTGGACACGGTGCTGACGGATGCGGACGACTGCGTCCTGTTGCGCGTCGTCTTCGGCTCTGAGCTCGGGGGGCTGGGGTCTGGCTCTGGGCGTACCCAGGAAAAGGACGTCGATGCGGACCGCACGAGCAGGTTCTTCCGCAGGAACGACGGCTGAAGGGGAGGGGAACGCGATAGGAGAGGCGAGACGGTGGACTCTCTTGTCACCTGTGAAGAGCGGCGCGATGATGTGGGTGAGGAGAGGCTTGGGGAAGGCTTGGGTGCGATGGACGTCTGGATGAGACGTCGGGTAAGTGTCGAGGGTGCGTCTTCATCCTCACTGTTATCCATGTTAGTGTCTACTCCACTCGTTGAGCTGTGAAGCTGTACCCACCTGTCGCTCCAACCAAGACCAGTTGTCAGACCCATGCCTGCGCGTAGTAAACGTCCGTCTCGGTGACGATTACGTCGTCGGTTCGTATCACGAGGGTCCCGTAGAAAGCCTAATTTAGTCTTCAGAGAGCCAGCTACATGTGATCTTCAGCACATATTTGCACAACATGCTGGAACACATACCTGTGGAAACCACGCTTAGCACACTGCGTGCCCGATCAAAATCAGGATCTTCGTCCCCATCCTCGAGGGCGAAAGGCGAAGATCCTTGAGGAAAGAGCCTGGAGCGCGGAGACAAGAGACCATCACGAAACATAAGGTGCCTACGAAACATGTCAGCAACGGTCTGCGCAAGTAAATGAGAATCGTACGGTAAAGGAGTGTGTAAGTCGATGCTAGAATCGGACTCGCTTCCACCATCTTCCACCACCTTACCCAGCCGATTCTCCTCGTCTGTATCCACCCCCTCCGCCTCCTCTAGCAGGGCACCGTAATCAGACACAGAGACGTTGTCGGGGCTTTGCTCAGCTATGCTACTTCGTCTTGAAAGCCCGTTCGTGGTTGAGCGGGAGCGCAAGTGCAGGCCGCCACTAGCAGGCGAGAACGAGGCCGATGATTTACGCCGGGGGCGGGGTGTGTTCGCCAGTATCGTCCCCAAGTCAGGACTGTCCGGGCGCTTCGCAGCAGACGAGGGTCGCGTGAGACTCCGCGACGGGACTTTGGGCGGTGTGGTTTGCATAGTAATCCTGCGAGTCAGCGTGGGCACGCTCGTGTCCACCTTCGGCTTGGGGTTGCTGTTTTTGTGCCTGCGCGGTGCACTACCAAACACAGCGTTCGGGAACAACTCTTCAGTGAGTGACTCTCCAAGACTCCCTAGTTCGACATGAGTCGCCATTGCGTCGGAAGATCCTGGGCATGAGAGTTATTCAGTAGTAAAACTGCGAAGGTGAGACCGGCTACTCACTCACTGAAGCTGCGACGCAGGTGTTACTCGTGGTGGCCCAAACCCGGAGGATGGGTGAAGCACTGCAGGTATGATTTAGGTATTCATCTTTGTAGGAACAATGGAGACGAGGACGAGAATAAGGTTGTTGGGACGCCCAGTGTGCAGACAGAGCCCCGAGTTGTCGACTGATATAGCCAAGGAGAAAGACAAAGATCACAGATAACTTCTCAGACCCATAGAGACGAGATGATAGATGATCAAGAGCAAGCAGTGATAGATGCGAAAGTCGCGTCGTGTGAGTCTGCTCTGACATAAAATCACCCAGTTATCTGAATAACAATTCTGTTCTCTCATCATGTCATCAAGTAGAAATACCGCCAATGAAGCTCAGAGCCTCAGGTATAACCCCTACTACTTGCACCACGGGAGACTCACTATGTCCAAGTCGGCAGACGAAACTGAACCCAGTGACTTAAAAATTCCACAGAGCTTCCATAGACCACTCAGAAAGCGCGAACACCTCTACAGCCATTGTCCAGTGCTTTCCTGCACTGGTGGTCAACGGATCAGAAAGCCACGACAACGGCGGGTGTTGGATGACTGGTCTGAAGCATCTGGTCGCGCATGCTCTGTTTTCCATGATAATCTGCCGGCTTGGAGATAGCTGCAACCTCTGCGAACACCTTCAGCACAAACTCGAGTGAACAGAGGTCCAGTAGAATCATGGTCTTCTGTGGCCAATTCAGTAACACAACGTGATGGACTTACACAGTGCTAGGCCAAAGTCGTTGTTGCCCAGATTCTGCAGAATTCTGCCAAGTCGACCCCCAGATGAGATGTAGAGCCAGCGTACAACAAACAAGTCAAGCTTGACGGTGCTGAAGGGAGAAACAAGGCGGCAGGCCTGTGCCCGTTCGGTTCAACTCCAGAGCTCGGTCGAACCAAGCCGAGCTTCGAACCGATGTCGGCAGCGTCACTGCCACCCGCTGCTGCGTGCACCCATCTACCGCGTGGTTACAGCTCGGGGAATCTCATCATCATTGTTGAAAATCACGGACTCGGCAGCGTGTGTTCCGGAATATATTATGTCTTCCCATCTCTCCGCCCTCACCCTCGCCAGCGATGCCACCGTTGTCTCCCAGTACACCCCTGACGAGTACGAGAGGACTTCCTACTATAACGGCATCACCGGGGACGGCGACCACCCGGAACTCGTTTACCGTTCGGATTTCCTCACTACACCCTTCCCCAAGCCCGTCGGCAGACACGCCCATATCCCTGTCAAGTCGCTCCGTGGAGTCTTTGACACCCCGCTCAATGGTGTCTGGGACACTGTCGGTCCCAAGATTTGTGACCTGATCAAGGCTCGGAAGATTAACTGGTCGTCCGTCGACCCTGCCCGCTTCTTCACCCACGGACCGTTGGGAGAGGAGGAGAAGGGGAGTCTCGGTCCCGTCGTCATATGGGTCGGTGTCATTCCCGGTTCTACCTCCTCCTATATCGCCCACGAGGTCTCCCAAGAGATCCTTACGCTTCTCCTGAAGAATGGAGTCGAGGATGCTGTTGTGGAATGGCGCGAGGCCGTCCTGCAGCGGCTGGCAGGTCCACCCCTTATGCGCCATGTCGGCAGCAACAATGCCACCCACTATGTCCGTCGCTTCCTCACTGCTCTTCTCGGCGTTCCCCTTGCGACCGCCCTTGCGACCGAAGGGATGGAGGTGGAGGATGCCCAGGGCGCTCTCACCCTCTGGTTCCACGAAAACAAAGACAAGGATGGCAACTCTAGCGACAAGGTTTACGGAGTCGGCAATTGCCACGTCCTTCGTAAGGACACCACCGTCGAGTACGAGCACAGAGGCGGCGCACCCAAGGACCACGTTCGAGTTTGCGGAATGCATCGATTCCAGCGGGGCCTCGACGAGATCAAGAAGGTCATCGGTGACCGCGGCATTCTCGCCGACCTTTGGGCCCGAGAGATCGTCACCCTGCAGGCGAAGGAGAGGCAGGACGCGGAGAACGCGAAAGAGATCCGCGCGAATCGACGCAACTTGGAAGACGAGAACGAGGCTATCGCCGATCTCGAGGCCTTCTACGACGAAGTCACGAAATACTGGTCTGACATTAATCTCTACCGCAACATTGGCTACGTTCAAAATATGCTGCAGCCATCACGGTCGACATCGAAGGCGGCACACTGTATACCTCGGACTGGGCTGCGTTCTTGGCTGCTGAGGCGAAGGTCAAGGATGAGTTCGAGGGCAACGTCGTTGATCTCGGTGCGTTTCGACTCATCTTTCTCATATTTACCTCGTCTAACAAAAACAACCTTATTCAGGGTTTAAGTATTCTCCTCAAGAACTTTCGGCAATGTTCTATCCCCTGGGTGGTGGTGCGACCACGTTCAAGTTTCCTGAGGAGAGAAAGCTCAGGATCGAGGGTTGCGCCACAAAAGAGGACCTCGCCAACCCCGCAGAGTTCGACAGCGAAGGCCAGCGCTTCCTTATCGTTGGTAAAGACGGCAACACTACCGACCTCACCGTCGGACGCTACGCCGGCCTGGTGTCATTCACTCTCAACGAAGTCGGCATCGAGTCCATCGAGCTCGGCATCTACAACTCGGGCGTCAAGAGTGCCGAAGCCTTCTCCGCCAAGGGAGACTCGGGCTCCCTCGTCTGGCACACGACGAACGGCAAAGCTCGCATCGTTGGCCAACTCCACTCTGGAAATAACAAAGGCGGCTCGACCAGCAACCATGTTACTTATTGCACCCCTGGCTGGTACTTCCTGGATCAGATCAGGAAGAAGTTCAAGCACGCTGACTTCTACTGCACCAACTGGTCAACTTGAGGCTTTCTACTCTCCATCTCCATGCTTCTTCTTCTTCTATGACTCGTTCTGCTGTCTCGGCGCTCGATTATCTATTGGTGGGTTTTTGGTGCAGACCAAGGGGCACACGGAACTTTGATCATCGACATCAACTCCCCCGCATCAGCAAAACCCAACTTTTTCTTACAGAGCTATTTTGACTTTTCGGTCTTACAACCCTTATTTAAGGCAATAAGTCTTCAAATAAGTGTCCATAAGTCTGATTTCAGACACTCATGTAATATGCATTAGGCCCCTTTTTGACCTTATACCCTTAAATAAGGATCATAAGTCCATTTAAGTCATTTAAGTACCCTTTTAAGTAAAAGTTGGGTTTTGCTGATGCGTATTCAATACTTTTTAGCGGTTCAGGGTCCTACTCTGAACTTTCCACTGAACTTTTTAGCACACCTCAATTTTCCATAGTTTGAGTCAGCAGTGTAGTTTCTTTATGCATCACAAGAGCATCCCTCTATTTTTTGTGTGAAAAAATTGTTTCAGAGGAAGTGTAGAAGCTGATCCTTGTAGGGACTAGCATGGATACCGGTCAACCGGATGAATGATCCACGGATAGCAGTTGCGCGGATGTGGATACGGATGCGGATACTTTCTCATAGATAGGGCAGATAGACGGTTTTATCCACGGTTTTCGCTATACTTTCTGCCGACTCTGTCTCCTCTCATTGTAGCACTCGTTTATACCCTCTCGATATGCTATGTGCTAAGTCTTGATTGTATAGTCCTCTAATAATGAACAATACCATTGTCATTGCCACTACTAAGACATTTCCCACCTGAAATTTTCATGCAGCACAACATGTCTTTGCAGACATTCAAGGCATCAATATTCAATGGCAGTGGGCTCTTTGTGACACTCCGCTGATGCCTGAATTCTCAGAGCTTACATGGATACTGAAGGCAAAGATGAGAAGTGATGCCGGTGAAATGTTATCAAACTAGTTCAAAAATGTCTATACTGCTCTGTATACTAGACAGTGTACTTGTGTCATGTTACCCAAACCGTGGATGCATCTGCATTCGTACAGACAATATCCGCAGATGGCGGGGTTTAAAAATATCCGTGGATATTCATCCGGATAGACATCCGGATGATCCATGCTAGTCCCTAGATCCTTGTCTTCGAATACTCCTCTGCAGACAGAAATGGCAAGATCATGTGATGGATGGGCGCTCTTCACAGGCCAAGGCCTGCCCGAGCTCAGAGATGAATCGAGCGCTTGTACACTTCCCTGCCTCTCGATACTGTTCCTTCCACTCAAGGCTGTCTTCCTTTGGTAGATATATTTTCATATGAGGGTAGATTGGTATGATGTACTATTTCACACACACAACTAATATTTTTTCTTACTGCATGAGTCTGTCTGTCAAGTTGAGCCTCAGCATGGCCCTGCAGAGGCATTGTGCAAACCTTATCAAGAGTCCCAATTGTTTTGCTTAAACAGTTTATCTCAAGTTGAGACCAGTATTAGACATTGGTCAAGTGGATGAGCATACACAACAGTAGGATGTTATGAAGTCTGACTTTGGGCAGGAGCTCACTCCTGTATTGAGTATTCGAGTATTCGAAACTGGTTCCAGGGTCCAGGCTGAACTTTTGGGTAGCTGATGTTGAAACTTTTAGAGTCGCGTGCCCCTTGGTGCAGACAGATGCTTTGATTGTTGGGCGGCTGTAAAGGTTCATCTCTTTCTTCTGCCTCATCCTTTCATACACATAGCTGATGATGTCAAAGCCTGAGCATTGGCGAGCCGTTCCACAGCGTCTTCTTCTGCGACCTCTTCACCTCCACTTTGCCCCCTCTCTTTAGTTCTCATTTCTAAAATCACCCAGTTATCTGAATAACAATTCTGTTCTCTCATCATGTCATCAAGTAGAAATACTGCCAATGAAGCTGAGAGTCTCAGGTATAACCCCTACTACTTGCATCCACAGGAGACTCACTATGTTCAAGTTGGCAGATGAAACTGAACCCAGTGACTTAGAAATCCCACAGAGCTTCCATAGACCACTCAGAAAGTGCGAACACCTCTACAGCCATTGTCCAGCACTTTCTTGCACTGGTGGTCAACGGATCAGAAAGTCACGACAACGGCAGGTGTTGGATAACTGGTCTGAAGCATCTGGTCACACATGTTCTGTTTTCCATGATAATCTGCCGGCTTGGAGATAGCTGCAACCTCTGCGAACACCTTCAGCACAAACTCGAGTGAACAGAGATCCAGTAGAATCATGGATCATGGTCTTCTGTGGCCAATTCAGTAACACAACGTGATGGACTTACATAGTGCTAGGCCAAAGTCGTTGTTGCCCAGATTCTGCAGAATTCTGCCAAGTCGACCCCCAGATGAGATGTAGAGCCAGCGTACAACAAACAAGTTTAGACATGTCCTAAGCCCACTGGGGCGAAGGCGGATATCGTATTGTAAACATTGTAAACAAGTCAAGCTTGACGGGGATTGCTGAAGGGAGGCGGCCCGGCAGGCCCGTGCCCGTTCGGTTCAACTCAGAATCCAGAGCTCGAACCAAGCCGAGCTTCGAACCGATGTCGGCAGCGTCACTGCCACCCGCTGCTGCGTGCGGTGCACCCATCCACGGGTCGAAATACTTGCTGTCCACCTCATGGATAAACCAACGTCGATTGTCAGCCCAAAGGCTGACCCGTCTGCGATGGCTGTGACTTCTGCATCGGCGGCTGCATCGTTCTCGCAGGAACAGCAAGAAGCACAGACGGCGGAGTCCGAGGTGCGCATACATCCTTCCAAGTTCTCCGTGGGGCCAGGAAGTGCTCATGTTTTGCAGGCGAACATCTTCCTTGCTGCCCAGCGAGGAGATGTGCATACCATACGAGAACTCATCGAGTCAGGCAAGGCGACGGCGGCTGACCGCGACGAGCAGAACATATCCCCGCTGCACTGGGCGGCCATTAACGCGCAGGTCGCAGCATGCCGTTATCTGCTCGAACAGGGTGCGGAAGTCGATGCACTCGGTGGCGACCTCGTTGCGACGCCGATGCAATGGGCTGCTCGCAATGGGTACCTTTATGTCATCCAACTCCTCATTGCCCATAATGCAGATCCGAACATTACAGATGCTCAGGGCTACAACACGCTTCATCTCGTCACCCATTCATCTTCTGTCATGCCATTGTTATACCTCTTACACCAGCCAATCAATGTAGACTGCAAGGACTCGCAAGGGCATACGTCGCTGATGTGGGCTGCTTACCAAGGAGACGCACTCTCAGTAGACCTTCTGCTAAAGCATGGCGCGAATCCAAATACCAAAGACGATGCCGGTCTCACTCCCCTTCATTGGGCTGTAGTCAGAGGCAACCGGGTTTGTATTCGTCGGCTAGTAGAGAGTGGCGCAGACATGGCTGCTAAGGACGGAGAAGGTAGAACTGCTCGGGACATGGCAGTAGAGCTTAAGAGCCTCGGAGCATGGAAGCGCGCGTTGGAAGAAGGGGGTATGAATGAAGACGGCGCCAAGAAGACGAAACCTCTCAGCGAGGTGAGCTCTTCATCTGATCACTGGACTATCCTGACCATTTCATCAGCGTAACACTAAAATCGCGATTTTCATACTTCCAACGTTGTTCCTCTTCCTGATGTTCATGACATTGACGATTCTACCGTGGTACACGGGCATTATTCTTGCATTTGCGCTATTCTTCGGAATGCACCATGTTAGTACTCCGTGCTGCCTCCTCGTCTTTGTTCCTTATTGTCGCTCACGTCAACTCTAGATAGTCACCCGTGTTTTGCTAGACAAGTCTAATTACACAGACAGTGTGACACAAAGTCCATACTTCGCAGGCATCATCACCGGCTCCGTGGTATGGGTTGCTTACTGCTGGGTTACTCGGCTAGTAAACCGTAGGAAGTATTTTTGCATGTTACACATTGGAGCTCACCATATCCTGTCCCAGAGACGCAATCACATGCCTTTACTCACCTCTTGTTCGCAATCTCCCTCGGATTGTGTGGCTACAATTTCTTCAGATCTATCAGCTTGGACCCGGGCATGTGTCCGAAACCAGCAAATGATGCTGAGCTGAAGGCTGTGAGCTGTTGGGTGTGGTGAACTGATAGGTCAAAAGCCTGACATTTGCTTGATAGATCATCGAGGACCTGGCATCCGAAGGCCGACTCAACGGTCAAACGTTCTGCATTCAATGCATGGTATCGCCACTTTTTGGCTTGCATCGTTGCTTATTACTTACTTGATTTTTTAGGCCCGGAAACCCCTTCGGTCAAAGCATTGTCGCACTTGCGATCGCTGTGTCGCTCGACACGACCAGTAAGCGCCATCTTACACTCGTCGTTGCCCATAGTTGTTGTAACTCTTGACATAGTCATTGCCCATGGGTGTGGAATTGCAGTACGTCCACGATACTTCCACACTGCCCCCGCTTTTAATTCATGCTCACAGTTGGAGTGAATAATCACCGGCAATTCCTTCTCTTCGTGACCGACCTCGTCATCGGTATCGTTCTTTTCGACTACCTGACTGCTGCTTGTATGCATCTGCACACTTGTTAGATCTCCCTTGATATACTACTAACATCTTCCTTAGACTTTTCTTCCACGGTACCTACGCCGGTCGATCCCAGCACAGTATCTCCCGTCTGCATGCTTCCCGCCACACTCTGTGCAGTTACAGCGTTCGACGCATTCCTCTTCTCCGTCGCCTGCTGGGCAACTCTGCAGCTATCCTGGACATTGGTGCTGCTCGTGAGTCAATTCTGGCAGGTGGCACGGCAGATGACGACCTTCGAGGTATCAAACCTCGGGAGGTACGGCTTCATGGGCGGTCGGGGCGGCGCGAGCCTCAGCTCGCAGATGGGTCACCAGCACCACCGACACGCGCAGGGCGCCTCGGACAGCGAGAGCGTCGGCGAGGGCGCCGCGGGCGGCGCACACCACGCGCACAGCCACGGCATCTGCGCGGGCTGCGGGAGCGGGTTTCTCATGAACATCCTTGGCTTCGACCGCTTCACTAAGGGCAAAGCTGCGGACGGCCTCGCACGTGCGGCGAAGGCGCCCAACCCGTTCGACCTTGGCATCATCGGGAATTGCAAGGACTTTTGGACGTCGGGCCGCGAGCTCGGCGTGGACTACGAACGGGTGTACGACGTACCGCCGGAAGGGTTCGCGGAGGCGAAGCGGCGGCGGCAGCGGGAAGAGGGCGACGACCTGCACCCGGGAGAGGGCGGCCGAAAATCTCTGAGGAAGACACTGCTGATGGGTTTCAGCCTAGGCAGAGGCGGCGGAGGCAGTCGTGCTGGTTACGAACCACTTAGCCAAGTGTAGTGAGTACCTCTTGGATTGCGCGCTGTGTATTTCCACATGTCACTGACAGATTGCTGCACGACGAATCATGTATCATACTAGTTCTTCATGAAATGATGACCCCGCGTCCTGATCGTGCCTATCGTACAGTACAGCTATGTCGATGCTCTGCCTGTTACGTGCACATGATCAGACTAGCTATGAGACTGAACAGGAAAAACAAAATTCTCTAGCAGAGGAACGTTATAGCAACAACTCGTTTCGATCGAGTGACCTCGGGGTTATGAGCCCCGCGCGCTTCCAGCTGCGCCATGTTGCTCACGTAACACAGCCATCTTCATACCAATATGTGTGCCTTTCACCATTTTCCAGAACTGCAGAATTACCCCGCGAAAGAGAATAAGTTGGTACACTGTCAAAAGTAATCGACTCAGCATCCATACTCTAGCCGGGGTACGAGTAATACACTCTTTCCTTACCGCAAGCGTTGTCTCTTGAGGGGACGTATCCTTGGTCTTTTTATTTTATTTTGGTATTACTGCAACATCACACACACTGCGCGAGATAACGTGTAACAAGATGGACAACGGTACTAAATGGATACTCTACACTGAGGAATGGACAAGGCCACACAGAGGCTCCAGATTTACTTGAACTGCAAGGTGTAAACATATCAGCATGCGAGATCCAACTGCGTTCATAAGAGAGCACTCACGTTCTTGCCGTCAACCCACTTCTTCCCGTCGACCTCCAGATCCCACGCGAGCGCACTCTCGAAGAACGCCTTCTGCTTCTCGTCCTTCAGGTCGATGGGCTCGTATACATACGATTCCCAATCGGGGGCGACCTCGACCACAGGCTTGACATCCGGCCCGCGTAAGATCACCACGCCGGTGATGATAGAGTCGTTCGTGTGCCCTAGCACGCCCATCGAGCCGAAGAGGTACTTGCGCGATGCCTCTAGCCGGTTGAAGAAACCGCCAATCAGGTTCGACGACATGAACGTCTGCGTCAGTTCGTTATTGTACTTGAAGTCCACCCGCCAGATCGAGAATCCCGCGGGGTCGAAGCTGCATCAGCAGCAAGTCAGCAAACACCACAACATCGCACATCGGAACGGATACTCACTTCTCGTAGAACCACTCCAATGAGCCGCCCGCTCCGCGCGTGTCCTTGTTGGAGTACGCGCGTTTCCAGTCCTCGAGGTTGAACGTCGATTTGGGGAGGAAGTCGAGGGGGTTCTTCGGCTTGGGCTCTTCCTTCGGCACGAGGTCGTCGTCCTCGTCATCCTCTTCCTCCTTTTTTGGCTTCTTCTCTGCCTTTGGAGCTTTCGGTGCAGGAGCGGCGGCAGGTTTCGGCTCCTTCTTCTCTTTCGCAGGCGGAGTGTACTGCACCGCCTTCTCGACGTACGTAGTCTCCCCGAAGATCTCCTTCAGCTTTGGCTGGTTGACGATGGTCTCGAGGTGGCGGATAACGCTGGGATGTTCTGCGCGCACAGCAGCGTCAAACGTGAGTTCGACACAGCGCTGGATCACGGATGCAAGGGTGATATCGGCGAGCGTGATGCGCTCAGTAACGAGAAAAGTGTGCGTCGCTAGATGCTGCTCGACGACTTTGAGGGCGCGCAACTGATGCTCAAGCATGGCAGTGTGGATCTGCAAAGCATCGAGGATACGCAATAACGTGCGAGACGAGCTGCACTTACGGGCTTGTTGTACGGGACGATTCTGCCGTTGACGAGGCGGTTGATGATGTTGCCAGGCGCAGCAATCTCGGAATCGGTGAGTGAGACCCACTGATCAATCAAAGCAGCCTCCTTGAGGTCAGACCCGAGGAGGGTAGAGTTTGGTGCCAGTCCGGCAACTGAAACAAAGAGAAAGCGGGTCAGTCTGCGGGAAAATGAACACAAAACGAGTGGAAAATCAGATAATAATAAAAACCTCGACATTTTGATTAAGACAGGGATAACTGAATGATATATTCTCGTCCTTTGGCTGTTTTCTGAAGGAGGGACACTTACCATAGCGGGCGATGGCAGAGGTTTCAGTGAGCTTGAAGCCATCGGCGGCCTCAAGGGCGGGTATTTTGCCGAGAGGGAACTTGGAGAGGAATTCGGGCTTTTTGTTATCCTCGAAGTGCGTGTAGTGGGCAGGCAGTTCGAGGGAGAGTCCGGCAAACGCAGCCACCGCACGAATCTGCAGGAATTTTGGTCAGACTCGACCGCAACAAATGGGTGAGTACGTACACGCTTGCCGTTAGGCTGTTGAGGAATAGTCCAGAGAGTGCCAACGGAGGACATATTGCGATAGATGGGATGAGGAAAGAGAGTAGAGCGTATAAGGGGCTTCCAGCGATGGGTGATAACAAAAAAAATCGAGTCAACGATCAATCACTGGCACGTGTCGAGGGTTAGGGTTTCCCGCCATCGATTCCCTGGACAGAGTGACTGTCATCATCGACTTCATTGACTTCATCTCTGGCTAGTCTGCTTTCAAATCAGGGTGCTTCACCGTAGTACACGATTTCGGAGTTACATAAGCAACTTGATCTCCGAAACGCGTCGAGTAGATCTGGTGTAACGCGACACGTCGGCCTCTGCAAGACAACACCCTCTGCGTCGCATGAATTTTCCAATAATTATACATTCTACCATCCTCATAATGTCAGAATGACTTCTACATTCATTGGGCCAGGCTTATTTCAATTCAGTTCACCTGAGGGACTCACACTCTGCCGGCAAATACTTGCGAGATCTCTACCTAATGATCCACACGACTATCAACTGGAAGGTGTCTGCAAGGCATTATAAGGCATCGATGTTCTCGCTGTGACAACAGGCTCTGGGAAGACAGGAATGGGAACATACAACAACAACAACAACAACAACAACAACAACAACAACCACCATGTTGTCATCCCGGCCTCGATGAATTTGGGATTTTATCGTCGCCGATAGCTCATCCAACCCTCTATACCCGCCCCATGATGGGCATCCAGCGTACGGAGTTGGCGTTCCCGACGTTGGGCAAACGCAGCCAGACACACCCTCACCATCATCCACCAGTCCAATCGCACATCCATCCCCGCAGCACGCCAACCAGCTCATCATCACTTCCTCTACCACTCGGTCTGTCGCATTCATGAACCATCATCATTTGTCCTAGGATGGACGACTGCCGTTCACAGCGGACTTCATGCTCGCTCACGTTCCCGCTGGGCAACCGGGTTGGATTATGTAAGGGGTTGGTACAGAGGGTCCTTGGTTGATGCTTTCCCCTCCTTTCAAGGAGTCCTTTCTTCCGGCGTAACCCCCATCCACCTACATGGTCTTATCACCGGTGATCCTGTACTCCAGGTAGCGGAGTGCTAGTCCGGCCAATGTCCCGCTCATGCCATTGTAGATTCGCTGCTCCATACATACTTGGTTCGTCGAGGCCTGTCGTAGACATGTCCTAAGCCCACTGGGGCGAAGGCGGATATCGTATTGTAAACATTGTAAACATCTCTGCCTTGGGGGAGGTGAGCACGTCCTGACGCGACGCGACGACCCACTGCTTCGGTCAGGACGAGGCCGGCATCACGGCCGGATCAACGGCATCTCTTCGGCATCCGCGTTCACGAGTGAAATCCTGTACTACGGTTACAGCTGAATTCAAAACGTTAGACGTTTTTCGATGAAACTCACCTCCCGATTGTTGTTTGTGGAGCAGCGGTTTAGTGTGAGGCAACAAGCCTAACACAAATGTGGAAGTCAAGCGCTTGTCAGAGATCTATATCGATGCTGCGGCAATCCGGCGGCTACTTACACTCTCAGTTCCCCTGTAGAGGCTCACATAAAGTCGATACAGTCTTCGTTATTCATTCAGCACCTACCATACAATTGTAGGCTGCCGGATCCCGACACTGGTCACCTTGAGCTCATGTTTCTCCTCGTAAGACTTGCCTTACTAGCAGCTCTGGAGAGTGTTTCTCCCCTGATTGTGTTGTGCTAGAACCTGCGACTGGGGTTTCACTGAAGTCTCATCAACCCGGTGTGAGAATGGTAACAGCAGACAAAATATGCTGCGATGGACACTGCTTTACAATCAGCTCAAAAGGTATCTTTCCGCTGTCTTCAACGATGACGTGCTGCCTACCTTTAGGCTTGTTCTGACCAGAACATGACGATGGTATGAGTATATATAGAGATGAGCTATGAAGGGATATCCCTGTCTGCTCGTACCATGGCGGACCCGCCTCTCAATGCAGCTGAACAGGCTGAGTTGCGACGACGCTTTCCTCGTGCAGGTTGGTGGCTCGGCATGCCCGGAGTTCCTGCTCCTTCAGACATACGTGCTTTCGATGCGAATCAACAAGATCTTGGGCGACACTACGTCATTCCAGAGTCTCCTGCGCAACAGATGCCGCCATATTTTGCCCCACCACCCTATCCGCCACCTCCCTATCTGCCGCCGCACTACAATCCTCCACCGTATGCTGCACCTGGCGCTATGCATTTCGCTCCTCCACCAATGTATCAGCTCGCCCCTCAGATGTACATGCATCCTCCGCCACCTCCTGAACTGCCTCCTCATGTTCTTGCACAACCAGTCACTCGTCAAATCTCATGTGAGTACAAACTACGCTATCACTGTGTTTCTTCTACTAATCATTATATTACAGTGAACATAGATGTGTCCATACCACTCAATACCGGTGTTGTTGGGGGGACAGTCAGTCGTATCGAGCTCAAATTGCCGACAGACCTCCCCTTCATCGACTTTTTCTCACGAGTATGCGCAAGGATGGACCTTGACCCCACACATGCCGAACTCGGCTACAAGTTCCATACCGACAAGCGGTGTGAGGCTCCGCACCAACTTGCCAACGAGGAGCAACTTCGGGGTGCGATGGCTTGCGGCATAGGTCTTATTCAGCGGGCACGCTCAAGGCAGATCATTTTGGAGATTCACAACCTGGTTGGTGCCTTTTTCAGTTATTGCGTCACTTTGCACTGACGATTTTTGAACAGAAACCTGCTCATGAGGCAGCAGTGGGAAACTCCCGCAAGCGAAAGGCTGATGATATCGAAAACCCGATAAACCCAGAGCTTCAGACAACAGTGTCCTTCACCAAGGAGCTTCGTCAGTTGAAGGGTCGCTTGTCATGTGCGGCTCATCCAGGTCGATGGTGTTTCATTAGCCCGATCAACAGCGAGCACAAATTTCTCGACATCTTTGCCATTACACTGTGGGCCAAACAGATGGTAAGCACTGCATTTGTCAACCCAAAAATCCGAATTTAATCGCTATTCTTCGACAGCTTCTCGGTGATGCCACGCTGCAGAACCCGCCAGAGTCAGTATTCTTTGATCACACCCGCAAGAAACCCCGTCTTTCCCGCAACTCTGTGGCTTCCGCATCAACCCCGAACGTCAATGTTGTCGTTACGAACAACATCCCTCCTCTCGGTGACCAGATGGGACAGCGGCGGGTGAATACACCCAGTTCATCCCAGTGCATTGACCTCACAGTGGAGTGTGACGACGAGACTATTAGTTATCCTTCTGTTATTGTCCTTCTTGCTGACATGCTTTTAATCTTTCCCGACTATGATCTTCTGCAGTATCACTCCGCACTCACCAATTCCGGTGTCATTGATATCAAAGACTTCCAGGACACAGATGACAGCTCTCTCCTCGCTGCTGGTCTCCCCGCTGATGTCATCGACACGTTGAGGGACCACGCCGCTGTCCTGATACACCAGCAGGTAAAGGGGAAGAGCATCATGCAGAACTAATCCCATTACAGTGGCTGCATTTCGTTATGATACCTAGGTTCCGAGGTTCCGAGCACGTCCATTTTGTCACCTTACACATCATTCAACATGATTTCTCACTTCGCGAGCGTTTCATCACGATCCCCTTATCTTCATATAGTCACGCTAATACCGTCGCTGAAGTTCTGGATACAAAACATTCATACACAGCACTTATGTCCTACACAATGTGATTGTTATTATAATATTTAGCAATGTGCTGCAAGCGTACAAGATAGCTGTCTATGCAACATACTTGCAGTCACGAAACCACCCCAATGCTTTCTCCGGAGTCATCGCACTGAACACAGCCCGCCACAACATCTCAAATGGATCACATGTGACTTCACCGGTGAGCTCACCACACACATAATCTCTGTGCAACCTAATCCATGCCTTCATAGCCGAGAACGCCTCCTCGATTGGATTGAAGTCGGGTGAGTATGGGGGTAGATATAAGAGACGCATGCCTCTTGATTCAATTGATGAGTTATATCTGCTTCCTGATAGGAAGAGTGCACTTACCGTGCCTCAATCATGTCCGCAAGATGCTGAGACTTGTGTATACTGGCATTGTCCATCACAATCACTGAGTTAGGTTGCGGGAAGGGATTCATGTTGTCCAGTAGCCCATCAATGAAGCTGTTGAACTCTTCCGCTTTGTATGTGTGATCTTGCACGTCGAGATGCAGGACACCATCCAACGAGAGTGCAGGGAGTACTGAATATCTGTTGTCACTGTCAGATAACAAGAAACCAAAGTAAATGACGACACATACCGCTTTCCGCGCACGAAGCGATCATGTCGCCTTGCACGGTGGCCAATCCTGGCCCACGCCATGGTGCGCCTCGTCGTAAACCGATTGCATGCTGACTTGTCCACGAAGACAAGCTGATCGGCACGGTAATGCTCACCTATGTTGATGAGATATGCATCTCTGTGATCCTCATTACGCTCGAGGGCTGGCACGGAGATCTGACCAACATGATGAGCTCATGCCGCCAAGATGGAAGCATAAGGTCATTACATTCTTCTGTGTGAATCCACGATGCCGCAAAGTGCGAGCAATTGTCATGCAGCTTGCAAGGATGCCACGAGCACTGTAGAGCTCAACTTGCAACTCTTCGAAGTACAGGTCGGGCGTTCGTTCAATACAGCTCTCGAGATACTTTTGAGCAGGTCAGTACATGTGGAATGAATACCCAGTAAGCACTCACCGCAGCATCGAGCCCATTGAGGATGCGCGGGCGCCCACTTCGCAAGGGTGTTCGAACTACTGACCCGCTCCTGTGCGCAAGCTGGAGGATGCGCTGCACTGTCCGCAGGTTCACGTCGAGAGTCCTCGCAATGACAGATGTTTTGAAGTGACCTGAGAGAACCACTAAGGTTTCCTTCACTGCTCGAGGAATATGTCGACGGTTGCCAAAGGGTGGCATGGCTGCCAGTGCTAACGAGGGAGAACAGCTGATTGGGGTGCGAACAGCTTGCCAAATCTGGCCTAGGTCTGTTTGTCCCGCACTAAACTGCTGCTCCACAAACAACAATCGGGAGGTGAGTTTCGTCGAAAAACGTCTAACGTTTTGAATTCAGCTGTAAGGGGGCGCATTTGAAAGCAGACCTATATCAGTCCGTCCTTCCAACCTCTCATCGGACTGATTTTGTAGTCTGACTTTGGGAGACTAATCTCTGGCACATGTGCACCATCGATGTGGGCCAGCTGGCAGGCTTTGGTCTCCGAGTGTTTTCAGCTAGCACAAGTACAGCTAATACTATGATGTGCGCACCTTGATCTGTGCGGGATCTTCGCGGATGTCCGCCGCTGTAGAGTCGCCTCGACGAAGAGTGGTATCTGTGCCTCAGAAATATGATGCGTACATCGACCACTTGACGTTGCAGAAAGGACCGGAGGCCCCATGTTTTCCATGAGTGTTCGTCTTCAAGTACTATCCCAACTATTCTAAGTAGTGGTACCATGAACCTTGGACTGGCCGTGATGCCCGGCCTCACTTCCCAGGGACACCATCGAATTCGCACACAGAATGGCTATGTTCCGGAACAGCGGGAACGAGGCATTTTCTTTCGACGCGACGTTTGAGCGGACATTCAAGCGATTACGCTATACCCGACAGCACAAGCCAGAGTGTATTGTGAGGTTGATCACTACTACTCACTCGGCTGTTAGGCCATGGGTCACAAGCGCATGAGGGGCTCATGCGGTTGGGGCCATATATTTATACTACACAGTAATTCTAGGAGATTCCAGTATGTTCTCCGACATACCTATGTGCTGACTAATATATGTTTCCTGATTGGGAAACCACCAGCCCTAACAGAGTGTGCAATTTGGGCTCGAGAGTGCAAACTCTGGGGTGTGTACCTTCTCTCTGCTAGATCCAGACTTCCGCATTCAAGTCGGAAAACGAAGACATGGCCGAATGGCCAATATTTGGGTTTTCAACTTTCACTGTCAATGCGACCCCCCCGCCAGGAACTATCAACATAAGTGTATTAGCACTGAGCACCTGCGATAGAATATGGAACTCACGCTGATGTTTCAATCCCCAGAATTTACTTCCGATATACTCGTAGCTGTAAGTGCTTCTTAGCATAGCTCGAAAGTACTATATCTCATAGTTGACCAGGCGTTTCGTGGTTCCGGAGCGCCGATCAGCCGACACGGTTCACGTTCCAATTGTGCTACTGCTGGTATAAATGTGTATTCGAGAAGTGCTATGCCAACACACTTACCTCATGAGACAGTACTTGCTGTTATGATTGTTGACTTTCCATCGCGAAGGGATTTGCAAGCTGTAGAGATATTCTGAAATTCCCAAACTATTTGGACATTGGAGATGAATGTTGTCGCATCATTATGGTGGTTTTGTGCATGGGTCAATCGACATCTCCAGCTACGTTTCAGATCTACGCTTGGGCTTCCGTTTTGACTTGAATGTGAGGCCATCGTGCGCTATTTGAGATCAGATGGACCTTCCCAACCGTGTGCACCGTTCTTGAAGATCGACCATGAAGTTTTTTTTTGATTATTCGGTATCCTCTTTGCCCTCCCATGTTGCCTCCCATTTTGTCGACGTCCTCCTGATCAAAGAAAGTCATAATCTTGCAGTCCCTTGTTCATCCAACATAATGCATCGGGCCCACGAAAGCAGTCTCTGGCATCATTATGCCCTTTGGAGTGTCTCTTCGATGTTACTGCTGGACCCGTTGCGATTAGGAAACTCGCAGTCTCATCGGACGATAAGGCAGCGCAAAGCCGTATAGTAATCGGGAGCACCTGCCGATCACACGGAAATGAGCGGCACCATACGAGACTCTACACACTCGCCACCACTCACATACGAAGCTGCTCACCGGTGTGGAATATTTTCAACGGGGATAGTTGTAGTACGTGGATGCTTGAGGGCGGTCATTATTGGTGAGCGCCACCGGCGACAGTATTCCGACACATTTAAGATGGGCTTGTATGCTTCCGAGAAATTTCGAGCACCTTTCTTTTCCTGCGCGCACACATCTGTATGATTCTCGAGGGGTGTCTAGTGTCGAGCAGCCCTTAAAGCAGAACCGCAATGAAAGATACAAGCACCACGTACTCATTCATTCGTGCATTCGAACACGCCCAAAGCCATCCACCCTTTTCAAGTTCTTCAGTCGGTTCTCTATTCCGCCCAAATATCCATACCCTCACCGCCTCGCTGAATTATTGACGACGCGAGGACGAGTTACGTGTGACTGTTTCCACCGGCAGAAGCTTGGAAAGCCCTTTTAGTGGGCGTTCGTCGGAGTCAGTATATGCGCTCAGCTATCTCTTCCACTCACAATATGCCACTTGCTATACTGAAGAGCAAACTCGTGCATATACCCGGCGCCGTCTGTTGGGAAGGGCATAAGGATCGTTGAGTGCATTCTTGTGGCGGGATACATGAGCGCGTCTGGTGATGGAAGCGAGTGAAGAGACGTGGGGGCTCAGTTGAGGATTGGATGCGCTCTTATATATACTTCCCTCCCTCCCTTTCAGACGCCGCCCCGATGCAAGTCAATGACGGCACGGAGAGTACAATGACGTAGCAGCTGTCGAGATTTTCCCGATAAGGTAAGTGTATTACCGCTTTTGGAACGTGTGTCCGTTGATGCCGCCGGATTTCGATCTAACATAGGCTCATAGATACAGCCTCTAGTTACCTGCAGGAAGACAGTCGTTCCTTTGTAATAGAGATCTAACATACATACACTGAATGTATACTCCGAGATGACAACAGAGAACGGGGTAATACTTTGTATGTATGTTCACACACGAGAGCAATTCAAATATGCCTATGTTCTTTACGGTGAGAAAGGGTAGACGGAATCACTGAAGATGTAAAATCAGTACCGAGTCGCGAACGGTATATGGGACAGAGATAGCGTACAGCATTAAGTTCAGCACATATGACGGTAATCCCCCACCTGGGCCGCTGGCTCAGCCCTATAGGTTATTCTTTTTTAAGATGTCAACGAGCTGCTCGACAGCTGTGGCGAGACGGGAGAGACTTGAGTCGATAGAAGTAAGATGCTGATTGAGGTCGTCTGAGACAACCGCCTGTGTGGAGGACATCGCAGTAGGTAGAGCAGGGGTAGGATCTACAACTGGTTTAGGAGGTTCCGGGACGTAATCATCAACGGTATCCTCTGTGACGAACTCCGCCTCCTCCAGCGGCTCGACCTCGAGCTTGGCCTTCTCTTGGGCGTAGCGCACAGGGCGAGTAGCGTTAATAGTGTTGCCGTAGTCCGGACAGAGGACGTAGCCGACACATCCGAGCGTCTTCCTGGCGACGCTGTCTGCCTGCGTGAGCACGACCTTGATGGCATACACGCGCTTGCACGAGACATCGACGAGTGCCCACGCCGTCCAGCTGGACGTGTCCTTCTTCTGTCCGATATCCAAATTGATCTCTGTCTCTCCAGTTTTAAGTGCCTTGTACACAATTTTCTGGAGTGTCTTCACGGCGATGTCAGTGCGATCGATTCGAAGCACCCCCTGATTTCCATTACTAGCCTTGGTCACGCGCACTTCATGCCGCAGGTAGAACTGTGGATCATCGAAGAAGAAGCGTGCGAGGTCGTCCGGCTTCGGCTTGTCGAACGGGAAGGGTGTGAAGACGTATTCTAGAACGAGTGAACACTCCTCGTCCTCGATATCCTCCAACACGAGCTTGAGCCTGAGGGGCCTGTGTCGCGCGACGAATGCACGGTTGAACCACCGCGCTTGAAGTGCTGTGTCCTCTTCCGTACGCGGAACGACTGCTTCAAAATGCAGGGCCCACGACTGCCGCGAGTCGATGGTGACGGGGAGCTCAACTCTGTCGAGGATACGCAGAGATAAGACCGGAGAGTACTCCTCGTCGCCAACGAGGCGGAAGAATGCAGTGACCTTGGCAATGGTTATGGGATTTGGAGTGGTGGAGGGTTGCTTGTTGAATACAGATACGCTGCCCTCGAAGTTGTCCGCATCATACCGTGCAAACTGGGGATTAGCGCTAAGCGGGGGATCAGAGGTAGGCTTCAGAATCAGCGGAAGAGCAGCCGAGGTACGAGTCTTGAAGTCTGTTCGAGGGGCACGCACGGACTTGTCCTGCAACTCGGGTCCTGCACGCACAGTTTCCGGCAAGACGTATGGCGCCTCGGGAGTATACGCGCGCAGGCCGCCCTCAGAGACAGTCACCACATCGCCAGACTTCGTGCATGCGGGGGCGTCGATTGGACACACGACGACATAAGGCAATGATGAGGTAGCCGCCTTGGCTGTGAGCCGGATACCCTCGATCACAATCGCCTTCCGCGAAAGCACCCACTCCGCCATCGCAAACTCGTCTTCACTCTGAGATGTGCGAAAGATGGTAGAGGTCTTCCGGCCTATGAACACATCCCGGGCGACAGACTCAAGCTGTGCAGCAGTAAACGTATCAAAGAAGTAGGGTTCAGAGAACCACACGGTGCCCACGGTGATGAGGATCGTTGGAGTGTCAATCCTTTCTCCGCGCGAAACCCAGCGCAGCAGACGGCCTGCAGAGGCCTTCTGCACAGCATTCTTCTCGAGATCAGAGTCCTCAATGGAGGCCCACTTCTCGATCGTATCCACATATTTGAGAACCTTCTGCGCCCGAGGGAAGAACGCAGCATATGGGTAGTCGCAGTGGTGTGTCGGGCGATGTGAACTGAACTCGCAAGGATGGGATGCATTGCCAGAGCAGCAAGGGAAGCTTTTGTTCCACGAGGAGTACTCTGCCCTGTGGAACGAACACGACTTCGGTCCGTTCGTGGAGTTGCGGTACTCCTTGTCGCATTGGACGCAAGTGAACACCTGCTCCTTCTCTACCTCCGTCATCTTTGCTGCAATTTCCTTGAAGCCGTCGACGACAGATGCCCCTACACTGGAGCTGATGGTGCGCTCAAGCTGCTCCTGGTTCTGCTGCATCAAATCGGTGATATTAGTGTTGATCTGCTCCAACGCCCTGTCATCAACAGTGAGGTGGAGCGTGCTGGCAAACTGCGCGATAAGCTCGCGGTCATCCTTGACTGCATCGACGCCGCCGTGGCTAGAAATAAAGGATTTGGCGGCCTCGTCGACGGGATCGACAGGCACGGGACGTGTGATGATGTCGAGTTGGCTGGTTTGATGAATCTGGAGGGTGATCATAAGGTCGTTCGTGCACTTGTTGATAGAGTCTGCGCAGGAAATGAACTTGTCCCGATTCCCGACGTTAATGCGACGGGAAACCGTCCCTTGCTTGCGATATGCCTGGATGAGCGCAGTGGAAGCCTTGAGGGAGTGATTCATGCGCTCGACGACCTGGCGCGTCGCGTCTGTAATCTGAACGAGCTTCAGCGCCGGAAGCTGGCCGAGCATGAAGTTTATGCGCTCGAGAAGATCGGTGCATTTTGTGTCCGCGTCTCTGGCCTTATTCTCGATATCGACGATAATTTTCAAGAGAGCGAAAGCGGGTGCGACGAAAGGGAGGGCTTTCCCGACATCAGCTACCTGCTCCAATATCTGAAGCGAGTTCTGGATGACGGGATCCGCCCAGGTTCCCATTACCCCGTTCACGACATTAATGGTGGTGGCTTTACGAATACCAAACCGAAATGGAGTCGGAGGAAGGGACTTGTGGGAGTTATCAGACGGAAGTTCGCTCCCGTCCGAACCGACAGTGCTGCTGGCGTTCTTTCGGCTAAACATCGAGAATTTCTGTAGTAGCAGCATGGGTCAGACGCAGGGATTAGATAAACTATGGTATATACGCACCAAGTTCAAGTGAAGTGAAGGCGGTTGTGTGATTGCAGACTCGAAGGCCTGTATATATACCTGCAGAAGTGCACGTGGGACTCCGATCAGACTGTTGTACACCTACGCAGCGCTCAATGTAGATCAAGTATGTCAACGATACACCGACGTCGACGGGGTATTAGGCGCAGTACTACGACCCACGTCAATGATGAGGTGCTGCAAGGGTTATTTGGAAAATCATGAAGAACAGATTAGACGCGTGATGTACGTACACGCTGAATGCCAACTGCCAACTACCAACTATCTCAGCATCGCCTCCCAGGCACCAAGAGATCAAATGCCACTTCGCATTGGACAGCAAATGCGAGTTCTGCTCAGGGCAGTTCTGAGCTTGGCCAGCGCCGAATGCTAGCGAGTGCTACGTCGGAGATTAAATGGTGCAGTGATCGCGAATCTCGCCGTGTGGCACTTGAACGGACGGCACAAAGAGTGGCCTTCGCCGCACTAGACAGAGACAAGACGCACCAAGAGCCCCGTGTATATGTGGAGCACATGCATGAGGGGTTTAGCTGAATCGAGCACGAGCTTCGGAGCCTCGAGGTCAAGAAATACTGGCACTGGTACTCAGACCACTTCAGCGCTGTCCAGATAGAAGTTGGTACTATAACATGGATGCAGATAAGTTTGCAGAGTGTGGAGAAGAGTACCACAGGGCAGGAGGATGCTTTGTGTACGCGGTAGTAGAGTCGGGATATTCATACTCCAGTAAGAAATGTCTGCGGAAACAATCCAGTGATTAGTAGTCGGATCCTGCCATAAATCCTCGGTCTTCTCATCTTCAATGAAAACAGTACAAAGCGATGACGATAGGAAATGGTGCAGATTCGGATCCCGATGGTCGATATAGCCTGCCTTCAGGATCTGAAGTAGTGGAAAATGTGGCTGGCCTCCAGGAAATAAGTAAGCAAGCCGGCGCCAGAAAGGCCGGCTTCGCAATCATACTCACTGCGGAACCCAGAAAATCGTTGGGTGCAAAGCAAGTGCAAAGAGGCCCCAATTCACCGGCCTGAGGGACACGGTGGGCGTAGTAATTGAAGCGGTTCCCAATCCTCTACGGCGATATCTCCGTTCAACGTTCAACGTTCAGGCCTCAGGAGCTACGTTGATTCAGAAGCTGTTACTGGTGAGTGAGTCGAATTCCGCGAATACGGTGTCCGACTCCAGTGGTCGGTGCCAGGCGCTGGGTCGGGATAAGTTCTAGCTGCGAAGCTGGATACTATCGATGACCCGGATGTGCCATAATATGGCACTTCTGGTCCCGCCGCACGCTGTCTTGCCCGATTGACTTCGGCATCTCAGAGAATGTTTAGATAGCATATAGAATACCAGAGACCATTTTTTTGACCAGTGTTGAACATTTTGGTGACATGCCGAGGTGTGGCACCAGCCAAATTTGCTCATGCAATCCCGATTTTTGCGGGACCCAGGCTGGCCACATTTAATTCTCAAATTTTTATAGTGTTGAAATACAATGTACAAGAGCATCTCTAAATAATTTTGAGGCAATCGGTGCAAAGGATCCAGCTGTAGGAAAAAATATGGCACTTCTGGGTTGTATGGCATATCCGGGTCACTGATAGTAGTCTGAAAACTCTCTTCAAAATTTCTGACAGAAAAGAGCCTTCAATTTCTACAGAGTTTGAAGTTGCGACGGAGACGCCGCCATCACATGAAAGTAGTGCTCCGCAAGATTATTATTATAATTTATTATAATTATAATTAAATCAAAAATACGATTAAATAGTATGGGACCAGATAATATTATAAATCCATTATATTACAATATGGACATGTTATTTAATCATACTCGGAATACACTACACGTGATGGAGTTCTAGGAGGAATCTGAAGAAATTGTGCTCCGGAACAGTTCTTTAGAGTTGCAGCTATTTGTGGGAAATTCTCGTAACTGACTGAAGCGTATGTGAGCCCGGACATACCATAGAAGGGAATGTGATGTTCCATATCAGGTAAGCCTACCTCTTCAGAAGGTCACCTCCAGGCAGACTCTGAATACCGGGAAAATTGTCCAATGATCCATACTTGGGGACCTTCCCAGGGCAATTTTGGGCTCACATAATACTGCACTGACCCCTTTTGAAAAGGTGTGATCGTAATGAATTATAATAGAATACTTTAGATTATATTAGACCACCATTAGATATCTGGCTAAGGTCTTCAAGTAATAATACATAATATTATTATTTGCCTTCGTGGCGTATTTAATCATAATTGCGGAGCACTACATGAAAGTGTAAGTCACGTTGTCACGCTCACGGCGACTTGTAATACTACCGACTAACGAATTACAGCAGCGAATTACTGCGACATATGTACGTACGTCGACGTCTATCTATCCGACACAGTGAGTCCGAAAGTCCAATACGAACGTTCAATCTGCACCGACACCATTGATGCGGTCGCCGAACCAGCGGCCCACCCCACTAACTCCGGCAGCCAGCAGGAACGAGCCGTCGAAGAGTGAGCCAAAGAGCTGATATTCAGGAAGTGTTGAGAAGAGGTTGACAGTGCCCTGGTCCACCTCCGTGTCTGGTCGAGCTGGAGGTGGCGGGAACGACGTGCGCAGTTGGATGAGGGTCGAGAGAAGATAGATGCCCTGTCAGCCACTAGGTTAGTCAAAAACGGAGCAGGTGTCAATAAGACAATACCATCAGCTGGGCAAGCATCAACAACATCAGCGAAGCACCCAGATTCCTGCTGGTCACCCGCAGCGCCTATAGGTCATGTAACGGATCAGAGTGCAATCAAGGCGTAGGAAATATTTCCGTACTCGGGCGACACCCCGCAACACCAGGCGTATGCTGCTAAGAATAATTACACCAACGAGGCCCAGGCTGATCTGACGAGATATAAGGGCGATGTCCTTGGTGCTGATCTCGACGGATGGCAAGAGCGAGAGAAGGTGAGCAATCGCAGTGCTCATCATGTCGACGCTTGTCGAGACGGGTTCTTTGGGAGACGATGGTATTGCAGCTGTTCGCGGAATGATCAAATTCACAATGGCCTTGGTGACGACATTGGCCATGGTCAGCCTTGCAGGTCCTACTGGTGCTGTGGCCACTCACGTTTAGAATGCGATACACGCAGTAGATCGCAAATATGCGGCCACCCCAATTAAACAGCTTTCCTGAGATGGTACGAGAAAAGTTGGCATCTGCTTGGCGCTGTCTAAGGGCCTCCAGATTCCGGGACATCTGGTATTCAAGGGACTCAAGACCACTCATCTCCTGCATTGCAGAGGACATTTCTGGCAAGTTGGAGGTGAGCAGGACCCAAGAAAAATAAAGGTAACGCACGACTATCACCGCGGAAGGGTACAACATGAGAAAACCAGCTGGCTTCCTGGTTGGGCTGCTATATGCCCGATCAGGAATAAGGACACATCACGAGGAATATCTAGCATTACCTGTGCAGCTTGTAGTTTCTGGATATCTGACTGGCGCTGCGCTAATTCCCTCCGTACGCGCTGCAACCCTTGTTCAGCGGCTGCGATGTCACCTTCTGTGGGATGACTTCTACAAATAATGGCATTCGAGTCAATGACATGTTGAATCACCGATCGTTCGGAAGCAAAAACCTCAGGGTCCCGTAGAAAGGAGGAAAGAAGTTCCATGCTGTGTTGACAGCTCCAAAACCAGAAAGTGCGCCGAGAATAATTGTCCCAAGCACGGTCAGTCGAGACAGAGTAGTGCCCATAAAATCAGAGGTTGGCAACGATGATGGGAGAGGTATGAAAGAAAGCAAGAACAAGAATAATCCGACAGATAGGATGTTGAGGAGTGCACGGAGTACAGAGGGTCTCTGCCGTGGCTGTGTACCTGCCCAAAATTAAGTGAAGTACCCAAGGACGGGAAATCCTTCTTACCCTTTCCAGAAGGGCCCCCACTGAGCACGAGACTATATGATAGAGGGATGAAGACTAGTATTGTCGCAAGAAGCAGCCATAATGATACTTTCCAATTGATCAGACGGACCCTACGAGATCAGTTCAAGTGATGGCAAGTCATGGAGCAGCATTCATTAACGGACCCAGGGTCAAGTAGATCAATTCCCTGGCACATCAGCAGTAGGAACAATGTGCAAATCTCGGAGAAACATAGGGAGAACAGGCTCCTGGACAGCGTGGAATGCAGCGGTCGTCCCGACGCAACCGCAACTACTGCTGTAGAAGGTCCCGGTAATGTCGTAAGCTCAAGGTTTGCATCGTCCGAACATGGTGGTGAGCCAGGCTCCACTGTTTGCTGGGCAGACAAGTCCTGGAGGTCATGGTAGAGGTTCCGAAGTAAATAGCCCCGACATGCGAAGAACAGCAGTATCCTAGACAGTGGTTAGTATAACGTGGTTTCTACGTCAAAAATCGCACTTTATAAATACCAGTATGCATGTCTCCAAACCCGGAGATGCGGTGGACATGGTACAAAGTACTAAGTAGAGGCCCGGATCGTTGCCGCAGAGTCGTAGACGCCCTGACACGTGATAAACATGCACATAGTGCTCCGAGTGAATCGGAATTCAATTCCTCCGAGTCTGCGTTTCGTTTCGTCAAGACACACTGTAAGTACTTACTAAGTATCTGCTGCTTTGACTCTGAGCGATAAAAATTTTCCTTCGTGTCATCATATTTGCCACGAGACGTGGGATAAGCATCCCAACATACACGCTAGTGCAATCGTACATTTCACTGGCAAGCACCGTGAGTACATATATACCCAACCTGGTACAAGAAGCATGTTCACGCTCCCATACAGGGTCAGCTGCCAGCATCTGATTTGACAGGGTTATACTTTGATAACATTGACGACTGAATGTGAGCTCCAAGTTTTACACAATACTTACTGCGGGTGCTCTCTGACGCTTTGACAGAACGTATTGAGTCTGAGATGTACACCAAATAATACAATTTCTGCTCCAAGTCAATGCTACGTGTGAACGGAGACGAAGGCAATTGAAGCTTCTGATTGTGATCACCACGACTTTGAATCGCAATCACTCGCCAATGTGCTAATTCTCGGTGATTCCGCGAGAAGGGCCACTACTACACGAGGAGATCTTTTCGGAACGCCTTGTCGGAGTATGGGAAAACCATCTCGCGCAACTTGCAAGCTCCTCTATGCGCACTTCTTTATGGTAATACTGGACATGTGTACTGGAAGAATCCGTGCAATTATTCCAGTGTGGGATTGTCCACCACACTCATAACCTTCTCATGACAAGATTCGATGCACTGGATTTCACCCCTCCTCTCCCTCAGGCTTGTCTGGGGTTCAACCCGAGTACCAGTCAGAACAGCACGACATAGCGACATCGGCGCAACATCTGAACAACGGCATATCAAGCATGGAGGTCGCAGAGAAGCAGACAGTGTGGAAATCGAATGACGAGGCCACCGAGCAAATCGTCGACATCTCGGCTTCGGCGTCCGTGAACGCGGGTCCAGATATTGATTTATTTTCTTACCATGAACGTAATGCCGGGCGGCTCGTCGTGGATCCAGAGTACGTTTCCTTCTCACCATTTCCACTGACACATACAGATCACTTATGTGGTCAACTTATTCTAGGGAAGCGAGAGTCGAGTTTGGCGAGGAAGTTGCAAAACGCCTGAAACTTTCTAGCGATGGAACCAGAGTGCTTTGGCCGCAACCAACTGATGACCCTGAGGATCCACAGAACGTAGGTACCTATTTTTATGGTCATATTAACCCACGTGAAGTACTTGCATAGTGGTCCGACGTGCGCAAGAATTTCCAGTTGTTCATCGTCACCCTGGCCGCTATAGTTCCCGATTTTGACTCTGGTATAGGTGTGTATCATATCTCGAAGACTGGAAATGTATTACTGTCCATGGTACCTTAACTGACCTATCTGCAGGTATCGCGTCCATTTTCTCCCTCGCGAAGCAATATAACACCACATCCGGCGTAATCAATGATCTTACTTCCAAGTACGTGTTGCCTACGGGGTTATGTATCTATGTTTCTGACGTCTTGATTGCCTCTGATCTGTCTGTTTTTGTCAATTTGTATCTGTATCTCTGCCTTCCTGTATGCAAAATAGCTGGAGTATCTTCTTATTGGGTATGTTCATGTTCATCATTGATCATACTCTGATGCTGATTTATTCACACCACCATCGTTCTTTGTGGATCGAAATTGCTTTTCAAGGTTGGGGCAGTATCCTCGCAGTCATGCTAATGCGTCGGTATGGCCGGCTGCCTATACTGTTCTGGTCTCAAGTCAGTTTCGCTTCTTTTTCCACTGCAGCACGAGTAAAATTCATGCGCTCTTGTCGATAGGTTCTTGCATTGGGCTTCCTCATTGGCTGTACATTCGCCCCGACGCTGAAGGTCTTCACTGGTAGGTGCTCTTTCATTTGGGCAGGAATGGCCACAGTCCTCACTTCCAATAGCTATGCGCTGCCTGACTGCCTTCTTTGGGTGAGTTTTCTGCTCTCTCTTGTTCAGCCGTTTCAGTATGTGATCTGATTTCCCTGGTTTCTAGAACATGCCCCCAAGTGACGGTATGTCAATCTCCAAACTTAAAGGGCATCCCCATCCCGGAACGCGTCTAATTTGCGCTGCCTAATGTAGGGCCTGTATGTCGTCACAGATCTTTTTCCATTCCACCTGCAGGCACGTAAGGTATGATACCTGCCATGATTGTCATTGATATTGTTGGCGTGCTGACAAAGGCCACACAGCTGAACATCTGGACAATGGGCTTCGTTGTTGCACCTTTCCTCTCTCCGTTCGCATTCGGTTTTCTAGTCGCTCGCGCGAAGTACATTACCTCCGCCCCGACATAACGTGAGCGTACTCAACCCTTTTCTCTCGTAGTTGGCGCTGGACGTACGGCACTGGATCGCTCTACGGGGTGGTAGTAGTGCTCTTCATCACATTCTTCATGGAAGAAACGTATGTCGCGGGTTTCGTCTTCTAGAATAACACACGTAAGCGTTCATCCTCTTGGCTCAATATATAGAATGTACGACCGCACGCTCCCAAACCCTCGCCCAATCCCCCCGCCGCCCTCTCGTCTGCATCACCGCGTTGAGTTGTTGGTCGGCGTAACCGGATACCGCATGGCAAAGTACCGCACGAAGTGGCGTATTGCCGTATGGGCGACTGCCGATGTCTTGTGGCGTCCGCATATTCTCTCTATCCTGGTCTTTGAGGTCAGCTCCCGGCGATATTTCGTGCTACAACTCAGACCAATGATCTAATGCCCCATTTAAGGCTATATTGTTCGGGTTCACCACTGGAATAAATGTCAACTTCTTTTATAACACGGAAGATCATACTACTCATTGAGCACCGTTGATATCCATTAGACCACTAATGCCGTCCTTCTAGACCTTCCCAAACCGGAAGGTTTTGGATTTAGTCAGTATGCTATTGCGGGCGCGTACGCAACGCCAATCGTACGTTTCTATTCTTCTTTCTCGCATCTTTCTTCTCCGTTAAATCACTGATGTGCTTGTGCTTAGGTAGCCACTATCATCGGAGAACTGCTTGGGCATTATATCAACGATTGGCTAATGAACTTCTGCGTGAAGCGCAACAAAGGCGTCTTCGAGGCCGAGATGCGCTTGTGGTATGTGGTCTTCATGATTATCTTCGACCGGGACAAGTCAGACCCCGCTGATAAATTGGCACCCGTGCAGGATTTGCTATCTCGCAGTCCCGCTCTATATATGCGGATTCGTTGTACTTGGTGCTGCGTTTCAACTGCATCGGGGTGTAGGCGCACTGGTCATGGGCTGGGGTATCTCCCAGGTCGCTGTCATGTTAAACACGGTAGCAGTCTGTCAGTTATCTCCGTCAAATTATGAGGTTGGAAAGGGTCTTAACCGTCGTTCCAGATGCTTACTGCAACGACTGTTTCCCCAGCAGACAGGTACGTGCACATACAATATTGCGTCTGTCAGTTGTGAGACTCATCATCCGCATCGCGATTAGGGAGAAGTCTCCGCATGCGTGAACCTCGCACGCACACTGGGTGGTTTTAGCGTAGCCTACTTCCAGGTACCGTGGGTGACACAACATGGTGCTTTGCAGGCCTTCGGGGTAGAAGCTGCGGTGGTCACTGCGTTGTTCCTGCTGGTTGTACCTGCGCTCCAGATAAAAGGCGCATCCCTAAGGGTGAGTGCTAGACCAATGGCGGGGTGCTATCAGTGTGATTGATGCACACTTTTGCCAGGCAAAATTTTCCTTGTACTAGGTTTGCCTTCACAGTCCACCCTTAGACCCTTTTGTTATGTCGAGCTACCCGGAGCCGCCGGTCTATGTCGACTTGTTGGCAAGATGATAGAATGTTGTGCCCCTTGCCGTTTATTGACATCGTAGACTATATTCCTTGCATTTGCCCGGTTGAAACTATGGACCCCGAGGATAATTTCCAGAGGTGAAGAGTAAGATCTTCAGAAATTCTCTCTATGCCGACAGATCACCTCAACTAGTAAGTCGAAGTGTGCGCCACGGCAGTTGATCTGTCTACGATTTAACTGTAATTGTCCCTAGAAGTGTCGCATTGCGAAAGTCTGCGAGTCACCCCAACGCAGACAGCGCTTAGCCCAAGATAAATGCACCAGTGCCCACCGGATCCAGCACAATATCAGTACCATTCAGGGTGGCCCCAGTGTTCAACACCTGCACCGCCGGGACAGTTTTCAGCCCGGGCATACTCATAAGGTCGAAGGTTGCCGGCGCGTAATTCAGGTTCGTTGCCAGCACGAGGGTCTGCTCGCCGACGGTCCATAGGCCGACATCTATTTGGTCCACGAAGGCGTGCTGGAACGTGGCGCGGTCATTTGCAATGTAGTCCTTAAGCGCGGTTGAAGACTGAGCCAGTAGAGAACCGTATGATAGGATGTCGGCGGTAGTGGGCATGTCCCAGGACACAACACCTGTGGAACAATGTCAGCAGTGCATCCGGCTTGCGAGAGATCTGGCTGACCAAGAGCACCGTGATTAATACCGAGAGCACTTTGCACCACAAATTCCTGTCCGGTGGGAGGTCTCGTCCAGTACCTTCATGGAACACAGATGAAGGAACAGTTGCATCCGCAGCACGTACGAAACTCACTCTTCACCACCAAAACCTTGCGGAACCGTCCACACAGACTTTGTCCCTTCCCATCCCTCCACCCACAGCCTGTAAGCAAACTCGTCCATGCGTGTGCTGATATCTTCGAAGTTGCCCTTGCAATTGTCACATCCGCAACAACCATACACCGGCGTGCATGCTGTGTTCTAGAAGAGGCGCACTCAACAAGCAGGTACCGAACTGCACATCCAACCAGTAACGCACCCACTCTAACGACCAAGTCACGTTGTTCCCAATCATGTACGTATCCTGCATCACGATGTCCGTGCCAGCAGTATAATCGGGCCAGTAGTAATCCTGACAGTTCAGGACGAGCGACACGGGATGGTACCCGTCGAGCTCGTAAATAAGGTCGTACGCGATCGACGTCGCGTTCAGCGGATCAGATGTGCCGTCCGGCTCGTCGCCGGTGTACCAGAGCAGCAGCGCTGGGCTGTTCTTGACGCGATTAACCTCTTCCGTGACGGCGGTGGTATTCATGTATGTCCTGGAATGGCTGAGTGCGATATTATGCGATCAAAAATAAGGGACTTACAACCGCATGTCGTACATCAAATGCAGACCGACCTGCTCCATGCGCTCGATGACCTCAAAGAGCTGAGTGATATTATCGTACGGCGGAATAGGATGGATCTTATCGTACGAATCGTTACAGAGACTTGTGTCAAGGCGAAGTGTTTTAAACGCACCACAGTGTATCTGGGTAGAGATCAGAGTAAACAATACAACACGGGATCTGATCCACTGACCCAAGAGATTTCACTTCGTCGATTATAGACAAATTCGTTGCAAGGTATCCACCAAATCCGGTGTAGAACCCTGTGGGCAGGACAGTCTCATATGGCCCCTCCGCACCGCTTGCAGGTTTCGCGAGCAGTGCACCGGTGCGCAAGTCCATCTTGGTCGCGGAGCGGCCGTCTGGGGGCGTGGGCAAATATGAAATTGCCGTCGATGCCGAAAATGTCTGTACCGCAGCGCCAGGGGTAGAGTAGCTCGCCTCGCAGCTGACATCGAATGAGGCCATCTGTGGCTCCAGCCCGAGCAGTGAGAAGGGCAGCTCAACTTTCGTGGCGTTGAGGGGGACGACGCCGGTCGTCAGGACGCGTCCCTCCAAAGAGACAGTCACAGCCAGTTCGCCCGGTCCGGTGTACTCTGACAGGGTGATCGGGACTGCACCCTCGATCTGAGAGTATGTCAGATACGTGTCGATGAGTATTCCTGCTGGAGTCGCGACATCCTCAGGCAGATATGGCTTGATAGCAGGTGCACAGCGAAAGGCCAGGACAGGAGTCGACGAGATCGCCGGGATTGTGAACTGTCCGCCTGGAGGAACGATCGGCTGGCTCGCCATGTAATTCTTGCCGCACCTGCGATATTGCAAGACATAAAAACAAGTATGAAGCCAGCCTTCCAACCTGACGCACCATGTCTGGGCAAATGAAACCCCATAGAACCCGATGGACAACAGAGCAGCTAATGCGAGACGACTCATCGTGGCCTTAAGCTTGGTGGTCCACACAGAAGGTCGACTTCTGCTAGCCCTTGCACCTATTTTTCCCAGACATGCACACAGATGCGCACGGCTAAGTATTTTGGCGTGGGTGACACGAAACCGGACAGAAGAACAGGTGCGTCATGTGGAAGCGATAGATGCTCCGTGATGGCCGATATGCGTTCAACTCTTGTGAATCCCCGCGTTTCGACACGTCCCATGCAGAACACCTTCAGTGCGCGATGCGGGAGAATGCTGCGTGTGACATGGAAGTATGAAGGAAAAGTCGAAGTCTTGTTTCTTTGCATAACGGTGAAGTCACATGTACGCAACAGTTGGCTACTGTGCTTGCCCTAAACTCACCGCCAAAAAACTCTGCAGCATTGGCAAGCTTGGCATCTTCTGTCCTGTTGTCGCTTCTTGTAAGTTGCGCATGCCCACCTTGTGCTCATGTTGTTTGCTGTTTGACAGGTTTCATCGGCTGTACAAGTTGTAGCCACCCTCTGGTCAGAACCTTCTTCGAAAGGATGTCGCGGCAATGGACGCTGTCTTTCACGGTGACCGATGCAGGTATGTCCTTCATTCCTTTACGTCTCGCTGTATGTGCATAGAAGTGCATGCCAGCAAGATGAGACTTTGTATTTTCAGTTATCCCTGTCTTAACAACTCATGTCGAGACTTTATGAATTTTCTGACTCCTTGTCATACTTTATCCTTGCGCGATGTACTGAGCCATGATCCATCTTCTTCAGGTTAGATATTCGAGGGACTCACATGCGAGCGCATATAGTCGCCATGCGCCGTGGAAGATATGCTCCCTTGCCTCACCTGTAATTTGCAAGTACTCGTATTGTATACTACGCATAATGTCATCTTAAAATGTATCACGTCCTTTGTCTCACGATGGCCACTGCGACCATATCTTAAAGCTAAGACGTTGGAAGACTTGAGATGCATCAATAGGGCGAATAATATTGCGCATATAGTCACCTGTGCATCGAGAGCTCTGACTGAGGAAATGTGACTTCTCAGCCCGGTGTTATCGAGCGCGGCAACAAAAAAATACCTCTCTCCATTGATAAAGAACAACGTGAAGTGAAAGTAAGTCCATGATCATTGCAGACTTTATTTAGATTGATCAACGCGAGTGGTTTTAGAGAACAGAGAACAGATGAATTCGAACCGACTACGCTACACACAGTTAATGACGCCGTGACGTAACAGTCAATAATGTCACATTTGTACTAAGCGTGGGAAACTCACCTGGACGCCGACCGCTCGCCCAAAACGCACGCTTGCTCTTTAACCAAATACCCACCTTGCTGCTTGTCTTGCATATCTTTTGCTCACCACGCAAAGTCTCGTCGAGCATGGCCGCTCAGAAACCAAAGAGGACCCGCGAAACTCGACCTCTGCCTGCACGGGCGAACTTACAGGTCGCCCTCCCGGTGGCGCCACCGACGGCGCAACAAACGAACGCGCGCAAGAAGAAGAAGAAACGGGGAAAGGGAAAGGAAATCGCAGACCAAGAACCGCATTCCGAAGACGAAGAAGAGTACGGCATGCCCGACTTCGCCTACCTCCCAGAGCCACCGTCGCCGACGTCGCTTTCCGCGTCAATGGCGGCCATGGCGAAGCTCGGACCACCCAGCGCTGCAGAAGCGGAGCTGTTGGCGACGGCCGGACACCTCGCGCGGAGCATCGAGACGGACCCGAAGGGGTTGCAGGACGACGAATACTGGGCGTCGTTTCCGGAGCACCTGCGCACCTTTGTACGGCACACTTACTCTCAATTGAGCGCTGCTGGTGACGCGGACAAAAAGACGCAGGCGATGTACACGATAGCACAGCAGATCCACTCGGGCGCGGGCACTGGCGGTGCGAAGATGGCGGCGCGCGGGGCATTCGACCCTTCGATCTTTACGGACCCTTCGTTTACGCTGGCGATGGAACAGGCGGCGGCGGCAGCGGCGACAGCGACAGCAGAGGGTCAAAGATTGCGGCCTGGAGAAGTGGTGCTGGTCGAGGAAGAGGTAGACGAGGTTGAGTACGAGGAGGACGAGGAGTACAGCGAGCAGGAGCCTGAGGAGGTGCCAGTGCCGGTGGCAGAGGAGACGCCACCGAGGCCGGATGAGGCACGGGCAGCGGGCCGCGGCCGGCCGGGAGCGGGCGCGGTGACAAATCTTGCAGCCAGCGTCGCGGCGAGTGTTTCTGTCTCTGCCCGTATGCCTGCCGTGCGACCTCCGACCGCTGCCAATCCTGCCCCGAGCTCTCGTGCGGCGGGCAAGCAGCCCATGTCTTACGCCGCACCCACGCCTGCAACCAACCCACCCCCTTCCAGCCGTCGCGCGGCCTCGAAAGCCCCGATCTCCTCTCACCCGTACCAGCACAATCACGCCCATCACCAGCCATCGCCTCCATCTTCGAACGCCTCTGCGCCGCACAAGCCCCGTCCGCCAGCGACGGGGGCGAGCGGACAGCCGCAGGCGGCGAAAAACAACAAGATATGGAGCACGAGCACGAGCGAGGAGCGGGAGCGCATTAAGGAGTTCTGGCTCGGGCTCGGGGAGGACGACCGTCGGAGCCTGGTGAAAATCGAGAAGGAGGCGGTGCTGAGGAAGATGAAGGAGCAGCAGAAGCACAGTTGCAACTGCGCGGTCTGTGGCCGGAAGCGGTTCGTGCTCGCCCTCTCCCTGTTCGTGAAAATTTTTTCGCTGACGCTCTCGCTCACCCTGCAATGCGGTTTTTGCTGTCGCTGCCGTTGCTGCTGCCGCCGCTCGACTCGAACGAGATAGGAATGCGATAGAGGATGAGCTCGAGGTACTGTACGATGCTTATTACGAGGAGCTAGAACAGTACGCGAATTACCAGCAGCGATACATCTCCTCCGGTGGCACGCTTCCTCCCCCACAAGGCCCTGGACCGTTCCCGGGCAGCGTCGAGCTGGACAAGAATGGCGTCGTCATCAGTCCGCATGGGCCGGCGAACGCCAACTCGAACGTGCTGCCGCGGGCCAAAAACGGGGTGGTGACCAACGGCAGGAAGCCGGCGAAGCAGCCGGAGAGCGAGTTTGATGAAGACGAGGCGGAAGAGGAGGAGTATGAGGAGGAGGAAGAATACGAAGACGAGGAGGAGGAGGAAGAGGAGGAAGAGGAAGAGGACGACGGTGAGGCGGAGGACGAGGAGGATGTCAAGCCGCAGCCGGATCGTAGAACCGCACCACCCAATCGCAGACGAGCCGCTGTACCCAACGGCGCGAAAACGAACGGGCGCGACAGCCTTGTCAATTTCGGGAACAATCTCACTGTGACGGGCAAGTGTACTTGATTCATCGTTCTCCGTCTCAGCCTTTGATCTCATCACGCAGGTGCAGGTAATATTCTAACGGTGGCCGACGATCTACTAAAGAACGATGGCCAGAAGTTCCTAGAGATGATGGAGCAGCTCGCGGAGCGTCGTATGCAGCGGGAGGAGGAGGCTGCGGCGGACGTAGAAGATGATAGCGAAGAGGAAGATGACGAGGAGGGAGATGAGGACGATGAGGACGAGGAAGAAGAGGATGAAGAGGAGGATGAAGAGGTCAGTTCTGCTTATAATTCCCACAAACTCTATTCACCTCCTTCGCAGGTGATGACGGAAGAGCAGAAGATGGAGGAGGGCAAGCGGATGTTCTCCATCTTCGCTGCGCGCATGTTCGAACAGAGGGTGCTTCAGGCCTATCGTGAAAAGGTCGCTCAGGAACGGCAGCTGCAGCTCCTTCGCGAGCTGGAGGAGGAGGACAAGTCCACCAAGGAAAAGGAAGCCAAGAAGCTGAACCAAAACCAGAAGAAAAAGGACAAGAAGCGGTACGTCGCTCTCGTCCATACTGTACACGTGACTGATTTTTCCGTCAGGCAGCAGAAGCAGGCGAAGGAGGAGGAGCGAGCTGCGAAGGCAGCTGAGAAGGCTGCGGAGGAGGCGGTGCTGAAGGCAAAACAAGTGGCCGTCGAAGAAGAGCAGCGTAAAAGGCGGGAGGAAGAGCGAGCGCGGCGGGAGGCGCAGCGGAAGGTCCAGGAAGAAGAGAAGCAACGGAAGGAGGAAGAGCGGCGCAAGCGTCTAGCGGAGGAGAAAGAGCGCGAAGCAGAGCGGGAGCGCAAGCGCAAGGAGAAGGAGGAGCGAGCAAGGGCCGAGCGGAGGGAGAGGGAAGAGCGAGAACGCAAGGCCCGCGAGGAACGAGAAGCGAAACTCGCCGCTGAGCGCGCCGCAGCCGCAGCCGCTAAGCGTGAGCAGCAAGAGAAGGAGGAGCACGAGCGGAAGTTGGCCAAGGACCGCGAGGAGAAGGAGAGGGCCGAGCGAGAGAAGGTTGAGAAGGAGAAAGCTGACAAGGACGCCAAGGAACGTCACCAGCAGCAGCGTGCTAATCCTGGCAGGAACGCACGTACTCCCACTTCCCCGCGCAACGCCCATCCATCTGGCTCAACGCAACGATCTCCCAACCATGCGGCTTCCGGTGGTAAGAAGATCCTGAACAAATCTGCTACTCCTACGCCAACTCCGGCTCCCCAGCCGCAACGCCCACCTCGTGTTACGGTGGTGACTACTCCTCAGCCACCTGTTACTCCCGCCACCCCTCAGCTGCCGACTCATCTTCCCGCTCCTCCCACCACACCACTGTACTCTCCGGCGGCTGCAGTCATCCCCCCTCCAGTGTTGTCACCAAGAGGTCCTTATGTTCCTCATGCTGGATTTGTCGGTATGGTTAGCAGTTCTTCCATGCAGGGCGGTCCTCCACCACCTCTAGCGCCATCAGCACTACCTCGGACATTCGGCAGTGGGCCTCCTTACGACCCTGGCTTTGGTCGTGTGCTGGCCCCCCCTGCACCAATTGCTCCTCCTTCCAGGGCTTCAGTGCAGAACCCGATCACGTCGCCTTCACAGCTGCTCGCGCCTGGCTCCAGTCGTCTTCCGGCGGATCCTGGTCCGATCACTCGTCCCATTGCCCCGATCGCACGTCCTACGGGTGAGGCGTCGGGCTCTGGATCAACGTCTCCAAGCCGCCGCTCGCCGAGTCCGAAGGGGACGCTGGGTTCGTCCGCCTTGATTCCCGACGACGACGAGGTGATTAGTGCTCCTGGTCGCCGGTCTGTAGCGCCTGGTCAGGGCTGGGGCAACGCGAGTCCCCGCAGTTCTGTGCCAGACATGCGGGCGCCCTGGGGACCACCGGCTCCGCCTGGTTTTGTATCTTCCCGTCCGCCACCGATTGGGCCGTCGTTGTGGAGCGCGTCGAATCCTGAGTGGCATCCTTCGTCTGCTAGCTTCTTCGGTGCGCCTTATTCTGCTCATAACCCCTCTCCGCCTCCCCACACTGGTAGTTGAGTATTCCGCATCTTGACATTTCCTACCCACTTCGTCGATCGCATACCTGCAATTCTTTTATTCTGACCAGCATGCCACTGACACGTTAAATACATCGAAGATCATTACACTGCGTGAACATAAGTTACAATAATTTGCTAGACGCAGCGGGCGCGATTCGGCTGCGAATGAGTTTGATTATGTACAATGGAAATGCGCTGATGGCGACGATTACGCCCACTTTCCATGCAAATCGGAGAGACAGCACGAATGAAAGATCTATGTCTAGGTGAGAGAGGAACCTGCAACATACTGGACGGTGCATACCAAAGTATTCAGGCAGGAATGCTATGCTGACGACGTAGAGCAAAAGAGTGACGATCTCCGAAATAATCATATATATGTGCCTGATGAAAATTCAGTCACGTTTTGACGGACGGGTCGAGATGCTTACCATGTTGTGATCTCTAGCGCAACCATGATGAGTTCATTCAGGATCAGAGCCGTGAAAGATATAGAGACGATGTTCAAAAACTCGTTCTCAAACAGAATGAGCGACATGATCATGATAGCGGCGCCTGCAAAATCATTGCTCAACAGTCTAAAGGGGAAGATAATAGTCATAACCAACCTTGATATAAGCTGATCATGAGCCACATAAAGAAGGTTTTGAAGGAAAGCACACGGCCCTACGATATGATGAGTGAACGTCTGCAAACAGACTGAAAAGCTGAACACACTTTCGTGAGTTCCTTGTACAACTCAGGGTACAGCAGAGCGAGATCTTCATTGACATCTCGATCTAGCACCAAAGAGAACACAGGGGCCATGGTGTACACCGTTGCATATCCGACCATGAGCCAGCCTTGGTAGAGCGCTATTGGAGCGAAATAGAAGATAGCGGAGAACACGGCCTGCATGACGGAGATGATCAGGCCACGATGAATGACGAACTGTGCCAGCTTGGCAGAACGACGATAGGAATTTCGCCCATGCCACAGCAGTAGTTTTGTCAAATAGCTGAACTGGGTCACAGAAAAGTCGGCAGCTAGCGATGCTTGTTTGCCTTCCTTTCCAACAATGCCGACACCTGACAGTTTCTTGTCAGGACTGACACAAACTGTGTTTGGTACTACATACCAACGTCGGCCGCTTGGATCATGCTGACATCATTACCTCCGTCGCCAATGCAGCATATTCTCTTCTTCGTGTGACGACGTATCAAACGCGCAACATCTGCTTTCTGTGTCGGCGAGCAACGACATGCAACGACGGCGGATAGCTTAGTTGCAATCTCAATGAATTCGTTCTTGAAGAGGTTTAGACACAGCTATACCTCTGCGTCAGAACAGAGTTAGGTATAGTGGATTTCCGTGTAGCGTACCTGCAGTGATTCACCGTCAATAACCAGGCAGCAGTCAAGCTTGTTCTGGAGAAATTCAAGTTGATCCCGTACTTCATCGGAGGTTTTAACTATAGCCCCAGGGAACGCATTAATAATTAAAACCGCCGAGAATTCAAACTTACTCAACGTTTTGCAACTTGATGAATGTACTGATTCCTTGCTACAAGCTTCGTCGAGATGGCTATACAAGTCGCTGTCTCGATCTTGTCCCCTGTGAGCATCCAGATTTTGATCCCGGCATTACGCAAAAGCTCCAAAGTTGATTTGACATCGTCCTGCAGTTTGTCTTCTACACCCGTAAGACCAAGTAACTCCAGATCACGCTCCAGCAGTTCCTCGATCACTGCTGTCATTGCTTCGCTGCGACCTTCAAGCCGAACACTAGCTTCATAGTGTTTTTCCTTGAAATGTGTGTAAGACGCGTCACTGAGTCTGCGTCTGCCTACAACAAGGGTCCGTAGGCCCTCACGAGCCATATTCGCGCACTCTTCCTCAAGCCAGTCGTTCCGTTGCACGATCTTTGCCATCACAACGTCGGCGCCCTTCTGCAGGAAGGTAGTCTCACCGGTCTGCACGTCGCGCACAATGATGCCCATGCGCTTCGACTCCGAAGTGAAGGGGAAGATGTCGAGGACTTCGAAGTTTATACGGGCACCAGATGGTGTCTGCAATTGTATGCGGGTGCGATCCCGAAATGTCAGTGTAAGACCCACGGATTCTGTCCATTTCACGATAGCAACTTCATCGGGCGACGAAGCTTGGTATGTAACGGTGCCATCGTCATTTGTCACCGGAGTAACCTGAACACTACGGTCATAACTCCGACCATGGCACCCACACACTGATTAATGAATGCTCACATTATGACAGAGAGCGAGAGAGAGAACCACGTCGTGAACACGGGAAGACATGTCTCGTCGCCCTCTTGTTGCGAGTTGTATCCCTGTGGCAGTTGTTCCTGTCCTATTGTGAACTTGAACCACCTGATTAACATCTGTATACGAGCGGAATCAAGTACATGTTTTACCCTGCTCAGCACTGGTACCAAATGCCATCGACAATTGGTGGGCCACTTCGTCCATGGAGTCGAAACCATACGATACCGTACCCATATGCAGCTTCTTCATCTCCATTTCTAATAATATGATGAGCTCTCCTACTCGAAAGGAAAAAAACAAGATGACAGACCATTCTGAGTGAGAGTACCTGTCTTGTCACTCAGGAGATATTCTATTCGTCCAAGTTCTTCAGGAAGGGTGCTGGTCCGCACAATCGTACTGGGTATCTCGCTGTCAGTCATGATTTGTTGCGCGTAAACTGTCTTCCCCATATCGAGGTTAACACGTAGACTGTCGAAACCATGGATCAGTCACAGAAATCTCAATGCGGAAATTGCAGCGTACCTGATGGGTATAATGGAGGAGAAAAGAATTAAAAAGCGGAATATATATATGTACCACTGGCCCCGGAAACCATTCAGGGCAACGAGCACGACTGATAACGCAAATGTGACAGCGCAGAGAATCTGACTGACGAAGTAAGATTATGAAATGCTGCATTTCAGTCCACTGACCTTCGCCAACCTGTTGATTTCAAGGTCCAACAGCCCAATTTTTGTCTCCGGGTGGCTGGTGTTCATCACCGCACGAGTCTCGGCACCTGTGTAGATTACAAGCCCGACTGCTGAGCCGGCAGCAAGGACAGTGTTTGCCCACAACACGTTCTCCGCTGTCAGAGGCTCAACAGTGGGTACAGGTACCATAGGAACATCATTCACCGATGTGGTAGATGGGGAGTTAATGGTGAACGTTCCGATGAAAGTATGGATGTCCTTTATCGGCGCGTCCGCTGGCACCCAGGTAAGCGGAGTCTATATATGCACCATCGAAAGGCTAGAAAACGTTACATACCATAAATTTCAGCATCAAGGCTCAGCAAATCCATTTCGCTGACGAGCTTCTGGCATGCAGGGACAGCGACACGCAGCTTCCAGTCAGTTTCGCCGTCCAATTGATCGGTGCGAATGAAGCACGTCCCCGAGTGGTCAGACGTGCGTAGCAACACGAGGTCAGCAGGCACTCGTTGATTCTTCTCCAGAACGACCAGGTTGCCTACCCGGAGGCTCGAAGAAGGAACCGAACGAGTATGTGGCCCAGAGTCATGCAAATCCGCGGAATGTTCGAGGACAAGATACCTCTGGGAGTTGGCTTCGCGGTCTCGAAGATTGCGCTGGTAATCATCATATGCCTCTTTACCCATAGTTACACATAGCACAAAGGCAAGAGGAGCGATGTAGGTCGCAATGAAACCTGTGATTAACTATTCAGTACGCGACTGCTATAATATCTCAAACACCGGTTACCGATCTTCAAGGCAGGAACAAACTGAGATAGCGCAACCAACAGAAAATATAGGTTGAAGAAGAACTTGAATTGCTCGTAGAACACGATTGGTAGGAACGTGAAGGCATTGTATTTTTGGTTGCGAACAATATTTGGCGGATATCGAGTTCGCAAGTTGTCTAAAACAATTCACACCATGAGGAGACACTTAAATATACCACGGGGTAACTGTGCACACCTGGCGGACGGAAGGGAACCGTCCTGGACTTGTCGTTGCTGGCCGACTTGCCTCTGCGTACCAACGACGACCGCTATCCCAACCTTTCAAGCCACATCGCGCCAATATATGAGGGAAAATACTCACCTGTGATGATGGCTCCGACAGGCTTGGTGTACGCACTTCGTCCTCTCCATCGTCGTCTTGGAACTCATCCCCGAGCAGGTTCGCCGCCTCTTCCTCCGCCTGATCCGCGTACCTCTCTCTGTGTTTGCCTTTCCGGGATATTCTGGACGAAACAGAAGCCGCTATAGTAGTGCCTGAAGGCATGTCCTGACTCTGTTGCTCGTTGTCGGTTGGTTCGCCGTTGAGGAGCGCGTACCCGGCTTTAGACTTTCTAGCTCGTCCTAGACTATGCAGAGGGATCTCAGACATAGACCCTGGCACTAAGTATACCTGCGAGACAGCCTGACAAGATCGAATGTTATAAAGCAATCGTCAAAGTCGCGAAATGAGTTGCGCAGGAAGCGCAGTATCATGGTCTCTCCGCGAGTCTGACTTGGAGTCGAATTACGACCTCTAAGCGCGTTTTGAAATGGCATTACAAATCTGGCTAGATGGCCTGTTGAGGGACAGTAACCCCTCGTCATAACTGAAGGAGCTTGTTCTCGACCGTCATTCTCCCGGACGTATTCATTTATTCGCAGCCCTAGTTTACGGTGAAGAGCATTCCCCCAGCCGCACGGCCTTACGGCTACCATCATTATTCCACCGGAGCGACGATATTATCACAATCGCCATCTCCTTCGAATCTACGTCTTAATGGATCCTGAGAGACTGTGGCATAACCATGACATTCTCTGCGAAATCTTTGAGCACTTATCCTTGTCCGATGACTGGGATGCAGAACCGCCTGATCTGAATTCTCTGGCATCCTGCGCTCGTGTTTGTAGGGCATTTCTTGACCCTGCACTAGACGGTGTGTGGCGCGAGCTCCGTTGCATCGACTATCTTCTGGCTGTGTTCTCTGCCTTTCGGAAAGATCAGAGAGGCACCTATGTAAGTCGAATCATCTCGTTCCAGGGACAGGACTCTAGCTTATACCAGTGCATCGATCTCAGCGCCTGGACGGAGATGTTACTGCGGAAGAATGGAGCCGTTATCATTACTACGCTCGCCGTGTTCGCATACTTTGGTACGATTGCGGACACAGTCTATCTACCCTGCTTGCAGACCTGGCTAGTCATGCTGGAGATGTGCAACTTTTCCCTTCTCTGAAGATTATCAGAATCGGCTCAATCGACCATCTGGATTCAAGTTTACAGTATTTGCTGTCTCCCACCGTGCGCTCCGTCTTCATCGACGACTTAGAAACATCACATGCACATCATCAGGAAGACATTAGGGGGACTTTCCTATACCACCTCTTCCATAAATCACCTCTTCTGGAAGAACTGGATTTCACACACCCATCTCTTCCGTATCCGATGGCCTCCTTTAGGGATATAACCCTGTGCAATTATTTGGTCCAGTTAACGGTCGATGTTCCATCTGTGGACCTTGATACACTGCGGGCTATTTCCAAGCTTGAAAGTCTACTCGACTTCTCCATATCTTGCCGTATCCTGGGTGACAGTATTCCAGCATGCTCTGGATTCAGTAACCTCCACCATCTGCAGGTGCATGGCAAATTACCAAACATTAAAGCCATTTTGGCGTGTATTTCTCCTCCGCATCTTCAAAAGCTTTTCGTCTCCCACATAGCCACTTACAGGATGCGAGAAGACTTTGCGAGCAGGTACACCGATGTTGTGGAGGTATTGTCCTCAAAGCATCGCGCGTTGCGGGACATCACATTCCGGGGCATTTCTCCTGCACCGAGTTCAGTCGACGAAAAATCCGCCCTGAATATTTTTCGTCCACTGCTGCAGTTGCATGACCTGCAGAACATCAATTTGAACTTCGACTACAGGACTCTAGGTTTATCAGACGAGGATTTACACTCCATAGCGTCTGCCTGGCCGCGTCTGACGTCGTTCTCTTTGTCATACGGCAAAAGTACCGCCGTACCGTCATTCGACGCACTCGACCATCTGGCCCGTTGTTGTCCTGAGTTGACGAAACTCAGACTACCTTCCCTGGACCTCAGGTCCTTTCCCAGACTGGAAGGTATCCGCTCTACGTCCAATTAATTGCGTCGACTCCGTGTTTTTGTATTCTGCCCACGTTAGCCCCGGAGAATGCTTCGCGCCTGCTGCAATCTCTATTTCCCTGCCTTTCGACTCGAAAAGGGCAGCCTGCAAGTGTTCTGCGCATGGGGCACATGGTATTAACCGACAGATGAAGTAGAGAACAACGAGCTTGTGACTAATGCCACGGTGATACAGTATCCTTCTGGTTCCACTCTTGTCACCGGTACCTTTAGTTGACGTTAGTGGTGCATTTTTTTTCCCTTCAGAATTTCGGCTGTTTTTTTCGTATCCGTACGGATATGGTTCTATCCACGTTAAAGGAACGACTGTCTTCCTGCAGGTAACTAGAGGCTGTATCTATGAGCGTATATCCACATCTACTTTCTAACCGTGGCATATTGGCTTGGGGCTCGCACACGAGGTTCCCACTCAATGACTTTCTCTCGACCACGTCTTTACTATGCCTCCATTCTTATCTTCTAACGGATAGGCAGTTACTGCCATTTTGTCTAACTGTTTGACTTGTAATTGAAAACACATGCCGGAGGTTGGATTCAACAACTAGCCGCCAAACATCTTGACGAACTGCTCTCTTGCAATTGACGGTATGCTCAAAAGTAAGATAATGAAACATGAATCTTGTCCTGTCTCCGGACAGACAGCACGCATGCAGATCCTACAATGCGCGTCGAAAGTGGGATACCAGGAGTTTTTAGTGCATCAATCATGTATGAATTATAATAACAAGATGTGTAGGATGAAACGTCCGCATGCGAATGCCAAAGAGAATGTGCTGAGGACCATGCAATATCACCATCGTCTATGAACGCAACGCCCCGCGCAGGACGCTCGCTCCCGCAAGCAGAGCCACCAGCGCAACCACGCCCGACGCCACGCCTGCGCTCCTCTCCGCACCCGAGCTGCCCTTGCTGGTGCTCCCCAAGTCGTCGCGATCCCCGGCGTTATCGCCGTTCGACGTGGCGAGCACCGACGGGCTGACTCTCACAGTGAGCGCGCCATACGTGTGGGTGGTCGTCGCGAACGTCGCGGTGCTCGACGGCGAGGCGTCGTCAAAGGCGGTGTCAGTCATGAAGACGAGCGCGAAGCCTGGCGCGGGCACCGTCACTTGGCACGTGTTCGTGGACTGGTCGCACTGCACGGTCTGCACGGTCTCGTTTCCGAGCAGGCGGCCGTCACTTGCAAAACGATTGCCCATTGTCTGACGTGCATGTTGTATTAGAAATAGTGTGACCGACAGTGAGATTGATCACCAACCTGACCGGCCCAAGTGAAACCTTCCTTGACAGCGACCGATTCCGCAAGTAGGTACTTCACTCTGACTTGCGCCGGCGTTGAGGCAGACTCCACCGTGCCCGCACCACCTACCGTGACATTCACCGTCAGGGTGCTCGCCCCCGACGTGTCGCTGAGGTAGTTGACGAGCGCGACGCGCGCGAGCGTGCCCTGCTCGTAAATCGCATACGCAGGCGTGTATGGGTTGTAACTATTCGCGTTGAGGTCGACGACCTGCGCTGTGCCAGTTGAGCCGAGCGCCTCAGCGGAGACGATAATGGAATAGAAGATCGGCCCGATTGTCCATTGTGCCCAGGAAGACAGATTGCTTGGAGGGGCTGCAGAGATGTCAAAGTGAAAATGTCGGTGCGAGGCAGACAAACTCACGAGTGAAAGGCTGCATGTAAACGAGGGTCAAAAAAAGACACATCATTATCGGTACAGAAAACACGCACATTATAGCTGTCATCTACACCACCGACATGCATGTTCGCGCCGGAGAAGTTACTGTACGCCATTTGCAGGCTGTAGTCGATGCCCCATAGTGCAGCGCCGAAGCTATCACTGACGCCGGGGAAACCTCCACAGGACGCAGTGTTGGTCTCGAACATCAGCAGCGGCTTACCCGCCTGCTGGGCAATGTTTGCAGAGTTCAGATATGCGGCGACGATCCCCTGACCCGACGCATGAGTCAGGTAGGTCGGAAAGATAGATTGCGGATCGACCGGGGGACCGAATCCCTCGTTAGGAAATTGTGCTGCACAATTATTCTCCGGATAACTTTGCGGCAGTTAGCTAGGAACAGAGTAGAAGAAGAATGCTACGCGTACTGTTCAACCGCAAGCGCATTCAGTACATCCGAGAAAGCTGGGACGAATCCCGTATCCCAGACTTGCTCTGGAGTCCACGTCCCGGAAACACCTGGTGCAACGAGATTGTTATGTACGGGAATCTGCGGATCGTCGCTGATGGCTCCCGAAACCATAGCGAAGTCGTTGAAGTAATCACTTGCATTGTAGTTCGCAGGACGATGGTTGTGCCTGTTGCACTCACACGTCAGCCAGTCGAGGCTCGGAAGGTGGACAGACGTACATAGCATATAGGTCAGGTTCATTACCAAGCTGGAATCCAATAATCTTGTCTCCGAGGATAGCTTCTCCCATTTCGGCGATTTGCAACCGTAGGTTAGATGTATCGTTGAAAGGAATACCTGAGTAATTCTTGCTAAATTTTGGGTCTCGTAAGCACAGCACGAACTCACCAAGCCACCATTTGACATTCACGTGCGAAGAGACGTTACTCAGTAAGTAAAGCATCTCGGGTGTCCAATACATGGTTGGTGTCTCCGTCTGTGGACACAACACATCAGCAGCCTGAGCCGGTCAACTATAACATTGTAGGAAAACCTACAGTATCTCTGGAATCGGCCTTGTCTTTCATGACCATCTTGTAATCCGGGAGACTATCCACTTCGACGGCGTAATCCTGAGTGTTGCCACCGACCCGAACACGGACACTTCCTGCCCGTTCCGCGACAAGCGCCATGAGGTTTAGGAAGGGTACATGCAGAAACGATCTACGGGAGATGAAAATCTTCTTCCACGGACGTTAGAAAGAGAAACTCACCCGTTTAGACCAACTACACAACACAATCAGAGTTGTCCATGGACACTATACAAAAAGAGACAGTTACTCACTGACTTGGTTGATCACGGACATTTCAATAGATAATCCAAGAAACGCGCCGTCCTGCTGGATAGACACATTGTAGTTGTTGGCCGCGTTTTGGGCACTGTTCGAGAGAGGTAACCAGAACTGGTTGGTAATGGGTGGTGAAGGAACAGCAGGTGGCGCGAGAATGACTGGGTTGAATGCCTGCAGACCAGTCTCCGTCGGAGGATCATACACGGAAGTACCACTGGCAGTATCGGGGGTAGTCGTCGGAACCCCAGGCGTCAGGACGCCCTGCACGCCATAGAGCGTTACCGCGGACACGACACGACAGAACAGCAAGAGAATGAGAGCGCGAGGGGTCATCGTGACTCGGAGACGCCAACGCGATGCAAGCAGCCTGATTGCGCTGCGGCGTGACTCGGAGTCAGTATATACTTGGTCAGTACTTCAATGGTCACAACTCGTAGGACATTCTCCGGCTGAGTACTCTTGGTTTCGTGTGCGCTCGAGCTCGTATCTCAATGGTGCAAGAGACTACGAAATATTTTGCTAATTTGCGGCTGCGAAGTGTCGATATCCGAGTGTCTATCTACCAAGAAGACGAGTGGGATATTGTGAGTAATTCGTATGATTAAAATATATTGACCTGCACAGTTAGCATTGTTCAGTCGTAGTCTCAAAATGCATTCCCGGAGAGCCTGGATGCTGACGTTTCTTGGCATCTCTTGGTTAGTGCTGTCTGCACGCCTGCACAGAAACCTATCCTTTACTGTCTGTGGCCCCTCGATGATCATGCATGCTTTGGTGAAGGCGGTCATAGCTTCTAATCTCTTAAATGGCGTGCTCTGCGACTCCCCAACCCATTTCCTTCTAATCTTCCCCCCGGCAGGAATGCGTTCGGATGCGCGCTCTTGCTTACAATTGCTCGGAATCACTGCTCCAGGTTCCTGATATACATCCCGGCTCGGTCATTAGCGTCATTCCTGCGTCCGAAGAACAGAAGGCCATTTGGCTGCTGGCGCTGATTCCTTTATTTCTACAGCAACTGCATAACCGCATCAGCTGCTTTGTCAGCTGCATCGCACATCTCGTACCGGCGATTGCCACAGGATCGACTTTTGGTGCCACGCGGCCGCAACGCGTCAACAGATTGTGGCGCATCTGTCATCTCCACTCATACACTTCACAGCCTTACCTGCGACTGCATGAACCATAAGACATGCCTATGAAACAGCGCGTTGACGACGGCCGGACTGTCTGGGAGCGTACCTGGACCGTCTACCCAAGCAAGATGATCCCGGTCCTCCCGAAACGCCTCCGCCATTTTGAGGACGGATTCGAGCTGGTGCTTCTGGTGTACCACGCGCTCTGTGGTATGATTCTTCCTGACCTTTGTGTCAGCTCTCTGCTCATTGAACATCTAGCACACCAGGAGTACTACAAGGCGGGTGTCCTGCACGGAAACGTCTCGGAGGAGAATGTGATCATTTTCGAGACTCCATTCTCGGAGAGGAAGGGCGTGCTGGTCGATCTTGACCAAGCTAACACATTTCGCAGGCCTGAGCGTCCCGACCCAGATCTGAAGGCTAGAAATGTCTAAGGGGCGGTGGCGAAGCAGAAAACTAGCGATCACGGTGTTTGCCCAGCGGTTGCCTCCCACATGACACAGATGTACTTTGTTGGTCACGGATGAAGCTGAAGCTTGAGAACCACTAACGTGTCTTAGGACGATGTACGTGCATGCGAGGATGTTCAGTCTCGCAGGCAGTGTGGGTGCTTCCATCTGAGGAATGCAAGTTGGTATGCATAAGCACTGAAACACCCACTCTTCAAGATCTTGATGTACGACGGGGTAACTATACCCACCCTTTGTCTAACTCCGGTTCTCGAGGTCTCAGTGATGACGAGAAGCAAGACTTTTCCAGGCCCACAAAGGGCATCAAGCTCGACCCCTCTCATCGCTTCGTGAAGCACGACGAATATCTTCGTCACGGCTTGTTTTGGTACACTAACGGTTCCGTCATTTTGCGGGTGTCGAATACCCTCTTCAAGCTCTCCAGGATCCAGCTGCAAATTAGTCGCAGTATTTTGCCAAACTGTTCGAGCAGGAGAACACCAGTTGCACGAATAATTCAGATGCTTACAGCGGGGGCGAATGCAATTGTGAATGCACGAAATTGGGACCAATTCCAACGCTCATTCTGTACAACAGGATGACATCCAAGCTTCCCCCGTATTGAATGACCCTCTGTCAATGAGCCAGACGCTGTCGCCGTCCTCGCCTTACACGTTTCTCGCTCTCTCTAGATCCGGGCGCTCTGGCCTCAGGAATACAGCTTCTATCTTCACTGACGTGTTCAACGCCATAGCGGCGGGTTCAATACTGACTACTGGATGTACCAGTGAGGGATTACGAACGACCGGCTGCGATTGGTACTTGTTATTATTTTCATCCATAAAAGGCAATTCCCGACTGATCTGTTGTCTCGACACGAGTGTGCTCTTCACCTTGTCTTTACCGCCTGATATTGTCCGGTCGCGACGGCCAAAAAAAACAAGACGAACGCACAAGGTGGAATCGAGGCATCATCGGAACTCAATGTCCTGTGTTCAAGTCCGATTGCAAGTCGAACAGCCAGAATACTAGCCTGTAATGCCATGCAGGGCAGGATCTGGTAGCCATCCTGTTATACTTCTCTCATTTTTTGCAGGTAACCGTACAGGAAGCTAGTTGTTATTGAAGGGCGTTGTGGTCTGCAAGCACTAGCAAGAGCATTGTAAGCCGAGAGGTCTGACAAGAGAACATGTAGATGTCGCGGACACTATGCCCACGGCCCGGGTGCGTCCTGCATACAGGGTAGAAGGGGAACGAAAACGAGACCAAAAAACCCCAACGTACAGCCTTACAGTACTGGAGGTACCAAACTTTAGCATCGATCTTCGTTTTCCCAGAAACGTTCTCCACTCGCCAACGACCATGTGCTCACTGTCCTTTCTGGCAAACCACTGGCATTACAGATACCATGGCTGGAATCAGACCTAGGGGCTCGCTGTCGATTCCAGCTACCGTGCACACTTGACAGGACAGCTGCAGATCCTCTGGATAGGCTCTTGGACCAACCGACATCAACAAACTTGAAAATCCGGATCTATGTAGTGCCTCACTGCAGTTAAGGACCTGGAAAAACTGCAATCTTCCTGTCAACCGTAGTTTGCAAGTGCTGTCCGTCTGGTTGAAGCTTGGATGCTCTCTACTGGGAATTATCTACCGTCTGTCAAGCTCCTTATCACAGGACAGCCAGTGGTGCTGCAGCAGAGGGCTACACAAATTGCATGTTATCTGTCACAAGACATAGAGAGGGATATCTGTAGGTTCGTCAGTCTCCTCGATGTATAAGCAACAACAAACTCACCTTGAGTGTCCAGTCGCACAGGGCACACATCGCTTTCCTAGATGTCCTGCAGTCCTTCTGTCCCCCTCTCCTTTCCCAGTGAGCTACTCAGTAATTTTCAGATGTCTCTGACCACACATGGACAGCATGGTCTGTTGTGTCCAGTTTCCGAGAGGTTCAAAAGCCAGCAAGGCTCCATATAAGCTGCTTTGACGGGAACTTGGCCCGAGCACGGCGGATATACCTCTCAGGAAGACATCCGTGAAATTTTGAATCTCGTGAATCTCTGCCGAGATATTTCAATAGATTGTGAGCATACATGAGCATGCTTCTATTACCGTTTTGTCAATCTGACCTGTTCCCTCAGCCCTGGGCGTGTAGCAGCTATATTTAGCACTAGCGCGAGTGAATGGCTGTACCGGCGTCTTGGACTTAAAGTATCTCTGAGACGACCGCTGCGGCCGCTGGCACCCACAGGCCTCAAAATGCTACTGCAGGGCCTGTGCCTCTTGCTATCCTGTCAGATCGCGTCTGCGGTCACGGTATACGATGTGCAGGGTGTATTTACTCCCGGATCTGCCACTACCACTCCCGATACCGCAAGTGGAACTTCTGTCTACGATCCTCCGACGTACACTGGTGTGCAGGCCGCGGCGTGGAATCCTATAATCCTCGCACCGCCTCCTGTTCCTTCGCCACCGATTACCTCTCAGTTCGCTTTGTTATTGTTGAACAGCGCACAGGAAGTCGCAAACCTGTCAATTCAACAGAACGGTGCCTTTCTTGGGTTCTCCATCGAGATGTCGGTTATCGATCAAGTTAGTGAGTACCTGATGTACTAAGTGTTTTAAGCTCCCTGGCATTTATAATCGTTTTTTTCCCAGTTGGTCTCAATGGGTATGTCGGAGCGCGATCGCGCCTTGACCAATGATAGATATATCATGGCTAATACGCCGCAGTTCTTTCCTTCAAACCCCTTTCCTCAATTTAATGGCCCTCATTTCGGAGCGGGCTGGTGGCGTACGTATCCGTGTTGGTGGGAACACCCAGGACTTTGCCGTTGAAGTATCAACTCTACCGGATTACAAGGACATCGAAAAAGACAAGGAAGATACTAACAACCCGGTAAGCTGTATATTAAAGCGGTGTAGAACATTGGACGATCTGTCCTTAAGACGAAAACTCCTACTATATATTGGACGCCCGAAATGCTTTAGATGTTGAACAACGTATCCTCACTCGTGGGTGCGAAGTGGTGGCTTGGTACGTTTGCATCTCAAGCCCTTGTATCAATTTTGATGTCAGTTCTCAGGCATACCGTTCAACGACACGTCGGATTTGAGGTTACAAATCGTAGAACTGGGCGAAGCAATCCTAGGGGATAATATCATCGGGTTCCAGCTCGGTAATGAGCCCGATCAATATGCTGGGTACGCTGTTCTAGCTACTACGGTCTCAGTCTAACACAATATTACAGTCACGGCCATCGACCTGGGAATTACTCTCCTACCGATTACTTCAACGACTTCGAGTTAGTCTCTGAAGTGATTACAAACGACTCCAAGATTCCTGTTCACAATAATCTCGTTGCTCCCAGCGTTTCTGGGCAGTGGACTCCAGAACAAGTATGGGACACAGGTTTCATTCCCGCTTTTTCGGATGTACTGGGAGCACTTGCGGTTGAACAGTAAGTTCGGCTCTTTTGATTGTGCTATCCTTGAATGACTGACGATCGGTGTGCTAAGTTACCCGTTCGATAATTGTGGTGCAGTGTATCCAGATGGTGGTTTTGGCCCCCCGATTGACCCACAAGCCATCTTTCCGGCCTATCTCACCCATGCATCGGGACAGAGCATCGTCGAACCGTTCTTGAATTCTACGTACATCGCGCAGCAAGCGGGTAAGCCTTTTTTGATGTTCGAAACCAACACCGCTTCGTGTGGTGGTTTCCCCGGCGTGAGCGATAGCTTCGGTGCGGCGCTTTGGGGAATCGACTATGGGCTGCAGATGGTATATGCCAATTTCTCTGGGGCAAACATGCACGTTGGTGGAGTGGACGACAGTTACAATGTACGTTTTTCTTCTATTCACTGTATATGAACTGTATTAACATTTCGTGTGCTTAGCCTTTCACTCGTGAGTATATTGGTATTTAATTGCTGGAATAAATCTTAAGGATTGCTTGACCAGCTCAACCAACTAACATGTCCTCCACCGGACAATGGACCATCGGCCCGATCTTCTACTCCGTGATCGTTGCAGCAGAGGCGCTTGGTCCTTCCGGTACTGCGCAGGTCGTTGACCTGAATGCCAACAGCTACAACCCCTACACGCCTGCCTATGCGATCTACGAGCACGGTAGCCTCGCACGCATTGCGCTTTTCAGCTACATCACCGATCCTTCAGGTGCAAGCATGATCACTGTGAACATCTCGGTCGGTGGAGGGAGTATAAATGAGCCTTCGTCGACACCTGCACAGGTCAGCGCGAAGTATCTGCTCGCTGAGTCGGTGTCAGCGAAGGAAAATTTCACGTGGGCGGGCCAGGTGAGCTGCGCGACTCGCGGTGTTGTGATTCTGGGTCCAGTGCTCATGCACCTTGTCAAAGACATTTGGCCCTCTGTTCAGAAGCGACAGTCGTCTGCAGGGCAACCAAGACGTCAAAACCGTACAATGCGACCAATCTGCGGGCGTATGTCAAGTGTCAGTCCCAGCACCAGGGTTCGCGCTCGTCTTCCTGAGTTCAACTGTGCTGGAGGAATCCACGCCGTCGAGTACCGCGACGTTCGCCACGACTACGTACCTCGACTGGGTGGACGTTGTAACCGCTACCATTCCGCAGTCTGTTCTTGCGACGATGAACGGCGACAACGGCGTAGACCGCGAGGTGTTGAAGAGCACCAGTGAAGGGAGTTCTGGTGTACAGAGAACGACTAGAGTTGGTTCTGCAGTGGTCGCGGTTGCTGCCATGTTTACTGGTTTCTTATTCCTCCACGGGGCTTTCCATTAAGTTGCGGTTATGCTGCCGTCTTAGATGCTGATTTTACGTAGATTATGGCCATGCAGATATTATTTAATAGCATTTTAGTACGTATTATCGTAGTGTCCAGTGGTGTTTAGAAGTCGATGCTTAGGGCAAGACTGGTATGACGCCACGGACTAATCACTGTCAACTGACATTAAAACGTAACATTTCCCGGTACGGCTTGGTCTGTTGGGAAACATTATCACCATGTCCAATGGCCATGAGAAATCGCCAGGGCCAGCATCTGAACATATCAGCATGTTGGACGTCGAGTGCAAGAGACAAACCACTCCGACGAAGGGCAATGAAACCATATCACATAGAGCACGGCAAACGATCAACGAAATTCGGATCAACAAAGAAGCGGATCACCACCTAAATCCCGCAGCCAACCAGCAGACATGCGTCATAGCAAATGACAGTGCAAACAATTACTCTCTCAAAGGGATACATCCTCGTAGCGCTCGTTCACGACACAACGCATCCGGAGCACAGGACCCCCGTAACGCGGAGTGAAATGGAAGCACCGTCGCAAGCCAGCAAGGACGCCTAAGTACCACCGGAGAGATCCTGGTGGCTGTGGCTGAGCGAGTACAAAGCACCACAGTACTCGAGCATCAGTTATACGTAAACCGGATATAGTGGACAGCATGCACCGCCTGATGAGTTCCTTGGAACGTGCACTTTCTATCATCGGATGTAGGACAATAACGAACTCCCGTAGCGGTGTGAATATGATGAAGGACGCACTTGTGCTTTATAGGTTTCCTGGGAGGCCAGATGTTTGACGATCCATTCTAGGATACAGATTGATCATAACAGTGACTGTAAGATATCATTTTCCGTTGTGTGACGCACCATACCCGAGGAAGCAGAAGACTTGGCAGTACAGTAAATGACTCCGATAATTCGCGGAAAGCCATTTCGCGACAAGACCGCAGGCACAGAGGATCATTGACAAGACTTGTTCCAGGAAATGACCACATTCCATAGCTCTGTAAACATGCGAGATCCGTAGTGGTGGCAAGTTAATTGAAGTCATGGCAGAAATGTTTGCAGGTTTGTTTCTCCTGAGTTCTAAAATTCCATTGACTGAGCGCCGGAACTAGCAGATGTCATCCCAACCACCGCAGCAGTGAACCACCAACAGTAGAGCCGAAGAATAGGGCGTGAGCAAGTACACTATACCATCGGGAAATTGGGCGTGATCTGGTTTTACCTGGTAGCGCTGACCAGAGTCACACCACTGTGACCGATGCTGATGATAGCTTGTCACACCTTACGAACCTCCACGATCCTTGGCGCTATCTGGTAAGTCTTGATAGACGTTCTTGCGCATGGCTTGTTAGGCTGGACAAGTCTTGTTTCATCGGCTTTCCGGATCCCGGATTACGAAGTTGAAGTCTTCGTCAGCCCGCCCTAAACTAGCACACGGACCACGTTCGCTTTTCAACATCAATATCGATACGATCTCCCTTGCCTCTCCCTCTCACCGTGGAGCACCCCGTTATCTTTCTCTGAAACTCTCGAGCTGTTTGCTCCACAGTTTTAATTCTGTGTCGCTATGCGGAGACTCTTATGCGTACTGTTGTCATCCTCGAGCTGGTTTTGCTCCATGGTGTACACCATGTCAATGTTGGGGGATTTGACTTCTTACTGACAGTTATGTGTGCAGAAATTTCCATGGATTGTGCATATTGTGGTGCACCTTATTCTCGTGGAGCCTAGATGTGTCTGATAATGCAACCTCCAGGGTCTCCGGGACTCCGCGGCGAAGAAGCTCGGGCGAGTCATGGTACGCTACATGAATGCCAATAATTTTGAGACATTGCATGGGATTCTCGTGGTGGTGTGAATGGTGTGGCTGGATCCGAAGGCGCAAGGTCGGCGCTGTTTTTGTCCCTCTCATCCGTTGCGAAGATACAAACTGGGTTGAGCCACCATATGCAGACCCGTCCGACACCTATCGGGACACTCCATGTGAGTCCCGTCGCGACCTCTATGCTAGCAGCCTAGCACTAATGTGGCACTCTCGGCCGTCGAACGATACAATACGATGCCTGACCTCCCGACTCCGCCCTACTTCTATGGCGCTACGTTCGATCCTTCACGCTGGGGATGCCATTGCTGGGGGGCTTGAGTTCCTGCGCTGACCGCTAGGACATATAGTACTTTCAGTGTGCCTGCTCAACATCTGAATGTGCACGCTTGTACACGAGGGTCTACTGCATGGCTATCGCCAATACACCCATCTGTCCGCCTCGCCAACACGCCTCAGATATTGCATACCCATACCCGGTCATGATCCTCGGCAAATGTGGTGCTCTCGGTGTTCTTTGCGAATGCTATGTACGACTCTATCAAAATATATTTGGTGTTTTTCATTTGTTGTGGTGGTGCATGTGGCCATACTCGAGCTCACAAGCATCCATCATATGTACCAGATTGGTGAAAAATTGCCAGCCTTGTAGCTCTGGAAAATCGGTAGATAGTTTTACTACTGCTTATCAGGTCATCTACCAGCCTGGTGCATCTTTCACATCTGGCAAGGCTTGTAAGGCCTTACAGGGCCTGATAAAGGTCAAACCAGATCAATGCAAATTCTCCGATGACTTGACGGAATCCGAGTCCCGACTCCTTGTCACGTTCGCGGGAGGCCCTCACGTGACCGAGGCACGACACGCGGCACGAACACGCGTGGCATGAGGTGGCACCGTGGCATTGTGGTTTCAATGTGGCCCTGGCCCGCTACTTGCAGTATCCTGCTGTTCTCTCTTGCCCACAGCCTTCTCGACTTCAGGCTCTCGATCACTCTGGCTTGGGTCAGAACGTAGTCCAGGCAGTGTTCTTGCCGTCTCGGGAATACGTATGCCAGTTGACATTCATTGTGTTCATTCATGCGAAGGTCTCGAGGGCCTTCCAGAAACCCTAGGTCTCTAACCGTTCTATCTCGCAATTGACAGGGACTTGGAGTGCAATCAGAATGTTCCACCATGCCCCGCCTTTACTCAGGTGAGTGGTTGGTCAGCGCTTCAGCCTGTGGGCGCACCCTTTTCTGCGGGCGCGTTCGCGTGTCTGGAATGTCACGTCAATTTGGGTGATCCACATATACTGCGGCTTCAGATGGGGGTCGTAACTGTGGGACGGCAAAATGTGTCGTCCTTCTAAGTGATCCTCTGAGCCACTCGTGGACATTCTAGCGGTCATAGCGAAGGCGATTACTATGGGAATATTTCTGAAACCGGCCCTGTCCTGCCGTTCATTTCGCGAGAATACCGCCTGAAAATTCTGACCCCATAAACCTGGTCTATCTTCTCCGGTTCTACTTCCGTGTCAACAAGTGGAGGAAGTGCTGTATCCTCGATGGTCACCTGGACGTTCACGTTGGATGCTCAGCGCTGCTGCAGGCTCTTCTTGGGCCTCAATCGGGCTTAGTTATCAATGAGGCGCCACTTCATGAACCTTGTCACTGGGTGGAGGAGATCTCTGTTGACGACCCGCCTTCGCGAAGCCCTACAGTATACCGCATCTCATGTGAAAATCCCCTGTATGACTCTTTACGTGATGTATGGCATCGACGGATCTCAGCTCTGTCGAGGAGCGTCTGAACTTCTGCCAGGGCTGATTCAATTGGGACTCCTACCCCGACACGAACACGCGATCTCGCCAACAGTGTTACGCCATGGAAGGCCAGTCTGATCCCTCCCTCGGGTTTGTATTGTTGACTGATTCGAGGCAAGGTGGACCAAGGCAGAATCGAACGCGCGTCAATGAGGCCAAGCGCGCTTAATTAATTTGAAGTCGGTTTGATCTGTGCCACTCGTGAGCTTCCAGGACTTGGGCTGTGCGATAGTGCAGTTCACGGTGTCGACAGCGCGTTATCCATTGTCTGCATCTGGTCACGGCCTTCGCTACAAGAGCTTGGCAGCCCTAGTTGGTCTTAGTGCCAGCTTCGTTCCTGTGGATTTGCATGTTCGTGATAACGGAGGTGTGCATCCCGAAGACGCTCCTTGATCCCATGGCCCGATACTATTCGCACGTGATCTGCCGTATGTCTTCTCTCCGTTCTCGCCTTGGAATCGATAGCGCACCTTGCTTATCGGATCTCTGACACTCGTCCACGCAGCTTGCGAGAGGGTGCGCCTCTCTGAACTATCTACGTTGCAGCAGCCTTGAGGTTGGAGATGGTCCGGTGGAAGCTCAGATGCAAGACTGACCTCTCACCGGGCCAGTATGCTGACTCACCACCATGGCTGTGCTTCCTCTTCTAGTTTCTGATTGAAGGTGAGTTATGTATGTTCCTTGGAGCGTCATGGACGTCTGCCACTTGACCACGGAAGGGTCAGTGGCCCGTCGACGCCAGTCCTCTCCCGCGAACCCAGCGAATTGCACCGACAATTCACGGGCTCGTCGAGAGACCACCGGCGCCGACGGGCTCACCGAAGCGAAACTTGTGGTTGCGCATGAGGAATCAATCGACTAGGCAATCTCCATTTTTCAATTTGGCTGGTAAGCGGATCTTTTCATTCCGGAGTACGAACTGTTGCTTGCTGAACGTTGATGCTGGTGCCGATGGCGAACAGACATGGCCTATGGGCAAAGGGCATCGGGGAGATGGGGCAGAGGGTTTTCAACAGTTGCCTGATGCAGCGCCAGCTTTCTGCCTCGAGGCTCGTTCACCGGGCGACTCGTCAAATGGAGCGGAGTCTCGTGACTAGCGCACCCGCTCTCTGTCAGCTCAGATACAAATTGCGGGCGCTGGCCCCGTTCACGGATGGTGGGTCGATGGCGGCTATGTCGAAAGCGGCTAACGTACGTCCATAGCGTGGAGCGCGGGGCGTCTTAGAGGTAAGTGCGATGGCATCAAATGGGATTCCTGACATTACGCGGCAGGTATCAGACCGGTGGACGTTCCTGCTGATTTCCACGGTCCCCAGGCGGTCTTGATATACCCCGCGAACACGACGCCACAGAGAGACGAGCGGCGTGGATGGCGTTCGCAGAGTGTATAGGTGCCGCCTCGATGCTGCGCGTAGGTGGCTGGTACGAAGATTCTGAAAAAGGGATAGCAGCTTGGTGGGACTCCCCGGTGCGACGTCGGCGGAACTGTGTGTCTGCTTGACGCATTTAGCGCGACACGGGCGACCGCATGCTACGGTCCCATACATACAGAGGACTTGATTGTAGCAACACGTGTGGCGAGCGCTGTGAGGCACGAGGGCTGCGGCAAGGCCGGAGCGGAGGGGCGACAAGGAATAGAAGGTCGATTAGAAGGGCTTGTAGGGAGTTGTAATAGATTAGAAAGGGAATAAGGAATCTATGTAGTGCCCATTTGAACGGAGTTGAAAACGAGCGGCTAATTGATTGAACGAGTCAGCGCAACGTGCGCTGTGCAGGCCGTTTCTGATTTGCTCTATTCCTCTTTACGAATCTTCTCTTCTGACGCCTACATCGGCTCTGCTCTCCCTATAACCGCCCCCTTTCTTTCTATTTCTCTGTTTCCCCCGCCCTCCATCGCTCGGTCAATGCCCTCCATTCTCAATCTCAAGTTCAAAGTCGGTAGCCTTTGTACAACCCGACGGGGGCTCTGGACTCACTTTTTTCTCTCTTTTGTCTCTTCCATCAATAGGGAAACAAGTCCTTCGTGCCGTTCAGCAACCTCAGCGATGCGGACTCACTGACTCTGACCTGGAAGGTATTTTTCTTCACCTCTCTTAGCTCCGTACACGGGCTGAAATTTTTATCGCAGGTCTGTACCAAGGTCGCCAGCTTTCTGGAGCAAGGCCAGCGACTCGAGAACTTGAGCTGGAGACTGTGGCACCTCCAGAATTTGATGGTCGACACGGACAACGCTAAGTCCAAGCGCGACTTCAAGAAGCTCTCCAAGTGCATGAGCGACAAGCTCGACAAGGAGAAGGGGCGGTACGTGATCACAACCTTCTCACCGTCGCACTCACTCATCCCCTCCCCCCCGGCCCATTCCCCGCGTCTCCCACAGGAGTATTGAGGAGCTCCAAGCCCCCGGCTTCAAGCGCAACCACTCGACGGAGTTGCTCCAGCAGCGCGCTGCCGAAAAGGAGCGCGAACGCCTGGCGAACCAGAACAGCAGGCCCGGCACCATTCATCGCATGCAGTTCACTTTCAGCGTCGACCAACCCGCCTCGATGACATTGTCGTCTGTGCCTGCCAAGAAGCCCGACCTGAAGCCGTCCCCTGAGTTCAAGGATAACGCCACCAAGCGCGGGCGGCCTTCGACTCGTTCAACTGCGGTTGATGACAGCGTCAGCGATGTTCACGACAAGGATCCTCCGTTGACCCAGCGCGGTCGCAAGGCGACTACCTCCAACAGCACCAGCGGCAGCGCAGCATCATCTGACGACCTTTATTCTTCGGCCTCTCTCCGTTTCCCGTCGCTTTTCTCTAACGATTTCGGTCCCGCTGCATTACTGTATCCAACACCCTCTGTCACGAACCCCATGACTTACGGCGAAGGCGTCGGTATGAACACCAACACCCACGCCGACGGCTTCAGCATCGTTCGCCCTACCATCGAGCTCCCCCTCGACGAGCTCCTCAATGCCGACAGCCCCAGCGGCTGGTCTTCCGGCGCGTTCAGTTGTAACGAGCTTCGCGTAACGGACCATCTCGACACTCAGGAAGATGTCGACATGAAGCCCGTTTCTACGGACATGCCGTACTCTAACGCCCCAGCCCGCCGCGACGCCAGCCACGAGGAAGACGATACTCTCCTCACGTCCACCACTACTTTGCGTAACGTTCCGCCCCTGTCTACCCCTATGGAGGATCTCGTCCCCCGCACCATCACCCCCACACGCTTGGGCGGGTCGAACCACTCCGCCCCGGTGACCGGCAAGCGACCGTCTCTCAGCGTGCGCACGCAGGCGGTCTCGACCCGATCCTCTGGCCCCAGTGCGACGCCTGTTAGCGGCGGTGCTACGCAGCAAAACAGCGTCAACTCCGCCCCAGGCGGTGTCAAGGCGGAGTGTTCGAACTGCGGCGCCACGCACACTCCACTGTGGCGCCGCGGTCTGAACGATGAGCTGAACTGCAACGCCTGCGGGCTGTACTGCAAACTGGTGAGTGTCCTGACTAATGTGATGTTGACTGGGAGTTGACGGTTTGTTATAGCACAAGCGCCCTCGTCCCAAGAGCATGCGGAGCAGCCACGGCGAGGGCCGCACGCAGAGCGCGCCTCGTCAGGAGTCTCAGGAGGTCGTTGGTAAGTCCTGCTTCGACCGCTTTTCGGAACCGCAGTCATCCGAATCGAATTGTTCTCAAGCTCAATGTTACAACTGTCACACAACCGCTACGCCGCTTTGGCGAAAGGACGACGAAGGCAAGACGGTGTGCAACGCGTGAGTACCTAACCGTAGTGATTTCATTTGTACGGCACTTACGCACGCGCTCCTTACTTCCGTTTGATCAGCTGCGGTTTATAGTAAGTTCTTGTACCTTCCATCAGGCTATTTCACTCACATCAACACGTCTAGCTATAAATTGCACGGTTCCGCGCGTCCAATCTCCATGAAGTCGGACGTCATTCGCAAGCGAGCTCGACACGATGCCAGACGCGCTGGTCCTGGTGTGTCTGAGACCCCCTCTGCAAGCCCAGGAGCCAGCCGTCGAACCTCGCCCACAATGGAGCCTACCCCTACATTGGCTCCGGACTCCACGACTCAGATGCCGTTCAACGGCGATGAGATGGAGTACCGGACGTCCATGCAGTCCGAGTTGATGGGCGCCCTCGGGTCGAACAACAACCAGAGCGGGCCGTTCCCCGGACACGGCTTCTCCTTCTCGTACAGCAGTTTTCCAGGCCCCTACCACCCCGACTACCTCTCTCAGATATATCCTGTTCCCGCCGACGCGCTTCCCTTCGCTCCAGGTGATACATCCGATGTAGGCAACTCGGACACGGAGTCGAGGACGAGCAAGAGGCGCCGCATGAGCAATGACTCGGCGTCGGAGCCCCCTTCTTCTGCGGTATCATTCGGCTCGTACGCTGATTCGTACACGTCCGCATCCTCGTCTACTTCGCGCTCTTCGGTCGACTTCGGGTACAATCCATTTACGTCGTACGGTCTACTTCGTGGCTCGGGCAACCAGGCATGGCACCCGCCTATGCTTCCCCCCGACCAGTCTCCACGTTTCATACATCCACCTATGCTCCCCCCCGATGAATCACCCAATATGTTCCTACACCCGCCTATGCTCCACCAAGACGACACGGACACGCTATTTGCCACATACCTCCACCCCCCCATGCTCCGCCCCGAGGACTCTCCGCCCATGAACTCCCTTCAACTTCACCCACCTATGCTTCCCACGGACTGGAAGAACCGCTCGGACTTCTACGACGCGCCAATGGTCACATATTAGCTGTTTGTCGCTGCTTGCCGAGCTTCACTCCGCCTCGTCTAGCCTATGGATATTTGATGATGGTAACGCTACCTAATCTTATTTTCGCCTTACCTCCACATCGACGCTGTGCGTGGTGGGCTGTATTCCTCGTGGTTCGTTCGTCGCTGTGGTCGCTGTGATGTTGCGCGTCGCATTGTGTTTTTGATCGAAATTCTTCCATGTAGACTATTCTCTCCGCCTCTGCATATCGGTCCGAGCATTATAGTTCCTGCATCGTTACATTTTGTGCCCGTCCTCCCAGTCCCCTTCTTCGCTCACATCATCTCACCTTGCCTGCAACTCAGCCGTATAGCCGTATCTTCCCTAGCGCGCGCCATGTATTCACCGCGCAGCGTCGTTTTCGTCTCGTCCTCTCCTGCTAACATCTTTTTCTCCAATCTATTATATGGTGAATAGGTTGTACGAACGTAGCAGTATCGCGAAGGGCTTCGCGTGTCAAGTCCCACTAAATACGTAGATATTTATCGCGACCTTGGTTGCAATAATACCCAACGTTATGCTTCCCTTGTGTGCCATGTTTGTCATGCATCGTCTCAAACCTGAGGACGTGGTGCTTCTGCACCCGAACTCTCGCCGCCCGAGTGAATAGTCAGTATCATTGCATGTCGGCGCACGTATGTGACAGTGAGTCAGACACTTGCCATATCAGGGATTGAGGACATCCATGAGGGCATCACAGTACATCCAAAGAAATGCATTTTGCGAAATCCTCAGGACCCTCACGTCAATGCCAGCAATCTGGATTACACGCACTCTTCTAATTGTCCGATCCCCCCACACACGTTACAACCAGGACATACGGATCCTTCAGAATAGGAGTAAAATTGCGTACTCGTGCGCTGCGAGCGCGACGTTTTATCTCGGTGTAACTCCTCACGTTCGTACGAGATAGAGCGCTCATCTAGGAGACTGTTGTAGGTTATCTCATCGGTCGAACGCTGTGAGACGGGATATGCTGTTGAGCAATGCCTCGGCCCAGGCGGAACGATATAGAGGACGCACAGATCCAATTTCCGGGCCAAGCCCGAACACGCGGATCGCAAGATGGTGTCAAAACGAAATCAGCGGCGGAAAATCGGGGACGCGCACTGTACGGATAAAGCGGAAAACGCACTCGTGAGTTCGGGACAGGACGCGCGGCAGCCACTAGAAGAAGGATGGAATCATCTCGCCGTATAGCGTCGGTATGGCGTCGGTGCACCTGCCCATTCGCCGGTTGTGAGATTTCGCGCGATCGACGCAGCCGCAATCTTCCTTCCCTTTCCCAGATTTGCGGGGCGGTGAACGATATGACATACAAATGACGCTCGCGAGGCACGCTGGGGAAGTCGGGCGACGATCATGTCTGAGCCCTATTTCAGCACGGGAGGATCTTCGCACGACTAGATAAAGCCGCTAATCTTCTTGATGAGGCAGAGAACGTTTGCGTATTGCGCAGCGATGTTGGTCAAAAGTGAGCCTTCTGCTGCAACGTGAGGTTGGGAATCACACCGGTCAAAGCCTGAAAGAGATAAAGTGGGCCGTAACAGAGTGAGTTTGCGGAAAAAAGTAGCTAGAACGTACCTCAAGGAACGGCGTTAATGTAACGCAATTTCTTGCGGTAAGCATCATTTCTAGGATGGACGAGATGGAATTATCCTGTGATCAAAGTTGTCAGAACAAAGAACCTTGTTGGATAATCCCTTTGAAATTTTTGACAGTGAATGAGAAATAGATGTTCTGCCGCAAGGTCCTACGAAAAATTTGATATACTTTGAGTGGAACATTCGGGAGATTCCGCATCCCGACGCACAAAGGATGTTTGTTTCGACGCGAAGTCCAATTGCAAGGGCACTCTAACTGTAGTGTTCCAGCAGAGCTCGGACTACATAATTCCAGTCTCCGCTACTACGGTGTGTTTCAGCTATTCCCTCTAGGGCTATGGCAAAAGTTATCAAACAAAGTTCGGGTTTTGTCAGTCACGTGCAGCGCGTCAATGTGGCGGCTGGCTTGTTAAACTAGGCTGCTTTGATGCAGACTGTTATCCTGGAATCACAAAGGAATCGCAATGTGTAGAACAATGCAACTCCTAGACTCTCCAAGGTCGCTGGTTGGATGTATTTCACTTAAATGCGGTTCCTCTACTTCCAACTGGTTCGTTGTGCCTCGCAGAATCCACGCCACTGTACCCATGTGCTGTCCTGGCCATATAGCTTGCAAGTGAATGCGTTCAACTCTATCCTACCTCCTAGTTCTCGTACTCTTCTGTATCTGCTCTTACCATACAACCTGGTATTGCCTGTCACTCGTGGACGTGGACACTCAGTCAGCTAATCGTCGTCGTTGCCGATCATTGTTCAGAATGCCTAGGACAGCCAAGCCGACCAATCGCGGTAGTGCGTGATGACGAACTGTACTTCTGGCCAACTGCACTGATTTTTTCCCCTCGAATTGACCTAGTGGTGACGTATGCTATATGTTCATTCGAGAAAGATTGCTTCTCCAGGAGGGAGCTACGCGAGAAGGGTGACATTGTTTATAATTTCTCATCTTCAATTTTTCACGACTTATACTGGTATATAAATTTGACTTGAAGCTACTGAGCTTGCTCTGGATAACGACGTCGTGATGGGAGTTCGTACCGAACGGTACCAAGACATCGCCATAAACACACTAGTTCAGTGTCTCACTTCTCTTGTTTTCCTACTCGCTGATTGACTTCCTGAAGATACTTCGAAAAATTCTTTCTTTAGAAGATGGCCAGCTGTGTGCAACCGCAGATGCAGAGGAACTGTAGGTCGTTGTTGAAATCATTGTCACTTTGGGCTAATGTTTGTGGTTGCAGTGTTGTGAATGCTGGGCTGGTGCTCCACGATCGTATATTCGCCACGAAATATGAGAGATATGCTGCCTGGACAGCCTACTACAACGAGAACACCAAACCTGCGGCGAGGAGAAGCGCTACTGCGGTAGGAAACCGTTGTACAAATGACATTCGTCGATACATGACTGATATTTCCCGTGCAGCTCGTTATAGAGAATGAGGATCTTCGTGAACGGGTTCTAATTCTCTCGAAGAGGCCCGATTCCGCTGAAATAGGAGTACAGTGTTCGCCGTCGGTTGTGTCTCCGGACACTCCCGCTTTCCGTTGGAGCACCTACATCGATGCTATGACGGAAACTGAGGATATTCCAGTTCACGGGGATAGGAAGTACGTTCGTTGTTCATTCTTATCTAGTACAGCGATTTTAGCTATACCTAGCGCTGGCGGGCAACGCACACCATCACCGACCCGTGGATCTGTTCGTAATGGCAATTCCAACAGCTTTGTGGTGAACTCTCTGTATGTGAACTTTCTTTGTTTTACACTGCAGGTACAGGCTGATGGTCAGAAATAGTTCCACTCCAATTCGCAGGTTTCATACATTTCCTTGTTATCTCCCAACGCCCGAATCTATTCCTCCTCGCCAACAACGACGTCGTCACGAGCTCCTATCTCCTTCACCCTCTGTATCTAAAGCGATCCTGAACCCGGCGGTGGACGAAGATTCCGAGTCGGACATGAATGTGGATGACAGTCTGAGTATCTCGAAGGTCGCTCAGGTGAGAATCAAACTTTCATGTTCTCTCGTATCAGTAGCGTTGATATCTGCCTCAGGAGATAGGACAAGCCGACGAACATGGTCGACTGTCTCCTGTGCAAGTTGTCAGGCAGACGATCATGGTCCCGATCCAGGCAATCCAAGAACATGTGCCTCTTGTATCTCGCACCGCCGTCGATCCAACCAAGGCCATATCAGATGTTCAAGCTGTGCGGATTCTTTCTTCCTCTGCTCGTCTCTGCAATGATTGTGACGAATTCGTACGTTCAGGGTATTGAAGACCTGCAAGCTGAGATAGAGGCTTTCAACCGTCGAATTGCAGAACTAAATCAACAAGTGGTAGATCTCAAGACATCTCTCTCCGCCGAACAAGCATCCAATGCCGAGTTGCAAGCAAAACTAAGTGAGGCAGAGCGTGATCTTGAGCAGCACAGGACCCGTGTCAAGGAGCTGGAGGTGGAGGTGGCTTCCAAAGACGTCATGATGGATCAGCTCGTCCCTCATATGCACAAGTTCCTTACGCAGGTGCGTCTTATTCCTATTCATCCGCAGAGTACCAGGCCACCCATTTCTGTGTCTGTTCGACTTGTGTAGCATGCGGCACAGAGTAAGAAGTCGGGTGGTGCCTGACTAGCCTCAATACTCCCCTACCCTTTCCTCCTCCTGCTACTGTCACTGCTGACGTTGATGATATTGTGACGAGTAGTAGTAACGGTCAGACCCTCGGTACGTTATCTTTCTCCTGCACCGTGCACATGAGTTCACATTTATATTGGTACAGCTGCAGTTCACGGATGGAGAACAGAGTGATGCTATCTCACGCTCATCTCGATCTCCCCTCGTCTTTGGCCATGAATCGCCCATTCTCTCCTCGCCGCCGCCTTCTTCATCCTGACTACCTGTATTGATTTCAATGTCGATACTGTATGTGTATTGACGGAAACTAGTATTACGCACGTGAAATCTATTAAAACTATTTATCCGTTATATGTCTAATCATAATTGGCCATGTTCTGGTGACACTCTTCATGCACCGCGAAAAACATCTGTCATGATCTTCTCTCTAAAAGCAACTGATTCAGGCACGTGCCCTGAGAGCGTGATTCCAAACTTCGCAGTATCAATGATACTTTCGTCCTGCTTGTAGTGACTACCGTAATGGGTTTTTCTTCACCCAATAGTAAGTATTGTTCCAACAAGAAATTTTGTCTCCGGTGGGCCCCAGTGAGCCCTGCGACGTTCGCTCGGATCGAGTTCAGGCAGGTTCAGCTAAATTTGATGGTCTAGTGAATCGAACCGGTCCATTCGCCGCTTGAGTGAGAACTTTCTTCTTGAAACTTCAACGTTTCAACCGATAATAACTGTGCATCATGCATGTCCACCCAGTTTTGCAAAACGGCGATATTCTTCCCGAGATTTTCCAACATCTCTCTCCCGAACGTTGTGGCAGCGGGCATAGCACCCTTGCCCGAGCGGCATTGGTCTGTAAAGCATTCTCGGATTACGCGTTGAATGTTTTATGGGAGGAATATCCACCATTGATGGCCCTGGTAAAGATGTTGCCACAGTCAACGTCAAACGTCCATAGTGGTGAAGACGCGCAGGTAGGTGTGAGCAGTACGATTCTGCTTAGAGTTGCTTCATGGACCGAGGTCCGTCTCTGCAGGCTGCCGTGACAAAATGCTCACAGAATGAATGGTTCCACTTCGACGTCTATGCCGAACGCATTCGCAAATTGTCCGTATCAGCCAAAGAGGAGATACCCATTTTGCGGATCCTGCCCTTCCTTTTTTCCCGTGCACGCGATGTCCCGCTGTTCCCCTCTTTGGTCTCTTTGGAGTTCGATCAGTTCTTGCGCAGGCCACATGAATATTTTATCCTCTTTCTCTCGCCGTCACTCAGATACTTCTCTCACTCAATCCACGACCACAGCCTGCGAACGGTAGCGGGGGAGGCCCGCCTTGACAGTGTTCTTGACGTTTTACAGGCGAAGGCTCCATTCCTGCAGAACTTGGCATGTTATGGAGTCACGAATCCAACGTCGTTGCCATCCTTGACACGTCTCAAGGGTTTGCAGTATCTGGACCTGCCTAGAATGACTGTTTTCCAAGTGCTCAGCTATTGCGCCGAGTTGCCGCAACTCAAGCGCCTGCATACTGCTTTACGTGAGGATCTCGGAGGGACCGGGAGGATTTTTCCCTCCAGAGATTTTGTAGCGTTGCAGAGTCTTTCGGTTAGCGGGGCTGTGTCAGACATGACTGGTCTCCTCACGGCAATTTCATCGCCAAACCTTCACTCGTTCACTGTCCTCCAATTTATGCCTCAGCTGGGCTTTGGGCATGTATGCCGTGGCTTCATTCAGACGTTGGTTTCGCGTTTCGGTCAGTCGTTGAGACACGTCCACTTGCAGTGCGACTTCGTGTTCTGTGCTGATCCGGGCAACCATCCTATATTTCGCTTCGTTGACGTTGCCCGTCCCCTACTATCACTGCGACATCTTGAGCTGTTGGTGCTGTGCTTTTACCAAGCATGCGCGACGGTTACCTACCATGAATTCGAAGAGATGGCGTCATCTTGGCCGATGCTTGAAGAGCTCACTTTACGATTCGGCATGATGCCACCGCCTGTTTCTGGCTTGGCTGCATTTGCTCGCCATTGCCCGAAACTTACACGGCTCGCGATGTTTCCGATGGATCTCGCGGTGATGCCGAAGCGCGAACCGTACTCTGTCTCGCATCACAATTTACGAGGTCTTACGATCGAGAATTTGGAGTATACTGCTCCGGAGCCTCACCAGCTGGCCCACTTTATCGATTGCACGTTCCCGCAGTTGGATGCCAGTCAGGTTCAAATCAATCAACAGGGATCAGATTGGCTCGTCTTCGTTGAAGAGCGAGATGCACGACGGGCATCAACACAGGGGGCACTTTAAACGAACCTAATACTGCAGCGTGGACGTCTGGCATGGTACGCTGAACTGTCTCTATCGCCCTTTACTGCGTTACTTTCCGTCTTTCTGTTGTTCCATATACTTAAAGAGGGACTATTGCAGTGCAGATTGATTGTAGCATCAGGTAGATGCCTATCAATTTATCCGCTCTACGTATCGCAGTTTCACTCGCACCTTCGTCGCCGAAGCTTGAACGATATAGTAACACTTGTATTGTCCCATTCTCAGTTACCACTCGGAAGGCGGGGCTTGTATTGGCTGTGGGCCGGAGTCAGCTTTCCCGCAGTGGGATGGCCAGGGGAATTATACGTCCTCACATTCACGAGCGATGGCCTCAGGCCATGTCTAGGGAGGCGATATATCATCGACAGTAGTCACTCTGTCGGCTGGTCTTTGGATTGAATATTGAGCCTTTGTCCAGCTCAAGAGACAGAGCTTGCCCTGATGCCAAGGTCTGGACAGGTTTCCACTAAGTGTCCTTAAGTCAGATTGATGCGGTACGTAGACGAGTTACCTCTGGGTTCTTCTCCACAAGGCCTAGCGAAGCATGCCATGCCTACACCGTGGCAGTACTACTTACCAGTACTGCAAAAATTCCCACAAGTGCACCGCGGAGAATGGCACGCCCCTGGAGTCCGTCGTCATCTTGTACTTGATAGGAGAAATCTCACGTATTTATTGCCAGTGTCAGGCTTCGCTGGTAGGGTCGACATATTACTTCCCACTTTTTGGTACTTGCGGAAGACAAGAGAAGTTAAATAGTCAGTTGGCATACAAGAGCAACCACTTTCGAACCACAGTAACAACCTGTTACTGCCATTCGTGATAGTGTATCCGATCATGCTTGACGAGTGCGTCACTCGGAATGTACTATCACGTGGGGGGAGTTGCAAAATCCAAAAAATCGGCAACACTGCCGTCGCTGCTTCCACACTTAGTAAATAAATCAGATAAAATTGTAGGACGATACTATACACCAGTAGATGTGTTCTACCAAGCCAGGGGTTCAGGCATTCCGGGATTGCTGAATGAGACGTCAAATACCACGTTTACAACCATGGTAGGTGTACTGATATCAAAGATCTCTCTTGATACTGAGAATGACTGACCCAAGTGATGTTTGGGTGATAGCAACATGTGCTACAGCACTGTGTTCCACCATCCCGATAAGTGTTTTGGACAATCAGACATGCTTCAGCCTGTATTTTGTAACACTCCCGATGAAAAGCGTGACGACGTATAGCCCGATATGGCGGCCGCGTGAGCGCCCCGTCCCCGAGATGAGCGTGACATCTGTGTGACAAAATCAGCAACACCACCCCCCGTCAACACCCACCACCGGCATCTTGCCGTCTCTCCCTCCTCACCACGAGAACATGTAAAAAAATTTGAAAAATGTAGTGTGGAAGTGCACACATCTGCTCATGTAAAAATGAAGACAAAGCATCCCAGAATACAGAAGAGGATACCCGAGCGCTCAAAGATCGGTAACTCCCCCCTCATAGTATTGTACATATTTGGAGCGATACGGCTTCAACCACAGGGATTGCCTAAGTTGGACAAGCACTTTGAGTTGTACAACTCCTAAATAATATTCTTATTAGCTCAGTGCTCATTGCTCAATACACAGCAGACGATCTTTCGGTCAGTGGGTCTAACAGCTGATCAGCGCCTGTCATGTAGCGGCAGAAGCGTACGACGACAGTGTTATATCAAAGGCAGTCACATCCTTATCTCTACGGCTCGAATGGATCGTCCGAAACGGCTACCGTCATCTAGTCTCCCAAAGGCAGTTGTAGATACTGTGCTTCAACCTTCGTGACTTAGGATATCCGTATCTGACGCTACATCCACTGGCCAAAGTCCTACAATGATCAGAGACTGCTGTGAGTTCCAGCCGTCCATGTCAGCGCCGGTGTTTAACGCCGGCTGGAAGCCAGACCGCATGTTTTTCACTTCCCTGGCAGTGGAGAGCTAAAGTCCCAGGCAAACAGTCAATCAGTCGATCCTCTATCACAGATGGGGAACGTTGGCGCCACGTACCTTGGGTCGGAGGTTTTAATGGCAGGTCTTCAGACGGTATGATCACCCCCCCGTGATGCTCATGTATTTCAGATGCACGGGCAAATACGGATGACCGCCTCTCATGAATCTGCAGCGACATACTCGGTGCTCGGAGATACCAACTACTATGAGTTTGCGATTTTACCTAACGTATCAGAAGCTGATTCTGTGGGCTTAATCTCGAGCACGACTTCAACCAACGCTCCTATTCATGTCAGGTTGTAGCATGACGTGGTACTCCTGGCCTAGGGCGTCATTGTGCTCACTGTTTAGCGGGGCTGCCACTTCGAGAGGTTCTTCATGCTCACCGTGTTCGCGACTTCCTTCGTCGTGCTGCTCCACTTCTATGAGGCCACGAAGCTCACACATGTCAAGGTCATCCTTTCTATGCAGTGAGCATCTAGCTTCGGCACTTATTTTCACGCAGATCCTGAACAGCCCCCCGCTAGTGTTCGTGGATGTGACTCCCTTCGACCGCAAATTTGGTGGAGGGCGCTACCGTCGGTTGAGGGATGCTCGTTTCTCCGACCGTCCTGCTCCACAACACGCGCCTATCTACCTCTGGTGTTTCTCGGGTCGCCGGGCCGCACGGACTTCGTACGTTTTCGTAGAGTCACAGGACTCAGTCTTTCGCGGTCGGACCTCACGACACTTCCTTTTGGAACTGCTTAAATGGCGAGACCTCAATGGGGACCTCGCACTGTGTGCAACGACGAGACGAAGAAATGGCTATCTCCTCGTCGTCGGGAAGACGACTGTACTATACGATCAATGCCGTCGCTGGGCTTGCGATTTTCTTGTGAGTTTGGCTCTGGCCTCGATGAATACCGCTTACTCTAACTTCCACGCAGCTTCGGTTACGACCAAGGCATGATGGGAGGTGAGGACTCAGCTTATCGTCAAGTGGTAGCGCAGTCTCATGGCGGCGCTAGGTGTCAATACCTCACCCGACTACATCAAAGTCATGAAACTTGGATATTCTACGTGAGTGCTTGAGTATCCTCCGTGCATAGCAATGACGTTGAACGAGTGAATGATAGGTATGAAGGGCCTTCAGAGGGCTATGTGGTTACGATTACAGAACCTACAAGACAAGGTGGTATTGTTAGCATATACTACTTCGGAACTTTACTCGGATGTCTTATGGGTGGTGTCTTGGGAGACAGGTAAGCCGGTTGGACTGTGAAATCTGCGACAGATGTAATTACGTTACCTTAGGATTGGACGCATCAGGACGATGATGCTGGTAAGTACATGTCAGCCATTCCGTCTTCGACCCTCTGTATATCTGAGTATCTTCTTTTCCAGGGTAGTCTTTGGGTTCTCATCGGAGCGGCTTTGCAATGCTCGGCTCAGAATATCGCATGGCAAGTCTGATACCAAGTGTTCTGCTCCACATCTCGTCATGATCATTGCAGGATGCTCTGCGCCCGCGTGGTCAACGGTATCGGTACAGGCCATCTGAACGCTATCGTTCCCGTCTGGAGCGCCGAAGTCGCGACGCATACATCTCGGGGAGCGTTCATCGCCAGCGAATTTACCATGAATATTTTCGGAGTCGTCGTCGCTTATTGGCTGGAGTTCGGCTTGGGCTTTGTAGGCGACGGCACGAGCCAAGTTCGATGGCGGGTCAGTCACAATCGTGAATTTATATGTGGATTTAAACTTATCTCCAGCCCAGTTCCCTATTGGGTTCCAAATATTACCTGTGCTGGCCTTTATGGTATGTCCTACCAAAAGTCAATCTTGACCATGTATGCTCACAGCTGTGATCAGATCTTCCTCCCTATGATGCCTGGTAAAGCTCGCATTAGATCACAAATTTCCTAGGCTAATTACTCAAAAATACCAGAGTCTCCACGCTGGCTGTTGAAGGTGGGCCGCGACGAAGAAGCACGCGTTATCCTCGGGCGTCTTCGTTCTGAAGACGGAAACATCGAGGACGCACGCGTCGCGGCGGAGTATGAAGACATCGTGGGGGCTGTTGGGCTTGAGAAGCAGAATGCAAGCCGCAACTCATACATCTCGATGTTCTTCGGGCGCAACGATGGCGAGCTTCACGTTGCCAGGCGTGTGCAGCTTTCAATCTGGCTGCAGATCGTTCAAGAGTAGGTGCTGTCTCCGTGCGAGGTGCGTATATCGCTGATCCGTCTGTTGTCAGGTGGGTCGGTATCGCTGCCATCACGGTGTATGCCCCGACCATTTTCGCGGAAGCCGGCTATGGAGCACGCAAATCACAGTGGCTATCTGGCTTGAATGATGTCAGTGTTGACTTTCTCCAACTGCGTTACCATACTAATATACCGATATACCTCCGTCTCTCAGATTACGTACATGATAAGCACCCTCCTTGCAGTGGTAACGATCGACAGACTTGGCCGGCGGGTTGGACTGTGGTGGGGCGCTGTTGGCCAAGGCATCTCCCTCATCCTTGCAGGCGCCTTCACCAGACTGCTCAAGGACAACCCCGACAAGGCATCGCAATATGGCGGTGCCGCAGCATTCTTCGTGTTCATGTACACTGCAGTGTTCGGCGCGACGTGGCTGACGATTCCGTGGGTGTATCCGACCGAAACCTTCCCGCTTGAGGTGCGCGCAAAGGGCAACGCGTTTGGCGTGTTTGGATGGTCTATCGGTGCGTGACCTCGTACCGTCCAGGTTTGCACGGTTACTGACTGGGTTTGCAGGTAACGGTTGGCTCACGCTGCTCAACCCCGTCATGTTCTCGCACATCCAGGAGAACACGCTGCACATCTTCGGCGCGATCAATTTCCTCACGATTCCGATGGTGTGGGCGCTGTACCCCGAGACTGCGAACCGGACGCTGGAGGAGATGGATCACCTGTTCATGAGCGATAGTCCATTTGTGTGGGCCGAGGAGGCGCACTTCAAGAAGTGGAAGGAGGAGTCCGAGAGAGCGCGGGTGACCGAGATCTCGGAGCCGGACATCGCGGCAGAGTTGAAGGAGAAGCTCGCTATCTCGTGAGCTAAGCAGAGCACGGTAGGTAATCGGTCAATGATACATAGGAGACACGAGAGTACAGAGACACGAGAGTGCTAGTGATAATGACATGACACGATAGCAGAGACCTAACGCATTGTCTACAAGTCGCTGGAGCCCATTCTTACAACAACGGTCACAACTACGACATGACCCCATTCTACTTCCAAGCTTGTTACCACTAATCTGTGAGCTTCGGGACGACATTTATTAGTTGATCCAGATTGATGAACTGCACCCAAGAGTCGAGCTCTTTGTGCTCGGTGGCCCACACGAACTTCGTCTCCATCGTCCCCCGGAAAAAAGCGCACGAGCATTGGTATTGCTCCTCAACAAGCTGATCGTTCCGCTCGATTCCGAGCTGGGCCTGCCATACGCGGAACTCCCAGCCTAGTAAGGGCGCGCCGTCTCCCGTCACGGTCTGGTGTTCGACGTCGAACTGGAGGCGCGCCCAGTCGAAGCCAATCGGCTGCCCGATTGCCTTGATGTACGACTGCTTTAACGCGAGCAGCAGGCACAGCCGACGCAGGACCGTTGTCTCGCCGTGGTCTGGCGCGATGAACGAGAGCTCCAGCGGGGTCAGCTGTACGGTAGCCACGATCAGCGAGGACATTGAAACCAGAGGCACGCCGGCAGACGACATACCTTGTGATAGAACGACTCTGCATACGCACCCACGCTGATGTCTGGCGGAGAGACTGCGAGCTGCTTCACGCCGAGCCCGATGTTGATCACGTCCCGCTGCTTCCCCTGCGTCATCACCATCCCCACAAGGTTGTTGTCGTACGCAAGGTGATAACCAATCATGGAACGCACGCGATTCGAGTGCATCGCGTCAAAGTCCTGCGACGCGTGAGGACAGCATGCCGGCGGCTCAAGGAAGGGGACATTCACCTGCTCAATGTAGTGCTTACCATTGGGCCCCTCATGATCGCGCCACTTGATGCGCGGTATCCGTCGGTGCCGCATCATCAACAGCGGAAGCATATACGCGAGGATCTGGCCTGGGATGGGGAAATTTAGTCAGGCAGGCAGCCTGGTGCACCATCGCTGGATGGACCCACGGTAGGTCTCGCGTCCGTCGGGAGCGTATCTGACATTAGCATGAGTGACGCATTCTTGCATTACGGTGTAGCAACTTTCATAGTCCTGCGGGCGTTAAGCGAGCGTCCGGTGCGGTGGCTAGCCAGACTCACCTCCTTGTTCATCTCTCGATTGAGGTAGAGCATCCATACGAGAATTGGACAATCCATTGGCTAGCATGAGGTTGAGGGAAAGCCACAAAGTACGGTTTCTGAGCTCTGAGCGAGTTTCCGATGGGACATTGAATCGACATGGTTGTCACATATTTATTCACCTTCGAGTCCGTGGAGGGAAATCTTCTCTGCAAATACGCAACAACTCGGCTAGACGACGAAGCTCACAGCAACGAACAGCTAGAATGGCAGGTGGAAGCAGGTTCGGACAAAAACAATCTTGTGCCAGGTGGCTGCATGGCAGCGTTAACCAACACGCTGCGCTTGCTTTATCGGTCACTGATCTCTGTTGCCAACAAGTTCTCTTCCTCACTTTTGTGACTCTCAGCTGCGCAGCCGCTCACCGACCTTCTTAGGATTCGGAAGACATGCTTTCTGTTGGCATGATGATGCCGTGTGCCAAGTTTCCATGTTGTCAAACTTTTTGTGGGCTTGTTGTCTGGTGAGTCTGGCGTGGATCATCGCACCCATACAACAAGCCCACAAAAATTGGCGGGCTGTCGTCGCTTCTGTCGACTGCAGCCTGTATTTCCTATTCATCGGACACATCCCGAGCTGTACTATGCTAAACGCACTACTACCTGCTGTTGTGAGGTTTCGGCCTTTAATTGGCTTTGCACGACCGGCACAAACCTCCAGTTCTTCTGTATTCTTCCGTACTTCAAGGGGCTAAATTGTACGTGCTCATTGAAGGTGAGATTCTTTGAATTAGGCAGGTCCGAGTCCGCGGGTGCATATCGATGATCACATACGGTGACCGCTCACGAGTCCTGACGGTAAGTGCGGAACAGAACTACTGCTACCTCATGGGTGAGGCGTGGTTCATCGTTGCGGAACTGTGCGACCCGCGCTATACGCCCTTATCAGATTTTCTAGAAGTTCATGCTTCGGTTGCTTTTACTATCCTCGAGTTTCAAGGGAGGCATTACTGGCAGTCTGTGCTATTGTTCAAAACGAACCAACAGTGGCGACTCTGCGGCGACTTGTCATATATCCATGACCCGTGCACGCGTGCACGACAATCGATCGATTGACGTCGCTACGTTATGACATGTCCTATCGAACGCCTCAGAAGTCGAACAAGAACGCACAGGCAGGCCCTGGACAGACCTGTTGTTATAGCTATACGTTAGCTTCATCACCCATGGACAACTCCGAGAGAGGGTCGGTAGCGAGTACGTCCGCGCTGTGTTCCCAATATGTGGTACCCGATTGTTTACTCCTGGACGCAGTATCAGCAACACAAGCATGTTCCTGTTTTAGGCTGTTCCTCTGTGGCGCCGCGTTGCTAAAACTCTTCTATAGTCAATTACCAAGTGATCAGCTATTTGCCTGCGTCGATGTGCACTCAGGGGACGTAACTTGTCTTGCAGCACAAAAAACATAATGAATTGGGTCCTTCTCTCTACTGTGACGGTATAATGGGTGCCCCTGGGGGAGAGGGAAGACATACAGGATTCTTCGATTCGTGCCCGCTGAATCGACGAGGCTTCGCCGCTTTGGATCTCTACGATACAGCCATACGGCACCTCGGAAGATCAGCATTAAAAAGCTCGGCTGCGCGTGCCTCGCGCGGTCTCTACCTCAGGAAGATGTATGAAGGAGGAACGAACACGGCTAAGAGTCACATATTTGGAAGATGCACGTCCGTCATTTTCCTCCCGCCGCACAATCCTGCCATCTCGGACCTCTTTTTTGGCTCCTGTTTATCGCGGTCTTTCACTGCTTCCTACGATCCATCGTTCGCGGGTCGCAACTGTAATTTCACGTATGTTCATGCTACAGACTTATCGGCAGTTGCTGTAATCATCAAATTGAAGTAGGTGTCAAGCCGCCGAGAGTGCGTTCCGCTGATGATCGCTACCACCTTCAAGCTTTTGGACTTTTGACGTCTTGACCCGCGAGCGGGATGACATGCAGTCTAGCTGGTATGATGCCCTAGTTCAACAAGTCAATGCACTTGCACCTGATTCTACCTCAAGAAAATCATGTTCATAATGCCAAGCCTCGGTCGGAGGTGTTCCAGTAGTTCAGTAAAAAAGTTTGCTGTGAACTAACTAGCTGCCATCCAAGAATAATGGCGGTCGGTTTACAATGAATGTTTCTTGAGGAGTTTATTGTAGCATACCTTTTTTTGTCATGATTTCTCGACTTTAGAGGTAACGCGACGCGGTCACGTGCTGGGACAATATTGTTACGCGCCCGGCCTGCCTGATCCGATCCTTGCCTGACCCACAAGTACTTGTGATTTCTAGTGTGCCAGACGCTCGATATCAACGAAGTGCACGAATTCCAAGCGCTGATACTTAGACATTCAACTTACAGACGGACAGTCTCCTCAATCCGAGATAAGCTCGGGGAGTACCACTGCCGCCGCAGAACTAACCTGCGTGCGATTGCATGGTGAGCATGTTTTTGTGCTGAATATTCAGCTTTGAGCTTTTCATGGGAGGTGACCGTTCGGGTTATTGATGCATTCTTGACAGCGCTATATCTAACTATTTGCGATCTTTGGTAAATTGAAGCTGTGCGTTGCCAGAGAATGGGTCGTGCATCACTAACTAAGCCCTCGAATCTGCCCAATAATGACAGCTAAGATGTCGCCTCTCGACATACAAAACAGGCTGGATATGTTAGAGGCTCGTGCCCAGACACATATTGATGTCCCGCAAATTCGGGCTATGCTCTACGGTATATGGTTATTACCTTCCTATCATCTTATTAACTTACGCCCAGCCTCTGTCAAGGTGGTCAAGACAAGTGGGACACTCAGCGTAAGATTGTCGAAATTTTATCTAAAGACTCTGTATTTGATAAATCGCGAAGGTAAGCCATCCGTCAATCGCGACATGCGACGATTCACGTGAGTATAGATCGTTCATGACTCGCAAGGAGCGCTACAAGCGTGGTCTTGCTATGACCCACCGGGTATTCGAGCTGCAAGAAGTACACAAATGGTCCGACGCCGATGCTGCGTGGGTGATACGTAACATGGACGAGGACGTTGCAATGGTGCTTGATGTTGGCGGTGAGTACAATGCAGCCATGATCATTAACAGAGACCACAATTTTTGCCCTACTGCTCAACACTACTCGCACTGCAGTCTTCGAACCCGTCGTTAAAAATCAAGGCTCCCAGAAGCTGCTCGAAACATACGGCGAGCTGATCGCCAACAAGGGTATCATAGGGTCTGTACACTGTACCATAGCTTGCTTCGTACTTCGAGAGCTCATCTCAAGTTATACAGATGCTACCTACAGACTGAACTTGGTCACGGAACCAATGTGGCTGGCTTGGAGACCACAGCTACGTACCTTCCAGAGACGCAAGAGTTCGACATACATTCGCCAACGTTGACCAGCAGCAAGTGGTGGATCGGAGGTTTAGGAAAGACCGCAACACACGGCGTTGTACAGGCCAAACTTATTTTGCCGGGAGGGAAGGACATGGGTCCCCATCTCTTCTTCATCCAACTGCGTTCTCTGAGTAAATCTATTCTCTTCCATTCGAGTGATGATAGTCGTAATATTTCCACCTGCAGAAGACCATTCCGTGCTTCCTGGCATCATGCTTGGGGATATAGGTATATAAGCCGGAGCGTCACCGAGAGCCTGGCTTACGATCTAAAATGCAGGTCCCAAGGCGATGGGTGGTTATGTGGCCAACGACAATGGTTACGCGCGGTTCAATCATGTTCGTATCCCTAGAGAGAACATGCTTTCTGCGTTCGCCCAAGTCATGGAGGATGGTCGGTATGTCCGGCCTCCACACGCGAAATTGAGTTACGGATCAGTGTGTATTTTTCCATTCTATACTGCGCCTTGTCTGACGTTATCGTGCTATAGATGCTCTATGTACGTGCGCAGTGAGTATAGCATGATAAATCATATTGCATCAAGCCTCATACGTGCTGCGATTAGCATGATTTCAACGATGGGCTGGGCCATCGCAAAAGGTGTGCACTGTTATCTCTGCCTAAAATGCGTTGGTTTGCTGACATTAATATTGCCGTAGCTGCTACGGTATCCATTCGCTATGCCACTGTACGTAGACAAGGCACGAAAGGCCCAGACGGTCTGGAGAAGCAGGTCATTACCTATTCCTCACTTTACTATAGGCTGTTACCCCTGCTTTCGCGTGCATATGTCTTCCTCTTTCTGGGACAAAATCTGGTGCGTACCAAAATTCATCGACTTGATACGGGGTGCTGACGTCCAGCGACCAGGTGGAGATGTTGGCCGCTATGCAGTCTCAGTTGACTACTGGCGATACGTCACTTCTGGCCGAGATGCACGCCACTTCTAGCGGATTGAAGATCCTCGCGAGCGCAACCGCTATCCAAGACATCGAGACCGCTCGTCGCTCGATGGGTGGGCACGGATACAGCGACTTCGCGGGACTCGGACGCCTATATGCGGACCACCTGCCCGGTGCAACGTGAGCCTACGTTCATACCGCACATTTAGAACCTTTTTGAAGCTGGGCCTAGATACGAAGGGGATAATTTCGTGCTGGACCAACAGATTGTACGGGCGGCGGTGAAGTCATGCAAGACTCTGCTGGGGCTCAAATCTACATCCGCGCTCACGCCCTCTACTGCGTACCTCCGTCTCTTACTTCCGGAATTTTATGATACTCAGCACGCTACTGAGTTTCCGGAATGGGACGATCCGAACACCGTCATTGCTCTCCTCGAGAAGCGCGCTGCTCGGATCGTTGAGGCGCGGACTTTAGTGGTGGACTGCGACGCAAGTATGGATCAGCGTGTCTCCAGAGCCGCAACAGAAGCCTTCGTGGCAGTGCAAGTTGGGAAGATGATCCAATCGCTGCGGAGTCATCTCGCTGAATCAGAGGCGGCCGTACTGGCGAAATTATTCAATCTGGTAAGCATATGCACCCCTTGCTCATTCCATAGCTGAACCGACGTCATGACAGTACCTGCTCACGACAGTGGAGTCTGGGTTGGTAGATTTGCTATCTTTCGGTATATTTCCCCAAAACGCGGAGCGGGGCAGGGATCTCACGGGCGGACTCCGGACGGCGATCAAGCAACTGTGCCTGGAACTTCTACCGGAGGCAATAGGTCTCACGGATGCATTTGGATTCACAGATTGGCAGCTAGATAGGTCAGCATTATATAAATTCTCGTCGTGCCCGCTAACCGCCTCCTTTAGTGTTTTGGGTGTGTATGATGGAAGGGTATACGAGGCGCTCTGGGCACGGGCTCAGACAGAACCTTTGAATGCATCAGAGGTGCCCGATGGCTATGAGGTGAGCGATCAGCCGTTGTGCCGTTGTTCAATGAGCGACTAACTGCGTGCTATGCTCCATTGCATAGGAATACATCAAACCTGTTCTGTTGCGTGGTCAACGGATAGCTGCCCTGCGTGGAGCGAAATTGTAATAGCGCTATGGATACCCATCCTACTTTTCATCTTAAGAGTAAGCGTTGACTACTGTGTGGTCCTAAACCCAAGGAGGATGTGCTGAAACAGTAGGCAGTGTCAGTGCAAATGTATGCGGATTTCATGTCATGTACACCTGAGGATCTAACATTTGACCGAACGGAAATGTATTTGTACAACAGTGATCCACACAACACGGTCTGAATACAAGTACAACAGTGGAATCTGCGATGCAGTTAATCGTCCTCGTCCTCATCTTCGTCGCCACCCTCATCCTCATCGCCCTTGTCATTATGTTCAACCTCCTCTTCCTCCTCCTCTTCGTCTGACACAACAACTCTGGCTCTGGGCAAAGGTGCCTTAGCCTTTCCCTTGGTTGGACTCGGTGGGGGCGCGGCCTTTTTACTCTTGGAACTCGAACCGGAAGCACTCATGAGCGCCGCCTTCCCTCTGTTGCTCTTCGGCCTTTCCTCTTCCTCATCGTCTTCATCCGCGTCGTTGAATCCCTGCACTTTTGTGTAGTCTATGCGGATCCCACGCGTACGCCGGCCACCCGTGATGATGTTGCTCTGTTGGAGCGCCTCGAGTTCATCTATGGTAGATGGCACTCAGGTCCCAGCCGAGGATCGGCAAACGTGTTGCCCAGCGCGCGCGAGAGGACGCACCCTCCTCGATGCTCTCTTCAGAATCGTCCTCGACATCCTCCTCCTCAACATCACGCTTCGCCCTGAGACATATGATGTTCGTGACTATACCAGGGATAGCAGACGACCTTAGACTCACTTCTTGCTGCGGCTCTTCTTCTCGGACTCCGCGGTCTCAGCTCGACGTTTGGTGCGCGATGACATAGCTGACGAGATGAACGAAGGGGACGTCGACGTCGTTCAAGTTCAAGTTGCCAAAGCGGCCTGAGAGAGGCTGAAAGGAGACAGGCGTCTAGATCTGCTAGGTGTTATCTATCGGAATTTGCCGACATTTTTCATTGAGATTTACCGGCTAAGATTTGACGATAGTTAGCCAGAGTCATAAAATCAAGCAGTAACTTGCTTAGTCTCTCTCCATCTTCAGTCACACCTCGTCATTCTCTTCGGTTCTCAATATGTCCGAAGTACTTTCTGAGGTTCCAGCTAAGGAGGAGAAAGGTGAGGAGCCCGACGTCAAGACCTGTGATGTCCCGGCTACAGGCGACTCGGAGAGGTCTCAAGAGACCACAGAAGTGGTAGTCGAGAAGGCCTCTGGGGAGGTGAAGACGGGCGAGGGATCTGGTGACGGGGCTATTGCGAAAGAGGACGATAGCGAAATGCTGCACGCGATGAGGCAAAGTACGCACAGGTATACGCGCCTCAGCTAACGCGGTGCGCTGATGCAGACTACCATACCCTTCACAGTTGAATTCTACTTTGCGGATTCGAACCTGCCCTTCGATAAGTACGTGTGCAAGCCTTTTGTTTCATTTTTTCTTTTTGACGAGGGTGCCTCAGATTCATGTGGACATTGCATACCGCTAACCCGGAACACTGGGTACCTATCAAAACGGTTGCATCGTTCAAACGTATGCGCGAGTTCCAGTCGCTGGGGCTGGAGTGGGTGACGAAAGCGCTTGCGAGGAGCACCGAACTTGAGGTTGACGCTGAGAAAGGGATGGTCCGACGTCGGACAGAGGTACAAGAACCGAAAGGCCAGCTTGAGCGCAGTATATATGCAGTGAGATCCTCGTCTATTTCATGTGGCCTCATGCTAGTGCTGAAGGCTTACTCAGAAAGGGTTTGGGCCTGAGGAGTCAGGATTGCAGCGCCGGCTGGAAGACCTTTTCAACAAGTATGGGAAGACCAACGCGGTCAGAATGCGAAGGATGGATCCCACGAAGGAATTCAAGGTGTGTATCTAAACTAGATCGTACTTTTCGAACGCTCATCTGTTGCAGGGCTCTGTGTTTGTTGAGTTCGCAGATTATAAGTCCGTTGAGGCGTTCTTGAACGCGGACCCGAAGCCAACGTGGAACGGAGAAAAGTTACTCGTCATGTCAAAGTCAGTGAGATATTATGTTACCATAAAGGCATTTTTCACCGTTAGTTCTTAGAGAGGCCTACTGTGAGATGAAGATCAAGGAGAAGGGTTTGACTGGCAAGGCCGCAACGATCAGAAGGCAAAACATCACAGGTCAAGGGCGTAAGGGTTTCAATGCCTTCAAGGAAATGGAGGACAAGGACAAGAAGAAAGGTAAGGAAAAGGATAAGCCGAAGCCTGAGGTCTGGTTGGACTTCCTGGGCAACAAGATCAAGGTGCATGAAGAGGACGGGGGAACTATCAAGAACGAGGACGTGCCTCTTGTGCGAGGCGCGTCGCTCAAGTTCGAGGGCAGCATTGAGGATGTCAGTTTCGACGAAGTCAAGGTTTGTTTGCGTTCTTGCGAGCCTGACAAAATTGAGTTACTGAAGCCCGCACCGTAGACTCCACTAAAGGAGCGTTTCGCCCGCGCGCCCTTCGTGAAATATACGAAGGGCGAGAAATTGGGCCTTGTCGGCTTCGACAAGTCTCTGACGGAGGATGAGATCACCTATGTCAAGGAGACCCTGAAAACACTCAGTGGAGCGGAAGTAACTTGGAGTGTCCCTGATGGTGGGCGTCTACACATTTTTTCTCTGCAAGGCTTGTGCTGATAGCTACATTACAGAGGAAACAGAGAAGGCCTTCCAGCTTGAGCGTGCTACATCTGCTGCCAAGAGGGTGATGTCATTCTCACAACGAGGTGGGCGTGGTGGCGGTCGCGGAGGTCGCGGAAGTCGTGGAGGCCGCGGAGGCCGCGGAGGTCGTGGGGGACGTGGGGGACGTGGTGGGCGTGGAGGTGGACGTGGGGGAGAGAGCCGAGACAAGGAGGGAGATGCAACGCCTGCTACTACGTCTAACGGAGAGCAGGCGGGAGAGAAGAGGAAGCGTGCGGTGGAGCCCGACGGTGGGCCCGATACGGGGATTCGCGGGCAGGCCGTCCCTATCATTCAAAGCGCCAAGAAAGCCAAGGTAGAGGAGAGCTAGAGGGGTGCTGCGCCTGCGTTTTGGGAGCAGAGAGCGAGGCGCGTGGCCTGTGATCCACACTGACCAAAAGCAAGAGCATCTTGTGTAATTGTATTGGGTAACTATCGTATATGTACTGGTACCTGATCTACGTTTTGATGTTTACTATCGGCATTTCTTAGGTGTCTCTCCCCGAATGATGCAACGAGAATCAAACGATAATGGTCATAACGAAAGCAACTACACTGACCGTGGGTGCCATTCCCGTGACGCGTGACCTGTGGAGTTCCTTCCGAATTGAGGGACATGGCACGCAGCAAGAGCGTCGACAAGTACTTAAGTGTAGGAGATCATAAAGAGATCTAGAGACAAGAGAAGTCCACCTGAGAGACCCCGAGTATCGAGGGTGTCGCGCGTTCCAGAGAAGCTGCTTCGCAAATACTTATACGCACTTTGGAGCCCACAATCTTGCTACCAGGTACGAGGTACTACTATTCAACACATCTTCGGCATAATTGTCCTCCATGGCCACTTATACTAGCCTCCTCGAGCTATGCGCGCTCCAGATCGCTCTGCATATTCTCTTTCGCACCGGATTGTACCATTGGGTGGCTGGTCTGGATTCCAACCAAGAACACCGCGTTTCTATGTCCGATGTCAGTCTCAACTTGGCAGGTCTAGTGAAGGGAAACTCGCGAGCCGGCTAGTCAGCGGTTAACACGGCCAAAATGGCCCAGCAAGCACTTACGACCGTATGTTTCAATCTGCATCTTGGTGGAGTTAAGCAGCCAAGAAGACATTCCACCTCACGAATGGGGAACGTCGCAGTCAGAACTGTAATTTGCCTCCTGGTCAGCACTCCACCGCAAATTCGTACGGAGTCTTCACCCACTTCCACGTCTCCACTCTATTTCTCCAAGCCTGGTGCTTCTATTTTTTTTCTTTCTGTCTTGCTCTGGCAGCATTGGAACTGCTTTCGAGCATTCCACCCCTTTCATATTTTCCTCGAGCGTAGCTAATCAGAATGTGGTCCTACCGGCATAGTCGTTCCCGTACATCACCCAGTCATCGCTCGTTCGCAGATCCATCTGAGGATATTCTGTTTGGCCCCGGAGGCGAGCTTTCGATAGGCACTGATCAAGATGTTAACTCAGGATCCGACCCGTCACCACAACCGCAGTCTCAGAACCAGCCACAATTTCCTGCGGGTGCCACTTCCTCTGCCATGAATGCGGATAATCACCAGGTGCGCGGTCATTATCATCTTTCCTGTTGACTCATGACTGGAATCCCATAAAGCCTACAGCGTCTGAAAGCGCTATTCAAACCTCGGTTTCAGGCGCTTCTAAAGCCTCAGCCGACTCCGTCTCATCTATTATCGCTGTCCTGTCCTCTACGTTCACATCTCTCCCGGAAACTTCGGCTATCTTGACGTCAAGCTCACTGACTGCTGCATCTTCATTGGCGACACACGCTACCGGCCTAAGCTCACCATCTTCGTCGTCTCACACTCCTACATCGTCCGTTGCTAGCTCGAGTTCTCCATCGGCTGATGGCGCTGCGTCGCATTCCATTTCGCCTCACACAGCTACATTTGACGTCGGTATTACGCTGGCTGCGCTAGTCGCTGCAGGGTTCTTCCTTATGTTGCTCAATTGGTGCGTCCGGACTCGCAAGCGCTCAAAACGGCGCGCTCTTGAAAGTGCAACCGCTTGGCCGTGGGATCGTGATACTCCCGGTGGTCTTATTGGTGCTCGCGACAACCTAGAAACAGGCCTTGGGTCATCAATACCAGACGATGATCTGGGAATATGGGTCGGCGACGAGTCCAGAGGCCCTGACACTCTGACTTCGGCATTCAGGCAATACCAAGTGAGCGAGAGCCACGAATTCAGTCAAGCCACTCTCCCGGATAGTCATGCGTACCCGCTCCCTCCTGCACACATCAGCCTTAACACGCGCCTCGCCAGCCCGTACCCGACCGTGCAGGTCCGGAGCGCGAACAGCAGCGTGCCCGACCTCGCTCCAGACTTGGGAATGCTGCAGGTAGCTAACTTGATGCCGGGAGATGTCTCGTCTGATGGCGAAGCCAGTCGCTCGAACTCTGTGCTTGGAACAGATGCCATGTTCCTTGACTATGGAACGCTGTACCAACCAATGACGGGGGACCGGCCGCGTTTCCTGGGCATCGATGGAGGTGGACTCGAAGTGCCTTGGGCTCCTTTGCATCCTCGCAGGCACCGCTCGAACGCCAGCTACCAGTCTGCTGATGCCAGTGTCACTAGCGAGAACGAGCTCGGTGTTCTGCCATTCCCAGGCGAGAACGAAGCTCAGACCGGAAACGAGACTGGAAGCTGGGCGGCTTCAATTCGCTCCAACGTCGTGAACGCCTTCAATGCTGTGGTCCATGGCAATGGTGATGATACGAAAGCGGCCGACAACCTGACGGTCTCACCTCATCGTAAGAACCGGAGTCGCACAGGCCGCGGTCCGAAGTCTGGTGTGGGCATCATGTCAAGAGGAAGCTCTGTCCACTCGATCGTTTCTGATACGAAGGAATGGACCTTGGAGGAGAAGAGCGACGGCACAGGCGTCGTGCATATCCTCCTCCAAGACGCGCCTGAACAGAAGCCTGTACGGAGTCCTAACGACGATATTCAAAAGCCGCCGGCAGCCTTTGTGAAGTCCCGCGACCGCGAAGTCCCGTCATCACCTCCCTACTTGACTCGCACGGGCAGTGCGTCTTCAACTGCGTCTTCCGAGTTTCACGCGCTGTTGTCACGCGTCGACGCCCTCCCTCCGCGCTTGCCTAGAATTCCTCCAATGTCACGCTCGTCGACGGAAGCCTCTACGAGGAATGATCGACCGGCGGAGAGGAAGTCCACGGTTCGTAAATTCGAAGCCCGGAAGAGGACGCGGAGGGCACGGCGACCGACGATGTTGGCCCGCAAGTACTCATCCTATTGCTCCGCTGTCTCCGTCGGCTCGGACATGTCGAGGGTATCGAGTATGTGTTCAGAGCACTTGACTGACGCTGAGCAATTCGCAAAGAAAGCGCTCAGGGAGAGGAGGAAGAGGATTTTGGAGATGGGGATGATAAAAGGGATTGGAAGAGGTCAAACAAGAAGAGCTCCCGAGAGGGGGCACACGAGGTCCAAGATTGCGCTCGGAGTACAATGACGACACGTAATTGGATACAGTTGCCGGACGATTCCCTTCTACATTACACGATAAATATCACGTCTCATCATCAATGAGGCGCCATCACATAGTGACGGAAGTATACCCAAAGCTTGATCCTTCCAACCCTCTGGCGACGAGTGTGAACTGTTGTGCGGCCTCCCGTGTCCGCTTGAGAGAACGTGACCTAAAAGTATTGCATGTTCAATGCAAAGATTCGCACCGACAAGGACGCGATCCTACCCAAATACAGCCTTCACAAACTTGTCCTTGGCTTCGTTCGTTGCTTTGGACTGTATGAAATCGTTCTGCGACAGGGACTTAACGTGAACGTCTCAAGGAGATACGAGCGGAGGCTTACTGCATATAATGTCTCTGTCATCCACCCCTTGCTGTCCGCGGGGTATCTGATCACTAATGCTGACAACAATTCTATGAGATTTTGTGACGCCGAGCGTGGCGCATCCCCAGCAAATCCGTGCAGTAGGGCTGCCATGATAGACTTCCCGTGCGTTTGACCGAGCATCATCTTTGCACCGCCGAGTTCATCTACGGCCGCTGTACGGTTTATCAGTGCGCCCTAGGACCCGCACGGTCAGCGACGTAGTTTGTTGTGTCAAGACGGCACGTAGCGCACCAAGAACGTGCATGCAGAGACAAGTGAATATCGTTCTTGCAGTCCCAAAGACGTGATTGCACATTGGATGAGTGCATTGAAGAGGTCGGGTGGTAAACGGTAGAAAGTGGCAACGAAGTGTTGCGCAATCTAACTTTCGTGAATACAACAACATCTAACTGGGACCAACAGACGTCAACACACCATGTCAGTGCATGTGAAGAAATCTTGAATGATATCGGGATTCTGCAGAGAATGAGATCATTAGACAAAGGTTGAGAAGTTCGACTTACAGCTTCCATCGCCCCAGGCCGGCTCAAGTAAGTCAACACGGTTTGCGACAGTATACCTAGTACGTTCAGTACAATGCCTTCCGCCGCAGCTGCCGGAATGGACTTAAACGTTGTAGGAATAAGCATGGGAGGATCTAACTGGATAATGAGCATGGTGGCGAGAGATAACCACACAGACGTCAGCTGTGTCTGGGCGGCCATACAAACCAACTCCAGAAGGGGTCCTGGCTGAAGAGTAAGGAGAGTAACGTCGAACGGAAGGGAAGTTATCGCCCTGAACACATCACTCAAGGCCTACGGCGGCTATCTTAGCACCCTGTCTTGCGAGCTGCGGGATGGTACTCACATCGCTGACACTTGCGTCAGTGGACCACAGCTCCACAGTGATCCTGAACGCACGGAGGATCGCGTCTCGCAGCTCAACCATCCTTGGATCGTTCCTCGCCTGCTGCATTTGATTCGCTTCCGCTTGGACGGCGGGTGACTCATCGAAAATTAGCAAGGAGTCTGTTGTGCGCGTGAGACCTCTCGCAGCCCCGGCGATCGTTTGAAGTTGCTGTATGGCTACCACTCTCGCTTCCTCTGGCAACTGCCACCATTCAGTCATTACTAGCCAACCTGTGATGGTAAGAGGGACAAAGGCACCTGTGTGGAAGACTGAAGTGCTTCAAACAACTTAGCAACGACTGGATTTATAATGGCCTGCACGGTAATCAGGAGTGATCAGCACAGAAACAGGGCGTAGAGCAGAGTCATCCACCTCGACCGGAGTAATCTCTTCCATAGGCGGTAGGCCTTGAATGACGCTTGCGATGGATTGCAACACTTTGCTCTTCTCGGTGTCCTGAAACGAAGTGACATAAAAATGACAGTATTGGAAATTATAGGACGTGCACGTACAGGAACACCAATGAGATTGGCATGCAACTGTCCAAAGGCACCGATATGGGGTGCAAGAGCAGACCGATTAGCATCGCACAGATCACGCAGAGCATTAGCAGCGGGAAGGCAAAGGGCCGGCTGGTCCAGAGCTGAAACGACGTATGATATCGCGTTCATGAGAAGCGATGATGTGGGCGAGTCGGGCGATTGAGCAGGCTGGGTGGTAAACCACGAATTGTAAGAGCCTAGAGAGGAAAGTAGAGAGATCAGGACGACTCAAAGATGTGTGAATTACACTGACCAATGAGTAAAAGGGCCGTGCGCCTTACACGCGAGCTACCAGTTGACGGGAGGCGGCCCAGTATCTGAGGGCCAAAAACTTTTCTAAGTTGAGCATTGTCTTCTAGTGGTACTGCTTCCTGAACCGCCATTATGCAATGCAATATGCCTTCAATCTCCTACAGGGAGCACCAGCGTGATTAGAAAATCCTACAGCAGTCATATGATCACATCACGCACTTCCCAGCCCTGCGATGCTTGTCTCGTCGAGAGCAGCTGAATCACTGTGTCAGCATAGTATGCTAGCATATCGTTGCGCAAGACGTAATATCTATGCAACACGGAGATGTCATGAGCGAAACAAGCTGTAACGCTGTGTAGGCACGCACGCATTGACTAGTGCGTCAGCGACATCCCGCCGATAGCTGTGTGAAATTCAGAATACGCCAACTGGTACAAAATCGGCACGTACGCTTGGAACTTGTCTCTTTGATCTGAGACCATACATCAGCGTTGAGGAATGAGTAAGACCGTAGTATCGTTACCTCTCGCCCATCTACTCAATACAGATGCCTCGGGCCACGCTGCCTTCCTTCTTAGCACTTTCACAAGCTCGAAATACACTACTTTCGCGATAGTCCACTGGCCCTCCTCCTGTTTATGTTCAGGGACAGCATTCGGGTCGTCCTGGCCATACTCAGTGTCGTACTCGACGCTCCATAGAGCTTCCTGAAACAAGTACCAGAATCCCAAAGTCAACTCGCTCTCCTCCTCATCTGCACCGTAATACCCGGGCAGCGCAGTGTAGTCGAGCATCAGCTTTAGATATTTCTGTACAAGGTGCGACCTGGTGGGGAGAGGGGAGGGGAGAGGCAAAGACGAGGGCGTCGGCTCGGGCGGTGCAGGAGAGGTGATCTTAGAGGCGAGGTACATAGTCGAATGTTCGCCGATGGCAGCAAGCAATTTGCAGAAGGAATGGGATACTTCATCGGCGAAGCCAGCTGTCGCGAGGTCGTGAATTTTTATTCGTCACATTGGTTCCACTAGACTTACAATGAAGAGTGTCTTCGACTATCAGGCTACCGTAGCGATCAAGCCACAATAACAACGGTTCTGTCAGAGTTCTCGAACCTGCCGCACTGTACGCGGATTGTGTCATGACCTCTTGAATGGTATCAGAGGATGAAATGAAAGTAGTCTCATCAAAGTCAATTGGGGCGGTGGATATTGGATCCAAGAGAGAGATCAAGAGCGGAATCAGCGGACCGAGAGCACTGAAATGTGTTAGAATCAACAGACACACATTGTGCTGTGCCAGGCAGAGCACACGCACTTTGCTGGGAGTACACCGCACCAAGCTTGCAGGCATTTCAATGCCGAAGAAACATCTCGGGAAGAGCGCTGCTCCCGGGGAATCGTGATACAAGATGCAATGGCTTGCGTTACCATCGGTACTGCGTCCTGCAAAGTTTTCTGCATGTGGGCCCTGGACATCGTAAGAGCTCAGACCGCATATTGCAGTATAGAAGAGAGTTGTACTCACTTACTGGTACCGAGCATATCGGCTGTCTCTATTTCTTCAGAGACGATAGCCAAGAAGTCCAGCAAATGTTCGCTTGGTACTCCGAGAGATGAAAGGGTGCCAACAGTGTATATGAGCCAATCTGGCCACCGTGAGGGGCTCCCAGGACACAGTTTGAGCGCCAAAGAGGTGATCTAACACAACAGCAATCTACATCATATATGGTGCAGTGTTGCTAAACACTTACTGCAACATAGAGTTTACGGAGGATGACTTTGTTCCGCCGCAGAGCAATTGAACGTCCCGTAATATTTATGAGCATGTCTCGAAGTTGGAGAACATCATCTGGGGCGATGCTATCCCTTCAGAGAAAACCAGGTCAGCGTCCAATTCGAAGTATACTTGTGGACGCATTTACCAGTCTCTTGCAATCTTGACCTGGGCGGTGTGAGCGCCAAAGAACTGCACGTTAGGGTCGGTATGGTCTAGGAAGGGGAGAACCAGTCCCCAAGCTTCTGGACGTTTCTGAATGTCAAACAGTTCCTGCTGAAGACTGCGCTGGTCTTCCGACGTGAGATGGTTCTGTGGCGCGTACGCCTGCAGAATCAACTAGGGATATGCTGTGGCGTAAGTAGCGAGTAGGCCAAAGCGAACCGAGGATTACCTGAGCAGCACGTTCAGCATCACCAGGCGCGAGAACGGGCAGAAACGCAGAGTTCATACTTGTCATCTATAACGATTAATAACAATAGGATTTTGCAGTCGCAAAACAGCACAAGCGTCCTATGCGACAGTCGATCGGCGAATTTGGCACAACAGAGATGGAGGAAGAGTGCAGACCAGAGCGACCTAGTCTGCTATGTAGAGAGTGAACCTGAAAGAGTTATAATTGCCTTGGATTTTGGAGAAACATATGTGGACCGTCACCGCGGCCCTGGCAGGGAGTTAAGTTGACCGTGGCGATAATCCCGGTAGCGACTTTCAATTGTTCGAACCACGTGGTAATCCAACAAAGAAGAACAAAGAACACATGTACTTAAAGCTGACCAAAACGAAGATGGTGGCTCTTCTCTTAATCCACAATGTCTGTGAGGGCTTTACCCAGGCAAGTCGAGGCTGGTGATACCGAATCCAAAGGTGAGCGAGGGCTACTCGACCCAGACATCTCATACTGATAGTTCTGAGTCAAAGTGCATTCATGGGGAAAAGAAAACCTGCCCCTTGAAATGGTAGAGAGGATCGTTCGACTCGCGTGGTTCGAATCCTCTTGGAGCCCCAATGACCTCTACGACCTCCATGTATCTCTCTGGTCGGTATAGCATGGCGGGAAATAGTGGTCAAGATATGTCAACGGCGCCTGTTGCTATTGCAATCCCGCTATATGGATCTGTATGGCAGTCTCATCACTATGGAATATGCTAGGCTATGTCGCATCGGCCAATGTGGCTTCAAAAACCTGGTCATATTCACGCTTTGGGCCGCTGAACATGCATGCGTCGAGCTGGAATACGATGTTACGCGGGCTCTCCGACACCTCCTGGTCGAGAATCGCTATCAGAGTAACATTTTCTACCGCCTGGTGATGGTAAACTGCACAAGCGTGCTGTTGAGAATGCCAGACGAAAGAGTGCTTCCCTTCTTTCATCTGGCTAATATGCGGTCTGTGGAAAGTCTGCTTCTTTCTTGGTCTCCTTGCACTGGGTCAAACGTCCAGTTCATGAACCGGGGGATCACTAGGGATGTGTCCTTGGAAAAGGTCACATACCTGCGCCTCCGCAACTACCCTCGCTGCCTGTGCAAGGGCAAGCACAGCGAAAACTCCGTGCAGGTTTGCGTCGCCTTCTACTTGCCAACATACTTCCCCAAACTACAGCATCTCCATTTCGAAGAGCCCTACTTCCTCAAGCGTCTCGTGCATCCGCCGGGTCTGGAACGGGTCACTCTCGAAGCGCCTCCCGACCATTCTATATCATCCCTCGGTGCCTACACCAGCATCGCTTCTTACAACATCGCCTCTGCACTTCGCGCCGGGTTTCTCAGACGCAAGCGCGTAGGCGACCCTCGGAAACTTATCGTGGTCAACACAGGCACAGCCAAGCCCGTTGGCTGGCAGGACGCTGTCGCAGCATGCCACGAGTACGACGTGTCCATCGAGTTCCGCTGCACGTACCCCGACTAGCGCTAGAAACTATCATGATTCTGTAACTGTTCTGTTGCTGACACCCTATGGTTTCATCCCTTGTACTGGTTGACTGTTTTATCAAATATCAAAGTTACACCTCATTAGCATAGATTAACGTGGAGGGTGAACGCGGAAGTCGGAGCTCCACATGCTCTCCAAACATTCAGTCATCAGACACATGTACTACAGAGATTAAAGTAGCAATAACAACAAGTTAACTATAACAACATCCGACACCATCAAAGCATCGTGCAGCAGAAGATCCAAGGAGTGCGGGACGAAAGACGTGAGCGAGACTCGAGAAATAATGGTCGCCTGCGGTCCTCATGCCTCATTCTCCAAAACTTCCTTTTCGTACTTCTTCTTCATAACACTCACTGTCAGTGAAGGTCGCAAGTCAGCATGAGTTCAAAATGCTACAGTAAAGAAAAACGAACCGTCGCGAGAGATCTGGCCCGATGACAACCAGCCTTCGGGAAACGCAGCAACAATCTGCATTTTCACTGAGCGGTCATGACGCAACGATCGACTGGACATCGCCTCACCTTTTGGTACAACGTCTTCCGCACACCCTGATCGCTCACCACTTGGTTGTTGCCTTCCAGGTTGCTGCAAGTGACACCACTGAGTACATGCCGGAGGACAAGAACAGTAACTGCTCACTTCTTCTCATTCTCGATCCTACAACACTCATTACTGAGGCAGACGAGCTGCCATATAAGGGCCTTCATCGTGTCCGTAAGCCGATACCTCTTCGCAGGCGGATGGGGCTCCCTATCCTTCCCCTTTCCGGTCCCGGCATGCTCCTCGTGCTCACCGTTCTCATGGTCTGCATCCTCGACAGATGGACGTTGCGCCAGGGCCGATCCCGGAATCTTGGGAGTGGGCTGGCTATCCGACGCCGCAGGCGTGCCCTCGACCGAGTGCCCACCCGCCTCCGCTTCGGCTTTAGCGCGCTCTTGCCGCTTTTCTGGAGACGAAGTCAACATGCCATTATACTAAACCGTAGCTAACGTACTTACCCCATGAAAGAACACTCCTGTCGTATTCCTCCTTCGCCTTCGGGAATCCCTCGTCTGCAAGGGCCTTCAGCTCCTGCAAGAGCACATTCTGGCGCTCGATGAGAAGGTTCGTGTGTTCTCTCCACACGGTTCGTTTGATTAGTTTCTACGCGGTATATGTAACTCATTAATGCCGTGGCTCTTGCGCAAGTTAAATACACTTACGGTCATAGTGAACTTGTTGTATGGGAAGAGCCGCGGCATGAGGTTGAAGAAGTTATCGTCGTACTCGCCGAGGATGATCGCCTGGAGCGCGACCTGCGCCAATAACGGCTTGAGACTTGGTGGGAACTTGCCTTTGACTTCCCAAGTCTCTGCGTGAAGGAGTGCAGATCAGTATATCGCGTGCGCACGCACGAAGGTGGGCATACCCTTCGCAATTGCCTCCCTGAGCTGGTCCAGAGCCTTCTCGAGCTCAGGATGGAACGGTTGCTGCCCATGGATCGTCAAATCGCGCCGCGCAACACAGAAACAATACTCACAATTTCCACCGTCTTCCGTTTCTTCTTGGAACCGCCCTCGGCATGGTCAGCGCCGCTCAGACTTGTCAGAATAGTCTCGGAAGCGCTCGACTTCCGCTTCAAACCTTGGGTGTGGTGTTCGTCCTCCGCGTCAGAGTAGAGTGCGATGGGCGAGTCGCGCGTGCCGTCCTCCTTCTTGGCCTTCTTTGCAGACGGGGAAGGAGGTCTCAGCGTCGACGGTCCCGCCAGCGGTCCGACGAGTGAGGGAGGGAGAGACGCGGAGGAGAGCGCCGCGGAGACGGAGGCAGAGGGTGCCATGATGTTCGGTTTCTTAGATTTCGGCTTCTTCGGTGTCCTGGGCAACAGTTTCGTCCACAGAGAGTGAGTAATTAGGTGACCGAGGACTCACTTATTCACGAGGGCTACCTGTCCACTGGAAACGTAGAAGCCCTTCTGCTTCGTCTGTGCGAAGTAGGTGCGCTCATCCTGGGCGAGTTCCGAATCGTCGATGAAGGGATCATTGGTGTCGTAATACTCCTGGCCGAGGTTCTTCTGCGCGAGTCTGAGTACGCAATGGCAGTGGAAGAGAGAGGTGCGCACCTTCTTGCGTTTCTTCTTATCGTTCTTGCCGTCGCCCTCGTCGTCGCCTTCGCTGTGGCTGTCGTCGCTGATGTCCCTCTTCGGTGCGGGCACGGGGGTAGGCGGGCGTTGGCCAGTGGTCTTGCTGAGGGACGAGATGTCGACCTCGTAGTCGTCTGGGCCGCCGAGCTTGATGTCGAGGCGAATAGTTTGAAGGGGAGGGCGTGCGGGAGGGGGCGGAGATGGGGACGGGGAACGGGCAAGGTTGGACTTGGAAGACTTGGGTTTAGCGCCCGCGGCACCTAGCGCGGACTTGCCCGCTGCGGGCGCGGTCGCTGTCGACAGCGGCTTCGACTTGGTCGATTTTGGAGCGCCGTCGACGTCGTCGGTGGTGATGAGGCCGTTGGATGGTTCGCCAGAAGGCTCGCTGCCGATGGTGAGTCGAGCGAGGCGGGAGGCGTCGTTGTCGGGGTCGATAGGAGACAGCGATTGATGAGGTGGCGAGTCGCGCGAACTTGACGCCGCCGCCTCTGAATTTTGGCGGGGGGGTAACATCTCGACGTCGGCGGACATGCTACGCTAGTTGTAGAGGAGTAAACGGGGCAGAAAACGAGATATTTGTCAAGAAAAAAGGCGGAAGTTACCAAAAAAAGGCAGGGAGAGAGGTGGGGAGGAGAGGCGTCGGGCCCACCTACTCCCGCTGTTTTACGAGCCATTTGCCTCTGATTTGGCCTGCAGGGAAAATCGGCGCGGCCCAGCTTAACTTTGGAACAATGTGATTGGCTCGGCATTTCCCAGATACGATGCGCCAAACTGCATCTTCCGACTCCCCCATCTTCCGAATCTTCAACTCAAAAAAATCGTTCAGACCTTTCTCCCTCAAAATTACACATAGGATATGTTGTTATAGGTCTTCCTGTGTCTGTCTATGAACAATTTACCTGAGAGAACAGCACGTACACAATCCCCTGCAATTGACTCGGGCTTCGGAGCAAGCCCTTCCGGTAGTATCGCCTTGAACGAAATCTTGGTCTTAGACATTTCTCTAACTTACTTGCTCTTTTACTTCCGGTATCTCTTCTGCTCACAAAGCTGCGGAATTTACAAGCAGGCGCACCGGTGCGCGTTCATAACTTCATGCTCTGCGTTAATTTCGAGGTGCGGTTTCATTGCTTCAGGTTTTTTCTATATTTAAATAATGAATCTTCGCTGCTGCATATACTGCTGAGCAGGTTATGGTTGAACCACCTACACGTCGAGAACGATGATGATCTTAGTACGAGACTCGAGACATTGATTGAGAGCCTGAATATGTGTGCATGATTCTTCTCTCCGTCTTGCAGCCATCACCTTTCTGCGTGCGGCCTGTGAGTCACTACCATTCCTTTCGACCTTGCTTGATCAGATGTACTTCATTTATCTTGAGTGCTGCTGGTCATACACTCAGACCACTGCTGTGAGGGACTCTCAGTAGTGTGTACAGTAGCCTGTACTAACAACTGCTTGGACACAAGCTATGCTTCTCCATGGTCCGGCGTACGTGGTGCATTGACATTGCTACCCATGATTATATCCCAAAGCCCGCCTCACGTTTGTTTCGTTAACGCCAGACAACTCATTGGTAAGATAAGTCTATGCTAGCTATTTTGCACGCCTCATAGCCCAAGCTCGTCCGCGTAAGGCAGAGACGCAGTGTTCCCAATCGCAACATACGTCGGTTTGCTCTTGAGCAACGAAGATGTGATCTGGAATCAAAGTTTAAGGATCGCTCACGAAGAGATCCGCACGAAAATCATACCTTCGAAACTGCCGACGCGTCAACCTTGTCCAGACCCGACAACGCGCCGTCGAGCGTTACCGGCGAGCCAGAGAAAGCCTAATGAACTTATTAGAACCGGTAAGACAAGTAACTTCGCGTCACGCACCGTCGAGCCGAGGGCAGAAATGAGACCATCACGCTTGTCGAACGCACTCGCTGCCTCAAACTTCGCCTTGCTAACAGCCTTCTTCAAATCCTCGCCCTTAAGGCTGCCCGCGGCCTTCAGCGCAGTAACGGCTGCCTGTCCAGCAGCCTTCACGCCCTCCGTCGTCTCGCCCTGAATGAGCAAACCGAACAAGGTCGCATCAGAGTACGGGAGTAGCACACTCTTCACCGACGTCCCCACGGGCGTGCCAGCAGCGATGGGCGAAAGGCCTTGTGACCATTTGATAGCGGGGGTTGGGTCAAGGTGCGCCGCGAGCACCGCCAGCTCGGGCGCAGACGCACCAGTGGTACCAAAGCCGACAAACACGGTTTCGGGCGCGCCATGGCCGTCAATGCGCGTCTCGCCACCGAAGTACTTGCTCGGAGACGACGCAGGCGTGGCGGCAGCGGATAGAGAGCCGAGGGACTGTTCGACGAGACCTTGCAGGGTCGCCGGATTAATGCCGGTGCCGAGAACAGCGATGTTGCCGGCACCGAAGACGGACGCGGCGTACGCCTTGACGTCGTCGATGGTGAGGTGACTGTTGGCGGAGGAGAACACGGACGAGCCAAGGCCGTTGCGGAACGCGAGCGCGTGCGCGAGCTCGAGTGCGTGCGTCGCAGGGTCTGAGAGCAGGGCGGTGGATTCTGCCTGGCACACGGGCGCGACGTACTCGCTGAATTCGTGGCGGGTGAACTTGGCGGAGGTCACGAAGGAGGAGAGCACGTTCACGAAGAACGGCCTATGCGACTTCAGCGCGAAATCAGCGCGTTCATATTCGACAACACTCACTCATCCCCCCTCAGGAACTCGGCAGTGACTGCCAGGTGCTCCCTTGTCAGACTTGTTGACAAGACACCACCATAGAGCTCAGCTTCACGGATAGTCCCTAACGCGGAACGCTGGCCCGTACTCTGTTCATGATGCATTCAACTTCGATGCGCCCTTCGAAAAATATGCTTCGATACGTACTTTGAAAGCAAAACCCTTCAAAGCATGAGCGACACCAGGCTTGGTCTCGAACCTGCTGCCCGCCTTAATGAGAAAAGTGACAGCGGATGTCGGCTCGCCGTTGTCTACCGCCGCGACCTTTACGCCAGCGGTGTCGACAACACTCGCAAAATTTCGTGCAAGACGCGACGCACTTCGCACGGCCGACGCTCTGGCGGCGAGCATGGAGAATTCTGGGAGACGAGAGGAATAAAGTTGGAGGGAGTAGTGTAAATTCGGTGCGACAGCGAGGCGCTCCGGAATTGGCCGAACCCGACAACACCTTCACCAAGAAAAAAATTGTGTATTTCGCAAGAGCAAGGAACATCACATTTCAAACATATTGACGCAAATTCAGCCATCGTACTACATCCTACGCGTTCTGCGCGCGTGCACAGTGTGATACGTGAAGATCATCCCGGGAACTGTATCCAGCTCGCGCAACGCCCCGTCAATCAGCACCTGAATATTCACCTCGGAAATGCCGTAGTCGATCAACAGCATTCTCACCGACTCCGTATACGTCTTCAACGTGTCGGCGAACTTCCTGCCCACCTCTCGAAATACAGGGTCTGACGTCCATTCCCCGATGGGAACGTCAAACTGCTGCACATGAAGTCGGTCAAATTTGCCCGACTGGCGGATCCAACCAGGGATCTGGGGGCCCGTGGGGTGCACACCTCCCCTCATCTGCAGAGCGCGTAGTACAGCATCGAAGAAATTACAGAGACCAGGTGCAGGAATCGCAGGATTCATGCGATTCACCGGCATGCGCCCCCACTCGCAGGCGACGAACAGTCCACCTGGACGGAGGACTCGTGCGACTTCCTGGAGAAGCCGAGGATAGTTCTCGACCTTGTGCCGTAGTTCAGATATATATCATGCATCAAGTTGAACTACTCACTGCCATGGAGATGCTTCGACCATGAACAAAGTCAATGGTGCCGTCCTGGTACCGGAAGCGCTCGCCGAGATCTTGCATCTCAAACTGCACTCTAGGACCCGGGTAACGAGTTGCGATCGGAACTTCCAAGCAGCGAAGTCGTAAGTCTTCCCAATCACAGAAGAAGAGCCAAGATGAACACGTACCGATATCAATGCCATCAAATCTCACATGCGGAAACCTCTGTGCCATTTCCATGACCCTGTGGGGACAAATGAAGAGATGAGATGACCTGAATGAAGAATATGGTACCATTTTCCTGTCCCAGTGCCCAAATCCACCACATGACGCTCTTCTCCAGGTAAGGCCTGCAGAACCTCTTCGACGGGCCCTACGAAATGTTCTCCGATCAGCCTATGGAGCAGTACATGCTGCTCATCATATCTCTGCACAACATGTTGACTCAGCTATATGCACACCACAGTAGCAGTAGAAGCTGCAATTAAGAGCAATACGTACAGCCTGCTCGTGCGCATCAACAGGTAGAGGATACGGAGAACGACCATGAGAATGGAAGAGTCGATTGCCCCGCTCCTGAAAGTAGTCGGGGAATTCTTCTGTACGCAACTCTGTGATTTCAGAGGACGTATCGGACCGAGCGTCCTCTTGAGAGAGGTCGGGGCCATCCCCGGAGTCATCACCAGAGTTAGGATTGTCGTGAGCATGGACCATGGGATCATCGACAGACATGCAGGAGGTACGCTTGACTGTGGTTGGGAACAAGGGCAAGCGGCCGTCGGGGATGGCTTTTGAGCATGGTCGCATAAAACTCCGACGATTGTGAACAGCGATGGAACTCAGCGGCGTAGGCGTATCCAGAAACAGCTCGATCACAGAGGGACTTGAAGTGTCAACGTGTCAGCTGCATTTCTGATTCACAAAAAAGGTGACAGGAACAAGAGTGCTAGCAACGGCAGCATGCGTTAGGTGTCTCTGCAGAATTAATAACAAGCGTCAGCGCCTTATCCAGGGGTCGAGCTATTGTCGAAAACCCGAAAGAGGAACAAGAGAGACCCTGAGGGCCTGAGAGGAAGAACTTCCAAATGCATAAGGTGGCGGCTAAGTCGAGTCGACTAGAATTGGTCAGCTCAGGGAGTGCGCGGACTTTGAGAGAAGGCGCGGGCGCGACGTCTTGATGTAAGCCGGAGACCCTGGAAACCGGGAGCTTTTCACCCACGCATTCCATGGGTGAAAACGAGCGGGCCACCGGAGCTGAGCACGATGTGGACGGTGAGAGCCTCGTGAGACGATACGATCCCTATCCATCAGGTTCTCTCCATCGATGCCGACGCTAAGGAGCATCAATAATCGCGGCAGAAGGAGCCTCGCGCGTACCAAGGCTCGGAGATGCGAACACTGCTGGAGCGCACGAGACCACCTGAACAACACCAATCAGAGAGCTAGGACAGCCGTTCATGGGCCATCATTACCTGACTGTTGTTCTTCATTTGGTTCTGTGGGTCCCAACAGAATTTTGCGGGGAGACTCAAGAAAGAGCCCCCTTGTTGGCGACATTTACTACATTATTCCGCAATAGAAAACACCTCCGCGGCAAAGACACCAAGTATGAGAGATCCTCCAACCGCTTTCCACCTCGCCCCAGAATTCGTTAGCGAACTGCATATTCCAATAAGGGATAATCACAGTAAACAGTCCCCGTTAACACTTTACGCAGCGGTAGAAGCAGAAGATCCCCGCGAAGAATTCAAAGATCCTCCCAGTCGACGAGGTGCTTCCATTCCCTCGAGTAAATCGCACAGCTATGGCGGAAACACGTCCAAATATTGAGCATGCGGTTCGAAAGGTAGCATGGCATAGACAGTTATTCGAAGAGACGAAACCTAAACAAGCAGAGGAGACAGGTGGAAAAGAATATTGCAATTTGAACTTCACCCTACTTCACCTCGAGTGATACCGTGGGAAACTACGCGATCGTTGATTGCCGAAAAGGGTAATTCGGTGGTTCACTCCATGCACCTCCCCACAGTGTGGCCACATCCGGTTTGACCCTTCCCCCCTCTCCAATATAACCCTTCGTGCAATATGTCTGACGTAGAGACTTTTCTCCGGGAACTAGACGAGCGTATGAATTATCCGGACGAGGATATTGACGAATATCTGTGGCGCCACAGAAACCAGAGGTACGCGGGCGGGGAGAGCCATCGCCAGAACATGCATCTCATCAGTCAACCAGTCAAATAGGCATATCTTCCAGCGGGGAACGTTCGTTATCCGTCGCCATCGCTGCAGCTAACCCTTTAGCATCGTCCAACGAGCTTCACGGTATGGATCTCGTGGCCGCATTGGTTGTGTGTGGCTGGATATTCTAACACAATTCATACCTTCTTGTAGAAGAAATGGTACAAGGGCCATCGAATAGGTATACATTCCATATCAGTACATTGCTGCTAACGCTACTCACACACCGATTTCTTCCTACCAGCGTGAAACGGAAGTCGCCAGACTCAAATGGCATCTCGACTTCTCCACCTAGAAAAAGGCAGAGAACAGACAACACCCACGAGAATAAAATACTTGATCATAATCCGCCTTCAGATAGGGTAGATGCTGCAAGGACTGCATATTCACAACATATTTCATCGTAAGTATCACCCCGTCGACCTATACGAAATGAAGTTATTAATTCCTCAAAGACCTCAGAGGCCCCACGAAACCGCAGATCATACGGAAGATGTGGATATTTTGAGTAATCAGAAGGATGTGGTTGTTCTAAACGCGACAGGCTCGCGGCCTAGAGTGTCAAACACACATGGAGTTCATAGTATGGCTGATCATCACGATCCAGAACTTCCACTCCATCAATTATCGATTCCAATCCAAGAAGACCGACCCACGGAAGCTGTACATGGTCCCACTAACAAGGACACGCCTCACCCGTCAAGTCCTGCACGAGACGTCAAATCAGCAACGGAAGCGTCTGCGGGCTCTTCCAGGGATGCGCCGAAAGCGTCGAGTTGTGCCAGTACAGTGAAATCGAATCGCCGCGACAAAGTGCTAAAGATTCCTAAGGAAGATCCCCGACAAGCTCGGATTACGAATAATAGCACCATCACCACGCTGCCCAGCTCCGCCGTCAGCCTATCCGCCGTATCTCCCTCATCGATCAACAATGCTAGAGTGAATAGCGTGAAGAACCAGAAGCAGCAGACCACAGCGAAGAACCAGAAATCGAAGAAGACAAAGGTGCTTACAACTCCGGCGGAGTACGCACGACGGCTGCAGGCAGAATACAAACCAAAGCGGTCCGTTAAGCCACAGTACCTTAAGGGAAAGAAGATTCTTTATGTTGGTGATGATATGCTTTATGCCAGTGCGGAGACGAAGGGCAAAATGAATATTGTGAGTGATTCCTCCCGCATGTCCGTTGTCTTCTTGTTCCGCCCGTGGCTCACACAGAAGACTCCGCCGCCAACTTTAGATTAAGAAGCATGGAGGAACACTGGTCGCAACATACGATCCGGATGAGGTCACACATATTGTGACCGACATATCAAAGGAGATACTGCTCAAAGCTCTCGGCCTCAGGTCTCTTGATCAGATTCCCAGCCACATTCACACAGTGAAGTGGAGATGGATCATTTCCGGTCCAATTAGCAGTAGAAGCGGTCGCGCAGGTCAGCCTAAAGGCAAAGGAAAGGCAGTAGACGTTGGCGGCGATCAAGCAGAAGATGATAAGGGTGCCCAACAGGAAGAAGAGGTCCCAGCGTGGATGCCATACGAATTCGAATACGCCGCCTTCGACGAGAGGATTGACGCTGACCCATTCTGGCAGCGGAACATGGCGCACAAGCGCGGACGGGGAACCGGAGATGGATGTGATAGGGGCAGTTCTAGTGGGCGCAGAAGTCTGGACAGAGATCAGGAAAGCGGCGAGGTCGGCAGCATCTCGTGCGTATGGGGTGTGGTGTGCACGTTGCGGCATATTCTGACATCGGCATCAGCGAGTTCACACAGGATAAAATTGTTCCCCAAGTTTCGGCGATAGTCGAACACGAGGAAGCGCCACCTTCCCCTTCCAGACCTACCACTGGGTGCGATGGGCGAGCACGTCCCTCAACGAAGCGGACCACGTCGACCACGGTGAAAGGCCGTTCAGCTTTCCGCAGGGATTCTCAAGCAACGATAGCCGGTTCCTCCGCTTGCGACCCGCTGGCCACCTTCTATGAGGTAGCACGGGCCGAACGAGATGAAGTGGGTCTGTTTCAATCGCACACAATGTCTTCTGTCTCAATGTGGCCCTTCTCTTCCTATAGCTGCTGCGTTGTCAGGAGACAGACACCGATACTGATACGGGGGATGAGTCAGACAGAGACAGGCAACACAGCGTCCATAATGCTTACCGTGAGCCCGCGAAGAAAAGGGTGCGTGGACCTTGTACTTTACTTGGGACCATGCAAGAGTATATCGGACTATTTACTGACTCCACCAGGGATTTCTGTGTGATAACAAGGACCCACCATTGCCTGGAGAATGTCCCAATCAGGATGTCATTGACAAGGTATCTATCACATGTCGAGTCCTCCAATCCTGACCGTAACAATATCTCAGTTGCAGGAGTTGAGGGAGCTTCACAAAGCCAAGCCATCGGCCGAGGACCGCTGGCGTGTCTTCAGCTATGACAAGGGTAGGAGAAATTTTCATCTAGTCCCGTTTGTTCCTCACCCTCATACTCTCGCACTCGATTCCCCAGCTATCAGATCACTGAAGGACTACCCTACCAGAATCAAGTCGTGCAAGGAGGCGCGGGCAATCCGAAGTATTGGCGAGAAGACTGCTCAGAAGGTGTGCTGGCTGTACTCCCATTGCCGAGTGGTCTGCGCTTACGGTCCACTCAGATTATGGAAATAATTCAAACTGGCAATTTGCGTCGCATTAAGTACGAGAGGACTGAGGACGTCGGTGTGATCAACTTGCTTCAGGGAATTTACGGCGTTGGTGAGTTGATGCCTTATACTCAAATCAAATATTTGACAGTGTGCTCACTCACATTCAAGGAAGAAATACCGCTTTTCAATGGTATGCAGCCGGATGTCGGACTTTGGAGGATGTTAAAGCCAGAAAAGGGGGGATCAAGCTCAGTGCGTCCCAGGAGATCGGACTGAAGTTTTATGCAGGTAAGTGGTGTGCATTCAACCTGTTAATCGTCTGAGTAGTCTGGTCATCAATCTAGACATAAATACAAGAATGCCGAGGAGCGAAGCTGCAGCAATTTTTGAGATTATTAAGCCAATCGGTCTGCATTTTATCCACTCTGCAGCGGTTGCTCGATCACTAATCTTCGTTGTGAACAGCGCGGAGTATCGATCCGAACTTGGTGATCGAGATCATGGGAAGCTTCAGACGGTTTGGTGAATTTTATCTCTCCCCGACACTGCATGCTGATCAGTCGACAGAGGAAAGGCCGACTGCGGAGACATAGATATTCTCATCACTCGACCGACGGCAGATGGCGGGAATCACAGAGGTGGGTCAGCGTTCGGAACCGGTCTTGAAATAAATTTCATATCAACGGCAGGCGTCCTCAAACATCTTTTGCGGGAGCTGCATCGACGAGGTATCATCACGGAAAATCTCGCTATGCCGGAAGATTTTGACGACTTGGAGCTAATATATCGAGGGCTGTGTAGGCGAGACCCGCATAGTATGAGACGCCGGATAGGTGAGAGCTAAATCGGTGAAGACATCCTGATCGGACGTTGATTCCTCTTTCCGTAGATTTTCTCACCGTCCCGTATGAGTCGAGAGGTGCCGCTCTGCTCTACTACACTGTAAGTGAACTCGTCGATTCGCATATTCCGCAGTTAAAGGGGATATAATGCGGGACGTTGTAGGGTGATGATATCGTGAGTGTCTTTATTTTAGTCTAGATGCTAACGCATCTCACCGCCTCCCGTCTCAAGTTCAATCGGTCTATGCGGCTGAAAGCCAACAAGATGGGGTACTCACTCAATCAGAAAGGCTTATTCGCTGGCGTCGTGCGGAATCCAAGGGATCGTCGCCAGAAAACAAATCAAGGTGAGCCTTCTCACCTCCTTCGTGTAAGTGCGCGATTTGAACCCATAGCCTTAGGCAACATAATTGCCTCGGAGACTGAGCGAGAGATCTTCGACATACTCGGTACGTATCATTCACAATCTGAGGACAGAAGAATAAAAGTTTAAGCTCCGATCGTGTCGTCTTAGGTGTACCATGGCAAGAACCCCACGAACGAGTTAGGAATTTTTAAGAAGCAAATTTGCGGAAGACGTCATATTGGATTATACGACTCATGCTGCGTGTTGGAGCCGCGAGGACATGGATAATATCAATGTGTATTGCCACACGAACATTTCACTGTCCGTGTCTTTCATATGATCAGAATTTGGAAGGAAATGGAAACCCAGGAGTATATGGCGACTGCCTTCCTACTCTCATATAGACGCCGGAGACGATCATTGTGCTGTTGTACAAATAGCATGAGTAGGAGTGAGCATTTGAAGGCCAGATAAATTCACTAATGACTCATTGGATTGAAAGATAATATGAGGACTCGCAGTTCACTTACGACTCGTCATCCACAAAATTCAATAGCGACTCTCGTGAATGTCTCGGTCACCTTCCGAATACTGTCCACAGTCGCAAACTCTCTCGCTGCATGTGCGCCTTCCCCCTGTGCACCGAACAGCACGACCGGCATGCCCTTCTCCGCCAGCAACGCGCTATCTGCCCAGTAGGTAGCGCCAGCGACCGTCGGCGCATGTTCCAAGACGCTTTCCGCATGCTGTGAGAACATCTTCACGAATGGATTCTCCCGGTCCACTTCATACGGTGGTCGGGCATCTCCAACACGCAGCAAGTAGCGGAAATCCGGCACACGGTGAGAGACTTCGTCGAGTACTGCACGCAGCTGGGTTTCGACTAACGTCGGGGTCTCTCCAGGAACAGTGCGTCGCTCGACTGATACCGTACACAAAGCCGGATACGAGGATGCCTCTTCCCCTCCGCGAATCAAGCCTGCATGCACCGTACCCGTGCCCAGCACAGGATGCTCCGCATGTGCTCCTTTGAGCAACGTGTCGCCATACGCCTCTAATGCGACAAGAAAATGCCCAGCCTTTACGATCGCATCGACACAAAGATCAGGCCGCGAGCCGTGGCCTGCCTTCCCGATAATATCCACTTCAAACCATACGAAGCCCTTGTGCGACAGCATCAGCTCCAAATTGGTAGGCTCGCTTACGACGGCGGCGTCTGCACGCCAGCCCGCAGCAAGTACTTCTTGAGTGCCGAGGCTCAAATTCTCTTCGTCTGCTACGAGGGTAAGGATGATGTCACCTCTCGGTCTCGACGCGCGGGCGCGGTGTGCAGCGACAAGGGACGCGGCGATGCCTGCTTTCATATCAAATGTTCCCCGCCCGTGCACTGCGTCATCGACAAGCGAGCCACTGAGCGGATCCCCGTCATAGCCTGCGAGGGTGACGGTGTCGATGTGCCCGTTGAACATAAGTGACTTCCCGCCACCGCTTCCGCGTGCAACACCGACGACACTAGGGCGACCAAGGTGCGCCTCCAGGCGATATGCATCGAAGTCGTGATGCGCGAGCCATGCAAGGAGATAGTCTACAATTTCAGTTTCGCCTGCTCCACCACTAAGGTCGGGGTTCGAAGAGTCGATCCGGGTGAGTATCTGTGTCAGCTCTACAGGGTCTGATGTCGTGCTATCAAAGGGTGCCGTGTACTGGCGAGGTCCTTCGGTAGCGAGCAGCACGACCACGGACTCGGGTTTAATGAGGTCTTTCTGACTCGCGAGTTGACGTAGCGCCGCAAGTGGAGCGGCACCACATGGCCCAACACCTATGCCTACTGCATGGAGGTCTTGTACTGCTCGGTGAGCCTCTATGTCTGGGATTGATATCGCGATGTCAACCCCCTCGCTGAGCAGCGGCCACGCTATGGACGACACGGTTCCGCAGTTCAGGCCTGCCATGATCGTCGGGCTCGTAAACACGCTAGGAGGCGTAGATGACGGAGAGGTGCATGTCGACAAGCTCTTCCGCAGACAGGCAGCGGTATCTGGCTCAACCGTGATTACAGTGGTTGCGCGACCCTGATGCTTATAGTGCGCAACGACGGCCTGCGCGAGCGAGCCAACGCCGACCGGTACGATTACCACGTCCGCAAATTTACCTCTTGTCAAGGAGGCGACCTGTTCATCCACCTCAGCCAGCACCGTCGAGTACCCATCGACAATCCACTGTTTCATACAAGCTATGAATACTTTGGGCCTGCAGGCATAAATGGACACACCTTGGGCACGTCTTCGTATCCTGCGAAAGCCGTATCCTGTATGAGAATTCCTCCAGTCAGCGCGTTTGCCGCTAAGCTCGCTGTCTTCACCGCCGCATCGTAGTCTCCGTCTGTCTTGACAACACGCGCGCCCTCCCCGGCGATGAAGTCACAGATCGTGCTGTCTAGTGCTGCCGGTACATAGATCTCACAACCGACGCCGAGTAGCTTAGCCATACGTGCAAGTGCTCTGCCATGGTTCCCATCGGTTGCAGCGAAGAAGGTAATGTGTGCATCGCGCGCACGAGAAGCGAGAAGCTCAATGGACATGTCCGGATCATATGGGAGCTGGACTTCACGCGCCACAGCCTTGCATGCCGCCCAGGATGCTCCTAAGATCTTGAATGCGGGAAGCCCGAAACGCTCTGCTTCATTCTTTAACAAGACTTTATCGCACCCGAGTTGTGCTGCATCAAGAGAGTGTAGCACAGTAGGGCTGTATCCTGGGAGGTTGCGGTGGAAACTGGCCAAGTTGACATCCGGAATAGAGGCTTCAGGTGCTGTGTACGAGCTTGAACGCTTTCGGCGGTAAAATGCTGGCATGCCTCTCCGGCAGAACGGTGCGTAGGAAGGTGAAGTTCCTGCCAATGTCACTGATCACCAATGAGCTGAAACACTGAACATGTTCTGCCAATCGGGATCCTGTTACCTTACTTGCAAGGTATACCACCCTCGACGTCGAGTTGCAGGTAGAATTCGAAATACTGCTTATGCCCTCACGGCAATCTTAAGATAGGTTACATACCTTCTAAGTTTAGATAGAAAATATTGCGATGGTAAACCAACCTCACCTTCGAAATGATGTTCAGCCTTCAGCTAGGCCAGAATAATTTCCATATATAACATATCAGACTTGGACTTAGCCGAGCTGTGGGTGACCCGAGTGACCCGATGCTCAGTACCTGCGGGTGCAGCTCAACTGCCACCGCTACAGAAAGACGATGTCTTGAAATCGCTTGTATTACTGGTCAAAGGCTGGAGTCCACAATCAAACTGTAAACGGGAAAATTAAAAGAGCATAATATATATGCTGTACACAAGTTGTTACAATGCAATGTGACGGTATAGGTCCAGATATCTGCAGGAAAAACAAGAACAACGGCCGCGGTAGGACCCATGAAACATATATCCTACGGTAACATCAGAACAAGGACCATGAAAGCGAGTACGAATGAGAAGAAACAAGGCCGAAGGTAAGAAACAAGGCCGAAGGTAAGAAAGGCCTAATACTACTGCTAGTAGTGTTGACCCACCGCCTGCGACGAACATGAGTACTAACTTATATTTAAGCAGACGTGGCTACACGGACCTTGATTTCCTTCGCATAGTGTTCCGCAATCCGCTTACGCTGTATCTTCTGGGCGGCGGTCACGAGTCCGCTCTCGGGCGTCCACTCTTCGGCGGTAAGGACGACCGCCTCGAGGAGCTCCATCGTCTTGAAGCCGTTCTTCTTGCCAAGCGCATTGCACTGAGTTAGGAAAAACTCGCGCACCTTGTCGGTTTGACAGAGTTCGGCTAAAGAGGTGTTGGAGGGGACACCGAAATCATTGGTCTGCAGCGCGTGCTGCAGATGCTGTTCGTGTGGTATGATAATGGCCATTGGTTGCTTCGCAGCTGGAGTCGCGAGTACGCAGATATTGGACACAAGGTTACACGACTTGTAAACGGACTCGAGACGCTCAAGCGCGATGTACTGCAAAGACTATGTGTTAGGCATATCGCCAAGCCATCCACAACGAGACCTACCTCTCCACCTTGCAGCTTGATCAAATTCTTGATGCTAGGATAGTCGTTAGGGAGTCAGGAGCGGTCGATGAAACCTAAGCAACTGACCGGTCAACCAAGGATAATGTGCCATCCTCATTCCACTGGCCAACGTCGCCTGTCCTAAACCAGCCGTCCTTCGTGAAGATGTTCTCATCATTGTTGAGATCATCGCGCTTGTAGTACCCCCTAATCAAAGAAGGGCCGCGAATGCACACTTCCCCCTGTGGTGGTTTGTTCGTCGCGAAGTATCCAGATTCAGGGACGTCCCGAAGTTTGACCTCAACCGACGGCATCGGCAGGCCAACTGAACCCAGTCGCCCAAACTCGGGCGGCAGCACCGCACACATACCGCAACTCTCGGTCAGACCATAACCTGGGATGATATGAAATTCGCCGAACGCATGTATTGCAATGGATTAAACTTACCCATGAGGATTCGGACGAGAGCGACAGACAGGAACTCCTGAGTCTCCATACTAAGCGCAGCACCGCCGCAAAGCGCCAGACGCAGTCTGCCACCCGTTGCATTCTTGACCGTCTGTAGTACGGTGCTCTCTGCAATCTCGCTGAGTACGGGAATGCCTGCTTTTTTGACACTGTAAGCACCCGCGAAAACACTTTTCCGCAGGCTACCACTCGTCTTGATCTTTGCTTCAATCCCCTTCCGAATCATTTCCCACACGGCGGGGACACCGACCATGATCGACGGCCGGAACGCACGGATGTCGCCGAGGCAATGGCGTACCGAGGTGTCCATGAGCGTCTTCACACGCGCGTATCCGAACGTCATGCCGACGAAGAACAAGGAGAGCTCGACGACATACTCGAGCACGTGTGACAGCGGAAGGTATGCCAGGTACGTGTCGTCCGCCTTGAACCGGTGAATCAGTAGCGTGTACACCGAGCCGACGGACGCGACGAGGTTCCTGTGAGAGATCACCGCCCCCTTCGGCGCACCTGTCGTTCCGCTTGTGTACATGATGCACGCCACGTCCTCCGCCGACGGCTGCCTGCCCTTGAGCACTTCCTCCGACACGCTCCGTCCGTGATCCCGCACCTCGTCCAGCGTGAGCACCTGGATACCTTCGCGTGCGTTCCTGACCTTCTCGAGCAATGCTGGCTTCGGCTCCCCGTCATAGATGACCAACCTCAAAGAAGGCACGTTCCCAGCGACGTTGGCCACCACCGGGAGCAGGTCCGCGTTCGTGAAAATCACACCGCACTCGGGCTCATTAAGCGCGTGCTGCAGGCCAGATTCGCCCAGAGTCTCGTACGCGGTTGCGATACGCACCGAAATCGCGCTGCAAGCGTAAGAGACGAGCTGCCAGTTTGGGCTGGGGATAATGAGTCAGCCAATAAACCAGTGGGAGAGGAAGCGAGTAGGGTCAATGGATGAGAACGCGAGTAGGGTCAGTGGATGAGAACGGAATGGGAAAGAGCATGAGTGGGTCAGGAGGCGAAGGAACGAACGAACAAGTTAGTGAGAACCCCTACCCGCAGAGCCACTGCCACGTACCTGGTGGCGGCGTAGACGTTGACTACATCCGACTTCTCCACTCCGAGCTCGATGAGACCACCGGCGATCTGAAGAGCAGCCTCCTTGACCTGTATGAAGTTCAAGTACTTGTAGTCGCTCAGCTGGAAGTACTTCCAGATCTTCTTCTCCGTCACCTCCTTTCCGCCCACAAACTTCCTGACCTCCTTCTCCTCCTCATGGACGTCAATAATCTCTCGGTATCCAAAGGCATTCTTGACCCCATGCGTTCGAGCGGCATAACAAAGGACGTCGTGCACGGTGTCGATGCCCTCCCAGGGTTGAGTGAGGAGCTTGTCCTTGCATTTCGTAAGACGATGAATCCGAGTCTCTCCCTGGACATCCTCTGGACCAACTTCGACGGATCCAACCTTGCCAAAGAGCTTCTGGCCCGCTGCGGTTACCGTCATGGTGGTTGGGGAAAGGGAGAGTTGCTGGCAGGCCGAATCCGCCCCAGTAATAACCGGCGGCACGTTGAATCTCCGATCAAGCCGGGCTCCAGCCGTGTTTGAGCGGAGATCAAACAAGTAGCCATACATTGCGTAAGATCCGAGTCACGATCCGCCTGCATTAATATTCCAAAGCTTCACCATCGCGTGGGTTTAAAAACTTTTAATGCGCAGTACGTAAGGTTGAAACGGTGAAACGGATGAGATTAGCTGACTACGCCAACTACGTGGCTCAGGTACAAAAAGGCACCTCGTCAGCTACGGTTAAAGTATGTATGGTAAAAGTAAAAGGTTGGGCTCAGCCAGACATTGGAGGGATTATGGCTGAGCCCAACCTTACAACTCAGAAATGTACAGTGTATGATTTGTTGCGCGAGTGAAATATGAAAATGTCTCTTTACGTAAGCCAGCGCGCCACCAGATTGGGCTCTCAAGATCAAGAGAATTCACGTAGCGGCAAAGAATGAATATTTACTGTTCTTCAGAAGAGAGGCGGCACAGTGCTCCTTTGTTGACAGCAAGAGCGATGAGGGTAGGCGAGATCGCTCGGGTCACCCTATTCCACCAACCAGGGGTGCAGGCTGCACAAGGCGCATTCCACCTTTTTTCCTGGGAAAAAATCTGGGGAAAACGACAAAGTAAGTCTCCGGGAAATATCCGGGAAAAACTGTGAGAAAACAATAGTGTAAATCCTGGGGAAAAACCGTGACCCAGAAAAAGCAACAGATTTCTCGGAGAGAAAACCTTTGTTTCCAAATCGGGATTTCTGCAACATCAGGAAAAGTCAACTCTTGGCTCCCTTATTGCCTTGATTAAGGAGGTCTGCTTCCCTATTTGGCCAATTAAGGTGAATAAGGAATAATAATAATGAGGATCTCCTTAAAATCTCCTTAATCAAGGGAATAATCTGGGTAAGCAAGAGTTGACTTTTGCTGATGAAGAGGCACAGGAAGCATTACCACTTTTATCCATTGGAAATAACCTGGCAAAAAGCATGGAAATCAATAATATATTTTCAGAGGAAAAACTTCGAGAAAAAGTGAGAAAAGAACAAAACATTCTCACGGTTTTTCCCTTGGAAATAAGTTGCCTACCATATCAGGCAACTGGACATGCCAGGACATGCCAAAACCCGGACAAAACTACCATATTTGGCGACCAACTTATTTCCAGTGGAAAAACTGCGGAAATGCTTTGTTCTTTTACACATTTTTTCCTCATGTTTTTCCCGCAGTATAACTTTATTGATTTCCACACATTTTTCCAAGTTATTTCCTCGAGAGAAAAGGGGTTATGTGTCCTGTGAGCTATGCGGAAATCCCGATTTGGAAACAAAGGTTTTCTCCGAGAAATCTGTTGCTTTTTCTGGGTCACGGTTTTTCCCCAGGATTTACACTATTGTTTTCTCACAGTTTTTCCCGGATATTTCCCGGAGACTTACTTTGTCGTTTTCCCCAGGTTTTTCCCCAGGAAAAAAGGTGGAATGCGCCTTGTGCTGCGTCACAAAGAAATCTCCATTCGCCTGCAAATGAGTCCTGAAACCAACCCTGGATTATATAGGCACGTTAATTACTTTCTGAAACTCCTGCAGTCTAATATTAGCACAAGTGATATAAAGAAACAAATACCGATCCTTGGCAATGCGCAAGTTGATTCGCATCATATTACTTACTCATGATCAACGAGCAGGCGTACCTAGTGACCGGAAGTTGGTATCTCATGTGCAATACCCGACAGGTGTTTCACACGATGATGTGCTCCCTACCACTGTATGCTGACCGCAGTTTAAGTCCAAGTGCGATGGGCTACGAACGGCAGGCGCAGCAACACACCAACGCGATACTGTATTCCGAATGGAAAAGCAGGGTGCACAGACCGAACAATGCGTCGACCTCGCTCCGGATCCACCGCCTGGTGTCACCCGTCCTACTTTGGCCAGTCATTTGGTCGTTCAGGCGGTTCCAATACTAATTGTCTAGATCGTGTTTCTCACCTGTGCACAGCGGCTGATACACATACATCGGCGAACTAGCGCGTCTTCTGTTTGAATTCGGTAGCGGATGAAGGAGAGATTTCGGGTACTAACCGTCTCTATAAGACTGTCAGGCTCCTGATAGTGAGCGCTCACCGATGAAGACTGTATATTTGAAATCGAGAGAGGGGGTTCTGGGACCACCGCAGAATGCGCACGGAAACCCAGCCGAGTAGCATGTACGAGGAGTTAGATATACATGCAGCAATACTTAATCTTGACTCACCGTGTTAGGTACTACCTCCCAGGTTCATTCACGCTAGTCTCGAAATATACATGTCTGATACAGTGAGGGCACTAATCAAAGACAACACCACACTTGAAGCTTTCAAGAGCTCGCAGTGGATGCCTTCCCGTAGCCGTTTAGAAACGTTTTAAACTAAATTTCGTCTCTAAATCTGGCCGGCACGTCGGCAAATTGATCTCCGCATACCGTGAGAGCAAAGTGAGCTCTTTCTAAACCTTATATCTGGAACGGGGGGTCGACCCCCCCTTCCAGATTCTAAACGTCTCTCTAAACGATGATTTCGATCTCCGCCCACTCGCAATGCCCATCTTTGCCTATATTTGGTGCTGCATATTGCTTACATCATGCTGCCGCTCGTCCTCCGACCCTCTAGAACTTGGTTTGATCATCATCATGTTGCGACGCTACGGTTCACAAATCCTGCTGTTCCGACACAGTGGGGTGTTTCGCAGTCCGCTTTGTGATTTAGAAGTGCTCCAAATCCTACGGGAAGGCATCCAGTCTCAGGCTAATTCCAAGCAGCAGTTACAGGAAGCGTCACAGTCACCTGATGAACGCCACATCGTGACACAGTGAATCTTCGGTTTGTCTTTGCCATTCACCTCTCAAATCCACAACTCCGTTCCAATGGTACGGGAAACCGTCAGGAATAAACCTACCGTAAAATCTGTTGCAGCTTCTGCCATCCCGGAGCCGTCTTCCAAAGTTAAGTCCAATGTATCCGAGAGCCGAGAAGCAGCACAACCTTCTAGCAGCAAGACCGCCGACAATGAAGCACGCATGTACTCCCATTTTATGTCTCTAGGTGCTCCCGAGGTGGGCGAGCAGGAATTTGGACGGTTGTGCAGGGGCCCTCTTGCGGATGCACTATTGTTCGCCGCCGAACATGTCAAAGGAAGAAGCGAAACAGCATCCGCCAGAGTAGCCATTCAGAGGTGAGTGTGATGATGCCTAGTTGACCTAACTCATAACAAGAGAATGTCCATAGTATGCGTGAAACTGGGAAGAACAAGCATGTTGATACAGCCGAGTCGTCATATCTGAGGGCAAGGCATGCGAATGCACGTACCGTCTGTGCGAAGAATGACTACGAATCTATGCAGGCCACTTTAAACGATTTTTCTAAGTCGGTGGCAAAGCTGGGTGAGATTGGTTTTATTTGCGGCTCGTATCTATCGTAAATATCTGGTGTTCCAGAGAATGAGGTCTATCACTTGCAAAAGGCGCTGGAAAACAAACGCATGACCATCTTTCTACTGAAAATCTTGAAAAGGAAGGAGAATATGCACAGTGCTAGGTTTGCTGAGTTAATCAGACTACTAGAAGATCTCAGGTAAGCACACAGGCATCCGCATGCAAACGACGGTCTCCGATCCTACCCAGGGAAAATGCTCCACCGAAGTCAGGATTCGAAAAGGTATGCACCGAGTGTCGAAGTATGTCCCTAGGTGAACTTTTGCTACTATAGCTAGATGCCGAATCGAATGATTCACCGCCTTATAAGCCATCCCCGTCGTTTTCATTAGGCACGCGCGTGGAGCCCACTCGTGATGTCCTTGCGGTGAGCCTCAAGCATTATGCAGCATCGCCGGGCAAAGCTGAACGTTTTAGGCCCTCCGAGCCCATCACGTCCAATTGTCACGCTTCTCCAAGTATTCTGCCAACAGTGCCTCAACTGGGACGGCTGAGACTCGACTTCTGAAGACCCTTGCGAGCGCCATGAAATTGCCGGAAGATAATGTGCAGGTCATCGCAGGATAGTACGTTTCACGTCTCAGTCTACAGTGTTTGTGCCAATTGGCCACGTAGTACGAAGTGCTTGAAGCTGGCTAAGATACGAGCTAGAGAGAACCTCCAGTATCAATCCCCTCTCGACCCAAAGTCGACGAGCGAGGCGGATGATATAAATCTGGATGCCGTTCTGAAGAGAGTTGTACGTTCTCGCCGAGCAAATCCATCCACCACCTGATTTTTTAATCCATAGATCCACAAGGAAAACAATGTGCAACACCTCTCGGATTCCGCGGTCGCTCTTCAATGGTCATGCGGGCGCGCCGTACAATCGGTTCGTATTCGAGCTTCCCACTTGTTGCATTGTTGTCTTGTCACTCATTGAGAATGCATTACAGATATCTGCGTTCGTCGAGACGACGATACCGGAGCTACGCGAATCCCTCAGGGAAGAGGCGAGTGTTACTGAGGGCTACGTCGATGCTCTACGCCTGTCTGTCGTGAACAGAGCGGAAACTTCAACAATGACTTATGGCAGTGCCGATACAGGCAGTCCATATCAGCATGAGGGCAAGGTAAGGCACATGAAACGTCAGCGGTAGAGGTTATTGACGATCTACAGGCGTGGCATCGAACTCTGGAAGAGGTGCAGACAGCCATTGAAGAGAGTAAGGACCTCTGTGGCCATTGCCAGCACGTGCTGACCAGTGAACCTGCATTCAGCGTACGCGAGAGAGCAATTCTTGCGCCGCGCTACCCTTCTCGACAGCAGCAACGCACACCAGCATGAGCACAGAGAATTGATCGGTATGATCTTTCTCTGCATCCTTCCGCTCTACCGACACTGAGTACGTATACAGCCACACACATGGAACTTCAAGCCAAGGCGGACGAGCGCATCGGGAACCTCCTCGCACGCAAACTCGAGAAAGCGCGGGTGGGCGATGTCCTGACGAGGGATGTAGAGCAATTGGCGACAGAGGTGAAGATCGTGGCCAGCCTGGTTAGCCCGAGTGAGAGAAGTTGAGCAGTGAGGGTGCGTGCTGGTTGACGTCCGCTAAATATGTCCGCGTCCTCAGGTGCAACGTTTACGTTGCCGTGCGTGTTTGCCTTGTGCCGTATCTCGAGTATTCTCCGCTCCTCGCACTTCAAATGCAGGTCAACTGCTAATGAATTGCGCCTGAACGATCCAAACGCACCGTAACGTACATGCAGAAAAACTCTTATCGCGGGGTGGATTCAGAAGAATATACGTCAACGACAAGTAGGTAGTCTCTGACACTAAAGTTCGTGTTATTACTGGTACAAGCTGGTACAAGTACAGATCTAAAGCGGAGGTAAGTGTACAACATGTGATGTATCTTTTCACGTGGGTGCTTCTTATACAATTAAGTCCTCTTACAAGGGTTTCCGCACGGCGTCCGTTAAAACGCGACTAGCAGAAAATATAACAACCAGCGAAGTCCTGCACCAACCGAAGGCGGTCAGCCATCGCGCCCCTGATGAGTAACCAAAGAGCAACTCACATCAGCTGGCTCGTTGAACCGCAAACCTCTATCAAGCTCGCCGACCTCCTGCATCTCCTCCTCGCTGAGGTGTACTTCGACGTTGCGCATGTTATCCTGCATCATACGGACGGTACCGGACTTGGGAATCACCGCGATGCCGCGCTGCGTAGCCCAGCGGAGCACGATCTGCGCGGGCGTGCACGCGTGCGAAGCGGCGAGCGCGGTGATCAGCGGGTGCGTGAACAGAGGTTGCGTGTCGAGCGCCTTCTTCATGTTAAGCTCGCGGAAGCCAAGTGGACCGAACGAGGAATAACCCGTCACGGCGATTCCCAACGAATGCGCGTACTCGACTAGCCGGAATTGCGCGTTGTACGGGTGGATCTCTGCGGTGTGGGTCAGCGACAGGCCAGAAAAAAAAAGGAGAGGGGGCGACGCACCGACTTGGAGGACACTGGGCTTGATGCGCGCATAACTAAGCAGATCCATGAGCAGTCCACTATTCATGTTGGACACGCCGAGGTGCTTGATGTAGCCTTCATCCATAAGCTCTTCGAGTGCCTCCCAGGTCTCACGGATTGGCACGGGATCAAGCCTGACCTCTGCCTTGCCGTCGTAGTACCAGCCTGGTGGGTAGCGGGTCTCGAACGGAACGAACGCAAGAGATATCGCTGCAGAAGAAACGTAAGCTTGAGCGCATGTCAGCTGGGAGCGGGACGAGCGCACGGAAATGCATGTAGTAGATATCGAAGTAGGAGACGCCCCAGTCCTTGAGGGACCGCATGACGGCCTCGCGGACGTGCTCCTTGCGGTGGTATGTGTTCCACAGCTTAGAGACGACCCAGACCTCTTCGCGCTTCACGATGCCCTCATCGATGGCGCGCTTCAGTCCAGCGCCGCACCCCTTTTCGTTGTCATAATCTGTCGTAGTTACGTCAGTTGCGGTACAGGAACAGAGGACAGAGGCATGCAAACCGCAGGCACAATCGAACAGCCGGTAGCCCACTTTCAGACCCTCGTAGACGGCGTCGGAAGCCTTCTGACCATAGTGTTTCCAAGTACCAAACCCGACCTGGGGCATCTCAGCGCCCGTAGGCTGTAATTTGATCGTCGGAGACACAAGCATTGTCGGTTTAGCTGGAGATGAGGACGCTTCGGAGGAATTGAGTGATGGAAAATCGATGGCGGACCGTCGGAACAATATGGGCAGAATTTATAGAGAAAAAAAGCGAGCGTATGCGTCCTGCGGACCTTGCATCCGCAGAGACAGAGGCCAGAATGCGGACCTTCACAAGCGCCATCTGGACGGATCGCCAGAGACCTGAGGAGACCTGGCACGAAGGCGAGCAGAGATGTATGGCCTACGCTGTTGGTCTGGTAGCCTAGTCAGCGAGGCCGTGTGGAGGAGAAGCATCCGCACAATCGAGAATTCGATGGTAGGAGGAATGGCCAAAGCCTAAGACCGGGGTAACGGCCCGGCCACGCGGGTCCAAACCCTAACCTTAACATAATTCCTCCCCACATCGTATCGGACGAGAGTAAGTAACAGCGCGCCGCTCGTCCATCTAAATGAAGTCTGTACGTGGAGTGCATGGAGCATACTCACACCCTCACGGATATGTGTGATATCAAGACTGGTGAGCATTTACCTCGGAAGGTTGAGGCTGATGGTGGCAGCAGATCCGGGGGTCTGCAATGAGGATAAGATCATTGTATACGTCAACTGTGGTTGTTATTTACGGTGGCTTGAGCGAATTGACTGGTGAAGAACTTACCGAAGTCGAAACCACGGAGTGGGTGATAGTTGGTTCATTATGCATGAAGTTACACTTACACCGCTCAGAGTAAGAATGCCGTTTGTGCTGAACTTGTGCGGATCACCGTAGTGGTGAATGTGAATGTGCAACTCAGACCAACATTGCAGTTCTTTCGCTTCGGCATAGAAATGAAGTGTCGTCATATCTCTATGGTGAGACTTGGAGTACATGGGACTGCTCAGTCAGGATTCACACCAAGAAGATGTCTCTCCATCAGATGAAGTTGGACAGAATTCGAAGTAAACTCATCTCCATCCTGAGGCACCACTAGATGAGGACGAATAGTAAGCTATCGGCGCATCACACCAACTTATTAGACTCTGTTCGGGGTGTGCTTGTCGGGCGTACTTGTTAGATGCGGAACAGGTTAGGAAGTACATATATGATATAAAATGTACACCGCGTCAGCCACGTGATGGACGCGTCGCGCGTAAGACCCGAGGCGCGTCATCGCCTACCATATCTTCGGCATGTGAATCCGTGCAATATTGAGCTAGAAGGCTACGTGCAATTGATTGACGCAGATATTAATACTGAGAACTTACAGATAACTGGTATATTCGTCACGAATGTCGAGTTGAAAAAGCTCCCCAGGTACTGTCACTACAATCAAAGTTAGTTATTAAGAAATATAGTGACCAGCTGCGGGACGGCTGACATCATGAGAGGCCACGTACCGGAAGGTCATGCAAATCTTATGTAGATGACCTCGGAAAAAAGCTTGAATACTGCGTGTTTGGCAACAAATAATGAAGGGAGGGATGATGGAAATGCTGCAGACAACTCACTATCCTCAGATTCTCACATAAACGGGGACCCGCGTTTCGGAAGACCACCGACAACGCTCACCCGTGCAGACGCTGAGAGAGACTATTCATCGGCCGAGACCACTCACCGCCATTTGACTGAATGCGCGCAGTCTTCCGTCGGATCAAGGAGGCCCACCTGAGCAGCCTACCACTGCAGCATCGAGTGACGCAGCTCGAGGGTGTGGAGCAGTTTCTGGCAAGACTCAAAGGAGATGCCTTATCTCACAGAGTGTCACCCATCCTGGCTGGACTATCGACTCGTCGCGTTCTTACGGAGCTCCTAAAGTGCAAATTCAGCGGTCGTACGGAACCTACCGCCGGGGTAGTGCGAAGGTACCCGCAGGCTGCGGTGAATTGGGTAAGTGGAAGCTTGTCTGACTAGAATACGCTGCGCCTGAGTAGAAAATTGAGCTTCCATATCCACTTGTGGACTTGTGTACCGTAATCGCAGCGCTCACACATTCCCCCACATACCCCGGCGGGTGTCAGGTACTTACGGATCTCGTGGAGGTGATCTCGGAACGTCGAGACCCAGATCGCGCTCGCGCAGCCAACCAGCAGCTGGAGAATGGAAAATCTCGCCAAGCTCCCGAGAGATCATTCATGCTGTCGGCCGCCAGCCTTGGAATATTCTGCGCGATGTTGGGAGGAACCGGAAGAAAACATTCCCGGACGCAGTGGCGGGTGGTGAGCGCTGGATGGTCGGCCGCCCGGACGTTATCGGCGCCTTCGCCCGAAGCCAATCAGCGTGGAATAAATTCGTAACAGCACCTCGGACGTTGCCGACATACGCCTTGATCCTCTTCCTCTCCTTTCCTCGCCGTCGTCGACGTCCCCGACGATGTTCAACCTGTCCACCAGATCCGCAACGGCCTGGCGGTCGCTTCAGCGGCTGGCCGCAGGCATGGCCACCGTTTCCGAGGGCAACATTGGTGCGACCAAGGTCGCCATGTCTCTCCTCGAGCCCAATGCATACATCAACTACCAGCGCATCGAGGATAACCTCTCTGTTGTCCGCGATAGGTAAGGTTACGTTTCAATATTTGCCCCAGTCTTTTCTCAAACATTCCGGCAGACTCAAGCGACCATTGACGTTGTCGGAAAAGATTGTGTACGGTCACCTTGATGACCCAGTAAATCAGGATCTTGTCCGAGGGACAAGCTATCTGAAGCTCCGCCCTGACGTGCGTACTTCTCATCGCGTTTTTCTCCATTTCCTAACCGTTCTGTGCAGCGAGTTGCGTGCCAGGACGCGACTGCTCAGGTAGTTATCTCCCTTTACTCCTCAAGGCGCTCATAAGTGACGTCACTTAAGATGGCTATTCTCCAATTCATGTCGGCCGGCATGGACACTGCTGCTGTACCCACCACGGTTCACTGCGACCATCTTATCGAGGCTCAGGTTGGCGGTGTCAAAGATTTGGCACGCGCGATCAACACCAACAAGGAGGTCTACGACTTCCTTGCCACAGCTACCGCTAAGGTATAGTCCGGTTTAAGTCTCCTGCGTTTGTGTATTGACAATACTTCGGCACTTTAGTACGGTCTCGGTTTCTGGAAACCCGGCTCTGGTATCATCCATCAAATCATCTTAGAGAACTACGCGTTCCCTGGAGGTCTGATGATCGGTACCGACTCGCACACTCCCAATGCCGGTGGACTTGGTATGGTTGCGTGCGGTGTAGGCGGTGCTGACGCTGTCGACGTTATGGCTGATCTGCCCTGGGAGTTGAAGTGCCCTAATGTCATCGGCGTTAACTTAACTGGTAAAATTAGTGGTTGGACGACACCCAAGGGTACGCATTGTCGTAAAAATTTCTCGATGCTCTTATAAACCCCTTGTGTTTTAGACGTTATCCTTAAGGTTGCCGGTATCTTGACGGTCAAGGGTGGCACTGGCGCTATCGTTGAGTACAAGGGTCCCGGTGTCGAGTCTCTGTCTTGCACCGGTATGGCGACGATCTGCAACATGGGTGCTGAAATTGGCGCGACGACTTCTCTCTTCCCCTTCAACCATCGCATGGCCAGCTACCTGGACGCGACCAAGCGCAGTGACATTGCATCCTACGCTCAGAAGTTCGCGCACAACCTGCGTGCAGACGAGGGTGCAGAGTACGACCAGGTCATTGACATCGTGAGTCTAGTATCCTGCTCATATGGTCACTGCTAAGCGCAGACGCGCATTCAATGTGTAGAACTTGTCCGAGCTCGAGCCCCACATCAATGGTCCTTTCACTCCTGATCTCGCTACGCCCATCTCCAAGTTCAAGAGCGCGGTCGAGAAGAATGGCTGGCCCGCTGAACTCAAGGTTGCGCTGATCGGGTCCTGCACTAACTCGTCGTATGAAGACATGTCCCGTGCCGCTTCGATCGCGCGTGAGGCGGCTTCGCACGGTTTGGAGACGAAGAGCAAGTTCACTGTTACCCCCGGTTCCGAGCAAGTCCGTGCTACTATAGAGCGCGACGGTCAGATTGGTGCATTCGAGGATGTCGGCGGTCTCCTTCTGGCCAACGCCTGCGGTCCTTGCATCGGTCAGTGGGACAGACGTGACGTGAAGAAGGGCGAGGTTAACTCGAGTGCGTTTATCTGAATTCACCCCATCATTGCTTCGTTATTGACACGCACGTTTGTAGTCCTTACCTCGTACAACCGTAACTTCACCGGCCGTAATGACGCGAACCCCGCTACACACGCATTCGTTGCCTCCCCTGACATTGTCACCGCCCTTGCGTTTGCCGGCGACCTCCGCTTCAACCCCCTCACAGACTCCCTAACCGGCTCTGACGGCAAGCCCTTCAAGTTCTCCGACCCCACTGGCAACGAGCTTCCCCCGAAGGGTTACGACCCCGGACAAGACACCTTCCAGCCCCCGCCCTCGGACCGTGTTAGCGTTCAGGTTGCTGTCGACACCGAGAGCGACCGTCTGCAACTGTTGAAGCCTTTCGCACCCTGGGACGGTAAGAACCCTGAAGACCTCCCGATCCTCATCAAGGTTAAGGGCAAATGCAGTAAGTACACGAACGCATTGTTGTGCATGTGAGTCGTGTACTGACGTTCGCCCTCTTTCCAGCCACGGATCACATCTCTGCTGGCGGACCTTGGCTCAAGTACCGTGGACATCTCGAGAACATCTCACGTATGTGATTTCTTCTACGCCATTAATTCCGCCACTTACGTGGGCCGTTATTTGCAGAAAACTGCTTGATCGGCGCTATCAACGCTGAGAATGGCGAGGCTAACAAGGTCAAGAACCAGATCACCGGCGAATACGGCGGCGTTCCGCAGACCGCCGCATACTACCGAGATCATGGCATCAAGTGGGTCGTCATCGGCGATTCCAACTACGGTGAGGGCTCCTCGCGTGAGCACGCTGCGCTCGAGCCCCGCTTCCTCGGCGGTCTTGCTGTCATCACCCGGTCTTTCGCCCGTATCCACGAGACGAACTTGAAGAAGCAGGGCATGCTCGCACTCACGTTCGTCAACGCCGCCGACTACGACAAGGTCCGGCCCACCGATAAGGTTGCCATCCTCGGCTTGGAGAGCTTCGCGCCTGGCAAGAACTTGACCCTCGTTCTTAAACACGAGGACGGCTCCAAGGAGGTGAGGCTCATCGTTGTAGATGTACGGTGAATAGTAGTAGTAATTGACTGCTTTTATTATAGGAAATTGCGCTCGCGCACAGCTTTAACGAGGGTCAGATCGGCTGGTTCAAGGCTGGCTCTGCTCTCAACTTGGTCAGTATCCGTTGACGCTCCCACGTCGTAATCACTGACAATAATTCCATAGATGGCGGCCAAGGCTAAGGGACAATAAACGCATCGCAAGACGCGTTGAAAGAGGAAGATAAAGAGGCGTGAGCCCCGAGGAGGAGCGAGGAGCGGATTACTGTGGTCTCGTGTCGACATGCGCATGCACGAGCCGAGTCTGTCTTGATAACGACGGCGTGCTTGTCTCCTGTCTTTTTGTCTTATTCCTCCGTCATTTCGCTTCGTATCCTATGTAATGAACTAGAATGACGAATGAAAACACGACATTGAATAGCGGCGCGCCGTCTGACGTGCGTTGTGAGCACTTTTATCCTCTGGAATATTTCTTTTCCTTGTGTGGAGAACTTATTAGCGCTGGGGAGGACTGACACGTACTCGTAGTTGCTCCTGTTGCACCTTGACTCTTCATGTTATTCAGGAGTGTCGCCCATCGCGAATACGCTCGTTCATCTGTGTTGCGATAGAGCTGGAGTCGGCCTGTGTGTGTATGCTGCTAGATCCCTCTACTGCGTGAATTATTTCACTGAGCTGATTTAGAAGACGCACGTATTGCAAAATTGACCGAGTCATTCATCGGTTTAGCGGATGCGAGTATCGCAAAAGAAGTTTGTTGGACCTCGAGGTAGCTGTTCAATTTCCGGGTTTTGCTTATAGTTTTAATTAGATACCAGGCCAATCGTCAAGATAGGGCTCAGGAAGGATGTCGGCGGCGATCCGGAAGGTCATTGATAGGTTTCGCGGACGCTCATTTTACGAGCCTGTGCCGTTGCAAGCGATGAATGATGGCTCCCTCAGCGATGAAGGAGACGAGGGGGATAAATACAAGCACCACATCTCCGTCGCAGCACAAGATGTTGACTGCGGCGCTCAGTTGGTCGCGGATTCTGACCACGCATTGGATCCTACCGAAGCTTTTAGAGTAAGAAAGAAGATTGACTGGCACCTTTTGCCGTTAATGTGCAGTACGTGGAGTGTTCTTCCTGGGCCATGAGCCACGGGGATTCAAATGGTGGGATAATATTCTGCCATTAAGAATAGCATCTCACGATCTGGATTCTCGTGTCATTGCATTGTACTGTCGATCACAATGTATACTCACCGTACGTTGCCAGCGTTATATTGGATACAATTCATGGATAAGACAACGCTTGGGAGCGCCGCAATTCTCGGAATACGGTTCGTTCTTCCTTCACGTCTCCGCATCTTAGCCTGTTTATATTCTGCGTTTGCAGAGAGGCTACACATCTGACAACGGATGAGTATGTATGCGGTCTCAAAATAATTGTGGTATTTCACTCACTTTTCCTCTTCGCACCTCCTAGATATAACTGGTACGACCATCGAACCCTGATCAACGCAAGGCCGGTCTCATCTCAGTGTCCACAGGCTCGGGACGATCTTCTACCTCAGTTATCTTCTGTTTGAGTACCCTCAGAATTTGGCACTTCAACGCTTCCCCGTCGGGAAATGGATGAGGTACTTCCTATATTATCATAGAGATGCGCATAACAACTTTTGGTCCTTGCAGTATCAATATCTTCATCTGGGCCATCGCTCTTTGTGGACACGCTGCCTGCACAACTTTTGCTGGACTGTTCGTCGTTCGCTTTGTCCTTGGGATGTGTGAGGGCTCCATCACGGCAGGATTCATGATCGTCAGCTCCATGTTCTATACCCGCAACGAACAAACATTGCGTGTGGGTTATTGGTGTAAGTCTGCATGGTCATACAACTCAGACGCGAAATGACGCGAGGTGCATCAACCATTCAGTCTTGATGAATGGCACTGGTGAGCGCGCTCCATGTCAGCGACGATATTGCGTACGTGACTCCTGGCAGCCCAGATTATATCTGGTTTTATCAGCTTTGGAACACTCCATATCAAGACGCAAGGGTTTGAACCATGGCAATGGTAGCATTCTTCCACTCCTCCGCAGCCATGGTGGTTGATGTATGCGCAGGCTGATGTCCATCACTGGCGTGTTAACACTCGTAACTGCACTTGCATTCTGGTTTGTCGCTTTTGAGGGGGTGAAAGAAGTCGGCTGATTGTTACTGCAGGTTGTACTTCCCAGACTCGCCGACGAACGCCTGGTTTTTGACCAGAGAAGAACGTATTATAGCTGTCAGACGCATTAAAGTATGTGACGAGACATCGAGGAGATGAATTCACTCTGATATTTATCCACGTGCGAAGGAGAACCAGACTGGAGTTGAGAACAAGCAGTTTAAGAGCAAGCAGTATGTCTGATACTCCGTCGCGTAGCACTGAATTTGAATCCATTTGCAGGTTCTACGAGGCGCTGCGTGATCCCAAGACATGGCTCTTTGCACTCTTCTCCGCGGTCAACAACGTTCCTAACAGCCTGACGAACCAGCAGCAGCTAATAGTGTCTTCGTTCGGATTCACGTACCTTCAGACGACGCTGCTCGGATGTGTAGACGGCGTTATTGAGATTGTCACGATCTGGACCGGCGTGCATCTCGCGACACGCCTGCATAATGCTCGTGCATATGTCGGTGCTGTATACTTCATTCCGAACTTGATCGGATGCCTGCTCATCAACGTGCTGCCATGGACCAACAAGCTCGGTCTTCTTTGCGCGCAATGGCTGACAGGTATGTGCACCTGTGTAGATTGTTATCGCAGTTTGCGATTGCGGCGGCTTAAGACTATGGCTGCTGCGGTGTCAGGCGTAGGCACAACAGGATTTGTTTTGTCGTTGTCGTGGCTTTCCAACGTAACCGCTGGACATACGAAACGTGTGACGGTCAATGCCATTATGCTCATCGCGTACTGCGTTGGAAATGCCGCTGGGCCATTCATGTGGCAAGCCAAGTATCGACCTCGGTGCGTTCTCTGTCCCTGCACCTCTGGCAATGGCATATTGAACTCGTCTGTCGCAACAGTAATCATCTACCATGGACAATCATTGGCGTGTGCTATGTGGTCTGCCCGATGCTACTTCTTACCATCCGACACATCCTCTCCGCCGAGAACAAGCGCAGGGACTCGGAGCCCCCGGATGACACATATGATGACGTGTTCGTTGAAATCATAATGCCCGACGGAGAACCTAGACAGCGGAAGGTAGACAAGGTGCGACACCTCCTCTCAGTTGTGCAGAGACGATTGTTCATACGAATGCGTAGGAATTCCTGGATCTGACAGATATTCAGAATCGTGATTTTAGATATGTGCTTTGATCGCATCGGTTGCAAGCATCTTGACTCAGGAAAGTATCCTATTGTAACCGTAGAATCCTTTACACTGATTGTTATTCAGACGACTAGTGACTAATAGGCGAAATGAATATATTCCTATGAGCTTTCGACTGACCGTTATGTACTCGAATGGATAGCTAACCGTGTCCATAATATCTGTACATATGAACCGGACACTATGGAATACAACACAATCTCACAGCAAACGGTAGAACCAGTCGACGAGGCTCGAGCAGTCCGGCAGAACACTAATATAAATTCGTTGTCATTCGGGTCCTCAGGTAGACTGAGACTCTTGTCAAGCTCTGCATCATCGACATTATATATCAACGAGGAGAGGCCAAAACTCCCGGAGAGCGGTGCACCCATCTGTTCAACTAACGTGGAGACAACTCTTACATCCGAGGCGACAAAGGAAGGAAGGGTATCATCAGCACCTTCTGTTTCACTGACCTGTCGGAGGTTCAAGAGGAAACGGGAAACAATGATGGCCCAGAACCTGTGGAAGCTAATTAAGTATAAGAAGGCAACATGGTGGGAGATAAATGAACAGACGCCACGACGAGGGAGGACAAGTCGATGTGTTTCTGTCGGAAGGTGAGAACATAATTACTGAGATGAAATTAAGCAGGACTAACCAGGGCCAAAGAACACACCACCTGGGCGATATTCAACACGACGAGCAACCTGAAGAGACATGGGCATGTAGAGTACTTGTAGGATGCTATACATACACAAAGTACATGGTTCCTACGCACAAAGTACATCAACTCAACAGCAACAAACGGTTAGGTACATCCTGCGAGCAAAAGACATACCGTCTTGTAACATCAATTTCGTCACTGGAACTTTCATGTGAAGGCGACGTGCCTCTCTTGCAGTATTGTAGGTGCTATACCAGGTGATGCCGAGGACAATGAGGTCCGCGGCTATGGCACAAGAACGGACTGCGATAACAACTGCCAGAGTATAGTGGAATTATAAATTCATAGAACAATGATTGCAGCGAATGAGACTACAGTACATCTGTGGTCAACCCAAGTCACTGGTCTCACCAGTGTGAATTTCACTGGAAAGCAAAGAGATCACATACCTCCTGTTGACTGTGTTGGGGACTCATGTCTCACTCATACACATTGGTCCGATAGGCGACGGTAAAATGGCGATCACAAAGTGGGTTGAGACATAAGCGTACCGATGTTGAGCTGGTGAATAAAGTGCAGTGGTAGATACACAATGAACAACATACCACATTTGCTCCAAACGGTACCGACAGAGATAGTAGAGTCATAGCAGCAACCAGAGCACAAGTTTGCCTATACACTCGAGACACCGTGGTCGAGACGCTGTTAGGTCATTCGCGATTCAGACTACCCCATGTTACCACGTCGTTACCGTTCTGTCTTTCATGCTGTGCTGCGACTGCTGTTTTGTTCGGTATACGGCCACCCAACCAACGATAGATTGGACGAAGACCGTTTGTGTTGAAGCTGTCTGTTTTCTGACATTTAGAGTAGCAGAACAGACTGTGGTTCACTGAGAGGGTTTAACACGCTGGAAGGATGCTCCACCGAATTCTCATAGCTATGATTTCGGCAATGTCTAGCTCGACCCAGTAAGCACAGAGTGTTGGCAGCATAGCACTGCTAATCGAAGAAATCGCAGGAGAGACTTGCATGGTTACCGTACGGGAGCATGTAACGCTTCGCGGATGATTCGCGAATCACTCACGATCGACATCGGCCGATACGAACGCGTGAATGTCGAATTTCCCGAGCTCCTCAACGCCTGCCACCCACATAACGGTCATAGTGATGACCTTGCCCTGGAACGCGTGGTGAGCTTTATGATGTGAAGCCTTCCTTTTTTGCCACGGTTCATCGTACTGCATCCCAGGATGATAACCCATGGAATGACATCATCACCCATCGTCTATTGGAAAGGTTGTTGGAGACACAATAAGCCCCTGCCAGAATCGCTTTTCATGTCAAGCTTACGGCAAAGTCTTCAGTACGTCTCTAATCGCGTATACCGCTGCCTGTATCTTACGGTCAGATGAGGGCTGGATACGTCTCGATGTGCAATCCAGATATCCCGCTTGCATGTACTTCTGAACTTCTCAGCCGACCAAGTCAGGTCACCTCGCGGTGGGAAGCCTTCATCGCTCTTCCGTCGGTGTGGTTTGACGTTTACCAGGTGACTCATGTCCTCTCAAAACGGCCGTCTTTTTAGCCACGAAGTCTTCTGAGCCACGATTGTCCAGTGACTAGATTTAAACTTTTGCATGCCGTTGGCCTCGGCGTTATCAGGTATAAAAGCTGCACCTTGGCGGGATACGTTAGCCACAGCCCCTCCCCCGGGATTCTGTCAACTTTTGTCCTCGAAATCGATAGCCTCCCGTAGCCATAACACCATGACTATACTCGAGGTGCTTCAAAACCCCCGGGCGAATCCGATTCCCTTCGTCCTTTGTCTTCTGCCTGTCGTTGTCCTGGCAGTGCATGTTGTACCGTACTTGGTCGACGAACATGGTCTTCGCCAATATCCTGGCCCTTTCCTTGCGAAATTCACGGATTTTTGGCTATTCTGGGTGGCCAGTAAGTCCAGGAGGACAGACGCTATCAATGAACTGCACCAGAAATACGGTATGGCCGTCTTTTTCGCTGGCATGCAAAGTCATACCTTGAACGACTGATGGGGAATTTTTTTAGGACCTTTCGTGCGCATTGCGCCGAACCATGTTTCGGTTGTTTCCCCCGGAGCGATCTCAGCGGTGTATGGCCATTCCACCGGCACGATGAAGTCAGCTTTCTATGACGCATTTCTGTCTCTCCGCGCTGTATGTGGGATATTCCACACGCGCTCCCGCACCGAACATTCTCGTAAGCGCCGCGTCATGGCCCACATGTTTTCCCCGCAGAGCGTGCGCGCCTTCGAGCCCCGGGTCAAAGGTCATCTACAAACTTTGTTGAACCAGTGGGACGTCATGTGCAGCAAGGTAGGGGCCAAGGATGAAGTGAAGGCTGGCACCCTGGGATCTAGTACGTGGGAGGTGCACGACGGCTATGTCTGGTTTGATGTTAGGTTTTGTGAGTGATAAATTGTGTTCTGAGCGACGGTGCGACAATCTCATGTTGTCTGAAACTGGCAGGGTGCAATCTGTTCACGTTTGACGTCATTGGTACGAAATTCGCGCTTCTAGATACCTCACCACAGGCTGATCTGACGATCCCTCAGGCGAGCTCGCCTTCGGCTCTCCTTTTGACATGCTTCTGCGGGGTGAGGACACTGCCAAGATAGCGAAGTCTGCCAAAGCCGGTATGGCCTCCTATGGTCTCACCGATGCTGCGAAGCAACCTGTGGCTCAATATGAGGTCGAAGAAATCGCTGCCATTGAGTTGGTTACCGCGCGCACGGAGTTTGTCCCCGCTCTCGCGGTGCTTCCCGCGTACATGCGCGAGTTCATGAAGCGCATGCCGCAGTACCATCGCGGCGGAAAGGCGCTGGGCCAGATGATCGGCATGGCGGCGGATGTTGTCTCGCGGCGCCTTGCCGCCGCCCGAGATGCGGAAAATGACGCGAAGATTTTTGACGATATGTTTGGGAGACTGTTGAACGGCCGGGACGAAAATGGGAACCCAATGAGTCCGCAAGAGCTGACTGCGGAGGCCATTACGCTGCTAATCGCAGGATCCGATACAACTTCCAAGTGCGTCTGCTTGTTGTCACCGCATCACCATCCTGAGGTCGCCATATTGATGAATTATTTTACAGTTCGATGTCGGCTATAATATTCTACATTTCCCGCGATCAAAAGGTGCAGAAGAAACTCCAGGTCGAACTCGACGCTGCGGCCAGCGCAGACACTACCAGTATTCTGCCTTTCGATGACGCCAAATCCTTGCCGTACCTCGAGGCTGTCGTCAACGAGGGCCTCCGCCTGTTCTCTCCAGTTGGTCTTGGTCTTGGTCGTGTCGTGCCCGAAGGCGGTATCACGGTGCTCGGTCAGAATTTCCCTGCAGGAACAGAGATCAGCGTGCCCCTGTACAGCGTGCACCACTTGGAGGAAGTGTGGGGTGCGGACGTGGAGAAGTACCTCCCCGAGCGCTGGCTGAACGCTGAGAAACGGGGAGAGATGATGAAGGCGTTCAACCCGTTCTCCTTCGGACCGAGGTGAGTTCTTCGGCTGTCGTCTTCATTACAGCGGGTGTAAAACTCATTATCGCATTTAGGGCCTGCATAGGGCGCAACGTTGCCATGTTGGAGATCACATTGGTCATCGCCGCCGTCTTCCGTCGCTACGATATTGTCGTGCAGCCGGGCCAAGTGGTGAGTTTGAACTTCCGTCACGGCCCAAGAGTGTGCTGACAAGAGATCCTGTGCAGCTCGAAGTGCACGACAATTTCGTTCGCAAGCCGCATAAGTTCGTGGTTGGGATCAAGCGTAGAGATATATGATTGCCCGAACGTTGGACGCTGAGCGATGCGATTTGACGGTAAATTCCTAAGCGACGAGGTGTTGTCTAATCTCAGACTTATCATGCATAGAAACAATGTGAACACGTTAGAACTATCCCACGTTCGTAGATCTTATGGCTTCTTAAACTCGTCAACTACTGCAACACCCCATTAATGCGGATGACATGAGCTAGGTCTGAGGAGCCGGTTGCCCGTCATGTTAACATTTCTTCTGCTCACGATCGTGGGGCGCTTCACGAGGTACACCTAATACCCTTAATATTCTCAGTGAGGGCGACCTAAACAAGTCGAGTAGTAGCTGTACCAGAATAGCTAACATACACTATTTAACGGTGATGAACATAATGTGAGAGGTGTTGATATAATATTCCGCCCATCCTTGATCCGCTCGATTGGTTTAGCTACGTTCGCCGCCGGCGCGCTGATCCTTGCCTCCGTCGGGAGCGTCGCGTTGACGGTGTCCTCACGCAGCTGACTGCGTACGTGCCAATATCCCCGGCTCGGGGACGTGACAGACGATCTATTTTCAGGAAGCAAAATGTGGAATCGGATTGCTCATTGACTTCCCCGCCAGCCTGGACGGCTGGAAAATAGGCCGTAGGCTATACATACGTCTCCCCCTCCACGTCCTCTTGAATTCCTTGGTGCCCTTACTTATCACACGATCGTGGCAGACAGCATCGCGCTCCTCGTAATCAGCGTGCTCCTGCTCGCGCCGTACGCGCAGGAGTACTTCCTGGAGTGCGCCCGGCACGGGTGGTGGACGTCGCGCCACAGCTTGAGGTTACTGCGCTCCTCCCTAATAGGCGCACGGGCGGGAAGCTGGCGGTCAAATTAAGCATCGCGCATCTTGAGGTGCAGCTTCATGGGTTTCGCATTTAATTGCAGGTGGGCGAGATGTCGGTACTCCGCTCTTTGGTGCCTTGACCGTCAAAATCGTGGTGTACTGAGTTGGATATGGGTGACAGCCGTATCACTAGGATCACTTCGGGATGATGCCCACCCTGACGATGGCCTGGTGTTCGCTATGTGCAATTGTAGCGTCTTCGCGTTCTTCGTCGGACTCGTCATCTTCTGCCTCATCGGTGATGCTCTCCCTCCAAGGTGTGACTCTGCGCGGAGTGTAAATTCGATTGTTCGGATTCGATTGGCGCCCAGCCGGGCGCTCATGTCACATCCCCCGGTTTTTAGTTGTTGTAAGTAGATTGTAATGTCTCGGGCTGTTGCCGGATGTCGGGCGTCGGGCACTGGGCGCCAATTGCCTTATCCCACTGCAGCCGAATTACGGAAGGGTTTCTAATAATGTCAACAAATGTCTCTAATGAAACCTAAGTATGTCTATTAATTGGATTTCAAAGTTGGGGCCCTTTGGCTGGATGTGACGTGATGAGGCGCCCGCTGGGCGCCAATCGAACAATCGACTGTCCTCTCGTTCGGGCTCGTGATCACGACATCCGTGTACCACTCCAGCAAGGTGTCGTGGATCATGGGTATAAATGAACAAACCTGTCATCTGCGGCGCAGCTCTTTGCATCCAGAGATATCCAGAGATACGCTCTGGGTTGTGTGGGGTGTGCGCGCGTTCGCTCGGTGAGTCATGTTCGGATGATGAGCGGAGTATTTTGGTACGTGATTGGTGGGAGGTGTGATCTCTTTCAGCCTTCTTCCTATGCCGTCGGACGTCGAGGCGATGGCGGAAACCTAGATGACGCTTGCAGATGACAAGGCGCAGGACGACGGCGGTTAGAAGTCTCATCACGCACTGTAGTGTTCTTGTTGCATTCACACAGGTATTGTATGGATGGAATACCTGGTGGTTTTGGATGCACACCATGCACAGACGATGCGGTGCATTTCTCCACCGCGATTGCTGCTTTGTCTGCAAGATGGGCTACCCGATCCTCGAAACTTGGAGCTCAGAATGACTCGCGGATTCTGCATCGCTGCTTATTATGCGTTTTTCCTGGCTGGTGCAACAGAATAAGGTAATCAGTTGCACTGTGGTTCAGCGTGGTAAAGGGTGTGCGAAACGAAGCTTCGCTGGGCCCCTCGAATTTGTAACGCCCGTAACGTCCATTGCGATATATATAGTGCCAGTCGTCGCGTTGCATCACGTATATTTTGCTTCTTACCCGTGTACCTCTAGGACGCTCTCCCAATGTCGAACTTTTCCTCCGTGGCGGAGTTACCGTCGCCCCAAATTACGGACACGGCGGAGGCTCCAGTACCCGAGCCCGCCCACAAGCCTCGTCGGAGCATGGCCCAGGCCATCGGCCTTATAGCGACATGCACGACCGCCATGCTGCTCAACGTGCGTCCACTCCGTTCTGTATTCGTTTTTACTCCGTTTATCCCGACGGTAGTCAGCAAACGGGACTGCCGTCGCCATCGCGCTGCCGACCCTCGGCCGCGACATGAATATCCCCGCGTACCGTTTGCAGTGGGTCGTCTCCGCCTATTCGCTCAGCTCGGTGCGTCCTTTGCGCCTTCGTATCATATTTGTGTTCTGATATAATATTTTATCCATCAGGGCTGCCTGTTGCTGTTCCTCGGCCGTCTCGCCGACCTGTACGGGCGGAAGCTCACTTTCCTGTTTGGCGCCTTTTTGATGGGCGTGTTCGGATTGGGATGCGGATTCGCGAACGGTGAGTGAGAATTTGACCGGGAAAGTCCAGTTCACGTCGGGAAATGCGTATCGGGCCCGTCTGAGTGCCCCGTGCGGTGCAAGCTCAGTATCATGGGCTGGAAAGTCTCTAGTTCTCGGGCCCCTCGAGATTATAGACAGATGGGTGCATGATAGTGGCCTCCCGAGTTCGGATTGTGCGTAGTCAGAGACTGCGACTGCCACCATCATCACCGCTATCATGTTGTATTAGCGGCGGTGGAAGGGACTGCCGGCCTACACACCACATTCTTCGTGTGTGGCTGTCACCGTCATACTGGACTCGTTCTTGTCCTGCTAGCCAGTAAATCCTCCAAAAACGCGTTCCAATGGCAGCGACGACAGCATGAGGGGCCCATCGCTCTGCGACAAATCGCACCACGGCGGTGGTTGACGTGTTGTCATCCCACCTGACGCTTTGTTGCTCAGTGTCGCCCTGTTATGATGCATTTACAGTCACAACTGTATCACCGTATTAGTTCCCCGTATGCGATACTGATTCCCCAGCGATGGGATGTTCTCATGATCCCTCCAACTCCGCTGTACTCTTCACTCATACCGCACTTCAGATGAGATCACGCTGGATGTCCTCCGTGGGTTCCAAGGTATCGGAGGGGCCGCGGTTATCCCAGCTTCGGTACGTCAATTACTGAGACATGTTCACGCCGTGTTTGACTCGTCTCTACACCTACAGCTTGGCATGCTAGCGCATGCGTTCCCGCCGTCGCGAATCCGCTCGGTCGCCTTTGCGGCGTTCGCCGCAGGTAACCCTGTCGGCGCCGCCGTCGGCAGCATCATTGGCGGTGTCCTCACGCAGCTCACGGAGTGCGTCTTCACATCGTCGCTATGGTAGTACTGACATTTTCTGTGCTGTGATAGAAAGACGTGGCGCTCAGTGTTCTATTTCATGACCGGCATTTCTGCGTTGGTCTTCGTCGGTGGGTTACTGACGTTTGACAAGGATATGCCGTCGACGGAGGAAGATAAGTACGTTTTGCACTGATTTTTTTGGCATCATGCTGAGCTTGATCATTGGGTAGACGCGTGGACTGGCTGGGCGCGTTCCTTATCACGGCCGGCCTGGTCATGATCGTCTTCGTCCTCAGTGACGGGAGCATCGCCCCGAACGGGTGGAAGACAGGCTGTACGCCCATCCTCTCCTGCTTCCCTCGCCCCAGCTAACTGGCCTGCAGACATCATTGCACTGCTAGTCGTCGGTGTGCTCCTCATGGTCGCGTACGTCGGGTGGCAATATTACCTCGAGCGCGTGCAGGATGACCCGGAGGCACCGCGGAGCTGGTGGACGCCCCCGCCGCTGCTGCGCATCACCCTTTTCGGGCGAGGGAGCGGGAAGCTGGCAGCGATCCTCGCAATTGCGTTCCTCGAGTACTGCGGGTTCATGGCATTCCCGTTCTGGCTGCAGGTGCGTGGTGCGGTCGTCGAGCACATATTGTGCCTGATGGGTGCGGTGCAGCTGTATTACCAGGACTATATAGGGTTGGACCCGATCCTGACCATGGTGCGGCTTCTGCCCATGTCCGTCGCGGGCGTGCTCTGCGACGTCGCCGTCGCGCTCGTCGTGGGGTACGTTCCTGTCGTCTATCTTGTTGGTACGTCCCGTCTTCCCGTGCACTCACTCACGCTGACATGCGGCACAGTACTCGGGACGGCGCTGACGGGAGTGGCAAACCTGCTGTTTGGGGTGATCAACCCCGCGGCGACGTACTGGGCGTTCGGATTCCCGGCGACGGTGTTGATCGTGTTCGGCGCGGACTTTGTGTTCCCGTCCGGGACGCTGTTCGTCGCGAGGTTATGTCTGCCGCACGAGCAGAGCGTTGGCGGGGCGCTGTTCCAGACGCTCACGCAGCTGGGTGGCTCGTTCGGTCTGGCGATCACGACGATAGTGTACAACGCGGTGCTCAAGAGCATGTCGCTGCGGGACGGGGTCGCGATCAACATCAACGGCACGAATGCGCCCCCGGACGCGCAGCTGCACGCGTACAAGGACGCGTTCTTCACCGCTGCCGCATTCAACTTCTTTGGTACGTTTCTCCGCCAGCGTGTTGGTGGTGGTTTTACCTGATGATTGTTGGCAATAGCTGCAATTTTGGCGATCGTGTTCTTGCGCACGGTGGGCGCCGTCGGTGACAGGGGCGACGGCAGCGAACCTACAGAAGCCGAGGAAAAGGCTCCTGTGAGCATCGAGGCCAAGTGAATGACTGTCGCTTCGTGACATGGACTTGCCACGTATCCTGCTCTCATTACTCTGATAGAGATAGATTGGACTGTAGAGTATATATACCGTAATGCTTCTCGCATCACACTGTTATGAGACGAGATGAAAGAATATAACAATTGGTAACTTAGCTAACATTCCATGGGAGATACTCAGGCTCCTAAAACCATCCCGTCGTTACAGCGTTCTGGCTCGATACCGGTAGAGTTGAGTGAACATAAAATTAAAATAAAATAGAAAATAAAAAGAACGTCGAAAAAGGCAACAGCAGATAGCGCAGGACCACCGTAAATGCACAAGACGCATAGCCAAGTATTTCTTAGGGAAAAACCCTGAGAAAATTTATAAAGTAAAGCACGAGAAAAAACTTTGAAGAAAGCATAATGAATTTTTGTGGGAAATACCGTGATTGTCCAATCAGCAGCTAAGAATCACGGTTTTTCCTGGAGAAATACTTTATTCTTTTTCCAGAGTTTTTCTGTGTGCTTTACTTTAACCATTTCCAGAGGGTTTTCTGCAAAAAATACTGGGCCATGCTTCTTGTGATGCAACGTTTAGAACACAGTGACCTATCCGATCGGACATTGCGCTGCAGAGGCGTCCCGGACGTGTTTTGCACCGGGATTTTTATACACATGTACAGGGGTCTACAGCGTACAATTGAGCATTTTTGGGAAATTTTTGAGGCCCCAGAAGGCTCGGGATTTGGGTAGATGTATCGCTGCCAGCCAAATTACCTAAACATACTCATCTAAGCGAGTGCGACAAGACACTATATTGCTGTGTGCTTTCGTTTGACCGATCCTCACGTCGTTGCATGAAGCGGATGCTATGGATGGAACACAAAACACAATGCCACTGCGCCTTAGAACCAGTCGACGCTCAAGCGATCCTACAGAACACTAGTTACGGAACCTCGATAACCTGCCGCACTTCCAACCTAACTGGCTCCCCTCTGTCGTCACCTGGGCTGACTGAGAGGGTGCGACACCCTGGAAGGGTGTGTTGCGCCGGCTCTTCAAGGCTGTGATTTCTGTAAGCGTAGATCGTTGGCAGCACGGCACAGCTAATCGAAGAAATCGCAGGAGACTTGCATGGTCACCCTACAGGAACGTACAACGCTCCGCGGATGATTCGCGAACTACTCACGATCGACATCGGCCAATACGAACGCGTGAATGTTGAATTTCCCATACTCTTCAACGCCTGCCACCCACATAACGGTAATAGTGATGACCTCGACCTGGAACGTGCTGTAAGCTTCATGATGTGAAGCCTTTTTTCTTTTTTGCCACCGCTCATCGGCACTGTATCCCAGGATGATAACCCATGGAATGACATCATCACCCGTCGTCTATTGGAAAGGTTGTTGGAGACACAATAAGCCCCTGCCAGAATCGCTTTTCATGTCAAGCTTACGGCAAAGTCTTCAGTATGTCTCTAATCGCGTATACCGCTGCCTGTATCTGACGGTCAGATGAGGGCTGGATACGTCTCGATGTGCAATCCAGATATCCCGCTTGCATGTACTTCTGAACTTCTCAGCCGACCAAGTCAGGTCACCTCGCGGTGGGAAGCCTTCATCGCTCTTCCGTCGGTGTGGTTTGACGTTTACCAGGTGACTCATGTCCTCTCAATACGGCCGTCGTTTTAGCCACGAAGTCTTCTGAGCAACGATTGTCCAGTAACTGTGAACGGATTTAAACTCCTCCGTGTCGTTGGGCTTCGGCATTATCAGGTATAAAAGCTGCACCTTCCCAGGATACGTTGGCCACTGCCCCTCTCCCGTGATACCTACGTACTTTGTCTGCTCTTTTTGCCACGAAATTAGTCGCCTCTCGTGCCCACAACACCATGACTATGCTCGAGGTACTTCTAAAACCCGCGGCACATCCGATTCCCTTCGTCCTTTGTCTTCTGCCTGTCGTTGTCCTGGCAGTGCATGTTGTACCGTACTTGGTCGACGAACATGGTCTTCGCCAATACCCTGGCCCTTTCCTTGCGAAATTCACGGATTTTTGGCTATTCTGGGTAGCCAGCAAGTCCAGGAGGACAGACGCTATCGATAAGCTGCACCAGAAATACGGTACGGCTCTCTCACTTACATGCATTGTTGTAACTTGAAAGCCTAATGCCTACCTTTTTAGGACCCTTCGTACGCATTGCGCCAAACCATATTTCGGTTGTTTCCCCCGAAGCGGTCTCGGCGGTGTATGGCCATTCGACCGGCACGACGAAGTCAGCTTTCTACGACGCCTTTGTGGCTCTCCGCGCTGTACGTGGGATGTTCAACACGCGCTCCCGCACCGAACATGCCCGTAAGCGACGTGTCATGGCCCACATGTTTTCCCCGCAGAGCGTGCGCACCTTCGAGGGCCCGGTCAAGGGTCATATACAAACTTTATTGAACCAGTTGGATCTCATGTGCAGTAAGGTAGGGGCCAAGGATGAAGTGAAGACCGGCACACTGGGTTCTAGCATATGGGAGGTGCGCGGCGGCTATGTCTGGTTTAATGTACAGTGAGCAACGAATCGTTCTGAAGGATATTCCGACCATCTGATGTAGTTTGACAGGGTGCAATCTGTTCACGTTTGATGTCATTGGTATGAAATTCGCGCTTCTAGATATTTCACCACAGGCTTATGTGACATTCATCAGGTGAACTCGCTTTCGGCTCTCCTTTTGGCATGCTTTTGCGGGGCCAAGACACCGTCAGGATAGCGAAATCCCCTGCAGCTGGTATTGCCTCCTATGCGCTCACCGATTCCGCCGCGAAGCAACCCGCGGCTCAATACGAGGTCGAAGAAATCGCTGCAATCGAGTTGATTACTGCGCGCACGGAGACTAACGCCGTTCCCGCTGTGCTTCCCGTGTACATGCGCGAGTTCATGAGGCGCATGCCGCAGTTCCGTCGCAGCACTAAGTCGCTGGGCCAGATAATCGGCATGGCGGCGGATGTTGTCTCGCGACGCCTTGCCGCCGCTCGCCAGGAGGGAAATGATGAGAAGATTTTTGACGATATGTTTGGGAAACTGTTGAATGGCCGAGACGAGAACGGGAATCCAATGACTCCGCAGGAGCTGACTACGGAGACCATTACACTGCTAATCGCAGGATCGGACACAACTTCCAAGTACGTCTACTTGTTGCCGCTATATCGCCCCGTTGAGCTCGCTTTGCTGATAATTCATTCCACAGCTCGCTGTCGGCCATGATATTCTACATTGCCCGCGACCAGAAGGTGCAGAAGAAGCTCCAGGCCGAACTCGACGCTGCGGCCAGTGCAGACACCACTAGTATTCTGCCCTTCGATGACGCCAAATCCTTGCCGTACCTCGAGGCTGTCATCAATGAGGGTCTCCGCCTGTTCTCTCCGGTTGGTCTTGGTCTTGGTCGAGTCGTGCCCGAAAGCGGCATCACGGTGCTCGGCCAGACGTTCCTTGCAGGCACAGAGATCAGCGTTCCCTTGTACAGTGTGCACCACTTAGAGAAAGCGTGGGGTGCGGACGTGGAGGAGTACCGCCCTGAGCGCTGGCTGAACGATGAGAAACGGGGCGAGATGATGAAGGCGTTCAACCCGTTCTCCTTCGGACCGAGGTGAGCTCTTCGACAGTCGTCTTTACTCCTGCGGCTGTGTAAAATTCATTGTTGTATTGCAGGGCCTGCATAGGGCGCAACGTCGCAATGCTGGAAATGACGTTGGTCATCGCCGCCGTTTTCCGCCGCTACGATATTGTCCTGCAACCGGGCGAAATGGTGAGTTTGGACATCCGTCGCGGCCCAAGCGCGCTGACAAGAGATCCTGTACAGCTCGAAGTGTACGACAGTTTCGTTCGCAAGCCGCATAAGTGCGTGGTTGGGATCAAGCGTAGAGAGATATGATCGCCCGAACGCTGGATGCTGAATGATGCGGTTTTGACGGTAAATTTGCAAGCGACGGTGTATTCAATGTGTAATTTTACTTGCATAGGAACAATGAGGCTACCCCCGTTCGAACGCCACAGGTCCGCTGACCTTATGGCTTCCTAAACGCTGAAAAACGTCCACTACAACCAGTTGAGCTTCCCAGATACCCATTTTGTGTCTCACACGCGTTCAATACCATGAATAAATTATACTTTCATGTTTGGGGAGGATGTTGTGTCTTGTCCAAATGCTGATTAGGTGCGGAGATTTCAATTTGTTTGTCGCCAAAAATCAGAGATATATCTCAATTGTGATATATATCGGATGGGTGCTTGGCCTGAGGAACCGGCAACCCTCCTCGTTACTTCTTATCATTTCTTTCGCTCGCGATCATGGAGATTTCATGAGGTATCCCCGGGGTAGGTTGACCGAGGGCGATCTAAACATGTCGAATAGCAGCTGTACCGGAATAGCTAAGATACACTAGTTAGTGGTGAACATATATACAAATGTGAGAGGTGTCGACAGAGCCGGGATGACGATTGAACGAGAAGAATCAAAACAGCACAGGTCAGATGCGAGCAGAAAACGCTTAACGTCCTGCATCCAGGATCTCCCATTATAAACCAACTCAACCGCACGTCCACACCCGCCCGCTCGTACTCATCCCGAATCCTCCGAAATGATATTCCCGATGCTCAGCGGATTCTTCTTCCCGACTCCCCTCTCCACACCCGCACTCGCGGGGCCCGGCGGGGGCGACCCCGGGGCGCGAAGCGGCGCCAGCTGGATGCGCGACATGCCCTGTGGGTCCCTCGCCGCATACGTCTGACCATACGCGTCCTGCACAAGCATCGGCGTCGACCAACTCGCGCCCGGCTGATGGTGCGCATACGCCGAGCCCGATCCCGCCCACGTCCCCTCCGCGCTCCCGGCGCTCGTCGGGCTGGTGGTGCCGCTAGCTGGGGGAGCGGGATATCCCGCCGCGTGGTGGTGCGGTGGCGTGCTCAGCTGGTAATGCCCGTGCGAATGGCGCCCGCCGGGGCTCTGCACACCCTGGCTTTGGCTCTGCGTCTGACTTTGGCTCTGGCCGTGATTTTGCCCGCCTTGGCCCTGGTTCGGCACGTGACCATACTGCGATGGAGGCGCCGACCCGTACGCGGGCGCACCGTAGTGGTTCGCGGGAGGCGGGTACTGCGCCGCGTACCGAGCGCTGACTTGAGATTGGGGGAGTGCCTGCTGCGCCGGGGGTCCGCGGTCTTCCGCTGGGGATGGCGGCGCGCGTGCGTACATACTGGCGGTGGAGCCGGCTGCATTGGTGCTAGGTGCGGGGTAATCATACGTTGGACTGCTGGACCCCTGCGGAGAGGGCGGCGACGGAGGATGAGGCGGAGGTGCGTACGAATGATGCGATACCTGTTGCTGATACGGATGGTGCGTGGGCGGCGCGGACGTATGCCCGCTCGGAGCGTGGTGGCTCTGCGCGGGAGGCGGTGGCGGCATATGCTCATAGTATGCATATCCCTGCGGCGCAGGAGGATAGCCGGGCGGAGGGTAATCATAGCGTGGTATCGCGTGTGCCGGGTGCGCGATAACGTAGTGTTGGTGATGCCCATAGGCTTCGTATCCTGGCCATGCGGTCCCAGGTGTCGGTGCGCTGGGTGCGGTGGCTGGAGGTGGAGGTACTGGATACGTATGACCGTATGGCGCGGCAACGTGGTGCATGGCCATGGGAAGGGGTACATGCGCATAAGGATGCGGAGGTGGCTGCGCAGCATAGTGATGTGTCGGTGGCATGTGCGCGTGTGGGTCGTAGTGGTACGCTGTCGTTGGTGCGGGCGCAGGCGCGGGTGGGGGAGCAGAAGCCGCAGCGGCTGAGGCGGTAGAGAATCGATGATCATACGGTGAAGGCGTAGAGTAGTGATGCTCGGCTGCAGAGACCGGGGCAGACGGCGCAGGGGCATGCGACTGCCCGCTTAGAGACGGGTCGATCGTGCTCCAATTCGCGGTGGGACTCACCTCGCTGTCTAGGTCCTCTGGAGGCTCGTCCGCCCTCGCGCGTTTCGTGCCCCGCTCCCCCGTGCTCGCACTATCCCTCCGTGACGCTGTGCTGCCACTGTCTCTCCTGCCCGCCCTGCGCGACTCCTCCCGCTCCCGATCCGCCTCCCTCTCCTGCTCTCTAAGTCGGTCCCTCTCCCGATCCCTCTCTCGGTCCCTCTCTCTTTCCCGTTCGTCGTAATCACGCTCCCGTTCCCTTTCGCGCTCTCGCTCCCTTTCCCGCTCGTCTTCTTCGTCTTCCTCCTCAGGTTCGTCCGGCAGTCGTACGGGCACGGGCCCGAACGCACCCATCTGTGCTGGCGGCGGCGGAGGCGCGCCCCGCGATGGTTCACCCTCTTCATCTTCTACCGGTAGCGGCACTGGCACAGGACCTAACGGTCCTACGGGTGCATTCCCAATAGGGATGGGCACTGGCGCCAGACCCTGCGCAGGCCGCTTGCGTACACGGATGTCTTTTCGGATCCGGATCTTAATCCCCTGATCTGCCAACGAGCACGAGAGAGGCGTCGACTCTGGAAGGAACGTTAGTGTGGAGAGGGTGAACCTGGTGAGAAACTTACCTTCCATCCCAGGGAATTTCTTCGCCGTGTACACGTAGAAGGGCGCGCTGAAAATGGACTTGCAATGATAGACATTCGAGCTGGCGATGGTCGTCAGCAACGAGAAGCTCGGGGTAGGAAAACTGACGCTTACCCGACGACCTCGTATAGGCTCAACTTCAACCGATAGCTTCCCTCTGTGCGCACACTGACATCAGGAAATACAAAGAATCCCGCGTCCGCCCCGCCTGCCTCCGCATCCTTGAGGTGGTACAACGACGAGACGACAGAGCCGGTAGTACAGCGAGTCTTTCCGTCCTACGCAGAGGGCAGTGGTCAGTCAGTCACCGAACATCACACGAAGGGGAAAATTAATAACGTAATGAAGCTGGCGTGGATGGGAGCGAGAAGAGGCCTGAAAATGTTGAAGGCAAGCCGTATATTGAGAAGTACACGTGTAAGCCCGGCGAGGAAATCACGAGGGAATACACGAGCCAACGTGAAGAAAAACATGGACAACAAATGAAAACCACGGCGAGCCAGATCCAAGGCGAGATCCGGTGCTTCAGAGAGAGTGCGCGACATCGGCGCGAAGCTGAACAGAAGGGTGGAAGAGTAAGGGATCCACAGACGGGATGGTGTGGACAGTTGGGTAGATGCATGATAGAGAAGAAGGTGGGACGGATCTAGAACAGGCGGGAGAAAAGAGCCCGAAGAACAAGAGATGACAAGGATAGAGATAGAGGAGTTGTACGAAACTGAAAATTGCAGGAAACGAGATAAGAAACTCACTTTCAACCAATGCAGCTCGACATCCTCATCTGGCTTAGCAAGACTCGCAAACATGAAATAGTACGGGTTTTGAAGGAAGCTCTGGGATGCAAGGGCTGCAGAAGACACGTCGGGAGAGCTGGCGCGGGACGAGCTGGAATGTGCCCTGCGCTGGGACGGATCGATGACGCGAAGCTGGACGATGGGAGGAGGGTCGATCGGCCGGCGGTCGGCTGAAGGAAATAGAGCGGAAGAGTGAGCAGAACCGAAGCAGAAAACTAAGAAGTTGGAGGTTGCCTTTACCGCCTACGCCGCACATGCGGGCTTGCTTGGGCTCTTGGCGGACGATGAGTTCATATTCACTGTGCACGGGTGAGCGGGAGAAGATGGAGGGAGACGTGAGGAGACACACAGTCTGTCCCTGTCGTAGGAGGAGTGCACGGGGAGCTGAGCGTGCACGAACTGCTGCTGGTCTTCTTCCATGGGTAGCTGTAAAGGTAGCTGCAGAGTGAGATAGCTTAGAGGTAGACAGAGAGAGAGCACTGGAGTGGGCTCAAGACGCGTCTGGCGGATGCTTACGGACGTTGATCGTGACCCGATCTCGACTCCCCCGCCAGCAGGCCCCAGCCAATCAGTGCTCTGGGATGACCCGGGAACTTGCGCGCCGTAGACCGAGCGTCCGGTCCAGATCCCAGTCTTCTTATCTCTCCAATTTTCGACGACTTTGCTCCTTCGCTCGCCAATCGCCCGCCGTCGCTTTGCTCAGCTCTGCCTACGTCACCGCTTTCACGCGTTCTTGCAGCTTATCTCAGCTCCCCATTACGAGCTGCTCCAGGGCTCGTTGCGCCCCCGCCGGACGGCGAGTATCTCCCTTGTATCTCCGCTTCACAACGTTCTGCCCTGCTCCGCCCCCGACAATTTCAACAGCTCAGCCTAAGTCCCGCCAAGCTCCACAAAAGAATCACGCCCAAGGCCTACCCATTATGTATTTCCCCGGCCGCCTTCCTGCCGCACGTCTCGCAATTTCATCATGGTATGACGGACCCGAGTCGCATGGATCCAGGGCATCCAGTGGAGCGAATGTCGGCTTCTTCAGCTCCCCCTGGGATAGAGACACCCACCGCAATCACTGAGTGCGCTTCTCGTCATGTTGATCACCAGTTGATCACCTCACTACTCGTCGATAGCCGGGAAGATCCATGCCCTCATCTACGCTGTACCCTCGTTGTCGCGCGTGTGATTCCGGCGAGATGACCATCGATCCACCAAGCGCTTGTCCTCCAGGTCCTCTTCCGCCATTCCACCGGCTCGCCAAGCTCCGACGGCGTCGCGATTCAAGTTCCCACGTCTGACAACGTTTGCAATTTCATTCGAGTTCGCGCTGCGGCTGCGCATAAGGGGGCATCGTATCGAACATACGGATGACGGCGTGTTCACAGAACGAGTCGACGGGTATAAAGCCTTGCCATTCTGGGACACGAGGTGACGACCTCCGCCATGCTGTGGGACGTGAGGAGACGTCTTGCGCCCTGGTGTGACGCGCTGGACTTCACCAGATGTATGCGGTGGGACGTGAGGAGACGTCTTGCGCCTTGGTGTGACGCACTGGACTTCACCAGATGTATGCGTTCATACGTACTGGTCTATAGTACGATTCCTCATGTTTTACGCTGACAAGGGTACTGGAAACGTATCTTCTCCCGTGAGCGAGCGCCCTTTGCACATTTTAAGGGCACGAACTTACGTGATAATCTATAGCGTACCCACCCCATCTGTCCATCTGTCTATCCTCCGCATGAAATTCGCCTAGTTCGCATCTGTGTCTTCTTTGACGCGGCAGTCATGGGGCTTCAAGCTAGCGAACTTGGAGGGGAACAACTTGGGGCGAAGAGAGAATGGAGAGGCAAGATGTGTACGCACTCGATGGACGTTCGACCTCCTTATATACGAGCAACTATCCCCGACTCAAACTCAGCTCGGGATTTTCCAAAGGTTGTGATTGGTGCGACATGAAAGGGGAGGGCTTCCGGTGCTAAGTGAATGACGCAGGCGATGTAAGTGGTAAACCAAAAAGGAAAAGAAGCTGCCCGAAATGGAAACTGAGCGGGACAGCGCAGGACCCCCGATAATCCTCGTAACCTCCGACTGGCGGAGGTCCATGGTCCGGACAGTTTTTGCAACTTTTTGGTCCGGACACGGCTCAATCCTCCACATTTTGGCCAGTTTGGTGCGGACGAAGACGAGTCCTCCAACCTTCTGTGGCTTCGTGCCTTCGGCGCTGATTTTCTGCATGTTTTCGGGTCATTTAGTTTGCAGGACCCCCTGCCTTCTGCAGAATATTTTGTGGCATGCTTCGCGTGCGCGCACCTCTTCAGCCTCACGAGCTCGCGAGCCCCCCTCGTCGGTGGTCCGGGCAGGATCAAGCCGTGGCCGTGGTTAGCCTGACTTCATTTGGTCCGGATATTCATGCGCTACAGAAGATAACGAACAAAGGCGTTTGGGATCCCACCTCAGAGAGCCCGCCCTGCAGGACGCGAGGTAGACTTAATATCTTGGTCGCGACGTCCGAAATATTCATACTGAGTGATCACCAGCGATATGCTCTGCCGCAGCGGGCGACGGATATCTACCCCGCGGTGGCCACGCGCATCATTAATTTCCATCGGGCGGGCTCATCGAGGAGTATGCTGTATGCGACAGACATTGACAAGCCCTTTCCGTATCGTCGCAAGTACATGAAAGATGCCAAATTTTCAAACCTGTCCTGGCCATTGTTTAAGTTAATGACCATGACCATAATGACGGCCACGACTGCCCCTGCGAGACCAATGATTCTGACTCTTGAGAATCAACTACTGCGCTCCAAACTGGAGTACATGTCCGTGGCATCGTGTATACAAATCCAGAAGCTTCGAGACCACCTTTATAACTGAAGTACTGAAGACTGATACTTGTACACGATCTGAACATCCAACGCCTCATTGATCACTGATTCGCAAACATCAACAGCTGTTCGAGGCTCACAGCACTGAGTGCCACAGAGCGCGTATCAACACCCACATGAGTACACAATGTCTTGTCAGGTTTCGCAGAGGTCGCGATCTCTGAGAGAACCATGAAACCGGCTCGTGCAAGTAAACTAGGTGTTCCAACATGCCTGCCTTCAAGTCCACACCCACTGCCGGCCTGCTGAGGGCTTCTGTGTGTTCTGCGAGCTTCACAAGGCAGGGTGCGAACCTCGATGAACGTGCAGTGGTTGTGGAGGACCCCCGACAATTGGGGAGGATCCCTGAGCCGATTTCGGACAAATTTTGGATATTTGGGAGCGCCATCCCTGATTTTTCACGGACAAATCAGGGGGTCAACCTGTGGATGGCCTGAGGTTTTTCACGGACAGATGTACCGGACATCATGGATGCCTGATCCCCCTCCGGACAAAGTTCTACTCCGGCCGGAGGCCGGCATCAGGATGGAAGGGGGCTCTGGCAGGCTCAGGCTTACCACCTTCAAAGGGCTGTCTAGATGCTGTCTAGTCGGCATCGGAAACAGACATGCCGCTTCCAAGTTCATAGTTGACAACCTTACATAAGTGTCTTCCTGATGACAACTCAGTAAGAACAGTAGAAAGTAACTTGCAATGTCACTTTCATAGTAATCTTGAATTCTATCTCCTCCGAGCATGGCCGCAAAAGTTAGTTATACTATTTTCATTCACTTGATACCAAATTTCTCCTGATTCCTGTCCTCAACAACATGCACTTTGCTAACAGGAAAGACATGCTTGATGAGAGTTACAATGAATTAGCTTATCCTTTATTCTCGCAGCTCGGAAGGCTGTTTTGAAAATTGGAGCCTCCCGAGGCCTGGTTTGTGAATACGGACAAAAATTACAACATCCTGAGGCCTGAGGCCTGATCCGGGAGCCCGGACATTTCTGCAATGAACGCATGCCTGGTCCAAAACCCGGACAAATTTGACCTCCAAGGGCCGGAGGCCTGGTTTTTTGCGGACATTTCACGCCAAAAACCGGCTTCTACCAACGGACATTTTTGGTTCCTCAGGATCAGGCATTTCCGCCAACTGTCGGGGGTCCTGGTTGTGGTGACGGCCGTTATCTTACTATAGGTGCGCCGGGATGATCGCAGCATAGTACACGCTTTGGCCAATTGCCGAGGGCGATGCCTCTTTCATCTTCGCTGGACTTCGCGTCAGACTCGTCGGACACAGGACCCCGGATTATAGGTGGGGAACCCTGAGTGCCATCCGGACAAATTTTGGGCGAAATCCACGCACAACCCTGATATAATCCAGACAGTTCGGGAGAAATTTTTTGAAAAGCCTTGGTGCTGGTACAGACATTTTGGCCCCATAGAGCCCTCGGCGAGCGCCAAAATGGCACTTTCAGGAGCCTGATGCCACCATCCAGACAAGATTTGGGGGGAAATTGGCACTTCACCCTGATTTCATCCAGACACAAAGGTCGATTTTCGGGTTTCGGCGCTTAGACATTTTTGGGCTCGCCGGATCAGGGTTGTTCACCTATAATCCGGGGTCCTTCGGACACTCGTCGGGCAGCGTGCGCATACCTCAACCACATGGCACAGATAACCAACTGCGTTACAACCTAATAACGTGACCCAGAACTCCGGACCGAAGCAGTATTTCCACGTGCGCGGCGCGGTGCAATGAGTCACAGCCTTGGGCCACATACAGAGTCCCTGTGCGTACAGTGGCTGCTGTATGCCCCTTTGAGGTCTCCTTCCACGACCATCTACCGTAGCTCTGAACGCATAACTGGCGTTGTATGTATGTGTCGTTCTCTTGTGGAACCCTAGCTAATGTGTCGCCACCGCGTTGCTCCCAGGTGGCATAAATGGACTTGCAGCAGTCAACGAGACCTGCATCTGTCCAGAGCTCTCCTCGCAGCTGGGGAGCGTCCTGGTTTTCTTGGTTCCCCTGCGCTCTGCGAAAGTGTACAAGCACTCGGCAGGTAGATGTTCGGCGAGCCATTCCCACGCGATCCCATTCAACAAGACTTCCTGTGGAGCTGTGGATCTATATCATTGACCTCCTGGAGGACGACGTCGCTGCACTCCGAGCCCTCCAGCTGACGTGCTGGGATTTACTCCAGTTCATGTGTCGCGATCGATACCTCGTGTGCGACTCACGGAGCTGTGCGCGACTAAAGCTACTGGTAGAATTCGGGATGGCGCAATGCATTCACTCGCTCACCATCAGGGCTACTTCGAAGTCCGATACGCGGTCGAGATGGCTGAACCATACGCTGCTGGAAGTGCTGAAGAATTTGCCAGCGGTTGTCACCGTGGGGTTAGAATGCGTGATGGACGAACCAACGTACCCGCGTGGTCATATCAGACTGGATACCGTACGGGCTATCCTATTGTCCTTCCCTGCAATGGAAACGCTGCACATCGAAGAGCTAGGGCTTCGGAGTGGCTTCCCCATTTTAGTACATTTGACTTGGACTTTGAGGCCGACTGTGGCACCACTGCGGCATCCACGTTGGTACTCTCCGTTCGACACACCCATACAGCTCCGGGACTTCAAATTCAAGACTTGTTACCCTAATCGCTGGGGCTCATCGGAAGAATTTGCGAGGTTTTACCTTCTCCGTTGGCCATTCAAGTTCGATTTGCAGAGTCTAGAATGGAATAGCAACTACGGCGGGCAGGAGAGCCAAATGGTACTTGCATACCTACTACGCAGAAGCAATGCATTGAAGCACTTGCATATCGGGTTTCCGACCTGTGATACTCTCAGAAGCGGAGAAGACACAGATGCCAGTGAGATTTGACAGTCGCTTGTGGGAAAGAGGCAGTTGTGCTCATTATTGATGACACTCCGCAGGTAGTTCTCCTCGGACGCTAAATAGCTCCGGGTTTACCCATCTCGTCTCGCTGCACCTTCAATACCGGTTTGGAAGTAAACGGTCTCCGGGAGCTATGCGCGCCTGGATGCCCCTCATCCTCTCCCGAGTGAACTCGAAAAATCTGCAGGAACTTAAAATTATCCTCGGAGAAGAGAGTCACTACATGTCCATAGACATCTCAAGGCTGTTGGACTGGGGTGCGTTTGACTTGCAGCTCGCCCGTCTGTGCACGGTCAGTCCACGGCTTGTCACGTTGTTCCACGTGAAGCCACCGTGTACGAAATCGAAGCTGGTGCCGTTGGTAACTCAGTCGACTGATATGATCAGGACACGCTTGCCGCACTCCCGCGCGGCTGGAGCGAAGGTGGGGTTGATGTATCTCGAGTTCGTGTCCGAGTATTATGTATCTGAGGACCCGATACAGACACAGTGGTTATTGTGATGTGCTGCTATATCAGGCCGTCCCTCTCTCGTAGGAGTGACTTTGTAGTCTGCCTTTGGGAGATTAGATGTGCTGCTGGTACATCCCGTAGATTTGACATTGTGCCTTCAGTAGTTCACTCAGGCTCTTTGCTATGTTAATTGTTTCTGTTCGTCCTGTGAAATGTTATGTTGTGCAATTACATGTTTGACCTTTCCACTGCTTCTTGCGTCAGGATACAATGAGCCCCCACTGATGACGGCTTCTGTGCGCACCTTCAGGCCCCTAGCTGCGAACCTCGAATGAGAGTGCTCCACAGTTAGTCCAAGATCAAGGTATGGGTAGCATGCTGAAGAGCACGTTGACACCTGGCAGGTGCAAAAGACACGGAAAAGAGGCTGCGATGCTACTCCTGTTCAATATCAAGGTATTCTACATAATCTCTAGGTAAAAACATAAGGATCAATACATGAGGAATATCACGAGATGTCCCAGCATACTGATATCCTGTCAGATCCAAACAATCCGTCATCACGGTCACGATCGATCTGCTAGCAGTAGCTTTGGAGAAAGGGAAAGTCCCAGCATAGCGAGAATGCCGCCATGATATTGGAGGGAGGTTTAGGCACACGCAGGTCTATAGACCTGTCGTCCTCCTTCAACGACACGAGTTTGAATAGAGGACAGAAGTCACGGTCCTTGCTGACGTCCGCTTTGAATTCCCCAGTAGTGGTACTGTGGACCCACTGCACTTCGGCGTCACCCGTCGTCTTAGCAGATTGCTCACTGAGGCCAATGACGATCTTTTTGGTGCGCGGCGACGATAGGTAGCGGGCGTACGACGAGCACCGGTGCACTTCAGAGACGACGACGCAGTCGCGCATCGTGTCGTCCTCCAGTAATTCTCTGAGGCGCCCGGGTGGATCGATCGCCAAGATAGTATCGTTCTGCATCGCGAGGACGGCACCGCCGCTGGATGGGAAGCGATAGCCGGCCGTGACTCTGCAGTCCGCGAGACCAGGCTCTTGTCTATGTTAATATCTAGGTTAGAAGGGGAGGATATTGAAAGACAGAAGAGACATGGATGTACCCTGCTGCATCGCGCGAGACGTCCAACACTTTTGCATTCTGAGACACGAACCAGGTCACCACGTTCGAGGCCTCCGCTCCGTACTCTGTCGGTTTCGGGATGTCATATCTCTCTGCCAGCCCGTCCTGGTAGATATTTCCCTCCTTCACAAAGATGCCACCCCTGTCCGCCCAAGGGAGCCAACCGGAACTCCCGGCGATGATACGCCCCCAATCGCCTGCTTGGACGATTGTCTCTGGGTCCCAATTGGGATACTTGTTGGCCGCGTGGTATATGAGCTTGACATACTTGCGCTCGCTGTCGGACGACATGTTCTTCTCTTTGTAAGCCGGATAATGGAAGAGGAGGTTATGCGAGATTGAAACGTTCTGAGCTGATCGATAGATGTGCGGCGTGCAATGGCTTTAACTGACGGTCTAAGCAAGTTCCGGCAGAGCTATCAGGCTGTGGGGCCTATGCAAGCAGATAGCTATGCAGTAGTCAGATTACCGGTGCACGTCTGCAACTGTCCATCCAGTCCAAGACGATCAAACGCAGTGAGTCTAATATGTCCGGTGGTGGTAGAACCTCAAAGACATACCGTACGCAGTATCGACTCGGTGACGATGCTGAGAGTAGGAGAGATAAGCACGCTCGGCGCTCAAAGGCGCGGCAGTGGACCACAACTGACTTCTGTGGCTGTTATGCTGCTAATATATAGACGTAATGAAATCTTGACGGTACTTGTATACACTTCCAAGTTCCGGAAGACCTGAAGAGCCTCAGATACGCCTAATTCAGCACCGTAGGACTTCTAGAGTTCACCCAGAGTTAAAGTTCCGCAGCAAAGCAAGGCATATCCGCTGTGGGTGGTTGTATTAGAAGCACGAAGGTGGCAGCGAGAACTGCATTTGTAACTGTGAGCGCTAGAACCACCAAAGCTTTGGGGAAAGTTGCACCGTAGTAGTGGTCCACATAAAATAAAATAAACGACACTGCACTAGCACCCGTAGGGCACTGTAGGCAGCTACAAGAGCATGAGGCTATCGTGAAAAGAGCGACAACCCACGTCAAAAATCGACTGTTCCCCGCCAAACTGCCAGCGCCGCTAAGAACGTAGACAGTTTTGTTAGGAAACTTGTGCAACACAAGAAGAGCGCATTTAAAGAGGAAGACCTTCCTATAGTACTGGAGGACTTGTCAACTGCAGGCTCGTGGTCTGTCTAGACAAGGTTTCTGCTCTGAGCCCTATGAATCAAGCCCTGAGTTCTGAAGATGCCCAGAGGAAAGTGTTTGACTCTCACGGGGTTGACCAAATGCCCGACCACACAGCGATATCTACGTTGCGTCCGTGTCAAGTCTTCCATGTCACTGACACTGACGCGTACCGGTCGACACTGCGGCGGTCTTCCTTTGTCCAGCAAGGGTCCATCTTTAACAATACTTTCTCGAACCTGAGCAACTGGAGGTCTGAGGGAAATCGAGTCGCGACTTCCCCATCTTGAGCATGCTCATGCAGATAGTCGTCGATATACGCGGTCGTTTGCGTCGATGTGATCGTGAGGCAGTGCGCCAAAAGCTGGAGACCCCTTGCGGTTGGAAGGCCATCCATTGCTAGCGTGCTGGTTGAGCCTCGAGCGTCCGATACGACCGCGGTCCATGCAGGTTCATGACGCTAGCCATGTACTGTTTAACTCAATATTGTTTCTGCACCATCACCACAGCCCGCACCAACGGAAGACTCACCTAGCAATCTGGCGATTGGCATTATGGTGACGTCGGGTGGTGAGTTATTGCGGTGATCCGGGTGGTCATTCACATACAGTCCGTGGGTTCCTACAGTCAACAGAGTCGTCGACAGGACAGCGTAGTCTCCCAATGGTAGTGTAGCTACTCTGCTTCAACCTTCGTACCTCAGGATATCCGACGTATCTACACCAGGAAAACCCAACTTTACTTAGTCCGACTTTTTGTCCTTTTTTGCCTTATTTAAGGCTCATAAGTGCATTTAAGTAACATAAGGACACCTCTAAGTAAAAGTTAGATTTTCCAGATGCAATACATTAAATAATTTTGTTGACATTCTATTCAACTTCTAACATTTCATTGTTAAGACAGATTGACATTTGAACCACTCCAGTCAGTCTGATGATTTTATCCATTCTAATGGCATTCTATTGAAATACAAGGGCATTATAAGTTCCACACCTTTTTTGTGATGTACATCACACTATTAATTTCTATGTGCCAGTATCAAAGTAATGTTACCAAATATATTTCAAAAATTCTTTCTGGAGCAAACCAAAATGGTTCATCTGTACATGCCAGCAGGAAGCATATTTTTCATGTAGTTCAACACAACACGACACATTGGTGGGGAGGAGACACATTTTCTAAAGTGTGGTGTTTGCAAATGCACGTGATATGCCGATTGGCAGACCTCTTAGAAAGAACTCCCTTATGGAAAGCAGACATTACTAGGCTAACACATTAAGTATCCTGTTTTGTTTGAATGTCAGTTATTGACCCACAATGTAGGTGACAATGAAGGCTAGAATGCCGGGTATTCAATTAAAAGGATTTAGCTTCCACCATAAGTACTTGTACTGCATTGCATATTCGAGCCCTCGTACGAAAGCCATAAGTGAGCGGTGTCGGGGAATGGTGCTCGCGCCGCTACCATTGGTTAACTCAATCCTAGCCAATCGGCGAGTCTAGCGATTTTGATGGCAAATGTCACGTGCACATACGCCATAATGTGGCTGAGATTCTTCATCCATGTCGCACTCTCGTACGCATGTTGAGCCGCTTGCGTTCCATCTTGCAATCATTCATATCCGTTTCTCGTTCTCAGGCCTTGCAAAACGGTCGCGGTGTAAGCTCTGTGACGATGTCAGGTTAGTCGATATCTCTTCCATTCAAAGGCAGACAGCCGAATGCTAAGTTCGTCTGAAGGTGGGAACCCAGAAATCGCGACGTTTGCCGCGGGGTGCTTCTGGGGCGTCGAGCACATATTCTTGAAGTACTATCCCATTGCGGAGCAGAAGGGCATCCTCAAAACCGCCGTGGGCTACACCGGTGGGAAGGATGATGCCAAGGACCCTAACTACCGACAAGTCTGCACAGGCACCACAGATCACGCGGAGTCGTTGAGGATTGAATTCGATCCGAATGTGGTGGAGTACGACGAACTGGTTGGTGCGTGACTATATGCGCCTTATTAGTTTGCAAATGCTCATGAAAGACCGATCTCAGAGTTCTTCTACCGTACTCACGACCCAACGACCGTGAACAGCCAGGGCGCTGATCAAGGAACCCGTACGTTATCTCTTGATATATTCCTGCACTTTCGGTTGTTCAGTGCGCGACTTCCAGAGTACCGCTCTGCGATCTTCTACCATTCCCCCGAGCAATTTGACATCGCCAAACGAGTTACGGAAGAGGTACAGAAGAAGCATTTTGACCCCATCGGTACTATGTTTTCCGTGCTATTCCATGTATTTTTTCCTCACTGCTCGTTCTTGCGCCTCCAGGAAAGAAGATCGTTACCCAGATTGTCCCGGCAGGCCCATGGTACGACGCTGAAGAATACCACCAGGAATATCTGCATAAGAACCCGTCCGGCTACCAGTGCCCCACTCACCATCTGCATTGGTAATTCACTATCGGGAGTGCTATTCCATAATTTGTAGCATGGACAAACGCTTCAGGATGTTATCTGTATCCCTTCCGATGTAATATGACTTGATTTGGACAGACCTCCGCAGATCCGACGACATCTACTATGCCTGCCATTAGGCATACAGCCCGTTTGACATTGATTTCACATAAATGAACCACTCACTCCTGCAAAAGCTTTCTGACATAGCCAGCAAATTACTGTGGTCGGTGGCGGCGGCGTCGTGGAGTTGTCGGTACGGCAGTATGGGCGAAATCTTGTCATTCTCCACATAAGTACCTAACTGACTTGACGCCACTGATCCAACAGGCGCACAGCCATTCCTACTTGCGACGTTATCCTGGTCGTTCGTCGACGTTTCAATCAGAGAAGTTGCATCATATACCCAACCGCATAGTGCAGTCGAGCGCGTCGATCCCGTGCATTCAGTACTTTGGCCCAAAATCAGACGTGGCTATATGCAAACAACAATAGAACTTTGATCTTTGAGTTTGTTCCGGGCGTAGCAGGAGGTGAGCTCTGGCTATACGTCCCGTACAGGTCGGACACTGTTGGTGACTTGAATTTATACCCGTTCTCCGTGAACGTTCTCCAGGCACTGGGACATGCGAGACGTCTTGTCAACTGTGCATTCTTGCTTTGTGACCATGACGATTCCGGGGGCGATTTGTGACCCCGAGCGCGATTTGTGGTCCCGAGCGCGGTTTGTGATCAGTGAGCTCCCGTCACGGGCGCTTCGAGTCCAACGCCGAGCGCTCTAAATTTGCTGGTTGAAGTATTTGTGTCTATGATGCGTTGATGGACGCCTTCTTGGGCGGCGTACTTGCTACATAAGACGGGCCAGTACGCGGGGTATATAACATGTCTCGTGTTTAGCGCGACCTCAGCAAGGCAGGCCTTTCCTTTCACATTCATTTCATTTTCATTTTACCCTTTTTTACGATGTCACAAATGTTCGTCTTACACCCCTTGTTCGCTCTTCTGCTGTTGCTCTTCGCGATTTGCCATGCTGCCCCTATGTTGGAGTCTCGAGGTGCGTACGTTCGCCGTGGAGGCGCGTCTTGCTGACAAGTTCCCCCTCCGCAGCCGGCACACAGGTGGCGACCTTCGCCGGGGGCTGCTTCTGGGGCGTGGAGGATCTCTTCACGAAGCAGTTCACGAAGGGGCTGTCGAAGACGACCACAGGCTACATCGGCGGGAGCGCTCCAAATCCCAAGTACAGAGACGTCTGCTCTGGCGCGACAGGCCACGCGGAGGCGGTGCGCTTCGAATTCAACCCGAGCGTAGTCAAGTACGACGACTTAGTCGGTGTGTGGTCGCTATATGCTACTTCTTTTCCTGGAGGATGCTGATAACGTGGATATGCATAGAGTTCTTCTATCGCAGCCATGACCCGACGGTTGCGAATCGCCAGGGTTCTGATGTCGGAAGCCGTACGCCTTCTGCCGCGATGTGCATGTCGTTCCCGCTTCTGATTCGTGTTGTCTGCAGAGTATCGCTCCGTGATCTTCTACACTACTCCCCAGCAACAGGCTATTGCCCAGAAGGTCACACAGGATGTCCAGAAAAGAAGCTCTTCGCAGGTGGGTGTCGTCATTTAGTCCTGTCCTTCACCGATTTGATCTTCTGCCCATGAGTAGGCCGGTCGATCGTCACGCAGATTCTTCCGGCAGGCACCTGGTGCGACGCGGAGGCCTATCACCAGAAGTACCTGTAGAAGGATCCGGAAGGCTATAAGTGCCCCACCCACCGTCTGCACTGGTGATGGCATCCAGAGAGCGCAACACAGACAAATATTAATGCAATATATACCGTTGCCCAGCAGGGTCAGGTTGGATTTGCTTATCAAATCGCACCTCGCTCTTCGCCGGGGTCTTTCTGGCGCTCGGCTTCGAGGATCTGTGACGCGGCACCATGAGTAGTACTGTAAGTGACCTGGCTCAAGCTTTTGCTCCCGGAAGTATTTCCCGCGGCCATTAGCTTCACCAGCCCAATAGAGGCTATGCTTCGAGCCTTCAGTAGGTGTCCTTGAATATATTTTGTTCTTGAATGGTGCATGCTGTGTCGTGGTATGCACAGTCCATAGAGGATGTCACCACTTACCCAGGGGTCCCAGATTGCTCAGTGGTCATCTGGGATATTCAAGAGACAGCAGGGTGTCGACTGGGTTGCTGGGTCTAGTGCATGACTCAGATGGGGGGTGGCACCACACTACAGATCCTGGAAGCTTGTTCTCCATGAACTGGGACCTACAGCTTTCTGGCAAATAGATATGAGTTAAACACATCAGTTGAGCCTGGATAAGCTTGTGAAAATGCACTCCAAGGACACTGGGATTGCTCTAGTCAACTGTAGCAAGTAGGCTTTGCTTTTGCATCCATCAGCATTGGACGTGGCATAGTCTACCCTCAGAAGGGTGCATCAGAAGACACTGCTGAAGCAAACTGTAATAGATTTTCCATAGTAGCATAACACTTGAGATCCATACATGAATGATATGTCTCTGCATTGTGAGCAGAAACTCCAATATCAGCAACACCAGTACTTTTGTCACCGAGCTAATGAGTGCTGCCCTGCATACTTAACGCGAGACTCAAGGGGCGGCTGCTGCCGGACAATATTAAACACACTCGGTCACACGGAAATGTCACGCAGTGCCGCAACCGCCTGAGACCCCGAGGGCATTTCCTTTTTCTAACCTGACCCTGCTGGGCAACGGTAAATATATCTTAAAAAATGTACTTGAAACTTTATCTCCAAGTGCTGTAACTTCATATGCTCGAGTATTTATGTCTATTTTTAAAAATAATCCAGCAGAAACAGGGAAGTCCCACTGTATAAATAAGGTAAAGACACGCTTGTGCTTGGAGATAGATATAATTTCGTAATTTATTACTTCTGGAATGCAAATTCACCCATTTACTAGTTTGTTCATCGGCTTTTACTCGCGGATGAAGTGCGGACTGCCAAACGGTATTCGTTACACTCCCACGCATGCACTCTGCAAAAAAGGTGATCAGAGGATGGTCACGATGTATTAGGAACTGCGAAAACAAGCATTCCTATTGGACAAGGCTAGCTAGGTGCACGCTGCCAGCTGCTGTGGCGTTTGCTCGCGGTGATTGGCCTGATCATGATCGTCCAATTGCAATTCAATTGGCACATGGATCGCTGAGATGCGATCGATCCTTCTGCTAGCGGTAAGTATCTAGCAAATATTTCAGCTAAATCGAAGACGCATCTCTGCGAATTTCGCTTCGGAATCATTGTTTGTGGCGCAACGAAATTGTGCCGACAAGGAAGGCATTTAGACTCGTGACCAGTCTCTCTAATGCACCAATGCGATGCTATGCCGACCACGCAGCATTCCTACTTTCGGCTTGGGCTTATTTGGTCGACGACACTTTCTCGTTGTACCGCAAACCAAGAATCCTGACAGTTGGATTTAACTGTCACCATGAGCTGCATGAGCTACCTCCAGTCCCAAACCAAGAAGTATAACGTACACTACAGGACAAATACAGTGTAGCCAAGCGAAACGGATGCAGACACAGTCCTATATGTACAAGTTCAAACGAAGACATGCATATTTGACAAAGCAACGCTCTCCACTCTACTCCCCCAGATATCCGACATTCACAGGTATCCAAACTGCACACGAGGAACAATACTCACTAACGATCGTATCATAGAAATTCAGCCGGGCTGCGCCACTCCGCGTCCTTGCAGCCGTAGTAATCTAGCCATTCATTGACCTTGCACGGCGAGCGGCTCGCCGGCCACTCATCCAACTCGAACTTCCCGTCGAGCCGCGAGACGGTATAATAGTTGTCGCCTACGCGAGCGACGCGCACCATCGGGAACCCGGTCTCGATCACCGCCGTGACGTCCTCGGCGGAGAAGTGCGTGAGCCCGATGAAATGCAGCGAGGGTGGCAGGCCCGGGCGCAATTGCTGAGTCGCGAGTAAGCCACTGCCAGGAAAATATGCCATTTTAAAAAATGGACGCACCGAGACGAAGCCAAGCGCTTCTGTGGATGACGATGCTGCCAAGAGGGAGAGAGCCTCCACGCCCCGTGGGACCAACCACATCGCGACGGCCGCAGCGACATCCTTCGGGAGCGTCGCGGTCAGACTTTTCAAACCAACAAGCGATGGCAGGACACCCCACACAGTCGCGTCGTAGCCCAGCCGGCGTTGCGCATAGTCCGCGCTGGGCACAGTGAGCTGCAGCGTGCGCAGATCCTTGCGATCGCGCAGGAAGTCTGACACCGCAGGGAATAGGTCATGGTCGTTCAGACTGTAGCCGAGGAGTGAAAACGCGAAATGCCGCAGGAAGGGCAGCGATCTCGGGAAGTCACGGAATTGCGAGGACGGTGCACAGTCCAGCACACACTGCAGACGCAAGGACTCAATCTGGTGCCCATTCTGGAGGATCTCAGCGAACACGCCGGAGTCCAACGGAAACGCGCCGAGGAAATCTAGATGCGTGAGGTTGCGGATGGAGATCACTTCTGACGGGAAGGTCCAGCTCAAGTTGTGGATGGCTATCGCGCGGATGGACGTCTTGTTCTGCAGTAGGAAGTCGTTCACTTGTGAGGGGCTTCCTCCTTTCGAGACGATCGAAAATTGGGTGATATGTCTGAATTTTGGTAATCTCAGATCGGAAGTCCCGTCCGACGGCCTGCAATCCCAACGTAAGAATGACAGTCAGGTCAGTGGGTTAAGATAGGTTGTGATCAGCCCTTACATCAACGACAGACCCCGTAGCCGAATATTGACATTATCGAGGATTTTGACAACCGCAAGCAGATCCCTCCACCTCATCGCACAGTGGACGTTCTTCAGATTGACCAGCATTGGCAGCGCATTGGACAACATCCCTGCCCGTGGTATAAATCCAAGGCTGCTGACACGTATATACGCCACTCACCAGTCTGGAAGGTCATTGGAAAGATATCCCGTCCTTGATAGAAAATTCGCAACGTCCTGACATGCTTTGCAAACTCAGGATCGGTGATGATACGAGTGAGGATGTCGGCACTGCGCTGAGACTCCCATTTCTCTGAAGCTGATAACAAGCTGTTGAGATCGCGAAGTCGTCCTATTGCCAATTACTCACTGAAATAGATGTCGATTTTCTGGAAGAGAAGCTGGCTAGCGATGCGCGAAAGGACGTGCGGTACGAGTAGAAGCGTTTTCAGGTCCGCTGGTGGCAACCAGGATGCGATCTCCCTCCATACTTCTGTCGAGAACCCAGGCGTGGAGTTCGGCTCGACCGACGACTGCCACCGTTGAATGGTGAGCGTAAGTGACATGGCTGGGAGAAGGCGGGAAAAGAGGAGGGATATACCTTTCCTGGATCCCCGACGTGCTGCAGCATGAGTTCCTTCGCCCCTGGATGCTCAGGCTCGAGCGCAAGGATAGCCCTGAGGTCTGAGAGTCATAGATGAGTCGGACGCCCACATCTAGAATGCAGCCTGGGCCGCAGCAGACCTTGGTGTGCGCCAACATGAAGACCCGAGGCGAGCCTAGCCTTGGCTCTCATCAAACGGGCTTTCGTGGCATTTGCAGGCGATAACTTATTTATTAACAGACAAGACTGAACCGCGTTTTCTATCAGTGTCCTGGAGCTATGCAAGAGCCTCAAGTCAGGTGGGAACCATGCGCAAGTGAGTGAAAAGCGCCAACCGCTGGAAGTCCAGGTGTCCTATGGCGTACAGAAGTACGTCCACCTTTTGTTCGTCAGCGAGACCGGAGGTCACGTCGCGAATGCTGGCATCAAGAATTTTGGGATTGAAGACATTCATGCTGCTGTGGCACCGGGACCGCAAACCGCACTAAAAGGGGGGGTATCAAGATTCAAAACTGCGCGAGGACTGCGCGAGGAGAACGAGATCGTCTCCGTACAGGAGAGAAAGCTGACTGCGACGGTACTTTTCTCGCGACAACTCGGGCTGCTACAAATACGATTCGGAACACGTCCAGTATGGGAACGCGCTTGACCAATGCTGTTGAGGCAGAGAAAAATTCTGCCGTTGGGTTGCCACGTCGTCACACTTTCCGTGGGTGCTTTTATAGAAAATTCAAACCGCAGATGGAAATCGTAAGACGGGTTTGGGAGATGGGGTGATGGGAAAGAAAATGAAAGGACGCCGAGGATGTGCTCTAGCTTGCTCCAGTCCTGCCTCGAAGACACGCATCACGCGACCCGGTGAGTTCCATTTGCACGTGACGGACTCGCTCAGTCGCGTGATGGGCGCGCGCTGAGAGAACACGAGCTTGGAGTACAATTGGTACGGAGCGAACAACTACGCTAACCGGGAAACTTGACTGCACTCTGCCTGGAAGCAGGAAGCTGACTCATAGCTAAGGTAAGCCTGCAAGCAACGCGAGCCATTCGTCGGTCACACTTATGTACCGGGGGAAGAGGAAACAATTGGCACATCGCGACAAACGCATCACGCGCTGACGACAGCCCACGCAAGAACTGAGTTGGAAGACCAGAGAAAGATGGTCAACTTTGCACGGGAATTGAGATGTTGAAGTGCGAATATTCGTGTCATGCGTTAGGAGCTATCTCGACCGGATAGTCGGCCTCAACTGAAGGTTGCAATGCAAAGCAGTGAAGAGTGAGGGTACAGAAGACAACTCGAAAGAAATCCGCCACTCGCCGATAGCGGTCATGCCCAAGCACGGATAGTGTAGATATCCGAGCATGAGTTACTGAGCTGGCAAAGTAGTCTGGACGAATGTCCGAGCAAAGACCAGGTAAAAATTTCAAGGTAATATAGTTGATTCACACTATAAACATGAACCTTCTACCACAGTCTACCTCAAAATCTGGGGAGTTGTCGATCTCAGAGAGCGTGAGGGAAACAAGCCTGACGTACCTAACGAGACGACGAGCGCGGTCCCTTCACTTGAGTTTCGCGAAGAGTTTTGGTGCGACACATCCCTGCAAACGCGTGAGAGAAGTGAAGAACAAAGATCCTCGATGCGTACATCCACACAGTGCATCATGCTGCGAAGCAGAAGTCAGAAGCAGATCAGCGAGCGATGATATTATGACGTACTGGTCTGGGGAGGGCCAGTCGCGTCCAAAATAGATTTCAATCAGTAAATACTCAAGTCGCGTTCGAAACATACGCACAGCTATAATTCTTCGCGTTAGCATCGGGAGAAAAAGAGAGCAAACGACGACGCACAATTCTTCGACGCAATCTTCACCCTTGTACCCTTCGCCAGCATTCACTTTCTCCTCGCAATGCTGAAAGTGCTTCGTAGCCTCAGCACACTTGGCGGACTGCTCACACTCCTCCCGAAGAGCAGGGAGGATCTATTCACGCGTCAAGAGCTCGACGCGAACGCCCTGAACATATAGAATAAAAATACGCACGTCCTCGGGCTCCTCTTCCTGTGCGGGCTCCTCCTCCTCCTTCACCTCCTTTTCCTCGGGAGCGTCAGCGTAAGCGACAGGGAGGAACGACGACAGGAACGACGAGAGACTCATGGATACCAGGCAAAACTCGAGGTGTTGACGTTGAAAGCTCGGCCGTGCACGGCTCGGTGACGGAAGGAATCGTCCTCAGCTCCGACTCGCTTGTTGCCGAAAATCCTTGGGCGCTTCCAACATCGGGCGCTTGTCGACTCTTCGCTCAGCGGTAGCATGTGCATTGTGCACAAGTTTCTTCATGACATCGGAAACTCCTCGAGCTGTAACAAGCGGAATAGCCTATGGATGCAGCACGGAGTCTGTCGTTACAGGATATTGACGATGACACTCTGATAGTTGTCTTCCGTTTTCTGTCGGTATCCTCCATTCTTGCTATCAGAGAGGTGGGCCATTTGCTCGAGTAGATTTTCATCGCTCGCTCATAATATCGGGTGGCAGACATGTAAACGCATGGAAGGCATCTCTCGGATGCGAATAGTATGGCAGAATGCGTATACCTGCCAGGTACTACTTCAAGGGTTCCCCGCTCCCTACGCCTCTGCGTTGGATGCGGTCCAACTTGAGCGCAATGTCTTGCGCGCCCTCCGGGTTGGAAATTTCTGGCTTTCTCCTTCCGCTGCTCCACGGAAGGTCGTCGAGTTCAAAGCCAGTTCCGGAACGAGCGTGTCGGAAGTGCACTTCCTGCCCAGACATGAAGACCGATGGCTTGTGACTGTGTCCAAGGGCATCTGGTCCATGATCACCTGCTGGGACATCCCTTCCATCTGCGACCCCCCCGAGCGAGCACAGGCAGTCCAGATTGCAGAGTGGAGCCCCAAGGGAATGCTCTTCACGGGGTTTGTGGTCAACTCGGATCCAGACTCTGAGGGCATACTCGCGGCCTCTGTGAGTGGCAGAGGGTTCGTACACATTCTGAAGGTACTCGTAAGGACACTAAGACGCCATCTGCAGTCAGCAAAGCATTGAGATCTTGAACATTACTTCCGGGAGCGCCGAACCGCCTGCTTTCCGCACGGTTGACAGCATAGATACCAACTTCAGAGTGATCGCCCTGCAAGGGGAACTCATAGCATTCAGTAACGATTCGTCGGACACAACGATAATGAACTGGAGAACTGGGAATGCGGCCCTACTGTGTAGTTCGGAACCGCCGGTAGATCAGCACTTTCAGGTGAGTGGGATGGTTTACTGACGCATTTTGATTTTTAACTATGCCTCTCCGATATGTAGTACAACCGGTGCCTCCAAGTGGTGTTTACCCACAAAAGTATACTGGTCGTGCGAGCTAGGTCCATTGAGCTCTTCGCCGAGCCTGCGTTGCATCCTCCGAATGAGCCGTCACTCCCGCACTATCCGCTCGCTTATCACACCTTTGGTTGGATAGATGGCGTGTCAGTCAGCCTGCAAGCTCTTCCCTCCGACAGAATAACCGGGTGTTCCGTCGATCCTCTGTCAATCCTCCTGCGGGCGGAAACCGACGATCCTTGGGCATCCGACACCCACACATTGAATCTATTCACCCTTCAGCCAAATCCGCTGTATGCCGAAGACTCTCCTGTTATCTCAAATAGTGTCGATGCAAATCTGTCCCAGGTCGTCTCGAGCCAGAGCGCGACGTCTCCGTTGGAGCGTGCTCCGTACCTCTTTCCACCTGTACATTCCTCCCTCACATCACCCTCCGTCCACGGCTTCCTTCGGTGCACAGGGATCATCTTAGGGCAGTATGGAACCGCCGTATGGATCCAGCCTCGCCCCTCTAGAAGTACTGACCTCACAATGCTCGATGTGCACGCGTCGGAGACGCAAGCGGCTGAGACGACCAGGCCTCGCGAGTCTCTTGCTGCTGCCGTGTTCGCGGGGCCGCTGCAGCGTCACCATCCTGAGATCAGTCTAGACGCGAGGACGTTGTGGGCTGAATCTGATCGGAGCAGTAACTGGACCGCGATTGATTACGACGAGGAGCTGGGACGGATCGCACTTGGGTCGATAGACGGGAGGGTGACCCTGCTGGAGCTTGGATTACCTTGTGACCAGCAAGGTTGGACCCGTTGACATGCTAATTTCATATTTGCAACCACTTAATCTAATTCATCCTGGCTGGAAAGTTTAGGTTCAGACAGTTGCAGTTCTTCTGGAATGATTCATCGAGGATATTGCGCGTCGGGGCGAAACTGCGTATGTGCCTGGTGTGTTTTGGGATGCGCTCCACCGCGTGGCACGACGTCCCTCTCACTTCAATTGGCGAAGTGTTTTCGATGTTTGAAGAGAGCGGCAAGGCTGCTCTTGTCACAACAACGAACACTCTCTCTATCTCACTATTGTTAGGCGCCGCGAATAATGGTCCACCTTTCTGTGCGTTAACGTTACATCTGCTGGGTAAGCTTCAGTGCCATATTTGTTATAAGCAGCTGAGCGTGGTCTCAGCACGCAGGAGAAATGCAACTCTACTACGTCAGCTGCTGCAACGCGTCCGCTTTCAACCACCGGTGGTCGAATAACTGCCGCATCTTCGACACAACCTTGGCGTGATGTCCTTGTTTCAGATGGGGTCAGAACAAGAGAGCTCCGAGTTCATCTGATTCCCATGCACTCCCCAAGCCACTTAAGGTTCAACCCATCCACTTCCCTTCGTCTCCCACCTACAATTCTTCAAAACTTTCCGTTAACATGGGCGAACTGGATGGCATACTAGGGGCGGTGTTCATCGGTTCTCTGGTCTCCGCGATGTATGCGCAGTTGTCTTCTCATTTATGCTGCGTTTCGCCGTTGTCAGCAGATTATTCAGCTACGTCGAAAAGCTACACCTGCTTGCGGAGTTCCTGTGGTAATATTAATGTCATGACGGCCGCGTACTTTCACACCCCATACACGTGATCGTGATAGTCCGTGCGTGGGAATTTTCTGTGTATATAAACCAACTCTCCGAAGCGGTTGCCTTTTGATCTTTCCACTATCATAAACGCCAATGACGAGAGCATAGCAGCGATATGAGCACGACAGTCGTAAAGGCTTGTCGGCATTGACATCGCTCGTTCGGCACCAACCTTGTTACCACTTTTAAAGGGACGGGCTTGTACCAGTCTGATGGCGTTTCTGTTGTGGATATTTTGTTTGACATAGTTACTTGTTTATTTGTATCGAACTTTGGCTAGGTTTTCTGTAGTCTGCATAATATTATTCCATTGGGGATTCGTGTGTTGCATGCCTGGTGAAAACTGATCGAGATCGTGTAAGATCAAGCAGTTTAGGTTGGAATCGACTAAGTTTGCTTCGACGTCTTTTCCGTCACGGTGTCCAAGTTGTTTCATGCTAAACCTCAGATTCATAGTGTTGTGTCAAAGCCTTCTACAGAAACCTCAAATACCTGGAGGGCAATCAGACCACGAAGAACTTGTGGCAAGCATCTAAGGACAGACTTGACACATCAATGGAGGCCACCACCAGTGTGTGGACGCCACCACAATACGACTTGTCGAGAACTCCGAAATTAGTCCATACAGCCTATCTTTCTCCAGATGCAGAGTATCCTCATAACTTTGCTCGACTGGTGAAATGGTGAGCATATGTCGAATCTGCCGGGGCGGTGTAACACCGATAATTTACACAGGTGCCCAGATGGCTCGCTTGCCCTCGCGCAGTGCGAGAACAGGTCTTTGCAATTTCTTAACCTGTAAGTACACCCTGAAACTGAGTTGTCCACTTCCGAGCTTATGCCTTCGCGAGACCTCCTGAGCTCCTTGATTCCACGGTCGCCCACGCTGTAGTCCCACCACCGCCACCCGTAGTGCCTCGAACATTTATTCAACCCTCCCCATTATTGGATTTTGCATGGTATCCTTCTGCCAGCTCCAGAGATCTAGCCTCATTCTGCTTCGTGGTGTCTGTCCGTGAGTGCCCGGTCAAGCTCCTCGACGCCACGGATGGAAGAGTATGTCACTCGTTTCAGTAGTACACCAGTAGTACTGATCTGTTCTGACTGATTTGTACCGCTTATCCGGCTTGTAAGCTTCGAGCTTCATACAAGATCGTTGACCACCGCGAACGCCAAATCGCCCCCCACAGTCTGGCGTTCAATGTAACAGCCGACAAGTGTGCTTATTGTTTATTCAGCTCGAATTTTTCGGTAATTATCTGACGTGGACAGACTCTATTGCGGGTTCGAAGACGCGATTGAAGTGTTCGACGTCTACTACCCCGGTGAAGGTACCAGGTTACATACGACCCCGAACAAAAGAAGCCGGGATGGCCTCAAAGGCAAGCTCTCCCTTTTTTTGTTCGAGTACCGTACTACAGCGGTCTCTTTGCATCAGGGATCATCTCCGCTTTGGCATTCGCGGCGGACACATCTTCGGGAATATATGCCGCAGGCTCTCTCAGTCCATCAGCGCCCTCGTCATCCAACATCGCTCTCTTCAGCGAAACGACCGGTGAAGTACCCGTGATGTTTGTTGGCGCTGAAAAACGGCGGAACGGGGCAGGGTTTGGTATCCGGGCTAGCGTCAGCCAGGTACGACACCCACGTCTAAGTTCTTGGCATCTCATATGGGTTTCCCGTAGTTAATGTTTAATCCAACCCAACCATATCTTCTATATGGATCCTTCCGACGAAACGACGTGATCTACAACTGGGACCTTAGAGGCGATGTCAGTAATCCAGTGCAGACATTTGGCGGGCACGGCTCACCCTTCCCCAACATGAGTAATCGGCGTAAGACGAATCAGAGAATGAGGTTCGATGTCGATATTAGCGGGCGAGTGCTGGGCATTGGCGATCAGGTTTGTTTTGCCGTTGCTGCTCCGGATTGTTGCTGGCTTATATATTCGCTCAAGGACGGACATGTGTCTCTCTTTGACGTCACCTCAGGCGATCTCGCAGAAGCCGCGGTAGGTGGAGGGAATGCGAGCGCTTCTGCGGCGAGGGAAAGGGAGACCCACGCAGCCCTACGATTCAAAGCACATGACGGTACGATTCCATCACTTCGTATTGTATTTTGTCGTCGTGCTCAACATATCACCCAACGATCACAGATGCAGTGGGATCTGTCGTTTTCCATCCACTTCGCCCCTACCTCCTGTCTGTCTCAGGTTCACGACATTTCGATGGGGCGCGCGATAGCCATAGCCACGAATCGGATGAATCTTCAAGCTCAGACTCTGAATCTGACGGGGAAGAGGAAGGGGATGGTTCGACGGAGGGCACTCCCCGTACGGGCAAAAATGCGATAGTGAAGATGAGCCGCGTACGCCCTCAGCCTCGCACCTTCGATAGCAGTGCAAAATTATGGAACCTTACTGTGGAGGAGGGTTAACTGGGCTGGTTCTGTGTGTAAGAACTTGCGTTACAATCAAAGGGTCCGCTTAGTATAACGTATACGATATAAGTACAAGGCGGGGGAACGTCGTGCTAAGCACCGCAAGAAACATCGCGAGATATTGGTCAATAGGATTCATTCAGCGTGGAGCAGATCAACTCCTCCGCTGCAGCTGATCGAGGTTTGATGGAACACTGGAAGGGTAGCGGGTAGCTGTGCAGCATCGGACATTCGTCTGTGTGTCCAAGCAGTGAATCTGCAGGCTAGACGTACCTTATTATCCCAGTAGAGTACTCTCCCGTGGGCTCCATCTCCTTACCATCCACATCCACAGCTTTCATGATATCGAAGGATGCGAGCACGGAACTGATAGTGATGAACATTGACTCCAATGCGAAGTGACGACCAGGACACATTCGCCTTCCAAATCCGAACGCCGCCATCTCTGGTTGGGGTTCGGTGTACTTTCGTCGGTCAGGAAGCGTTCGGGGATGAATTCATCTGGGTCGGAGAAAACGTGTTCATCGTGCAGTATTGCCCTGGGGCGAGTGAATACGTTCGTGAACGATTAGTGGAGTGACAGTCAGTAGGGGACTGGATGGGGAATTTACCATACGTTGCCCACGACCATCGAACCAGCAGGAAGCCGGTAGCCGCGGTACACGTCTTCCACCATGAGGCGATGAGGAATAGCTGGCAGCGCATGGATCAGAGATGGCCAGCAGGCTCTAGCACGTATATGCTGTGCGTACCTAGCGGTCGCCACCTATCATGTCATGCCAGACGAGGATGTTGTGAAGTACTGAGCCCTTACTAGAGTAACATAACGCACCTCAAGAGCTCTCTGATGACGGCAGTCACGTACGGCAACGAAGGTTCGTCCGAGAATTCTGGGAGACGGTCTCGCCCCACGATGCGATCGAGTTCCTCTTGGGCCTTTCGTTGAACGGCTGGGTAGAGGACCATTGCGAGGAAGAACGAACCCAAGGCGGACAGAGTCTGAGGTCCTGTCAGCGCTCTGATCTATCGTCTGTACATTCACAAACCGTATCAGCTCCTCCTACACTTTCGTCAGTAAAGGTGACACGACCAAAGTAACTGGGCTTACCGGAAAACGCAGCTGCAGCTACCCCTCGGTAAACGTATTCGTACTCTGTATAATTGTCATCCTCGTTCAACTTGCTCAGTAGCGACATGGCCACGGAAGGGGAGGCTACACCGTCGGCCTATAATGAAACATTGATAGGCGAGACATCAGGATCATTGAGGGGACCCACAATGGCTTCCTTGACGGCTGGAACGGAACCTGTATCATGTCCGTCATTGGCTTTCTCCACTCCAACGCTTGGCGCTTGAAGTGGGCCCCGGGAAACCATGTCGGTATGTGTTTCACTGGGTAGCAAAGTCAGCGCTATGAACGTCACAAGCAGGGTTCAACACACGGATCGGAATTGAGTCTACAAGGTATGAACCGGCATTGCCTGCCATGATCAGGGCGTGGTTAGCCTTTTCGGCGATCGCGATGTACGGGTCATCTTTTGGCGGCACGTCCAGTCCATACACTACGCTAATGATCAAAGCGCCGGACATGCTAAAAACATGCAATTATGTTGAGAAACGGGATAGATATGGGATAAATACTGGCGAAGATGCTCCAGGAATGCATCCGGATCGGCCAGAAGATGCCTCAAGAGCTCGCGGGCAACCTTCACTTGTCTCGGCCGATATTTTACAGCCGCGGCAGGGTGGAATTCTTGGTGAAACGCCTGTCGACGCACTCGCCAATCTTGACCATACCCCATGAAAGTAAAGAACCAATTAGCACCGATCCTGCATGGCGGCTAAGTATCGGTGCGACAGCTCGGAATGACATTCCCTTACAGGTCGTTGACCATTGCCATGCGCATTCTGGAGAAGAGTTGTCAGAATAGATGCGACTACAGTCGTACAGAAACACACCGGTCAGAGTAAATGGAGGACCTCTTCTTCAGAAGATCATACGCCGCCTCAGCAGAGTTAAGTACGATAACAGGAGTACCGGCGGCGTTCACATATATTACATCGGAATCTGTAAGAAGAACGAATTTATATGAGCAGGATCTGCGGCATCGCTATCCTAAACCTGACCGAACTCGCGCGACCACTGCTTATAGGCCAGCCATTCATGGTGTTTGGGTATGTCGTAATAATTTCCCAAGAGAGGCAGTCCTTTGGTTACCTCGGGGCAAGGGAAGCCTTCGTCGACCGAAATGTAAACCAGCTATGACCACAACGGCGAACATGCATATAGCGAGGTCTAACAGAGTGATGGCCATGGTAGTGAGTGTGAGTCGTTGGAATCCACTCCGTTTCCCACTTCTTATAGCACCTATCTGCCCAGGAAGGCCTGATTTCAAATTACATGGAAACGTCACGATAAGTGAGGCTGAAATCATTAGTCCAAATTGTCCCCTTGGGCTGAAAACACACCTGGCATACCCAGATGATCAGGAGTACGTGTTCATTACAGCCGCAAGATAACAAATCGGTGAGGAAGTACACACCTCTCCCATACCTGTCTCCAACTTGAGCTTAAAAATGCACCTGGCACACCCAGACGGTCAGGAGTACGCGTTCATTGCAGCCGCAGTATACCAAATTGGCGATGAAGTACACACCTCTCCCCTACCTGTCCTTTAGGCACTCGGCAATGAGGGCACTGAGCACAGAATGCCGCCGTTCTCTGAATGAATGATCAGCTTCTGATAAGAGTTGTGATGCTCGTCAGGGGCTATGCAGACATGAAAATTACGATGTGCTTGCAGTGATAGAAACGTAGACAAGACAAATCTGATACAATTTGTGTAATAACGATACAGCAAAAGACAATGACGGTGCAGATGCTACTCAGCGTTACAGTCCACGAGAATCGATCGGGCTTAACAACGTCATCTTGACCCGACCTCGCTGCGTGTTCTTGTCTTTCTCAACCTCGACGCTTACCGTCACCTTGTCGAAGACTGCAATAGTAGCGCTCTGTTGAGATTCGGTCTGCACAGTGACGGCGTAGTTTTCTGCGTCGAACTGGATCTCGCGTTTGAATGTCACGAGACCTTCGATCCCCAGCCTACAAGCCGTGGGGTTAGACAACAACAGTACAATCGGAATCAGCGGGCCTACTTCGACACAAACACAGCAAGACCGTTTTTGAATGTCCGGATCACGAACGCCTCCTCCGTGTTTCCCTTATTTTGTCCGCGAGCCTTGAGCGCCAGCCCAACATAGAACTCTACGCTCGCACGGCCAGCCATTTGAGCCATTCTATGGCGGCGGTTAACAACATCCAGGACGCGCTCGACGTGCGATTTCGAGTGCAACGTCGCGTGCAGCGGTGCGTATGCTATCGCGGAAGCAAGCTGCCGGTGCACAAGCACGTCTGCACAACAATGTCAATCCAGGTTAATGCGCAAATAATCAAGCAGCCTACCCGCGTAGCGTCTAATGGGACTCGTGAAGTGCGTATATATGGGCGTCGCCAGGCCATAGTGTCCGAAGGTATCGCGGCCTACACTGCCGGAACAGAAATATTCTGCTGCTAGCATGCAGCGGGTGGCCATAATTCGGACCAGGGTATTGAACGCAGGCTCAGTGGGATCCTGCCAAGTGCACGACACCTGAGTCAAAACGAAGGGCGTGGATACAAGATCTCGAGAGAAAACTAACCAGGCACTTGTCCAGAGACGCTGCCAGGGCGCCTGAGCTCGACACGTCCAGATTCAATCCTCTGCGCTTCAGTAGAATATCTTGCAACTTCTCGAAGTTCGAGCGAGGTGGCGGCAAATGTCGTCTACAAGTCAACTCGTCAATAACCATGACTGTTTCCCATGGCGCCGCAACGGACCTCAGCACTGCAGTTTGCGGGAATGTCTCCTGAATCTTCCGCGCGACGCTGATGTTCGCAAGGAGCATGAACTCCTCCACTAGGCTGTTTGTCTCACGTAACTCTTTCTGTTCCACATCGATCGGATCGGATGACTCGGAGCTATCAAGTTGGATCTTGACCTCGGGCGAGGCTAGGTTGAGCGCGCCCGCAGCCATCCGACCAGCCTTGAGTTTTCGGGCGAGTTCGTTGAGAAGGCGGATGCTCTTCGTTAGCTCGTCCTGCAAATTTCTGCGGGTCACAATGGTGTAAGTTTCCAACTACCACATGATTAGAGCGATCAATGGAGACGCACGGATCGTCCTTTCGTATTTGGGCCTCCTCATACGTGAACGCAGATTTAGAGGCTATAACAGATTTTGTAAAGCGAACATTAACGATCTGCGCATCCGGAGATAGTTCCTATGAACGAGCCAGGTTCAGCATACGAAGTCACGCGGACCTATGAGAGATTACCCAGATCACAGAAAACGCCAGCCGCTCGACGTTGGGCCGCAGAGAACAGAGGTTAGTGCCGAGGAGGGCAGGCAACATGTCAATCCGCTTGTCTACGAGGTACACCGTGGTGCCCCGCGCGGCTGCTTCGTTGTCCATGGGCGTGTCCGGGTGTACGAAATGCGAAACGTCCGCGATATCTTGCCACGGCAGAACATTAGCTCCGGATCGAAATGGATTACTACTAAGTGACTTACGGACACCTGCCTCGATGTTGCCGTTGGACAAAAGTCGTGCATGCAGGGCGTCATCGATGTCTTGGCATCCTATAATATTGAGAACATCAGCTATCACCCGGAAACGTAGAGTATAGCGCCACAGACCGGGTGGATCGATGCTGCAAACAATGAGATGCCTGAGATCTTCCCGATCTCTCCACTCAGGGCTGTCCGCGCTCTTCGGCGGGACCACCCACGCCTCACCCTCGCTGGGCAAGCAATCAAGAATCGCCTTTCCAAATGGTCTATACGGCACCTCAAACTCGAGCAGCAGGCTCTCCTGCTCCGTCTCCTTGCTCTCGACCTTCCCGAGCGCGCGCACAAAGTGCCCATCAGGGTACCGCGAGGTGCTGTCCCAGCGGTCGACCGTGACGAGAATCTTCTGCCCGAGCAACGATGGCGCCTGGCGCGTGCGCAGTCGGATGCGCGGAAGGAGCCGCGAGACGGGCGTCGCGAACACAGTCTGCTGCGAGAGCGACGTCGCGTTTGACGAGGTGAGTGAGGTGCTGTCGATGTGGCAGACGTATCTGTAAAACAGTTGTGAGGTCGGCGAACGGATTATGAGACACGCAGGCACTTACGATCGCCAGTTGCGCTTGATAATCCCCACAATCCGTCCTGTAGGCTGTTTCGCTGATGCTTGCTTCTTTGCCGCCTCCGCTTGTAGGACGCGCCGCTCCGTGACGACCGCGATGTCCGCGCTCTCTTCCTCCGAGTCTTCCGCATCATCGTCCTTGAGGGTTGCTACAGTTCACAGGAGGACAGTGAGTCAATTGCCGGAGAATCGGAAGCGACGCGAAATAACCCACCTTCTTGATCAACTACCTCATCTGCAGGGGCTTTCCACTCGGCCTCGGGTAATATCTCGACCGCGACAACGTCACCTTGCACGGCACGGTTCATGTTCTCCCGTCCCATCAGAAGGATGGGTTTGTCGAAAGCTGAGACCGGGACGCTACCCTGAGCATATCCCACACATCAATCGGTCAGAAAGAGGTGCGATTCACGTTCGCGAACATACCTCCAAATAATTGTACTGGTTCGCATTGAAATGTCCTTGGTGCAATTGTCCAGCCCTGACGCCAGTGAGTAGAGCGGACATCGGGAGGTACTACAACATGCTCAGTCAGCGCCCTGCTCCACCACGCAGAAACGTAAACGTACATCAGAGTAGAGTGCTTGGCGGACAGCAACAGCTTTTGTGGGCTCCAATACGTCTGCGCCGGACGCTGAAAGCAGATCGAGGAGCTGATTTGCGTCTTTCATACTCTCCACATACCGCCTTGCTAAAAACATTGTAAGGCCCGTGCAGACAAGCGAAGGATGGGATAATAGCGTACATGAGATGCAGCTGAGCCCTTCCTTCTCCGCCCTCTGCCGGTTAGCCACGTCGTCTGTCAGGAGCACGACTGTTGGCAGAGGGCGGACAGGCTGGCCCCTTATTGGTGGACGAGACAGAGATATGTGTGTGTTGTACCATGAAGTCGCCTTGCGTATACCTTCAACGTCAGTGGTGAGAGTCATTTATGGCAGAGGAGTAATAATATAAACCTCTGTCGTTGCGATCATTTGGAGACTCTCCTTCCTCGCGAATCACGGCGGTCTCACTGTAGATGGAAACGTCCAGCTGAGCACTTCACGTGCAAGTACACAGCAGGGTACCAACTTACGACCTATATTCGTTGTAGAAGACCCATATTCTCTTGTCCTCTGCGCGTATGAGGGCCTTCAGGCGGTTGTAAAGAGGAAGAGATCGATGTCGAACTTCTTCCAAGACCGTCTGCAGGACGATAATCGGAGGGGTGAACAGAGCTGACTCCATTAAATCCATCTATATAACAGAACACGTCCGGGTGAGAGATCTGATAACCGCATTCCAATGTCGAAGCCGAATCAAGGCTGGAAAACCACGCGAGAATGACAAACTGCGACACCAATTGCACGACATACCAACCTGGGCGAGGAAGACATTGGTGTCTGGGAGCAGGAAATGGCCATTCGGGAAGAGTGAGTGCTCGAGGGACCCAGGAGAAGGCAGTGTGAAGTCTGTTGCTTCGACCACGCAAGACCTACAGCCGTGGATGCCACAGCCAACATCATCGCGGAGATAACGTTCGCGAAGGACTGGACGACGTGCATCAACTCTCTGTGTCTGTGCCTGAAGGGACGAGTAGATACATACCTTTGATGACCTTCCCGCGGGCAGTTTTTTTGAAGAATTTGCGCTGGGTAACCACAGCTTCGGTATGAGGACGCTTCCGTATCGTGATTTCGACCATAAATGAGACAGGATTTGGCCCAAGAACCAACGAGTGATTGCAGTAGCGAACGTTCGTAGTGACAGAGAGGGTGGCTAGCGCTAAAAGACCTCAAGCTTGTTTCTCTTGGGTCTCCATCTATATATACCACGACGTCTCAGGTCATTTTCCAGGCTGCTCGCTCAAAACATATGCGAAAATTGTATTCCCGACCCCTTCCGACCCTCTGATAGTAGTGGCCGTGAGATGTTCGGCATGTTCTCGTTGCTGGACGCCATCCGGAAACCTCGATTGTCGCTCCAACTCGCTCAGATATTTGCACAAACTGTCCTAGAGCCTGTAAACCTGAATACTGGCGGCATTTATGATTCTTCTGTAACACCTACTGATCTTCCCTGGAATACCTACAACTATTGCAACGCGCCTCATGTCAATTCCAAGCATTATTCTACACCCACGGAAGCGGAGGACGCGTCTCTAGTGTATCTGAACGTGGTCATGCGACATCACAAGGTACGCCGGCCCCGCGACGGACTGTCTCCGCTCACGAACACTGGCGAAGAGAACGCCCGATAATCTCTACCCGAACGAAAACGAACTCAACTCTGTCCCATGGAACTGCTGGAACATGCGTCAATACAGCTACGGCGGGGGAACACCGCGCGTATATCACGAGACAGAAAGCCCGCCCTGGCATCCGTTTCTTAGGCAGATATGGAATGGGACGTGCGACCAGGGTCAGCTCACACAGGAAGGGCTGGAAGACGCGATTCGACACGGGCGAGACATCTGGTCTGTGTACGCGGACAGGCTACACTTTTTAGATAGCGTCAACGAGGACGACATCCTCTTCCGGACGTCTACAGAGACACGGACGTTCCAGGTGGTAGGTGGACTCTTGACGGGGATGGATGCCACCATGGCCGGAAAATCTTTCCCCGTCACCACCCAGCCGTCGCCTGTCAGTTCCAGAAGTTCCTTTACGGTCTTGACTTCTTATACACCGTCAGATAGATTCGATACCCCCTAAATACCCCTGCCCCCGAGCCAACAGCATCCGCGGTGCGTTCCAATCTGTACCCGCATGGACAGATCACTTCGCGCAGAACGCGGACCTGAAGACGCGTTTAGACGCTGTGCTGGGTACAGCTGGGCTTTCAAGTTGGTCCTCATGGTGTGCGCCGTCGCTGCGTTCCTGCGTCAGAACGGGTTCTAGCTTATCTTACGTCGTTCTTCATTTTGCCGCAAACAGATGACCATTACTTTGATACCTTCACGTCACGGACGTGCCACGGCCACCCACTCCCTTGTAATGCCAAGGGCGAGTGCGTGTCCGCAGAGGATGCCGCACGCGTCTTCGCTCTTGGGGATTTCGAGTACAAGTACGCTTCTTCTCCCCACCTTCTTTTCGTCTCCGTTGATCATACGCCCACAGCTACATATGGAACACCGCAGAAAACGCGACAACGTATGGGCAATTGACTTTTGGTTAGTGTAATCGAGTCATCGTGCCTGCGACGGGCGCCGTTGAGGTCTGCTCCCACTGTAGGCGTGTTCATGCTGGAGCTCGCCCAGAACTTCGCGCGGTTCCGCGCGGGTGAGGAATCCCACAAGCTAATATTCTACGTCGGGCACGACGGCACGATGATCCGCTTCGCGTCGTTACTTGGGCTCGGCAAGATTGGCCCCCTGCGCTGGCCCGCGCTTGGCTCCGAGATCGTTATGGAGGTGAGCTGTCCCTGCTCGCTGATGAGTGGGCGGTCTGTTGGTTAATGTTTACTTGTGCAGGTGTGGCGGACGGTGCTGGGGAACCTCTTCGTGCGCATCATGCATGAAGGGACGCCGGTGTCTGGAATGGAGTGGATTCCACTTGATAGTTTTATCGATGCATTAGAATTGCAGGTTACGGACAATTTGTTTGAGCTCTGCATGGACGTATAAATATTTTCGTGCCTGTACGCGAGCTATTCAGGAATCATTCGATCACGTTATTGTGCTATTGAACAGGTTGGAGATGCAAGACCAGCAGCAGGCGCGGACGTGGTTAGTTGGGGTAATACAACGTTATAGTAAGTTGGGCATGTATCGTAGATTACGCCCGAAGTCAAGAAGGGATTTGTTTAGTGCCGAACTCCTTCACTTCGTGCTCAGGAAACTTCCACTCATACCACCTGTTTTAAAAGGTGTCTGGGAAAAGGTATACGCATAATGCAACAGTTCAGTACGGATTGCTCTGTACTATATACAACTACAGGAAACACAGCTCTCGGAACCACGTCGTTGTAGGCTGTCATATAATAGTCGATAGCCGGCGGCTTGTACAGGGGCTATGTTGAAAGTGAAGGAAAAGCAAAAAGGCAAAGCAAAAAGGCAAAGCAAAAAGGCAAAACGAAGCTTTAAAGCAAAGTAGAGCAAAGTGTGGAAGCAAAGCAGAGCAAAGTGTGGAAGCAAAGCAAAACAAAGTGTGGAAGTAGAGCAAAGCGAAATCTGGGCGGAGTGACAGTAGGATATACGGGTAAGACTAGTGAGATTTGCAGTAGTCGTTAGAGCGCACAAACATCACCACTGACTGCCACTCTCCGTCGCGCATTCTTTTTGTTCATGAGCTGTGAGAGTCCTTGAGCACTATTCCATCGCTGTTCATCGATCTCCAACTCTTCGCGTGTAACCACAATATCTTTAGCTCTCCCTCTCCCTAGATCTTCTTCGCAATTTCGGTCTTCTTCGCAATTTCGGTCTTTCTCGCAACTTCGGTCTTCTTCGCAATTTCGGTCTTCACAATTTTCTCGGCGTCGTCGCTTGGTCGTCGCATGACCCCGCGCGAGCGCGCCTCGAGTCTGCGCTCATCGCTCGGAACGACAATCTTGAGGGTTGAATGTACTTCTGGCCTGTATACAGAGTTGGTATCTTTACCTCCCACAGGTTTTATCCAAACGGTGTTTTGTACTCACTCTGAATCAATAACAGTGCAACGACGCACAACCGGACGAGCTGCCACCGCGCGAGAAGCCTGATCATAACGCATGAAATTCTGTACAACCGTACATATCATTGACGTGATATGATACTAACCTTCAGAAACCTCCTTGGTCTCCAGACTGAGACGTAATTCCTTGAGAACGCCTCCAACTTTCGACACCAGTCGCCCGCCCGCTTCGCAATCTGGCTGCGTTTCCACATGCATTGATAAACAGCTTAATAAATTGGCACTTGATGTGGCACATAGCCAGGCATAAACAGCTGAAGGAATCAACGAAGCTGCCAAGAAAGTGAGCTGCAGTCTAGAGGCGAATTTTGTGGGTGCAAGAACTCATCATGAGTGCACTCGCAGCGCCATGAGTATACCTCTTGCCTGAGAATCGGGGACAGCACATTGATGACGTCCTGCCAGTCGTGGATAACTCACAGCAGCACAAGAACGATACAACAGATGAGGCCTTTGTTCAATTCCGGGCCCCAGACAGTAAGAAACACACAAGCTAGTCATACCACCTCTCCCGCAGCCGCTTTCTGCTGACCATCGGTTTCGCGACGATGATTGCCAACGCTAAACCGCCGACGGTGAAAACGAGCTGGGCCTTGTTGAAGTTTTCGCTCAGCACGTCGAAGGTACTCGAGGGCGCAACACGAGTGAAGAATAGGTCAAGCCCGTAAGCAAACACTAACGACGTCGACTCCAGCAGCGCAGGAGATGTGATGATGCGCTTCGTTTGTGCAACCTGTGGTGGCGTCAGAGCCACGGTGAGCATGCCATGAAACAGGAGAGACACACCTCATAGTTGTGGGACAGAACACGTTTTGGATCGTCGGGAATGAGCGGTTCGTACTGGGTCAGCCATTCTTCCATCTCCTGATTGGTGGGCTTTTGTTTAGGTCTGCGGGGGTCTAGGAAACGCCGAGGGAAGGACTGGATCTGGTGGTTTTCGTTCGCGACTATCAACACAGACACATCAGTCAAACATCAGTATGACATGTTGCAACTATCACGAATGCAACACACCAATAATATCCTTCATAGATATACCGTATGACGTAGATGTGGCAGATATAGTAGTGATGCCCCGCGGCAATACGTACGATTGTTCAAAGATAGTGACATCGGCACTCTCATCAGAAAACGACGAAGCATCGGAACTGCGGAACCTGAATGAGAAGCGGGGTGTCGTCTGGCAAAATACAAGACATACCTCCGTCTCTTATCATCAACGCCAGACCCTTCGTAGAGCTCTACAGAGACGATGCGGTGGCTCTTGGCCTGATCCACACCAAGCTCCCCATCATAGTAGTCATACACAAGCCAGTTTTCAGTGAGCGCCACGTGAATGTCGCAGGAATCGACCATCGAGGGCAGAGTGGCATGATAGATAATTGTTCCCTTGGCGCCGTCAACGAGGTAGACCGAGCATGTGGAAGCTGAAGGCGGTGAAGACGATCCAGTCACGACAGCGACAAGATTTGGGTTTAGGTACTTGTATAATGTGGTGCGGTTGCCCAAGACTTTGCCCAGCGATGCCACGGGTTCGTGCGGTTTCGGTATTATTGAGTAGATGACCTCCGAAGGAGGGAGGGATACGGTCCATGTCGGGTATGCAACATCTCTACCCATGAGTTCTTCCACTGAGGAGATCTGGTGGCCAGTAAGACGCTGGGATCCACGAGGACCAGTGCGAAGCACGAAGTACAACGACGGTAACGCTTTCTTGTAAACCGCAGTCGACTCCGATGTGTCAGGATATAGGTGAACCTGGCAATTTTGGTCACAAGTCAATACGAAGTGTGGGGGATATGAAAATCAGCCCAACTCACTTGCACAAACTCGTCCAATAAAACAACGATCTTGCTGTTACCACTGCGTAACAGATACGCCTCTACCAGAGGTCCTGCGATGACGTCCAGGCCCTGAAGAAGCGCTCCAGCTGGTGACACTCCTCTGACATCCGCGCCAGTCAGCGCGTCAATATGAAAGAGCACCGTGTCCACGAGGGTCTGGAGAAATTGTCACGTGTCAAGAGCGAACTAATGTCGAATGAGACAAACGTACATTGCTAGCTCTGCGTTGAGTGATCAGAACAACCTGAGGAGAGTCTCCATCGCTGACAGTGCGCGTGACGAACAGCTTCACAGGTAGGATATGCCCACCCACTTCCGCCGCCCATCCAAGGCCGAACACGCGACTCCATACGATCTCGCCATTGGCAGAATCAATGCCATAGACCTTGCCATATGGAGTGGCGACAACGATGATCTTCCGGAGTCCAAACGTATCGCGAGAAAGCGGCTCAGATGCGTTCGTAGGCGAAGCGACGGAGGACGAAACAGATGCGTAGGATCCTGTCACGAAGCGTTTCACAAAGTTGATCGCGTATTGCGGGAAATCCTACACATCCGGTAAGCAAAGCACCACCTGGAAGACTGGATGCTTGGTACCTGCGCTTCTGAGGTCTGCCTTACAAGCCTTGCCATGAATGTCTCCTCCTCTTCCCTGCCAAGCGCAGCGATGATCTTTCTTTCGGGCAACTCCACGAATTCAGCGACCCTTATATCCGATAGCGCTTCCTCGCGGGTCCAGTGTAGCTGATCTTGCTGCCACAGCTGTACTGCACCAGTGCTGGTGGTTAGGACCAAGCGCGAGATGACTTTAAACTCTTCTGGATTCGCAGCATCGAGAGCGACCTAAGTGAATGTGTCAATACAGCCACCGCATTGTAACGGGAACGCGGAACCTACGTGAGTCATAACGCCATGGACACTGGTCTCAAAGGGAAATGTGAAGCTTGTGCTGAATCCCTTGCCATCGGCTAGGTGTGCTGCGAAAACATGCGCGGTCGCTTTCTAAACTGTTGAATGAGCGACGAGAGTATAATACAGAATGGACTGTTACCTTGAAAACATGAGACCAATACACGCGAGCAATGAATGGCCAGCCATCTTTATCCAAGCCGCCCACGTAATGAGATTCTGCGTATTGGTTTGAGGAAGCCTGCAAAATGGCAGGTCAGATAAGGGTAAGAGCTAATCGGATAACTGACAGAATCCCTGAACTCCCAAACAGCTTTCAAGCCGTCTTCGGTCAGCTTGAAAATATGTGCCGTGCCATCGTCTTTGAGTGCGACAAATTGCCCATGTTCAGACAGTCCTACGTCAACCACTCGCTTGTATACTGCACCCTTGCTGGTCGATGATGTCTCCTTGATTTCTGGAGTCAACTTCAATACTCTGATGGAGCCATCTTCGAACCAGATAGCATGCGGTGTTAGCTCTGACTGTCCAGCAGTGCTCAACACCAAGAAGTCTACAAGGCCGTCCTTTATGCTTGATGGGATGCTCATGGATTCAAGCAACTCGCCCGTGGAAGAGGAAAGTGTTGTAACGTGCAGAGTATACGATGCGAACGATTTCGCCAGACCGACCACATACGTCACAGAGGGGGTCGCGATGATCTTGGAATAGACTACAAGAGATCTAAAACAGTCGTTCTGTGAGACATAAAGCGGTAAAGTGGCCATTGGCACTCACGCCTCATCCGGAGATGCCCAACACCACTTGAGTTCTCCGGTCTTGCTATCCACGCGTCGGAGGATATGTCCGTTTGAAAGTACGAATACGTCGTCTTTCTCAAATGCTATTGCGGTACCCAACGTCTCCGGCTCAAACAAACGGCCTGCATCTGGCCGATGTAACCGCTTCTCAACACGCAAATCGCCGGTCAGCGCGTCGAATAATCGTAAGGTCGCACCGCCAGAGCCGGAGACGGCAGCCACAACTACAGGACGTGTGTAAAATTCATTGCGAAATCATAGCTGACAGTTGACTCACCATCCTGATGGGCTTTCAACCCAATAACATGCTCATCTTGGTCAAAAAGGTATCTCCACGCTGCACTTGAGCGTGTTCGTCGTTCAATTGCTTACAGCGCATACTAAGGGACTGCACACACCTAGAGAGCCGTCTACCGGACTTATAGCAGCAAGCACATTTTTTTCAGTAGCAGTCAGGACAAGACTCTGTGTCGACCCGTTGGATCCGCCTATTCTATGGAACACGGGCGCAGTCGAAATAGCACCTATCCGTGGAACGCCAGCGAAAGATTTGTACCAGTCCACTACGCCAACTTCAGACGCATGAAGTGCCCATACACTGGAGATGCATGATGCTGCGAGCCAGAGCGACAGGAATCGCATGAAGAAAGTGATCGAGCGTCGACGGACGTGTTCGCGGGTCGCGGTCACTAGTACTGCAGGGGAGGATCGCGGCACAGTAACTATGCTACAAAGGTTTGTAGTACTTGGTAATGGATCTAAGACTGATCAGGTCCCGTAAAGGAGCGAATCAGAGGCCCGGATTCAGGCGCTATTTTCCTTTTCAACCAATCAAGGTCTCCTTAATTACGCTCCAGTTCATACTCCGAAAGCAAAGCTACTGACTACTAGGAGTATTTACATAATAATCTGCCAACTGTACCTACTCAGGCTATTGCCGCTTGTCCCACCATTATCTCAAACTGGGGGTGCCGTTGAGAGCTGTCGACACGGTAAGCGCGCTACCATCTGCTCGACGTCAATCTGATTCCGGAGCTTGCTCACATGTTACGCAGGCCGAGTGCTCGTCTCTATGGGCGTAAGAGTACAAGGTTGTTGTACCGGACGCGTCGCTATGCTACATTGCAATAAACTTTCTCAGCCAATTGTGCTGTATATGGCTGAACTTAATCGTCTTGACACGACTGCCCTCGACGCCCACACCGTCAAATATTTGCACCCATGGACCCAGAAGTATATAGTAGATCCGGCAAATATGTGTTCTTTCACTCGTCGTTGGATACTGAACTTTCCCTGCGTAAACTCACTGTATACAAACTATGACTATACTTTCAACCCTGACCGCTGTGAAGAAGCCGATGAAACGTTTATTCAAGAGGCGCAAACCGAAAGGAATACCCGGTGAACTTGTCTCCGTACGGCAGAATACCGAAGAAATGCGCTCCGGCACCAGTGCTGGAAGGGTTCGTGTTATCTTCGATACGTCTATATTGCTCTCTCTTACCACTCAATGCAGACTACAACAAATTCGGTTATGGTCACCGCCGTAGCTGCGCCGGTCATAGAGATTTGCAGAGACATCCTCGCAGACACCACTGTGCAGGCTACTGTGACGAAGGACGTGGAGAACCTCGCGAACGACATTCCTATTCTTCTACAGGCACTGGACGAAGTCGCCAAACTCCATCCCTTCATTGCAGGTAATACCACACTGGACTTCCAGACATTCTCAAATTTTGACATCGAATGTAGTGGCTGTTATTGCATTTAAAGTGGCCTATAATCTCGAAATGACCCGCCGCCAGAACAATGCGAAGATTGAAGCATTGTTTGTCGAGATGACGGATATGATGAAGGTATTAAGGGAGTGAGTGACAGTTGGCGAGGCACTACTATCTACTCATGCCATCATTAGTCTGAAGTCTATCAACGATGTGGAGTCGCCCGGTCCAGATGGCATCAGTGTGAAGGACAGGTTGCTGGACCTTATAGAGAAGACAGCAGATGACATTAAGGGATGCGCAAACGCGTGCGACACATACGCCAAAATGCACATCATCGTCAAAGTGGTCAAATCATCCCTATGGCAAAACACCCTTACTGGTTTCATACAGCTGTTTGCACAGCGTCGCGCTGAATTTATCTTTGCGCTATCCATACACACAAGTGTGGGTGTCCATCAGGCCAATCAGAAGCTGGAGGATGTGGACGACATTGCTCACCGAATTGATGAAAGGTTCGTTGGATCCTGTATTATTTCTGATGTTGCCTGCTGATCTAGAAAAGAACTCGGCTTCTGCTGGATTACTTCCAAGTCTGGAATTCCCCTCGGGAAGAGAAGATAAACAAAGCCTTTATGCAGATGGGATCACCGGAGCTGATCTTGGACAGTACACACTACATCGAAGAATTGCTCGTGTTGGCTCATGACTCCGATGAAGATATCACCTTTCGTCCTTCCGGATCAGAACGCGGTATGCAGAAATCGATGGAACAAATTAAACAAGAGCTTCGTGATGCGCCTGATGTTGCCATCAAGAACAACCTTTCAAGTTTTGAAGGAAAGTTCGATTTACAGCGGAGGCAGATCGTCGACCAACTATCGCAAGTCATGCACAGAGAGGGCGACAGGATCATCAGCGAAGTCACGGCGGGACCACAAGAAAAGATTAAAGATCCAGTTCGTCTCATTTTGTGAACTTGATTTATTGCTGCTGAACTCTCCGCGTATGCAGGATCTGTACGCTATCTGGCTTGAGATGGTCAGTTTCTCCGTTTTTCTACGTTTGCACTTACTGAGTCGGATGTGGTAGCGGTGGCGAGGGAGTGTCGAAGCTCGACAGTTGGTGCACGCCATCAAAGAACATTACCGCGACGCGACAGAGAAAAATGAGAATTCAAAAGATCGGTGGGCTCTGGAATGGATCAACCGTATTGGCCTTCAGCCCATCGTCGAAGCCTTCGACGACGACGCTTCCGGTTACGTGACAGTTTCGGAAGCGAATGACCTCATGGCGTCTCGACCAGCGGGATGGAGGTATGTTCGCTGTCTGCCCACTCTTACAGTACGAACTGACTGTATGTGTAGTCTGCTTCACTGGCTGGCGTATTGGGCTGTTGGTACTACCATAATCTTTGTGATCTACGTGATGACGCTGATCTGCTTGCACAGGATGGCGCCTCGCGGCATCGGCATATAAGACCCAAATCGACGAGTTATTCTCGAAAATGTTCTCACTACGGCCGCACATTCACCCCGCCAACCGGTTCGCAGTAGAGTCATATCTCAACTCCGTATGGGCGAACGTCGCCAAATTAACGTCGTCGTTGCAGTCATGCACGGCGGCCGAGTCTCTGCAAGCACGGTTCCGGAATTATTGGGAAGCGGAGGATCAGCGGATTCGGCGGAACCTGGAGGACGTGCGGTATCGTCTCGAGGATATGAGCACTGTTACTCTAGTGGCGGGCAAGGGCAGGATCGAGAAGGTAAGTAGGACGCTATGTGGATGCTATTGACCTGCTGATCGCATGCTCGCAGTATGTGTTTCCAATGTACTTCCTTCTGCTGAAACGCCACTATGAGATACTGCGTCTTGCTCGGACGCACATACTGCACAACAATGAGTTGTGGGTCGCTACTGACAGTCTCCTGTGGCTCAATGATGCCGTCGAAAGTCGTTATAAGCGTGTACGAGGTAATTATTTGCCTTGCGCCCCTGACGTCGTAGGAAACTGATCAAGTGTCAGATGTTTTCGTGGAGCGGGAGCTAGACGTGGAAGGGAAATTTGCTATGTTTGCCTGTGGATTGGTAAGTTCCACACCGATGGCGTGTGCCACTCTAAACCAAGAATCGTCGCAGTTCCGCATGCGCTACAAAGAAGAGCAAGAGCCCAATAAGGATTTGTGGGCGAAATCTAGATTTCCCGAGTACACATATGATGACAGTGTCGAAGCTCAGAACGTCGTGCCAGAGGAAGTCCTGTATTATCCAGTCGAAGGCGACCAAAATTTCGTCGGCAGCGCTTACGATGACCCGACTGAGCCCGAAACCGCAGAAGACCAAAATGCCGAGGAGCCCGTGAAGAGCATGTTCGTGTTTGGATGTTTTATACTCACTACGTCGACAGACTAACCCGTGTCGCAGAATTGGAGCGTGGAACGTGTTCACGGGTTTTGGCGATCACATCTACCCGCATCGCCCCATGGTCTCCGTGCATATCCACGCGTCAGACTATGGGGCATTAAATTTCGAAGGGGCCGGCACGAACTACGAGCCCACACCATTCACGCTGACAGGCGAATGTCTCCCACCGTCCGAGAAGCAACAAGCGGTGGGCGAGGTGCCCGTGAAGTTCACAATGAGGTACTCCGCACGGATAGACACGCAGTACCTCGAGGGCGTCCTGCAAGCGGGAGGGACGATGATGACGGGGCGCTGGCGCTACAAAGGCGACAAGGACATTGAGTGGGGTGGCGACTTTATCTTCAGCAGGATGCCAGCAGATGTGCTGTGTTGTCGGCCGGCGCTGACCGAGTTCCGCGCAAACAGGCCGCGCGCTCTGTGGAAGTTCGCGGTGACTGCTGTGCTCGACCAGGTCCGCCGGCAGCTGTTCTCGTGGTCGCACATCAAGGCGCGCCGCGACGTGCGCAAGCGCTTCATCGAGCTGTACATCCGCTACCTGAAGTTGTTTGGCCCACCGATCAAGGACGACTTCCCGGAGCTCGTGAGGATCACCCGACTGATCACTACTAGGGATGTGCGGCTGTATCAGTCCATCCGTGTATACCAGCTGAGAACCACGCCTATTCACTTGTTCGTCTTTTTCTTTCCCTTAGTCTAATCACAAGCTCACACTCATTATAGCAACTCGCACTGTGCGAAGTGCAAGGGACAAATTGGGGGCGCACGACTCATATGTTTAGACTGCGCCAACCCCGACAAGCCGCTGAACCTGTGCGGCGACACAGACTGTGCGCACGCGAAAGTTGCGCGATCGGACCTGTCGTTCCCCCACCTCCCGGGGCACGCAATGCTCAAGACTCGGCGAGTGATCCATACCCGCGACTTCAGCAGGGTTATGTCTCATGCGCGTAGAACGTTCAAGGACGCAGAGAGGATCCTCCAGAATTGTGACGGTCTGCACAAGAGTCAGACCGCTGGGAGCACCCCGACCGACTCCCCTCCGACGGTGGTGGTATGGTGTCAAATCTGCAAGAAGAACGTACCGGCGACGGTGCCATTCTGGCTCTGCATAACATGCTCTGGTAAATTCTTGTCTATCCTCTGGCGCTCGAGCTCACGTGCGTTCTTAAGAGAGAGTTCCCGGAAGCTACAAGTTCGTATGCATGAAGTGTGAAAACACAAGGAAAAATACAGTTGTCGATGCGAAGACCTCATCTCCGAAGGATACTCACGCGGACGACGGCGCTATCGACGAAACAACTGAGATGGCGGACACCGAGGACAGCAACGCCAATGCAAACTCCGACGTGGTAGGTAAAACTGGTAGTTCCGTTAACGCTGTACCACCACACGACGACACGCACATACTCGCCAGGCTCAAGTACGATCCAGTACCCAAGCCTTTGCCCGTCGAGAAGAGGCTGGAGCTGCTGGAGGACAGGATGATCGTGCTGGAGGACAAAATCACAAAAACCATGGACCTGAGCACCACTATTAACAGCCACCTGTCGCAGATGGCACGTATGCAGCAACTAAGGGCCTTACAGTCCGCTAGCTCCAGGCGAGTGTAAACGTCCAAGCTAGACGGCTGTACGATGCCCAAGTCAGATCAAGCTGCTGTTTCGGACGTTCAGTCTGCCTATATAACTGGAAGGACGGCGCTAGCATATATAGGATGAGCTCACAAGGGTTCGTTCGCCCACAACTACGTGAAGGGGCGCAACTCCGTGGGTATGCCCGTCAATTAGAAAACAAATACCAAAAACCCAATGTCCGTTCAGAAATATACGTTAGATATATACCTATGTAGCACACTGTCATCACCACCCGCCTGTGCCTTTAAAGCACAGTCAACGCGCCGCCCATCGCGCACATGAGCAGCGCGCTCAGTATGCCAACCAACTGTGGCAGCGAGCCCGTGACACCATGCCAGCCGGGTGCAGCCCCCGATGCCGGGAACGTCGTCGCGAAGTTATCTGTGGGATTTGGTGCGCCGGAGATAGACACGACGTGTGCGCTTGGATTGGTTGTTGGTGAGCTCCCATTGGAGCTATTGGCAATAGCAAACTTCTCGGAGTATGCGTAGAGGTACCCGAATGTGGAGTTAACGAAAACGAGGTAGTAGTCGTCTGCAGTAGGGATGTCTTGGATATAGACGTTGACCGTGTTCACGGACGCCGGAACTGCCGCAAAATCCCTTCATCACTCGCGGAACATAGACATGTTATAACGCGAGACGCACCACTCTGGGCGATGTATTTCAGACCATCCACGCTTATTCGTGTCAACTCGATATCGAATACGTCTATCCCGTCGTCTAGCGCTTTCGTCCACGTTACGAGATTGTTTTGGCCGTTAACCCATTGTACCCCTGTAGTGGGCTCCTCCACGACGAAATCTACGAATGTCGATGCTAAAGACGAGATTAAAATGGTCCAAAGCTAGCACGCACAGTTTGCCCTCGCAATTGGAACAAGACACCAAGCTAGGAGGATGCTGAGGACGCTCGAGGGAATCAGGGATAGCAGATGCATGGTCGGGAACGTGAAGTGGATATCGAACTAGAACGTTAGATGATATTGGGGTATTCTGTCGAAAAACGAGCGGGCTGTGGCGAACGACGAAGAGAGGCTGTGGGGTATGTTCGGGGGGAACGAGTGGACGGCGGCAGCACTTGGGCGGCGACGACCACCGTGACCGCTTTACCTGACCCAGCCTGATGACTAAGCTATTCGGCAACTCTGCCATTGCCAAATTTAGTTCTTCGCCCATGCTTGCCGACCGTCGAGTGTGAACGTTGTAGATGATTATCAGGTGGTGTCACAGGTGCGCTCAACGTCGACAGATCACCATCAGTCAAACAACAAGGACATCGCGAACGTCCAGCGCGAGCGTACAGCTCAAGACTCAAATTGCGGAACTTGAATGAAACTCTACAGCGGCAACGTAACTCGAGCTCAGGGAAATCCGCATTAATATCACTGGCACACGCAAATATCATTCCGTCTCAGCAAAGGCTGTGGATTCAGCCTGTATCTGAGGGGGGCACGGATAGTGTCAGGGTCATCGTATCACGCACTGTGACGAAACAACTCACCCAAGGCTCGTCCTTGCCGAGCACGTACTTCTTCGGCGGACGTTCCCAGCACGCCAACTTGTTCGCGTCCTTCTCGCTCCGCAGCGGCAGGACAATTCCCAGCTCGTAATTCGTGATCTATGCAACGGCACGAATAAGCTTCATTTCGGTCCGAAACATCATGCATCATGTGCAAGATGAGAGCGTACGTTCAATGTCGGGGAGAACGCGGATCCAGAGAGCGTCCCCCATGCCGAAGGCGTAAAGTTGTGCGAGCCCACGTATAACCACCCGAAGAGCTCACGCTGAGTAGACCCAGTGTCTGCATCATCGTCGCCCTCCGTATCGCTCTCTGTGAGTGATCTGTCATCGAAGCTCTTGGACGATGTACCAATCGTTGCTAAAATCATCTGGGATTCATGAGTGAGTAGAAGCTTCCTGCTTTACATCCTACAGACCTTGGAATGCATAAGCACCTTGCCGCGCTTACTCTTCGACTGGTGGAACAGCTGACGCGGAAACTTTGCCGCCTCCCACTGGTGACGCCGGCAGAACATTGTCCCACCACCCTGCGTATCTTTGTTAGCAGATCCCTTATGGAATGCAGAACGCAGAGCGTACTGGCTCGCCGAGTGCGCTCTCCCGCACCGTAAGCGCCGTCGGGAAGAGGATTTTGACGGGCGGATACGGCAGCTTCGTACGGCGCGACCTCGGCGTGTCCAACCAGCCCTGTGCAGACTGCCCCCGGGCAGAGTGATAGAACTCATTCATCCACTGTGTGCTATACGTTCCGATGGATGAACCCTACAGACGTGGGGGTCAGAAACATTATATTAAAGAAGGCTTACGCTTACCTGACATTCAAGCGTCACATCCTTGCCCTTGTCCGTCGTCGCTCCGATATCCCCGACGGCCTTCATGAGTGCGGGGTGCCCAGTGAGGATGACTTTCGGCCACTCCTGATGCCTGCCTGCCATAGACGGTATGAGTTTCACCTTAACCTTTGAGAAGTCCCACTTGGCACGCAGGTCTTCAAGACGTTGCAACGGTAAGTTCGGGTGCTAAGATACCACATTCAGATAACGAAAGATTGCCCTGAGCTTTATCGACGCACGCCATTACGTAGCTGGGAGATCAGCGCAGGAGCGACGTTGACGGCTCGCAGAACGCGGGTCATGGCGGTCGGGAAGTCCTCCGCCTTCGAATCGTGTGCAACCGGAGCTGGGCGAGGCGGGATGTCTTGCAACCATATCGTCTGGATATTGACTCAGCGCACATTCACGGCAGAAAAGAATCCAACATACATTCTCGATATCGCGCCAGTCGATCTCGATCAGGTTAGCCGTGGAGACAACGACACGTAGCCGATGGCATTTGTAGAATAGCTGTATGACTGTCAGTCTCTTAAACAGAACAATAAAGGAAGCTCGTAGACGTACCAGCATGAACTAGAAAAATAGTTGCTATCATGTGCTAGTGACGTAAGATGAACCAAACGCACCTTCATGTGCATACAGCCCATGCCGTTCCGCAAGAATGGTGTCGTCTTCACCCAATTTGGGAGTACAGCCTTGAGGCTCTCATTTCCTATGCGCACCGTCAGGTAACTTGTAAGTACTCAACTGTGCCCTTTCGTCACCTTGAGGATCATGCGCCACCACTATGACGGGGGTCTTCGGATTGAAAAAGGAATACAGCCAAGGCCAGTTAACGCAATACGCGGAAAGAATAGCGAATTCAATGTCATCTCTCTGGGAAAGGAATCAGACAGTCACGCATCGAGTAAGACTGAGTACGCACCGGCCCCAAGATATCTGTCAAACGGAATGTCGGAAGCTTGTCCTTAAGCGGGTCGACGTGCATATTTGCCGTTTGCCTAATTTCTCCGTCATAAAATAAAGGCGTTTCCGCCGCATCAGCAGCAGCGAGCGCCTTCGCCTGCGCGCCCGAAGTGGTTGCAGAGCTTGAAGCGGCACTGGAAGAAGCAGCGGGGTTCGCTCTCCGCATTCCGGACGAGGACGAGGAAATGTGTTGCCTCTTCTTGCTCCGCGCTCTCTCTTCCTCATCGTCGTCGTCATCATCTTCATCGTTGTCCGCGTCTCCGTTTCTACCCCTGACGTACAGCTCTGGCCGCAGGCGCTTTTGCCGTGCGAGCCGCTCCCGCTCCATCTGTGCGCGATCTGAAAGGAACGACGTACTGGATCCATTGCGAGTGGGTGCGTCGGAAGCCGCAGTGGAGCTCTGGGGGGTGTCTTGTTTCGATGCTTCGATGGCGCGCTGCAGTTCGGCCTGAAAGCGTGCTTCTTCGTTATCTGGTTCGTCCTCGTCGTCGCTGACGGTAATAACTTCTACCTGTTTAGATGACGGCATACGTGACGCAGCTGCAGCTCGAAGCTCTTGCAAGCTTAGGGCGATTGCTCTGTGTATCGTACATACGCTCATGCTCGGCTCAGAATGACAACGAATGTCCTGACCTTGCAATGTCTTCGTCCACCGAATCTTCCATGGTAGCGTCGTGTATGAGTTAGTACTAGTTCGTAGGGCAACGATCCCGAATGATGGGTAGCTCCAGGTTGAGCTTAATATGTAGGCGAGTCGATAATGCAGAAATTATGACAAACACTTTCAGTTTGAGCCACCGACGCGTAAGGTCCACGTGACCTGAGCGCAAGAACTATGCTGCTGCACTTTTCTTCGCGTCTCATCATGGCACATTTGTTCTCGGCTGTTTGACAGTCAGACTGATGGTGACCCACCGTCGGATGCCAGTGTGGCAAGAATTCTGCATATATGTACCGCTGCATACGTACAAAGTTGGCTATCTTGTATACTGCTCGAGGTGAGCCTCGACAGTGGATTGGTGCTCAAGCCTCATTCCTGGGACTGGAAAGAGCTACCTTAATCAATTCGTTGTGTTTGTCTCATATCGTTGCTGGTAGGACACTCTGCACACTGACTGGACAATGTATGAAGTGCTGACTGTGGTGCCTTAGTCGATCGCACCAAGACGGAACCACAGTATCGCGGACCGGACGTTTGTTGTCTTTTCGATCTGAAGGCTTCATTTTGGATGTCAATTAAGTTGGTTTCTCTTCGATCACTGGACGCTTGCATAAGTTTCTGTACATACAATTTATCGGTGGAATATGTTGGAAGACGTACTGGGTTGGGTAAGGGCCAAATTCTACGGATTGAGAGTTATCCCGCTCAAAAGTCTCTCCTAGCTTGTGAGGGTCCTCATTCGAATCACACAACGTGGGAAAGGTTTCTTCTGTCGGAGCCTTTCCTCTATATCCTCGTAAGTTCTCCTCTTCAGTTTGTTGTAACAAGAGTTCTCGGGCTCCAATTTTTGCTTCATGCATGTGTCGTCCTTGAACCATTCACTCCTGTCTTTAAGACAGGACCGATGTCTCCAACAGCCATTCAGACCTGTCCAGTGCCTGTTTCTGCTCGGCGTAAGTCTGTGCCTTCAACTACTCGAAGTGTAGCCCTTTCCCGACGGTTGGTGATTTCTCGTAGCGAACATCGATGTAATATGTCAGTGTCGAAGAGACACAAAAGGGGCAATCCATGTGTAAAAGTCAATTTGTGATTGACGCCAGCTGCGAAAACATCTAGCTTGTGTGATCCTCCTGCTGGTCGGCCATCTTCATGAAGCACTTCATCGTAGACCATGCACAAAAGTTCAGTGAGGGCAGCAGGGTGGAGGTTGTGGTCGACATAATTCGGCGCAATCCACATCGTCGTGTACAAGAACGCCTCGATGTTATTCTAGAACGCATTCTCTTGTTTTTGTCTTTGTAGCAACATTGCCGACATAAATTGTGAATTGACACGTTCCCCGAAAATCTGGATCAGAGTCAGAGTATAGTAAGTCTCGTAAGACCCATTTCACATACCGTTTGGTCGTGCCGATGGGCACCTTTTCCTAGAGCATCCGTAGCTTTGGCATAATCCCAGTCGATCAACAACCCTCGCCCTTCGAGGGTAATCAAGACGTTTCCCTCGCTGATGTCCCGGTGCAAATACTTGGCGTCCTCGTATGCTCGCAGGCATACTATCATCCATACGGAAACAAATAAGGCTCACTCTTCAAGTACCAACAGCAGTACCAGAGAGCACGTACCTTCAACCGCATCGGCGATCGCCGTCACAAAGCTTATGGGTGTTCGTGAACGACGTGAGGTCCTGTGCGACCTCGCGCAAGACCAACCGGTAGTGTAGATGTCCCGTCTGTATTGCCACCGAATGCTGGGCCGCATGATTCCAAGGTTCATACACTAGCGCTTGGGTCTTCGTTGCATGGTCGAGTACATCACCGAGCCGCTCCACAGTGGGGATATATGGCGCATTGTGTGCGCCCAGGGAAGCCAGTATGTCACCCTCCTTCTCGAGGTCTTCACCGAGAATACGCCATGTATCTTTGAGGTACACCACCTTGCGCTGCTGTAGATCGTAGACAGGACACCCGCGGGTGGCATGCCCTACGAGCGAGTCCAGGGAGCACTTCGGCGTAGGCCCGATATACTTGTAGGTTTTCGACTCGGCGTTGCCACGGTTCTCGCCATCTGCTGGGAACGCGAACTCGAACATCGGTTGCGAATCTTTTAAATCCACTGCATTCCTCGCATTCACGGCACCGCTGTGAAGCGGATTCAAGGGAGACACAGAGGTGTCCATTCCTCTCGCTTCCGCCGAAATGTGACTGTATCGCCACAGGAACTCTGCAAGGAGGTGGGGTTGTTCGACATAGCTGAACAATCTGCTGACGACTGCACCGGAGCGGTTCCAGCGGAAGAAGCGCGCATACTGTCCAAGTATGCATGCAGAGAACGCAAACACGCGGAACTGCGCGCCGAGCTGGGCCACTACATAGCTCGTGATTTGGCCTCGAGTGTTAATGCCATCCAAGGATTCTCGAATGGGCAGTTGTCCTCGGTGACATTTGGATCGTTGAAGGCGTCTTCGGAAACGTCGAACTTGAATTCGAGGCAAAGCTCTGAATGAGAGAGATCAGTCGTCGAGAGAGGCTTTTCCGTCGAGTTGTAGGCAATCACATCTGGTTTCAAGGACGTCCCAGATACTTTCACCGGAGGGCCAGAATGTGTAGGTGTGTTGACAATCGAGAGACCGGGGGCGAATGTTGTGGCTGCTGAGACCTGCGGAGACGAACGCGGTTAAGAATTATGTCAGCAGGGAGATCAAAACGACATACAAATGGCTCATATATATCAATTTCCGTGTCCTGGTGTGCTACTCATCCAAAGGCATTGTCTGCGTTGGGACAAGCTGGACATTCCACGCTCATGAACTTGTCTAAGAATAAATTTATAGGCATTGGTGCAACGTACTTGCCGCTGGACTCCTCGGCCAAGGCCAGAATAGATGGTTCTCGGTAAAAGTGGTTCTTGGCATAAAATGGGAGTTCCTCGACATGTTGCTTCACATTCATCGAATGACCGTGACGGAGACTTTCAACTGTAACGCCTGCCGTGTGACACGACGCGTTTGGCACATGACCGCGATCGTGACGCAATCCGTCCTACTTGAACAGCTCTTCCGATACCGAATTATCCTACTGAGCAGGCGTTGTAGACGGATAACGGCACGGTAATATACCCATTCTTACGTGCGCTTGCGAATTCTGAACTTCTTGCTCGAAAAACAAATAGATAACAAGATGACTGTAAGACAGACGGCCGCGGTCCACCTAACACCCGCTCCCAAGAAAGCCAAGACGCATCGCAGGTTACAGAACATAAAATTACGTTAGAGCAAGAGCGCTAGAGAAAAAAAACCTCTTGTAGAAAACACGGACCCGGACAGAGTCGAAAAATTGGACTTGTGACATCGTTGGACAAGCTTGACGTTGCACGTATTATCGGCGACAAAGCAATGCATGGGGATGGATTCTGGACCTTGGCAAAGGTGAGTTAGCAGAGGACCCCCGCGAATCCACTGAGAGCTCCGATGCACCGATCCCCGAAAATTGGGCCGCCGGAGGCAAAATGTTTGATCTTCGACCCCCGAAAATGGCCAAAAAGTCGTCGAAAGTTGGGTGCGAAACACCCCCAAAATGTGACCTTCCAACCTGAGGTTAGGTCCAGAACCCCCGAAAACCGAGATTGGCTGGCGGATCTCTCAGGTTTCGGAGGATGTAGCCGTATGTGGTGGTTTGGGCGAAAAGTGTTGGTAATTTGGTTCACAAGAGCTTGGGTTTTGCGCAGGAAGCGAAATTTTTATTCCGCAGGCCGTCGAACGTAATTCTAGGTGGCCGAATGTTCGATCCCACATACCCCCGAAAATGCCCGACCCGCCGCCAGGTTGTGTGCAAACCCCCGAAAATGGGTGGTTGGCCACCCCCGAGAAATGTCGTCCCCGGGATCGGAGCTCTTAGTTGGTTCGCGGGGGTCCTGTTAGCAGTGAACTTAGCTGAAGTAGGCTAGTCTTACGCTTCAATAGGCCAGCTGACGTGAGCCGGTTTACACAGTACAGTCTGCAGCGTCTGCTTTCCGTGAGATGTCCAGCTGCATAGGACAGAAATTAGAAGGAAGGATGCATGCTATTACAGGTAATGAACACACCACGCTTACAATAGAAACCCGCTCATTAGGCTGTTTATGCTTCTGGCTCACTGTATGCGAAGTGACGCTGATACCCGACGGCATCATTTCAAGCGCCAAATCGCGTTAATGACCCTGGAACGTGGAAGGGAGAAACACGAGAGGAGCAGGCGGTTCCCTCTGAGCAGAGAGTCGGGATCGATGAATGTGAGAGGCCGATGAAGATATACTGGGTCGGCCTATCACAGAGTCAACAAATACGTCGGACGGGGTGGAATTATGTGGCTTGAACAGCTGATTGCGGGCATGGGCGGCCGATGACATAGAGCGTAACATAATGCGACCGTTCAACCTGGTATTTGGTGGTCAGAGACGTGTAGGATGATGGACCACACAGAAGAACATACATGGCCATGTAACAGTTTACGTACACTTGGAGCGGTTGGGACTGATTATCACTAAAATGGATACTGGTGAGTTGCTGTGCTTACATTTGGTCATGACGAGTCCTATGCAATATATTCCTAACGTTTGCGGGAGAGTTAATACCTACATGGAGCTCAGTACTGGATTGGCCATGGTATATCGTGGCACTCACGAATGTTATAGAAACCAGGCAGAAGACACTAAAAGGCGCTGCAATTAGATTATGACAACAACAGTTAAGGAACAAACATGGTGATCGCGCCAGTGTTGAGGACATAAGCCATCAGTATTTTTATCTTTGAATCCATCCTGGTGGAGAAAGCCTTCAGCAATGCTGATGAGGATTGCGAAACAGCCACATACAGGCAATACCCAGTTCGTAAATGCGCGAGAAGATAACAGAGTGATGCGGCAATCGCCATGTCGACGACAGTCGCCCATCACAGAGGCAAGAGCCATAGCGGTTGTAATCCGACCAGGGCAGAGGCATCAATCTCCTTATTATCGACAGAGCAGAGTTTTGCGACAAACAGCGTCAACGGTGCACCATTGATGGAATAGATGGTGAGGCACCTCTGAGAATGGCGCATACAAAACAGTCGATGTCTGGACCAATCTTGTGCAGGTATGGGATCAGCATCCTACGTGAATTGACACCAGTTGGCACTCACACCGCGGCGTACCAGTCTAATCCGGATCCTCAATATCATGCGGCAGAGTTTATCATCAGGTCACACACAGGCAGTTATCCCTATGCGCGCAAACAGTTTGGTACAAATGAACATAGCAGGATGGGGGTAGCACAGAACTAGGGCTGACCGCATTCTGTAACGACAATGATCGTCTGCGAGAGACAACTTGAATTGTTAGCTCTAATCCTAGAGCAATGATACTCATGACTACTATGGGGAGGACCTTGCGTACCAACCATCCTCCAGTGGTAACGATACGGGTTACTAAGACATATAACCATATGGATGTAGGGTTTGGACAAACCGTGTGAACCACATACATTTCCAGATTCGGATTGTATACAGCCTGGCGTTTGGAGTCGTCAATAGAAGTACGGTACGAAAACAAGAACGTACGTGTGCACTGAGATCATGATTGTTCCCTTAAGTGTGACGCCAGACGTTAGACTTCTACGGTCACATCGGGGTGTCGCTCTCACCATTACCATGACTTCAGCCTACGTCCTCGTAAGTAGATCCCGTAGTCACAGTTAAGAATTAGAACATACCCCACAGCTCCAAAGAAAGCCCAGAGATATCGGTCCACCCAGCAAGCGCATTGTATAGGAGTATACGAAATACCCGGAGAACGCAAAATGAAGAGCATCAAGCAGCCTAGAGACAATGATTGTGGTTAATACGGTGTTGTTCTACCAGAGAAGGATATACCATAGGTAACATATAGACAACTTATTCCAGATTGTGTCTTCTGGATATTGTCGAAAATATATGAATGTTTGAACATTTGTTACGCCGAAAAGACTGTATGAATTAATATCACTCCGACCGGGACACGACTGAACCGAGAAGAAGTGGCACATACATGGCGGAGCCCAGAAGACCTATGAACAACGGCACAAAGGTACTTTCGATCAGCTCGCTCGGTATGTGACTGTTAGACATTAAAGGCTTGTGGGAAGGGGACCGAGGGAAGGGATGGATCCGAACCTTAAGTATCCCGGAGAGAGCGCAGCAATCAGATAAACAAAGCACATCCTGGGGCAGCATATTCAATAGCGTGTAGCCCTCCAACCCTCTGTATCTTCGTGTCTGTCGAACAAGGTTTGGCATGACTGCCAATTTGATCTGGTGCAGTATCCGACAGCTGTTCGTACACAATTCGAATAAGGAGACCGCAAGATACCGGAAGTCATCCTTGATGCAGACGCTAATACAGACATAGGACGGCCATCGATCGAGTCAATGCACTCGAAAGGATGGGCTGAATACAACGAGCCTTGGGGCGCCTACGGCAGAGAAACAGGATGGAATAGCGATAGCTATATGAAGCAACGTCAAGCGTCATGTAACTGGATGAAGTTGATGAAAGTGCCGAAACGACGAGCTGGAGTCTGATAGATGAGGTACCGGAGTGAAGTGCGCCGGGAAAAGACCAGTGAAAATGACCGACCTGCGACGTGCAGTCTGCCATACACAGCACTCTAGAATCACTTCCAACAGACAACTCGAGGATTCTACAGAACATAGTATTCGAGCCGCTGCAGCCATACATCACCTGTCTCAATGATGCCAGCAGTGTTCCACCGCCTGCGATTGAAAGCAGAGGCATCACAGCACGCCTGAGTTGATGCAGTACTAGTGGAACTACATTCACCTGCATGCTGAGATTGCATTCAGCTGCTATCTGTCTATAAATGGGCGCCGAACGTTGAACCTTACCAGCAAATGCCTGACGTTGACGCCCACGCCCAAGGGAGACCAAATACTATATTGCTCGCAGGGGTTATGGGTAGCGATATAGAGTGTGTTCTTTGCCGCAACAAGAGCATGATTGCCGCTCTCTGCAAATATCAAAGACCCTTGGGCGGTCGAATGTAAGCTGAACGAATTACCATGGTGTGTCTGGCGACACGTACCGCGTGCGCACGAAGCAACACGCTGTGAATCGGATAGGATCATGATGCAGTCCACTGTTTCACAGCATCATCTAACACTAATTACTTAGTGCATAATTCACTTACGGGAATTACAAGAAGGGACTGCACATCGCGAAATCCATAACGACAGTACGGACAACCGACGTCCCAGCTGATTCTTTAGACAACATATCAGTCTTTCGTCAGCGCGATCCCAACTCCAAAATACAACTCATCAGTCGAGTCACCAGGCCTAGCAAAGCTACCCGCATCCGGGGCATCCACCTTCACATCATCATCAGATCAGCTCACCACATCGACTATGCTCCGGACAAGACTTACCTGCGAAGCAGACCCGCCGGGAGTCCACTCATACATCTCCGACACCGTCGACCTCGAGACACGCCGGGGAGCACGCTTGTACTGCGTGTAAATATCTTCACCCAGCCCGGCCCCAGCGTCCATCTCGGGCGCGGGCTTGCGCCAGGTGCGCCGAGGCGGGGATAGCGGTGCAAAGCTCATTGACGGGAGCCTATACATCCCCTTCTCATCCTTCTCAACAGAGGCAAAGCATTGGCTCTGCGAGCTCAACGGGCTCAACGGGCTCAACGGGCTGAGGGGCGGCTCGGAGTAGCGGAGAGTATGTGCATCCGGCCCGAGGACGAGGGCACTCGGATGGCCATGGGACGAGAACTGGAGTGTGGTGGTGGTGTAGTTGCTCGATCCGCCGGAGGACAGGTGTTTGAGGGGGGTGAGGCCCTCTTCGCTCGCGGGAGCCTGGGAGCGGAGCTTGTTCCGCGCGTTGAACCTGATGGGTGTCAGTAGCTGCGCGGGGACCGACGGGAGGAAGTGGGAATTACATGGCCATGAACGAGTTGATGTACACTGCGAACGCAGGTTAATGGGACGATGACTGGGAACACGGGAGGCATACTTTTTGTTACCAGGAACTCTATGCAGAGGACAGTGAAGGTGTCTGGCAGCGCGGAAAACTACCGCGTTGTCAATCCATGTACACAATGATCTGAAAGACGTTGCGACTTACAGTTGCCATCGCCGTGATCGAGCACACGCTGGAGCAGTAGAAGAATATCGCGCTATGAGTGGGACCATACCGTCAATGAAGTGTGAGTTCCAGCGTACGTAGTTAAGACACCCGTATTAAGTGTGTATACCATGAGAACTGTGATAGTCGAGTCCATCCTGCATCGTAGAACACAGCTCCAGAGGTCAGGCAGAGAAGTAGAATATGGTGACTCACTCATGGAAACCCGTGCGGCAGCGCGCGAGTAGGAAGCACAGCGAGCCGGCAATAATGGTGTCGATAAACGTGGCGGTACCGAATGGTACGTAGGTGACCCACTTGAAGACGGGAGTGATCAGCGGAGGGTTAACGAGCTGAGTGACGGCTTACTCTGTCTTGGAGGAGATCGGTGTAAAGCTCGAACTGGGTTCTGACAGTAAATTAGCACAATTGGCAGACCGGGATGAAAGGACTAGAAACCGCATACATCTCGTAGCAAAGGACTAGACCAAATGTAAAAGGCATTGCTCAACTCACTTCGTTCTAATCGTAATAGGAAACTCACGTGCAGCGACACCTGATATTGAATTATAGATCAGTGACATTGTGGCCATGACAGCGGACTCGGACATGCTCACCGTAGCCAAGGAAAACAATCATGCTCTTTATATGAGGACGGAATGAAGATGACGACGAGACATGGATCGAACGGGCCACTTACAACGAAAATTAGCAAGATCCTGCGGATAAGCGGTCGCCCGCTCTCCACCGCCGCCACTACGCCGTTCACCAAGTAAGGATTGCGACGGCGATATGACATTGAGACATAGCGACGCACTCTTCCACAGCCTGATCGTGTACAACCTGGCTCGCGTAGATGCATTCCTCAATAATCATGGAGGCCAGCATGAAAAGGGATTGACTTACGTATGAACAAAGATGACAACAATAGCCTTCCAACAAAATATTCAGTGCGCTTTCACCAAGATGACTGAAACGGATCTTCTCACATCTATCATGATTTGTGCCTGCGCGTCCCCGTTCAACATTCGGGCAGTACTAATACATTCGCTACGTACCTTGAAGCTCCATACCACCTTGAGGAGCTCCAGGGGGTTGAGGTAGTTGGTGATCAAATAGTAGTAGACTAAGTGACCGCAGAGCGCGAGATGAGCCGCATCCAGCATCCTGATCGCGCCACAGAAGACACATCAGAGACTGAGGAAACCGCGCGTATGTGACACGCACCATAGACAGCAGACAGAGACCTTGTCCCAGATGCTATCTCGGGAGTACCGCTGGAAGTAGATGAATACCTGCAGATTCGTTACACCGAAAAGGCTGCAACACGTCGTTCAGCACAGATCAAGCAGGTACATGTAGGAAACTGACACGGCAGAGATGAGCACGCCTATGAACACAACGCCATACGTCCTGTCGAGCTCGTCCATGTTGAACGAGTATGTCGTGCGGGACTGACGAGGAGGGGCAAAAACTCGACGGAGGAAGGCTGGCCGCCCGCTCGATAGAAAAGGCACGTCCGAGAGCGAACTCAAGCACGTGTAGTACATGGCGGACGTCTCCCGCGTGGAGAGGAAGCCTCTCCTCGAATTTCTGGCAAATACAAAAGCGGGGTGGCATGTACATTCGGTCCAATGAGATGCTGCTCGGAAGTTACCCACGGATCTCGAACGTAGCAGGCATTTCCTTTTGTCAGGCCTGCATGTCAATATTTGACTTCCCCGGGGGATTCGCCCGTATGACCTTTATGAAGTCACCTGTAGGAAGATCGCGGAGCATACGACCCACCACCCTAGTGCTGCAGATTTTCTTCGAGCATGCATATTAGTTCCCTTGCACGAATGATCAATATTCGGCCATAGGTGGTGTTTGTGTAAGATCTGCCATCATAGCTGGTCATCCAATTTGCACATAATGGAAGACGTTGTCAAAGTTAGTCGCCCTTCAGAGCCTCACTACGGTCGTCATGTACGTAATCCGACGTAGTCTCAAACCACAGTTGTTGGAATAGGCTCATAGATACAGCCTCTAGTTACCTGCAGGAAGACAGTCGTTCCTTTGTAATAGAGGCTGAGATCATTACCGATGACCCGCTGAGAAGTCTCCCGTGGGAAACCGGACTTTGAACGATGCCGACGGCAATTCGACGCACGAATCTTTAGCGCTCAAGTCGCGTGCAGCCACAGGCGCGTCTTACCTGTGTACAAGCTTCGCGTGCTGTAAAAAGTTCTCATGGCGACGGTTCCACCTACTGACGACATCCAGGATGATGGCGACATATTCGGATCTGTACATATGGGCCCTCAGGTACTCAGCTGATCCTTCAGTCTTCCGCAGATATCCCAGCCTGCCAGTGGCTATCCGTATCATTTTATTCATCGTGAGAATGTCACCACACTAACGTCGGATGATTCTCATAAGCCTTATGTATAGATTTATCTCCTGGTGTAAATACTCAGGATGATAGTGAGTTCGGGATGCACTCGAGGTCACTGAGCTTAGCGGAATCGGAGTCAGGGACTCAGGACAACTCGGAAATTTCACGAGGTCGCGCGCATGTGCACAATGGCCTGCAAGATGTTCGCTATGCACGACGGGAAATGCACGGAGGTTACACAGCATCACTTTACCCCCCGCTACGATCTAGTCCAGTTTCGCCGACGCGTTCGCGCGCGCCTTTGAATCTGCTCATCCCGCAAGTGTCTACATATGCAGTTCAGCACCGCTCAAACAGTCCTGTATGAAGCGTTGTCGGTACGTTGCAGGCATGAATGAGTTGTAGAGTTTAATGATCTTGTTGCGATGAGGTACTGCTTCAGGGATAAGGTGATCGAGAAAAGACATGATTTTGTAGCCGAGCTCGATAGTCTGGCAAAAGATCAGAGTTGTTGTGATATCGGTGGTGGAAGCCATCTCCAGGGGTATCAGGAAGCTGATGTCGAGGAAGTCCGTGCCAGAGACAGCATGCTCGAAGAACTGCGGGATATATTTGATGTTGGAGCAGTCAACCGAGTACCGAGCATTGACATAGTGCCCAGGTTGGAAGCCCAGATTTTCAGCGAGAACCAGAGTCCGAGATGGAGTCGCCGTGCCAGTGAATGCTGCCCAAACTGTCCGAGCTGACAAGATAGCGCGCATAGTCTTGATGGACTTGAAGATCTCGATCCACTCGCCACTCTGTTCGTCGACGAGGTGGGCTTCGTCAACGAAGAACCAGCAGACAAGACTCTTGACAGCTTGCTGCGACAGCAGGCTACGAACGCGTTTTGACTGGAGCATTTGAGAGCTCATGATGGCGAGACGAATGTCCTCTTCGCTGACAAGCTCGGCCAGAAGATCGCAATTGTTGTGGTATGCTTCTCTCATAGTGTCTTCGTTGATAGCCAGTGCACAAATTCCGCGGCTATTGGCCACAGTTTCCTATACTCAAGGTCAGAATGAAACTACTGTCAGTGTGCTTGTCAGCACGACAGTATCTGCTGCAATGCTAGCAATTTAGTAGGCACAATCATGGGAGCTATTCCTATCTTCATCTGGGCTTGTGCAGCCAGTAGCGGAGCATGCATAACCGTCATCTTCCCTGGCCTGGCGCGATGACGAGGAACAGATCCTTGCCGCAGATGAGGTCCATGCCATGGCATAGCTGGAAATCGCGAACTGAGGGAACTCCGCACTTCTGAATGATCAGCGACTCGAGCCATTCTGAAGAGCTTTCTGCAGGTATGATGGACATAGAGAACGGTGTGGATTACAGCTACGTAGCATACATACAGAGTTGACGCGACTGACATCTCTGCCACCGACGCGTTTTGGGAATTATAGTTTAGTGCCGATGACGCAGTCGTCCCTTCCGCTGTCTGGCATGTAGCTCAAAAACTCCCATGGGGGACTTCTCAGTGGGCTCCCGGATAATGATCCTAGACTATTGTTGGAAGTCGTCTCCCATCGATTTAGGCTTCAAGCCATTGACATCAGAGCCGTAATAAGATTTGGTGTGCAGCACCGTACTGGTGAGCCTGAGTTATTTAGTACACAGCATTGTGTGAAGATCGTGCATGAAGTCTTTGATCGGGAACTTCAGTGCCTTTCCAGACATGGAGCAAATGACATACAGTCTTATACCGGTCCTTCGGCCACCCAAATCTTTCCTGCCATTGTATGGTACATGCATACACTTTCTCGTAGATCGGCAAGCACACAGACCTCAATACATACTCCTAATATAAGATCACATTTATTTACAACCCAATCGCCGGAGTGAAATATGAAATCGCAGTGGATCAGTATAAAAAATCGTTATCAGTGCTTTCCTCACCCCTCCGGCCACGTCACATCACGTTGATGAATTTCCTGATACAGATGAGATTATGGGTGCTAATTTCCATATCAGGATATATGTGATGTGACATCTCGCCGATAAGAGCTCTGAATGCTCACTCCCCAGGTCGAAGTCTCCTTCTCATCCTGGATGGCAGCGGATGGCTTCAGAAACATTGCCAAAGCATTCCAGTGTGCATAACCATGTCTGAAATTAAAAATTTCGGACTTCTGCTGTGAACTAAACAACGTACAAGCACTTTTTTACAAATTACACTCAAAATTGGTGTCTCCAAACAGATCCAGAGGCCATACAATCTCTACAACATTGGACAGCATAGCTCTAGTATATTCAGATATGATTAAAAAAAGTTCAAGGTGAAAAGGTGGCCAGGAAGCCAGAAAATGTGGGGTGGCCCAAGGACCCATGGTGGCCGAAGGACCGGTATAAGACTGTACCTCGGGCATTGCCTTCGAATACTTGAGATGGGTGATAACGTCTACTACACCGCCAACTGTGCTTAGGCCGATTGTTCCATGGCTGGGTCTGCGTGATACCGGCTGTCGAAAGGTCTGGCGGCCAGGTTGCCTCCCGTCCCAAAGATGCTTGACTGATTTTCAGCCTCTTGGGATGTCCTGCAGTCTGCTCCGAAATGGAAAGCCGGCCAGGTCACCATCAGGTCTCTGCATCGGGGAGGTGATCTGTGTCTCATCGGGAGGTCCCTCTGCTCTAAATAAGAAAACCAAGTAGCCTACATCAGCAAACTCGCAAGAGTCTGGGACATCTGGCGCCAGACCCGCCATGCGCCGCCATGCACCGCCATGCCACCAGAAATGTCTATGGTATTATAAATGACCTACGAATATCCATGATATGTATTTATGGCACCATGCAACCACCAGACTTGCTACGAATTCATTCATGAGCCACAGATTAGACAGACAGGAGCCATGGTTTCGACAAATTGCCACAATTCAATATTCATTTTATGGTACATGATACTACGCTACTACTACTTGCCAGTCAGCACCTCAGGCAGTCTAATGACAAGCTTGCAATACCGAGCTTCAAGTTGACCCTGTCGCATGGCTGTGTTGGCACATGGTAATTCAACATCAAAATGGAATGCTCACCTTCAGTCATCATCCTCCGACATGCGGATGTCATCATCAACGTTGGCACCACCTTCGGAGGAGTCTGCTGTCAGATCGATCGTGAGGTTGTTGTTCCTGCGTCACAGATGTGCATGTGCATCTTGACAGATTGCGTGCCACTTAGGCTCCTTCAGGCCCTTCGTGCGATTGTAGTATATCTTTGCCTCATTCCCCCATGGCTCATCTTTGAAGCTTTCCTTGAAGTTCCTCGCCCCACCACGACATGCACTGCCATCGGGCTCCTTCAGTGAGTTCATCCCCTCCTTCCATACAGTGAGTGCCCGCTGTACCTGGGATAAGAAAAATTCAGCCGCCAGATGGGCAATGATGGTGCAATAGACTGACCGCGGCAGTGCACAACGCAAGCGCTCCCGTGGGCTCACCATAATCCACCTCACTTTTTATGATGAGTTGAAGGTGGTAGGCAAATGTTTCCGTGATTAGAGGGCCACGAAAAGTGCCCAGATGCACCTGGCAGATGCTCTCAGCCATGCGAGCAGGCATGAAAAAAAGAACCCACTGTGGACTCAGGGTCTAGATATAAGAAGTTCTTGTTGTTTAGGTGTGCTTTTATCCAGGCCTTCCTACGCTCAACAGTGGTGTAGTTGCCCACCATATCCGCGGACTCCCAAATGGTGTCAATGATTCGTAGCGCTGTTTTACCAATGTCACTACGATAAGTGCGGAGTGCCGCCTGGGCCTGAAGAAAACCAGCCAGAGACACATTGACACTGAACATAAAACATTTTGTAGCAGAGAATTATATGACGCACCACAGTGTGGATAGCGGGGTGCTCAGATCGTAGTTTTCCGTCAACGTCGAGTTCCGGCAGGTCAATAAAAATCTTCATCCAGATCAGCCTTACCGTACTCTTGAAATCTGAGTGGCTATTGGAACCGAAAGGGTCAGGGAGAGTAGCAGCCCAGGTAATAAGTGTCGGGATGAATTTTCACTGCCAGACAAGAAGCTGCCTTCTCCATGCCGCTGGGAAAGGTAGGTCTTTGTTCGACCAGCTTGTGGCGGCTTGTTTGTTCACATGCCCAGCTCCGCGTTCCTTCTTATCAATCTCCGCGATGACTGCAGGCTTCAAGACGATGCCCACCTGCAGAATAAGAATGTATGTCTGACAATACATACAGAGCACAAAAGAGACACCTACTGGTTTGATCTTGACCAGATTCGTAGCAGTGAAACCTTCACGTTGGGTATCGTCAGTCTGATGAGTTGCACGCACAGCGCGCAATACTTCAGTACCCTCGTCCTTGTCAAATTCCCCTTCAATTGGCGCATCTGATTCCCCACTGTGAGTGAGTGAGGTTTTTGAGGAGTTATCAGAACGAGCTAAATATCTTCTCCAGCCTGGCTTTAAGCCACCAGTCTCCACCACCTTCGCACACTTGTTCTCATGTGCACTAATGAAAGGCTGTGAGTGATTACAACAGTCGTCAATGTCACATTTGAGAGCTGACAGTTTTTCGCTGGCAGGGGCCTTGCATTTCGTCGCCGTTGATGAAGCGCCACGTGCTGGCGCTGTCAGCGCTTCCTTGTGTTTGTCGATAATTTGACTTTTAAGTGCTGTCTTGTTCTATGTATGTGATTCAGCAATGCATTTATTACTCGGGTAGAGTGACAGTACTGCTTACCTTCTTGTTTTTCTCCTTCCTAGCAGTCTCTGAAGCCAAGAATTTCTTCCATGTTCCTTTCATGGAGCGGCTCAAGCCCGCAGGCTCCATACCAATATCCTCTGCACCTTCATCACCAGCATCAATCCCACCGAGTTTCCCCGTAATCATTGCGACATCAAAGTCTGAGTCGTTCCCAAGATCCTCATCCTCATCCTCGGCATCACTGCTTGGTGCGATGTAGTCAAGATCCTCCCTGCTATCTCCAGCAGAGTCAGCAATGTCTATTTCTGTCTCTCCAGCATCATCAACCTGACCTTCCGACTCTGAGTCGAAAGCAGATCCTGGAGGTATGGAAGGCTCTGGGCTAGCTCCGGCAAATGTGGGTGCCTTAGCCTCGCCTTCCTCGATGCTGCTGATAGCCGAATCATGGATCGCCTTCTGCATTATGGAAGTATGCACAAGAGGTACGTTGATCAGATGAAGATCAGGACGCAATGACTGACGTTTTCCGTCTTCCCATCGCATAGAATCCTCCCTCCCAGCAATCCGATGAATTGATGCAGTTCATTGCTTGGCCTTCTGTGCTTTCTCAAGCTCTTTTCTTTTTTTGTCTGCGGCTTTCATTGCAGATTATCCCGAGCAAGTCTTGCTTACTGGGATCGTGCAAGGCTGGTGTGCGAGGTAAGTTTTTTAATCACTGTATATTACATTCTCGTCCTGACAACGTTAACTAGGTGTACAGCATTTGCCTCCAACCTGGACGGTTCTGAAGCTTCAGGGCGACGATCGAAAGACCTCACAAGTGACCTTATTCAAGAATTTCAAGGACAAGGTACTCTACTGTGGGACAACTACGGAATCGATGACGAAATCATTGTAAGTGGCTCTATTCTCATGAGAAGGGAAGGCAGCTCACAGGTCCCTCTAGCCATTCACAAATGAGTTTCCGCGAGCAGACATTCATGAAATGATATCGTCGGATCTGCTTCACCAGATCATCAAAGGCTCCTTCAAGGACCACCTCGTCACCTGGGTTGGAGAGTATTTGGTCACAGAACATGCCGAGAAGCGCGCCAACGAGATCATGGATGACATAGATCGACGATGAGTTAAGCCGTTCATGTCAAGCAATCCTTTACTCACGGAACCATAGAATTGCCGCTGCTCCACCGTTTCCAGGCCTCAGGCGATTCCCTCATGGATGACATTTTAAGCAGTGGACAGGCGACGACTCTAAAGCACTGATGAAGGTACAAACATATTGTTTGTACGATTCCCCGCACTCATCTACTGTAAGATATACCTCCCGTCAATTGCTGAGTATGTACCCGCGGAGATGGTTCGGGCCCTTAGTGCATTCCTTGACTTCTGCTACCTCGTGAGAAGAACCGATTTCGATGAAGAGACCCTCACTGCTGTACAAAACTCCATCCAGTGATTTCATTGCCACAGGGAGATCTTTCGGACATGCGGTGTGTGAGAAGACTTCTCTCTGCCTCGACAACACTCTGTCATACACTACCCAGACCATATATGAGAATTTGGAGCACCAAATGGTCTCTGCTCATCTATCACCGAGTCACGACACATTACTGCTGTCAAGAAGCTGTGGCGTCGCTCGAGTCAGTACAATGCGCTCAGCCAGATGCTGCTGACCAATCAACGTCTTGACAAGTTAGCTGCTCTGTGCACACATTTTGTCAAACGAGGTATACTTGCGCCTGCCCGTCTGCCCCCTCCTACACCATTCGACAATGATGAAGAGGAAGCGGGGCCTATTGACGATGACCGTGTTTTAGCGGAGGTCATATTGGCTCGGACAAGAGGTATGCAATTTAACATTCCGCCGTCTCTCACCACGACTGACATTGCATCAAGAGCGATCCTACCCCTGTTATCTAGATGAACTTGCCGCAGATATCAGTCAACCCCAGCTTCCGGTGCTCACACATCGATTCCTGTATGACCAGATTCACCGACACGATCCGGATGCAATATCAAGTAATGTTGTCGAACTGGATGACTGCCCGATTGTCATCAATAAGATCTCCATTTTCCACTCTGCCATTGCCATTTTCTATGCACCCAGTGACATTTCTGGTATCCATGGAATGCGACACGAGCGAATACGATCAACACCATCATGGCATGGTCACCCTCAGAGAGACTGCGCTTTTGCAGTTGAAGATGACTCACAACCCAGGTTCAAGGGTATGAGTATCGTGCGAATACTCCTATTTTTTTCATTCCAGCATGACAACATCGACTATCCCTGTGCTCTGGTGGAGTGGTTCAGGCGACGCGGGAGGGCAGTTGATGCGAAGATGGGGATGTGGATTGTAGAGCCAGAGTATAAATATGGTCAGCATGTCATTTCTGTTCTGCACGTTGATTCCCTTCTGCGCAATGCGCACCTCCTTCCTGTTTTTGGTCCTCGGCCACTGCCTCTCAAATTTCCCTTCTATCACTCACTTGATTGCTTTGAAGCTTTCTACGTTAATAAATATGCTGATCATCACACGAACGAGATTGTATTTTAGACTGTAGATAGTACAATTCTATGTCCGACTCATTCGGGGTATATGGCTTGCGTGGGTTGTATGGTATTGACACGACTTGACTGTGGTGACATCTGGAGAAGAAAAGCCAAGCATGGCACCATAACTACCAGACATTCCATACGCACCAGAGTGTGCCAGACTTGTGCGAGATTGCTGATGTAATGATCTGAGTGGCGTCCGTAGTGGTAGTTCATGTCCCCAGAAAAGTTTGACTTGAGATGCTCGATGACCCACCCAAAGGGAGGCTTCACTTGAGCTCTGTTTCCTGAAGTTCTGAGCTGGTCATGCCGTGTTTGCTAAGCAAAGAGGCCGAGGCAGAGTTGGAAAGCTGATGATAGTCATGACAAATTTTTTGCTATGGCTCTCATATCTTTCCTCCTTCACTTTCGATGTCCCAGGCCTCGGTTTCCTGCATTGGTGTGTGCATTACCTTAAGATGAGCCATTCAGCCATTTGCCACTGAAGTCATCTGTTTCATGCAGTCCGGAACCGAAGAGTTGTGTTACATCGTGCGCAGGTCGTTTTAGTCATGCGAGCCTTCGCTGGCAACGGGCTCTGAGGTATGTGCAAAGGAGTTCGATTCTCACATTCTGATGTAGCCCACAATAGCAGTTTGCAGCACATTTCAACTGGAGCATCCTTGAGATGTTGGCCTACTGCTCGTCGCTGCTGAGTGTTGAATGGAACAGGTGGCACTCTTTATTAGCGCAGCTCGTATGAATTCCTCCGAGTGAGTGATTGGGGAAGAGATATTATTAGTGGGACCTGCAAGAGGTCCCTCTTTATATACTACACCAGTAGACTAGTCCAGAACATACTACATAGTTCTCGTAGCTACTGTATCCTTCGATGCTGAATAAGATATTGGGGAATATCGCCCGACTACCTGGATGCTCCGAATTGACTAATAAGGTCATCCCGAAGCCTCCAACACTCCCCCTCAAGCCGGAAGCATCCCAAGTTCCAATGTGAACTTTTGGTGCTTAGGCTTGGGTAGGGCCTTAGTAAATACATCTGCTACCATCTCATCTGTAGGACAGTAGCACAATTGAATAATGCCATTTTCCACCTTTTCACGCACGAAATGATTCTGCACGTCAAAGTGCTTCGACCGCGTGTGATACTGCGGGTCGCGTGCTATTGCGATCGCTGCCTGGTTATCACAATAAATTTCTGTGGGTTCTTCTTGTGCAAACCCGAGTTCTGCCAGTAAGTTTCGCAGTCATATTGCTTGATGTGTCACGTGCGTGAGTGCTGTATACTCAGCTTCTGTCGAAGATGTTGCCATTGTTGTTTGTTTCTTCGAACTCCATGCTACGGCTCCACCTCCCAAGTAAAAGACATGACCCGAGACTGATTTTCGGTCATGGTCTGACACATAATCTGCGTCCGTATATCCTCCTATTATATTTCCATTCGGCGCGTCCGAATCGCGTCGCGTGTACATGACACGTGAGTCACGTGTTCCTGTGAGGTACCGTAGAACGCATTTTGCCACTGTCCAATGGACAGATCGTGGGCATGCTGTATATTTGCTCAGCGTCTGCACAGCATAGGAAATATCTGGCCTTGTTCCCACTACTGCATACATCAGCGATCTCACCATTGACACATAACCTCCCACCAAACGGTCGTCCGCCTCCTCGTTCTCATCCTCTGCTGTGAACGCCACATTTGGATTGAGCGGCATCCCTACAGCATTGGCGTTCTCAAGCTAGTATCACTTGAGAATGCTCTCGATGTAGTGCTGTTGCAAGATTTGGATTTTTCCCGCTTCCCTATCTCGCTCGATTTCAAACCCAATGATTTTCTGCGGCTCGCCAAGGTCCGTGACTTCGAAGAGGTCCTGCAGGTCGCGCTTGAGCTCCTCCATGAGCTTCGGAGAGTTGGTGAATAACAGTAAGTCATCCACCCATACTGTAATAATCTGAACTTCTCCTTTTTGCTCCTGCAGGTATACACATGGATCCGCCTCCAGTTGCTTATACCCGAGCTCCGTCAGCTTGCGGTGCAGCTTGCGGTTCCATTTGTGCCCGGACTGCTTTAGTCCATAGAGTGTCTTGTGGAGTCGACAAACATGTCCACTTCCGTCATTGAAGCCTTCTGGCTGTCGCATGTAGATCTCCTCCTGGAGGTCTCCATTCAGGTAAGCTCCCTTAACATCCATCTGGCCAATTTCCCAGTTATTGACTACTGCTAATGCTAGGATGGCCCTGATGGACTCAAGATGAACTACAGGGGCAAAGGTTTCAAGGAAATCCATCCCTGGGATCTGTGAGTACCCCTGTGCCACCAATCTGGCTTTGTACTTGACAACCTGACCCTCCTTGTTAGTTTTCTTCTGGAAGACCCACTTGCAGCCCACAGCATTTCGATCTTTTGGTAAGTCTTGTAGCTCCCAAGTCCCCATGCCCTGCAGCTGATCATATTTCACTTTTACAGCTTTTTCCCATTCTGGCCATTTCGGAGAGGCTTGGGCCTCCGTGAGGCTTCATGGCTCATCTCCTGCACTTGCCGTTCTGTCGCCCAATGCCAGCGCTGTCGCATACAGCGCCTGCACGATCTCTTCAAATTCTTCGGGCGTCACGGCGACTTTCGCACTCTCACCAGGTGCGTTCTCTTTTGGCACTCCCGGCAGCTCGTGCGACTTCGCGGGCTGTGCATGGGGGTTATCCATCCTTCGATAGTCATGGTCCTGCGTAGCGCGGGTCATACGACAAAGAGGGATCTTCGGGGGTGCAGGCAAGAATGTCGGTTGCTCTCGCATGCTCTCCTGTATCTCGGGAGGTAAGTCTTCCTCTATAATGTAGTTTCCATCGTGTTTCTTGTTAGACTGATCAGCTTTAACAGGTACTGATGCTGGTTTTGATGCAGATGTGGGAGGCTGCTGCTTGACAGCTCCCCCTGACTCCCCCTTGAGCGGCAGCCTGTCACTGTCATCAAGCTGATGTACAGGAACATTGCTTGCTGGGTTCGGGGCATCCGCGAATACAAAATTTCGCGAGACTCGGATCAAGCGCGCACCCACATCGTAGTAGCGCACGGCCTTCAGGCCATCAGCAAAACCTACAAAGGTGTGTTTCTTCGACTTTGGCTCGAGTTTCGAGAGATTCTGGCCTTCCGTCAGAATCCAGACATCTGACCCAAATCCTCGTAGGTGCGCGACATTGGGCTTCTTGCCCGTCCACACCTCTTCCGGAGTTTTCCCGTGCAGTGCTTTCATCAGCGCTCGATTTTGCAGGTATGCTGCGTATGCAACAGCTTCCGCCCAGAGGAAGTTTGGAAGCTTCCTCGCAATCAACATTGCACGAGCAAGCTCCAATAGCATGCGATTAAATCGCTCAGCTACACCATTCTGCGAAGGTGAGTATGGTGCTGTCGTTTGCAGCTCAATTCCCTTCTCACAGCACCATCCCTTCAGGTCCTTATTAATGTATTCGGACCCATTATCGACGCACAATATCTTCGGCAGGTGCCCGAAGTGTCGTTCAATAAAGGTGAGGTATTCTTTGACTTTCTCGAAAGCCTCACTCTTATGCTTCATAAACAGTACTTGGCACCTCCGTGTGCATTCGTCCGTGAACGATATGTAGTATCGTGATCCGGCAATCGACACTATACATGCAGGGCCCCAGACGTCACTGTGCATCAGCTCGCCTGGCATCTGGGTTCAGTCCTCTGCCTCCTTCGGATATGCACAGTGCGCCTGTTTGGCTTGAATGCAGGCTTCGCACTGTGTCAGTGGCATCGAGTTTTCATCAACAGTGAGTCCCTCCACCAAGTTTTCCTTGTAGAGCTTCTCTAACCCTGTGAATCCCAGGTGTCCATATCTCCGGTGCCACGACTCCCAAGAGTCGCTATCATCGTGCGCAATGTTCGCGTGCTCTTCACTTGGCATAGCAGCCTTGGCCTGCATGTTGAGCAAGTATAATCAGCCGACTTTTCAGCCTTGCGCGATGATGTGGCCGCTGCTTTCTCACAGCATTATTCCTCTGGCACTGCCATCAAAGTGTCCACACGCTTCATCCAGGCGGCTCAGTGACACCAAATTATTTGTCGCTTTCGGTGCATACAGGACATCTTTCAAGTGAAAAGTATATGTTGACTTCCACAGTGCCACGCCCAAGAGCGCGCACACTCTGGTCTCCGATCCTGGCAATCGACGAGGCCTTAAGCGGCACATAGTCTGTCATCGCATCACGAAGGTTCGTAACATGTGATGTCATTCCAGAGTCAGCTAGCCAGTCATAACACGAGAACTGACTACTAAATTGTTGCCCGGCACAGGTCGCCTCATCTGTGCAGAACGCGACATCTCGCAGCACATTGTTCATTGACTGTGCCTGGTTCGTGTGCGCCTGCACACGGCCGCCTTTCTTGCTTCGCGGTCCCTGACCCGCCATGCCGCTGCCTTTCGACCAACACTCATGTTGAGTGTGTCCATGCTTATGGAAATTCCAGCACTCCGCGTTGGACTTCCTGTCCGTTCTGCCCTGTGCGGTATTCTTCAGCTGGGTCCACCGCCCGCGTGCTGCCAGCGCAGACTCGTCGGCACTGCCTTTCTCTCGCCAGCGCCAGTATTCTTCGAGCAAGATGGCTATCAATTCATGCGATGTCGGCAACTTGTCCTTCTGGCTTGTTGCACCCAGATACGCAGATGTGAACTGGTCCCAAGACTCCGGTAACGATGTGATCAGGATCATTCAAAATTCGTCATCCGACACCTTGCTACCCATCATGTGTAGCTGCTCCTGTGTCCGGCGGAGCTCCGTGATATGCGCTGCGATATCGCTGCCTTCCGTGGCAACTGTGCGATAGAATTTCCTTCGGTACTCCATTATCCCCAGTTGTCCACTCGCCTCCTTTACTAACTTCAATTGGTTCCACATCTCCGCAGCCATTGTAGTGTCCGCAATGTGTATCATCTGCGAGTCACTCAACAGCAGCTCGATAACGGTCTGGGCTTTTTGATCGCCCTCAACCTATTTCGTAATCGCCGCCATTTCTCCTGCCGTTGGTGTTGTTGCATTTGCCGGCTTCGGCTTCTCCGATGTTCCATCGACATATTTCAAGACACTGCGCTCCCTCAAGATCGCCATAGTATGGCGCTTCCATGGGAGCCAGTTGTCATCGCAAAGTTGCTCGATTCAGAACAAGGACGACAGGCTGTCACGAGATTCGGTAGTACTCGACATTGTAACTACCGATAGTCAGAGTGTGTAACAAGTAAGTAGAAGCTGGTAAAGTATAAGCTATAAGCTAGCGGGGCTCATAACCTATTAGCACAGCTCGTATGAATTCCTCCGAGTGAGTGATTGGGGAAGAGATATTATTAGTGGGACCTGCAAGAGGTCCCTCCTTATATACTACACCAGTAGAATAGTCCAGAACATACTACATAGTTCTCATAGCTACTGTATCCTTCGATGCTGAATAAGATATTGGGGAATATCGCCCGACTACCTGGATGCTCCGGATTGACTAATAAGGTCATCCCGAAGCCTCCAACACTCTTGACAATGTAAGCATGGACATTCATTCATCTCTGGGTATAGTGTTGACTTGAAAATGTAATCCTTAGATGTAACAGCTGCTCCGACCTGCATATTGACGGATACCGACGAGTCCTTAGCGCTGCCGAGTGCGCCTGTTGTTGTGGCAGTTTTGTACTATTAATAGAAATATATATTTTTGAACATATGAAACTGGCATATGTTTTGATCATTGCCCGGAAATATTTGTAGTGGCAAATCTCAAAAGCAGATCACCTGAACAAAGCGACCAACTCCCGCTTGTGTGCAATTCGGGATCCGCAGACAGCCTAGGGCCGCTCCAAGTGGTCAGCTCAGGGAGAGGTGGTGGTGTAAGCTCCTGGCCAGCTGGGACTTGGCTAAGTCTTGTCTAATATGCGTATTCGGTCTGACGATCAGCTGGTGGGGATGTACTCATAGCATCTACTGGCCCTCCCCGGGATCCGGCTGATTTCATCTGATGTTTGCCTTGTGCACGAATGGCCGTGTAGTGGATGCCTTCTCGTAGCCATTTAGAAACGTTCTAAACTAAATTTCGTCTCTAAATCAGGCCGGCATGTCGGCAAATTGATCTCCGCATACCGTGAGAGCAAAGTGAGCTCTTTCTAAACCTTATATCTGAAAGGGGGGGTCGACCCCCCCTTCCAGATTCTAAACGTCTCTCTAAATGATGATTTCGATCTCCGCCCACTCGCAATGCCCATCTTTGCCTATATTTGGTGCTGCATATTGCTTACATCATGCTGCCGCTCGTCCTCCGTCCCTCTAGAACTTGGTTTGATCATCATCATGTTGCGACGCTACGGTTTCACAAATCCTGCTGTTCCGACACAGTGGGGTGTTTCGCAGTCCGCTTTGTGATTTAGAAGTGCTCCAAATCCTACGGGAAGGCATCCAGTAGTACTAGAAAGCCTGAAGGGATCGGTCACAACGCCCACGTCGGACCGCGTGGCAGAAGTCACGGGGTTTGAATTGTGAGCGCTGGAGCAGGACATTTCTGGTAGTTGATACACCAGGACGAATGTGTGCAGATGCCTCGTTGTTTCGCGTCAGAGAAATGCTAGGGGGATCGGACCCCTCTGCAACTGATGAACCCGGCTCTATTCCAATAGTAATTTCTAGTCCGCAGTAGCACCGAGGCGTCGTGCTCAAGTACTGCGCCCAGATGACCCAACGAATCATCCCCGAGGTTCCGTTTCGTCCCTATAGATCCTTCTGTTCAGCAAGGGAACGACCCTGCGATGAGACCACGCAGAAATAGTTCGTCATACCTACCTGGCCTCCCACGCGCCATGACTCATCGTCCGTCAGTCCAAGCTCGTAGTCGCGGGACAAGGCGCTGTTTTTCAAAGCGGCAACATTCCGATACGGAACAACGAAGACGACGTTTCATTTCATATCTGTCGGATCGTTCAAACCTAGCAGTTATGCGATAGTCTGTAACCCCGAGAGCCTGATGGGATGCTGGCTGTGCACTGAACTGGAACAGGATGGGGGAATAACAAAAGCTCAACAAGTCTATCCCGGCTTGCTCCGCTCGATCGGGCATACAGTACAACCTGATGATTCTGTTTAGGTTAGCAGATATGTCTGCAACGGTTTCAGTATGCGCCTCCGTTCCATAATCGAGCGCAGGACAGCCGGTGACGTCGACAGCACGGGGCACATCAGAATGCTTGATATGTCTCATCCGAAACACGTCGTCGGGGACATCCGTCGCAGGTTGATGTTGCTACATATCTGGGTCCTGGTCAGTTTACACGAAGTGAAGACAAACCCATCTGACCTAGTGATATAGGTCTCACTCCTGAGCCATATTTTCATCACCCAGAGGTGCGCTTGCCACTTCTGGATGAACCGAGCAGATTCGGACGGGTCCGTGATAAGACGACCGTATAGATCCACTGCTCTGGTAAATTCACGGTGGGCATGGACCAGCCAGGAGGCTCTCTGGGATTAAAGAGAACGACAACGCGGATCTTCTCGATATCAGGGAATGTTTTGGCGGATATATGCTCTAGGTGCCATTGCAGATACTCAAGAGAGGTAGGATCGACAACGTATGCTCCGTGGTCGCAGAAGATGTATCACGCGCGCTCATTCCAAGATGTTTGGACAGCCCACAAGAAAGAGTTGTGCCAACAGATAATAAAGTGCGTAGAATTTACCTGCATTCTGTAGTCCTTCAGTCTTTCCATGCTACATCATCCAGGCTGGAGAAGTTCGCCTAAGCCAGACTCCCCTGTGACGACAATATTCCGATCTGACTGGTCAACTTCTATCCAAAGTTCCTTGTATTCGAGGCACAACAACGTGCGTGGAGGAACAGGACTGAGCGGTCGCAGGTGCGACCGGTCCAGTACCTGGCGACTGCAACTGGATGGAATCGGGAATTCGCCGTCCATGGTAGAATCCCCATCTTCCAAGTCGCTGTCGTCCACGTCTTCTTCAAGAAGGTATTGATTCGTCTTCTTGGGAATTTCCCACATTTGCCGGTTGAAGATACTGCTAGACGGGGTGCTGAGGCCTGAGGAGCTGGACTGCCATAGCATTCTGTACGCATGAAACGCATGACGTGACCGTGCTGTACCACTCCAGACGCAGACACAGAGATAGGAAGCGTGCCCATATTTTCAGTCATGGCTAGTGCAGAAAGATTGTGTAGCCCATCCGAAGCAACATTAATTAGGACGACGGCGAAACCGCGAAATTTTTATGTCACTCAGGTGACTGTACTCAATATGGAAGGAGACCTGCTTCATTTGGTAGACTAATCGGCACTAGCTCGGATATAATCTGTCGTCCCTACCTTCAGAACTACCGTGCAATTTGAACTACTTACGCTTATATCGCATGCGCGTCTCTGGATTACCCGAGTGTCTCTACTATTTTGAAGGTACTGTACCATCATGTTGCAAACCTTAGAACTAAACCAGAGGACGCGGTGCTCGTGCAACTTCTCAAACCTGTGAACGACGCCGAAGAGACACTGAAGTATGGCGTACAGTCCTTATGCTACAGTCCTTACAAGCAGTATGGAAGAAGTGCCCGCCAGGAACTACCTCAATCTGAACGAAGGGCTGTGGCGTGACTCCCCTCCGTCATTGCAGCAATGGAGTACGGATAACGACCGCTTTTAACAACGACGACCGTCCAGTTGCCATGCTTTACCCTGATTACCCTGACTTGCCTATCTTTCGCTCCAGATGCACTCTCCGAATCGAAGGAGAGAGGCGAAAGGGGTCAGCAATGCCCTTGTATCCTGCTACAAGCAAAGTTTCGCCCTCGTGCTTGTGAACGGCTGGTTCGTATGCGACTGATCATCATTTCGTGTTCGTGCGTTCTAGCGGCCGCCGAGGAAGGGGTTGCATAAGGTTCGATACCAGTCAAGTTCCCTTCACTGATACTATACTAAGTCACTGAGAATGATTTTGCTCCGGCAGCCGATATGATTCAGCACCTTCAAACCTTGGTCGAACAGTTCTGCCAGATCTTTCATTTCAGTACAGCCCACTCGAAGCCTATGGTCCAGAGCATAAAGTCGTACGACATTGTGCGTGGTTCGTGAACGAATAACAATCGGATGGCATCAAGCCGCATGCACAATTGAGTCCACCATCCTTGTGGATTGCAGTGCTAAGTTTGCCCCTATCTCTCCTGGTACCATTTGCTCATATATGCGCCTTTTTAGTCTAGTAGTTCATCTGCTTCCACGCAATCCTTCGTCAGCGTCTAATGATGATTCGTCACCATTCTTAGATCCCAGGCGCGACTCCTCAGGTACTTCTCCCTTCCACTTTGGAGGAGCATGCATTCGAGTCTCCGGTCAGCATACTGCCGGCTGATATGGTGTCCAGTCCCACATATAGTGGTCCAAGCAGATTGTTCGCAAACGGTTTTCTGATGCCAACGTCGTAGGCACATCAGTCAGTCACGCATATACCTTGTTCTCGTTTCTGTTCCATGCACTCCATCTCGAGGAAAGCAGAGACCGCAAACTTCAGTGTGTAGATCCGCACAGAACACCAGGAAGTGTGAATATAGGTGAGTTGATTTTCGCTATAATCACTCGAAATTATGCGCAAGTTGCTCCATAGAAAACCCGTGAAATCCAGGACATCGCGACAACACAGGATCAATGTGTTTGAAGCTAGAATCTTTATGAATTTCTTTCGGAGTTGATGCACTTGTACAGTTCGTATGCAGCTTACAGAGTGTTCTCTGGCTGTGGTAGTGACGTGCGACAAAATCACGTTTCCACGTGCTGGGTGTCACGTCGCGCGACGCGAGGTTCCCTCGAGGCGAATCCATCGATATCGTTGAGCCTGAACTTCACCTTCGCAGTATTTCGGTCGTTATTTGTTATAGTGCCTATGCCTTACTGTGCCAGATGCGCCCGCTCCTTCAAGAACAATCAAGCGTTATGGCAGCATGAGGAGAATTCCGGCATGCACAACGTTTGTCGCGAGTGCGAGGTAGACTTTGGTTCCGAGTCAGAGCTCATCTCACATTACGAGGATGAGCATTATTACTGTGATTCATGCGAGGAGGTGCGTTCGATTGCATTTGAGCTCTGTGGCGGGCTGCCATATACATGTAACTCGTCGTATCTAATACTTCCACAGCTATTTGACTCAGAATCAGAGTTGGAAGACCACAATGAGGAGGCGCACTGGTATTGCAGATCGTGCGAGCGCTTTTTCAAGGACGAGAACAGCCTCAACTATCATCTCCGCTCCTCCATTCACCGGCCGCGCGCATACGCCTGCCCAGGACGAAAGTGCACGAAGGCCTTTACCTCTCACGCCGCGCTCGTGAACCATTGGGAGTCCGGGGCCTGCCCTTCGGGTGTCACCCGCGAGAGTGTTAATCGTGTGGCCGCCAAGCTGGACAAGACTGGTCTCATCACGAACCCCACACGTCTTCTTGGCGGACCCAGTGGGCGTGGGGAAAGCGTCGTCACGCAGGTGTGGGCTACAGAGCGGTCGTGGAATGGAGAGGAGTACGAGTGCTTCCTCTGCCATCGCGGATTCCGCTCGCTCCTCGCGCTCAATGCACACCTCCAGAGCCCCGTGCATGCGGACAAGGGGTACCGCTGCCCGAAGACGTGGCGCGGCTGTGGGAAGGAGTTCAAGACGCTCAGTGCTCTCTGCCAGCACGTGGAGAGCGAGCAATGCGGGGTGCGGCGTTTCAGCAAAGAGATGCAGAACGTCATCGAGTCGATGTCGAGTAAGATGAAGAAGATCACTCTTTGAGAATAAGTGTCTTCGGGAACCGATTTGGTATTGAGCTTGTTTGCGCCATCTACTCACTTGCACATGTCATTTTCACTCTTAAAATGCTTACCGTCTCGTTGCTTCCCATATTATTACCTCAATTCTTCATATGCTGCCTCATCAATTCTTCTCCCTTACTGCTTACTTTCGTTCACATTGTATTTTACCGATCTTTCAGCTCATCACTTGTACATCTTGACATATTCTTTCACTCGACTGTAACATGTAACACTCATACCTACGCCATTTCCTGAAGGTTCGAATTCTTTCCGTTTTATTCGTTCGCCTACACACGGGCAATACAACTTACTAGATTTAAAAAGGGAGCTACATCTAAAGTCTCGTTGCTGCGATCCACGCAACTCGTCGCATCATTCCTCCTACAGTATCATTACATTCATTACAGCACGTATCTGTAATCGCGGTTCTGTCTGTCCGTCAGGTCGAGGAACGACTGCACGCCGACGCTCAGTCAGTGACATAAAATTCAGGGGGCGAGACACAAACGCACTTTCTCAACCTTCCGCTCTACACGCTTCCCGTCGACCTCCAACTCAACGTACACTTCGTCGTACGTCGTGTCTGGTGGCTCTGCATCACGGCGCTTGTTTTCCCACACGAGCAAAAACCGGATGATGAGAAGGAGCACCATGCAGCACGCGTAGCAGATGCCGATAATCAACCACGGGATGTGGTTCCTACTCGGCGTGTTAGCCTTGGAGGTGCGATGGAGCGAAGGGCGGGCAGGCATACCGGGGGAGGTACTTCGACTGCCACATGAAGGGTCCCGCGGCGTTCCCGACGCAGTACGCGATGAGCATGATCGCGTTCGTCGTCACGCGTTTCGTGTGTCCTGCCGTGACGGAAGAGACCCACGAGAGGGAGAGCACGAACCCGGTCGTGCTGATTCCTGCGCAACACACCACGCGTCAGCCCAGCCTTCCTGACTTCGCCGCTCATCGCAGGCGCACATACCTGTCATCCACTGCCCGAATAGCAGACCAATCTTGTCGTGCCAAGGGAGGAGGTTGACAAGCATGATGCCGACGATCGTCGGCAGGAAGTACACCATCCCAATGTATGCACGCGCATTGGGGAGGCGCGCGGCGAGCTGCACGCCCGTGAAGATCGTGCTAATCTCGACGAACCCGCTCACGATGCCAAGGAGCGTCGTCTGCAGGGTCGTGAACCCGAACGCGGTCATGATAATTTGTTGCTGGTTGGTAAGGCTATTAGGCACGTTGTCGAATGCGGAAAATAGCGCAAAAAGCCATGTCTTCGGGTCGCGAAGCGCCTCATAGAATCTGGAATCGTCGGTCAATACTCAGGATATAATGAACAGTGCTGGCGGGCTTACTGATCCCACTTGAAGTGCTTGTTCTCAATACCCGTTTGGTTATCCTGAAGGCCATAAGAAAGTGAGAATTATCGTCGCTGACAGTGCTTGAATTGCGTACCTTGATACGCTGCACTGCAATAACACGCTCTTCCCGGGTCAAGAACCACGCATTAGTAGGCGAATCGGGGAAGAGGAACCTGCACAACACATGCGCAATCTGCAATCTGAGATCTGCAGTGATACGCACCAGTAGAGGACCCCAGTGATGAGAGTGATTGTACCGGTGATGATCATCAGCCTGCAGGGGTGAACGAGTCGTGAGATCCACACGCCATGGGGGATAAGGGAATGCGAGACGTACCATTGCCAAGGCTTGAACGACTTCGTCTTCGCATGCAGAACACCGAAACTGATAAAGCCCATGATGATCTGGGCTGTTGCAGTTGAGAAATCTTCGCTCCGGATGCTAACCGACATTAAGCACACTCACCCGTACCGTTCATCAAAACTACGCACAAACAAGAAGGAAAGCAATCAGCTCGCAGAACTTATATGGTAACAGTCAGAACGCACACCAATAACCGACACGCAATGTTTGCTCCTTGCGTGTATAGAACATAGAGCTGACGATCATAAAGCCGGCGGTGATCGAGCCCTCGCACATTCCCAGGATTAATCGGCACACAAACAACCCAGCGAAGCTCTTGCAAGCCGCGTGCGAGCACAATGCGACAGCCCAAGTAAGGATGTTGAGACTAACATTACTTCAGCCATGAGGTGTGACAAGAAAAGAAATCAGAGGAGTATGAACCTCATCCATTTGCCGACTGGGAAGCGCTGGAGTGCGAGGTTCTGAGGGTACTCGAAAACGAGGTAGCTGAGATAGAATATGGTGCCGAGCCTATACAACGGTTGCAAGATATTCAGCATGTAAGACTGCTGATGAGCAACGAGGATTTACCAATTATATCTAGTCAAATTGGTCAATATAAGTTACATTGTATCAGAGAACCATACGTACTGGCTTGTCGTCAGATGCGTAGACGTCCTGAGCACGCGACATCTCAATTAGACTCGGGTAAGGGCACGAAGTTTACTCACTTAATACCCAAGATCACCGAGCTTCCCAAAGTCGTCTTGTCCATAAACTGAACCCAATACAGAACTAACGATAGAAGTCGACGATCAGGCATCCAGCTAGCATCGTGGAGAAGGGTACTTACTACACATGAGCGGCATGATGTGCCAGTCGATCTTCCGTCGGATGCGTGCTGCCTCCTGCGGATCGACCTCCATGGAGGTACCGGCGACAAGCGCTGCACCGGTATCGGCCTCTTCAGTGACGACAGCGACATGGGTATCGACTTGTTTCTCCTTTACATCGACGTCGATGTCGGATCCCTTGCCGATGGAACCGCGGGAGCTCATGGTGGCTGCAGATAAAGCCAGAGAAAATGGGTGGGCACAAGCGAGACACTTCGATGTGCAGGCGGCGCCTTATAACTGATTGGCCGCTCCACAAGCTAAAGGTACGAGGGCAGCCAGACGCGCGCCCGCATCAAGGAGAACCGGAGAGCTCCATAAGCGGCACCGACGATAAGGGACAAGTCTTCCAGAATTGTGAGAGAAAGAACTTGGCAGAATGATAGCATGGCCAGTGCGAGCTTGCGTTATCTCGTCCGTCTCGAGAAGCATCAGATGAGCTCCTAGGGATGTGACCAATGAATGGTATCTCATTTTCACCCTGATAAGACGATATATGTGCCATCGCTCACACCTGCGCCACGCGTGGAAAAAGACGATGATTCGACATGTCAGGCGGGAGCACATGAGCGAAAGGTTGACTTGCATCGCTTTCGATGGCACAATTCAGCAGGCGTGGGAACCTGTGTATGATCGACAAGATCTTGACGCGAGTAAGCGCCGGTGATTCACCACCGTCGTCTGGGCATAAATGTTAAGTACTGCATGAACGGTGGAGACAGACACCTCGACGTTACTTTCCATACGCCAAGTGCAAGTATGTCACAAACACTGCAGATTCGGATATTTCTCATGCCAAGCCACTTGCGCTTATCGTGAGTTAGGAGAGTAGAAAACACTAAATTCACGCCCAACACCCCAACTGGAGCGCCTAATTTTCCTATCTCAAGGCAGACGGTGGGTAGTTGCATCCCCTGATGGCTCAAATCGTTCAGGAACCCGGCCCGTTGGTCTACGCCGTCGTACTTAGCAATAGACATTCGTCCGAGCAGCACTATCTACCGTCTCGATCGCCTCTGACAAGTCTTTATCGTCAAGTTGAAACTTTGTAGAAGTAGCAGACGCAACTCCAATGCCGGTATGTTATATATAGTGCTCACACACTGCTACGGAGATGTCGTAGTTTTACTTCCTTCACAGTTCGACTGTCATCTCATGTCTGCTCGAGTATTGAATAGGCGGAGGTGAGCACTGTCCTGTCGTTCAGCACTATTTCGCCGAGGTCGGACAGTTGTGTAAGCTTTTGCGACAATGTCCGGTTCTTTTTGATGACCGTTCTGGTCCACCACTGATCGTTGGCGATAGCTGTGCGCAGGTCCCGGCATTTTCCCGGGTGCTGGCCGAGTCTCTGAGATGCTGTTGTCTCTCTCACCATGACGCTAGTGCTCGCCATTCTCCACCATCGACCTCTCCGCTCTGAGCTATCGCATGCTCTTCAGTGCTCGTACTGTACCTCTTTAGGACCATCCTCGAATGTATCCCAGTTTGCAGTGCGTATAGTGCGAAGACGCCCAACTCACCAATAAACTCCCTCATTGTGTCCATGCAGTGACTTTGACCATCATCGCCCACTATTGCCCACTATCTATCCATCTATTCCTTTTGCTGCCAGTGTAACGCGAGTACACTCAACGGAATGGCGACGTCTCTCGCATTCGATCTATTGATGATCGGTCTTGCGACCCACCGTGACAGGTTGTCATTTCCGAACCCTGCTCTGCGAGACATATAGATCCGCTAACGTCGATTCATAGCGCGTAGGATCAGCCATCCTGTGAATCAGAGCATTAGGCGTTCAGCCGTAATGCATCGTCCGCTGGACGATGCCTGGGGATAGATAAGCCACTGGCTCATTCTTTCGTGTTTGTCTATTCGGCTGTAGCCTTCATCATTAACTCACGATCCTGATTGCTACAGATATCGATCATAAGTGCTTCCGGTGGATCAGGATCGACGAATCGTTGTCTTGTACGTCGTCTACAATCTCCTCCATTATATTGCAGCAAATGTCGCTAATTAAGATGGCTGAAGTGTGGTCACCTTGGTCACCCTGGCATACAGATCAGCAGAGACAAGTTCCTTGTTCCTGCTCGGACCAGCTACTCCGTGGATACATCATTCGCGATCAAGCTGTCCATCCTGCTCGACTTCGCCAGTCAGGATGGGCATCTCGGTAGCGTTGGATCCGTTCCATCGACTGCGTAGTCCTCGCCTGGCCCGCCGTTGGCCCCTCTCTTGTGTCTGTATTGCTATATGTGCTCCGGATATTGCGCACTTCCCATTAGGCTCCTTCGCTGTCCTTCCTCATTTACCCTACATGCTGTATATGTATGCTCGGAAAATGAGTAGGATAGAGTACTGGGTCAAAGACCGATCGTCAATCGACTCTTTGTCCAGCCTCATTCGAATATTCACGCGCAATGCTTACGACCTGGCTTCCTCTATTTACGTGACGCAGATGTTTCGATGCCGAACGGGCCCTGACAATCGCAAGAGTGCTCCTCCCTGATGAAGCTAAATATCCGCCATTCTTATGAAGAAGCAGTCAGTTCCTATGAACAACTCCGCCAGACATTCCACAGGCATTCCCTGAAAGATCTAACAATGTCTCACAGATATACCTCACGGAGGCGATATACATATGAGTACGTTTCCGCGCTCTTCGCATCACTTAAGTCTGTCTTCATGGACGTCGACGATTCCAGACATTGCTGTAGTCAACGCTATATGTCTTGCACTTGCGGCTCGCGTGTCGATCCACGTTGGCCTGAACGTCGTACTTCCTCGAGAATCACATTGCGAGTACTAGCACGGAAATTGCGCTTCCCGTCTAAATATCAATTGCACACTGGCATCTGCGAGAGCCCAACTCAAAGGCGGGAATGATCTTGAACTCCACTGGCACCGATTACGCATATACAATTGGCCTGTCTATTCTTGCGGAGGTCTTGCAGTATACGCTGGGGATCTTGCGGAGATGTGCTCCTGCACCGCGCCGCAAGTTATACCGGTCCCGCGACTGGTACATACACGTATACAAGCTGTACATACTTTATAGTGAATAGTCGTGATTTCTGGAGCATCTCAGAGCTGAGTTGGGAGTGTCTTGTACTCAGCCAAAGAGAAGTGGACTTAGATGTAGTATGGACACGCGCTTGAGATATATAGATTGCCATCGAGCGCCACAAGTTACGGCCTTCGAGACGATTTCGTGACTTGCGGCTCGGGCCGTGCCTCAAGTTAACGTATCCACGTACTGCTATCATTTCTACGCAACGTACAATGATAAAAATGAATGGTAAGCCGAAACAATTCGCTGGCTATACAAACGCACAAATCGCCCCCTATGTGAAAGTGTTGGTATTTCATCACGCGTACTGACCTACTCTTATGCCCCCATTTTGTATGACACCGACGACGTCAATTGACCCACCAAGTGCCATAAAGCACTCCCACCTCAAGGGCCGCGAAGACCTCAAACAGGCCTGGCGTCAACTGCAGCCCGTAGAGCGGGCAGCTAGGGCACTGCATCGCAGCACACGAAATGCGTATTAACAACCGGCGCGCGAACAGACGGGGGCAGAACGCACCTCTTCGGTGATCTGTGCGATCGCAGTGGTGTTGCCGACCTGGATGGTGATCGAGAGGAAGCAGTTCGGACCCGGGTAGCCCGAACCGTATTGCTGAGGCGAGTCTTAGCGCAGACAAGGAGCCGAGTGCGGACCCACTTACGTCGGAGTCAAGGGCTACGACCTGGCTCGGTCGAGATCAGTACGGAGCAGCGAACGAAAGCGCATTACTCACAAAGTCGCTAGGAACATTCGTGATGCCACAAGCACCCCTTCATAAGGAATGTCACGTCTAAGGCGGGGAAGAATAACGTCAGGATACTCACAAACCGGGATCGTACACTGTGAACTGTGCATCTGTGTAAGGACCACTGATAGTCGCACGGCGAGAGATGTCGGTAGGTGTACGACGTGCGACCTCGACGTTATGCGGAGCACGACCAAGGACAGCTGCATCAAGGGGGTTAGCAGTGACGAGAGATAGTGCAGTCGAGAGCAGCGCCCCGAGCTGGGAAGATGCGCGCATTTTCGTAAATTCTCTGGTGATACAGTACCTCGCAGCAAGGACTCGCTACGATAACAGTAGAGAATCGGGACCGGGGGAAGGTTGGCAGCGGGACCGGGGGAAGGTTGGCAGCCAACGGTGGGGGGCATACATTGTTGAAATGCATCTCTCTTGTACTGGTTCATAACGGCCACCACGTGAGCGTTGCACGCGAACGAACTTGCCTAGCCTGCATGCCGGGTCCCTGATGATCCAGGCAGAGGCGAAGCCTTGATGCGTCAATGTGCGTTCACAGCTGCCAATATCAATCCGCGGCGAAATACTAATACTAAGTCATCCCAGGAGCACACCTAACAGACCTAGCAGATGTGCAACAGAGGGCGCCAGATGCAATCGTTGCGGGAGGGTTGAGAGAAGGATGGAGATGTGGTGCACACATATACAGAGTGGGACTGTAGACATTCTGCGAGCGTGGCTCCGGCATGGAGTTATCTTCCCTGGGCACGGTGCGATGTTCAAGGATCATTGAAAAACAGAAAAGTCGGCCGTTTCCGGCCCGTTTGTGGCCACAATCAGTGCAAACGCGAAGTCAGGTGGAGTCAGGTGAAGTCGTAACAAGATGTAGATTGCAAACTTGACAATGGTCCCTGCACTTCAGTCGGGCACAGAAGTTAGGACAAGTCAGGGTGCAGGCAGCAAAGGATTCGTCAGTGAGGCTGTGGGATAGGGCAGATGGAGCGGTAAAGCGCCAACTGCGAAGACATACGAAGGTGATGGTTGTGCAGTTTTGGCCGAACGGAGAGGTGCTCGCGACGGCGGGCGCGGACCACACCGCGCGTGTGCATATCGAGTGTTCGCACAAATATGGGTGCTGCGCAGGCATGAGAACGTGATTAACTCCTTCGTGTTTACGGGTCTCCGGCGATAGAGCGCGGACGACGGGGGCGTGCACGTGGGGCCGCTGTGAAACCAGCATGCGGATGCGGTCTGATGCGGTGTGGACCGCGGTCTACTATCCAACACGGCCGAGGGGCTCGTCGAGGTGACCGACATAGGTGGCCATGTCATCCTTAACATCGAAGCCGGTGCGGGCGACGACATCAACACCGTCCCCGCGACGGAAGGCTCGCGTGCACGTGGAAAAGAAGTTGGAGAAGTGTTGATTAAGGGCAGAGAATACTTCAATCTGGGTACCTATACCTTGGTTTCCAGGGCCTGTTAGCCGCCGCGTCTCTGTAGCCTGTGTATTCATCGTAACTTGTATAAATACCACTATACCTTGTCAATAATTGATCTCAAGTTGCTTCCTAAGTAGCGACAACCCACGAAGCGCGGCGTTGGCTTGCACTGTCTGCAGCGACTGGAGGATATATATCATGATTTATTGAAAAGGCCGGAGCCGGAGAAAAACCTGGCTTTTAACACGCAATTGCAGAAACTCCTCATAAAACAGAAGAGAGACAGGCTCGACGACATCAATATAGATACTAACAACCAGACATGGTGCCACATGAACCGTGCATCCACGTAGGGACTGTTGACAGTAGCACGGCGAGGGTGATCGCTGGGGAGACGACGTGCGACCTCACCGTCGCGAACGGTATGGTCATTACAGGTGTTAGCAGTAATGGGAGGCAGCGCGATCGATAGCAGAGCTCCGAATAATACAGACGCGCGCATCTCCGCAAATTGATTGGTGAACACGCTGGTCATCTTATGAAGATATCGATGCAGCAACGACCGTACAAAATGAGGGACAATAACAGAGAGCCAGGAAGCGGGAGAGAGGGTTTCTGCTCGGGATGGAAGCTTGGACCGTTAAATTTGTGTTGTTACTCCTCTTGATAGACAAGTCACTTGCACCATGATAGACAATAGCACGCGAGCGAACCCGACTGAGTTGCGCCCCCCAATGTTCCCTGGTGTTCCACGCATTGGCGCGACAATGTAAGTGGGCGGCTACGCATCTGCAGCAAATGAAGTAGCAATATCTGGCGCTTCATTGGGGAGGGGAGGGACCCTGAGTGCGTCAGCCCGTCGTTAGACCTTCAACGTTCGACATTCAACCGTCGCAACTTAGTGCAACCCGGACGCCCATCCTCCTATGCATACATGGGGCCGAATGGGTCGCGACGTCCCTCACACCGGTGCTTGACGAGTCTGCGATGGGTGGTCGTTATTCACACTCGAGGTACTCGAGGCATTCGCTCACCTCACCAAACATTGGTATTCAGTATTCTCTGATACGTTCAGTGTGTTCGCTCCATATGGTATCCGTATCAATCCATGCGTGCCTGCCTGGTATTCTGTCCTCGATCTGTGCCGCTCGCTACGCGCCATACAAGCTGACCTGTCGTACGGTGCTGCTATCTGAAGACCAGCAGACGAGACAAAATAACGCCTCTCCAGGGCCTACTCGAGTGCTGATGAAATATCCAATCGGAATGGGCCTTATTAGAGCCGCTGGAGTATCGACGTAGACATGTTCGCACCTGGTGGTAGAGCTGATGGAGGTGAACAAAGGTAGTGCCGCGGAGGTTCAAAAAGGAGCTTTAGATTGTTGAACGACCTAGATCCCGCGTTCCTCATCTGCGCAGAGCGTACATTGGGGCAATCATTGTTGCGAACATTTGCCCGGAGGCAGACGATCTGGCCACCATTCAATGATGTCCAAGATACAGAAGAGGATCTCCATAAACGGTTGCAGGAGATGAGGGCCACATATTTTGAGTAACGTAATGAAGAGGGTGCTTACCAAGTTCTGGAGAGGGGCAAAAAAAACTTCGGGATGGCGAGAAACGTTTGCCTCTTTCCCATCATCACAGAAAAGAGCCATTCGCCTAGCCTCACGCCTCCGAGTCTCTATCGCGTCAAAGCTGATTCTGAACGACGTTCATGTTGTTATGAGCATTGTCTGGAGAGCAAATCGGGCTGTACACAGTACAGTAGCGTCTGTAGGGTGTAGTGACGGTGCCGTCACGGTATTCATTGAAATTAGCGTACAAATTACGCGACTGGTCACTAGCGCGTGGCTGTGACGGACTAGAACACAAGACAAAGCCCTCGCGAACTGACATCTTCAACCGTGGCTCGCGTGCCAGTTTCATTGTTTCTATTCCTTATATAATCTCACTTTCCTCTCTGCCCTGACTTCCAACACTGTCACCACCATGGATCACCACGCTACGCCAGCCCCGCCGGTCTTGCGCAAGAGGTACGTCGGGCCGTACGCGCTTGGTGAATCGGAAATATTCTGGAGTGAACACTACACCTATCTCGCAAGGCAAGGCTATCAACTGCGTGATCGCTACCGCCCGGACTGGTCACCTTCGTGGCTGGGTACCGAGACAAACCCAGAGGACTGCGAAGATTCTGTCATAGCTTTGGTACGTCGCGTTCTCCTGACCTCGATACCCGCCACGCTCATATCCGACCGCAGAAGATGAACTCTATGGATGCTACTCGACAAGACGGCCTATGCGTGAGAATCAAACACGTGGAACGAGGTAAAAACGAGCGCAAGGTGGTATCCTATCTCAAGGACACTGTTGAGTCTGAGAACTATGTTCCGCTCGTGGAGTTCCTGCAGGACCCTTTGCTTCCCGACAAGGACTTCATGATTTCGCTGTATCTCCGTCCCTTCTACAATCCCGGGCTTACTAATGCGAGTCATATGGTCGACTTCGTAATGCAAACGCTGCAAGTGAGTGCTGATTTTTGGGCGCTTGCGGGTGGCTCAAGCATCGTATCTTTCCTCATCCGCAGTGTCTGGCTTTCTTACATGGTAAGCAAGTAGCGCACCGGTAAGTGGCACACGGTTAGTAAACCCTTCACTCTCGTTCTGACGTGTCGGCACAGAAACTGCTGCGCCGATAATATCATGATGGACGCCTCCTCTATGTATCCCATGGGGCATCATCCCGTCCGGCTCGAATGCGCTCGCGATGGAGTCTCCGAAGCCGTTCTCACGAACTGCATCCGTCGCCCAGTCAGATACTACTTCGTCGACTTCAGCCGGGCCTCGCGATTCAGGGAAGGCGAACTCCGCCCTTATGCGCGCGTCAGAGAGGACCTGGACAAGTGTCTCCCAGAATACAAGATGGCCATCAATGGGCGACTGGACACGTTCAAGGCGGACGTGTACCGCCTCGGCAAGCTGTACCAAACCACGTTTCTCGGCGCGCAGTATCTCAGAGCGGGCTGGCCGCTCGCGAGCCTGCAGACCCTGGTGACCGCGATGATGCATCCCCAGCCTGAAATGCGGCCCACGGCGTCCCGTGCGATTGAGATAGTGCAGTACGTCTTCCGCGAGGTAAATACGACGCCGTACATGGTTATGTGGACGACGCCGCAGCCGCCTGCGATTGCCTCACCTGTGGGCATGTGGTACACCCCGCTGAACGCGTCATGGCCGACAACCTCGTCACCGAGCTGGTAGGGCGGGCGTCTGCGGGTGCGTGCGTGCCCCAATCGCTTCTCACTGTTTGTCCTCCCCTTGTCTTTGTGCCGCCGTTATCGTACTGGAGTGCGTCGACGGTGCCCTCCATCACCAGCTAGCTGCGTTCCAATTCCTACGTTCCTTCGTAAGCACTTCGTTTAATGCTCCTTCATAAGTTATCACACAGAGCCGGCACTCTGTGTTCCTCTGTATTGATTAGTCCTTGCCTGATGCTGTATTTATGCTCTGCCGATAACTTGAATGCTATCATTTATGTACTTCTGTCCCCGAAGCTTGAAGCGACAACAAGCTCAACTGATACTGGTGCGTGGCTTTCTTCTTCCGGCTGGCTCGGAGGTGCTCCCTTGTGCACTGACGGACACCGCTGGCGGTGGACCGGCGGGATGTCTGCGCCGTGCCTCCCATGTGAGTCCTTGGGCTTGGGACGGCCGGGTGGATTGAAGGTATTGGTATACCACCGCGTTTGCGGCGACCCGGAGGGGAGTATGGTACGCGGACTGCTGCAGAGCTGCACCGTGCCTTCCGTGAGGGTCCTTGGGCTTGGGATACACGAGTGGTTTCAACTTGTCCGTATGCCAACATGCCTGCGGCGGCGCGGAGAGGAGTTTGCCATGCAAACGATGCAGAGTCGTAGCAGAGACGATACGGATTTGGACTCGGATGAATTGGGGAGCGCCTACACTCGTCGTCCAACATTCAACAAGTGTAATTTCGTAACTTGGTGCAATTCGTATCCGGATGCACGTCCTCCCATACATACACGGAGCAGTGACTCAACGGGTCGCTACGTCCCTCGCACACCGGTACTTGGCGAGTCGGCGCGGAGCGGTCATTCTCACTCTAGATAGTCGAGACTCATTCTGCGTTGCGTACTGGAAATCTCTGATACATTCAGTGTACACTCCAAGGGTATGCTATCAGTCCACTTAAGCCTGCATCTGTACCGCTCGCTAAGTGCCACACAAGCCCCCAAATTGTGTATGGGCCCTTCTCGATCTCGTACACCCAGCCGTGCACGCTCCGCCCCGCAGCCCACGCGTCCCTGATTGTCTGTGCTGCAGCGAGATTCGCGATCTGCACACGTCCGTGTGGGTGTCAAGTGCGAGCGCGGTGAGTGGGGCGAGCCAGCGCGCGGGGGACATTGTAGGTGGCTCCACGGAATGGGAGGCGGCGGCGCCCCCGCACTGGGTGTGCCCTGCGACGATGACGTAGGAGACGCGGAGGTGGTCGACGGCGTAGGTGAGCACCGCGAGCGCGTTCTCATCCATCGGGTGGAACACCAGGACAAGACCCGAAGCACATACGCGCACGTCCATATGTAGGAGCACACCGCTGACTCGATATCGATGATTTCGAACATCAGAACACGACGGACCGCAGAAAACCTAGAGCCAGCGCGCGCAGGTGTCCGCCGGGTTAGTTTCGCCCCTCAGCCCAGAATCGGAAGGATGCTTTTTTTCTCTTTTGCCCCCAAATATTGTCATAGAAATTTCGGTGGAGACTTGCGCTTGACGGGTGCTTTTGCCAGGTCTCGGAGGCGGTCAAAGCTGAAGCTCTCACCAGAGTTGGCTAGGAGACGCGTACTGCGTACGCCAGTCGGTACCCGTGTTAAGTGATTGACGGCCGCGGGGAATTGTGCGGGCGGTGCAGGGAACGACGGCGATACGCGGCCCATTTGAGTGCAGGCGATGGGACCATTTAACCGGAAAATCTGGCATTTGGAAGACTCGTGCAGTCCAAGGACCATGCAGCATTCGAGGGATCCAGATACGTACAAGCATGGAGCAGGAGCCAGAGTTCACGCACAAGACCATTGACCATTCGCCGACGTTGCCTTCTGAATCGATGCAGTTTTGGTGCGGCGGTGAGGAAGAGCTAAGTGGAGCACTGAATGTTAGCCTTCACGGGACATCCGTGGTGCCACCAAAGCCGAAGCCATCGAGTATGGGCTTCGTCCGTCAGATGTCCAAGGGCGACATTTCGGTCAGTTTGGTGATTGGAAAGAGCTGGGAGTATTGTCTATTACCGGGCCTACTGAAAATTTGTTGTATCTGCGAGCGCACAGTTCTGAAAAGCTGAGAATGTGTCATCGGAGTAGAGGGGTTGTAATTAATATTAATACTGAGCTGTCCACACGCTGAGCGACCTCGTCATGTCTGACGACATGGCCCACATGGTATCTGCTCTGCCTCTTCGGACGCCGATGAAACAGATGATCAGGCAATCAAAAGTTCTTCTTGAACTCGAACATCGATCGAAACCACTCATGTTCAGCAAGCTCTGCTGCACTGGGCCTGTCCTTCGGATCCATCTCTAATGCCGAGGCCATGAATGACTTGAAGAGCTCTACTTCTTCTGGGTACCATCGTTCCCTATAAATACTGTCCAATTTCTGCAGCAAAGTCGGCACCCCCGGGTAGTCCAGACTGGACATGAAAGTTCCTGCAAGAAGGTTGAGCAATCCGCCGACAGAATAAACAAGTTCAACCTACCGTCTGGTCCAAAGTACAGCCTAGAGTATTTTCCGCGAACGATCAGATCGGAAGGCATTGGTCCAAGACGGATCATCATGACGGTGAGTTGTTGAGAGGGCTCAGCTTCACTGTCCATCAAGCTTACAGGGAGGAAAGGATCCCCTGTGATCATTTCGTGAACCTGCGATGAAAGGGAGTTAGGTGCTAAGTACGAGTAGTTTGTAAGAGACTAAGCTCACAAGGCATCCTACGTTCCAAATATCAATTTTTGAGTCCCATCCAGCGCCGAGAAACACCTCCGGAGCTCGTAGAGCCGAAGGTTGGACCATGTCGGTGAAATGTTCGTCAATCTTGTCCGCCCAGCAAGCTGTACACGGTATCGAAAATCAGACGAGGGATCCAAGAGTATGCGCAATCTCGTATACTAACCAACACCCAAGTCAGTGATCTTCACCTTAAGCTTCGCCTGGCGCTGCACATCCTCAAACCGTACAGGGATCGGCTGTGACTTAACGTAGCTGAGAACCATTCCATCGGCATTGGTTACTGATGGATAGACAACGGGAGGTATATCGTCGATGGCCTCCTGGATAAAAGTTTCTACATCATCCAGTTCGATCAAGAAGTTATCTGGTTTCAAATCTGCACAAGTGAAAATTAGCTAAGAAGCCTAGAATGCACAGAAGAAAGGTACACATACCGGTATGAATGATGTTGCTCTGATGAAGATAATCCAAACCCAAGAGCACTTGTTGGATAATGTCCTTGACTACTACAGGGTGGAAACGACCCCCTCGGTAATACTGCGACAGCCACTGCACGGACTCTCCAAGAACTTCCGTGACAATACACAGATGCGACCCATACGGGCCAACGTGGTGAAAGCTGTCCAGTAGTCGCACTACACGAGAAAATCCTGGATGTTCCGGGTGAGAGCACGAAAGATGCTGCAGAAACGCCAGCTCATGTAGCTGCCTTGCGTCGGTTGCTTCTCCTGCATCTACGAATCAGGACCAAACAAGGGAAGGAGACACAGTTAATTACCTGTCAGTATTTTTATAGCCACATGTCGCTGTGATCTAGGCGTAAAGCAACAAGTTGATATCACCGGCCCAGGAGAGAAATAAGAACCTACTGAGGATCTTCCGCGAGCCACACAGTAGAGTATTGACCCCACCCCAACTTCCGCTTTATCACGTAACGTTCATCTAGAATGTCCCCCAGGTTGGTAGGGTGATAGCCTCCCGGCACGTAGTGCAATAACGATTCCTCGTCTGGAGGGCCTTGCAAAGTCTGAGAATCCGAAGTAATATTAGACGACGACATTCTGCGGAGGCAAAGACCAATCTCAAAAGCAGCAACTCGAGTGTTGACGAGAGGTGGCAGGGAACGATACCGCAGGAAAGCGAAACGCAGGAAACCGCGCATCTATGAGGTGGTGTGTCGGTGCTTCAGTTGTGGCACAGTTCAGTGGTTTTTTTTTTGATGGACCATGGTGAGAAATGTCTGCTAAGTAAAGCACTATGGGTCCACACATTCGGGTGACCCTTAGTTAACCCCATATAAGGAATGCGGCCGATATATATGTTATATTCTCACCGCTTAGTCCATTCCACCCGAGTCTTCCCTGACCAGCCCTGGTATCCATTAGCAGTAGCAACGGTAAAGAGATTCCTGCGCACGATACAACTTGTATTCCCCCGATAACTAACCGGACTACAATTTGACGGTGTTATGCCATTAAGCCCTAACCTAGGTTTCCCGCTGGTAGGCAAAAACGTCATAGTTTGGTTGCAGCAGTTTCGCCAGCACATATTCGCCACGGCTCTGTGAGCGCAGTTGGATCTCTACGCCGGCGCTTGGCGAGCCCTACTATCGCAGCAGCAGCAGCCGTTCTGTTTTCACGTTATCACGTGCAACTCGTCGCGAAATGGTTAGGTATTCTGCACCGCGAAATGTACGAATTAATCAGCTGATGCAGATCGATGTGAGTGCCGCCCATTGCAATTGGTCGAAGGTCGGGGGACCCAGATTCGTCTAGATGGATACATAAAAGGGACTGAAGTACACGAGCGTACACAAAGCCACATACCTCTGTGGCGGCGCGCGCAGTGTCTGCTCATACTTCCTCCGGGTTTTCCAGCTTTCAAATACTCAGAATATCGTGTAGGTGCGTCCAACGTCTTGACACGAATGTCTTGACACGAATACGTCACCCGTTCAACGCCCGCAGATCATTTCGACTCCATTTCGTCGTGCTGCCCTCCGGCCTCGGAAAGTTGTTTGTCCACCATCTACTGGCGGTCACCGTCGCTGATGATGCTATACGAACCATCAGTATTTCAAAAAGGCGACGGAGTCCGCGGAGCCGAGATTCCTTTTCTTACAACAACTTCCTACCGTCCGACTCCTCTTCACGGCGGTCATGGCCTATCATCATTACAAGGTGATTCTGATCTTCTGTCCTTAGTGTCTGATGCGGATGGCGGACCTTCCATTTGATTTGTGATGACTTCTCGATAGTGTTTGGGAAATCCGAGCAGGGTGCGAAACCCAGCTGACTCGAGGTGACTTTCTGTGGCGGGGAGTCAACGGCGAGTTCCGAAGGCGCAGCGATCTAACGACAAGCCGGGTTCGATAACCCTCCGCCTCAAGATCGCCTCCCCGGAGAATAAAACACGTTTAATTTTCTCGGGATGTCTCCATTTGATAAGCTGCATATCTGAACTTTTACTGGAGCTCACTATTGTCGTAGGCTCGCCCAGCAAAGCCCAATTTCACCTTCTGGCGTGATAAGTGTTCGCGGATGTCGTGATGTCTGCATTCGTGATATCTCAAAATGGGGTGCCCACGGGGCACTTTTGTTATTGCCCTCGTTCCGCACCATCGGCGGCGAAACCACGTTCTGGTAGATGTGGTGAATATTCTGATACTTCGATGCTGCTGACATGCTCGTTCCTGTGGCCAAGATCCACCAAAAGTCATCCTAAAAGCACACTCTCCACACTGTACATCGCATGCGGTGAGGCTTCGAGCCACGGATTTTGATACTCATTGCGCGGTGTTGACATGCTTCCGCAGGCTTTATTCATATAGATCCTGACTGTATCAGAGTCACGGAACCATGCCAAGGCTCTGAATGGTTCCGGTGATCGGTAGCGACCTGGTCAAGATTTAATATCTACCTGCGTGTCTGAGTTCGTATGCCCTGTTTTTGACCGACAATCTCATGAACAAGCTTCGTGAGCATCTCTGAGCTGCAGCTTATTGTTCATTTGCTGATATGTTCTTTACTGATGTTCCGATGAGACTAGGAGCACGGATCTGTTCATTTCAATCATAGAATCAAGGAAGGAATCCGAGAAAGTCATCTGTTCAAGCTTGAGAAGGGAGGTAGGTAGGTAAATTATCGGCGTTGGTCCCATTCTGGAAGGTGATTCGACGACATGTTGACGGCGGCAGAAGTTATCCCAGATATAAAAGCCGCCAGCACTGGCCCAGTAGACCACATCGTTTTGCCAATCGCCCACTCATCCACGATCACTCTCAATCATGGCAGTCAGGCACGGTATCGTTGTCTCTATTCGTCTGGCGCAGAATATATTTCTCGCATCAAAGCCAGAGGTCGAGGAGTTTGTGAGGAGAGACATTCGGAAGGATGTTCACCTGAATTTATTCCTGGATAAGAATCCAGGGGAGTTTTCCATCATTGTTGAGTACGGTCCCTCTTTTACTCTTAGCATTGGCATGCTAACTGTATGTAAATTGAAGATCTGCTGCCCCCCACAAGGGAGATGCGTCCGGATACCCCTTGACCTCGAAAGACAAGGGCTTACACTCGACCGTCGCCGTCCAAAAGAAGACTGGGAAGGACCAACCGGAAGTGCACGTAGTCACTCTTCGCGTGCCTCATGACGAAGCTGAATACTCTAAAGCCGATGAGTATATATTTTAGTCTTGTTGGCTGCTCGCTTACTGACAAACCGTCATTAGTGGCGAGGGTCAAGGAAGTTAACGCGCAGGTCTTACAGTTTCACGCGGCTCAGTCGGCCCGGTGATACTGTCACTATTCCACCAGCAGCTAGTAGTACTAGCTGCTGGTGGAATAGTGACAGATGATATGTTGGAATGCAAAGAGGATCGTGTACTGCACTCTACTGCTTTGTACTTCGTCTGGAAATGACTCCCCACGAAAATGTTTGTTTGCCCTGTATAGATATTGGTGACCGTGACTCTACAAATGCAAAGGACATTGTGATCGAGCCATTGAGCTCTTCACCGACGACCACGAGAAGCTCTCAAGGTTGTTGTTAAACTATTCTCGTTTGTAGGAAGGGTACCACGGGCATAGACAATTAACGCCTTACGCGTTGAAGGCGGGATATTACCACCCTGGAAATGACTTTGAACGGCAGCTCGAGCACGCCTTTGACCATCAGGCGAAGCGGCTGCACGGAAACACTACGGTCTGTGGCGGCATCGACGTCGACGGTACACCTAGGGTTTAAGAAAGGAGGACAATACTTAGAGATTTATCCCTGGAATGGCAAGTGAGAACTACTCCCCTTGTGGAACCACGGAAATGTGGACCCTCAAGCGCACACAAAAAATACGAGTCTCTACTTGAGCCAAATGCGGCCCACGGACTTTGCCAAGTCGTCCTTCCAATTTCAAGTGTGACCACCCACATCGCTGAGTCCTCCACCGGCGTTGTGTCAAACCTGGAAATGTTGATTCCTCTTGGTACACCAGTGCCATCATCTCTAGGCCGCAATGCGTTGTTTGCATCTGTTTGCCGGCAGCTTCAGAATTCAACATGTGCAAATTAAACGTCACCGCGTCACATCTGGTCTGTCACGGTGGCGACTCGGAATTTCCTACGATAACTCACTTTCTACTTGGGTATTCTGTTGCGATACGGTTTGTCTGGATTGTCGACGTGGTCTCTGCTGTTGTACATCCTTCTGCTCCAAGTGTTAAGTTGTCGATGAATGGTGCGCTTTGTGTCTCGGTGCTTTGTGCTGGACTCTCGTGTCTTGGGTCAAAGTCTCGAAGACACTCTGACGTTCTGCACTCGTGGAAAACCACTGCCCGAGAAGGCGGCGCGTTTGGTCGCGGTACACCTTCCCACTATCTGTCGTTGCTTTACGGGACTCCTCATATGTGACGCTATCGGAGGTGCAGTCAAGTATCGCAAAAAGCTTGCAATTCAAGTGGCCTTGTTATGTCAGTCCGTACGTTCACTCTTGTAGGAACAAAGCGTTATGATCTTCGGAGCGTTTATCAACTGTGGGACCTCTTGGACGCGCAGCACCCGGTTTGGCCACACCAGTGGCTTTGTATCCATTTTCTATATCATCTCACATCCATACTGACATCCGCCTATCACCGTGATGGCTTTGTCCAACATTCCGCCCTCACACCATCTCTCCTCGAACGAGGAAGTCCGGAGATATGCCAAGTCGACCAAGGAAGGGATCTACCCGCTGTCGGAATCTGAGGTTGAGTGGAGAGACCGGTACGCATTCCTTGAAAGAAATGGGCTTCAATTACAACCACGCTACCATCTGGAGTGGCGCCCTTCGTGGCTGGAGACGGGGGAGAGCGCAGGGTATTGCGAGGATTCAGCTGAGTCATGGGTACGTGGTGCTCTTCTGTTCAATTGCCAACATCTTCGTACGTTACTCCAGAACCCAGACACAATGGATGCCACTCAACTCGGTGAGCCCTTCGAGATGTTGTCGATCAAGTCCGTGAAACGGAAGTGGCCCGAATTCGCAATTGCTTCGCAGTTGTCCAACTTTGCAACGGACCCTAGTAATCACTGCGTTCCTATCCAGATGCTTCTGGATGATCCTCTCTATCCTCACAAAGTCCTAATGGTCACGCCGTATCTCCATCCTTTTAACGAGCCCGAGCTTTCATTAGTGCATGATGTGATGGATTTCGTGAAGCAGACACTCGAAGTGAGTCGCGTTGCACTTTCCTTGCGAGCAATAAAGCCTGACAGACGCATCTTTCCTCATTCCTGTTTTACAGGGTCTACGTTTTCTCCACGATCATAATATTGCGTACCGGTAGGGAAAGCCACAATGTTACCACCTAAGCTCGACATACTGACACTATGATAAAGGGACTGCAACTCCAGAAGCATCATGATGGATGCCCGTTCTCTATATCCACAAGGCCACCATCCGATCAACATCAACAGTGTTCGCAGCGGATTCGATAAAGCCCTTCATTATGATCGTCTGCACCACCCAGTCAAATATTACTTCGCTAACCTAAGCAAGGCCAGGCAGTTCCAACCCGGCAGGAAGCCGTACGTGGTTTACAAAGGGGGCGAGGACATATGGCTACCAGAATGGTCCTCTAAGCTACCGTACGACGCCTTCAAAGCCGATGTTTACCACCTGGGTTCACTGTTCGAGAGTGCCTTTCTTCGCGCTGACGAGGATTTGCAGTGTCCAGATTTGCGCGAGTTCCTCGAATACTTCAAGTTCCTCGTGACTGCGATGACGTATCGCCAGCCCAAGGAGCGCATCACAGCGTCCTACGCACTCTTCATGGCCGAGAAGATCACCTCCCTTATACCCGAAGAGCATATGAGCATGACTCTCTGGAAAACACCTATTTTACGATCTCTGCACAGAACTGGCTAGACGAATACGGTATCATTCTCTACCATGACACTCCTTGTTCGTATGCTTGTATTCGTTCTCCATAGCTAATGCCATTTACGCATACTCCCATCGTTGAAGCCCACCTCTGCCACTCGGTCGCTGGATCAACCCACCGGAACCAGTGCGAGCAGCGATTTGTATGCTTCCACTCAAAGCGTGTCTTCCGACGTTTGACGCTACCGTCTGTTCGCGGAGAATAACCGGGAGCTGTCAAGGAGCCGGTGCACGGATGCTGTGCCACGGAACCAATATCAATAAGCACAATGAGGTAGAAGGTGCGCCTCGCCTTGCCGTTCTGAACGTTGTCTCCATGCGCAGTTCGTACCATACGACAACCTGTCCGGGGGTGGGGAGATCTATGCACTCAATGGGGTGTCTCTGGCGTTCGCCCTGCATGAGCAGGACCATTTATGTTGGTAGCACGGAGCTTCGAGCTACTACCCGGAAGTACTACTAGTCGGCGCGGGAAGTCAAGAATGACGGCTAGCTGAATGAAATTTACGATGGCCCGGAGCCGCGAAATTGCCAAAGTCTCCGCTTAAATGCTGGGAGCTGGGCGTGCATACTCTGGGTGAGGATGAATGCCAGGACGCGGTTTATGTGCAGCGTGCGGCGCGCAGAGCGCCTTCGGTTAACAACCAACAAAGTAGGAGTCAACTATGATCGAAGACCTACGTGCTCAGGTTGAAAGTCGCATAAGGGCTGGGCGAGCACATACCTCGGTCGGTGGACAGACCTTGAAGAAAACAGTGCCATACTCCACGTAAACCGTCAGCGCACTTCCATATAATTTACAGAATTGTTGAGACGTGGAACGAGAGGACAGGTAAAACTGTATGACACAGCCATGCGTGTATTCCAGGATACATGTGATCGTACTCGGTCTCGAATCCCGACGGCTTTAGTACTTTAGTACAGGAAGTGGGTAAAATAAGGACCCCGGCATACGCTGCAACATGTCCGATCCGGATGCGGGTAGAAGTGACCCCCAAATCCGGCCAACGTCCGAGACTAAGTGCGGGTAGAACAGGCCAAATCCTGGCACTCCACCCGATCCACTGTGCGGACATAGTTGGACCGTCGCCAGCATGTCCGATCCGGTAGTGCGGACATTTTTGGACGGCCGGGGACAACCTCCAAGCGCCTTCTCAGAGTAAGTGAATGCCCATATCCTTAACAAGCATTACGCGTTCTGACCGGGATCTTCAAGTTCATGCTTCGCGTCCACTGTCCCTCGGTACGTGGCTGTCGCTGAGTCCGAGTCAGTATGTTTTCCGCTCGCGCATTCAGGTTGAGCCAGCAAGTCTACTACTCTTGTAGTGTTCAGCATTTGAGGTGAGTAGGTTACCTCTCACCCTCAGGACTGATATACAATGACAAACCCATTCTCTTATAGTGTCGTAGCATGTTCTGCGTGTCCTGGATGATTTTTGCGCTTTTTTTGTAAATTTTTGCCATTTTTAGAGGTTATATCGGCCGTGCGGGTATAAATGGACCAAATTTGGCTAACCCGATCCGTTGTGCGGGTATTTGGGCCCAAATGGTGTGCGGACATAAGGGCCAAAATTCGGGGATTTTGGATCGGACATATTCGACCATATGCCGGGGTCCTGTAAAATACTCCAACGCGTTGTTTGCACCTATTTGCAGCCAACAGCGGAATTCAACAATGGCAAGTGAGAAGAACTACTCCCCATCCAGGGATAAATCTAAGTATTGTCCTCCTTCCTTAAACCTTAGGTTGGCGTCGACGTCGATGCCACCGCAGACTCTCCGCCGTAGAAATGAAAAGGCGCCCAATTCTGGAATCAATCGTGAAATTCAGGAACCACTGGTCTAGTAAAAACTTACAGCTGAAGCCTGCAATGTTTCTTGGCCGCAGCTCTTCGTACTCATGCGAATCGCATCCCACCTTGTCTAGCAAAGTATTTCCAAACGCTTCGTCTCTCTCTGCCCCGGAGTCCACCTCCCGCACAGGTGCCCTCGCGGCTGCCATAGAGGATGCTGCCGTGGTTGTCGAATATCCAGAAGAACCTATCGGCATTCCAGCTGCACTGTTACCCATGGATGTCCCAGCTTTCATGGAGGTTCACATCGGGGACGAGATTGGACCACAGGGGCGTTACGCTATAGTCCGCAAGTTGGGATATGGATCATTCTCAAGCGTTTGGCTCGCTCGTGATATTCAGTACGTGTGCTGTAGGGCTACAGGTAAATCTCCACTCATTGTCACTGATTTCTCTTGTGTTGGACAGATCTGCACCCTCTAAGTATGTGGCTATCAAGGTCCTCACAAGGCAGGCTACAAGGCTCGTTCATACGGGGATCATTAGAGAGGCACGCATTCTTGAATATATCGGTCTTCGCTCCAAGTTCAGGCATGGTGGGGACAAATGTATTAAGCTCTACGACACCTTCGTCTGTGAGACGGCAAGGAACGATACTGGTCCACACCAATGCTTAGTTACAGAAGTTCTCGGGATGGATCTCAATCACTTCCGCGATCGGTATCCGGGGAGAGCTCTACCATTGCCAGTATTGAAGCTTTTCTTGCAACATCTTCTGACCAGCTTAGACTTCATACATTTTGGGTGTACACTGACGCATACGGGTGAGCAAGGATAACTCTATCAATGTCGGAGATGCTCAAGCGCGATCGTAGATTTGAGGCCCGACAACGTCATGCTCGCCGCTCCGTTTTCGGACGAGCAGATCATGCGAATCCTGAAGGAGGACCCTCCTGAGTACTATCCTCCCGTGTTAGTTTTGGGCCGCGAAGTACGACCCATAGTCAGCCAGCCACTGCCAGCGCTGCAGGTGCCCATGGATCAACTGGTTTTCAAGCTCGCCGACTTCGGGCATGGTGAGACTGGCGCTTTTAGGTTGCAGCACTACTCATTCAGCCGTGTCGACAGCCCAAATCTGCGAGGAGGAAGTGACGAATGATGTCAGTCCTCGAGCGTTCCGTGCCCCGGAAGTTATTTTGCAGTGCGGATGGAACTTCAAGGTCGATGTGTGGGCCGTCGGGTGCCTGGTGTGTCGCAATCACGGTCTCTCGTCGGCCATGCTTTTTCTTGAACGATCATCTCCTTTAGACGTTCGAGTTGTTGACTGGGTCGCAGCTGTTTACCCCCGAAGGCAACGCTGCCGAAGGCATCACTGCGGACGACGATCACCTGCTTCGCATCATGAAAATCCAAGGACGCCCGTTCCCCACGGAATTCCTGGCTGAGTCCCATAATCGAGACCAATTTCTGAATGCCGACGGTGAGGGCTGCCCTGTACGGTTTACCGCTGGATGCGCTGACGCTGGCGTCCACGCAGGTACACTGATTCGTATGCCCTCAAAGAGCGATCCTAGGACGATCGCTGAATGCATACGCGACTCAAAGACTATGGGGGACTCTCGCGAGCTGGTGAATGCTGCAGCGTTCATCGAGAGATGTCTGCAGTACGTCCCTGAGGATAGGCCGGACCCCATTGAACTCTTGGAGGATCCATGGCTCCAGGGATGATTAATCGGCAGCGGGTACGTCGAGTATCGTTGTGTGCTTCGCCGTCTCTGTGTCAGTAGCGCTAGATTGGCTGGGAACGTTTGAACTGTAACCCCTGCTTTCAGGAAACTACTGTGTTTTTTCAAGCTCCATGTGCACCCAGTACATCTGCAGGGTCGTCTTTCCCTACGACACACTCGCGTCGCACCTCGCTGCATTGCCGGGAAGCGTTAGAAGCATGGTGTGAACAACGCTGGCGTGGGCGTGCGCCCCGGCATGGCGTTCAACGGAGTGCAACTGACGCACACTGCGGGTCTGAATGGGGCGCTGCTGGACGACGGTGCGCAGGCGCGAATGCCGGAGGAGGCAACTGGCCGCCGGGAGTGCGAAGACAGTTGATTCACTGAGCCCCATTCTTCGCATCAGCTATTTTTCCATCTTACTCTGCGAGGCTTTATATGTGTGCGATCCCGAGTATACAATACAGGGAAGAATGATTGGCTCTACAGGGATGTGATCCTGCACGTCCGCAAACTCTCGAAATAGGCTATACGGTCGGCGTAATTATCAACAACATTTAGAAATGGTTCGTTGAAGGCTAAACAGATTGACATCACAGGCTTGTCAGACGGGCGAGACGACGTAATCACAAGGTTTGACGCAGATGTGGTACACCTGAGTGCTTTGAGTGGCTCCTCTCTTGAATCGCATATTTCCGGATCTCATCAGCTAATAGGCTACATGAAACATGCTCCCTGCCTCCGTGCGTACTGTCTTGGACCTCAAGAATGCTATAGAGCGGATATATGGACGACGAAGATGAGAGCTGTCTCCTCATGAGGGTATGTCTCTCCCTTCCCCACCAAACTTCATTTCAAGACGTACCTGAGCGATGATATCTGAATCTAGACTCTCTTAAAAGAACTTGCCGCGATCTATGAAGATGACGAGCATTGGAGCGGTGTGTTGGATGAGCCGTTTAAGCTCACCACTCAACCCGGTTGCGAATTCTCATGGTGATATTCTACCCAGTTCCAACGAAGGAACAAATAACAAGGATGGTACACCCCGATGCCACCGGCCAGGGCCAACTTACGGAACGGCTCAAGAAGTGGTTCGAAAACGGCGCCGTCTCAGGCTTCGGGGATGCACAGGAGACCAAAGTTCATGCGAATGTCCGGGATGCACGCGAAATTCCTGCCTCGGAATTTAGTGTTTCACCGAATCTTATCGAGCAGGTTGAAAAATGCTGGGGTGACCATGTTGTTTCCGGCTCCGTGCGCGTCGAACCGTACGAGATCCATGTGTATGGCCCTGGGGGCCAGTTGAAGGCCCACAGGGATACATCGGAGACGAACCTTGTTGGCACCTTCCTCGTTGGCCTTGGCGACACAACCAAAAAGGGTCGTCTCTTCATCGGCGAGCAGATTTACAATCCCGTCGAGTACGATGGACATAAGGCGATACCAGGTAGTTGGATTGCCTTGCACCCCAACGTCAAACACAAAGTCGCGAAGATTCAGGACGGATACCGAGCTGTAATCGCATTCAAGTTCTTCTGTAAGGAAAAAGACGGGATGCGGACATCCGTTGTACGCAAGAAGATGGAAAATATCTTGTAGAGGATGCAGGCCCCGTATAGCCTGCTCCTCGCGCATGAGTACTGCACTGGAACCACGGTGCTCAGTGGCTTAGACAATATCTTGAACGAGGCCACTCACACGATTGCTCTGAAGAACTTGAACAGTCACTTCCTCCCGGTGCTCACGAAGGTCAGAGCCAAAGCATATTTCGTGGATGACATGAATGAGGTCGTGGCCGATGCCAAAGTTTATCCCTTCACTCAGGCCCATGTTGAATTGCTGCTAAAGAAGGTGAAACAGAAGGCCTCAACTCGTTACGAGTTTGAGAGCGACTCCCAGCGACGAGGATGAAGACAAACCAAATTCAGGCTCGAACTCTGCAGAAACTGAATGGCTGGTCAACGCGACAGACATTCCTTTCTATTCGGTTGCTTTCTACAAGACTGCGGTCACCTGGACACACGGCGTTGAGGAGGAGGGTGTCGAATACATGGGCAACGCAGTCAAACCATACTATGCGGAACGTGGCATCTACTTTTCCTACGCCATGGTCGTACTTCCGGATGCTGCGAGGACAGAAGGCTCGAGATGAAGATGGAAACGATGGTGTTTCAGGTTCGTATCAGAAGCGTCCCGAACCATTCCATTTATGAGCTATGCAGTTACGCAGACAGCCTGAACATGGCCTCGCCTAAAATGACCTGGCGCTCTACAATCTCATGCACGGATCTCCAGAGTCCCTTCAACTTTTAGATAAATCTGGCCTTCCTTTGACCCAAATTTGCAGAACTAGCAGTCGCTGTGGCACGGTGCCACAGAGTCAAATCTCGCTTACTATTTTGTGAAAATTGAAGCAATGATTGACAATAACGGCCCCGGCGCCGCCAACGCACCTTCATGGAGGTCCATAGGTTGACCAGAGCGAACATGGTCCTTGAACACCACCAAGACATCGACGTCCGAGCCTTCTCTCGCACGACCACGAGTAATAGATCCGAAAGTCCCAGCCCACTGAATATATTCCTCACAACGAAGACTCTCAAGCCAGACGTGTTTCATCCGTTACCGCATGTCAGTGAAAGTTGGAACTTCTGATCCGCTTACCTTGTTGGGCTGGTGTTGAACACAAAGCTGAGCCAACGATAGTTTAGAAGGGACGGTGGCGCGGTGGCTTGGGGGTACGAAATTAGGAGTAAGGTTGTGCGGAAGTCGCATCAAGACTCAGCCCGTGGTGACCGGGTGCACCCATGTAGTATTCACAGCGGAGAAACGTAAACACTAACTCTTCTTTTGCGTGGCGGTCCACGCATCTTCCTTCGTGAATGATGCTCGTGTGCTGAGAAATTGGTGATATCTGACAAGGGATTACAGACAACTCGTCACTTCTCCATCTGTGCTTCCTCAGGCCATGTTCGCCCCTCGCCCCTAAACTTCTTCAGATCCGTCCGCCACGGTTCCCAGACGTCGCCATATTTTTCCACGAGCCGTTTCAAGTCTTCACGGTTCTCTCTCTAGCATTCAGGGTCGTAAGTGACAAGCAAGACAAGTATGACGTGACCGAAGGCACGCACAAGGGTCCAGGGCTCTTCGCCTCCATACACCTCCGAGAACATATACTGCAGCTCCGGCTTCGGCAGCGCCTCCGCGCGGCGGAACGCCTGCATGAACTCGTCCTTCAAGCGCGCGAGCAACGCTTGCTCCTCGTGCGCGTTCCACCACCCGCGGCTCTCGAGGAACATCCGGAAGCGTGCAATAGGATCGTCAAGCCGCCGCCGCTCCTCGACCGCCTCGCGAGGGCGATACGCGAACGAGTCATCTGACGTCGAATGGTGGCCCACCCTGTCGTTCAGGTCCATACCTCGTCAGTCGGGCGTAAGGACACACGCCAGAGTGCGGAGACACCAACCTATACGTCATCGCCTCGACGAGCACCGCACGTCCATCACGAATGCATAGTCTGCGCGCCTCCTGCACGGCTCCATACACCGCGAGTGCGTCATTCCCATCCACGCGCACAGTGTGCACGCCGTACCCGGGCCCCCGCGCTGCGACACCGTCCCCATAGTACTGCTCCGACGCCGGCGTGGAGATAGCAAAGCCATTATTGCGCGCAAAGAACAGCGTAGGCGAAGGGATCGTCGAGGCTACACCCGAGTCAGCTGGCATACAAGAGGCTACCACGAGGAGAAAACCGCACCAAACATCATGCCAGCGTGGAAGTCACCCTCGGACGCCGCACCCTCGCCAAAGTAGACGACGGCGCAGTTGCGGCCCCTGCGCTGTGGGTCGCGCTTGAGCGCGTACCCCACTCCCGCCGCCTGGGGTATCTGATTCGCGAGCGGCGCCGAGATCATGTGGAAGTGATGTTCGCGCGAGCCAAAGTGCATCGGCATGTTCTTGCCACCTGTGCAGCCGTCGAGGTAATTCCCGCAAACATGGTTGAGAAGTGCGTCGTAGCCAAATCCGCGGTACAGGAGCACACCAAGCTCGCGGTACTGGCCTTTACGGATGCGTTGCTTAAGATAATACAAGAGAGTGAGGTACATGCAGACGACTCACTGAGTACTCTGTAGCATACGGTAAGCTAGATTAAGACAGATAGAGTAAGACTTACTCGTCGTCGGGCGCAAGAGCTGCCGCAGATCCAACCAAAGCTGCCTCTTCACCGTACTACACATCTGGTTCGTGTCAGTTTCCATAGAGGATAAGACGAGACTCACCGAAGTCATCTGAATTGCGCCCGCCCCAATAAGTTAATTGGTGTGTGTGAGTATAGATAGAGAAGACAGCGCACCCAGAAAGCAATCTTGCCCTGTCGTTGTAGATTGCACAGGACGTCATCGATAATGGGGAGATGGACCATACTGGCATAGCTGGAACATCCATCAATTCATGTCATTTAATGTGGAGTTAGCAGTGAAATATTGGACCACGTTGTTTTCGGTTTGAAGGGATTAAATTCAGGTCAGGTCACCACGCTCAACTGGAGGTTCGCCACTCAGTCACGCTCCCCAATCGCCAGCTTACAACTCGACATTCATGCGGTTACAGTTGAGGATCTATGGTGTACCCCAGAATCTTGAAGAATGTATTCTGCAAGGTACTGCGCGCAACTCCCCGTAAAAAGCCGCCGGGCATCGACAAAAATGGTCGTCTGACTGCGTTGAACGTGTTCATGCAGTGTGCCGATTCGGAGAGACGTGTACGACAGATGGCACGTTGCTCAAATTCTGTAGAACACGACATGACGCGGCAGAGTTTGTTACTCACATTCTCCTCGCGAGCGCCTCGTCGATCTATAAGCTTAGCGCTGTTAGACGCCACGAAGCGGTCTATCGTATAGGAACGCACCTCAGGCACCTCCGCACCCTCAATCACCTTTCCCGCGCCATCTAGCACACGGTACATGGGTATCTGCGAGCCATCCTCGTTCACACTGTTAATGAAATGCAGCTTTGACGTGATAGCGTTCTGGGGAGGCGGACGACGATCGCCAGTGTGATTTGCGTGCGCCTCTGCGAGCAACGAGGACACGAATCTACGCGCATGTCTTCGAGTCAATACCGGAAACCGAGAGGAGGATACATGAATCAGTGGACGAGTTGCTCGTAGCATGATGAACGATTATGGAAGAGATGTGCCGTTTGTCTTCGCCGGCTTCCGAATCGCCTGAAAGTCTCCCACAGACTTGATGCCCATCATCGCTGAACACCACTTGTTCTCCTGCAGCCTAGAGCTTGAAAGCGGCAATCTCTAGCTGTTACGTCTGCACCAGCTTGCTCTGAGACCGAGTGGGTGAACTAGAGCCGGTCTGGCATACCGTATATTCGAGATTAATCCAACGTGGATGACGTGCACGTGTGCAGGTTTAAATGAATCTGAGAGGATGATCTCGATCGTGCAACCGAGATTTCAACGTGTACACCCCCTGAGGAATAACGCACAGGTCTGATTTTTCAAGGCTCGTCAGGACAAAAGCGACTTCATACTAGCCCAACCCACTAAGTGCTTGAGACGAGGCGTAGACGTTCAGTAGTAGGAGTAAGCCCATTAATGCTTCCCCACCTTCGCACCAAATAAGAATGTTATAACTCTTTCTGAGTCATAATGGCTACCCATCAGATGATAGCGCTCTACAATGCACTGAGGCACATACGAGACATAAGGTCCAAGATTGAGGCAACCGACGGGGCCTTAAGTAAAGAGGTACACTCTGGCATATCGGAACTGCAATTTACGATTCTGCTCATCCCAAACTACATACAATCAGGTCTTCTCCACCACTGAAAACATCCCTGACAGAAACCTCGATAACGCCCGCAGCGCCATCGGGCTCGACTTCCAATTTCTTGTCCAAACTATTCGCTCCGTCAAAAAGTCAGATCCCCTCGTGAAGGCCTACCCCGACATCCATTACAATTTGCGGCAACAAAATAAACGTCGCAAGTGGCTGACGCATGAGTATAAACTTACAGTACCGATTCAGTGGGGTGATATCGCGGACGGTGTCTACGATGATATTCCTAGAATTGAGGCCGCCCTTCTTAGTGCCCTTGTTGCGAATGGAGTACCGAACCCTTGAAGTGCGCAGTGGCTGCCGTTTGAGTCAAGAGGAAGTCAGCATCCAGTTGTTTGAGGAGTGGAGGCAGTATTGGGGAGAAGCTCGAAGGAGGACAGTAACGAGCGGGATCCAGCCAGGAGATTACAAATTACACTTGTTCAGATGTAACCAAGACCGCTGGAAATGCGAGCTCGAAAATGATTGCCCAACAAAAGCAGAAACCTGCGCATAGGTCTCGGCTCTTAACTGCGAAGAGTACTTTGTATGCCCTGTCAGCCTAATAAGTACTGCTTCACAATGATTTCTCAAGTGTGACGACAAGCATCAGGGAAAACCTCCCGCGCAAATTGGTCAAAATTATATGTTAATTGTCAAGAATAGTCGAGATTCTACGTGTTCCAGCGATTATCAAGATTGTTGAGAATTACATGAAATAGACGGCCCCTGCCGATTTCACTTATTAATTCTCAACATTTCTTAACATTACACACATTTGTTACAGGGTTTTCTCTTCAATTCTTGCTATTATACATGTTGTGACAACGAATCAGGCCTCATTTACTCAATAATACAGTAGGAAAATGAGCATGTTATTAGACAGTACAAAGTATAATACTTAAAGAGATATGTTAGTCATCGAAAGGGCACTTGCATACCGCCTGGGCAAATAAGGGAGAAAAATCGCCAGCATACCATCCCATATCCTAAGAGGCCGTGAGGGTTTCGCAGTCACGTTCACAAAGACACGGTCGTTGGAGGTGCCCCCTCTGATCATACCAGCGGGCGCATGCGGGGAAAGCTCGAACCTCTCGACATAATAGCTCGGCAAAATCGCAGCCGTGGACCTCCTGAGCCAGCCGCCCCTTCTCCGTGCATCATCTGTACCGGCAGAGATGAGATCATTGGAATTGCCATACTCATTTGGCAGTGCACGATCTGATGGACCAGGAGGGGAGCCAGGGGGCGGGTGTGCATAGTCATAGTCAACGGCTTCGAGGTCATATATTCCTGGTGTGAATTGTTCGTGCGCAGATGATGGCTCGAGGTCATTGTACGCAAGGGGGTGGTAACCGCTGCGGGGGTTTATGGGGTGGTGCGGGTCGACTCCAGCGTCCGACTAAATTTGATGTGTTGAGGGGGGCCAGAGTTGGAGCATCCATAGATGCCCTGCATTTTCATTTTACTAGTAACCAAGTTAGTCTTTCAGCGAGGCACATAGAATGTAGTGACGCGCCTCGAGTGTTGCCCTTGTGCTACTACACAATACTATGCCTAGCATTGCGTGCCAATATCAGCTTTGTTAAATGCATCCGTGAGGGGTGACAGAGAAAGCACGTACCATAGAATAAGTGTTGCGGGTCAACAAAGACGTGAATATGAAGCAGAGAAGACGGACGCTGCAGTGAACCAGTGCTTGCTCTTGTTTGGTCCAATCAACATCATCACGTGCCGTTGAACTTAGCAATTCCTGGGCGATGACTTCAACTCACCCTTGCAAGTTGCATCGTCACTGGTTGATCACCTATACCCCATATCCCGCACTTATCTCGCAGCTCATATCTCCTGCCTTGCCTGGCATCTCCCCACCTTACCTGCCTCGCTGACTGCATCTGTCCAGCCTCCACATGTCATCTCGCCCTTGCATCTTGCCTCCTCCATCTCTCTCGCCTCATGTTTTTGTACACCTTGCATCTGCTGTCCCGCATTCTCGCCTGCCTCACGTTCTTACCTATGCTGCTCAGTTGGACACATCGGCAACATCTAATACACCATTCGGATCGCTTCAAACCAGCTGCTGCATTTACAGCCATCTTTGCTGAGTGTCGAGCCGGTGCTGTTTCTGCTTTTGCTGTGTGATCATGGTAAGCACTGGTTCAGCTGATGACTCTCTTCAAGAGTGTTCTGGAGGAACTGTTTTCCAAGATCCCAGTAGAGTTTCTGATTAGCGTACAATTTACATGTAATTATGAGGTTTTCAAATCAGATTATCATTGAAGTCGAGATATTGAGTGACTTTCCTCAGTGCACGATGCACTTCAAATTTTCTCGTTCTTGTGAATTATCTACAATTATCATACATTTCTTCACAATTGTGCTGGGTGGTTTTTCCTGATGTCATTGAAGTTGAGAAATTAAGTGACTTTCCTCACAATGCACTCCAAATTTTTTCATTCTCATGAATTATCCACAATTATCATATAATTCTTCGCAATTGCGCTGGGAGGTTTTTCCTGATGGCCAATGACCAGATTATCGTAGGATATCTTTGTACATACTATCATCGACTACACCGCCTTCCTCGAACGTATCTGCGAGTCGTTTGGATGCAAGCATATGCCGTATATAGGATCGTCCACCCACAGCGCACCCAGCATCAAACAACCACATGGTCATCGAGGTCGGCTGGAGCCGATCCCATACCTCTTTCCAAACTGGTGCCTCCCCCGTAGTGACGTCCAAGTCTTCATGAGAAAAGAGGTCGCGAATTTCATCGGCATGATCAAATGCCAGTGAGATGAGCAGAGTCCGAATAGGATGGTGCGATGGCCGAATATCCAATAACTCAGTGATCTTCCTGAGTGCTTGAATGCACTTCTGTTGTATTGGCTCTTGCTCTGGTCCAATGAAATTCTGAATAAACTTAAATTGGTCCAATATGGGCAGCAACGGCACGATGCGTACCTCATATATTTGTGCCTGGGCAACTTGCTTCTTAATTTCTTCAACTGCTTCAGATATAGAAATCGAGCCTTGTGAGACCATCGTTTAGGAAGATCATCGCCTCCTGGCGGAGATGTTCGACGTCCCGACGATTTCCATAGACGGTATGACTCGAAAGTAGCGCTTCTAGGCGGACGTGGCCCCAGGCCCAATCTGGTCCTTGGCAGATGCACAGGAGCGAAACTTCACATCCACAAGCCTCGGCAAGCCCTGAGAAGGCTCAGACAAGAACATCGAGATCCTGCAAAGCGAGACTCACGCTCTTCAAGATCTACAGGTTCGCCTGATCCGCAATGCTCTTTCAGTACAATGCAGACGTCGATGTCGGATTCTTCGTGGGCATGATTACGTGCCACTGAGCCATAGATCCCCGCCCAGAGAATGTCTCGTTGGTCGTTGTTCTGCCAGACAGGAACCATGCGTTCTCGCATTTTACCAAAGGTTGGAACAGACATAGTACAGTGTTTACAGCTTGAATGATTCCCTATGTTGCGCCTGGACTTTGATGTTTACTCGGAATATATAGTGCAGGGCCCCGGGGGTGACTGAACCACGAAGCGGAGACCGACTAAATGAGGCAAGGGTAAGTTTGCGTGGAATCTGCATTGAATGCGTTGTGATTGAACTACGATTGAAGACTTAGAGTCGCCCTTCACCATAAGATGAAGGTCTCTGACCAGGCACCAGCAACAGGTAGGAAGAGTGGACTTGAAAAGAAGAGCATTGGAGTCACTCGGTTACGATTTGGTTACAATGGCACCATACTGCAAGAACTTACAGATACATATGCCTATTCTTCCTTTCTTAAACAATAGTCACGGCTAACTGTGAGCGCTGGAATCGTTACCTCGTTTAAATTAACGATCACGCTCTTCAGCGACACGAAAATTCATCCACCGTACATAATTTTTGCTACGAGTATAACAAGGATATAACAAGGACTTTGCCACCCCTCCAGAGTCCCAGTCCTTACTACTGCCAGCGATGCGAAAAACTTTTTGATTCTCGTCGTTACTTTGTAGTACTGTACGTGGCCTATTATCGCTTGCACTGCCCCTGACCTAAACAATGCGGCTGTGGCACTGCAGATCTTCGACTCCGCAAGGTTTGGAGGAACATACTCATCCATGGACGAAAACAGCGGTAACCTCGCGTTATGGTTTCAGAACAGGAAGACGTGACGGATCACGGGAGAGAGCCGGAGAGAAGTGAAATGACATCTATGAACGTAGATGCATATCAGAAGGGTGAAGCGAGCCGGATACGGGTCACGATGGACTGCGCCATCGGCGATAGAAAGTAGTCTATTCGGACGCACTTTATCGCTCTTCCTGTATTCTGAGCATTATTATCGACAATGAGTACAATCATTCAACGACTCTTGCAGTCCGCAACGCTAGCGAACTGATTCTTGCACACGACATCTTATGACATTTTCTACACAAGGCCGGACATTAGTAACCGACAAAGTCAGACTAAGACGACTAACGAATGCAAGTGAAACCGAAATAGTGTCACCTTCAGTACCGTGTATAAGCCTCCCAAAGACTTTGGGAAACACCGCACTAGATTTCTGAGGACCAAAGGACCTACGTATATTGGAGCATTTCAAATGATCCTGGAGTTTGACATTTAAATCCACTCTTATGGGCTTGAAGACTGCAGACATGGAGGTCATCAAGCTCTGCTGAAAACGATAACTAAAACAAGTAACACGACCCATATCAATTTCAATTTTATGCCCTATTCCAACCAGACCTTCAGCATAGCATGAATGGTGAAGATAACAGAGAACTTACTGGGTAGTTGTGCAAACTATGTCACGAAATGTCTGAGGCGATATATTCCCTCTCTCGCGACTGCAATGGTATCATATACCACACGCTCATGGGTAGTTTCGTCTTTTCTCCAAAGGTGCCAGCATAGCAGAGGACCGTCCAAATTGTGGCGAATACCTTCTAGCATAGCGAAAGCAACTTCGGCTGTTGGATGCCGATCTGGTTGGTGGGCTGTCATAGCTTGCACCAGAGGCTCAAGAAAGTCAAGACCTAGATACGTCTTCGATTCGAACATGTTAGAAGTTTCAATAACGAAGTCGATTTGTGCTCACCTGGAGAAACTCCTTCTTGTAAAGGTTGCCCAAGACAAAGATATCTACCTTAAACGCATCGTACGGCACCTCCGAGGACATCTCTGGCAGCTCCTTGTCTCTTCCTTCTCTGCCAAGCACATACGGAGATTCTCCCTTTCCGATCAGTGAGGAGATGCCGAAGTCTATGAAGTAATATCGGACAGAATGATCTGATCGAGATAGTGAAGACAACATGAAAATGCCATCTGGACTTGCCTCCATACGAACAGGATGGTGGCCCCGAGGATATAATGAATGACCATCCATCATAATATTTGCGGCTGCACAATCCCATCAGCAAAAGGGTTCCCAGGCTGTAGTGCCCAGCCAGACTATGTACCACACTGATGTCGATGTAATGCTACAGAGTCTAGCAGGATGCTACAGCTATCTACTGTTGTCAATATACCTTGCGCTGGTACAACAGCAGTCTCCCACGTCAATCATACATGCCTACATATACTGGTGTACACTACAAAAACAAACTTCAAACTTGCAACCTCGATGACTGGGACTGCCACAAGAAGCATAAGAAGAGACATACTGTAGTTCTGAGCATAGAGCCCTGTCGCAACATCAACATTACCTGAGTTCACCTCTCAGTGGGAATTCCCACAAGCCCCATATGTATATATGCTGAATTAACACTGAGTACTTGCACTCACGAGTTGCCAGCCTCGAGCTCAGGCTGAGGGAGAGACTTAGCGCTGCTGGACGATCACAGAGTGGGTGCACGTGATCTTGTTGAAGGCGCCAAACAAAGCCCACAAACAATGTTGAACTTGCGCTTGTTGAATCCTTCCCCTTGCATTCTCCTTGTCTTTCTCTCCTCTTTCTCTCTTATCCTTACTCAGTGCGCACGAGATGCAATGAGCAAAGATGAGTGACAAGTATTTACTGATACATTCTGATATTTGCGGATAACAGTCTGTCAGGCTTCTGGTGCTCGAAAGCCCGAAACTTCTCCCCACTGCCGCCCATCAACATTTTCTTACCATGTCTACCAATGTTCCTCATACACTTAGCTCAACCTGTCTGACAAGGGTCACTGCCCGTCCCTGCCACTGACTCTTGCGCTTCGACCTCTGCAGTGCGACAGCAGGAAGTTCAGGCACATCTCTCCACTCGCGAGATCTCAGCAAGAGGACGTACCAGCATTGCCAGACGGCGAGAACAAGCGGATGCACGAAGACGGTGAGGGAATTTCGTCCTCGCACATGGATCCTTGTAACTCTGACTTGACTCGACTTTCCTGCCATGTCTCCCGCCTCCGCAGTCTATCCTTGACATGTCCCTCCAGCCTCCGATGACATCCTGGCACTCTCGACTGCCATCCTCAGCTTGGACGTCGCCCGTGATCAACTGCATGCATGGCTGGTGCGCAGCTGTCATTCACGGCCGGTGAGTGTGTGTATTTTCCTGCTTTCACATACAAGGTCAGTTTGAATACTGTGTACTCCAATGGGGTGTTTCGGGTAGAGCTTTGGAAATATACTCATGGGGGGGTCACGACACTGTCACTCATCTAGCCTTGGATGTGCGGCTGCACTCCACATTGGGTCCTGGGTATCTTTGAGTGGGTACTCATGCTGCTGAGGCTTCTGGCTAACTGACAATCGAAAGCAGAGCGACATGTGGTGCACACTGCAGGTGTACCTTATGCTCGAGCCCGACTTGCCCCTCACGGAACTCTCTGCGAGGGGCAAGTCGACGGCAGACATGCACCAGGAGTACACAGACCCTTTCCGGCACAGGTATGAACCACCTTAGTGCACTATCCCTCTGGCTGACCAGTACACTGCATATACAGGTATGGCATTCAGAGTGTGTATCAATGTAGTGTACAGCGTGTGGGGACAGTGACTACCAATATATTTAATTTGGTCTTTATCTATGTTTGTCTACAGTGCACTATACAGGCTATAGTATCATGGCAACCCAACGACAACCTTCAATTTTATCATGCAACATTGTTTGCAAGTCTTGCTATGTTGCACTACAGAGCTTAAGCAGGTACTACAGAATACTATGTATAGGGGGACCTGTGACAGCGCTACTGTGACTATGTAGCCTATGTTGCACTACAGTGCTTGTGGACCTTTTACTGATGCCCTAATTTATGCTGTAAGTGCTTTGGAGGGGGTATGACATAGACCATTACTTATCGATGCGCAACACCTTGACCATGTAAGAAGCAAAGCCCCTGAATAGAGTTGGTAAGTTTCAGCCACAAAGTCTATAAGAAGACAACCTCAAGTGTTTGCCTCATGAATTCAACCACTTCTCTGATAGCACCAAATTCAGGGTCGTTGAATGGTCGCACGTATAGCATAATCAGAATAGATGCCTTTGGGTCAATCGGATCTGGGAGGACGTCTACTATGGGTACGCAGTGATTCATAGGGTGCGAACGAAGCTCTGGACTCGACAGATACTGCGCAATGTGAACTTCATCCCCGCCTTTCTCCATGCTCTTCAGGGCCACTAACCCACAATCCGCTTCTCGTACTGCATCAATGATATCATGAACCTAGTTAGATAGAACACGATTTATTCTCGTTTCTACATTTGTCAGTAAAATGCACCACCAGAGAAATTGAATCCTCGCAGAAAGCAGGGGTGACATTCATCTTTAGCCATGATGGAGACCATTCTGGTCTGTATCGTGGCCTCAGAATGTATCCATTCTCTTCTAGGTATGGCTGACGATCTCTCCAGAATATTTCATTGGGAAGAAGGACGTACAAGCCTTCCACAGTGACCTTTGCATGAAGTCGGGCTTTCTCCGGTGTACACAATGTCCAAGACGGAAATTGTGAGACTGAGCGTTTCATCAGGAGATCGGTAAGTAACCCTTGCTGGTAATCGGTACAAAGTTCCAGCCAGAAAAAAAACTAAGAACCGAGTGAACTCACTGAAGAGCAAAGCAAGACCGCATGGGCCAGTGTAGGACACGTGCGAACCAGATCGTACAGATCGTATAAGGAAATTCTCTACATTGCATCACACGCCTCTACAGCATGTGCAGAGACTTGCGAACCTTCAAGTACCCCGAGGAAGAAAATGACTACACAGCCAATCCCCCATCGTCACCCATCTACGTGCGGGTCGTCCTGTCTTCGACCAAGCTGTTTACAACCTGCCAGTGAGCTGAGATCAATCATTGGCGTTGTTACTTCCACCACACCCAAACCTAAGTTGCAGTTACATATTTATATGAAGTATGGCGACTGTGTTTGATATTCTTGGTCTCGTATTCGGAATCGTTGGTTTTTTGTGATCTATCCCAGTGTTCCTTGCCATTGTATTGTCACAGCTTCCGTCCCAGAAGTTAAAGGAACTTAACGAGGTCCTGGTCGAAACAGAGGCAATGTGGCATACCATCCTTGAAGCAGGCCTCTTTGCTGGAAAACCCTTCAAGGAGAAGACTACACAAAAGTTGTCATCGTCAGTCTTTTCACTTGTTTGTTCTTGTGCTATTGACAGGGTTGGATTCACTACTCCTCTAGACTACGTTGTCGGGCCGATAATCTCCGACTACAAGCTCACTGCGCAGCTTCGATCTTCCAGGAGATCAGAGCGATGTTTGGAGGTCTGTCGTGGAACATTTCCTACGTATGTCTTGGAGTCAAACACCTTCGAGCTGATATATCGGTAATGGTTCCAAACGACTGTGCTCGGCTCCAAGATGCTGATGGTGCCGTGTTAGTCTAGCACTGCAGAGGAGAAAAAACGAATGGAAATTGAGATAACTATAGCACAGGATCGACGGAAAGCAGGTGACCACCGTCTTGATACTCAAAATTTTACCGATTGCTGATACCACTAGCCGTAGCTCCAACGTAGTCAGAAATACTGATGGCTGCTGAGGCCAGCAACATTCTCAATAGAGAGTAATCAGAACCATGCCAATATCCAGAGGCGCACGATGCTTACAAGCTTTCCCTCACGCTATCTTCTATCATTGACTGCCATGCCTCGAATTCAGCTCACTCACTGCATTTTTGCCCCTATGTCTGGGTGCAAGATACCCCCATGGATACGTGGTATAACTAGGACCTGGGCTACACCGCATAGTTCTGCATATCAACCCCCAAGCTGGGTTACCAAGCTTCAAGTGTATCTTTCACTGTGCGATCCCCTGTAGTGAACAAGGTGATACGTTGGCTATGCCGCGCAGCACGTAGTCACTAGCAGTCTAGAAGCTACAGCATACACTTCCTAGGCTACAAGAAATATCAAACTTCAGCTATATTGGCGATGCTCCATGGCTACCATCAACAACACCCATCTATTCCATTATATACTAATAGTAGATACTCCTGATGCGCTCACATCCCCTACTGCATACCTAATCACACCTGCAACAGAATAGACTTTGCATGTCGATCTTCCGATGGGGTTTGCGACGCAGTCTGTTTCTCACATACCTGTCACGAGAGGTGTCAATGGAGCATCCCAACTTTGGACAAACACAAGAATTGTAGAGCACATCGCATGTTCAGCCATGACCCGAGAGACCAAGAGCATGCAGAGACCATGTCATGGAGATAGAAGGCAACGCAGCACTCCTCGCTCTTAAGGTGATGGCAACGGCACGCCAGAAATATGTTTAGACAGCGGTCAACGGGCCAGTGAATCTGTGGATGGAAGGGCGCGGAACCAGCATGTAGTGTATGCCAGGTGAACTTGACCTTGGACACGATGATGCGCTTGGGCCGATGGAGGCCTGAACTTAGCACTAGTTATATGTACGTCAAGCTTGAAATCGCTACGTGGAATAGCCAATGTAGCTGATGCAAGGTACACCAGAAAGCCTGTATAGAAAGGAGCACAGTGATGTAGTATAGCTCACGTAGCAGATGGTCGTAGATAAGTGAGATCGTGCACCAAATGCGATGCATAAGCTATGTGGGCTAGCACACATCTTTCACATCAAGATTTATGACATAGCAGTGGGGGTCACAGCTATGTTCGCTATCTGCCCTACTCCGCCTATCTTCACATTGCGACTTCGGCTACCCATCAAACTATGTATTCTATCTGGCATAGCCTATTCGTAGCAGACCCCCTACTAGAACGGCAAAAACACAGTGACTGTAACAACAACAGACTGTGGGATGACATTGACCACATGCACAGCTATGACACTCCAGATAAGACCTCTACCATAGTCGGTGATGTATTGTGCAGTGGTGATGCACCAGATCCATGCACCACAGAGAGCAGGGGCACTTCAACTTCTCAACACGAGATAGGGAGCGCTGCAATGCTAGTCATCTGTAACTCTATCACCACTAATCTGGCTCTCCATGGAGAGAGATTCAAGATTGGCACCTTGCCCTATGCCACCTCTATTCCTCATGCCGAAGGATCAGATGGGAACAACTCACTGTCTGATCGTTCATTCGATATAGATGCTTTGGACGGTCGTTCGACAATATCATCTACTGGACCTACTTCTCCCTCTATATTGGTGTTCCCTCCTAGATTCGACAATGTGGTAGGCTGCCCTGCACATACTCCATCATCACCAGGGAGCAGAGAGCAAGTTGCTGTGGACTTGTCATTGTCCAATGTGGCACTACTGCGCCAACTTCGTCAAGTGAAATGAGAAGTTTTTGCGCGGGGACTGGGGTCTCACATCCTCACCGTCCATAAGAATCACAGCCACGTTACACCTCGTAAGAAAGGCTCTTCAAGCAGATCCTTTCACCAGAGCTGCTCGGCTGGTCCTGGCGCAGATGCGCGAGTGGTTTCCTGTGAGATGGTGGATTAAGATGTAGAAGCATACTGGGTGGATTGCTGTGACAATGAGGGGACCATTTGCACCGATGTGCAAGATGTCTCCGAGTTGGTCTGAGTATTTACCCCAACATGACTGGAGATTACATTTTCAACGACCTTCGTATGCTTCCCATTGTTCAGCCTATGCACAGCTCCTGGTATCTATTCGTTATCTGTGACTGATGAACTCCTTCGCATCTTTAAAGTAAGGGCACACACGTAGTTATAACCCACTGCTCATTCTGTTTGTGCAGTTTTTTTATACCATTCAGTACAGCATCGTCTCGCATTGTGCGAACAGTTAGTGGATCCATACTACGGATGTGGGACACAAGACGGCGTTTCAGCCACAAGCGCGTCCCTCGTGATCACGTGATGGCGATCAAGTCAGAGCGGTTCACCTTTGTCTGTTTGGATGCTCATCGACATCTTTGGAGACTCCATATCTTCGTACAATATTTGGTCGATCTTCACCACCCTCCGTGCTGCTACCCTGGAGAGATGTTCTTACGGAGATGTCCAAGCTTCTTCAAGTTGCTGGAGCTGAAACCACCTGACAACTTACGGAGGTCATCCTGAGCCGCCACAGCACTATTCACTGACCATGACACCCGGCTAGAGTGCACTTCATATCACTTCCTTGGAATTATACCGAAAATGCCCCCACTTCACCCACTCATTGACTGATTGCGTTTGTGTCCGCGAATTTAGCATCCTGAGGCTCGAGCCTCAAACCACCAATACATGAGTATCTGCGCGCCCTCCTCGTTCACACGGTCAACGAACCGTGGCTCTCAGGCGATGGCATCTTGCTGAGCTCGAGACGGACGGGCGATCGCCGCGCTGTGGGATTCATACAGCAAGCTGCGAGGGGGAATCCGGGATCATGTCTCAGGGTCAACGATGCGCTCCGACAGGATGGTGCATACAACAATAGAAGAGCAACTTGTACTAGCATGATGAAGGCTCATGGAAGAGATAGCCGGCGCTAGTACTTCACCGCCGACCGCTCGCCTACAAACCTCCCATACATGTAATCACTGCACACTTTAATCGACAGTTCAACTATTACACCACCTCTTCACCAACTTATTCCGAGAACTACGCGAGGTATGAATGACAAAGGGAGACCAGTCCGGCAAACACGTATCCATAATTACACCAAAGTAACGACGACGATCGCATACACTGCACCGATATCTGAGAACATGATCTCGATCACATCGTCCAAGATTTCATGAAGCTACCACATCTACCCTTCCAAGAGCCGAGACATCACGTAGTACTAGTGCTCCACGGACCGAAGACGGGGAGCATGCAGGCCGCGGAGACGTGTACGGTCTGTCAGGACGGACAGCGACCAGCGACCACACGGACGACACCAGCGCCGCCCAGCCTGCCAAGTGCTCGAACGGGGAGGGGGGGGCATAAAGGATCCAGGACACTGTACGGGCCAAACAATGAGGAGAACGATCCACAAGAACAGCAATCGAGCCGCCAAAACTCAGCACCTCATCACACCAGCCTATCCATGGTCCTCTCCGCACGATCCCACGCGCACCCAAAACGAGACGAGCAGCACCACATCCACCGCCCAACCGCCAACGACTCAGGCCCCATTTTCAGCGCGACGAGCCCCGACTCCCAACCCGTCCGACCTCCCTCCCCTCCCTCGCCCGCCCGCGCACGCAATACGGGCCCTCAACATCCTCGCCCTCCCCAAACCCAAGCTCGCGAAACATACTCCGCCAATACCGCACGTCGCGCTCCGTCGCCTCCGGCGTGGGCCTACGCGCAGGCACGGGCGGATCCGGCGACGGCGTCGGGTACTGCGGGGCGGGCAGGCGCGGCGGTCGCGGCGACGCGGCGCGGATGTCGCGGGGCGCGTAGTCGGAGGGACAGCGGCGCGGGCACGGGGGCGGGAGAGCGGTGTGCTCGTACATGTCGCGCGGGTAGGCTGCGTATTTTGGGGTGCAGCAGCGTGCGTAGTAGGACGAGGGGCCGGGGGTGCACGGGAGAGACGACGCGCTGCGCTCCACGCTTCGACGGTACGGAGAGACTGAACGGCGGGCAGGTAGACGATAGGCCGATGTCTCGGGAGGGGGAGCGCGCACGGGGTAGGGCGATCGCATCTCGCGGCCGTCCACTTCATCGCGCTCTTGCCACCGATATGCGCCGTACTCTTGCGGATACGGAGTAGTAGAGTTATGGGCTGGAACAAGATGAAAAATAGTGCGTCAGAAAAAAGAATCCACGATAACGGTAAATAGCATACCTGGCACATTGAACTCCTCGCATTGGCGCTTCCGCTGCTCCGCCCGCAAAGTATCATCCCGCTGCCCATGTTCCAGAAGCAACCGGCGCAAGAATTGTGCTTGGTGCGCCGCAGACGCAGACGTCGGCATGAACTCTGCAGCATCGCTATACGCCTGAGCGGTCTCAGCAATCAGCGCATGGACCTTGCCCGCCGCGCCTTCCTCCAGCTCCCTGGACGTGTTCGGGCTCCGGAGAAGCTATGCCCGCATCGTCAATCACCGAAGAACAAAGCAGGCGCGAGACGCACCTCAAGCAGGAAGATCGCAGAGTATGTCATCATGACCGTGACGTTATCCTGAGCATAAGGCTATAGTGGCTGTCAGCGTCAAGTCATACTTCGATACACGATGGCACTCACAAGCACTCTCATCTGGGCAAAGTCTTTGCTTACAATCTCCAGCGTCTCCAACGCGCTACTATAGCACGCATCGAGCGCCTGCATATTCGGGCGCGCAGGACTGGACGAGCGCAGGGCGGTCTGCACGCCGAAGCTATTGAGGAACAGCCGCACATGGAGCTGGAAAAACCTGAGGAACGCAAACTGGAACGGCTCGCCACCCGCTACGAACGCATCATCAGACCAACAATAACCCAACCCGCATCAAAAGCGACTCACCCAAAGACATCCGACCCCGCCAATGCTTCGCCCAGTGGTTCAGCCGCTCGTTGCTATCCCGCAGGAGGATGTCACAGTCGACCCGCCCGCCGCGCGCATCCTGGTCCATCATCAGCGCATCCGCCGTATCGCCCGAGATCCGCCGCAGCTCCACGCACGCCGCGACGATCACGTCCTCCCTCGTCACCGGCAACAGCGTCTCGTCGAGCCACGCGCCCGCGCGGCGCACGAACTCGCCCTCGGGGAGCATCCACTGGCGCCCCGTCTGGATGCTCAGCGAGCGGTCCAGCACGAACAGCACGAGGTACGTCCGGCCCCTGTTCCGCCTCTCGCGCGCCTCGCGCTCCGTCTCGCGGTGCGGGGGCGGGGCCGGCGGGCGGTTCAGCCCGAGCTCGACCGCCATGCGGCACGCATAGCCGATGTACGCCCACGCGCGCCCATCCGCGGGCTCGTGCCAGTACGTGAGCGCGACGAACGCCTGCGCGACCTCGACGCCCGCCGCGCCTTCCGCGAAGGCGCGCACGGCGTGCGCGTGTGCGAGCTCCGCTGCGGCTGCGTGTGCGCCCGGCCGGAAAAACTTGCACCCTGCCGCGAGAAGCGCGGAGAGCAGGAACGGGGAACGTGCTCGCAGGAAGGGGAGCGTGTGCAGCACCGGGTCGAAGAGGGCGATGAATGGGTTCAGCCGCGCGAAGAGCTGCGCCAGCACCGTTTCCGCCGTCGCCTCGTCCAGCAACCCTGCTGAGATCGGGTCCGGTAATTCTGTAGGAGGAGCCAACCGCAGCAAGGCCGACGGCCCCGGTAGCTGGCACGAACCCTCCTCGGTCGGATTCAGGATGGTCTTGAAGTATGACGCCTTCCGTTGGGTGTCGGTCCCCTCTTCATCGATGTATTCTTTATCGCCATCCGTTCCTTTGAGCTCTTCACGAGACCGCTTGCCAAGAACAGCTCCTGACACCTGAGGAGAGGTATCGGGTTGCGGCAGCTGACTTTTCGCATTGGGGAGCCCTTTTTCCAGGCGTCGGAGCATCTTGGAGGATTCGGAGAGCCTGAAGGCGAGACGTTAGTAAGGTCCCACAGGTATCCAGCGCGAACTGCCAGCCGCAGGCGACATAACTCCGGACGCGCGTCCAGCCGTGGGGAATGCTCGCGTCAACAGACGCACCATTCGCACACGCACTAGCACTCGCACGGTCGTGCGGCCAGTCGATACGGGAGCAGCAGTTAGACGCAACGACCACTCACCCAGCACCAGGTTTGCGCCCCCGACGATGTTGCTCAAATACGCAGCTGAAGAAATTTCAAAATGGGGCTGCGGAGAGGGGACAGATAGGACACTGACTCGGAGCCATTGCGCTCGCAACGATCACACTTTTTGCCGATGGAGTCGTCGCCACCGACACATTTCATCTAAACAAGCCGATTTGTACTGGAACATGCTGCCAAGGAATGATGCACGCACCTTGACACGTCTACATGACATGCATGCTCTGGCGCCGCGCGGCTTTGGCCTGTATGAGCTCAAACCCTAAGTTTAAAAAGTGGCAGAAATAAGACTAGTTACTGACGCGGGCTCCTTATGTTCTTCTTCGTGATCTGTCTGCGGCTCAGACATGCCGTACGGATGTTGAAAGGTGAACTGGTGCTTCTCCATGACCGGCGATTGTGGAATTAATGAGGCTGGAAACGTTCACAGATTCGGGGTTCAGAATATTGCTCGGAACGGAACGTCGACTTGTGTATGCTGAATGAAGAATAAGCGGAGGATGAGAGGTGAGGGGAAACGTGTGATGTGCGCAGGAGGACAGTGGCGATGCTCTTGTTATATAACAATGCAACGCCCGCGGTCTGTAATTAGCGTTTTGACGTCAATCTCACACAGCTCAGGGGAATGGCATGGAGAATTCTCACATTCTCAACGGGCCCCTCGCAAGCCCGAGCTATAAGGTTCTAGTGACAGTATTTACGATACCTGGGATACGTACGTGTGAGACAAAACGACGGAAGATATTTTAAACCATCGAAGCAGACATGAGAGTCGCGCAGGTAACTGGCGGGGCGACAGACGGCCCTAAGAGAAACCAAAAAAAATCGAGAAGAAGTACTCACGTTCACCACGGGAGCGCAATCCTAGTCCAATAAGTTTGATATGAACGCTGTCGCGCGATATGTAGTGGAAACAAAGTGGGTGGCGCAATCTCAGCAACGTGTGGATCTGTCCTGCGCGATCACAAGGCATTATTGGACATACCCGTGCGGAAGGGTTCAAACATGCATGCGGCTTCCTGGGACGGAAGACTTACCCGTGCTGTAGAACGTCTCTTCCGCTGATTGCTCGACCTACTGCCGTCAGTCCGAAAACCAACGAGGCGATTGTGAAATAGGGATATTCTGCTGGAGCGGAACGGGTCGAAGCTTGGGGCACGATGATAAAGGGTGTTTCTGAGATGCTGATTGAGGGGGGAGGACAGGGGGATGCGAGAGCGGACGGAGGGGAGGTCATGTCCTTCACCGGCACCGGCGTCTCGGTCGGCATTTGTAGTGGCCATCCAGAAAAGGCAAGGAGAGTTCACTCCGGCGTCCATTCGTCGTCCCCGTGCGGGCCCCCTCCCACCATCACCTCCGGCCACGCTCGGCGCGCGGCATGCCACCATTACCTCCATCTGCCTTCGCTGCCGCTGCCAGCTGCTCGGCAGACGTGCACGATGACCTGGGGAAGCGCGGAGAGACGAGCGCCCACCGAGCGCCGTATCCGCGGCAATCGCACAGGGACCCCCGGCCGTTTTGGTACCGGCTGACCTCTTTGGCTCCGGCTTCGCTCCTCCGGCTTTCCTCTGGGTGCCCGGCCCCCGGCCCTCCCAATCGGGCTTGCCCGTCTCCTTATGCGACGCGCTTTCTCTGGTGGCTCCTCGCACGTTTTCCCGCGTCACTGCTGTCATGTCATGCATGCCCTGGAAAACCGCGCCGAAACCTGCAGTCGTGAAGCTTAAGACCTTGTCTGGATATGCGTAGGCCGTTACATAATATCCTGACCAGCCAGTCGGACTGCACACATTACCGTATTCCAAGCGCTTTAAAGATTTTGTTAGCCATTGCATCGAGGGAATAATTATCATCCATATGCATGTATATATGTGTGCGTGATTTCCATCTCTGCATTCCATTCATTCAATTGTCGCAAGGTTCCGACCGATGACGCGAGGTTCTGAATTCCGCCACTGGCATCGCGAGAACATCATGCTGCTCACTGCCCAGTAGTTCAGCCACAATCTACCTGATGAATCCAATGCCCGCTTCGGCTCAGTGAGCGACTGCGTCGTGGTGATTGAACAGATGGCTGCAGGGTAAGAACACGACAAGAATGATTATCAGTTTATCGTGTATCATAATACATCATACCCTGATACCCGTACACTACAAAATCGAGGCTATGCACGGCGATCTACTCTGGCATCGCGTTTGTAGACCGAGATGTCCACACCAACAAGACCCGGGTATGGAAAAGATAACGAAGGCATATGAGGCAATGCAATGACTTTCCGAGCGTTCTTGGCTCAGTATTTGTACTCGCCCACACGCAGCACCGCACGTAGGAACATCTGGGCTCCAAGCTGGACGAAACCCGCGGGGCGCGTATACCTTCTGGGGGCCGTGCGTCAAACGAGGACCAATACGCGGCGCCTTCACGGCACACTCTCCCAATGCGACCGGGAGCGCCGACCGGGCCTTACTGGATTCGCCTTCGTCACTGTCAAAAACTTTCGCCCGTCCGCATCACATCAGTCCAGACGGCTCAGGCAGCCAGGACCGTCTCCCAGATCGCCCCAGCAACTGGTATGCACCCGCGGTTATCATCCAGCCTCCGGTCCTACGAGGAGACAAACGGACGTGGACTGAGCGTCTTTATTTGTTAGCGTACGCGCTGTGGTCGAACGTGACACTTGGGAAGACGGAGTATAGCCACAAGATAAACGTCTTCGCTCTTCAGGACCTGGGGTCGCGTTTGGGCTGGACCACAGAGGCTCCGAGAGGCGCACGCGCCATCGTATCTTTCAACTTCCAGCTCAATTCAAGAGCGCCAGGTACTTCCATCCGTTTGTAGACGTGGCAGACCGTCCGAGAGGCCCATCGCTGGTAGTATCACGACAGAGTATATCAAACACACCGAAAGTCGATCTATCCCCACCCCTCGGAATAGTCAGTAAAACCGGAATATCCTGATCACAGAAGAACGAGCGCTCACAGGTTTGCTGTCTCCTCTGCCGTCTTGAACAAACGTGCACGCAAAAAGTGGATGGGTCGGTCTCCAAAGCGATTACCATATCCCGAAGATGAGCCGCGTGTCAGCAATATTGGTTCTTGCCAATCAAGCCAGCCGCCCCGCCATGTACGCGGTAGTAGACTATGTCCCCAGTCCCGGCGGACATCGCGACATCCATCTTTGTGCTCTCCGCACAGATTCCTTCTTGATCATGCGGGAGGCCCGCCAGCCCAGGATTGCACATCAAAGGTCAAGTGTGAGAGCGTCTCTAGGATGAAAACGAACGCATACACCGTCCGTCGAAGCTCACGACAGTCTGTTCCGGCGTCCTGATCTGTCAGCCAAGCGGTCGACCAAGGGCTCATCGTTTCATCCAGGACCTCGGGAGGGGGAAAAATCAGAGCGGGGTCGAACGTGGATATGTACCTGCCAAGTCAGGAGAGAATTTGAGAACCCTGTGAACATAGAGTAGCTAGTGCACGAATATAATAAGTTGAGCGAGGCGGACGAGATGTGATGAGATCAAAATGCTATTTGCTCTTGTTTATCTGCACCTTCTGGATTCAACAGACGCAAATAACCGCCTGCGGCGGGCAATGATTTATATCTCATATCGCAGTCAGGCGATCTCGCGAACTTGAAATCTGTATCAATATTGCTGGGTTTGATCTCGTTAAACCGCAATGCTCGATATCGAGAACGCGGATCGGGGATTTTGGCTCGGCCGGTACGCTACCATTGTCAACGTGCCATATTCATTTGATCCCAGATGAACAGACATAGAATCTTGTCACGATCATCGAACACAAAGCGAGAATTAAAAACATGAAGGTATGTACATGTTCAAAAATTCTACCTTTTCCTCGCAACCGATTCTAAATACTAATTCCTGTATCGCATTTCCTCCGCGGGGCTCAGCTAATTGATGTGTTCCAGTGCGAGTCACTCACCCAGACGTGAGCCATGAACATCTGCATGCATTGTAACACGAACCGGCGGTTGTTCAGGTCACGTACGCCCTCACCCCAGTACCGTTCTAGACCTTCCAGGGGAGGGACACACCGGCCCACCACTGTGTCTGGAACGGCTGCGGCAGGCGCACCCTCGTCTCCTGCGACGGCGTGCGAGAGCGTATTGGTGTTGGTGACCTTGTAGAAATTGGAGCGAACCCGCGCAGATCGATCCCAGCGATCTCGTCCGACGAGTCGACTGGAGGCAGGCGAGTCGTATGCTGCGCGTGCCTGTCTGTTGTGTACGAACGCGGCGAGAGAATCGACGATAAGCTTCATCCGCGGTCGTCCGCTGCAGCCCTGGACAGCTCTCATACGAGTCCGCCCGATCCGAGTGCAACATCATAAGGGGTAAGCGTGCCGTCACTTCAGCGATGAGATGGACCCATATGTGACTGTCATCAGAGCACAGCTTCAGCTTCACGCCGACCTCTTTTCTCCGAACCTCATTTCTTGCGGTCGATAAGGTAGAGCGGCGAACGTTTCTCAGAGACAAAGAGATCTAGTAGCGCCATCCTGATCTGTCGCGCGTTGAGGCTTTGTCGAACCGCTTGCGGCTCATCGCCAATTGAAGAGAGCGTAGGAACACTTGGACGAGGTGGGTTCTGGCCGAGCTAGGCTCCGAAGGGAGTGCAGTGTTGATTACCGTGACGGTTCGAGCAAGATGCGTGTGTCGAAGGAGGTCCAGTCCTCGTCAGCAACTTCGATGTTGTCAGCCGACAAGTTGTGGTGAAGACAAGCGAGGGAAGAAACATGTTGAATGAGAGATGAGAGGAGTCAGAGATACCACAGGAGTTAGTAAGGCATGAACTTGCTCTTCGCGAGAATTCACTGATTTCAGTCCATCTCCATTGCCTCTGAACTGCACTTCATCATATAAAATACCGAGAATATAGGCTTGGCTTCGGGTATTATATCGGTAATTACAATCCCATATCATACGAAAGTCTGGGTCCATGACAGCCACCTCAAATGAACATGTCCATGATATCACTACAAACACTCGCGCAGTAGCATGCCTTTCAAGTAGGGTCCATCGCAACGTGCTTCCTCCTCTGTCCTATACAGGTCCTACAGTGACAGGTAAGACGGGTCGAGACTACCTTCTGGTCGCGTCACTTACCCGGAAGTAGGTCGTGAACATCTTCAGGCACAGCAGTACAGCCCGGCGGTTGTCCAAGTTGTACACGCCCTCTCTCCAATACTGTTCTAAGTGCTCGACAGGCGGGATACACCGGCGCACCACGGTCTCAGGCAGCGCAGCAGGAGACGTTCCCTCATCTCCCGCCACGGCGCGAGAAAGCGCGTTGGTGATGGTGATCTTGTAAAACGTCGGAGCGAACCCGCGCACGGTGATCCCAGCAAACTCGTCCGAATCGCGTGCATGCACGTTACATACCGCACGCACCCGTCTGTTGCGCGCGAACGCAGCGAGGGCATCAATGATAAGTTTGATCTCGGGGTCGTCCCCAGATAGCTACATGCGAGGCCGGTGAGCCCAGTCTAAGTGGAATATCACAGGGGGGGACGTACCGTCGCTTCACAAAGTAAGTGGACCCGGTTGTACCAGTCGACCGAGCTCACCGATGCCTGAGCGTAAACGTCCTTTCTCTGCGAGTTTAATCTCATGGTTTCGATACGATTGATGCCATAGCGCGGTAGTAGACGACTCTGGTCGCGGAACATTTCCACCAGCTGCTTGGTGAAATTGACATGGTCCTGTAGTTCCCAGAGCTGCGGATATCTCGCTGCAGACTGAAGCGAAGCTAAGAACCTTCCCCCGCCGTCGGACATCCTGGGGTCTGCGGGATCCGCATCAGCCGCCAAAAGGAGTGAGATATCCTCCGTCGGATCAGGCAAGGTTGGTATGTCGAAGAAGGTTTTCCAGTCTTCATCTACAATTCTGATGTTGTAGGTAGACAAGTCGCTAGCCGACCAAAGCAGTGACGGAAGAATCATGTCTGAAGGAAAAGAGTTGTTGTGACAGCGATGAAAACGAGGATTTATATACCGTGCTGCATATAAATTCTCGTTTTCATAGCGGTACGTAGAAGCTACCCGAACGTGGGTGCAAGGCACATGCCCGTCTTTCCTTGACAGGCCGTCGGGTGCGGAACACTACTGCACACGTTCCGAACAATTCCGAGTCGCTCCTGCTGGATGCATGACAGTACCGGCCGTACCCTGGATAATTCCCTTAGACGCCATTGCTGATTTTCAGATTCTTTGTCCCAACATTGACCCTTTTTTTGACTTTGTATCCGGATACAGTCATTTGCATAAACCGGAAATCGCGTCGTCAAATCTTCTGTTTGCTCGAGACAAATACTTTCCAGGCAGGTGCACATGACAGCGGCCAACATCCGGCATCCTCGCATTACACTCATCAGGAAAACCCAACTTTTACTTATGGGACTTATTCCAACTTTTTGACCTTTTTTGCCTTATTTAAGGCCCATAAGTTCTCAAAAGTCGACTTTTAAGCCTCTAAGGAAATATGACTTATGGACTTTTTGTCCTTTTTTACCTTATTTAAGGCTTATAAGTGCATTTAAGTTGCATAAGAACACCTTTAAGTAAAAGTTGGGTTTTCCTGATGCTCTAGACTTTCGGACTTTTTATAAAGCACCGGGTTGGCAGGTGGGGCTCCCTTCCTCATCTTTGGTGATGCTTTTTCGTTCTGGCGGCGGTTGTGGCATACTGTACCTTCTTCGTTTTCCACTTCTTATTCCTTCACACCTTTATCACACCTTTTGTTGACAATCATCTGGACAGACCTCTTGGTGGCTGGTGCAGATCTACTACATGGTCCTCGGGTGGGTGAAACTAACTTGGACCTCACCTAAATCAAGACTTGTTCCTTAGCTTGATTCCCTGGTATTTGTGGCCTGATGCTTGGCCTTTTAGATCCAAGATAGCTATTGGCACTTCAGTTGCAAGATATTGCTCAGATCATAGTCATTCAGATTGCAAGGCCAGTACAAGGTGTTGTTTAACATTGGCAACTAGCGTATGGACTATGCAAACCCTTCTCAAGAGTGAGACTGATGGAGAGCCGGTGTTCAACATATGGGCATTTTATGTCTTTCGCACTTCATTATTGCCTTTTAAGGTCACTTTTATATTCTTTGTTAGTTGCAAGGTGAGTGTGAGCTGTTCATAGTGGGGTCACAGTTAAACTGTAGATCATGTGTACAGAAAATAATGATCACATGAGCAACACATCTGCATTCAGTAAACACTTTGGACTCTGACCGATGTGTGGTTGACACAATAATAGAGGAGTAAATTCAATATGGGAGTAGCTCTTAAATGTATTATGTGACAGATATCATGGTGTCTCATATCTGCTCTGCAAAATCTGCTCATGAATGAACTAATCATGATTTGCAGTTATTTCGGATAGAGGTTGTGGCTGAAGACTTTAAAACTTTTTTCAGTGTCCCACAGCTTCTGTTACGCGGCAGCGAAACACGAGCGTCTAGTCGAGTCGTCACGAGACAAGGTCTTAGTCTAAGACACAAGTCCGTTCAAGTGACACTTCTGGCGATGTCCTCGCACTGAAGGTCGATCAGAGTTCGTTCTTATGACTCGTAGTAGCTGTCTGCTACTGACGGTCGATCTCAGTCAAAGGCAAGTGAAAAGCTGGTTTAATGGTAACCAGGTCGAGATGGGGATCCAGCTCGACAAGGTCGTCTACTTATACAAAAGGTATCCTCAGTACTACGCAGTAATGCGAGATCGTTCATTGGCTAGATAAGGTGAAACGATATCTGGGCAAGGTACCAGCGAGGAAGTAATATGCATGAGAAAGCTGAGTAAGGTCGTGAGAGATAATCAGTACTAATGGGGATAACGAGTCGTGTATCAGAACGAGGTAAAGATGAGGCGTACATGCACATCTTGCATGCGCGATAAGAAGAAGGTCCGGAGTTGGATCCGGTGTAACCCTAGACTAGGGGTTCTGGACATCTGGGTAAAGAATCGGAGGTTGCGCTCCAATGAGTCACGTGTTGGATTACGTGGTCTGGTAACGTAAAGGGAACAAGGAAAAGAAAAAGAAAAGATGCGCCACAAGTGGGGAGCGTTGTAACATCAGCTCCCGTCTAACGTTTCTTGTCCCACAAGAAATATTGTGATCTTCATCGTCGTCGGGGGCAGTCGCGGACATAATGATCTCCTCCACATCTGTAGCATGTCCGCCGGCTGGTTCGTGATCCTTGTTCGGGGATACGTCCATTCCTGTAGGGATGACTGCGACGCGAAGAAGTGGATGCAGTCGAGAAAGATGGTTGGGATAACGGAGATCGTCCACTGGGTACGTGCAAACGAGGAGGGTGAGGTCGAACGGGAATTGGTTCTGGCGACGAGCGAGGAGTGGATGCGGGTATTCCATTAGTGGTGTATCCGAGGATGTGTCCGATGTCTTCATCCCCATGCTCCCTCCAAATCTCCTGTGCTGTACGAGTGACCGTACTGCGCATCAACGACCAGACTTGGTCGACTCTGGTCCGGGCTCTACTCGTCCTTTCTTCTGCTGCGATGAGCTCTTGTCTGGCCGTCTGCATCCACTCGACCATTTCTAATGCTCGTTGCATGGAAACCACCGCTTGTCGATCTTGCGGGCGATTTCGTAAGGCAACGAGGATATCTGTGAAGTCGACAGGAACACGGATAGCTGAGACCAGACGTGTGGCAAATTCTTGTTCGTCCGATGCGTGACTGAGTTCGATAGACGGTGAGGGCGAGGAGGTGCGGATAAAGGGTGTCTGTGCTCGAGAGAGTACTCCATTGACAAGCGTAGGCGATGCGGGTATGCTCATAATTGTGGAGGCGACTTCAGCGAGTATATTGTGAACAAGGTCGTCTATAGCGGAAGTGGGCATTGATGATATGTCGTTTTCTCCCCCTTTTATACCTTTCGGTCGTTAAGGGGGTCGCGGTTATCTGTGATGTGAAATAGAATGTCGTGGATCCGGGTAATAATCAAATAGATGAAAATCCATTGGACGATAAAGAGTATTCCCACAGAGATAAGGACTGCCTGATCAGTTCCAGGCATCGTTCTGATCACCCCAGCCGTTAGCGTGCGGGCTGTCTCGCATGAAGAGTGTGTGTTCGACAAGTCGTCTGATAAGGATTTGGTGGATGATCCAAAGAAAGGCGAGGGTTGTGCAGTGGAGGACGATTAGGAAGATGATGAGGAAAACCGTCGTGGTAGTCATTCCGGGTTTCTTCTCCTCTACTGGATCCCCCTGGTCCTTTTATATGCATCGAGGATTCGCTTGGCATTCTGTAAATTGTGGGTAGGTTCCCACGAGTTTTCTGCTGAAGGATATCCCTTCCACTTAACTAAGTACCTCAGATGACCTCGGTATGTCTTGTGATTCAGGATGGCTTCGACTTCGTACTCTTCTTCGTTATCAACGACATCAGGTGGTGGGTTCATGTAATTCGGACCATGTATGTCGTTTTCGCGATAAGGAGATAGAAGGGCGGCGTGAAATACGGAATGAACTCGCCAGGCCTTCGGGAGTTTGAGACGATAGTTGGCTGGTCCGATGACTTCGGTAATTTCGAACGGCCCTTCACGCTTTGGTGCTATCTTGCGCGAGGCGTAATTGACCTTCAGGTTCCTCGAGTCTAGCCAGACCTTCTGTCCTAGTGTAAACTTCGGCGATCCTTGTCTGACTCGGTCCGCCATCTGTTGTCGGGCTAACTCGTGCATGGCTAGTGCTTCTAGCCTTATCTTCTGCAACATGTCAAGCCTGGATTCAACCGATGGAATGTTCGTGGTCGGAAATACGGAAGGGAGTCCACGTGGTTCGTATCCCATCATGATGCGGAATGGGCTCATCTTCCGTGCCGAGTGTTCCCTTGTGTTATGACAAAACTCGAGGTCTGGCAGGCGGTCGGCCCATGTTTCAGGGTTGTTTCCGCAATAGAGTCGAAGATAGATTTCCAGCTCCTGGTTGACTCGCTCTGTTTCTCCGTCCGTCTGAGGGTGATAAGCTGTGCTCATTGATGATCTGATCTGGAGTAGTCGATTTAACTCTTGGAAGACCTTGGATGCGTATTGAGGTCCTCTATCCGAGATGATTCGGTCGGGTAATCCAAATCGCGAGTATACTTTGTCATGAAAAATCTTGGCCGTTCCTTCAGCTGTGATCGTTTTGAGGCAGGGCGTAAGAATCACCCCCTTCGTAAGGTCATGGTCTACTACGACCATAATTGAATCAAAACCGTTGGAAACGGGGAGGTCGGTAATAAAATCGGTGGTGCAACAGGAAAATGGTAATGCGTGTGGGTCGGCGGGAATTGGTTCCAAAGGAATACGAGTTGGATGAGTATTCGGTTTCATTTGTTGACAGGCGGCACAGCCTTCAACATAATTGTAGACAAATGTATACATGCCGGGCCACCAGAATTCACGACGTAACAGTTCAAGAGTATTGAACTTTCCAGGGTGACCCATGGCAGGGGAGTCGTGATGTAGTCGAACGAGGTCACGACGAAGAGTTTCGGATGGTGGAATGTAAATCTTTCCCTTGTAGAGGATGACACCATCGCGAACTTCCCAGTCGGAAAGCGATGATTTCATGGGGAATGGCCCTTTGTGCGCAATCGCTTCGAGGGCTTCGTGAACAATGAGGTCTTTTGCTGTGTGATTCCTGATTTCGTCGAATAGTGTCGGGGAAATGGATCGCACGAATAGTGCGTTGGGTAAAAGAATGCGATCTTCATTGTCACTTTCACTGTCATCGAGTCCATTACGACGAGAGAGCGCATCAGATTGGATCATCTGAGTTCCAGGGACATGGATGAGGTGAAGATCAAATTGTGATAATTTGAGACTCCATCGTGCTTGTCGGCGGTTTAACTTCTGAGCTGTACGGAAGTACGTGAGGTTCTTGTGATCACTGCGAACTTCGACGGGATGGGGAGAGCCTTCAAGATAA